AGCTTTCTCCTTGAATAACTCTTGAACCAGATGCTGCAGCGGGTTGCAGCTGGAGATATTGGATCTTTGGGATATCAAAAAGATGTAGTGCAAGTTTGGAGATGAAATTCCAAGCGGAAAAAATATTCCAATGTTGGTATTTTTACTTCTCTTCAGATGTCCAATGCATCTGCCTTGGATTGTAGTTGAGTGAACCAGGAGGTCCAGTCCTTGCTGGTAGCTAGAGTGGCTTAAGTTTGGTTGTTGATCATGTTGGTAGATATGTTGGTAAAGGCAGTGAGACTCTTAATTGTCAGATTTGATAGTATCTAAAAATGTCACAGTGATAGAAAAATTGATTGAAGATAGGTTGACTGATTGTATTCTGGGGTGTGCTTGTGTGGATGAGGCTGGGGCCTGACACCGGTTTTGATGTTCCTTCTCTAGGCACCAAGGCTGCACAGAGCACTAGCCACTGCAGAATCACTAGCCACATGTCCTCAGACAGTACCGGTACAGACAGTTTCTCTCAGTCTTCCTCTCCAGTCCCAGATGGGATGTCCATAAACTGGCTTACCATCTGACAATATTATTTTAGGCTTCTATAGGTATTTTAAGGTTAAAATATACTTTAGGAGGGTAGAATGTAGTAATTCCTGTAGATTACTTAGCACTGTACATAGCACGTAACTAGCTGCTTAGTTAGGACCTTTCTGTATAACTTACGGAGGTCTAACACCTCTAAATAATTATCCTGTTTCTGTCCTATCGTACCACACTAGCCCCTCCAGCTCGCCCTTGGCTTGGCATCGTCGCTTTTGTTGTAACTACATACGACGTCGGTGTCAGAGCGACCCCAACCCCTTCTCTCCCGCGACATGCTTATAGCAGTGTCGCTGCTCGTGATATCACTGACAGCGTTCCTCTACCATCGCCCACCATCTGTCTGGAGCGCCTGCGCCTGGCTTCGACGACTCCCTGCTTCGCACCCGCCTCCACCCCCCGGAGCGAGGCAGAAGCATGACGAGAATAACAGCAAGGTGAAGGATGGTGGACATGAGAAGCGCAATATCGATACTACCGGCCTCCCCACCTTCACGCTGGCGCAGCAGGGCGGCTCCAGCGATGACGACTCCGACAACAACAGCGGAGAGGATGGCAGCCTCCCACCACCCCAGTTTCCAGCACTGAACTCGGCCCAAAGAGCCTCTGCACCGGCCAAGGGAACCCTGATGCCGCCACCCACGATCAAACCGTCGAATTTGCGCGCTCTCGCTGCGCCAACGTCTGCAACCACACTCCGTGTTCCTACAACGGGGCCCCTTCCGAATCGTGGGCCAGTACCCTCTCGCACTCCTCGAGCTTCTTCCGGCACCAATCCGTCTACCGAGCCTGGAAGGACGACCAATGCACGAGGCAAGGTACTTCTGTCGCCAGGGCATTCCCCGCTCGACTGGGCCAACCTGCAGCGCTCTGGCGAGAATCTCTCAGGCGTGCCGTCGCTAATCCGTGTTACTCCTTCAATGCTCAAGCACAACAATGGACGAAAGGGAAAGCCGGCGTGGTCGAGCTATCAGGGCAAGGTGTATAACATCACGCCATATCTGCCCTTTCATCCCGGCGGCGAAGGAGAATTGATGCGAGCGGCTGGAAAGGATGGCGGCAAGTTGTTCATGGAGGTGCATCCGTGGGTCAACTGGGAGAACATGCTGGGCGAATGTCTTGTCGGCATCGCTGTGAGCGAGGATCAAGAACAGCGCTCCTTGGCCGATGGGCAAAACTTGGATGAGATGGATTGAGCGTGCCGAAGATGTGATAGATATGATACCCCCTAGATTTGAATGCACTGTAACCTGCATAGTCGAAATGAAGGAGTTGACAGGTCGGGAGCAAATGCATGTCGACCGTTATCGTAGCCAGAACGCGAAAAGCTTCAAGCATGTGCATCTATGCTTGTAGCTTCGGGAGATTACTTCACCAAACTCCAAGCGCAACACGCACGAATGCCACCAACAACGCTGCACAAAGCGGAGACTACTAGTCTAGGACACAGGTCACGAATTGTGTCCGGATAGAAATATGCGAACTGTAGTTATTGCAAAGGCCCTTTAGGCTAGTGGCTGTGGTGGCACAATAAGGCCATTCTGCTCGTATTCGACTGGATTGCTCAAAGTCCCGATGTGCGGCAGAATCTCGACCTCCACTACATCCCCAGGGTGCAGAAACCTGGGCGGATTCATCGCATAGCCCACACCACTCGGTGTTCCCGTCATGACAACCGTACCCTTTTTGATTGTCGTCCCTTGGCTCATATAACTCAGTAGATAGGGTACTTTGAAGCAGAAGTCGTCCATAGTCTCGCTCTGCCGCAACTCCCCATTCACCCTCGTCTTGAGATACAACTTTGCCGGATCCGGTATCAATGCGGGACTCACAATCATGGGTCCCAACGGGGCGTACGTGTCGAAACCTTTGCTGAAATTCCACTGGGGCACCGTCCCGGCGATTTTTGGGTCCCGCTGGATCTTCCGCGAGCTGACATCGTTGCCGCACAAGTAACCCCCGATGTACGACATGGCCTCGGACTCTGGCACGTTCTTGGCGTCGCGCGAGAGTATAAAGCACAGCTCGCCCTCGTAGTCAGCCTGTTCGTCTTGGGCCATGGCGGGGATAATAATGGGAGCATTATGGTCCTGGATGCAGGTGTTTGCTTTGATGAAAGTGGCGGGATACGGAGGTAGCGTCCGCCCCCCTTCCTTGACTGCGAAGGTTGTCAGTAAAAGCAACATCACTGCGGGTGGTCCCGAGCCGGCGTACTGTGCTTGATGAAGTTCAGTCCAACGGCGCGGATGATGGGGACCTCGGTTTGCGTTATGGGGCCTAGCAACTGCTTCACCGTGACCTCCTCGTCCGTGACCCTCGTCTGCTCGTCGAAGATATCCCCATTGACTACATGGATGACCTTGGCTGAGAGGCCAGTTTCGGCAGTCGTCTTCCCGACATCATAGTCCTCCGAAGGAAGCATGGGTTCGCCTCTCAGGACACGTCCGTCCGTGGCCTCGAAGCGGATCAAGCGTTTCCATGCGGGCGCCATAGTCTGCGAAGGTGCAATTGGCGTTGGGAGCCGGAGGTCAAGATGACGGCGGGGATAGATATATACATGTATATGCACTGGTGACGGAGGGCCTGGAGTGGGGCCGGCAAAGCCATGCCATCGATCGGAACCGGCGGGATGCAGGTTCGGAATTAGGTAAGCAAGTGATTCGGAGCTACTTCTGGGTGCCGGCGCAAATTGGCGTTGCCATAGAGTCGTAGAAGGTGGGTGGCATGGAGGGAGGGATCCATGGACGCATGGCACAGGTACGGAACCGGGGGCATCTTTTACTGCAAAGACCAGGAGCGGTAGAGTCCTTGGGTGGAACTCATGGGTATCATAATGTCCGCCAGTTGCCTGCTACTTCCATTTCATGCCCCTTTCGCTGCCCTCAGAGCCTTCGAGATGTTCAGCACTTCTTCCTCCACCCCCTCCTCATCGTCGCTCGAAATACTGCCAGCGACCAGCATGCTTGCATCACCGCCCTCGCTTCCTGTGCTCCCGTCTTCGACGTTCACTTCCAGCCCTCCCTCGTCTTCGCTGAACCCCTCGAACTCGTCACCATCGCCCGGGTTGGACTCTGCGTCACCCCCCGCGGATGCCGGTGCTCTAGTTGGCCGAGCTCCCACGTTCTGTGGTGATTCTGTTTCATCATCTCTCTTCCTCTTCCTGCTCATTTCGCCCAGCTGGCCTTCACGGCCCTCTCTGACCGGTCCGCTCGCTCCGCCGCCTTTGCCGTCCTTCATGGGTGGCGGTGTAAACCAGGGGATCTTGCCGCGAATCCAATCATTGAGCACAATCTTTGCGCATCCGTCAAAGTCTGGTTCACCACCCTTGAGAAGTCTCCCTTGTTTCCTTGCTAGCAACTCCAGGAACGTATTCGCATCCATGTGCTCGTCCACCTTGATCTCGTACGTGCGCTGCATATGCTTGGGCTGTACGCGTTTGAGTACCGCGTCTACGTATTGCGCTGGGTATTCCACGTTCTCAACTCGTATGCTCCCCCTCAACAGAAGGCTTTCATCGCTGTCGGATTGATTCGGGGGCACGATACCCGGGCAATCGATTAGGTAGATGCGCTTCATAAGGGTCACATATTGCCACACTTTGGTCTCTCCAGCGATTGGGGCGACGTTGCAGACCTTCTTTTTTCGGAGCGTGTTGATGATGGAGGATTTTCCCGTGTTCGGATACCCAACCAGACCGACGGATATTTGCTTCCTATCCGAATGGAGTGATGAGAATTGACGAAGCAGCGCGATCAATCTGTTCAGGTCAAACGCGAGGCCATTTCAGAGTGCATGAACTAAGACTTACGATCCTTTGCCAAAGCTATTGTTGATGGAGGCGTGAAATGCAAGCGTCGGAAATTGAGTAGACAAGTGTCGAACCCACGCGGCCTGTGCTTCAAGTCAGAGTCCGCCATGCAGAAAGCCACGAGCATGTTTCAGTGGACAAATGTGTGAAACGAGTCTAAGAGTGCCACCACGGAGAGCTGCGATGCAGGGTCGGCCCTCAACTCAAACGTAACACGCAGACTCTGGTGACCGGCAACCAAAACGGAGGCCAGTCTGCCCGCAACCATAACGGCTACGGACAGGCGAGTCGTGATCGATCTCCCAAAGTTGTAACAGAATCTATCCATGGACAAAAGGGACAGATCCTTGACTTAACGATGGTATGCAAGGCGAGGAGAAAGAGATGTCGGATTGGGGAAGTCGAGGGGTTGAACTTACAGCCACTTTGGACGGGACAAGGTCGACCTTGTTGAGTACAAAGACAAGGTGCTTGTGTGGAGCTTCCTCCCTCAAATACCTTTCGACGCTCCTGCACCTTGTTCCCACCGGGTCGCGGGCATCAAGAACATGAAGGATGACATCTGAAGAATCGATGACCTTGTACAACTCATTCCAGATTCTCTTTGACTGTCCTTTAGAGAAGATGCTCTCCCTGGCCGTTGTAAGAGTACCGTCCTGTTCGGCGTCTCCCTGATCCGCATCACCCGACGTGCCCGAAAGCAGCTTCGCCTGCTCCAAGCGTTCCAGGTATGTGTCGTGCATCTTGCCGGTCCGGCCAGCGAGGTCATCGACGGAGCTGACGTCGAGCTTGACCCTCTTTCTCTGCGCCTTGGGGCCGAAAGTGTCACCGAACGATTGACTCTCGACTGCGATTTTGGCGGCATGTTGTTTCAGGCCATTCACATTGGGTTTCTCCTCAATCAGGCTCATCGGGAGCTTGTTACGCTTCATGAGATATGTGGTCGGATCCGACGCCTGCGCTTGCACTGCAGATCGAAACGACTCGAGCGCATCTTGCGAGATGACTCTGGTAGCGTTGAACCACTTGCGGTTGGGCTCTACACGGGCAATGGGCCGGTCGCGGCTCTGGTATGAGGCGGCCTTTGTGATCTCTCCGGCGGCGTTTCTCTGGGCCTTGCCGTCCTTGAACATGTTCAAGGTCTTGATCTTCTTCGCATTGCTGTAATCCAATTAGCTGCGTTGCGCACCCAGAAGGGGGCGGCGGGAACTGTACCGATAGAAATTCTCGCCCTTGACCTTGACGTTCGCCATGCCATCGCCCGTCTTGCCCTGCCGCTCCTTGCGATTTGCTTCTTTTTTGTGGGTACCCATGACGACGAAATCCTGAGTTGCACCGTCAGGAAGTAGGGATCTGTAGGGAGTGGGAGTGGTGAAGGAGGGCGAGTTGAGGAGCGGCGAAGATAGATACAATTTTGGGGGAGGCGGGAATTTCTGTTCGCAGCGTGTCTTGGCGGCGGAGGCCCCTTGCACTTTTTCGCGACCAGCAAAACACCACCGCCTCAGAAGTCCGCACAGCAACCCCTTCCGCAAGACGGCGCCGGGTCGCCATCCACCACCATGCCGCCGCGTGTGCCCGTCTGCCTCTCCCGGACCCCGCAACCTCCTTCCCCATGCCATCATCTATCTGCTCCTTTGGCGCGTGCCTTTTCCTCGACACCCTCCGTCCGCGCCCTCGGGCCCGAGTCCCCCAACTACATAGAGGTCCCTAAGCCTCTGCAGCCCACCGCTGTCTCCAAACCGCACATCAAGGGAATCCTGCCTACACCTCGCAATGTCTTCAAAACACGATCGCCTTTCCCCAAGGAGTCGGAGGAGTTTTTGAAAGCCTCGACGCCCGACCCAATAAGGGTCAAGCAGCCCGGAAGGTACAGTCGAGATGCCGAACTTCGACTATACAAGCAGCGACTCGCCGACGCGCGGAAGACTGCGCTGCGAGAGGGTGTCAAGGAGCTGCATCAGCGGAAGGTCACCTCAGAGGCACAGGAAAAGGCCTCGCTCCAAGAGCTTTTTGCCGAGAGGCGGGCAGCTGCGATGGCACCGCCCAGAGAGGTCGATGTGTTGACCCAGACATCGGTGGACAAGAACATTCGTGCGTTCCTCGAGGGCACCCTGCCGTCCACGTCCCGCTTGAACATCTCCGAAGCACGGCGAAAGGCGTTTAGGCGGAAGATGGCCAGGCATGCAGCCGTACGGGCGGCCCGCTTGCATGACCTGTACACCAATGCGAGGGAATTCATTGTCAACGAGGAACAGCTGGACGAGGCGATCGAGAAGGCATTCGGCACCGACGAACAGCCCGTTGGCTGGGATAACAAGGGCAAGCAAGTCGTGGGCGCAGAGTATGGCAAGAGTCCATGGGCAGGCCCGATGCCCGAAGGCGTGCTGGAGAGGTTACAGAAACTACGGGGAGGAGAGGGAGTGGGCCTGGCGAAGGAAAGAATGAGAAAGGTTGCCGAGGAGCTGACGGGCGGGAAGATGTGAGGACCTTGTACATTATGATGTTGCTTGTGTGTACTACTGTAGATTTTTTTGCCCTTCTGGAACGAGAGCATAGCTCTTTTGCATCTAGGGCCATGCACTGGGTTAAATATTACCACCGTGTGTTGTCGCAAGTGCGTCCCAACTCCCATTACTGGTAACGTGTTGAAGAAACCTCTACACAGTAGTACCTGGATTTCCTATCATGTTACGTTCTTCAAGTATTACTGTTATAGCTGTTCGACAAATATGGTACAATTATACAAGTATTAAGCTCCTGGGGCGGTGCCTGCTGACCAAGATTTGACCGTTTCCATCAGTCTTCAGTGACTGTGACACATCCGCACAATACTATGTATATGGGCTTCCATCATATCCACTTCCCATGTTGTCAGGGCACATCAGGTGGCTCTCCATTCTGTACGGCCTCAACCAATGATAACCATGCTGTCTCTGAGGCGCGTTGCGGTGGCATATCCACGATTCTCTTCTCCCCCCGTCCCCACAGCCCGTGGTCAGGTCAATGTTGCTCTTGGTCACGCCCCCTGAGCCTCACAACACACGACTGATCAGTGCTATCTCGGACCCCATCCGTTCTCCTCGATTGTCAGCAACAGTCTGACCGATACCCTAGGGTAGCCTCGTGAGTCCCTGGAGCTGCTACCCACGAGGGAGATTGTTAGGTATGAGATATCCTTATACTTTAGGGGGCGCGAGCAGGTGAGTTTCAAGCTCAAAAGAGGTGTCTCCGTTGAGAATATCAGCATCCTAAAGGACCTGAGAACTAAGAGGAAGCTCCAAGACAAACATCCAGCCTTTATGATGGTGAACTAGGCTTCCCAATTTTCCTCAAGGTTCGTTTCCTGCGGAATGGAGCCTACCAGAAGCTTAGAGGCCGCAGTGATACAGTTTGAATGCCCTTCCGCACGTACAAAGAATGTGACCGCACGTAGTATCAAAAGCAGAATCGGAGGTTGATGGGACAGAGAGAAAGATGCGTATTACAGGAATGTGTAAAGTCTTTTGAAACGGGTATTTGTAGTTAAAGCGCGTGTGCAAACCTGCTTCGCTCTCGGCTAGTTCATGTGTGTGTACGGATCCGGGACATTAAAGTTCATCAACATAGCAACGACCTCAAGTAGTTGATGGGTTTTCCTCAAACAAGCTATCGGGCTACCCACGTTAGACTTCCGAGATTTCTGAGCCGCAAGCCGTCCAGGCCTCCTGGGGTCTAGGGCTGGGAGGCTGGAGGTTCTAGCACTTGAGGTTAGTAGATAGCTACGTGAGAATGAGCTCCTAATACCTTATCTTTTTCGTAATTGTCTCCCTGCATACAGACCCAACCTTAGGAACTAGAACGCACCGGCCGTTATAGGATAGCACCTGGACGAATATCCTCCCTTAGCCGATCTCGACCAAAATTCAATTTCGGCCAATTCGATCCCCTTGCAACGGGCCGCCGCTATACATACAAAGTGCAACCTAGAAGAGTGGGTGTAGATACTCTGTGAATATCATCATCCACAGTGTGATGGGTGATGGAGTGTCGTCGGATCAACCTCAGGTCGCATTCACGCACCCCTGTCAGACGCGGGCGCTAATGTACCGTACCCGCTATTCCCCGATATGGACAAGCTTCCCGTGCCACAAAACCACAGCCACATCTTCTCCTGCCGAAAGTCGGCCGTGCCATGCATCATCTCTCAATGGCTCACAAAATACTGTACAGCGAAATCTCCTACAACGTGCACGCCGCTGAATTCCTCCCCGTAGCGGGCCCCAATACCCGCCATGACTGACTATTCACGCCCTGTCACACCCGACACGCATACCAATGGCATCTTAACGCCCCAAACGCCCAGGAATACCGGCCTCGCCCTCACAGAATACACTGCAAACCCCTCACCGCCCTCTGACTCGCCCAAGAACGAAACCAGCAAGCTCGTTCCAGATGCATTTCTGCTGCCAAACGGATACCCTGATGTGTGGAGCCACTCCCTAACGTGTCCGGTACAAGAGCTTCTGACTTGGATTTCAGTACCTTCGTCTTATCCTGACCTCCAAGGTTTACGAGGTCGTCACCGAAACTCCCCTGAATGTAGCAACCAATCTCAGTAACCGCCTAGAGTGCAATGTCCTGCTCAAGCGCGAAGACTTGCAGCCCGTCTTCAGCTTCAAGCTGCGGGGTGCGTATAATAAGATGGCGCACCTGTCGCATAAAGACAGGTGGAAGGGTGTGGTTGCCTGCAGTGCTGGTAATGCTCCCGACTAAGCATCTTCTTCTATCGTCTCACCACCTCCCAGGAAACCATGCTCAGGGTGTTGCCTACTCCGCCCGCCGCCTGAAGATTCCCGCTACCATTGTCATGCCCTCTGGCACTCCTGATATCAAGCACAAGAATGTCTCCCGCCTCGGCGGTTCCGTCGTCCTGCACGGGGCTGACTTCGACGCCGCAAAGGAAGAAGCTCACCGCCTGGAGAAGCTACACGGCCTTATTTCCATCCCACCCTTCGACGATCCGTATGTCATTGCTGGCCAGGGTACGATTGGCATGGAATTGTTGCGACAGACAAGTCTTGAGCATCTGGAAGCAGTCTTCTGTTGCGTTGGGGGCGGGGGCCTGATAGCAGGAATCGGCGTCTACATCAAGCGCATAGCGCCTCATGTGAAGATCATCGGCGTGGAAACCTATGACGCGAACGCCATGGTCGAGTCGTTGAAGGCAGGCAAGCGCATCGTCTTGAAAGACGTCGGACTTTTCGCCGACGGCGCGGCGGTCAAGACAGTTGGAGAGGAGACTTTCAGGATTTGTCAGGAGGTGGTAGACGAAGTGATCCAAGTGACGACGGATGAGACATGCGCCGCTATAAAAGACATGTTCGAAGATACCCGTTCCATCGTGGAGCCGGCTGGTGCCCTGGCACTCGCAGGCCTGAAGAAGTGGGTTGCAAGGAATCCGAGCCCCAAAAAGGAGCGCGGTTTGGTCGCTGTTGCCAGTGGGGCCAATATGAATTTCGACCGGCTCCGCTTCGTCGCCGAACGCGCCGCCCTTGGAGAGAACAAGGAGGCCTTACTCTCGGTTACCATACCCGAGAGGCCCGGTTCCTTTGCACAGCTCGTGGCCCAAATACATCCAATGGCTGTCACCGAATTCAGCTATCGGTACAGTGGGCCGGATTCCGCCAACATATTGGTTGGCGTTGAGCTGAAAGCGGCCACCCGATCGCGCGATCTCCGGGATCTTTTCTCTCGTTTAGCGGCCGAAGGCATGACCGCACACGATCTCTCGCAGGATGAGCTGGTCAAGACGCATCTCCGCTACTTGGTAGGTGGGAGAAGTAATGCAGCCGACGAACACCTTTTCATGTTCCAGTTCCCGGAGCGGGGCGGCGCACTTTACAAGTTCCTGCACACGCTTCAACCTGGCATGAACATCTCTCTCTTCCATTACCGGAATTATGGGGGTGATGTAGCTAAGATCCTCGCCGGCATTCAGTGCAAAGAGGAGGACCAGGATAAGTTGACGGCGTTTCTAAAAGCTATCAACTACCCGTATGAGGAAGTGACGAATAACCAAAGCTACAAGATGTTCCTGAGGCAGTGAAGGTGTTGGCCATGGGGCAATGATCATGGAGTGTAAGTTCCCTTCGAGGCCTTGAAAGCTGTGTTGGTCCACTTCGGGGTTTTGGCGCTGATATCATTGTATATCCACGGTAACCTTAAATAATCAAGACGAGGGCGTGCAACATGATGTCCTCAGTACAGAGACACGGCCATCCCTAATTGGATCGAAAAATCCCTGATACACATCCCTAGCCGATCGTTGACGTGCTCCTGCGTTTCACTGTTCACATGAGATGTCATCAATGAATCAGAAACTGAACCACACCTTGATGATGAAGACGAAAACACGAGAGCCAAGCACAAAGGAAGCCCGACCAATTGGTCAGGAAACGAAAGTAATATTCAGCACAATGTAAAGATTCTTCCCACGGCATGCCCGGCATACCAACTAGCTGAACGTCCCCTGGGCTATGGGAGCAGAAAGTCAGATTGCCATAGTGATGCCAGAGCTCTATGCTCCCATGCTAATGGTGATGCGAGCGCGAGATTGCGATGCGGATAAAATACTCCTCCATGCCATATGATGCTCCCTCTTAACCTTAGCACTAGTTCACTTCCGCAGTCCTCACCCACCCCTTGGGTTCAATCCTCATTCTCTTTCTCGTCCTCGTCCTCGCATCATCCCTCTTAGCTTCGGCCTCCGAATACCATCTTGGATAAATTGTCGTAACAGTAGGCGTGGTAGCTGCCGACACCGTTTCCGCACCCGCCCTCCGGGCCAACCTGAACCCCTCAGGCGGGCCATCTGGACCCCAAGGATCATACTGCTCCTCCGGGGGCAAGTCTCCAGTGAGGCTCTCGAGGATATCCAGGAACTCATCTGGCTGAACTGCATCGACATCCTGGCTCTGCTGTTCTTCGTCTAGAGCTAGGACTTCGGCCATTGGGTCGTTGAGCTCCAAGTCGACCTGCCCTGGTAACGTCGATTTTTCTGGAGGCTATTTGTGAATTAGCACTTGTACATTTCTCACCATCGCTTTGGAACAGAGATATGGCTGTGCAGCCTTTCAACAAGTGAAACAACTGAAGAAATGGAACTGGATCCATGTAAGGGGAATGGTGCGCAAAAAGCCTCAGATAATGGACCTGTGATGGGTGAGGAAAAAGGTGTCGGTCGATTGCCTGTTTTCCAACGTGCTGACAAGTTCGATCAATGGTATTGGTTTATTACCAGTCGATCAGTGGCCGTTGTAATGATGTACCTCTCAGGCTTCTCCATACTCCCCCGTAGACCTCCACGCCCATTCCCGTGCGCTATAGTGGAGGGTGGACTGGGCCGAGGCGCAGCCTTACTTACCTTCGTACTTACCCTAGGTGAAAAGAAAAGGGACACAGAGAAATTGGTGGAGCAGAGCAAGCAGAGCATCGAGCGTATAAGCACATGATAGAAATCAAACGTACACTTGGAACACTAGTCGTAGAAGTGGAGGTAGTCACCACAGTCAACGTGGCTGTATCAGAAGCCGGTTCAGTTGTTGTCGCCGTCGCAGTCACCGTGTCAGTGACTGCTCCTGTGTCAGTCGTCGCCGACAAGGTCGCTGAGGCTGTATCAGACGACGCTGTATCAGTGGCCACTCCTGTATCAGTTGCCACCGAAGTCACTGAAGCTGTATCCGAACTTGCTTCAGTGGTTGTCGCCGATGCTGTATCAGTGGCTGCTCCCGTATCGGAAGCTGGTTCGCTGGTTGGCGCCGCCGATGTTGTGTCGGTGGCCGCTCCAGTATCAGTGGCCGCCGATGAAGCTGTATCCGAAGTTGGTTCAGCTGTTGCCGCCGACGATGCTGTATCAGTGGCTGCTCCTGTATCGGTGGCCGCCGAAGTCACTGAAGCTGTATCAGAAGCTGGTTCTGTGGTTGCCGCTGTTTCCGTCGCCCCCGAAGTCACCGAAGTATCAGTAGCTGGTTCAGTGGTTGCTGCCGCTGACGACGCGGTGTCAGTGGCCGCCCCTGTATCTGTCGCTACCGAAGTCACTGAGGCTGTATCGGAGGTTGGTTCAGCGGTTACGGATGTTGCTGACGCTGTATCAGTGGCCGCACTGGTATCAGTCGCCACTGCAGTCGAAGTGGTTGGAGCGACATAGAGCCTGTTCTGGAAGATGATCAAGTGATCGGGACCGCCGCAGTATTGGGTGGCGTCCCCGGAGCACACAATCGAACAAGCGGTTTGGGGAACAGGCGTCGAAGACCACTCGAACGGTCCGTTGCCGCAGCGACATGTGGTGCTGGTGCCGTCTGGCGCAGGTTCAAGAGCGAAGTACTGATCGTCGGGGCAGAGGGTAGCGCACACGTCCCAAGTCTTGGAGCCACTCGTGAAATTTGCTCCACTGAAGATGGGAACTCCGCTGGTGTCGTCAATGTCTTCATAGCAGCCAATGTAGTCGTGGTTCGCGATGGTGGTATTGTCGGGGAACTAAGAGTTGGTTAGTTCGCTGTGCAGAGCCAGTACGTAAAGATTAGTGCTCTATGTGCTTGTGCTCTGCTCTGCAAAATAACAACGAAGGAAAGAAAAAGAAAAACATAGAAAAGCTGCAAGTTAGTCATTCCTCAACTCCACGACAAGGCAGAGCAGAGGTGACGGAAGTAAATTTTGGAACAAGATTATCGTGTTCAAAGAGCAGATCAAGAATACGACAGCCAAACGACGGGCCAGGAGGGGTTTGATATGAACTGGGAGAAAGAAACGGCAAAGGGAGGAATGGAGGACGTTGGCTTTTTAAAACATATTGTATTCCCCTAGAAACAAGAACGGAAAAATTGGAATGGGAGTTTTGGTCATTCCAAAACAGTATCTATTTCATCTCCCTTGCTCTGCTTGCCCGCGGCGCGCAAAAGGAACGGAGGCAAGGGGGAAGCAGGTGTACGCGTTCTGCAGGCGCAGGACACATACCGGCGACGGGTACTACTTGGTTCGTAACAAATACCTACCTGCTGGACTCTCTCCATCCGTCTCCAATTTCAATGGAATGGACATATTCGTTTCACCCTCATGCAACCTTCACGCTGTGCCACCTGGCCGGTGCTTGTGTAAGACCTTAGACACCTGAGGCGCAGCATGACTGTGCTGCATATAAGGGGTTCTGGAATCCGTTCAGACACTGTGCGACGCTGATTGAATGCCGCATACTTCACAATGTGGAAGTCACATGCTGCATATACACAGGCACCCACAGACATGAAGTACTTTACAGTGAGCCATAGTCAGTGACATGCTTTGAAATTCACAATGGCATCAAGTAAGCATGTTGTGACGAGGTCTTGGGCGAGGGATGGCGTGTCCAGCGTGATGGGCGGACCATGGTGGACCGAAAGGTGGGGTTGGGCATACTCTCGATGTACATTTACAATTCGTCCTTGTCCACGCCTTCGATGGAAACCAGCTCCGTCTCAAAGACTATGCACGTTAGCATAGAGTGCCTCGAATGAGGGCGCCGACTTACTCAGCACGCTGTTTGCAGGAATAGGACCAACGCCCCTCTCGCCATAGGCCCACTCGGGCTGGATGGTCAGCTTCCTCTTCTCGCCTGGGCACATGTCGAGAAGGCCCTGATCCCACCCCTTGATCACCTGGCCTTGGCCGACAGTGAAGCTGAGGGGCTGGCCGCGATTGTATGAGGCATCGAACTCGGTGCCGTCCGTCTCGAGCGTGCCACGGTAGTGTACGTTGATCTTGTCACCAGCGACAGTCTTGCGTTTGCACTCGGCGGGAACGGTCACTTCTGTCTTCAGGTGCTCTAACCACAGGCATTTAGCTAGGCAACAGTGTCCGGACCGACCTGTACGTACCATTGTTGATAATGTCGGCGAAGACGGCGGGAAGGGCGAAAGCAAGGACGGCGAAAAACTTCATGGTCGTGGATACTGAATTGCCAATTGTTAGGAACTGCGTCGAAAAGGGTATCGTTCGAAACTGCAGAGGGAATTGACTTTTGCAGGGCTTGGGGGGTTTGGCGGAAGACTTGCGGACAGATGGGCTGTTGTTGTACTGTATACTCCGTATATTCGGACTATCCGACTATCGAGGGGCTCGTGGTGGAGGTGGCGCCCGGGATCTGTGGGGAACCTCTGCCAAGTGCGCTAGACCGTTCTGGGCACCCTCGCCTTCCCCGTGCCCCCGTTGGAATCGATGACATCAACTCACCCTCTCTTTCCCATCCATGAATCTACTCCTGTGCTATGTACTTACTTGTACTACTCGCTAACACAGTAGTAGTACGACAGATCCATTCCTCTGCACTTCTCACGTACAGTCCAACTTTTATTTTTCTTTTCTTTTCTTTTTCTGCTATCCTATTGACGCTTCCTCCCCGGCCGCCGTCATCACCCATCCACCTCGCTCAGCGACCTGGGTTGCGACCTGTCTTGCGACCACCCTTGTTCCTCTCTGCTATCTCTCCGATATCGCAGCCTTGGAGAAACTCCCCGCCTCAGTAATACAGCACAGTCTCATCAATACTGTCAAAAAGCCCGAGGCAGCTGGGGCGAGTCCAACCTCCCAGAAAGAACAACTAGGCCGGTCCGCTAGGCAGGATCCAGAAGGTGTCACCGCCGGTGCTGGGAACATCTTCAACAAAGTCGCAGCAACCGTAATCCCCATGTCATGAACTAAAATCCATCTTAACCACGATCCACACTTGCCGAGCCAGCCCCAGCCTACCCGTGTGGCCCTAGGTTTGGGTTCTCGCTAGGCCCTATCACAACGCTCCATAGATGTTCACTCCATCCTGGTCCCAGTTTCTCCCAATAAAGACTACCTGGCTACCTAGGTATCTTGAAGAACGACCCATCACCACCAACACGACTTCCTCCGCTGGCACCCGGTTATCATCCTCACTGCTCCCATCTCCTTGTGACCACGGGACTGTCCTCGGCTGCTCACAGCTCGTCAACTCGGCTTTCCTTTTTCTTTTCCTCAATTGTTGCCATGAAGTCATCACGAGCGACGATGCAAGACTCACCTTTCCTCAAACTGCCCTCCGAGCTCATCATTGAGATCCTCAGCTATCTTTCTCTAACCGACCTCCTCTCCGTCGGCCTAGTCAACCGCCACCTTCACCAACATTCGCTGCAGGATACCTTGTACCACAACTTTGTGCAGGCCCATGTTCCCGGGAATAAGCTCACGAAACCTACCGACTCAACATGGCGCGACTTGTACATCACCCACCATCCATTCTGGTTCATCCCCCAACACAAAATCTGGTTTTCGGACCAAGTCCACCTCGGCAAACTCCTCATAGCCAGGTACAACCAGCGCATCAATGCTATCGAAGCGTACGCCCTCGTAGCTGAACGGAAACAACCGGCATTCCTGACTTGGGATTGGAATCCAGAGGCCATCATACATACCTTCACTCCGCGGATCCAGCTGGATCTAAACCATCCTGTTGTACGCTTGGATGCCGCCGCATACGCCAACGCAACGGGTGGAGATGGATACCGATTGCAGAAGGAAATACCCATGCAGCTTTACGACAATGCACCGAGGCCTTCGGCGGGCATACATTCGCGTCTCATGCTCACGAAGCCTTGGCCTACCCACATAACGACACGAGGCACGCCCGTCTGGCCTCCGCTCACCTTGCCGAGCAACGTGCGGACACGCAATGACTCGGCCTCGCATTTCAGAGACCTGAATCACAGGCCGAAACTGCTGTCCGAACTCTCGACCAAGACCTTTAGAACAAGGAGGTGGATAGAGTTCTCTTCTCGCCCTACAGGAGTTAGTATGCGTGTGGGAGAGGATACCCAGACGTGGGCGACGCTACCCGAAGAATGCTACAGGCCGACACCTCAGAAGCCATGGCAGGGCATATGGTGTGGTGATTATGCCGGCCACGGCTGCGAGTTCCTCGCCATTCTTCAACCGGACGACCCAAAACCGCTGCCTGAGAAGGCCCTGTGGGCGATGAGATCGAGGGAACGCGAGGACAGCGTTAGCAGCGACGAGTCATGGAATACGGCTCCCACAGAAATGAGCGCAGGAGGAAACCATGATACTGACATGGCAGAAGCCTCCGATGCCTCGTCCAGCGAAGCAGATACTGCTGCTTTGTGCAGCCGCTCCACACGGGATGAAGCCGATACAGGCTCGAGCCCCGCAGCCGATGGCGGGCAGATATACCGCGGGCGTATCGAGGCCATAAAGCTAACGGGAGATCCAAATGTGCCTCGCGGCGAGTACACCTTCATAGCACCCGACATTGGGCCGCAGGGCCTTGTGCGTGTGGCGACTGAGGACATGTTCAAAGGCGCAAGGATTGTGAAGAGCGTCGGCCACATCGCGGCACAGGGCTTCAGGGATGGTAGGTGACCTTGGGTGGATATCCGTCGAGGAGAGAGCTAACCAACTCTGCCAGATGATTTCATGGTGTCCCAACTTATCCTCATCTCACACAACCGTCTTGCGCAATATTGGGAGACGTTTGGGCACGTCTCGTTCTACGAACGGGTTGACATTGATCAGCATATAAAGGCGACCTGATCGAATTCTATGGAAAGCTGAGTGCCAGATGCTGCGCTATCGCTACTAAGGTGAGGTGTATAATTGTTGCAACACCTCTCGCTTAATCTATGCCTCGGGTTGGGGTTGAGGGGTGCTTGTTTCTACACAGTACAGTACATTTTGTAATCCCGTTGGAGAATCCTCCGCTTTATCGATCTCTTACGATATGTTCCAATGTATCCAGGACTAGTTTCTCTCAATCTGGATTGGCTGTCAAACTCTACCTAACGAAAGATTTCAGTTGCAATGGCCAGGTTACTGTTTATGGCCATGCTTCCAGAACGGGTTTAGGGCGTTTGTTCCTGGAGCCATACGTCATTGAACATTCAAACCGAATTGTGCGCTGCTTTTGCCATCACGGGCCTCATGAATCCGACTCCTCTAAGCAACACAATAATTCAACACCACGACAAGACGCGAGTATCATTTTGCATTTCCTCGGATTTTTGCACGAGAAGGCACTGTGGGACTGACTAATGGCCCGCCACGAACAATACATGCTGCGCGTCACGGCGGGGCATACGTATGACACATCCAAGCATCAAGATGTGCACGTCAACACCGAGAAGCCCATAACCATTTTTTCGGATCACATTGAAGCGAAGCTGCATGTCCGGGTGAAAGACTATAGAGGTTAGTGTGCAACAACGCAACAAGAGTCCCCATGTCGACATCCCACTGATTCCACTTGGTCAGGTCTCCCACCAGGCTCCCCATCCACGTCTCCTTACTTCTCCACGCCTCAACATCCGTACGATCGCTACTCGATAAGTTTTTCATTCAAACCGAAGAGATCCATAGCAGGGCACCACCTCGTTTTCGGTAACGACTTTGCGCATCCGATCCGGGACCGGCTACCCCCTCTTTTCGACAAAGCCTTCAGTATCGTCAAGTGGTGGATAGACCCCGGACTGGACGGCGAGGTCTACGGCGACGAACCTTACCTCTACGGACCTCTTCTCAGCAGCATCAACGTGCTTCGGATAGGTAGCAAGAATCAGGTCACGCTGGAAAACAAAGTAGAAGACCGGGAAGAGGAAGAAGTGATTGCGTACGAGGAAGGCGCAGAAGGCGACGGCATCCCTGTGAGAGAGGAGCTCGGCATACCGTCCCTCGCGTCACAGCGGCAAAAGCACTTTCTGAGGGAGGAGAATCGGCAGAACTTTGAGTTTGAGGAGGGGAGGGAGTACAAGTGCGACTTCTTCAACCCGTATCTGGATTTCAATGAGTTTTCGTTGAAGCTGGGATATGGCCTGCCGGCGATAAGCATCGTCAACTATTGGGACGGCCAGCCATTACGGTAGGTGCCCCATTGATTTCCCCCATTCTCAGTTATACCGCGCGTAGTCTGACTGACAAAGTCCTCACACTCTCAGATATGTACTCAAGGACCGGAGCACAAATACGGAGCTCCTCGTCGTCATCTTCCAGCTGGTCCCGACCGAGGAAGCGAAGGAACAGGGAGCTCAGAGCCCGGAAGAGATGTTCGACTCGGTGCATGGTGGAAAGGAGAAAGCAGACGCAGATGGTACTGACGATTTGGACTAGGCATCGCGCACCACCAATATTACCATTTCACGGGCCCGGGTGGGATGCGGATAATGCAAGCTTTTGATACATGATACACTGCAGTTATGAAGGGCAATACCCAAAGGTCGCTTTACTTGAAGTCAACGCCAAGATAGAGTCTCACAACCTCTTGCACACATCGTCAATGACCTCCTCGGTGGTTGCCTTGCCTCCCATGTCTGGCGTCAGCAGCTTGCCCTCCTCAAGGTTGGCGTCTACCGCGGCATAGATCTTAGCAGCCGCCTCCTCCTCACCCTGGAACTCCAGCATCAGGGCCGTGGACCTGATCGTGGCGATAGGGTTGGCAATGCCCTTGCCCTCGATATCAGGGGCGGAACCGTGGCAAGGCTCTCCGATAACGAAGTCCTTGCCCACGTTGGCCGAAGGCACCAGACCCAAACTTCCAACGAGCGCAGCCGCTCCGTCCGAGAGGATGTCTCCGTACAGGTTCGGAGCGACGATAACATCGTAGTCTTGCGGCTGACGGAAGAGCTTGTAGACCATGCTGTCGACGATCTGCTCCTCCACACTGACCGACTGGTACTTGTCCTGTGCCAGCGCCCTCCTCGACACCTCACGGAAGAGGCCGTCGGTCTGGCTGAGCACATTGCTCTTGTGGGTGATGGTGACGAGCGGCCTGGAGTGGATGCTCGCGGCACCGCTTTCCCGGACCCTCTGTCTCCGAAGCGCAATGTCGCCTGCCATGGAAGCAATGTTCCAGCTCGCCCTTTCGCTTATCCGCTTGATGGCCTCGGCGACCTTGGAGCCGTCTGCGGCCGTGTACGTCTTCTCCTCCTTCACGTAGAGATCCTCGGTGTTCTCGCGGACAATGACGAGGTCGACCGGCGATGCGGCAGTGGAAATCGACTTCACGGGCCTGACATTCGCATACAGCGCCATTCTCTTTCTCAGCGCAACAATCGGGCTTGAGTACCCTTCCGTTTTGACCGTAGGGGAGGACACGGCGCCGAAAAGCGCGCCGTCGCAGTCGCCCTTGAGCGTCTCGACCGTCTTCTCAGGAAGCGCAACACCCTGTTTCTGGAACGTCTCGAAACCCGCGTCCAGATGTGTGAAGTTGAACTTGAGGCCGAGGCTAGAGGGGAGGGCTTCGAGGATACGGCGGCCAGCGGGGATGACTTCCCGACCGATACCGTCGCCGGGAATGAGCGCTGAGGGCCAATTAGAGGAGCAATCATTGAAAAGTTAGGCATTGATGTGTTTACCTATCCGGAGCGTACGTGCGGCCATTTTTGGTGGGTTATGGAAGCTGGTGATGAGGCGAGAGCTTCCTTTGGGCGAAATTTTGGAGCTGCGAGACCGGACCTCAGGAACCCGGAGAGTTTGGATGTTCTCCGGAAACGGCTAAGCTTGTTTGAGTTAGTGCTTTTGGTGACTTTCGACGACACATCGTCCCCGCCCCGGCCGCTCCACTCCCCCAGCTTCTGAATGATGATTATCATGGCTATCTTGTAATACCCCCAAGTTGGCTAAGGGAAGGTTTGTGCTACTGTTCTCATAAAATTGTCAAGACTTTTTCGACATGCGGTTTGACTCCCCAGGCTTGCCACCATGCAAACCACGGACGAGTCTATAAACATCCGTCACTCTTGTTCTCAGACGTATTTACTCCTTCGTTCCGCCCGTTTTCTCAGTATCCTCCTTTCTTTCCTACCTCTGCAGCCTTACTCGCCTGATTTTTCGTCGCCGTATATTCCTCTCACCTTCCGCACGGTACACATGTCATGACGGCGCAGCTCTGGGGTTTCGCACGCGGTTTGGACCGTCTGCCTGTTATAATCCTTTCAACAAGAAGGCGGAAATTGAGAAGTTACGCCCATAATGTCCTGCAAGTTTCATGATCGCGTCGCAATGAGGTCACTGCGCGTCACCCACGTTTCCCTCTGTTCACCGACTGCGAAATACACTGGCGTGCTTTCACGTGGCTCGGAAGGAAAGCTCTCGGGGCGGTCTGGGCTTGTGTATTGGTTCTGTGTCGATGCCGTCAGGAAGGATCACGGGTCATAGCGGTCTGCTTGTAGGTACGGTCAGGCGAGGTCCTTGCCTCGAGATCGTGAAGTATATAATAGGCTCCTCTTTCCAACCCTTTCCCTGCCTTCAACCCCGACTTCTTCCACGCCCCCAATACTTTCCGCTCCTGTTTTTATCATCTCCACTTCGAAAACCTGGTCTCAGTAACCGCCATGGCTATCTCCACCCTCTCCAAGTTTACCCTGGTCCTCTTGACTCTCCTCAGCGCCTTCGTCTTCGCGCATCCAAGGTTTTCCACGGAGGAGATCGCGCAATATAGAGATCTCGTCGCCCGCCACACCGAAGCTCTTGGACGGTGCCTTGAATCGCCCCATCTGAGGGAACTTAACACTCGCATGCTCGACGGCTATGCTACCACTGCGGTAAAACTTCGAAAGGCGCGCGGTCTCGATGAGAAATCAGGTAAGATGTTTGCTTTGGTTTCTTGACCGCTATGCTAACATGACTAGGCACCATCGACCGCCGTGATAAGGGAGCTCTGAAGATGTGGATTGGCAGCCCCGATGAGCACAAAACACAGTCGCCCGATCCACAAGACCTCTGCCACTTTCGCTGGGACGAACCCGTTGGACCCAGCCGAGCAGGTTGCGCTCTCGCACCCGAGAGTATTTATGGTCCATAGTGGAAGGAAGGACAACCCGAGCGTCAAAACATCACTGCCGAGCAGGCGGGTGTTTATATGCGTCTTGCTCTTCAAGTGATTGATATCGCCACATGTAACCCGGTTCCTGGCGCACGCGTAGACGTTTGGCATGTCAGTTATGACTGGAGTGCGGGCGGGGAAACCCGAAAGCTTACCAATTGTAGGCAAATGCACTGGGCGAATACGGACCCGAGCCGACCTCCTTCCTTCGTGGCTGCCAACGTTCCTCAGTTCGTGGCACCGTCGACTTCGACACTATCTTTCCAAGTCATTATCCTGGTCGGTCCACTCACGTTCATGTGCTGGTAAGGCCGGAAAACCAGAAGAAGGTTGCGCATGTTGGCATGCTCTATTTTCCCGACGATCTTCGTGAAGCGATTGAGGTAATACTTTCTTCTGGATCTCCGAGAGACTGCATACTCATGTCTTATGCGTAGGCAACTCCCGAGTATGCGAAGAACCTTAACCCGGTCGTAAGGAACGCGGACGATGCCTTCGCGCCCTATTCGGCGTCGTATCAATACGACCCTTTTGTGCAGTGGTCCTGGCTCGGGTCTAGGCCTGCAGGTAGGCCGCCCCTGCCGATGCCACTTGACTGGGAATGCGTACTAATGGCAACAGATGGTGTATTGACTTGGATAGCTATGGGTGTCAATCTGAGCGCCACCGTTGAACAGCCCCCTAAGAAGCGGAGGCGCAGCCTCTTCGATGCCCATCTGGCTCATGACGGGCGTGACTAAACTTCCGTCCATGATTAAAGGTGTCGGCTCACTGATAGGCACTTCGCGCACGGTAAACCGGAGATCTCAGGCTACCAGACGGTGTTCTGGACGAATGTAGGGTGACAGAAATAGAATATGCAGAGGATATGGACATTCACACTACAACTCATTTCCCTTCTAGCACTTGACTGCTCTTTGTGCATTGTTTACAGCTTGGCCAGGAAGATTCAGTGCAAACCCCAGCTAGCGAGTACCTCGAAGAAGGACGTCGCTTGTGCGTCGGGTTTATAAGCCTATTACTTCATTTTGGTGGCTCTGGTGGCCTTGCCAGTATGAACTTGCACATTGATTCGCATGGTGGAAAACGTTTTCAGGACACGAATACAAACTGTATCGGTTTGGTGCGAGAAAGGGGCTGAAAACAAGCTTTTGCCCTTATCCGATTTAAGCTTTCGTTCGGCTGGTCGGGCCCGCTAGCACTAGTCCGCGTGTAGCGAAGGGGGGAGAAAAGAAGAGCGGGCGGGCTCTCCTTTTCAAACGACGCTACTTACTATTACACCTTCAATTTTTCGAGCTCGTGTCTCTCGTTCGCCTGGAGACATGAACGTCTAACCATCCCATTTATTTCTTCGAGACCATCACTGGCTCTGGTTGGTATCGTTTCACTTTTGTTTCCGTCACCATGGTCGGTCTCATATTGAAGCCCGACCCTGACCTCACATTGCAGGATCAGCTGCTATTAGAAGTGTTCCAATTGCGATGCAGTCCCCAGGCGAATACCAAAGCGGCAGGTCCAGAGGCACTTCAGGTTTCGGAACATGCTCTCAGGAATCAAGCTCATTCCGGCATCGTGTCACATGAAGGTAACTGTCAAATCCTCACGTCGCACCTGGATGCAGGCCTCGCTAATCCTGGGCAGACATTCAGAGACGAGAGCACGAAATCATTAGACATCTCAAGGCGCTGAACGACCCCAAATCCCCTCAATTCGAACCCACCATCTTCTCCTCCATTGACACGGCATCCATCAAATCGCCCTTTCTCCGCAAATGGGTCATCGATCCTTATGTCCGGTGCGCTCGCTCCCTTGTCCGAAACGAGATGGACGTCGTCATGGTGACCCACCTGCTGCTATATGTCACCACCACCATACCTTCCGCCGCTTACCTCTTTTATAATTTCAGATGGTGGCATGGAGTTGCGCATGCCATCATGCAGGCGTATTACATGGGACCGTACACTCTCATGATGCACCAACATATCCACATGCGAGGTATCTTTAAGAAAGAGTTTGCCTGGCTCGATGCCCACTTTCCGTACATCATGGACCCCCTGATGGGACACACGTGGAATAGCTATTACTTCCACCACGTGAAGCACCACCATGTCGAGGGCAACGGGCCCGATGATCTTAGTTCGACAGTGCGGTATCAAAGAGACGATGTGTTGGATTTTCTGCGATACCTGGGAAGATTCTACTTCCTTGTCTGGTTTGACCTGCCACGCTACTTTCTCCGCAAGCGCAAGCTGGATCTCGCGCTTAAATCGGCTGGCTTTGAAATTTCGAATTACATCTTCCTCTACACGGTGTTCACGTACGTCAACTGGCGCGCCACGATAGTCGTTTTCTTGATCCCGCTTGCTTTGATGAGGGTAGCTATGATGCTAGGGAACTGGGGCCAGCATGCGTTCGTCGACGAGACGGAGCCGAATTCCGACTTTCGTTCAAGTATCACATTGATAGATGTTTCTGTGAGTAATTCTTCAGTCATCGACCATGGATCAGAAGCTGACTGGACGGCTCATAGAGCAACCGCTACTGCTACAACGACGGCTACCATACCTCACACCACCTTAATCCCCTCCGACACTGGCGCGATCACCCAGCGGCGTTTCTATCTCAGGCGGACCAATACATCAACGAGCAAGCGCTGGTGTTTTACAACATCGATTATATGATGATCTCGATCAGTCTGCTGACGAAGAACTATGAGCTGTTGGCGAAACACCTGGTGCCGTTGGGCGCGCAGGCGAAGTTGAGCCTTGAGGAGAGGGCGGAAATGTTGAGGAGAAAGACGCGGAGGTTCACCGAGGAGGAAATCGCGATAAAATGGGGGAAAGAGTATGCGCGACTCTAGTTGTCCTGGCCTCATGAGCGGGAATTTTTCGATTATAGGATGGGGAAAAAGCAAGCACAACGGATGTGAATTAATACTAATGAATACACAAATGTTACTTCCAATAATCACCCCTCGTGCTGTTTGTGAAAGTACTGTACACAGTAACTCGGAATGGCAGGAATGAAGGGTAGTGTGCACGGATGACTGGCTGAACCTTGGGATGTCGAAAGCTGACCTCACCTCGGCAGTGCGACTTCTGAACACCTATCGGCAGCATCCAACAACGCCAGTCTCACTCAGCCTTCGCGAAGGAATCCCGCCAACATGCTTATTATTCATAGAACACCCCGAAAAGGCACTCTGCCATTCCGCTGCTCGTTCCTCGCCCTACGAATACATGTCTACATCCCTTGAGCGTCAGTTGTGATGTTTCGCCGAGCGTTTTTGTGTCTGCTATGTTCGACTGTTAAGTGAGTGGTCCTTTGAAGAGGCCCAGTGGTAACAAGCATGTTTCTATCGTTCATGAATTTCCTAAACAGCTTGGTGACAATGCGGGCCTCTTTGTGGGCTCCCCCACGATAATAAGCTTCCCCGTCCGGGGCCCGAGAGGCACAGCCAACATGAAACACCGTCCCAGATCCTTCCGGGCGGCTGAACAACCAGTGTAAGTACGTGTCAAAATTGTGCAGTCTATTCAGCTCATGGGCTTATATCTATATATGAGCCCATGCTTACAACACGGGGGATGACCCCTTATACAGAGGTGGCTCCGCCATTAACGGCCGACTGTGAGTTTCTGGAGAACTCTCTCTACCCTCAATTCTCTAGTCTCTCTGTGCTTTCTGCATTCAAAATGCGTTCTTCGTACTCGCTTCTATTCCTTGGTGCTCTCGCACATGCTCGACCAACACTAAGACCGAGAGAGGGAAGCTACAGCACGAACAACGTACTTGCACAAGAGTATCAACAAAAGTGGTACTCAGAAGCACCAGCACACGTTCAGAATGGACCCGCAATACATCTCGCCGCGACACAGGACACCCCGGGCCCAGGAATCTCACCTTCTCAGTACAAATGTTTTGGCCCCATGCTGAGCGACTTTCCTGCGTACGAGACATGGACCCTGACTTTCGAACAGCTCTGGCAGATCAACGAGCCAGAGATGACGAAGATCAATGGAGGGACGCAGTATAACCAGCTCCTCAAGGATGCCATTCTCGCCCAGTCAAAAAAGAATCACGTCGATCCCAGAATCATACTAGCGATGGTCATGCAAGAGGTATGTCTCCTTCATGAACCCTAAGCCGTCTTCGCAGGCTTACAATCTACAGTCCACGGGCAATGTAAACGCACCGTGCACCGGCCCGGAAACGCGCGACTGTGGCCTCTTGCAAATTCGCTACGGCCGCAAATTCACCGATGCCGACAGCATCGCTGGCATGATCCAGGACGGCATGGAAGGCCTTGCCGCCACAGACTCCCACCCAGCTTGGCCCGGTTACGTCAACTATTTCAACCTCGACCGTGCCGATATGAGCTGGATCGATGCGATATGGGCAGGGAATCCGTTTCTGGCGGCACGGCTGTATAATATGGGTTACCTCGACAGTGAGGATCTCTCGCAAACGAGGGACGCGAGCTACAAGAGTACTTATGCGCAAGATATCGCTGCCAGGTTGTTTGGGTGGGATGGGCTTACGCCGAGGACCTGTTAGTCAAGGGGAGAGAAAGGTCGTGAGTGTATCCCTTCCCTTCTTGTATATACTCGGAGATGAAGGCTTTATGTTTTCATCTTCCTCTTTTGCACATGCGTCGAATTATGTGGAATGGCTTAACGCTGGGGATCATGCTGTAACGTGGGAGTTCGTCCGGCCTAGGGACGCTGTGGTTGATGCGGGTTGGAGACCTGCTTACGAGAGGGTATTCAACGTCATCTTTGCATTCCATTCTCGCAGTTGTCTGCGGATACCAGTTATATCTTTCCTCTACCGGGGTTTTCATTGTTGAAAACCGTAGCTGCAGGCGCTCAGCCGCTTGCCAACCACACCTCACGTGCCGTCCGAAACACATCTGCAACGTCTTGGCATTCACATCCACGATTTCAACATCTTCGTGAATGCTAATATGATCCATTTTCGCTTCTTTGCCGTCCTTTATTCCGAAAGCCTTGATCTTTGTTTTGATTTTTTCCATCTTCGTTTGGCCTTGCTCTTCTTCCCGGATCGTCAACTACATGTCAAGTGGAAGGAAGCCACATTGACGCATTGCCATCGCCATTCGAACATTGTCGATTAGTAAATCAGCACCCAGAGAAACCCTGGGAATCCAATCAATCAGTGAAGCCAAACACCACTCTAGACTCCAACGGACGGATTGTTCGGCCAAATCATCTCAAAGATACCTCCACTTCTTCCTCCAATACCCATCCGTTCACCTCTCCATACCCACGGCCATGTACCTCCCTCACATATTCCTGGCCCGCTCCAATGATGGCGACGACCGCTTCAACCACAACCGCGGCTTCGACAGCCCCCACCGCTTCGACCGCGGCCGGCCTGACCAAGAAACAATCATACTCCTCTTCACGCTCTTCGGCATCCTCCTGACGCTGCTTCTCATGTTGGTGCTTCTGCTGATTCAGGCGTGGGCGGTTTGGAAGTTGGCAAGGGTGGTGGTGAATGCTGCTGAGGAGGAGAAGGGGGAGGGGAATGAGGTGGGAGGCAAGATGATGGAAAGGGGGTGTGCCGGGTTCTTGAAGGCTTTGGGATTAAGCAGCAAGGGGAAAGAGGGAGATACATGAGGGACGAAGAGGCAAGGAGAGCTCTGCTTGAGTGGGCTGGCGAATGTGCATGCATTGTATTGTGAGAATTCAATTTGGGAGTCCATTCTTACATACGACTTGGAATGACACAGTTCTTAGAACCGGAAGAAATTGCCATTTGGAATGTTACTCGTGGTCCGGTGAGAATCCATGTACCGCATACCCTATCGTACCCAGGTTCAGTCCAAGAAGGGCATAACCTTCAGATGAGATGCCCAAAAAATGCCATCTTTACCCAAAATCATAATAATACCACTCCACGATACAAGCGTATCAATCCCTCGTGAAATACCGCATGCCTCTTGCAAACTGCTGTTTGTCGCGTGGCAGACCAAACGCCGGAACAATACCGCTCAAAATGCACCAGTGTCTTAGCGAAGAAAAGCTGTATCAAGTAAATCATACTGGCCTCCAGTTTCCTGGATGTACTCAATACCCCTGAGCCGGTACAAATTATCAAGCATTGACAGGGCCTACGCCAGAAGGCCCTTATTTTCAACACCAAGCTCATCTATATCCTCCTCAGGATCAACAAAGTCGTCCACGAAGCCCGAGTCGCGCGGTCTCGATTCCTTGGTACGTCCAAGAAGGTCACGCTTCTTCTTGCTGACCTTGATTTTGTCATTGACCTTCGCAATCCTGCCGTTGGCCACCTTCTTCAGATCGATCCCGTTTGTTCGGACTTCCAACCCCTTGACCTTCATCTCAGCGACAGCCTGAAGGGCTTCAAGTTTCCGCCTCCTGGTTTCCTCAGCGAGCGCCTCTTGCTGAGCAATAGCCCTGCGGTTGGTGTCAAGCAGCGCATTGATCGTGTTCTCGGCATCTTCTGCTTGGAGACGGAACCGTTCCTTGAGCTCCTCGACGTTAGCCTGGAGCAGGGTGATGGTTTCGGCACGCTGTGCACCGACGACTTGGAGCTCCTCAATCTGGCGCTCCTTGTCGGCCACCTCATTGGCGTGATCCTGTGCACGCTGTTCCATCTTGGCCGTAAGTTCATCAATGATGGATCTCTGCTCGTTGATGGTTCGGTTGAGTTCCCCGACCTTCTCGCGGTGCGCGTTCTCCATATTCAAGAGCTCCATAGCCTCACTGGTCACACGCTCCTCCAAGGACTGGTTCTTCTTCTCCAACTTTGCAACCTTCTCTTGCTCTGCGAGGAGATCGCGTTCTAGTCCCGCAATAACGTCCTCACGCTCGGTAATTTGCTCCTCATGGATCTTCGCGGTTTCCTGGGCAGTCTCCTCCTGGCGACGGACCACGTCGTTGAGTGCATTACGCTCATTGGTCAGATCCGTGACGGTCGCTTGGAGAGCATCAATCTCGACCTTGGAACGGGCCTCTAGAGCTGTATAGCGCTGTACTAGTTCGTCCAGCTGTGCGTTCAGGAGCTCAATTTGCTGCTCGCGATCGGCTTGAAGTGTGGATCTAGCAATCTCCAGCTCTTTACACTCCTGCTCAAGCCGCTGAAGCTGTGCTTCAAGATCCGAGATTTGAGTGGTAAGGTCCGCTACCTCCTGCTCAGCCAGCTGCCGCCGCTCAGTTTCTGATTCTAGGGATTCGTTCAGCTCATTCTCACGAGCCTGAGACTCCTCCTTTAGCTCGGCCAGCGACGTCTCCCGTTCCTGCTGAACCTGGAACAACTTGGAGCGCAACTCATTCGCCTGCACACCCAAGTTGTGAAGCTGCGATTCCTTGGCTTCAATCTCCTTGTTTGCATCTGCGAGGTCGTTTTCGGTCTGTTGGCGCTGAGCTCGCTCGGCAGTCAGATTCGTACGTAGATCCGCAAGCTCCCTCTCCAGATCAGCGAGGTTGTCCTGGAGGTTCTCAATGGTGTTGGCACGCTCGTACGCCGTCTCGGCGTTTTCGTCACGCTGCTGCTCTGCATCGGCACGTGCAGCAATTTCCTGCTCAAGTTGTTGCTGAAGAAGGTCTGCTCTTTCCGAGACATTCGAACACTTGCTAGTCAGATTGTCGATGCTCTCTTCTAGAGCGTCGATGTCTCGATCTTTCTCCAGAAGTGCCTCCTCGGCTTCAGCGAGAGCTGCAGCTTCTTCCCTGCAACGATTCTCAAGATCCGCAACTGTCTCCGCGTGTTCTATTTCCATACTGGCGATGCGGTCGGCATGGGTCTGCTCCAGCGTCTGGATGGCTGAGGTAAGATGCTGGACTTCCTCACGATATTTGTCCATGGCGGAATTAATGCGCTGGATGGCGGTCTCCTTATCCTCGAGGTCATCCGTAAGTCCGTGGATCGTGGCCTCATTCTCTTTCAGCAACTCGCGCTGACGTTCCTCCTCCTCCAGATGTCGAGTGATTTCGTCGGCCTGATCCTGGATTTGACGCTCCTGCTTGGCATTGACTTCTTGAAGCTTCTTGACTTCATCTTCGAGCTCGACGTTGCGATCATTTTCATTCGCAAGAACGCCCAGAAGAGTCTCATATTGACCCTGAAGGATCGTAGTCTTTTGATTGAGCTTCTCGCTGAGTAGCGTCTTCTCGAGGAGTTCGGCATTCATACCCTTGAGCTCTTCGATGAGCTTCTGGAGGAGATCGGCATTGTTGAACCCAACCGTAGAGCGCGAAAACAGCTTTTCGTACTCTTCACGTGTGTCTTCTAGAATGTGTCGAAGGGCAATGAGAATCTCTGCAGTAGACGACCCAGCCTTGATGAAGTCCAAGTTCTGCAGTTCTATCGTTATGCACCGGAGGGCACCCTGCGCATCGGCCAGACGGCGCATGAGCGACTCAATCTCCGACTCATATCGCTGAACTGCTTTGTCGGAAATTCTATCTGGGATATCGATGGAGACGCTGGTTTGGGAGGTGTCGGCCAGCGTATCGCGCGTGGTTTCAGGCTGGGATGATAGCGAGTCGACAGTAATCTGGCTTGCCTCCAGGGCTCGAGAGGCGAAGAAGCCATTCGGAATTGGTGACGCCCGCATCTTATCTTCCGGAATTGCAAGCTCATCAGGATCCACAAGCAGGAGGCCTTGGTTCAAGTCTTCGTCCTCGTCATCCGACACGTACGTGTCAGCTTGAGCGAGAATGGTGGTATCGGGACTGTAGATGGACGAGTTGCGCAGATTCTCAATTTCCTGCTGGGCAGCCGCAAGCTGGTGGCGGATATCCTCGGTTTCGTCTGCGGAGAGGGCAAGGTTCCCCAAGCGGCTCGCTTCAAGCTGATATTCTAGTTCGCTGATACGAGCTTCCCTCTCCTCCAGCTGACGCTTGACGTCCAGAAAGGCCTTGCGGAGCTTAGCATCCCGCTTCTTGTGATCCTCGATGTCGTTCATCTCCTCGCTAAGGTGGTTTCGGCGCAGGCGGAGGCGGGCATGGCGATCCAAGACGGCCTGCAAAGGAGCAAATTGTACCTCGTTACCCTCTTCGACATCGTCCAGCGCGGTTGCATGAAGCTTCGCCGGCATGGACATGCGAGGACGGCGCGAGGTCCGAACCGGCTGGCTGGCGGCGGCGGGCAGGCCATGATCGTCGGGGTTCTCTTCGTGTGTTGTCAGGGGTTCGGAAAATCGGCGGCGGGTACGCTCAACGTTTGAGGAGACGAGTCTGATGGTGTCGATAGGCTCCGACGGGGAGACGGGGTCTTCTACTTGGACCTGGACATGTTTTACGCGTTTGCTGGAGCTCGCCTCAAGAGGGGGCGAGGCGCGTCGCTTCATTGGGCTGGTCGGGGCGTCGAGAGAAGCTGCTTTGCTCTTGCGGCCTTTACGGCGACGGGAAGGCTCGCCGGAGCCTTGTGAGTGGGAGGCCAGGCCGCTCAGGCGGGCCATGGTGGCTGGGGAGTATGAAGCTGCGCGCTCGTCTCGCAGACCGACAGGGTAAATAAATGTCGAGCAATGCGAGAAGCTTTGGGTGTGAGCAAGACACGTAAGTAAAAAGGTTCCAATGCAAGACAGTTGGATTCAAAATGACAACCGAAAAGCCAAAAATGGGATGCCGAGGGTGGGGTTGGGAAGTGAAGGAAAAAGGCGTGGTGGGAAATGTGGAAATGTGGAAGTGTGGAAATTAATGGAGGAGGTTGGCAGCCTGGGGGGCGCTTTGCTACGTCAGTTCTGGGTCATGGCACGTGCGCCTGAAATACTCCAGCTCCACCTGGGCACAGTATGAAAAACATTTCGGTCTCCTGTTCCACCATGAGTGACGTCTACGTGTGTTATTGCATTGGTAACGTGACTTCTTGCTCTGATCGGACACAGTTTGGAGCAACAGTGAATGTTTTACATCACGTGCACCGCACGACATTGCCGATGGACTGCTTCCCCCATGGCAACTCTTCTCTTCTCAGCGCACCTCCTCAACGGCGCAGGGTTTCCGTTGAAAAGGAAACATACTAAGGACGCTAAACTTTTTTTAGGCCATCTAAAGCTCTACGCATTACTAGTTACCGTTCCTGCAACCAACCGTATCCTGCCCGCGGACATGAATAATGTCCTTCGCATACGGATGAAGCAGAATCGCCCTCCTCTGAACATGGCCTTCACGCTTATGCTTACCACGAGCATTCCCCCCTCGCTTATGGACACCTTTGCAGTCCAAATCTCCAAGATTGAGCACCTCACTCGCCTACAACTCTCAGTCCAAGCTTCCGTGGGCAGCCCTTAAACATCTCATTCGGAAATCTCAAATGGAGCCTGGGCCCACATGTCTTGGCTGCTTACGACAGGCCAATTTCCTTACCCTCCTTTCGTCCCAACTTTCCATCATTGCACCATTACATCACCTTATATACTAGCCCACATATACCACTAGCCGCCATGCTTGTCTCGGACGAACATCACAAATCCGCCGTTGCGGACATCGCGGAAAAAACACGCCAGTTTCATCAGTCGAGGACTCCGTTCCGCATCTATCATGGCTCCACACTCTCCACACGGGTTTCGGCTCGAAAACGGGACCAAATCATTGACGTCAGCGCCTTGAACCGTGTCATTCATTTTGATGAATCCCGCAAACGAGTCCTCGTGGAGCCCAATGTGCCAATGGATGCTCTAGTCACTGCAACCACAGCCCACGGCCTTCTTCCGCAAATCGTCATGGAGTTGCCCAACATAACTGTTGGAGGCGGCTTTTCGGGAACCTCTGGAGAGAGCAGCTCCTTTCGCTATGGTCTTTTTGACCGCACCATCAAAGCTGCCGAGATCGTGCTTGGTAACGGCGACGTGGTCTGGGCTTCTGAAGACGACCCGGAGACCCGCGAATTGCTACTTGGCTGTGCTGGGAGCTGCGGCACTTTGGGTATCATCACGCTCTTGGAAATGCAGTTGGTTGAAGCGAAGAGCTATGTGGAATTGATTTACATTCCTGTTTCTAGTGTCCAGGAGAGTCTGAGGGTGCTGGAGGACGCTGAAAAAGACCCTTCAGTTGATTATATGGATGGGATACTGTTTTCTATGAACAGCGGAGTTATCATGATTGGAAGACTGACAGATACCCCTCTTCCGGAAAGGAAGCCACAAACATTCGACAAAGCAGCCGATCCGTGGTTCTATCTACATGCGGAAGCCATTCTCAAAAGGACACTACACGGTAACACGCCCTACAAGGAAACTATTCCGGTAAAGTCCTACCTCTTCCGCTATGACCGCGGCGTTTTCTGGTCAGGCCTGCGAGCATTCAAGTATTTCATGACCCCATTCAACCGCTTGACACGCTACCTACTTGACCCTTTCATGTACACTCGCACCATGATCCACGCCCTCCATCGTTCTGGTCTCTCCTCCCAAACCATCATCCAGGATCTCGCCGTTCCTTACCGCAACGCCGAAGATTTCATCCGGTGGACGGACGAACGCACAGGATTGTGGCCGTTGTGGTTGTGTCCTGTGAAACCCTCACCTCCTGACGCCAAGAACTTCTCAATGGGCAAGAACATCGGGCAGGATATGCTGCTAGATGTTGGGATATGGGGAATGGGTCCCCGAGACCCACACGAATTCATTCGGCTGAACCGCGATTTTGAGGCCAAAGTGGAGGAGCTTGGGGGCTTGAAATGCCTCTATGCGCACGCCTATTACACGGAAGACGAGTTTTGGCGCATATACGATGAAGACAGGTATATGGCTTTGCGGCGGAGGTGGCATGCGGAGTCCTTACCATCTGTGTACGATAAAGTAAAGGTGGACTTGAAGGGCGTTGCCGGGGGTGAGGAAGTCCACCGCAAAGAATCCTGGGTGGAGTGGGCGAGGAGGAGGATTTGGGATATCTATCCATTGGGAGGGTTATATGGAATCGCGAGCGCAACGAAGGGACTGTTGGTACAGAGTGACTTTCTGTTGAAGAAATAGATGTATACGCCTTTCTTCCCGGTTCAACAAGCACAACTCCGCCCTCGGATGGCCCTCTTTCGGATCGCTTACACTGGGGTAGACACTGGGTTTTGCGAAAGCAGAGCCGTTTGAACCCAGATTTGCCCCAGATATTCCCACGTACATATGCGGCCATGCGCTGGACTCTACTTCGAGGTGAGAAAGCGTGTTCTCCTAGACTCTATTTACTACAAGGCAATGGGTGACTAATAGTTAAACGCTGTGCTTCGTCAGCACTTGTCAGGCACAACTCATCGCATCACCATGAGGCTCCACGCTTCCATCTTGCGCAACTCGAATCTATCCGCGCGTGCTCACCAAGCTGCCCGGCTAACATTTTTCCGCCTTTGTCAACCTATCACAAACGCATGCGGGCCCTTTCGAGGCCGTTACCTCTTACCAGCACGCGGGTATCGTTGGTGAAGATCCATATTCCACAGGGGATACCTATCTCCAAAGCCTGACAAACAACTTATCAGCAGCCCTCCTTGGCGCGGGATTCCCAGTCGCCTACCCTGATGAGTAAGACAGGGTCTTGCTTACAATGCAGAGCCGCTCCACCTTAGATTGCAGACAATACTCCGTACGATGTCAAACGAGTCGCTACGGGACTGGATCTCGGATCTAGGTCTCGGGTACCCAATTGGCCGCAGAGCGGTAGTATGCTCTTACCTCTGGCACAGTTTTTATCAAAGGCCGCTTTGGGAGTAGGGCAGTGTAACTTCGCGGCAAGGTCTAGGCTTGAGTTGTATACGCCACGACTGCGGCGGCGCCAGTCCCTGAGAGTCTGTCTTCCTTACGGCGCTGGTGTCTCCGGGATAAACCCAAAACCGCATACCAATACATTGGCTGCTATCCGATGAGTGTCAATTGTTTCTCAGACGTAGGCCTTTGTCGGGGATTTGCAATATGCAGAAGAGAAGGGTGCATGGGACGTATAGGAGCAGATGGAAAAGTATAAGACGAGGACATTCCTGGCCTTTGGGACTGTATCCTATCCAGCCTCCAGTTCCCAGTTTCTCGGAACAAAAGCACCACTGTGGAAACACGAAAACCAGCCTTTCAAGATGAAGTTCCTTTCAAGCATTGCCCTTGTGGCCGCCGGCCTCTCCAATGCCGTTTGCGGAGATGGTATATGTCGGTCCGAGACTCTGCTCAACTCTTCTAACACCCTGTAGCTGTTCCATGGGAGCGTCTGGACAAGAACAATTCCGTAAGTAGAATTTCTCCAGCTGACCGAGAAGGATCACGGCTCAGACACGCAGGTCCTCATTGTTCTTGATCTCCAAGTTGGTCTCTATCACACGGCTCGAGATTGGGATCCGACGCTGTACCGGGAGAACATTCTCGCCCATGCAGCGCTGGGCAAGCTGTTCAACCTGCCGACCATTCTGTCCACCTCGGCGGAAACTGGGCCGAATGGCCCGTTGCCTAAAGAAATCTTGGAGATGTATCCTGATGCTCCCCTCATCAAGCGCAACGGCGAAGTCGAGTACGCTTCCCCACACACTTCAAACATCTTTTCAACCCTGCTAACATTGGCACTAGTGCCTGGGACAATGCCGAATTCCGCGAAGCCGTCAAAGCCACCGGCAAGAAACAGGTCATCGTCGCCGGCATCACGACCGACGTCTGCACGGCGTTTCTCGCCCTCTCCCTGCGTGCCGCAGGCTACTCCGTGTTCGCCAACATTGAGGCTTCAGGCACGTACACGCCGCTCGTGCGCGACATTGCCAACTCGCGCATGCAGCAGGCGGGCGTGCAGCTGGTGAGCTTGTTCGCTATTGTGTGCGACTTGATGCGCGATTGGAGGAATACTCCTGGTGCCAAGGAGGTCCTGCCATGGTTGGATAGGTATATGCCGGTTTATGGGTATATTGCTAGGGGTCATGCCGCAGCGGTGGAGAATGGGACAACTATTCCTGGTGAGGCGGAACTGATCTAGGGAACCCGTGGATGGCGGGGGAGCATAGAGAGGCTATTGGGAAGGAAGAGGTGACGTTAGAGGGGAGATGAGTGTACGAGAGTAAGGAGGAAGTTTAGCCAATACCGGGATCTGCATTGAGAGCATCGCGGAGCCGACGGTACGCAGTTTATTATGCATCGGTTGTGAGGTGTCAAAAATCGGAAGGTAGTGCACACTAAGTAGCCGCGTTTACTGCACGACACATATATATAAACGACGTCACTTCCGGTTTTGCTTTGGACAATGCTCTTCTTAACCTAGATATTACCTTAGGGTGCAATTGCATAGATATGTAGATAAGAAGCTTCTACTTACGTAGATGCGGCAGGTGTTGCTATTTAGCTAGGAAGTTGTGACTAAGTCCCCTGCATAGGTTGGTCATTATATAGGGTTGGCATGACTTCCCTCGAGCCTCAGCTGTGGAGGATCTAGAAGCCTACCTTAGGTTCTTCTATCGCCTCAACATCTTCTACGCTTTATTCTGACCTTAGTCTTTGCGGCGCCGGTGCTTCACATAGTAGAACAGTTCCGCGTAAAAGGATAATCAATACTGCCTATACATGCAAAGCGCCCAAGCCCATGCGTGCCTATTTCATCGTCCAAGGTCATAGCCACCTCGTTTGCAGCAACCTCTCCTCAGACCTCAACATCAACCTCTCAATCTCGTCCAGCCCCCTCCCCGTCACCTCACTCCTCTCCATCCCCGCCAACAGCTGCAAACTCCTCCGGATATCCGCCAGCAACTCGCTACGTCCCGCATGTCGCGGAAGAAGCCATCGCTGTCGACACAAAGGACACGCATGGCTCCAAGCGTGGTTTTGGCGGATAGACCGCTCCACGCAACGGCGACCCAAAACATGCTGGCATGGCCCACAGTTTATTATCCTGAGGGGATACTCTGGGTCACCTTCGCCAATGTCGGGATGGGTGCACTGTTCACTGTAAGTGTATGGTTGCAAGCATATGGGGCAGTGGTCTTCGTCTTCGGGCAAGGATGCAAGTGGAACGGGTTCCGTATGGCGGGAGAGGAAGTTCTGGATAATGAATTCTGGGATCCTGTCTGGCATTGCGATGCGAGTCAGATATGTTATATTCTTTTCGAACGAGGAAGATGTATTATCATGAATGGGAAGTGGCTCTGATGGTTTTTTGAGTGCCGGGAGGGGAAAGAGAAGCGGTGGGAAACCCCTTTTATATTCGGGAGGCACGTCATCATCATGCATGCGACGTACATGACATTCAATCCGGTCTACGCATGGCATTGTCGCTGAAGTCACCACTGACCAGCTGTCACAATTCACATACTGCCTACATCCTCATTTCACGTCTGGCCGAACAGCCCCGTGCACTTATTCTGTGGGCTGGGTTACCTGTTCGCCGCAAGTTACTGAACTACAATCTGTTCAGGTCATTGGGAAATGGGCTTCACGGCTGGTTACATCTGAACAGAGGCGCTGTAGAACCGGTTACAAGCGCGATCATATCCATGCGCCTGCTAGCTGTTCAGTCGGATGCAGAAGCCTGCAGTAACGTCACCTCTGCTGGATAACCCTCATCAGAGCAAGCCTCGTGCGCCAGTTCCCTACAATCCGATCCAGATCCGCCACAGTGAAACATTTTGCAAGGCCTCACCCACCTTCCGTATAGAAGCGATGGCATCGAACTTTGTAGATTGTAAAACCGTGACGAAACTATTGGGACATGCGACTAGTGAGTATTTCACAAGAACTTGAGATACTGGCAGAGAGGCTTTGTGATATTCATTAGATGCTGATATGGAAGTAATTGTGGAGAGCATGCATCGAAACAGAGACATGTATATGACTCCTGAGTGTGCTTGAGAGGTTTGGAAAGCCTAAGACTTGCTGCCTGGTTGGGACGTCTCTGGCCGCCTCATGATCTGCTCAACCCGTCATGCGTAGCACTTGAGGGAACGCGCGCCCGTGAGGGAACTACCCGAAATGGTTGCATGAGTGCTGCTCGCAGGTCTGCATCATCTCCTCCACTCCCTAGTTGATTCCATAGATTCTCAACAGCATTCTCAACTTCCTGTACCCGTAAGGTGAGCCCATCCCTCGCTTCATCAATGTCAAGAGTTAAGAGCATCCGCTCCAGGAAAGCAATCGCCCTGTTGAGCTTTCCTCTATTGTCAAGTCGATCCTGCCGCTGCACATCTGGGAGTTCTTCCCTCTCTTCCGGCAGCTCCTGCTGTGCGGCACGAGGTGTTGCTTGTGAGCCAGTCAACCGCAAAAAGTCCGTCCTGGGCTGCACGGCAATCCCCGTCGGAGCCATCTCGTGAACAGAGTAGACGTATGTCTGCGGAGGTTCTGGAAAGTAGTTGAAGACCTCCCGTTGCTCAGGACCTCTCCCGGGCAGGTTCGCCACCTCCCTATTCCTCGCCGTTAACCTTACCGCCTGAGGAACCTCTATTCTCACAAAGTCCACTCCTTCTGCGGATCTAGTATCGGCCATTAAGTCCCCAGCGTCTGTAGTGACCAACTCTACACCGGCCCCGATTTCCTCATCCAGAACCGCTTCTTCATGGTCGAACCACTCCTCTCTACAGGTAGGGCACTTTGTGCAGCACGGTCCTCCGCTGCGGAAATGCATTTCGATGCAGCGGCTGCCAAAGACGTGCCTGCATCTACTTCTGGGATGCTTACTCCGCACCGAGACGGGATATTCGCCGGCGCCGCCTAGATTGGCCGTAGTCGTCGCACCTTCGAAAGTGGAGGTCCAGAGCAGACCATGAAGAGGACTGTAGATGAGCTGCTGGGCGTAAGGCTCGAAGCAGATTGGGCATGCGCGGTCGGTGGGGGGGAGGTCGGAGGGAACGAGACCGGTGAGACGCAGGGTGTAGTCTTGGATTTCTCGATCCGTGGGCATGGTGGAGGGGTCAGCGCAGATTGTACGCGAAAAGTTTCGGGAGGAGGCGTGCCCCGCACATTTGAGCGGTATTCGAAGTCTAGCCGTTTGAGAAGGGTGGTTCCGGGGTTTGGCGTATTCACGGTATGTGTGAACGGTATGAGGTCGAAGTGACGTAGAGTCTGATTCACTGTCTGTGAAGTGTTTTCGGCCTCGTGGTGGCCATGCTCATGGCAACCTTGGAAGGACCGTCAATGTGTGCTAAGTCCCTGGGACTGGATATGTCGTTGGCGTTATCGATTTGCTTGCATTCGCCTTTCTCGTTGTCGAGAAAGCCGCAGCATGTCGCTCTGTGAAAGCGATGGAGCTGGTTGGACGAAAGCGTCGTCTCACATGTCAACCAAATCGGTTTTCTGTGAAACGCGAAACGGTTTCGATTGAAAGGCTTGTTCTGACTTCGTGCCCCTATGCCTGCTCGCAGTTCAAATCTCGTCATGGAGAAATGCTTCTGCTTGACCCTAGGGGCACCGTGAATGCTGCGACGTGATGGGACAACAAGCATTGGCCCTATATGTCGCAATTGGCGCTTCCCCAGGAGCTTTTAGCAATACTCTGTACGCATTCCAACTAGATGTAATTCCATGCGCAGGATGCTTTCCCGTGATGGTGTATGCTGGATTAGCTCCACGCTGAGGAGAGGCAGAGGAGACGCCGTGATAGCTATAGGGTTAACTGCCAAGACTTTACCACTGGGGAAAGCGAAGGAAGCATCATCGCGAACAACCACTCATTCCACGACAACGCATCGCCCGTCACGATACATACTGTAGTCCACTACCTGTTCTCGCCGACGAGAATGCCACCATGCAGCCGTGCCAGATACGGAGATGCCGCACCGCTGACCACACTGGAGCAGCACTTCCACCTTTCACCAGCTTTGTGTTGAGACTCCAGGGCTCGCGACAACAGTACGATTGAACCACTGCCTTTGTCGTGCAGTGCGAGCACGTACTAACTTGACGACACCACATCTACCAGCTCTTCTCGCCGTTCGTAGGGCTTGTTTCGGTTTCAAGGCGTATTAATCGTGCGCACGTCGATAGATCCAGCCTGGAGGTGTGTTTGTCGTCTTCCATGTGGTTTTCACTACGCTGGCTGCTTTCTCCAACAAATACATAGATCAGCTCGACACCTGCCGCATTGGTCGGGTCCATGTCATTATTCAGGGTTGCGCGCGGGGCGACCATCATTTCCGAGGGTGTGAGCTTGGACCTTGGTGATGGACTATTGAACACTGGCCCTGGTTCCTGGAAGAGAGTCCAGCAGAAGAACCACTTGCTTGATGGACGATAGACAACCGGCGATCCGATGTTGATCGATGCGAGCGACTCTGCGAGCCTCGAGGAGCCCGGGGAAGCGCCATCGTCCCTCTTGCGACATTATCACAACGGTCCACATGATCGTCCAGCTTCTTCTAATAAGGTTTTTCCATCTGTCCAATTTTCGTTGACGGCTGGGCTGCGGCAGTGCGACCTCCTTTCATCAGCCCGTTACCAGGGCAGATGCTTTGGACCCTTGGCCGATCCTCCCCGTTCCTTCAAAGTCCCCCATGGACGCCCGGTAGTGGCTTTCTCAAGAGATGGATGAAAGTGGAGCATGGGCAAACACCGCAACGCCCCAGAACACGACGTGGACCTGATGGCATATCGCCCGGGAGCAAAGTCGTGGAGGGCTTCGGTGAATATCGGTACTTCTGGACAGGAGAACAGCATGGTCATGGTCATTGACCAGTCCAATAATGGTGGACCCCGGTGGGACAGCCCGGTCAGGCACCGCACGTTGGTTGGAGCGCTACAAGGGAACTGAAACGGCGTTTGCTGGGGCATGGTGCAGCAGCCAGCCAGGGCGTCCCCTTTGCCATCATTGGGCAGTCCGTATTCGAGCCCCTGACTGCACATTCACGGCCCGCAAGCGTTCATTTTTAGTCGTTCGCTTACTGTTGCTCTCGACGTGCCTGTCTGGCCGCTGTGCGCCCCCTGGGCTTTGTGCCTTGTGCCTGTCTCCAGTGTTTCTCCCCTCTCGACGAATCGCGACGCATGCCCTGCTGCCCAGGGCCAGGTGGCAGGACACGCGCCTGGGCCTCGTGTGCAAATGAAAGGAGTGCGTCGCTGCAAATGGACGAGATCTCGGCGAGCCACACGGGCGGAGATGATGCCCTGCTCCTCCTTATAAAAGCGCCTGGACGGTCCCCCCGTCGCGGGCTGTCACAAGTCTGCGACTTCGACAACCACTCGTTCACCTCGAACATCACGCTCCTTTGAGTTCCTTTCGGGACTGTACATTCTTTTACAGCACTGTTTAGAACAACAACTCCACCACCACCAGCGAAACCACCACCACCCCTATTCGCTCTCTCTGTCGAAGCCCTCCAGACGACCCTTTCACACACTTAACAACTGTCACTATGGTTTCCTTCAAGACTCTGTCTTTGCTCGGCCTCGCCAGTTCCGCCATCGCCGCTCCCACTGCCGGACGCCCCGGCCACAAGAAGGTCGTATGGCATACCGTCATCCACACTGAATATGTCACTATCTATCCCGGCAAGCCCACTGCTGCCCCCGCGCAGCCCACGGAGCAGAAGGCCCAGCCGACTACCACCCTCGCCTACCAGGCACCGCCGCCTCCCCCTCCTCCCTCCTCCACCAAAGTCGTTGTCGTGACCCCGACACCGGTCGTCAAGGAGCCCGAGTACCAGCCTCCTGCCAACGCCGGTTACATGGCCACTGTTGACGAGTGGCGTGGCAAGCTCGGTCTCGCCAAACTGGCCGTGGACGCACAGCTCGAGGCCAACGCTCTCAAGACCTGCAAGGACGGCAACGGCCAGATGGTCCACCAGCTCAACCCCGGAACCATGGGCCAGGTCCTCGCTCCCGGCGGTCCCGAAGACTTCTACCACGTCTTCGTCGGCGGCTGGCTCTGCGAGCGCCCCGACATGCCCGGCCTGAACGGCGTCTGCGCCGAGGCCTCCAAGGGCTGGTACTACACCAGCACCGGCCACGCGGATATCCTCGTCTCGGACAAGTACAAGACGATCGGCTGCGCCAACTACAACGGAATCTGGTCCTGCGATCTTGGCTATTGACAGGCATACGTCGCGGCCATGGATGAATTTGACGGGTTGCAGAGCAACGGAAATTCTGACTGTGATCGCAGCAGAACTGGGGATGCTTATGTGAAAAATAGCTTGGAGATTTTATCTAGCCTCGATCGGCAATGGAGAGATTTCGATCTCGATGTCCTTCCCTTCTTTGTTCGGTCCTTGTTTTGCTTCTGAGCCTAGGCTCACCTTCGCTTCTTGCGCCTTGGGCCTGCGCACTGTGCGGCGGCTATACCGGTAGTTGTAGCTGTTGCAATTTATGCCTTGGTGTGATTCCGTGTGAGTCGCGCCTTTTTTATTTGCCTGTGTTGCTTGCTCTTTTGCCTGTGCGTGCTGTTGAACACCGTCCACTGCGGAGACGGGTGATTGTGATGTGGCTGAATTTTCGCAATGGTGAGATCAGGGCTCCGTGAGTGTCCGCTCTGACGTGATGACGGAGTTGGAGAGACAATTGTCTTATAAAAATAATCAGTGTGCATATGATGGTGGCTGACGGCTGACTGGATGACGGGTGTTTCTTGCATATTGCTGATGGTTGTTTGCGGATAGGCCCAGTGGTTTGGGTTGATAGGGTAGGGTATTCGGTTAGAGCAAAAGTCTCCTCATTCATGTCAATCTATGCTAGATACATCCACTCCAAGGCGCACGCAACCCAGGAACTTTTTACCTCTGCGGATTGAGATACCGGACGAGAGACTGTTCGTTCGTACGTCTTCGCACACTCCTCGCAAGAGACTGGACTACATAACGGTAGATTCTGTCGGGCAACACGATCCGCCTTCGTACCCAATCACCTGGGTGGATGCAGTGTAGGGAGGCAGATCACATCTCTACAGTCACGAAAGCTAAACCTCTTCTCTCTAAGTGTTAATTTAGCATTCAAGCATGGAGGTGTTATCCCTCCATCTATCTTGAATTGACTTCGCTCTAGTTGCTACTCCCCTATTCATGGTGTCTCTGAAGTTCACTTCTGAATCGGAGCAGAGAAAGCATGGATATGGACAAGGTTTCTTAGCTCCAAGGAAATAACTGGACACAAACATATGGAGCCCCTATCCAGACGACGCACCATAAACTGAAGTCCAGAATAGGAGCCCAGGGACTGAACACCTGCAATTACCAGCCTCTTTTGGTTTTGACGCTTTGGTGTTGACTCGAGTTCTGTTGGACGACCCGCACGTTCTCCATCCGAGTCCATCATGTTTAATACGCTGGAACAGACCTGTCGCTTTAACCTCCGTGGCAAGATTACACGTAGTAGTTCTGAGCGGTATCTCCATAATCTATTTGACTAACATTCCAGGATTTTGTATTCGCCCAAATCCTCTCTCATCGCGGATTTCCCGGCCAGGTTATACTCAAATGTCCAAGTGTGCCTTCTGAGCCACCACCTCGTTATTCTGCCACCTTTCACTTCACAAGCCCCTCACCTTTTAGGCCAGCCACTCCAATTTACTTCCTTACTGCCTGTACCGCCTGCACCTTCTCTTGAAATTTCATCATCATATCTTCCAGCCCTTCTTCAAATTGCTTCCACCCATCGGTCCCCATCACCCAGCCACAGTTCTCCTCAATGAACCGCTTCAACTTGATACTCACCAGCATCTCCCAAAGCACCAACCCCTCATCAGTGTGATACTTCAACCACATCGCCCTCGGCCTCTCCCGCCTATGCAACTCAGCCAGCACGTCCTTCAGCACCTGCGGCAAATTCGGCGACTTGTCAGCAGGAATGGCTTTCGAACTCGTCTTCACACCTCCGGCCTGAGCTTGAACAAGGGACGCCGGGATGGAACCGAACTGTGACGCACGCGCGCGAGCAAGCGGATTGACTTCCGCCGCATTCTCCGCTTCCTTCCTCGCCACCGTACGAACATACTCCTCGTTGAAGCAGGTATAGATTGTGTTTTCGATGACGGCGCAGTCCGCTTCGTACGCTTCCCTAGTATTGGTAACGATCATGTTGGCGTCGTTGTCGAAGTAGTTGCGTTGGAGAGCCGGGTTCTCGATCGGGAGGAGTCCGGTTCGTGTGGCTAGCGTGAGCATGGAAATGCCTTCCCATTCGAAAAGGACGACGCCGCAGGTTAGGCATCTCGCTCGGTCGGAGTGGTTGGCGCTGGCTCGCCAAATGAGACACCGGTAGTGAACCCAATGGCCGCAGGGAGTGAGGGGGAGGAACGTGGATCGGATGGGTGGTTTGTCCCACGCGTAGCTGCAGATGGGGCAGATGAGGTCGGGTTGAGGCGGTTTGTCGTGCAAGTGGCGGCACTGGAGGAGGAGGGCGTCGAGGTAACGAAACATGGTAGGGAGAGGATGTAGCGGTGAGGAAGGGGCGATGGGCTGCAACGTGACATTTCCGGGACAGTCTTGAACAACAGATGTCCTAGCATATGATTTCCAAGTATTTCCATTGCGGACGGGATGATCTACCCTCATCGGGACGGTCTGATGGCCATCTGCTTCGGCGCTCGCGGTCTTCATGGTCGGGGGATCTGAGCTTCTCAAGGTCGCGGCGGGTGGAGTTTGAGCGGCACCATGTGGGCTCTTCCCCGTCGATGAGACAGGCGCGACAACGACGGCGGGAGCGGAGTTGACTATAGAGGGCGAACGGTGTGGAACGGCCTGGCTCGTCAGAGCGTTGCTCTCTCCGTGTGCAAGTGCGAGTCGCGCCAGATGAGCTGCTGCTTGTCCACTGATGGGATGACCTGAATCCATGTGGTTAGAGTTAAAGGGGTACATTTACGCTCAAGAGCCGTGAGAACAGTTGAGGTTGTTGTAAGGAGTGAGATTGGAAAGCGTGATGTTGAAGGTGTGAGGTTGCAAGTGGGAGCTGGGAGGTTGGACGATGAGCAAGCAGGTTGCGTTGGCTCTGTCTTATAAAACTCTGAGGTGAGCGCGGATAGCGGTGGAATAGCGGTAACTGTGAAGGTACTAATATTTATGTAGGTTATTACAAACTGTCTTCAAATGCAGGTGAATCTACCTTTTCGGAGGTTAGACGAAGTGAAGATGCGTGAGCAGAGAGTGAAAGACATACTTAGTCCGACCTTGGGCAAGGCCTTCTCACCTTCACCGAAATAACCTTACGGACACCGCCTTTTCAATTTTGAGTATCATCGGACGTTCATAAAATAGGAGAGTACGTGATTCGCTATGGAGCATTCGTACATGTTAAGCCCACAGCTCTCTACGAAGCTTGCACCCAACGGAATTTGTATGAGACCCGGATATTTAGCGGATAGTCAGCAGTTGGCTAACCTTCATCAACTCCACGCTGATTTAGGCATCTTAGGACCTGTACGAAAACCAGACCAAGCCAGCGGCTTTCTACGAAGCATTTATGGTTACATACATCAATTATCGTACGTAGGGACTCTCTGATGTAGCCCTTTGCACGTAGTAGTACCCATTTGGATTGGAGCTTCTAGGGAATCCCTCATGTCTTAAACATTGTAAGCGTGTAGACAAGCTTCCTTTACCTTCGTTTCTAATATCAGTCACGCAGAAAACGCCAACTACGTCGTTCTACAGTGCATATATATATTACTGCACGTGTTTCCCCAAGTGTTGTACCCACTGCCTTTTTTTACTCATGCGTGCTTCAATTCTTCTCGGACCCATCGAAATCTCGGGTTGATCTGGGCACGAGTTACTCCCGCACAAATCTGCTCAAGCTCGGACGACGGCATATGATGGTACAATTGACCACCCCGAACGTGAGTCCCAACAAGTGAATTGGACTATGATCCTATGAGAACATGTGTAGTCATTGGGAACACAATGTTCGCACTTTCATACTGGAAAGCATTGTGAATTTGAATCATCATCCAGAAAAGCGCTCATTCTACACTTATAGCGAGGCACATTATCAACGTATAAGATATGTCTAAACATTGTACAGAGCATGGAACAGCGTCAGGTTCGCCTACATATACTGGCGCTTCTGCGCACTCAATTCTATTCCCCAGACCGATTCAATCGAGGCCTTGAATCATAACCCAAGGTCAGACCGTTGCACAACCGCCGACGTTCGAGTTTGTACGTATTTCTCAACCTTACAAGTCTTTCGAGGCAAGAATCCCGCAAACATGGATGCTCCATACTACCGCGACGTTGAGCACCTCTTCAGCGAGGGCGTGACAAACCACCTCTCGCCTCCTGGAGACGAGACCTGCTGTCCCCTCTGCCAAGAGACGTACGCGTCCGATGAGTCCGAACTGATCGTGATTACCAAGTCGTGCGTTCGGCCCCATGCTTTTCACGCGAAGTGCCTCCTGACATGGCTGCGTGTTCACCACAACAACACCTGTCCCACCTGCCGCAACCAACTCTACGGCACGCAAATCCGAGGTGAGTCCACCCATCCTCTCCGCCCTATAGTCGACGCAATGATCAGTGCTCAAGGACTGGATGTTGCCATGGGACTGCCCCCTCCCTACACCCAGCATCTCCCCATAGCTAGGGTCGCCGCCGCCTTTAGGGCAGGTGCTGATGCATGCGACCGCTTATTTGAGGAACACACTCGCCGCATGGATGCAATGATGCAAGCTAATACCAATGTGCAGTCTGCTCGCGTTGCCCGGGTCATCGCGCAGGAGAAGGTCAAGTCGATTCGCCAGCGCAACCCCCACGCGGCGGCTCACCTGCGAGCTGCAGAAGAGGAACTTCAGATGTACACCGAGATCCAGGACAAGTTTCAGGACGACTACGAGAAAGCGGTGGAGGAGACGGAGCGCGTCCTAGCGGAGTTGTGTGCGGCTCGCGAACACTATGAAGATGCCCGTGATGAGTTCATTCGGCTGCGCGACGAGGAGTACTACGGTGAACTATATCACTAGCCCGAAGACAGCGTACATCCGGAAGTCACGGTGGCTTAAAGGTAGGTACGGGCTTACAGATCTATGTTCCTGCATTGAATGTCAGAAGACTCCGCCAAATCGCTTTCCCATGACGAGGGTCTTCAGTAACCCCTGGGCATCATCGGCCTCGATAGACTGGTGTTGGAACACTGCCACTACTAACACCAAGCAAGTAGAATTTCATAGGTCTTTCTGAAACTGTCTACATGTGTAGGCAGCAACCAATACAATTTTTTCCTTTACAAATACTAAGTTTCGATAATCCGTGACTAAGGTGCGTTTCACGGCTCTGTGCGAGCATGCAGCAGAGCTCCGCTAAATGTTTAGGTATAGTAGCACCACCCTCACGCATCAAAATAGGGGCAGCGCGCTAGGAACTAGACAATTCCTGTCCGGGAATTTGATTCACGGATAGTTTTCTGCTAAAAGAGCGCTTTATAGTGAGTTAGTGTTATGTACAAGTATGGCGGTGGTTTGGCGCAAGTGGACCGTGCAGGGGTCTCAGACTTTTGACCTACCTGGGAACAGCCCCGACGCGAACCTACAGACTGGAAGTGTCTATGAGACGAAGATAAGAACCTCGAAGAATGGCACTTACATGACAGAATACATGTTGCTCCGTCCCATGAAGTCCGTCCTTGGATCCGGTTGAGCTACTTCTATGCACAAACCTTGGAACATCCGAAAGATCACCGCCAGTCTACCAGGTTGGAATGGCAATGATATGTCCTATCAACGGTATGTGTGATTTCTCAGCAATGTGTAACGAAGGTATGATCAACCTGGCACATGTTGAATGTTATCCATTCGGGTATCAAACAATAACCTACTATACAGTTGATTGCGAGCATATTCCTGTTTAACGTTCAATCATGGAAGGGCCCGCTTCTGGCACTTTTCTATGCTGTTCCTCCCTTTCGGAATCAACCCTCCAGAACATCGATAGCACCGCCAACCAAATGCAAACTTCCAGTAATAAGCACAGGGACTTCGAGGTTGGAACTGCCATCTGCTCTCCATTCCTGTGCTTGTTTCCGTGCTTCTTGTATAGCATCTTCTATGGAACTCTTGATACTGACAGTGGCCGTCGGATCAATCTCGCTCCACGCCTTGCCAAGAGCTTTTTGGACCGACAAATCGTCAACTTCGGCTTGGTTTGTGTTAATGGATACCAAATCCGGCTTGAAACCCGTATTGTAAGTTTTGTTCGTGCAGAAGATGACGTGGGAGAAAATACGCGACGTGTCAATCCGGTCAGATCCTGAGCGACTTCCCGCGATGAGCGCATCATTCAGAGCTTTCACCAAAGCATTAGCATCTCGCGTCTGTTGGTTGAAAATGAGGATACGACGGGGAGAGGTTTGCGATCCCGATGGGGACGATATTTGCTCCGCAAACCATTTGCCTGTTTCCTCGATGCTTTCGAGCGTGTGGCCGCCATCGAGGTACCACGCAACGCCACTTTCACGCCGGGTCTCGCATCTCCCTGGCCACTTCACTTGTTCTAGGCCGCGTACAAACTCTGGAGGGAGCGGGATGGGATTTGACGACAACGGATCCGAAATGGACGTATGACCTAGACGACGGAGATGGACTGCGGCCGCGGCGATGGCCACGGAAGCGTTGACCTTCTGGAAGGCAGCTGAAAGGCCCAGTTTCACCTCACCGCTCGCGAGGGCCGGATGGACATCAATGACATGAAGTATATTGCCCTTTTCTTCAGCACGTTGGCGTAGGACTGCGAGTGCCTCCTCCTTTTGCGGAGCTGTGAGTGCAACGCTTCCAGGTTTGAAAATCCCGGCTTTGTGCCACGCTATCTCTGGAAGGGTGGAGCCAAGCATCGCCGTATGATCGATGCCCAGGCTCGTTACAGCCGTCACAGTGGGGTTTGTGAGGATGTTTGTGCTGTCGTACTCCCCGCCGATGCCGCACTCTATTACCGCAGTATCGACACCCTCTTCTAGATACGCATGTAGTGCCATGAGTGTCAGATAGCGGAAGTACACCGGCTTTGTTGGCGCATCCGCGGGGGTGTCCGAAGTCTTTGCCGCGGCCTCCAATCGGTCCCAAACCTCGAAGAAATATTTTGCAAACTTCTCTTCAGATATAGGCTCGTTGTTGATCTGTATCCTTTCTCGTACGCTGCGAAGGTGCGGCGAGGTGTACAGTCCAATCTTGGTGGGACTGTTGGGGGATGAAGGGACGGACGGAAGATACTGGGCGAGGATGGATGAAATGAAAGCGCTAGTGGACCCTTTCCCCTTCGTACCAGCGATGTGTATGGGTCTTATCCGGTCGAAATCAGAGGGCTAAGGTCTCCGATCAACTCTGTACAATGGCTTCAACAAGGGAGGCGCACACCTTGTATCCAATCTTCCGACACCACTCTATCATCTCAGGGATAGCCTGTTTATTCATCCCCTTTCCGGATTTACGTATGGCATCTACAATTGAGAAGTTCGACTGTAGAGTATTGAGCGCCTCGACGGCGGCCTGAAGCTGTTAGGCTTGAGCGTATCCGGTGCAGACTTTCACATACGGCATAATCCCGCTTCGACATGGTCGCGGGGCCTGAGGTGCAGTAAACTCTATAGTATCTGGAGCAAGAATGGAGGGTCCGGCAGCGTCTCCGCGATAGCAACAGCAACATGAGGGGTTTGGGACTTAACTTCGCTCTGGAGGTTTTCCGAACAGTTCTCATAATAATTACTCCGGCCCAATGACGCAAGTGCACGGACCATCACCACCAGAAAGTCCGTCGCGATAGACACTTAGGCATCTTCGTCAGGTTCAAACAACAAAACGACATATGTCGTCACATGGGAAATAGAGTTTCGACTGGAATGTCTTGATTGCAGCAGGTAGGAAAACGGCAGATGATGTCGCAGATCTTCTCTTCGCATTCCCACTTCTTGCCACGCTATCCGATTGCTGTTTGCAGAGTGTTTCTATTCTTCAATCAAGAGTTGTTTGTGGCCGCCCGGGCAATCATGCGAATGCCGGCCCAACATTTAATGAGATGCCGCCACAGAAGGATGAGACAAAGGCCGTTCCTCGTTGCGCTTCTCCTACGCTTTGTCGACAATTCGTCCCTTGTTTGGTAGCACAAGGGATTCCCAAATACAGCCACACTGAGTCTTTGTTACCCATCTGCAGCCCATTCCAAATGACTCAAAAGCAAAGAAAAGTTTCCAACCCTACTGCGTACTTATGACCCGTCAAAGCCCAAATGCTGGCAGCTCGCTAGGAATCAGTTGCTAGAAACTGACTGAACGTTTCTATCAAACACTGCAAGAAAACCGATCTTCTACACCGAGAAAATGCAATCGACTACCACCATTATATCCATCATCCTCTCCCTCATGCACCTCATCACCATGACAGCCGCCAGTCCTCTCCGCTCAACTCCCGCGCAGAGTCCAAGCCCCATCGCTATCTTCCCAAAACGGGGCCTACCCGGCGGAGTCTACATTTGCACCGGTCCCGATTTCACCGGTTACTGTGGTTGGAATGACCCCTCAAGCCAATGTCGCATTCCCGGCACCGGCGTCCAGACACCTCGCTCCATCGGACCCGATGAAAACGGAACTTGCCTGCTGTATAGCAGAGGAGGCTGTACTGGGACTATTATTGCTTCGCTCAGGTACCCAGGGCTGGGTTCGGGTGTCCCGGAATTTGCGTCGATGCGTTGCTTTGCGGATTCCCACAAGGGTGATGGTCCACCAGCATAGGGTATAGGGGAGTAGAAAGCACAAAGACGGCGTAATATGCGTTATGAGTCTTACGAAATCCCTCGACATGAATTCAACGAAATGAGAGAAATTTCTTCCTTTATTATCATGCACTTATTTTCTTGATTTTTCTGCTAAGTTCCCTCCACTCATATGTGCCCTCTAGGTAGTACATGTGGCAAACATTGTTGGCAAAACAATATTGCCCCAACTTAACGTACCCCTAAATAGCAAAAGGTTCCGTCAACGACGTCGTAATCCTGTCCGAATAGGAGTAAGTCAAACAGGAGATAATTGCAATGCAAACCCCAACATATTGTACTGTACACATTGGTTAACGCACGTTTTACAGATTACCACCGGTGATGTACAGCTTCGCTAACCCGCCAAATACGTACTCCAAGTGCAATCCTTCTCTCGTGTCTAGGGATTCTGTGGGTGTAAAGTTTTATCGCCTGATAGGTCTCCAGAGACGTCATATGCTGGTAGTCTGGATGCTTCACCACCTGGCGCGAAGACTAGTATCATGCAACAACCTGCTTGCTAGCATGAGGACGCCGCCGAGACTCAGAGTTGCTCCCTATTGCCCCGTTAAATCAAAAATCCACTAAGAGGCAACCCACTTACAGCATAGAGTATCACCCCCTGGTAGCCTCCTTTTGTGTGATCCGTGATCAACAACCCTCCCACGGGCGTCCCAACGACACTGGAGAATGCAACGAGACTATAAAAAGCCCCAATTCGGCCCCCAAGTTTCTCATCGGGCGATATCTGGCCAACCGCCGAGGGAACAAGCGCTACATATGCTCCGGAGAAGAAGCCGAAGAGTATCGCGAAAGCAACGAGAATGGTGACGGTTGATGACAAAGCCCACATTGTGCAAAGCAGACCTAGGATAAGTGCCATGTGGTATAAAACGTTGAGGCGGCCGATTTGATCGCCCATGAGACCTCCACTGCACTGATCAGCACGTATACGGAACATGGTGCGTGGAGAACTCACAGAATCATGCCCAAAATGCTAGTACCGTTAATAAGGGGCAACAAGTATCCCTTGATTGGTGCGGTTGGATCAATAATCATACAATATGTCTCTGGTGTCATGAGTGGAAGCTACAGATGAAGACATTGTGTAACAAACCAATGTAGTAGTTGGGTATCCAGATTCCCACGTTCGCGAACCAGGCCCCTATAGCGAGAACCAAATACCGTCTATCTTGAAACCCTCCGAAATCAACAAGCGAGTGAAAAATTCCGCGAAGCGGTTTTCTCGCGTGCTTGCTTGTTGAGATGGCTATGGCAGTGGAGTAACACATTCTAGAGGACGGTTAGCGCCTGATCCATGGTCCAGGGAAGCTGGGAAAACCTACGCCACCTTGAATGAGGCTAGCCTTAGTGACCAAGAGAACCCAACTTTTGGGACTAATTGCGATAACATCAGAGGAAAGCATACACCACCCAGTGCACAGCCTCCTATGACTATAGCCATAGCAAAGGCACGACGCTGTTTGAAGTGCTGGCCAGCCGCCACCAGCGCTGGCTGTGCTCCAAAGGCGATGGAGAGGCCCATGAATAAACCCTGGACAAGAAAGGCTTGCCAAAGAGGACCGTGGTTGATGTATGAGAGAACTATCATTGAAGATACAAGTCCAAGGCCTGACGCAGTGTAGAGATACTGCAAAATGCTGTCAGTCAACGCCATCATCAGTCACACGGATCCTACTTTGACGTTGTAAGAGTCGCATAGAGCTCCAGATATGGCGCCTAGTATGTTCGTGAGCATGATTTGAAGGGTCCCAATAAATGCGATGGTGGATGGCGGTACGTTGTGGAAGGCATAGTTCTGATAGTAGTTTTGAAAGAACCCGAAACTATTGATAAGACCGAAGGTGGAGTAGTTGACCAGGAACGAACCAGCAAGAGTGAGCCAGGCTTGGGCCCCACCTTCTGGGCCTGGTTGGGGTTTGAGAGGTTCAATGTCCGTCGTACTGTGAAGCTCACGCTTGGATATGGTGTCATGGGACATTGTGGGGGTGAGAAGAGACATCGTGGTGTCCAGGCGGAAACATAGCACTGCTGGCAACACCTGTCAAGGCTTTATAGGTATCTCCGCATCTCCTGTCGCGGCCAAGACACTGGTCTCCAGGTTTTCGGCCATGTGAACGGTGTAGTTGTGATGAAATTGTGCCACTGTCCAGGTGGGCGATGTGGAACGGCGGAGAGCGCGCTATACCAGCACACCATCTGGCTGAGCATGTTCTGGCGGACTCTCACAATCCCGGTAGCAAATGCATTGAAGAGAAGTGGAGATACCCCGGTTGATTGAGACACTGCTCAGGTGTATGTGTTCGTAGCGGGAGGCCTGGAACGGAAGGGATCAAGCACACTGCGTCAACGCTGGAGCTTAGCTGAGGAACCAATCGATGATATTTTCGGCGTTGTATTAACGGGTACAAGCAGCGGATGTAGCCCGTTTTTGATAGACTGACATCAGCGTGTCGACAACTCATGCAGGAACAATGATGGGTCGAACATTTACGCGTAGAAATAGCCTACGTAGATGAATGTGCGACATCAGCCCGTTCACTTTCGGATCTCCAGCCTTCCATATCCAGACAAGGAAAAGGCTCATGGAATTGGGATTGGAAGGGCATGCTGGTGTGCGCAGTTAGACTCTGTACTTCACAGAGTGTGCTTTTCTTCTCAACTCCGTCAGCAGTCCCCGGAAACTGTGAGGTCATGCTCGGAGGGTATAACGGGAGGTAACAGCCTCTATCCACGCTCCTCGTGGCTAGAAATTGACACATTAGCGTCGTGCCGTGCTCTGGATCTCTTGGAAGTTGTAGGTCACACACGAGCCTTCGATTCTGCGTCGACAATCATTCATACGCTCGGAGCTTCTACTAACTTCCGCGACGTGCCACGGACCTGCAGGTCAATAACAAAGTAATGGGTAGCATGGCTCCCAGCGACGCTTCTTTCAGTGTGTTCTCCGGCCGCGAAACCTTCTTGAGAGATTGGGGATGCCACACCTTCAAGGATAATGATCGCTAGATGCTAGATCCAGAATATCAGATCGACAGGAGTAGTGGAGCCCATGTTGAAGTAATGCATGAGATTCGAATGAGCATAGTCTCGAGTAAGCGTTGGGTATTGGCAGTTGTCCCGATTGCGATGTGCCGGGAGGAATTCGGATTCGCTCAAGTGCCCTGCGGACGAGTTGTCGATTTTTCCAACCCGGAAAAATGCTGTGATGTATCCCGTTGGGTATTATGGGAATTTTTGTGAAATCGACGGTCTCTTCTGCACGCGGCACCTATGTCTGGAGCGGGGGGACGGCAGAGACATCTGTTCGACGAAGTCTTCAGTCCGCCTTGGACGCCTCAGTCAGGATTGTGATGGCTTTAGCGCACCTGATGGAGCACAAGTTGCTGTCCGACGTGACGGGCTTCTCCGCTCTCCGGACAGGCGCGCTCGCTGAAAGGCTGGTGACGCAGGATCGAAGTGCGAAGCTTGGGGAACACTGGAAGGCTGACATATCTGGTCTGTATTAGTTCTCACTGCGCTATGCGTTTATGTAACGGTGGAGAAGGAGATATTCGCTTAGAAGAGAAGCCATTGGTCATTCATCCACCTCTCTGGACAAATCCTAGCTACAGCCATAGTAGACGATTGACCGTTTCCCGACTCTGAGCAACCTCCATGGTACAGAGACAGTAGTACGAGTTGGCCTCGCACAACCAGCCAAATGCGGGGAAGCAGTGCACGTAGCACAAGTCGACTGATTTGGGTACTTCAATGTTGGGAAGACGGAGGGACGTGTCACAATTGAGAGTTGCCGCGTCTTGTAAATCGGTCCTCTGTGGCACAGCCGTTGACGTTGTCGCCGCTTTGAGACTCGAGTAGCGCAACAGTTAGAAGAGAGGAGGTCTGGAAGCGGTACACCCACACCTGGTCACACCGATGAGGGCACTTCCTTCTCTTCTGCACACACGCTCTCTCCACGCTGCATCCTGCCAGGCCCGGAAGGATGCACGCCGACTTCCGACGCGGGTAGCGACTTCAACTATACGGAGTACTGTGATGAATTCTGATTTCCTGCAGCCCGAAACTGACGTCACCCGTGATGCGTCCACACACAGCCCGTCTCTTTGCATGCCTTCTATCACCATACGCATCCACTGCTCCGCCCATGTGTAGTATGTGACCGGCAAGTCCTCACGAGGGATAAGAAGGTTGCGTGGTACACCGAGCGACCTGATGAAGCCCAGTTCACCCCGGCCGCTCGCAAGCTGCTCGAGCAGTACAGCAATATTCCTGCAGACAAGGTCGAGGACCATGTCGTCAATATTCGTAACGAAGCCTGGGACATCTTCCCATATCCATGCATTGGACAGTTCAGGTTCCTGGATTTGACTCTCAGGGAGTTCGACATCTACCCCGACGTCCTGAAGCGCCTACACGACGGTCAGCGATTGTTGGACATGGGCTGCTGTTTTGGGCAAGAGATCCGTCAATTGGTGCAAGACGGTGCCCCTGCTGAGAACATCTACGGCTGCGACTTGAGGGAGGAATATATTGCGCTCGGTTACAAGCTCTTCAGGGACAAAGATAAGCTCAAGGCCAACTTCATTACTGCCAATATCTTCGATGTGACCTCCCCTCTCACTGAATTGAGCGGCCGCTTCGACATGATCTTTGCAGGATCCTTCTTCCATCTTTGGGGCTATGAGCAGCAAGTCAAGGTTTCAAAGCTCGTCGCTGCCTTGCTGCGTCCTCAAAAGGGTTCCATCATCCTTGGTCGCCAGGTCGGATCGTACTCAGCCGTTGAACCAGGTCATGTCACCAACGCCGACGGCAAGATGTTCCAGCACAGCGTAGAAAGCCTCAAGAAAATGTGGAAAGACATTGGAGACGACCTCGGGATTTCCTTTACCGTCGATGCCAAGCTGGCGGAATCGGAAGGTCTACTCAAATTTCTCCCAAGCAACGCCAGGCGCATATGGTTTACCATAAGAAGAGAGTAGAGGAATATACAAGGTTGCACTTTGTCGTCGCCGGCTTCATGTTGCGTTCTCAAAGGTGACGGTTGCAGTCACCACAGTGCGCAGCCCAAGAGGCATATATGCTGGTTCGATGTTGTGGAGTGCATGCAGAAACGCAGACGTAAGCCCTCTGTATCGCTTTATTGACGGATCCCAGACTGTGTTGCGCATGTGCAGTCCGTACCTGCGCCGCACTCCTGCTATTGTGGGCTGATCGGCGCTTCACTGCCGGAGCTGAGTCTAGAAGGTCTATCCGGACCTGAATATCATCATGTTGTCCTCGTGCAAGACCGCTGCAGCATCCTGTGAACACATTTTCTTGTACGAAAGTCAAGGTCTTTTTTTGACAGCGCAAAGACGGCCGTATTTTTAGATCTGCAGATTGCAATATGGATCGACACGCGAATTGGCCGGGGTTGGTGCCGGGATGCTCAAGCTTCCAGGCAAAAAGCTTCATTTATTTTCACTCTGGATATATGATCTATACGTCTCCATATAATCCGTTTCGCTCACCCTACGACGGCAAATACGGAATCCCAGTGGCCATCCGAGGTATCGGTGCCGCCAATTGCCTGGTCGGTACTGTGGAAACCTCGCGTTCGGCGGGAAAGAAGACTCTGGACACTGCGAAGGCCACACTATTGATGCAGGTAACAAGGACGACTCCGTTTACCCTAGGGTAATATGGATTCCGACTACGAGGCCACGCAGTGGTCTAGCCTGAACGACAGAAGCCCCAAGACAATGTATACACCGAAGCCTCGAACGGTCATCTATTTCGAAATGAAATATGCTACATTCCGAAGCGACTTCCCGAAGTTCCTTCTAGCAGACATTGACATGTATTGTGGCCGGCAGATATAATAAGTGAACAGCCTCCCCTTACTTCCGCTCCGCCTCTCAGGTCTTCTCGCAATTCCAATATCCGTGTCGCTACCGCAAGGCTCTCCCCCCCGGCAACATGAAGCCCTCTTTGCTATTAGCTGCGGCTCTTGCAGCCAGCGTGAATGGCGCAGCCATTGAGGCCAGACAACGCAGGACATCCACACGAGTCGTCGGAGGAGATGGTAATGCAGCCCCCCTACAAGCACGAGAACCCCAAGCCCCAGAGCTTTCGGTCGGCCGGCCGAGACAGTCTGTCACATTTTTCCCCAATGACCCTAAACCTACGGATCGAAGTGAGCCAGATCATTCTAGTGGGATATACAGCTAATGATTCCGTTAGTGGAAGAATGCGGCCTGGATGCATTCGTTGGACACACTTCTGAGGCATCTCTGTTTTGCAGCAGCATGCTCAAAGGTGGAACTGCCACCGTCACCACCACCTACACCTCACGAGCCACCACAACTACAAAGGTTACCGTGATCACAACCTTGTATCCTCCGTCATCTCCGGCCCCGACGACAACTATCAGACCACCCACCTCTTCACGGACAGTAAGGAACAAGTTCTACCCCTCCTGTGACTGAGGCTAACATAAAGAAAAGCCTTCCTCGACCGTTCGCCCTCCTACCTCAAGCCCTAAGCCGTCGTCCACCGTGAAACCTTCATCGACGCTCAAGCCTTCCTCCACTACCCCGACCCCCTCACCTTCCACGTATGTGCAGATATCCTCGGGGGCTAATGACTCCTGCTAACATCAACAGCACTCCTGGCTGCGGTCTCGTCGGCTACACCAAGAGCACTTCTGCCTACTACTTCGACTCAAGCGGCACGAAGAACAACTTCGCCGCCTGCTCTGCTGCCTGCAAAGCCGACAGCAAATGCAAGAGCTTCGGCTACGGAGAAGCCAACTGCATGCTCTTCGACGTCCTTGCGTAAGATCCTTTCCACGTCTTTCCCATGGGTGTCCCCTACTGACATAGACTTCCAGCGGCGACAACACCAACTACAATCCCATGTCTCCCTACACTTTCTACGACTCCACCTGCCCCCAGGAGCTCCCCGTCCTCAAAGCCCGCCAGGTCAACATCTCGCTCGGCCTCCCGCCTGCCGGCATCTCGTCCGCTTGCTCGTGCCTTATTGGAAGCGGACCTGGCGCTACGACCACGACGCTTACGACTACGGTTACGAGCAACAGGGTTACGGTTACGCAAACGGTGACGCGGACGGTGAGCTTGCTGCCGGAGGACTTGTTGTAGGGGTGAAGTGACTGAGGTAGGGGATAAAAAGTTGGAGTGGGTGTATGTATGAATTGTAGATAGGCATCTTTTGTCAATTGCATTTGAGTAACGGAATTGGAACGAGTCACAGACGTATACCCTTCATTGTCACGTAGGTGCGGATGAGGGCGGTGCAGCTTCACGTTCCACGCTTGATCTGGCGCTATCACTCCGATGTTGCATTCCGTCAGTTCGAGTACAAGTTTGGTACACTGGCTCGTTCAGAGATGGCTCTTCATGCGATCGATATAGTGTCTTTTGGCACACGTCTACTTCAGGTATACCGTTTAGACGCTGCTCGCCTAAATAGCTGAGAGGCATTGTACTTATGCTAGGGCACTTTCCGCCACGATCTAGTTGATGCGCAAGCTGAGATAGGAAGTACCTACACTTAACTGTATTCAGGGTCCTTTCCTAAACCGTAGGGCGTAAGCCAAGAGAATTGTGGGTAAATTCTCCTACTGTGTAGATCGCCATGCGGTTTGTAGATCCTTCCGCAACTTTACACAGGGCGCCAGAGAAGGCTATCCACCTCGCGGTACAACAGCGCCTAGGGAATCGGGCTCGCGGTTCTGTTAATGGTCTTGGGTTTGGGGCTTCTTTCCTACCGCAGCCGGTTTTCTGCATGGAATTAACGAATCTGCCTGCAGATCTTACGGGCGAGCAAATACAACCATTGCTGTAGGTGATTTTTGGTAAGGGAAAATCAGGCAATATATGTTGTTGTTTTCCTACTTGAAACCGTCGAGCTCTACCTGGTGTCGAAGTATTTTCCTCCTACCATGTACTGTGTATGGTGTATGTACACTAGAGTGGAATTCAACTCCCGTACCAGTCATATACATAGTACGTATACGTGTGACGAAGGCTCTAGCTAGACCGTGCCTGCGAGCTTGGTGTTCTTCCAGGTCTTTCGTGCAGAACGCCGACCGCATTCACGATACCAACGAAGTATTATGAAGGTCTGGCTCGCACAAGGCCTACTAGTAAGTCCATTGATTTACCCTAGTCTTCGAAATACGCTCCAATAAATGTCTTTAAGTACCGCGCCCCACAACCGGCAACAGGTTCCCAAAGGGGAAATGCGGTCAGCGTGGGCTTCGATGACGAAGTAGGACTAGACATCTCATTGGTCGGTTCTACTGCCTCGAACAATACTTAGCGCGCTCACCAAAAATAGACAAGCTTATTTTGACCCTTTGGTTCTTGTAACAAGCCTCTGAATCAGCATCCTTTCACCTTTTCAATTTGCTCTAGAGATCATGTTCCATCCCTTTTACTATCTAAACCAGCAATGTCAGAGATTGTCGAGATCACTGTGCCTAGTCGTCACACAATGACAGAATTTAAATCAGGTATGCAGCTCGCTGTCCTGCATCACTCAGCGACAGTATTTGATGGTTGCAGACACCAGCAAGAGGAGTGCCAGCAACTTTTCCCTAGAACGGCCTCGATGAGGCATGTACCACGGTAAGTAGAGTGGAGAGACTCCTTGAGAGGCTGAGAACGGAACACGCCACTGTCCACTGCCGTTGAAAGTGGTGGTGATGCGAAGGGGAGCTGAATGTCCGCATGCGGGATGGATGGGCGGCTGTTAGAAAACGGCCAGGTTGAGCCAATGGGTGTTGACCATGAGTTGACTCAGCATAATATAAGCGTGACAGCACCGATGATTCAACTAGCGCGTGCAACTCTTGCCTCAAATGGAATGGCTTCAATCATCACCGAACCTAGACTTTACTGTGTATTAGCCACCAGAGCCATGTCGTATCCGCTCCTTAATCGGATCAAAGCGGCTGGGATCAAATGGACGGTGGTCCCACCACTCCCATTCCGCTGCAATGTGCGACGTCGCGATGAGCAAACCAGTTGTTCCCTAATGACAATCAACCCCAACATTGAACCCCCTTGCTCGCCTCGCTCGTTTTGCTCATTTCCACCCCTTCGATCGCTGCTTCTGCAGCCCCCTCGACCTGCTGCCGCTTCCGTCCCTTCATGTTGGGATCTTGACCAGTCCCACAGAGCGCCTTTTCCCGGCCGTTAAAACATGCAGACCTTTCAGTTGCTCCCCCGGAAGTACGTTTCCCTTTCGCGACCCGCATCTCGCGATATGTGCTTGCGTACCTTAGCCATGACCCCGCTAACCTTACGCCATAGGTCGGTACTGCTGGGCATCACGCTTGTTGCCTTCTTTGTGGTCCTCTTCAGGTTATACGGCGACGTGCCAGTCGAGTATTACCGCAACCTCAGCCCAGACGAAGGAGCGCTGCCGGACGTCCAGGTCCAGAATGATAAGCCGCAGCCCGGATACTTCAAAGCGCAGCCCGAGTGGGACTGGAAGGTGCCTCCTCGAGCAAGGGGCTGGGAGGGATATGCAAAGAGCCCTCGGAATCGTGACGTGGTCGTCCTCACGGCCAGCGACGGTGGAGGTCACAATAGTGCCATCCCGAATGTGCTGCAGCGGGTCCTAGGCGATCGCAAAAACTACTGTGACAAGCACGGCTACACAAACCTCTGGCTAAACACGAGCCGTTATGACATTGGCGCGGCACATCGGGTAGGTTTTGAACCTTTCACTGTCTAGTCCCGCCGTGGTACCGGCTTCTGACCCGTCGCTTGCACAGACTTGGTCCAAAATTCCCGCCGTGGCCGAAGCGTTCTATCTGTACCCAGAGGCCGAATGGGTCTGGCTCATTGATACCGACATCATCATCATGACTCCCGAGTACGACCTCGTTGAACAGATCCTCTCCCCCAACGCCATCAAGCGCGGCCTCATGCGTGGCACTCCCATCCTCGACGGGCAGCTGAAGAAGAACCCCACCAACATCTCTACCCCGGACGAATTCCGCGTCGAAGACATCGACATCCTAATTACGCAGGACCACCAGAGCGTCAACACTGGCAGCACCTTCTTCCGCCGCACCGCCTTCACACGTTACTTGTTGGAGATCATGACGGACTACAAGATGCTGATGGGCAGCGAACACCCAGGCGCTGAGCAGGATGCCCTCAAGCACCTTATGCTCGAGCACCCGCTGGTGCGGAAGCATGTGGGCATCTACCCCCAGCGCAAGTTCAACGCCTACGTACAAGGTGGTGACAACATGGGGTATCGGGATGGTGACCTTCTTGTCCACTTCGCGGGCTGCTGGGTCGGAGGGAAATGTCAAGAATGGTTTGAACAGTTCTGGGAGAAGAAGGGCCATACGGACAAGTGGCGACCCGAGGGCTCACAGTGAGCTACGCATTTGCGGCTCTTCCCTGGACATCATCGGTCACCACTTTGGATTTATTCCTCACATTTCCCGTCACGGATAATACTGGAGTTCCCTTTTGTGTACAATATCCCGATCCTTTCCTTGGGTTATCCTCTGTCGGAAAACGATGGTATACTATTGTCTTTCCTTTTGTCTGCGTTTGGTGTGTTACCACTAGGGTTGTCGGCGCGGTAGGAGGGCATATTTTCATCTGAGCTACAAGAGTGGCTACCGGCGAAGCATTCTCAAGGGGGCGTTTTTGTCGTTATTGTGTTGGGGATCGGGCGGTGTCCGCATCAACAACATGTTCCGTTTTCACCAAGCCAGGGCATGACGGACCTGGGTCTACTTAATCACGATATTGCATCTGTTAAATACTTGCTCCCGTCCTCTTCCGTCCAGGTCTGGCTGTAATACCTCACCTGTTCTTCGGTTGCAGAGTTTACTGCCTTCACGTTGTCCGGATTCGATCTCCCTTCTCCCACCCTTGGTGTCGACTTTTTCTACCCGCACATCATCAGGATCGACCAGGTTTGTGTGTTCCTGGGAGAGCGGGGGATGCAGGGGCTTCCTTTCGGCTCCGAGGTTCCGCATCTACAAGTATCCTGCGATTGAAAACAATGCGTTCACCAGGCCATAGCAGCACTGTGCTATGTTCTACCATGTACGTCGAAGACGGTAGGAGCGTGAGGTGTACATCAAAGGCACGCAGCCTGCTTCCTCTGGCTCTGTTCATCGTGTACAACCTGCGAGAGTCGGTACGTCCTCTCAATGAGGATTCTACTGAAATGACATGACGATTCGAACATAGCCAGTCGCCATGGAGTGTTCATAGCAATGCAACCTTCGATCAATTGATGCCATCGTCTCTTGTTGTTTGAAAAAGGGGTGACGATGGATACGTCATCCTTCGCCAAGAGTCGCTTCTCAAATACTGCCTTTTTTCACGTCCGACTGAACACGACTGTGCGCGTAGGGTGTATGGACCTTCTAATTGGCCCTTTCTGCGCCTCCCTCCAGGTATAACGAGCCTTACACAGTAGACACCGTGCCCTCGTAGCGTAACTAGAATATAGCCAATTACATTTCTTGAAATACGTATTCTAACTTGGATTGGAAGTACTGGGGATTGTTCAGTCGGACGTGGCGTGGGAGGAGGCGGCCGGTATCCCAAGACGCGCAGCACGGGCCCTCAGACGCGTTGCGCGTCTCCTCAATCCGTCCCGTCTTCAACATTTGACTTCGACATCGTCTTCATTTCTCGATTTTCTGCCCATTCTTCCTCTGATTCCTCCATATGTAACCTTGCAATGGCAGGCAGTCAGGAGAAAGGAAACATGCCGACCCCACGCACATCCTCTCAGAAGAAACAGCCCGTCTCGGGATCCCAGGGCAAGACCCAGAGCTCCATTATGGGCTTCTTCAAGAAGGCGTCGACCAATTCTCCCACACCGGCACCGTCAGCTCCTACAGCCGCCATGAAGACACCGACCCCGTCTCTCTCCAAGAGCTCGTTCACGAAACCCAGGCTGCCAGCAACCCTCGCTCCGCAGCCAAGCAGCGATGGCCCCGAGCCGTCGAGCCCGTTGGTCAAGTTGGAGAAGGTCCCTGACGGGAATGATAAGGAGAATGGTCTGCTGTCTCCGGTTGTTACGCCGCAGGCAACGGAGGCTAACCGTGGCGAGTCAGAGGTCCCAGGGACAGTGGGCAGTCCTTCGCGGAAGGTGCCTTTGTTAATTCCAACTCTAAGAATCGACTACTGACAGATGTAGGCTAAGAAAGCTGTGAATTATGCCGAGTCCGACGACGACGACGAGGAGGAGGAGGAGTTTGGATCTATTGGGAATAATAACGCGAGGAAGGGTCGTGCTATTAAAAGGAGAAGGGTGAGCTTGGAAGACTCGGATGATGAGTTTGGATTGGATGCTGCTACGCAGGCGGCTATGCTTGAAGACGGTATGTACAGCACCAAGAGGCCATGAGATTCGCCTAACAATCAGACAGACATGGATGACTTCATAGCACCGGACGACTCAGACGAAGATGCCAAAGTCCCCTCAAAACGGAAGAGACAACAATCGGGCAAGTCAAGTAAGAAGGCTACACCTCCAAGGTCATCGCCGCCTCCTGCAACATTTGCGGCCGAAACTACGGAAGACGTGGTCATGACGGGCACTTCCACGGCACAACAGTGGACCTACGATCCTGAGAACCTTGAGCCTCTGAATCCCCGACCTACCACCCTGCCCACAAAGAAGAGTGCTGCAAAGCCCTCAAAACAGAGACCCTCAGCTTCTGAACCAGAGAAACGCTACCCTTGGTTGGCCAATATCCAAGACGCCGATCGACACTCTCCGGACCACCCTGATTACAATCCCAGCACCATTTATATCCCTCCGTTGGCATGGGAAAAGTTTTCCGCTTTCGAGAAGCAGTACTGGGAGATCAAGCAGAAATTCTGGGATAGCATCGTCTTCTTCAAAAAAGGCAAATTCTACGAGCTATACGAGAATGATGCCACCATAGGGCACCAGCTGTTTGATCTCAAACTGACTGATCGTGTTAACATGCGTATGGTGGGAGTACCCGAGGCTTCTCTTGAGATGTGGGCGAGTCAGTTTGTGGCGAAGGGCTACAAGGTCGCCCGTGTTGACCAGATGGAGTCGGCACTTGCCAAAGAGATGCGCGAAAGAGATGGCACCGCGTTGGCAAAGAAACCAAAAGAAGACAAAATCATTCGACGAGAGCTGGCTGCTGTCTTGACGGCCGCCACGCTAGTTGACACAGGCATGCTGCAAAATGATATGTCCACATACTGTATGGCCATCAAAGAGATTGACCGGGACAACCTGCCAGCCTTTGGTGTGGCATTTGTCGACTGTGCCACCGCTCATTTCCAGCTTTGCGAGTTCACCGATGATATCGACTTGACCAGGTTCGAGACGCTGATCGCTCAGATGCGTCCCGGTGAGCTGTTGCTGGAAAAGTCGTGCATCTCGGCAAAGGCGATGCGCATCCTGAAGAACAACACGTCTCCAACAACGAGATGGGAGATATTGAAGCCCAATAAAGAGTTTCTGGCTGCCGACATGGCTGTTCGCGAGATCGACGCCGGCAAGTACTTTGAGTCGGAGACGGAGGACGACATCGAGGCATGGCCGCCAGTTCTCCGGGAAGCGCGTGAGCAAGAGCTGGTCATGTCTGCATTCGGCGCGCTGCTCTACCATCTCCGCAACCTGAAGATCGAACGTGAGCTTGTCACTCTCGGCAACTTTGAGTGGTACGATCCCATACGCAAGGCGACCAGTCTTGTACTAGACGGGCAGAGCTTGATCAACCTTGAGATATTCGCCAATAATTTCGACGGTTCCGGTCAAGGTACGCTGTTCGCTATGCTTAACAGATGCGTCACACCCTTTGGCAAGCGAATGCTTCGGCAATGGGTATGCCATCCGTTGGCTGATGCAGACAAGATCAATGCTCGCCTGGATGCTGTTGATGCGCTGAACGCGGACCCCAGCATCACTGACAAGTTCACTTCCTCCCTTGCCAAGCTTCCTGATTTAGAGCGACTCATCTCGCGTGTACATGCTGGTCGTTGTAAGGCCAAGGACTTTCTGAAGGTTCTGGAAGGCTTTGAGCAGATTGAGTATACGATGGATCTGCTCAAAGAGCACCGAGAAGGCGAGGGCGTCATTGGGCAGCTAGTTGCCGCGATGCCAAACCTGAAGGCAATCCTGGGAGGCTGGAAGGAAGCCTTTGACCGCGATACGGCTAGGGACGATGGGATCCTTGTGCCTGCTCCTGGCGTGGAGGAGGACTTTGACAACAGCCAACAGACCGTCGACAGCTGTCTTTCTGACTTGGACAAACTGCTGAAGAAGGCTCGAAAGGAGTTAGGCACCAACTCTGTGGAGTACCGCGACAACGGCAAGGAGATCTACCAATTGGAGGTCCCCAAGAAGGTCAAGGTTCCTTCGAGCTGGGACCAGATGTCTGCCACTGCAAAGGTCACCCGCTACTATACTCCCGAACTTCGTAAGCTCATCCGGTCTTTGCAAGAAGCGCAGGAAACGCATAGTCAGATCGTCCGTGATGTCGCGGGCCGCTTTTACAGACGCTTTTCGGAGAACTACAAGGACTGGCTCGCTGCCATCAAGATCATTGCTCAGCTGGACTGCCTCATCAGTCTGGCAAAAGCTTCAGCTTCATTGGGCCAACCCAGCTGCAGACCAGTATTCTCAGAGTCTAAACGGACTGTTATTGAGTTTGAGGAGCTGCGTCATCCCTGCATGCTCAACAGTGTCGAGAACTTCATCCCCAATGACATCAAACTGGGCGGTGACAGTGCCAACATTGATCTCCTGACTGGTGCCAATGCGGCCGGAAAGTCCACAATCTTGCGCATGGTATGCATATCGTTTTCCCCTATAGCCCGTGGTGTCGCTGACCTTCCCTTAGACCTGCATCGCCGTCATCCTCGCCCAAATCGGCTGCCACCTCCCCTGCGTCTCCGCCACCCTCACCCCGATCGATCGCATCATGTCCCGTCTCGGTGCCAATGACAACATCTTCGCCGCACAGTCCACCTTCTTCGTCGAGCTCTCCGAAACCCAAAAGATCCTTTCCGAAGCGACTCCCCGCTCGCTCGTCATCCTCGACGAACTGGGACGCGGAACGTCGTCGTATGATGGCGTTGCCGTGGCACAGGCGGTGCTGCACGATGTTGCCACGAGAGTGGGCTGCGTGGGGTTCTTTGCGACGCATTATCGGAGTTTAGCCAAGGAATTTGAGTCCCATCCCGAAGTCCGCAATAAGAGGATGGCGATCCACGTCGACGATGCCTCTAAATCTATAACTTTTCTGTACAAACTCGAGGATGGTGTCGCGGAAGGGAGTTTCGGGATGCATTGCGCGGCCATGTGCGGGATTCCGGAGAAGGTGGTTAGGAATGCAGAGGTGGCGGCCGAGATGTGGGAACATACGAGCCGGTTGGGGGAGAGGATGGAGATTAGGAAGGAAGAGGGGGAAGTGTATGTGCCGCTGGGGATGCAGAGCGATGTTGCTTGGCTGTTGAGAGAGGGGGTAGAGGGCGTTGGGGAGAGGGCTTTGGAAGTGCTGTTGAACGCTATTGAGGGGTTGTAATCGGGAGACTGCAGTGGAGTAGCTATGGGTATGTATTTGTGCAGTGGGGAGTACATGGCGAGAGGTACGTTGCGCATGGTTTTGAAGAACTGAGCTTTTTGGCGTCCTGAGCGAGAGATCGGGAGATACTGTGGTGGATATACCAGGCAGGTCGTATCGTTTAGCATCTTCTTTCGCATCATGGCGAGATGCATCTGTCTTCCAATCGTTCTTGGGTGTTCGAAAAAGGTACAAGACATTTACAGCATATACCTTAGAGCATGCATGTATTCGGTAGAGCTGCACAATGAGGTGGCATACTTCATAAGCTATCCTGCTTAGTTGTGCGAAGGTCTCGCAGAAGTAGAAACCCATTCACTCCCATCACAGAAGCGACTCGTCGAATATACATGCCCAGCCCAAACCTTCAAAGTGGTAAACCCCAGGGTACAAACCCAGCATATTGGAACGCAGCATCAGCAGGCCAGAAGGAGAATGCCGCCAACTCCAGAAATACATCCATCGGGCATCCACCTTCGCGCACCCTAGAATTAAGACTTCATGAGAAAGTCGTCGAATTCTTTCTTGATATCAGCGACCTCGGCATTCTTGATGGTAGCATCGGCGAACTCCTCGTCGTCGGTGTCGGTAGTAGCCTTCTTGCCCCTGCCCTTGGCTGCCTTGGGCGTCTTCGTCTTCTTGGTCGGAGACTCGTCGCCATCGAGATCGTCAGGCCCGTCGAGCCCGTTGGAAGGGCCTCGCTTTTTGGAAGGCGTCGTGGCACCAGCCGTGGCCTTCTTCTTGGGCGTTGACGGCGTCGACGGAGCCACTCCGGCAGCATGGTCCTTGAGCTTACGACGTAGAGTACCCATGATCGTCTTGGCGGAGCCCTCGGTGTAGCCGGCGAGCTGGGCGAACTTCTTGTAGTCGATCTGGAGGGGTGGGGAATATGTCAGAGAGGATTTGGAGATAAGGACGACAGTGGAAACGTACCTTGGGTTCGGTCTCGAAACACTGCCATGCCAGCGCCAGGATCTCCTGCTCACGAGCGGAGAACTTTTGGCCAGTATTGGACGCCATGTCGCTTGAAGTGTACTGGGTTGAGGATGTGTAGAGGAGGGCTTGAAGAAGGTATGTCGTGAGGGAACTTGCAGAACACTTGCTCGAGCTGGGTGTAGAGGAAAGAGGAAGAAGGAAGAAGGAAGAGGAGAGAAGGCAGGCTTTTATATCTAGGCCGGCGCGGGCTAACAAACGGCCAACTGTCGGTGAAGCACCGTTTCACATCCTCTTGCAGGGCGAGTGAACGGGGGCAAGGCAGCAAAATTTGCTCAACGAGCTCACTTTCACCTGCCCTCTCATGAATCCGCTCAGCACACAGAAGCGGTGAAAGCCAAACTCACACACCAACGTGTCGGCGCCACAGGTACCACGACGGCAGCATAGACGGACGGGAGATTCGTTGCTACCAAATTGTACGCAGCTGCAGTCCTCAGCAAAGCACTCGTGACGTTGACATTCTGCAAGTCGGCAGGTGAGGGAGCAGATATCGACCTGACTTAGGACAGCTATAATTCCAGACTATCAGCTACAGTGCAGATGAGTCACTCTGCCGTAGGGCGCCATGGTTGGCAGCACGCACCTGTCAGGGGTTCATTTAAAAGCGTTCATCAACTAGCCATGCCGCACACTATAGCATCACGAGACGGATTGTCATCCCTCCTGTCAACAAGGTGCAAGGGAGGTCGTCCCTTTTATTTTTGCAAGTGCGAAAGTCGTCTCATATTCGCTTGACTTCCTTCCCTCGTAATTCAGGTCTCTCCACGTCCAATTCATCCCTCAATGCAGCATAAAGCGAATCTCCGACGATGATGGACAGGCCCAAGCTCCACACCAGCGTAATGGCGTAGAAGAAGTTGGCATTTCCAGATCCTGCATAAATCCACAGATAGTAGAACGCGGGTCCGAGGAATGAAGCGTAGAGTATAGCGGCAGACGCGAGGAAGGTATATCGCATCACTGAGTTGCGTCAACATATATCATTACTGAGACTGTTCATGACAACTTACAAGGGAATAGATGCCTGAATAAGGGTAGTAAAGACAGATACAAGGCAGCATCTGCAATGCTGGGATAAGGGGTGAAGATGGCGAATATGCCCGTCAGGCTCATAGCTGCGAACAATGGCTGCTTTCGCAGACGTATCGTGAATCCAGGCATATATGAGGCCACGTGCAGCCAGAAAACTCCGAGGAAGAACTCACGGAAGGAGTCAAACATTTCGATGAAGAAGTACCACCACAAGCCAACATTGGGAGTCAAATCGGGTAGAAGTAGTCGAACACCGTAGGTAGACATCAGGAACTCCCAGGAGCCGGTAAGCGATGCGGAGAGATAGAGGAGAAGCCCGCACGCTGCTCCGAAGCCTGCCGTGAGCGTCAAGGCATAAAGCGCGAGTTTAGGTGCGGCCGTTGAACGTGAAGCTCGAACGTCATAGCAAAGGAAAAGCAAAGGCGGAAAGAGAAGGACAGGGTGTAAGGAGAGGTATGATGCCACGGCCAACGCAAAGGCAAAGGTAATAATTGCACCTTGCGAAGCCTTGGCCATAGCCGTGAGAATGAACATATTACTCAAAGCAGCTGTCGAGTGGGAGATACAAGTAGCCACGGTAAACGGATTTAATAAAAAGCTGTTTTGGTCAGACCATACTTCTATCTGCTCCATATCGACGTACCCTGCAGCAACGGCAACGCTACTCCATCTCATATCTTTCCGAGACGATTGAAACAGCCTGGGAGTGGCCGACTGTCCACTCTCCGCGATTTGTATCAGAGCATATGCTCCCAGCAGATCTACGGCCGTATAAAGGAGATTGGTCGCAAATGGAAAGTAGGAGGGATCGGGCAGGAGGGAGAAGAGGGGAAGTAGTAGTGGAGCCTGCGCATTGTAAGCGAAAGCTAACGCACGAGCAAGGATGTCATTTACCTGGTGATATATGCCGCCGTCATAAGGGGACACATTGTGAGTATAGAGGAAGAGACCTTCCTGCAACCGTTTGAAGCTTGTCACTGGAGTTGATACTTCGACGCGGCCAGCAAGGAGGTTTGGTAAGGAGGGAAAGGCCGTGAAGAGGACCAAACGCACCGCAGCGGCCGCTCCAAAGAGCAGTGCCTTCTGCTGGTCCATTGACATCGCAAGTACGCCGACTATCGTATTACACCCATTCTGAGTTGTAACATGCGTTGAGGCATCACGTAGGTCGTCGGTCCTTGTTCCGCCAAGCCGGAATTCGGAGTATCTTAACGCCTAAATCTGGTGGTGGATCGCCAGCGCTCGAAACCTTTTTGTCTGCGGCGCAAAAGTGGACAGTTGATTCCTAGGAAGAGCTTTCTCGCTGTGCTACTGTAGAACCATGGCGCGTATGAAAAAGAAAGGTATGATTGTATTCCACTACCGTTTCCACTTCACTAACAGTACCAGGAACGTCCGGCGCGGCCAAAAATTATATCACTCGCACGCGAGCTGTCAAGAAACTCCAGATCTCATTGCCAGACTTTCGAAGATTATGCATCTTTAAGGGTATGCATTACTCAGACAAGTATTCTAGTCACACCTAACAAAATGCGCAGGTATTTACCCTCGTGAACCCAGGAACAAGAAGAAGGTCCATAAAGGCTCGACTGCCGCCACCACATACTATTACACGAAAGACATCCAATATCTCCTCCATGAACCGCTTCTCAACAAATTCCGCGAGCACAAGGCTGTTGCGAAGAAGGTTGCACGTGCCCTGGGCCGCGGCGAAGTTGGGGATGCTGCTCGATTGGAGAAGACGCACATTCCCAAGATCAAGCTCGACCATATCATAAAGGAGCGATACCCAACATTCATTGATGCCCTTCGCGACCTTGACGATGCGCTGTCAATGCTCTTCCTGTTCGCAAATCTGCCGTCCAGCCCTCACGTACCCGCCAAGACGATTGCGCTATGTCAACGCCTCTGCCTCGAGTTCGAACACTATGTGATCGCCTCACATTCTCTGCGGAAGTCCTTCCTGTCGATCAAGGGTATATATTACCAAGCAACTATCCAAGGACAGGACATTCTCTGGCTCGTTCCCTACAGGTTCGTACAGAGGACGGGAGGTGACATTGACTTTCGTATCATGGGGACATTCGTCGAATTCTACACTACGCTGCTGGGTTTCGTCAATTTCCGGCTGTACACGTCCATCGGCCTAGTGTATCCTCCCAAGTTCAATGCAAAGAGCGATGAGATGGGTGGAGAGTTGGGTGCCTTCCAGCTGGAGAGCAAAGGGCTGGGTACGAATGGAGACGCGACAACAAACGGCGGGGAGCAGAGGACAATCACGTCTGCCGAAGCGCAGGCCGAAGTCGAAAAGGTGGCAGCCCTTGCTGCTTCGGAGCCCCAGGAGGAGGATGCACCAAATGGCGCTACCGTCCCCGGTGACGATGAGAATACCGACAAGATCGACACTTTTGAGGCCGTAGCTCAAGATGCGGATATCCTTCCCCAACCTCAGGCTAGTAATGACGAGATTGCATCCCTCTTCGCTCCGTTCACATTCTTCCTATCCCGAGAGACCCCTCGGCAGCCGCTTGAGTTCATCCTGAAAGCCTTCGGATGCAAGCGCGTGGGATGGGACGGGATTCTAGGCGATGGCGCGTTCACCACGGATGAATCGGATCCGTCTATTACGCATCAAATCGTCGATCGTCCGGCGCTCCCTGCTGAATCGCTTCCGCAGGTGCCATCTGCCCCAGAGGACAAGAACGACAACGCCGCTCCCAGGGTTCAATGGCCACGTTCAACCATGCCTGGTCGCACCTACGTACAACCTCAATGGGTTTGGGACTGCATCAACCAGGGAAAGCTCTTGCGGCCGGATCTTTACGCGCCTGGCGCAGAGCTGCCTCCTCATCTAAGTCCATGGGTCAAGCCGAAGAAGGGTGAATACGACCCCAATCTTCCACTGGAAGCGCAGGAACGTGAAGGGGAGGCAGAAGCTTTCGAGGAAGAGGAAGATTTCGAGGAAGAAGGCGAAGAGGAAGAGGAAGACGAGTCAGATGTCGAAATGCGTACGACTGATACCACAAATGGTACGAAAGCAATTCTGGACCGTGGAGGGTCTGTAGAAGCAGGAGAGGGTATGGACGTTGCAAGTGGCGAGTCGGAGTCGGATGACGAGGACGAGGAGGACCAGGAAGATGCGGAAGAATGGGACGGAATTGAGTCGGAGCCCGAGTCCGACGTCTCTGACGGAGAAGCAGCGCGCCGACAACACCAACGTGAACTGGAAGCTGAGGCGACTGGCAAGACGTTGGAACCACCTGTTGTCACGGCCAAGTCCAAGAATGCAGAAATCAGGAAGAAGGCCGAGAAGAAGAGACAACAGGAAGCAGAGGAGAAGGAACGGCAGAAGATGATGCTGCCAAGGCGTAAGAGGAAGCTTCTGAAGCGTATCGAATATGGCGAAGAGAAGCGTGACAAGGAGGCCGAGGCCTTGCGCAGGAAGCGCCGCAGGATTGAGAAAGCACAAGCTGCGGCGAATGCGTTGTCGTAACAATGGAAAAACGGGTAATGGCGTTTCGGTGTCATGGCTGGGTACGATACCTTATTGCGATCATGTAGGAAACTATAGAGCATGTGGACATCGCAAGCAACATGCGTGCAATGAATGGTTTGGCGGAGTTGTCTAGCCACGAGGGTGACTTGGGCCCCCAGGCTTGCCATTTGGCATGGTGGCGCAGAGTCGTCAGGTCCGAGGCATGAAGTGTGATGAGTCACTGCTTGCATCGCGTAGAGCGTAGAGTCAGAATGTCTATATAACCTGTGAGCAGGAGAGCTTTTCCTCACTCTATCTGATCCATCCCCTTCAGGACGCTCAACGAAATCACACACCACGATCTTCAGATCCTAGCTCCATATTTATCTCGGGCTCGCCACCCGATTGCGCCGATGCCGGGCCTTTAGGCATGTCAACCCCTTGAGCCCAAACAAGACTTAACAACGAACATGGGCGTCACCACTGTAATGGAAATATATGGGGTAAGTAGGGAATATGGCTCCCCTCTAAGAGTTGTCGACTTTGTGGTACGTATATATCATCGCCCACGGATTGCTTGACGGCTGGGAGTGAAAACGATTGATTTTAAGCCATAAGTACAGGGAAAAGGTTACAAGTACAATCCCATACGAGGACTCCAATAGTAGGAGACAAGTCTACTTTCCTTTGCTCCCTCGCTAGCAGCCCAAATTCCATGTAGGGTGCCCAATCTAGGCTTGCCGAGGTGGGTCGGGGCACGCTCCTATCGCTCAAACAAAAATTTGCTGCTGGGGATTTTGCCGCAGTCTCGCAGGTAGACATTCACCGCACTTCATCCATTCTCGCCGCATGCTCATGTTCTCGAGGCTACATAATTCCAGTCGGCCTGCGGCGTCAGTAAAAACAGAAAGCGAGCCTCCACAGCGCATCACGTGATTTGACATTCACCATCGCACTCCTATTCATCGGCCGAGACAATAGGATTGCTTCGTTATTGTCTGTAGCACTTTTCGACGCCAGTTAAATTCATCATCGCTTCTATACAACCTCCGAACTTCCTCTCAATCTCTCGAGACCTCTTCCTCCAAATTCCACTTCAACAATACCTCTACCCTGGATACCTATCCACTTCCATTATACTTGCCTCCTACAGCACCAACCAATTCACCGGAAATCATGACCCTCCACAACAGTAAAATCCGCCACCTCTTCCCAACTCTCCCTCCCGAGATCCGCAACGAGATTTACGCCTACGCCTCCTCATCATCCCAGAACCCCGCCACAATCAACGGCCTCCCATTCGCCACTAAGACCTACAACTACAGCCAGACAAGCGTCGTCATCTGTCCGATTCACACAGGAAACCCGTCCCTGCTCGCGCTCCAAAGATACGGATTCCTAGAAGCAAAAGAGTACTACAGCTGGCTAATGGTTCACGCCATCCAAATCCGAATCTCTGTCGTCTTCAAAGGGCATGTGGGGTGGTTCTCCCAGAAACACTGGGAAGAGAAGATGACGGCTTCCCTGCAGAAGCTGGTGAAGAAGTACCCCTGGATAGGCACAGCTGCGCAGCGGGACGTCAGAGTACTCTGGGACGCAAAAATGGAATCTATGGCGGCCAAGCCGGGGAGAGCAGCGGAGATTGTGAACGCGATGGTGAAGACGCTGGTTGGATTTCAGGATCCTAGGGTGAGGGCTAGGGATGGGGTTGTGAGCGTGCGGTTCCACATTCCGCATTCGTTTGCTGCTGCGAAGGTGCTGCATGGGTGGCAGTTCGGGCTGGAGACGTTTCTGGGAGCGAGAGCAGCACCAGAGGCAAGAGTGGAGCGGCGGGAGGTAACGTTAGGGGACGTAGTTAAGAGAGGACCGGCTAAGGTCACGGAGCGATTCTTAGCGGTGCCAGGACGTGTTGAAGAGAAGGAAGTGATTGTGGTGCAGAATGGGAGGGTGGAGTGGACGTCAGGAACGGAAGGACTTCTGGTCATGAGGAGAATTGTCCAGGAGGGAAGGTCTTGGCAAGAAATGGTGGCTGTTGACGAGAAGGGGCCTGACTGTTGGCGATTATGTCCGTTGCGAGCAGAGTGTGGTGACGCTGAGGGCACCAGAGGAGTCTAGGTATTACGGTCATGCGGTGGTGGATCGGACGAGAAATGAGGAAGCCCCATTCCAGCATGAATCAAAGCGCTCAATGCAATATCGGAGCATGGAACGGGCGATAAGCTCGATACAATAATATACTGTCAAGTTCATCCTTATGCCTGTAACTCCAACGTTCCGAAATGGATAAAATATAGAAGCATGGCTGTCTGTTCTAGCATCCGCGTGCCTGTGCATCATTCTACGGCTTATACAATGCGGTACTATACAGTCACGTCATCTTTGCAATGCATTTCCACATTCCTGCCCAAAGAATATCCCAAGTAATGAGTGTGCTTAGGGGTGGTAAAACCGCCCTGATTCTCGTCGTATATTCGTTTCTGCTTCCTGCAGTTCCTGTCGTGCCCACTCCAACACTCCGCGACCTTCACCTTCATCTATGTCTTCGAGCCGCATGAAAGTCTCGAAATATCCTCTGGCTCCAAATTCCAACAACAGCTTCCTCCCTTCCAATATATTCCCCGTTGAGTAGCGCAGTCTTGTATGTGCTGTCCAAGACAGCCCCAGGAGGTCGGGATCCGCTCCGTGGGACAACAGTAGGCTCATGATTGCGGGTCGTATTGGCTTAGACATCCCTTGCAGCGCGGTGTAAATGTCGAAAGGACGTGTGCGTCCTTTTGCGGTGAGGTCAAGAGCGCTTCCAACTTTCGTTGAAAGGATATGTGCTGTCATGACAACATTTCCTTGTTTGATTGCACGCACCAGTGTAAGCCGGTGCAAATACTCCGTGTTTGGTGCAAAGAGGCCGCTGATGAAGTCAAAAAGCTCCGGATCTGGGGGCTGAAGAGATTGTTCAGCTGCAATACAGGAAGCTCTCTCCGTCAATGTTTCGTGATCCCCTTTGAGTAAGGGGTCGGAAGCAACTATGCCCCCTGGGTGGGACACAAGGAGCTCCATCATTTTTCTATCTCGCTCTGTTGTTGCTATCGTCATCGCATCGAGTAGCTGCCGGTTACGGTGCTTTGGATTCGAATAGGTACCATACGTCAGGAGTATGTCAACTAGCTTTTTATCCCGATTCCTTGTTGCAAGCTGAGGATGGTCGCGGCCGACCCAGGGGCTACCTTTCCAATCCAGTATGGCACCCTCACTAAGCGTGGACCGCACCGCCGCATAATCTTGCCTCCTCACTGCGAGAGTCAAGCGCGCAATCAGAGAGGCTTCCCTAATGGCATGGTCTTGAAGTGGTTGACTGCGGGTTCGAATTCGGACTGAATGGTGGAACAGTGACTCTGCACACGCGCGATGTTCTGAAGCCGTTGCGAACACCTCGCAAAGCTCTTGATGTACCATCTCTACGTCTTCAATTCTGGATTCTGGTGAAAGATCTCTTGCCTCCAGTTCGAATATAACAAGCTGGTCAAATATGTCCACCACTGGGTCGGTCTTGGGCTCTCCTAAGTATCCTCGCCGCATCCGATGGTAGAAGTATATTGGCCTTAAAGTCTTCGGGAACTTTGACTGAGACGTCTCGATTTTGCCTCTCTTCCGCTGCCATCGTAGAGGGTCTGTCCATGGGATAATCCAGTCAGAAATCTTGAAAACGGAATCAATTCGCCGGCTGCGAAACATTAGGCGGAGGATTTCGGTGTTGAATGCTTCTAAGGATGGATATGAGCAGGCGGCTAAGTGAAGCTTCTTTCCAGGTACTCACGGGATACTAGCCGCAGAGCGAAAAGCTGAGGGAGTTTGAGTTCCCGTTCGAGTTCCTCTAAAACTGTACGAAAGAGTTCTATGGGGAGATTCATGATAGGTTCTAGTTGATTGGAAAGGTACGTCTTGTGAATTCTTGTCGATAAATATTCCCACTCGTTGATGTGTGATGACTGTGTTTATTAGTCGGAGCCATCTTCGCGGGGATCAATTCATCGTGCACGGGCCTCTGTCAGCCCCCTGAACACCGGTGGCTATACTAGGAAGGTGCGGAATGGTTAAATGAACACCGAGCTAGGAGAATAAGCGTGGTCTAAGCTAAGAAGAACAAAGTTGTGAAGTTTACCTAGCTAGAAGTATACTGTATACACTTTACCTTTCCTTATAATAGGCAGATTAACTGCACGGATTCGGATTAATCTATCCTACATGCGATATCTTTCTCCTAGCGGTAATCAAGCACTTGATTTCTGCAGTCGGCTCCCTTATTCCTTGATTATTGCTGCCTAGGCAATTAGGTACATCTCAAAATCATGTCCTTCATCGCGCGAGCAGTACTCTACGTTGGTACAGGTGCGAATGCAAGCTAGCAGATAGAGGAGCTTAGAACTCTTAGACTAGCTATCGAACAAAGTCTAGCCTAGAAGTAGCAGTTATAATGTAAGCATTAGATAGACTCCGCGAGCGGTGATAAGTTGACTAGGTGCGCTGACGACTAATGGGAACCTTTGAAGCTATTAGGAACAACATAAATTTGCCCGCATATCGCAAGTACTTCCGTCTCGTGCAAGTTCTTATCTAATTAGATCGAATCACGGAGTAATAATCTTGTATCGCAGGGCATTTTAGGGGACTCGCTGCTACTATTATTTCGATAATAAGACTTGTCTATAATCAATGCGGCGTTCTTGTCTTTTTTTAGCCCGTCCTAGATCTACATAATGCGTGCTCCGTATCTAAGGCCAATTCATATTCGCATTGCGTTAGATACGTCAATGATAATGCAACGTCAAATCTGGTACTTGGAAAGTACTTTGTATGCATCTACAGTATGTCGAGAGGGATGAGATGTAACAGTAAACTCTGCTATGAGCTCTTACGACGCCAGCAACAAGGCAAAGGACAGCCTATCGAACAATTCATTCTAAAGTCCGAAGAAGGTTCTCTAACTCGATTTATATTAGGGTTACTCAGTTCCCGCGGCGGAGGAGCAGGTAGAACGGAGAAGTAAGATGTCAGGATCTATTCACTTTATATGTCTCTTAGTTTGCATAAAGACGGCCGCAGGCTTCGCGAGGTGATGCAGTATGGCAGAGCCGGTTAGAAAGGTCAAGACAAGTACAATATGAGGGTAACCAGAACCTGGGAGCGATTGCAATTGACCTCTCAACGGCTTCGGCTACAGAGATAGTAAGACTAAGATCAAGCGCCTAAGGGAGACAAGAGTATTGTTAAAAGCGTAAGCCAACAACTTTCTTGACAGGAGCGTCAATACTTTCCAGGTTTAACTAGATGTTTACCCCGGCGCGCAAAGGCGCTGAAGTAAACCTTGAATAAGTAAAATCAGCTGTCTCAACACGTCACTTGCCCGCATAAAAGAGGAATAATGGTGTAAAACTATACTGTCCCAAGTCACGGCTGTGCGGACTGATTGGTCCCCTCGAAATCATCCAGGCTGCAGTTAGGCTTACACGAATTGAGAACCCTAGCAACCTTCATCATACTTGTAGACCCTAAACTTACAATGATTTACTGTGGGTTCTGTGTTTAAGCAGTAGACGTGGTACTCGTGCCAGCGATACATCAAGGCTACTGTGGTTGCTGCCATATATTTTGTAAATGCCCGTAACACACATCAGCAGACGGGTGACTGCTGGTTGGTCAATTTTCTTTACGCCTGCGCTCTGATTGGTGCATGAGCACAGCCACGAGACCCACATTTTACAAAACATATGGCAGCAACCATAGTATGAGCTTAATTCATCGGCTTATTCGATCAGAACTGGTTTAGGATTTCTACTGGTAGAACACGCGCATGTGTTGTATGTGTGACATCATGCGCCACTAACCAGTTGCGGAGCATGAGTGAGGGGTCATGACATACACAGCTACTCCTCACTCTCGTTTGAACGTCATGTCTCCTGATAGTCCTTGTGCGGGGTCCAACACCTATACATAAGGAGTCTTCGTCATTGTTTGCATTTGCTAACGAATCACTCACAATCGTACCATCTCACACAGTCACCAAAGCCCACAGATCTACCTGATCGTATTTTGCACATCTCCCACCATGAGCTCAGAAAGCAACATGAACAAAGGCTCCGACAACCCCCTTGGCACCGAGCCCATGCCTACAGAGACAGCCGGCGAAGGAGAGGAGCGGACGCATTGGGGCGAGCACTTCGGACAATACGAATTCACCGAAGACCAACTACGCGCAATGGGGGAACAGACTCGACTGGACATCAACGCCAGGGGTGAGAGTTTGGGTATGAATCGCCCGAGCGGCGGTTCGCAGCAGTCGAAATCGCAGCCGCAATCGAAGACGAAATAGATGGGAACGCTTGCCGTTAAGAGGAGATGACTAGGCATGGTTAAACTGAGAGGATGCATCAACTGTACGATATCATTGTGCACATCATCAAAGCTGAGGTTATAGTTCATCGACTGGACCTTTCTTCACTATAATGATTTGGGTTTTTCTTGTCTCGGCAGACGAAGAGGCATAGTGTGAACAATGAATGGTTCTGTTTCCGCAGTGTGCGCGCAAAGTGAACGCAACGTCGTTTTCAGTTGCTGTTTGAAAGTGCAAAATGTAGGGAGGTGCCTTGCCTCAAGGTTGCTTTGTCTTGGAGAATGCATGAGAGAAAGCGACGAATGCGGTTTCTGAGCAAGTCGTATGAGACACAGCCCAAACAGCGGCGCCAGAGCCCATGGAAGACAAACTTTTCAGTGCGATGTTGAAGCGCTTCCGGAATATTAGGCCTCTAATCTGTGGGGATGATCCGGCCGCTCAGATAGGTTCCAACCAAGGGAAACTTTTCGCTATATGTGTTTTGCTGTTCGCACGGAGAACCGTAGTGTCTAATTATAAACTATCACGCGGTAGGATCAAAGTCGCGTCCCGTTACTTATCAGGCTGGAAGATGCAGCCATCTACATAGGTATCAAACTCGTTGAGCAAGTTATTGACAATACAAGAGAGGTAGTGTTTCTCGGAGTGTTATTGTCTACTTCAATAAGCAAAGGACCTTGGAGAAGCAAGGCCGCAATCAAGGTAGTGTAACCGACTGCTGCAGTGCTGATGCCCACCCTATGGTAAGCCTAACTTCTTGAACCCGATTCTCAATTCCCGAGCTCAACAGCTCAAGAAGAATCAAGAAGCAGCACATACAGATGCACGCCGCGCAAATCTTCATCTCAGGAATGACACTGTAGGATGGCTCTGTGTCGTCCTCAACAATAGCACCGTGGTCCCGCGAGCCCTGCGCCATGTACCGAGAAAATTGGAAGCCGTCTTCCGCTCGCACCAGCTCCAGCCAGTCGCCCCTAAAGTCCACTGTCTCCTTCTCTCCCTCGCCGATTTCCCAGAGCGTCTCCTCATGCAAAGCCCAGGCGGGCACAACGACTCGCTTCAACCGCGCGAAATCATCGAACCAACCAAGGTCTACGGAGAATCCGCTCTCGTCCCAATTCCATAACTCGATGGCTTCGAGGTCGGGGCAGTTCTTTCTCAACCTGGAGGTTATGTGCAAGCTGCGAGCGTAAACCCCCTCGTCGCACTGCCTTTGCAGTGTGAAGCGCTTCAGCCGTCGACACACCGGAGAGATTATGGCAACCATGCAGTCGGGGCCATCATTTACAGGCACCGACTCACACTCGAGCCACTTGAGATTGAGCTCTTCAACAGCACAACCTTCTCTCACCTCGCGAAAATCCTTGACCAGTTTATGCCTTGGGATCGTGGAGTCATATAGATAGGGAACGTTCAACGTCAAAGTCTTAAGGGTCTTCGTTCTCAGTACAATGGCTAGCCCTGCGAACTCCCACGTCAAATGTGAAAACTCCATCTCTAATGTGTGGAGTTGGTCAAGGACCGGGAACCAGAGCGGAGGATATTGGCTGGGGAAGGTTCCCCGTCTCTTGAACGCGCAGGTGCCGGCTCTTGGATTCAGCGACATTGTTAACCGAGACACCTTTGTGGTCAATCTAGGTAGCAGTTCGGCAATCAGTTCGTGCGATATGCGATACCTGGTATCCAAGAGTTTGTCACTATAATTATCGTAATTCCAGGCCTCATTGAGCATATTCTTTATGACAGGGGAAAGACGTTGATGATCCCACTCGGGAAACAGTTTGCAGGGTTTCCTCTTATCGTCCCAACCTGGCGCCATAGCGTAGTCATACGGTCCTTCGGTAATGGTAAGTGACTCCACCCGGTCGGCCAGCTTAGGGAATTTGTCGAAGAGTTGGAACATGCGCACTGCCTGGACAACGGTAACGGTCATTTCGCGGTAAAGGGTGATTTCGGCGCATAGTTGAAGTTTGCGGCACGTTAACGTGAGGCTGTGGAGAGCAGGGCGATCGAGATGTGCGCAGATCTGGTGCAAGAGCTCCGGACTTAGCGCGAGGATGTGAGGCATTGTGTGTGGTTCCCTGATTGCAGTTGTTAGGTCCAAGCCTGTGAGACAGCAACATATAAACTTACTCTGCCGCGAGTCGAAGCCAGTGGCCTAGTCTTGGTTGTCAAGATAATGGATAGAAAGCGCAGAGAAGAGGTGGACGCGCACCAGATGATAGGACTGACGGTGGACACAACAAGCAAAATTTCACGCTGTTAGGGTGATTTGCAGGTGCCACTTGTGCGTCCCGGGGATTTGATAGATGCGATCTCGGGTTAGGCAATTTGAGGAGAAGGGGGGGGGGGGGGGGGGGAGAGAACAGGAATAAGACGCTTAAGACTGTATATGCCAAGCGGGTTCTACATCACGCAATTACAATCATGTTCGCGATGTGTGTTCGACATGAGAACTTCTGATCTGCGGACGCGAGTGAAGGAGCGATCGATCGCCCAAGTTCGCGCCGCTATACTATGTATTCCTACTTCGCAGAGCCCGAGACTTTGGCACTCGGCCTTATTGGTGCCTCTATAAAAATTAGAGCGGTGCGCGCCTTAGTTAGCTTTCCTAAATCTTTGCTAGTGCCGATCCTTGGACCTGTATGACATGTGCACGTTGAAGGTAATGTAACCCTACTGACGCGGCCGTTCCATCGCCCTAACAGTGGGGTGCATATGCAAACAGTATGCAACAGGACAACGGTTTCTATTCAACCAAAATCTTCCGCAGTAGCATACTGTGTAAGACAGGTGTACTCGCTACGCGAAGCTGCCTACGCTAAGCCGTATAGATACGCCCAGGAGAAATGTGTGCAGGGGCACTACTAAGAGTAGCAAACTAAGCGCACAAACCCTCGCGCCTCGGTCATACCACAGTAGCTATAGATCGCCCTATCCTAGACACCTGACGTAGGCGATCATCAACATCAGAGTGCCAGCGTCAACCTTTTCGATCCAATCCCCTATTCTCTAGCTTCTGCAGTTTTTACTAAGCGTACTGTGCCGATTAGCTTAGAGTTGCGAGTAGTTCCTCTGCTCCCACCCACACCCAGTTCCACAAAGTGATTTTCCCTGTTTCTGGCCGCAGAAATCAAATTGCAACGTCAGGAACCATGTCCCAGCAGCCCGTGCACCAGCTCGAGAAAAGGCAAACTGCATCGGAGACGCTGAGTGTGCACAATGCCTAATACGGTGGACTATTAGCAGGTATCCGGCCAAAATTCAAACCGCCCAAAGGTGCAACTATAAAGCTCCGCAGAATCTGTAGCATACGTACAGAGCGTACATATAGAGTGCAAGTACGCAGTGTATGCACGCAACACGTATACAATGTACAGTATATGTACGCAGCAAGTACGCAGTGTATATACGCATCGAGTACGCAGAACAAGTACGCAGTATAAGTACGCAGTGTAAGTACGCAGTGTAAGTACGCAGTGTATGTACGCAGTACAAGAAGAGGTAGGGCTTCGTTGTTTCCGTTTGAATTTTGGCCGGATACCTGTTAATAGTCCACCGTAGCCCAACCGAGGGATGCATTCTTGACAGGAACTGGTCGCAGTACTCACTCATGCAGGCTAAACGATTTTCCGGCACGGTGGTTGGAATGTCTTTAAACAAATATCCCCAACCCTCCTATCTACTGCAATAAGCAGGAGTAGGAGACAGCTATCGAAATAAGATATATCTAAAACGAGAATACTAACAATCCATTATCCAGCACCCACCGACCTCTTTCATCCCGAGATTCCCGCATCCTTCCACCATAACCTAGAGAGGCAATGACATCATCCCGCCCTCCTCCTCCTCCTCCACCAAGCATCACCCGCCTCTACAAGTACTAACTATAACCGAGTCCCAGTTCCTGCGAGAAACTGAATACAAAAATCCCAACAACATAATTAAATCAACGACCCAGCTACCTTTGGTTGCCATCTCTCCCCCGAGCCCATCAAGCCATCACAACCATTCCATCCTTCCTCCCGTTGCCCTTCGCGCATCCCACCACCAAAATCCACTCATCACCATGCCCCCCCGCAAAAGCGACACCTTCTTCGAGCACATCCTCGCGAGCCACTGCAGCCACAGCGACACCCACAGCGGATGGCGCGACGGCGAGTACGACAACGACGACGACGACGACCAGCTGGGGGGCGACGGGAACTACGTCTCCGTCTCCCGAGCTGGGGAACGGCGGCAGAGCATGCGTGAGAGTGCTTTGAATGCTGCTCCGTCGGAGGCGGGAGCGGTGGGAGATGGGAGTCAGGCTACTGCTGGTGGTGGTGGTGATGATAGAGGTAGCGGTGATACTGATAGGGAAGCAAGGCGGGGGGGAAGCTAAGAGTACGAGGTACTGTGCGTCCACCTGCATGGGTACCACTCCGCCGCCGAAGCCAGGTACTAAGTTGGGTAGTTTTGTCTTTCGGGTACATGCATCGGGGTACGGGAGTCAAAGGAAGCAGCGCATAAATGCTGGTAGGGATCAAATTCTACATGAAGGCAGTAGGGGAATTTGGGAAGACCTGGAACCAAGGTCAAACGTTGCGGTACTTCAATCTGTACGTAACCTAGCACTTATGCAATAGGTATTGGATATCAATGGTTCGAGTGGAGATGGCAATTGATTGTAAAAAGAGTACTATTACACATGAGTGAAGCGTCATGTCCGCTGCTCAACTTCCACCATTTAGGAAGGAGTCTCAGAAATCCAACCCTGGCTATAATGCCAGTCTACCCAAGAGGCTTTTTTTAAGAGGCTTTTTTTTTCTTTTATTTTTTTTCTTTTCTTTTTTTCTTTTATTTTTTTCTTTTCTTTTTTTCTTTTCTTTTCTTCTTTTCTTTTTTTCTTTTCTTTTTTTTCTTCTTTTTCTTTTCCTTTTTCTTTTTCCTTTGCCTTCCTCTCGTCCAGATTCTAAATTGAGTCCCTACTGCGCCCTCTCACATCCGACTGAACATCCCCTTGTACTGCTGCTCTGAGTTAGATCACCTAATTCAACCATTTCAATTGGCCACAGTCTAGTTTAAGGCACTAGAGCACGGGGCTTTAAGGCTCATTATACCTGGACGAAGGCGCTGTCACGCCAATCACAGCGTCAGATATACCCCTGCGACCCCCTGTCTGTTCAGTCGGATGTGAAAAGGAGCAGTAAATTGAGTCCCTATTACATCCATGACGAATGGCCATACCCGCCACCAGGCATACCGGCCTCGGTTACGGCTACGCGGAAGGCCGACGACGGGCTGTACATGGTCGGCTGCACTCCGACGAATGCCTGGTGGGCACTCTCGGCGGAGGAGAACTGCTGGGGCACAGCCGTGATACCCATATGCTGGTGTAGCTCTGGGAGGCTGTACGAGGACGTGGCAGTTGGGTATGGATCGTAGAACCCCTGAGCACCGTTGGAGGGGACGATGGCTTGGCTGGGGAAACCGGGGACTTGGATGACGCCGTTGTGCATGGTATGGGTTACTTCGGGTTGATGTGGGTGCTGGATGAGGCCGGGCCAGTGGTCGTCGATCTTGGCTTGGAGGCGCCTGTGGTATACTGCATTGCCCTCCTGAAGATTGCTGAGGAGCTGGCAGAAGTCGGCGACGTCGTGGACATGTTCCCGGTAGGCTGGGTGGCCGGCTATGACCTTTATTACACAGCAGGCAATGTCGAATAACTTCGCCACCTGTCCGTAGGTTAGCAATGATGCTATGCAAGTGCTTGTTTTGCGAATGTCTCCCTTCGAGGAAAAGACGGGCGCGTCAATGAAAGAAGGGCGGCGTTGTGCTTACCAGCTCGGCACCAAGCAGCTTCAGAGAACGTGGTGAAACGTGGTTAACTACCGAGAAGACCCTGCTTGAAACGTCGATCGGATACTGGAACTGCAGGCAGGGTTCCTCGGTCACGCTCGGCACCAATCCACGCTCGTGACACAACCGCCAGAGCATGATGTGTAGCCAAAGCTGGGTGATCCTCAGATTGGCTGTCATGGGCTCGGGACACATCGGGTGCTCGGACAGAATCGTCCCGGCGAGCCTCTGCTGCATAGCCACGATGGTCTCGCGCTCGGGGGTCTTGCCATTATTACACCAGTTGACCAAGTGCTCATCGAAGGGTTGGAAAGGTTGGTGCAGCTCGAGGAGGACAAGCTGCGCCCGTCGCTCGGGCCCGTTCAAGTCAATCCAGTTATCCAAGGCCGGCGGAAGCATGGAGGGAGCCAGACGTATGGGAAAACGTCTGCGGAGACCGTGAGCTCTATTTTCCAGGTGAGCAAATGCACGAGGTGAAAAGGGGCGTGTTTCATGGTGGAGGATGGATGCGGAAGGCCTACCTTTCTTGCATAAACAACGACCAGAAGAATGTGCGCTGTGGGACAACGCGCGACATCCAGCCGGGCGGCATGGGAGCCTCGAAGGTGTCGTCTTTTTGAAAGCCCAGCAGGTATGCCTGGGTAATGGCCTCCTGAAGCACTTTCCAAGCGTCAGACTCTTTGTTGAGTCCGTAGTGACAGCCATAGTAGAGCCAGGAAGTGAGGATGGTCGAGTAGCTCGGTTTTACTAGGCAGTCATCGAGGCCTCGACGAATCCGCATGGATTCTTCTAGCAGCAACTCGCCGTACTCCAGCGAGGTTGCGGCCCTGTATTCCTGCCTCTCAATCAGATTCGGATCGAGCGGCATGCGTGCCTGAATCAAGAGATTGGCGCACAGGGCCGTGATTGTGCAGTAGGCGTCAAGGGAGGTGTCGACCGTTTGGGATAGACTCCGGATGTCGTGCATGGGCACAAAGGGGTAGAGATAGTGGACGTTGTCCAGGAAGGCCAGGCAGCTGTCCATCATAGCTCGCGGCAAGACTCGAGGGCTCCGAGCGGGACGGCCATGTTCGTCGACGGAGAGAGGGGGGAGGACGTTGGGCCGGGCCTGCTCTTCCCGTATCGTGTTGAGGACCTTGGCATGAGTGCCCTTTGGGCCTTTCTTCAGCGGGACGGAGAGATAGGTGCATTGGAGTTTGGCGCTGACGCAATTCTTGCATGGAGGTTTTGTGCCTTGGGTTACGCATTTGATCTTGCGCTTGTGGCAGCTACGCGGATGTAGGTGTGAGTATGTTTTCTACATGGTAGGCAGGCGGGCGGGCGGGCAAAGACAGGAGCCACGGGAAACACATACCTGTCGCAGGCTCTCTTAGGACCTGCGGATTGTGGGATGGTTGGGTTGGGTGGGATGGCTGGCATTCTGTGGTTGCGCTTTCTGCCATTGGAACCATTGGAACCATGGATGCCAGCGGTGCCAGCGGTGCCCATGGTGGAGGGCATGGCACCAAAGTTGAGGCGGAGAGAGTGACTTTGGAGCAGTGGGAGCGGACCGAAAAGGGGTCCAAATGAAGCTACACTTGTGGGAAGGGAGGGCCGCAGACGGCGCGATGGGGAAGAGATGGGAGGGATGGGAGTGATGAGCGAGAAAGGAGAGGTGTTTGAGATGCTGGCGATGTTGGAGATGTTGGCGATGCTGGAGATGGTGGAGATGGTGGAGATGGGAGAAAGGGGAGAGAGCCGACAAATAGAGGAGAGTACATGAAGGCGTGACTTGTGGTGCGGACATCTCAGAGCTTGGGTAGAGAGGGCCTGCTATGACACGACGGGCTGAATTGTGTCGGGAGGGGAGTCATGGAGGGCACCGAACACGGAGTGACGGCAGAGGGTTACAATGGGTTGCGATGCGATAGGGTTCGATCGATCCTGGCAGGCGCGACGGCCAAAATGATGACGGAAGGCCTCTCCGATCCCCCGCAAAAGTGGAAGTAGGTACGTGGTTATATACGTAGATGCCGTGAAGGTACGGTTAGAGAGCTAGATGGGTATTAGATGGGCAGGTATAGGTGCATGTAGACATGTGTCGATGGTATAGGTAGTGCGTAGTATAGGTAGTCGGATGGCACCTTGCCATGGGGGGGAAAAGGAACAACTTACGGAGGCCTCATCACCTTTCACCTGCCTGCGTGCGCCGGCCCACTTTTTTCCCTCCATGAACCTCCGTGAAGAAGGGCGTGATTGGCTCGCGTCGTCTGGAAACTAGACCATCGGACGGTACTGTATCTAGGGCTAGTAGGCGTCTAGTTAGGGGGAACCAGTACCCACAGTAGCAGTAATAGTAACAGTAAACGGAGAACAGTACACAGTAGCCTTGATAGGACCCCTTCGTCGATGCCAAGCTCACCAACAGCGCTTCTTGTTCGAGCCAGCTCCGACGTTTCTTTCAACATGCGCGAGGCATTACAGAGTCTGTCGAGGTCGGATTATTTGACAGGTACCTAGGTAGTCAACGTGTGCGAGGAGAAGAGAGACGGGTAGAAAATATTTGGTGGCTGCTTGTTGCTAGACAAACCCACAAAGGGAGATGCTCAAAACGGGATCCCAGACACATGCCCACCCATACTACGATGTTACTTGCCCCCTTCCAGCGCCGCCTCAGCCGCAGCCGCAGGCGCAGGGACTTGCGGGGACTGGTGGACTGGTGGGGACTGGTGGGTACCGATCAGTCGGGGGTTGCCGCGAAAGCGGGGGCAAGACGTTTGGATTATTTCAGTCAGTCATCAGATGCGAAGCCAGCGCACCCAGCTTGCGAAGGCTTCCTTCCCCCTCTTTTCCCTCTTCCCCTCTTTCCTGCCCTCTTGCAGCTGATCCAGTTGCCACCAATCAGGAACCAGCGAAAGGCTTATGACGATGATGGAAAAGGATGAGATGGATGAATCATCGAATCCATCCTTCCTAGCCGTCCGTCTGACTTGATCGAACCCGTGAAGAAGCATGCCGCCAAGCACCGGCACCTCACCTCCTTGCATATCCCATGCTGAGGAAAGGCATGCGCGTAGTTGTGGTGAGGCGTCGACGGTTTCATGCCGGCAAGGACGCACAGCCATCATCTTCTGGCTCTCTCCAGTGTCATGGTGGGATGGTCGAGTCGCCCCCTCTGTCGACCGGCTTCTCAGGCTTTGTCATTATTGGGCGTCGCAGTGGAGTGCCGAGGCGCGACACTTCTTTGTTGACCGCGGCGCGTTGTGCAAAGACGGTCGACATGCGCACTGCCATTGGCTCCTCATGCCCTCGACCAGGTCGGCGATGTTGTGCTTGTGTGTCGGCGGGCCTAGGAGAGAACTCGAGCGTCGGTGGGAGAGGGGACAGGGTCAGAGAAGCGGGTTCGGGTTGCGGACTGCAGCTTCGTCTTGGGGGAGACCAGACCGGTCAGGCCAGGAGGGACGAGTAGCCAGCGACGTGACAGCTAGCCATTGGACCCTGAGGCAGATGGATGGCAGTTGGGGAGAAAGGCCATGGCTTTCCACGATGTGATTTGCATCGCCTGTATATAAGCCCAAAGAGAAAAAACAAAATGAAAAATGAAAAAAGGCCAAAAAAAGCCCCCCTTTCTCAAATCAATTGAGAAAGGGGGTTGAGCGGAAAGCGACAGCAGCAACCGCAGGGAGAACGTCTTCCCCCTTATAGCTGTCCATAAAGGCCCGTTATGCAGCTTCTTGCCCTCCACCGTCCCTCCTCCGCCCCGCCTCCGCCGAGATGATGCCGCCCTTTAGCTGTGGGTTTGAGCGGTTGCCAATACCGGATTCCGCGCCTTAAGCCATGGCAACGGCGTGCCAGTCAAGTGTGGATTACCCAAGCCCCGGTGTGTTGTGACGGCCCTTTTCTCCTCAAGGATATTCTTTGAGTATGGAGTGTAGTCGCAACAAGACATGGCCCTTACTGCAGACCCCGGTTCGTGCATGCATGCCTAGCCCACATGGGCAGCCATCCGAGACTCATATGCACGACATTCTATCAATAGTGTTACCAGTCAACCAATCATGGGATGCTGTGTCACATGCAACAGTTCGCCATCAGACTACGTACTCCATCCCCTCCTCGACGTCTCCATACTACTTGTACTATATCACGGTGGCATCAAAGAAGGTCCGTTATGTACATATACTACAGTACTACACCGCACCCGCCACCTTGCCCAAGCTACCAAACCCCCACATTCTGGTTCAACATAGACCGTGCCGTAGCCCCTCTCAACCAGATTTGATGCTCGGGCCACCGGTCCTGCCATCACTTTTCTCCATCATGAGAACTCTACCCGACTGCCGCTCTGCCGCGCCTGTTTCGCCTGCGCCCTCTCCGCTCTGCGTCGCCTTCGATTCGAATCGTAGTTGCTCACGTCCGTCTCAGTGCCATAAATCTGCGTCCCAGGAGGACTGCTCAATATACTTCCTCCCCCCGCTGGAATCGGAGGAGGCGGAGGTAGCGGCGTCGGCTGAGCGGGTACCGGTGGAGGTCCTGGTGGTGGGCCAGGTATAACAGGCTCCGGCATTGGAACCGGTGCTGTTGCAGGCGCCCGAGGTGGTGCTGGTGCTTGCGACTGTTGCATCTCGACCGCTTGCTGTGCCTCCAATGCCTCTGTTCGGCGCCAACGGTCATTGTCAACGTTGCTCAGCGAACTCACACTCCCGTTTCGATTCCTCCGTTGCCGCTCCCTCCTCGCCTCGCGCTCCGCCGCCGCCTCTTCCTCGTTCAGTCTGCGCAAGGTGATATGCCGACCATCGTTGTGCATCTTGACCTTGACAGACACGGGCGGAGAAGCAACACTGCCCTCTCCGCTATGCCGGCTGCTGTCTCGCCCTGGGCCGCCCGCACCAGGTGCTGCCAGGTGATGCCTACGATGATGGCCTCCTCCTGGCGACGTGTACGTTTCCGAGCCCGACTCGCTCAGGACTCCACCCGACGGAGCCGCATTGGATGGACCTGAGGTCGCAACCGCAGCTGCACTATGCTTTGGCGGCGGCGGGATATTACTCGGAGGTGGGGGGATAGGCGGTCTCGACATGGCTGGTGTCGTACCCGTGACGTCGGTCTCCGATATGATGGTGGATGGAGGGCGGTTCCTCCGCGGTGGACCTATTCCATCTCCAGTATACCTCCTCCGTTGACTGTTCGCACGAGCCGCGCGTTCCTCCTCGATATCTTGCCTTCTCATGGCTTCGACATGAGCGTCCTCCTTCCTATTCCTTCTCTTGTTCCACTGATACTTCAGATACCCGGCTAAACCAAGAGCAGCGATACCGTTTCGAAGCGTGTGGGATTCTTCCGTCGGCCTTCCATGGTCATCGTCAAAGCTTGTTCTGCTGTCGAATGAAGCAATAGACTCGCCGCTTCGTCTAGGCCGATGTCCGTGCCGCAGTGGACTCCCCGTCATGGCAGACGCTTGCGCTGCCTCTCTCTCCTCCACTCGGCGCCACCTATCGTTGCCAGGAGATGTAGGGGCCCTTCCTTCCTCAAGCCTGCTGAGATCCGTCTGTGTGACTTCCGATGGGCCTATGGGTCGGGAATAGCTCACTTCGCTGCCGGACTCTGTCGTGGCATGCTTCTTGTTGCGATTGAAGAGGGACCGCAAAGCGAAGATGCCACCCCCTACTGCGGCCGCTCCGAAGAGACGATCCTTCCATGTTCCGCGCTGGCGACCATCCTCGGTGTACTTCTCGTCTGCCGCGTAGGAGTCCGAAAGGCGAGAACTATGACGGGATCTCACAACCCCATGCCTGCCGCCGTGACTGCGGCTGCCACTACGACTTCGAGAACGTTTTCTCGCCAAGGCAGCGAGTCCAGCACCTGCTGCCCCTGCTGCTGCTAATTTGCCCAGGCCGTGGCCCCTGTGGCCTCGCGAGCTCTCGGTACGTTCGGTGATATACGTCCCCCTATCATCAAAGGCCATCTCAGGCTGGTTCTTGTAACTGAGGATGAAGTAGACAAGGAGTAGTCCAAAACACCAGACCGCATAGAGAATAAAAAGGATCTTCGAAGATCCATATAGCGTCAAACCGAGCGCTACCTGTACGATGCCTAGCATGGCAATGGCTCTCCCCATCCACTGATGGAGCTAAGGGACGTCAGCATCAGGACCCGTGGCCATGGAGGGGAGCATACCATAAGCTTGAGAGGAACCTTGAATCGCTCTTTGCCTTTCTCTCTCCTGTGAATCACGCAACCAGCAAATGCCTGCGTCAAAATAAGAGTGTAAAGTGCGACGCCGATACCGTGGTGGGGATTCGACAAGGACCGTTCAGACCCGACGGCTTGGAAGCCCAGGACAAATAACGCCGTTGATAATAGTACAGTCAAGATCTGTAACCAGATGTGATAGCGCAGGGCCATTCGAGGATTTCTGTGGTAGAAGCGGGCCAACAAAATGGCTGCTGGGACAATCAAGAGGAACGTGATTCCCGCCAGAATACCGTGGCCCATGATCATTGAGCGGTAGCCCGAGAGGCCTCTGAATCGATTTCCCATTCCTGGGATGTGTTAGATATGGACTCTCCGAATCGAGTCATCACTAGCGTCGTACCATTGTATTGTGTCGTCGCAAGATTGTAGCCTTGTAAATTCGGCAACAGAAACACATTCCTCTGTGAGTCCCATGTGCCATCGCCGACGTGCATCGTTCCCGACGTATACGAGCCGCTCCCGGGAGGGGATAGGTCGTCGGTAGACATTGCGGTGCGGACGTTTTGCGAGGTTGTGGGTCAACACGGGCGGCGAGGGAAGGAGCAGCGCTGTTGAGATGGACTGAAAGGGTGGCTCGCAGGCGCTTGGGTATCGCAGAATAGTAATGCTAAATGTCATACAAAGGAGGGGAATCGGAGTCGTGACGTCGTGGGAGGTGTAACGAAGATGAGGCGGCGCCGCTGTTCAGGCTCTAATGAGTTGGCAGTGATCGAAGCCCCCCAGTGGGGCGCACAGCGTGACGAAAACAACCTCAATCTCCTTCGTAAGCGGAACGGGATGTCTCGTGCGGTGAGAGATGTAAAAGGAAATACGTGCGCATTGGTGAACACGAGAGAAGAGGTTGAGATGGGTGACCTGCGAGCTGGAGTTGGGTGCGGGACGTGCAACATTCCCAGCTTGCTCAGGTGTTGGACCTGTGTTTATCCGCCTGACGGGGCAACCACAATCGATAAAGACTGTGGCGTTTGCACCGCCACAGTACCCCCAGCTGGAGATGGAAAAGAAGAGATCCACCGCCTTACTGAATCAAATGTAGACTAGGGTAGGGGCGGATACGGGAGCCAGGAAACTCACTCTTTGCTACTGTGTACAACCAAACCCTTGGAAACCGTGGTATCATAATCCGAACCTTTCCCCAGAACGCCATAACAGACGTAGGTATGGAATATAGACAAATTCAATCCTCCACCTCTAGCATCTCCTTTAATGCTTGCTCAGATGCTCTCAACCACCTTCCGCGCTCTTCGAGTTTGTCGCCAATACCTCCGCCCTCGTCCCGACGGCGTCTGGCTTCCTTTGCAGCTGCCACCGTCCCCTGCTTTTGCGTCTCCAGAGGCTTCAGTTCGCGTTCCAATTTCTCGAGCTCACGCGATCTGTTCGGTAGCGCCGATTGAAGCTTCGCAATCTGCGCATCCAATGCCGCGACTTCCGCCTCTCGCGCCTGTAGCAATTGTGTCGTCTCGGCAAGCGGCAGCGCCAATTCAGGGTTATCAGGCGAAGGGGTCTGATCCTGCTTCAGCTTCTCGATTGCAGCCTCCAGGTTCTCTATCTCGCTCGGTAGCGTTTCAAGCTGCGTTGTGCGTAGCTGTATACCTTCATAGCGCTGTGCAAGAGCTCTCCCATTCTCTTCCAATTGTTTCAGCAGCTCAGCAATTTCGCGTTTCCTCTCCTTCAAGCTGGCTTTCAGAGCAAGAATTTCCTTTTCCTTCGTTTCATTTTCGGCAGCTTCAACAAAGTGAGGCGGATTGTCTGTGACACTGCGGAGAAACTTCTCCTTCGTGACCTGTTCGACATAACTGAAGCGCAGCTTGCTGAAGAGTTCCTGTTGGGTAGGTTAGTGATTGTTCATAAACAATCCCTAATACGTCTCACAAACCTTATAGTGCACCAAATCCGCTTCTAGTGCCGAAGGATGCGTGTCTGCATTCTGCTCACTATCATCGGACACTGCAGAGTTGCGCTTTTGGTCTGGCTTTGGCAACTCTTTGGGTGACAAAGTCTCCGCTAAAGCAAGGATCTTGAGCTGTTCTGACCGGTTGAGCTTTTGCAACGCCGCCGTGGGCGAAAGCTCTACTTTCGAATCCATTGTCCTCACCTTGTTCATCATGAATTTGGAACGACTTGCGGGGGGTGTTTGTTTTGGCCGCCAAGCGCAGGGCTGAGTGGAGCCGGAGCCGAGGCTTACTTTTTGCAGGTTAGCATCAGATCCACTGGAGCCCTCCGCGGCGAGCTGCACATCGTGACGAGTCACTCCGCCATCCAGATGTCGACTGTACAGAGTCCCCCTCTCCGCTATGACGGCCAATAAATTCGAGGATGACGAGTATGTCGCCAACTTACTGAAAGAGGATGCGCGGAAGTCAGCAAAAAAGTACGAAATGGTCGGCCTCAGCGCCTTCCTCCCTCAAAGGTATGTCATTGATTCTCTCGGATCTTGTACTCAAACCCCTTCGAAAGAATGAAGCGCTCCACTCAACCTCTGACCGCAGTGCTCTTGATTCTGACTTCATTCAAGGGATCGGTCGAGAGCCCCGAAACCTAACATGCGATTCCTTCGCCACATCATTCGGGAGACGGATAGCCACAACACTGCTCTGCTAGCCAAGGAGGCGGAGGAATCGCGCGCGCGCTTAAAGGAGCTTGGTAAAAGAGAAAGAGAAAGCAGAAGAGAAAAGGGTAGGCTAACACCCCCTGGCTCGGCAGAGTGGAAGATTGCGCGAAGCAAAAGTACCCGGTCACATCGGCAGGACGATTCCGATGGTGAGAGGGACGACCACAGCGACCGTAGGAAGCGCAAGGCGAGGAAGGAGCATAAGAGAGCAGATACGCACGAGGAAAAGCGATCACGGAGGCATCACGATAGACACGCGCAGAGTGATGACGAAAGGGACACGCAGAGCTACTGCAAAGGAGCATCACATGATAGAGACCGCAAACGGCGACATAGAGATACAGAAGACAGTCCTAAGCATCATACACGGTATAGGGAAGATGATCGGCGAGCTAGGAAACGTCATCCGTCATCTTCAAGGTCAACGTCACGGTCGGTTTCACCCCGTCCCAGGAAACGGCACAATCTCTCGAGGCACCGACACAGACCCAGCTCAAGACATCGTGACAAAGATTCGAGACGAGAAGATAGAGACCAGGCAGACAAAAGGACGCGTATGCCTTCTCAAACTTACAGCGACTCGGACCCGCTTGAATCCATTGTTGGCCCCCTGCCTCCTCCTCCAGACGAACCTGTACGCTCTCGCGGCCGAGGGGCCCATAAGGCGAAGTCCATGGCCATGGATGCTCGCTTCTCCTCGACTTATGACCCGACCACCGATGTGCACTTGCAGTCTGACGTGGAAGACGAATGGGGGGATGCTTTAGAAGCCTTGAAAGACCGCCAGAAGTGGAAGCAGCAAGGCGCGGAGCGGTTAAGAGCTGCAGGATTCACAGATGAGCAGATTCGTCGGTGGGAAAAAGGGGGTGAGAAGACGGAGGAGGACGTACGATGGGCCGCGAAAGGGGAAGGGAGAGAGTGGGATCAGGGAAAGGTACGCCTTGCGGATGGGCATATTGATTTGAGGGCAGAGTGGGGTAGGTTGACTTGAGAGCAATCCGGATAGATCAGCCGTTAGCATCATCATCGAGCACGTCGCCAGTAGAATATCTCTGGTCGTGGCACTGTTTTGCGTGCACGTGATCGATGCAATCCTTCCCGCCCAGCCTTGGCATGCATCGATTGTTGTTGTCCGGTGCTCTGTTGCCAGGGGACAGCTTCTCCGCTCTTTCGCCGTGCTCCTTTGCGAAGGCCTGCAATGCTCTGAGCTCCCCCTCATTGTGAGTCGCAAACAGCCCTTTTCACCCTGAAACCCTGTATTGTCCCTGCTTGTAAACACGTGTGCCCTACCCGAAACGCGTTTCAGCTATTCCCGCCATAATTTCGACGAACAACTCGCACGTTGCATCCAACCACAACTGCCCTATCACCACACCACTCCACATCACCACGCGTCAATCCTGCATTCACTGACGTATCTGGATCGGCGTCGCAGTCATGACAGAAAATCGTGCAAACAGCGGAGTCCGGAACCTGCGGGCTATGTTTGAGAGCCAGAGCGCTGCTTCGTCTCCTGAACCCCGCGGTCGCTCTCCATCACGCAGAATCAACGCCGACACAACTCGTCCTACGTCCAAGGTCAAGGCTTCCTTCGTCTCCGTCGAACCGAGTGCTTCCTTTCCGCAAACTTTGGGAACAGCCAAAGCCACAGTTGACGGGCTCAGCAGCGCTAACTCCCAGCGCGGGGGAACCTCTAGCATAAGCAAGGATCTGGGCGACGAGGGGGTACAGGAGTTGAAGAAGGTGGTTAGTCAAGAGAAGGACGCTCGAGAAAGTGTCACGGCGGTTGAGCACGCCGTTCCTGAGCAAGCCATCGAGTCACGAGAAGCGTCCCCTGCATCACCGTCCATCAAAGCGCCAGAGAAAGCCATGCCCAATCTAGGGAGTATAATGAAGGGATCCGACTTCCCAGAGCCGGAAGGTGCGGTCCAGGCGAAGCCCGAGGAGACGCCCGAGGAGAAGGTCGAGGAGAAGGTCGAGGAGAAGCTCGAGAAGAAGGTCGAGAAGAAGGTCGAGGAGAGCGTGCAGGGGAACGTTCAGGAAATCGCTCAGGAGGACTCTCCCGCCCAGAACAAGTCATCACCGGATAGGACAACTGAAGTCGTCGAGGACAAGCTTGCGGCGCTTTCAGTCAATGAGCTCCCCCCAGACAACCCCGACAAGATTGTGACTGGGGCACAGGAGGAGGGGAAGTTGAAGCCTGCAGACCCCGAAGATAAGGCCACAATAACAGGAGGAGCGGCACTTCAGCCTCCGACAGACACCTTATCTTCGAACGATGCTGCTGGAACCGCACCAAGTGCTCCAGAACCTGCTGCACGAAGTCCTGCTAAGCCCAAATCGAATGGAACTGGAGCCCCTGGTCCCACTACTACTGGCAAACCCGCTCCGATATCCGTAGTAAAAGCGTCCACGAGTAAGCCATCCGCATCGAAGACTCCGCTGCCCAAATCTCCCGGTGTGGCCAAACTGCCCAAAACACCGACTACACCTAAACCATCTTCCAACAACAAGCCAACCGCGAAGACTGCAACCCCTGCTAAGGAGCAGCCGAAAGCCACGGTGCAGAAGTCATCAGACAAGGCGCCCGTCTCCAAGACCAGCCAATCCTCACTAAAATCCACGGCATCAACAACTGCTAGCGCTGCCGCCAAGGCCAAAGCACCTGTTGTAGAAACCAAGAAGCCTGCTTCGAAAACCGCTTCCACTGACCCTGCCGCCTCCGCCGCTAAAACCGGCGCTGCCACCTCGCCGGGTGGTTTCAAGAAACCAAGACCGAAGTCTCCAACCCGACCTGTCCGTCTGCCAGCCCACTTGACCGCACCTACGGCAGCGTCCGCCGCAAAGCACGGCACTGACGCTACTACGAAGATCGCTGCAAAAGCTTCCACTGTTTCTCGCCCTACAACCACAAAAACTGCAACACCCCCCAATAAACCAGCTGCGCGTTCCTCACTAGCCCCATCAACTGCAAAGCGCCCAGAGTCCCGCACCTCGACTATTGGCGGCGCCGACGACAGCTTTCTGGCGAGAATGATGCGACCGACCGCCGCCAGCGCGAGCAAGGTGCACGACAAGGCAGCCTCTCCACCTCGCAGGAACGCCTCCGTCAAGGTCCCCGTAAAGCCCAAGACCGGCCAACCAGGGCTTGCTGCGAAGACCAAGAACAAGGTTGCTGAACACGCCACCACAACCAAAGAGGGTGCAACAAGCGGCAAAGATGAGCAATCCAAGGTGGCCAAGGTAGAGAAACCCCCTACCAATGCAGATGTCAAGGAACATTCGGAGAAGACTGGATCCGCTGAGACCGCACCCGAGGTTCCGCCCGCCGCACAAGGAGAAACTCCAGCTGTAGACAATCAAGAACCAAAGCAAGAAGAGCTTCCGGTCAATTGAGCTGCCAATATCAGGAAAGCAGAGTAGGAAACGTAGTGACGAGCGGTGCCGAAGACAAACCATGGCAAGCTTCATCCATTTCCGAGGCACTCTGTTTCCGTCAATGTGTTTGATCCACTTAGTTTTCGTCGAGGTCTACAGTGTCATAGTGTTTGTAGAGGTTCCTGGAGCATTGCGATGGTCTACTATTGGATTACTTGTTGAAAGCGAACAGAGTGTCTAGATGTGTGCAATCGGAGAGATATGTTGGATATCACTTTTTAAGTGTTTAATATAAGTATTAACCTTTTGAAAAGGGATAAGGACGACTCGGTACATTGTGACACATTTTGCTCTTAAGCAATGGTGACCTCAGGGCTGAGTCTATCGGTCACGTGGCTCGGATTGACCTGGTCATGATAGTGTAGTGTTGTGAGGTGTAGTGCTGTGAGGTATTATCGGGCGCCTGGTTAGATAACGACGTTGTTTCTACGCCACGAACGCATTTATACCGTGAGGCGAGACAGCACTCTGAGTAAATCGGAGAGAATGCAGTGACAGTAACTGAAGTCGCTCAAGACGAGATTTGAGAACGAGGTTGGACTAGGAGTAAATAGAAAACGATTGCCGATCAAAGAACCTGCTCGGAAAGAGAAAAAAACATACTAGCTTCCAATCGGTCGTTCGGATGTTGCTATCGGAAATTGGCTACCATGTTGTATGGGGCAGGCACCGTGTTGACGTCGGTTCCCGCCTATTCAAGGCGTCGTAACGGTGGTAACCGGCATAGCAGTCATAGCACTCGTTCGAAGCGTTGTAGGGTACAGGCTCTCGCAACACATTTAGAATGAAGCGGGACCGCTGAAGCAAGAATTGCAGTGTCGTGAAGGATGTATGCTCTCCATAGAAATAGAGAAGGAGAAGGATGTGAGATTGAGGACGGACATTGATCTGTGAGAACAACCTTGATCATGTCAAGGTATGGGTTCCGTGAAGAACATATTAATAACATAATGTCTAGAAAAATCGAAGAAGGAGCTGGAAAGGGGAGAGGATACATTCCGATGGAAAGAGAGGAAGCGAGGAATGTTTACATGCGGAAATGAAACGAGGAGTCGTCTGGTGGTGATATCGAATCGGGTGCAAAGTCAGAAAGAGAACCCAGGAGCTGTCTTCCACGGTTATTGAGGAGGCACATGTACTTCGTAGTCCCAATGTTGTGCGATAACGGATGACGACAGCCAGCTTGTGCCCTCTTCGTCGGGGCGTGCATGTTCGAGGATGCGGGTCTGCTCAGCCTCTCTGGGCGTTTCCTTCGCATGCACTCCGTTCCGCACGGAAGCAGGCACATCCGACGCAGCCAAGCAGAATTCGTAGCCGCTCTCTAAGTACTAGGTACTGTGGAAGGCAGTCGATAGCCATCCCGCCATGTACAAGACTTATCTATACTCTATACCACCGGTGCTGTACGGAGTATGCGCGCAGCTCTTGGACAAGACGTGGTCACCTTGGCCGCCGAAGGCAGAGTCCTGCAGCAGTGTCCACGCCAGGGCAGTCAGCATTCTCAATGTTCGGACTTCGCCCTGGGAATGCTTGTGCGAGCTGATTACTCCGTAGATACATGAGGAGTTCGGAAAAATGTGCGGGTGGCGGAGTGCGCCCGCCTTGAATGGCAAGTAAGATTCCGACGGTGGCCTCGAAGTCCGGCGAGCGTACGAAGTGGTACCTGAGTTCTGTGCATTCCCGAGCACCAGATATCCCAAGGAGGCATGGATAGACCAAGTAGGTTATTTTGTCGGTGTCTGTACTCCGAAGTTCTGAGATACCAGCCGAACGGTTTGTGGAAACCCGGAGATACGTTCATGTCGTCAAATGCGTGCTCAAGACGAAGTCAGATTAAAGTCGATCGGAACATTGTCGCCCCCTGCGGTCGATCAGGGAATCGTTTCATCTCGACGCCCCTGCGACCAAAATAAAACATCATTCACTATTCTGTGAGCTTCCTGTGATTATTTGCGCCTTTCTGATTCGCTGGGCGTCTTTGTCCTCCACATGCCAGTGCTCAGCCTCCACCACGTCAGGGGGCTGAAAACTCCACCATTCTCTCCCTTCTACGTATCGATAAGGCGCACGCCTCCCGCTCCCGACGAGCGTAACTGCAAGCTTTCATAAGCAAGGACGCGTACTCCTCAGCGCCGTTCCGCGCTCGTCTTGGTTTACCTTGTCGACCTCAGCCCCGGATCCCCAACCAAGGGCCGAATGCGGCAATTAGAGCTTCAAAGGAAGGTCGAAACACGGGTAGTCAAACGACGCTTCCCGGGTCTTCCACTTCTCCTGCAGGACGCTCTTGAACAGCCGCAGACTCATTGGTCGCCCGAGACTGTTGTCGTGGAATACAGGCAGGGAAGGCGAACGTCTTACTGTGGTACTGGTAGCTGCTGATGACACTGCTGAACCTACCTCTCCTTCCGCGTTGATACGAATATTTATAAGCCTCCTACCTCAGCTCCGCTCGGCTAAACATTTAAACATCCGGAGGGATTCCCGACCTGCGCTCGGAACTTTGTTTAATCAGTTTATCAAAAGTTATTCTGCTTTTGTATTACTTCACCACAGGGTTGCGACTTATCTCCTCCCCCCTCCGCACTTCTGTGCGTTGCAAGGTGTCACTTAGACCTGTTCCGACATGAGGGCGCCCAAGACATCTCTCATTGCTTCGAGCCTGATTGCTCTGAGTTAGTCCTCCTCGAACATTGGCCCTTCTATTACGCTGACCAGCTTCTAGCCACCCGTGCAACAGCCCAGCTCTCGACCATATGCCAGGGTCAGGTTTGCTTCAGTTTGAACATACCGGCCAACACGGCCTCGTCGGGAAACGGCGACATCTTCTTCCGGATATCGGCTCCCAGCAGCTATGATTACGTAGCTCTCGGCCAGGGGAAAGGCATGGTCGGATCGAATATGTTTATTGTGTATACTGCCGCAGGAGGAAAAAATGTGACACTGTCGCCGCGGACTGCGAGGGCCTACACCATGCCGACATTCAATAGTAATGCTCAGGCCACCTTGCTCGAAGGGTCGGGTGTATCCGATGGGAAAATGATTGCCAATGTCAAGTGTATGGTGGCAATCGGATGTCATACGATAACGCTCAACTGACAATTGCATAGGTTCGAATTGCGCCAGCTTCTCAGGCGCCGATTTCAAGGCTGGACAAGGGAACTGGATATATGCTGCTCAAACATCCGGAGGCCCCAAGAACTCGAACGACAAGAACGCGCCGATACAGCAGCATAACAACTACGGACCGTTCCAATGGAATTATGCCGATGCCAAAGGAGGGAATAGCGTCAATCCTCTCTTGGAAACTTCGACGACAAAGCCCGGAAACGAGGGTGCCGGTACACCAACTTGCATCCCACGCCCTGTATCCACAAAGGGCTCTCCCTCAGCATCGACTTCGACGGGGGAGGAGACAGGGGGCGATGACGGTGATGGTGACGGCAACCGCGGTGGATTGGGCGGACAGCCGACGCGCTTTGGAGGGTGGCCCAGTGGTGCTCCCACGGGGGCTCCATGGAATGGAGGGAAGTCTAGTAAGTGTCTGAATCAATTGTTCAATCTTTTGCTGACTCCCTAACCCAGGGCGACAAGACCTCCCCTACTGTGATGAAGGACCCAGCCTTCTACCGGTCGGCTTGAGTGCGGAGCGAACAAAGATGAGGAACATGTTGATTGCTCACGGCACGCTGGCAGCATTGGCATTTGTGATTCTCTTTCCAGCTGGAGCTATCGCCATTCGCCTTGCTTCTTTCCCTGGGCTTCTCTGGGTCCATGGTGCATGGCAAGTGTTTGCCTACATTGTCTACAGCGCTGCATTCGGCCTGGGTATATACATTGCGAGACGGATGAATCTGGTGAGTCACGATGGCGTCTCCCCTGCCTATGGATTTGAGCTGACGGTGTTGAAGTTGGACAATTCTCATCCTATAATCGGTATCGTGCTGTTTGCACTCTTGTTCTTCATGCCGATGCTCGGCTACTTGCACCACGTGTTCTTCAAAAAGACTGGAGGCCGGACTCTCTGGTCCCACGCCCATCTCTGGATTGGCCGAGCAGCAATCACCCTGGGTATCATCAATGGAGGTTTGGGACTCAAACTGGCGGACGAGAATGGAATGAGCTCCAAGGGCGGAATGATAGCGTATGCAGTGGTTGCCGGCATCATCTGGGTTGTCTGGATGGCTGCATCCATTCTAGGAGAGAGGAGGAGGAAGACTCGCGGCAGAGCGGAACCGCCTAAGTATACGGATGACTCTCGGACTTCAGACACGGCGTTGCGCGATCTTCAGGGGCAACCGGAGAATGGACACTACGCACCCAAGTAGTGCTCCGAACAGAGGAGGATAGATTGAGGGTGTTTCCTATGCGATGAGCGAACGTATTGATATTCAAAAACCAATGAGACCATGCACCTTGTAGACGAACGATTCCGGAGCGATAATAGTGCCTGAGGTGCTGTGTATGGTGGGTGCAGGCCCGGGGTGTGAATGCTCACTGCACGTGCTTTTTCCCCCGCCAGCTTAGTCATAATCTCGAATGCCAAGGATGGCGGGGTGCACTGGCTCGTTTCCTCGTTTCTCCGTCGCCGCCTGCCTGTTGCCATCAACAAAACACGGCGCAATCTATTCTCTCTCACTTCGCGGCGCTTGTCTCTCCCCACGACGTCACCGAGGAGCCTTCATATTCACGGCGGGCTTGCATTATTTCTAGGAGCGGTTCCAGTTCTCATCTCCTGCCAGTTGCGCGAAGCATAGCGTTCTACAATGGGAGAATCCAGGTACGGAATACGCAGTTCAGGCTATGGCTAGCCATGGACTCAGTCCCAATTCAAGCCGCCCTACGTACCGAATCCTCCACTGACATTTATGCCCTAGACAAGAACTCATAGCCTGGCTCAATAACCTGTTGCAGCTCAACATCACCAAAGTTGAGCAGTGTGGCACAGGGTAGGCTTCCTCTTACTTGACCCCTTTACTAGCAGCATGTTATCGGGCCGATGAGCTAAGTGTAAACAACCAGAGCGGCGCTGTGCCAGGTCTATGACAGCATCTTCTGTAAGTAATTTCGGACGTTTACTTCTACGCAACATCAGGCTGATGCGCCACAGACGATGTGCCCATGTCGCGGGTTAAGTTTAACGCCAACACCGAGTATGCATATCTACAAAACTTCAAGATCCTGCAGAGTATGTGCAATCTTGCCAACGCCGATGCTCCCACAGCCGGCTAACGTGTCCAATAGATGTGTTCACAAGGCACAACATCGACCGCCCTATCCCAGTTGAGCAACTAGTGAAATGCAAGATGCAGGACAATCTCGAGTTCCTTCAGTGGACGAAGAGATATTGGGACCAATACTTCCCTGGCCACGATTATGATCCAGTTGAGCGCAGGAAAGGACAAGGAGGCATAACAGGCGGTCCACCTGCGTCCACTCGGCCCGCCGCCAGCGCCGCAAGGAGAGCGCCGGCTGCTAACACCTCCGCCGCACCACGCACCCGAACACCTCTTGGAGCTGGTGGCGCTGCCGGTGGCGCCGCTTCTGCCGCGCTAAGGGAGGAGAACAATGTCCTCAAGGAGACAGTCGCAGGATTAGAACGCGAGCGGGACTTCTACTTCAGCAAACTGCGAGATATCGAGTTGCTAATCCAAGGTGCCATGGACGCCGATCCCGAGCTTGAGAAGCAGGAGGATAGCCTGCTAAAACAGATACAAACGATCCTTTACTCCACGGAGGAAGGTTTCGAGATCCCAGCCGAGGGCGAGCAGGAGGAGGAGACATTCTAGGAGAATGAAGTTGCGGTGAGCACGGTTACAGACCTTAGCATTAAGCAGGTCGAAGTCGCAAGCGCAGGCTGAGTATACGCGGGGTCTTTTTTACACCATGATTGACGAAGTCGTCTGATATGAGATAACGGGGAAGCAATGGCGGTAGGAGGGGATACAGAGCCCATGACATACCAATGACGGAAGAGAGGAGGGTGATGGTGGGTGTGGGGACGCGGAGACTTGCATGTATCTGGTTCGTCCTCTGATCTACTGCTCAACCTTCTCGGCACGTCTGAGCGGAAATTCCGACTCGGACTGTGGTTAATAGAATGATTCAATTGCGGCTAGTGTTTATTGACCGACGTCTGTAGCAGCGTCCGCAGTAACACCCAGAGGGACTAAACGTTGTGTCCGCGTGTGCTAGGCGACTGACCACCATGTAGCTTCCCAACCACGGACTCCCGCTCTTCTTCTCATCCCTTGACGCTATTATTCATCGCAACGCAGACTCCGGTCCCTTATGGAGTCGTGAGCATACACTTCACACTCCCTCCCTCTGATTCAAACCCACTCCCCTTTCCACCAACGCTTCGACCCACGCGTTAAACTCGTTCCTCATCTCAATCGGCACCACATGGCCCTGCCCTTCGATGAACCTCTTCTCCACCTCGCCCTCGACCCAAACATCCTCCTCGACCTCCATTCCCACATACTCCCTGCCCGTCCTGCCCTCGCCCTTCTCCAAACCCCGCCAGAGCACCACGCCGTGCGGGAAGCTGATCATGCGGTCCTTGGTCCCGTGCACGACCATGATGCGCCGCTTCCCCACATTTTTGGCAATCTCCTGGAGCTGGGCGGGCGACTTGTTATGCCATCCCGCAGCCACTGCCTGGCACAGGAAAGTCTTCTTGTTAAACCACTCGGGGTGCTGCCGCTTCCAGACCTCGTTTGCGGCGAAGCGATCGCCGTTGGTCGGGAACGGCTGGACGACGTACTCCAAATCGTCGGGCCTGGTCAGCCAGTCGTCGGTGTAGAGGTTGTGCTTGATGTTTTCGAGCTGCGTGGTCAGGGGTTTGGGGAGGAAGAGGTTGGCGCGGTTGATGAGGTTCTCGAGGAAGCCCGAGGTGTTGAAGAGGTGCGAGGCGGTGGAGATGAGGGCGAGGGTGGAGATGCGGTCGGGGATGAGCATGGCCTATAGAATTTCTTGGTTAGTTTCCGCGGCATATAGCTTTGGATATGCCGAAGTTGGTAGACAAGGGGGAACGTGATTTGGAATTCGGCTAATGGGAAGATGGTACTGCAAGCGCTCCTAGTATGCGGTATGTATACCAACGTATACCAACACCAGCATTAGGGTCTCTTGAGGGTATACGGGGGACAGGTCCAAATTACAGGACGCCAGCTGGGCTCGCCAAGGCAGTGAATGTGTCTTGGCATTCTGCACCAAAGTGGCATCATGTTTGCCCGGAAGCTACACCATCCGAGACATACCGTCTTCTCGAAGGACTGAGAAGCATAACGGACAAGAGAGCAAGAAGCATGAAAGAAAACGTACCATCTCCTGAGCAATCATACCGCCCATACTAATGCCAATGAGATTGAGCTGGCGCTTGCCCGTCCACCCCAGCGCATCCAGCACTTCGATGACATCCTTGGCCATCTCGGACGTCGAGTATCTCCGGAGCGGTTTGTCTGACTCGCCAATGCCGCGGTTGTCCAGGATGAGCGACGAGTAGACGTCGGCCTTGGTGTGGGCGAGGTCTTTGGTTTGGCGCTGCCAGGCGTATTTTGCGCCGCCGAGGCCCATGATCCACTACATCTTTGTCAGGAATCGTAGTAGCGGACGTTGTTGTAGAGGGTCCCGTGGCAGACGGTACTGCTGTATTCTTCAGCGGGTCCTGGGAAGTAGGGGGGAAATGCAACTGTCCCAATCATGCTGAGGGGTGGGAGAGTGGATGTGAGACAAGGGGAATGGGATGAGACGAGACGGCAATGCAAGTTGGAAACGAAACAATCAGGCCAACAACAAAAGGCAATTGGTGGAAGGTAGATGGGAATAAGGGAAAAATGACAAATCGACATGTTGCTTGCTTGGCTTGTTGTCTTTATTTGGACGAGAGGGTTGGTTGCATCTTCCGACTAAATATGGAATAGAGTGCAGGAAGGGAAAATATACATAGGTAGGACCAACAAAGAAATAGCTGTATGTACATACCACGAGATGTCGGGGCCCGTGGCCGTGCATTTCGTATGCAATGTTAAAGGGTCCGCCTCTATCTTTTGCTACGGGCAGCCGGCCCTTCTTGGTGGGCTTCAGGTCCCATATGAGATGGTCGTACTCCGGGTGGTTGACCAGCTCGTCTGGTGTCATGGGGGGCCTCTGGTCGGCCATACCTGACTGGTTGGTTGGATAACTACTGCCTCTTTTCACGTCCGACTGAACACGACCGTGCGCGTAGGGGTTATTGACCTTCCGGTTGGCCCTTTCTGCGCCTCCCTCCAGGTATAACGAGCCTTACACAGTAGACACCGTGCCCTCGTAGCGTAACTAGAGTATAGCCAATTGGATTTGAAGTACAGGGGGTTGTTCAGTCGGACGTGGGAGGAGGCGGTAGACTACTATGCTGGTCAAGGGCTGCGACTGTGGCCGAGTGAGGCTATGTTAGCCAGGAGTGCTGCATGTGGTTCAGTCAATGCGGCACGGGATATTGGGCGTGTGGCTCAGCACTGCTTATCCAACCCTTGGCCACACCAGAGATGACGCGGTTCCCAACGGTGCGCTGCTAAAAGAGGGTGGCGTGATGCTGGGGGGGGGGGAAGACGGGGGAACGGACGTACTATTTCGAGGGTCCCAACGGACTGTACCGTGTAGTAGAGCGCTTAACGGGGCGAGGAAGTCCCCAAGCGGGCGATTATAGATAGTTGGCGTTGGTGCGGAGGCGTAGTATTGTGTGTCTACTGTGAAGGGGACTGAACTGCAATCGCCTTTTATTGTCCTTGATGGTGGTGAGCCTCGGTCGGGAGAGAGGCAAGCACCACCACTTAACGTGAAATCACCCATCCGATTCACAACGGTCAAGCCACACATCCCTTCTGATACACCCTCCCCGAGACGCTAGTCACTTAATGCTTACAGTACAATTGCAAGCTTGTCGGATTTTCTCTAGGATTGCGAGCCAGCTCGAATCATAGTACTCGTTCCCCGCTCGCCTGCGGACGACTCGCCGGACGAACAAAACGCCTGTCTCTTCGTGCCTTTTCCGTGCCTGAGACAAGCCCTCTCCCTCTCCTCTGCTATCCCCAGCGAAATTCGCCTCAATTGGTAATCGTCACAGCTTCACCTGTGCCTTTTGCGACGCAATCACATCCCCGGCCCCTGTCGTCGACTGAATCGAGCACTCGGCACGCGTTTCAGGTTGTCCCTGCCTGCCCTTGAACAACCGTGAAAGACGCCCCGCAAAGAGTCTCAGCCCTCATTATTGACTCCCACAAACCGCTACCGTGAACGTACAGTACGGAGAGCGAATATCTTGACCCAGTGAACGAGTATCCATCTGCGAGTCGAACATCACGGCAAACAACCCGCCATGGACACGTCCAGCGGCGCCTTCTATCACCCTCCGCCGCCGCTCATGAACCAACCGCCACGCATCTTTGGGAACATGAATCCGAACGGCTCGCCCATTCCTCCCACTATTCCCCCGGGCCCCTTGTTTGCTCACGACGAGATGGACGACGGGCATGATCAGGGCGACCCCAAGAGGCGCCGCATTGCGAGGGTATGCACACAGCGAATCGGGGAGCGGGAGAATTGGAGGACGGAGAGGCTGACAGAAAATAGGCATGTGACATGTGTCGCAAAAAGAAGATCAAGTGCGACGGGAAGATGCCGGCATGCACCCACTGCCAGAACTACAAGACGGAATGTATCTTCACACAAGTAGAGAAGAAGCGGCAACCACCAAAAGGGTGAGGATAGATCTAGAAGTGCGAACGGGTGCACATCTCGTTGACACCTTGCAGGGCCAAGTATATCGAGGGTCTCGAGAACCGCCTGGCCCGCATGGAATCGCTGATGCGCCTATCGGGCGTGCTCCCAGAGGACGACGATGGTAGTACGGACCTGGCAACTCTGGAGCGAAGACTAGCAGAAAGGGCAACTCAGAGACAGGCAGCTGAAGGTGGTACTCCAGCAGCGACAACGGCAGGCGATCGGAGAGCGTCGTCGGCACAACCAGCACAGAAGCATGGCGCCCCAGTGCAACCCGCGTTGCCTAGCCCCCGCAGCGGAACAGCATCGAGAGAGCAGTCACAACCGCCAAAGGATGATAAGGACGAGGATACATTGGCGGACATGATGTGCTCCTTAGTCACAAACAACTACGGCGAGACGCGATATATCGGTGAGTAGTGACATTTGGGCTCCAAGCAATCTCCAGGTGCTATGATCATGCTTCATAAAACTGACGTGTTTTGTTTTTCAGGGTCCTCATCTGGTTTCTCCATCTTCTCACCGAAGGGAATACAGTGGGTCAACGAGAAAACAGGCGATAACTCGTTCCAAGAGATGATCTCAACCGCAGCTATTGACGACAACAAATGGATACAGTGGAAACCAGAAGTCTTCCAGGACCTCTTCAAGCGACGGGTTTACCGACCCCTTCCCCCCAAGCCAGAAGCTCTCTCCTTACTAAAGGACTACTTTGAGAATTTCAATTGCATGTTCCCCCTTTTCCACGAACCTACCTTCATGCACCTGGTAGACAAGCACTACTCCAACGAGCCTTATGAGGGCTCAGGGTGGTGGGCTAGTCTAAACATTGCCCTCGCTTTCGCTCACCGGTTACGTGTTATGAGCAATCTGGTGCCTCAAGAGGAGGACGAGAAGGCCGATCAATACCTCAAGAACGCCATGGCCGTGCAGGTGGAGCTGACCATGCGCAACACCGATCTTTTGAGCGTGCAGGCGCTCCTTGGCATTGTGAGTATTTCGCCCCTGAGAGTGCGAACCACCATCACTGACAAGAGAGGCACTATTCTTGCTTGGCACCCCAAATCCACAATCGACCTACTTCTTCGTAGCGGCTGCATTGCGGTTATCGCATAGCATCGGTCTGCACAAAAAGGGCTCTGGCTTCAATCTCAATGCTTCCGAGGTGGAGCAACGGAAGCGCGTCTTCTGGATCGCTTACATACTCGACAAGGAGTGAGTCTCGCATCTCCCGTTTTGCCCGCCTCAACTCACCTGCTCTAGCATATGCCTCCGGTCAGGTCGTCCTCCTGTGCAAGACGACGACGACATGAATGTGGAGCTGCCTAGCGAAGATCCCCCAGACAACATAGGGAACATCCCCCTCGCAGATGGAAAGGGTAAAGTGAACCTCTTCCGGCTCATGTGTACCTTCGCCATCATCGAGAGTAAAGTATATAAGCAGCTATATTCGGTTAAGGCATCAAAGCAATCCGACGGAGAGCTGCTCAACACGATAGGTGAATTGGACAAAGAGCTTGAAGCATGGAAAGACAACATCCCACGCGACTTCCGACCTGAACACGAAATCAAGGCCTCGCACACGCCTCTCATTCTTCATGTCGTATCCCTGCATTTTGCCTACTACAACTGCCTGACGACGATTCACCGGATGAGCGTGCACCACGGATACTGGACGAGCCGGTTATCCAACTTTGCGATCCAAGGTCTTAACGCCCGTCCCTTGAACCCGCGTGTCTTCATGTCGGCGCAACTGTGCGTCCAGGCTGCTCGCGCTTCCATCCACCTCCTGAAGTATATCCCCAAAGGCGACTCATCGTGCGTATGGATGGTCATCTACTTCCCCGTCACAGCGCTCGTCACTCTGTTCGCCAACATCCTTCAAAACCCGCAAGACACGCGGTCTCGCTCCGACCTCAAGCTCATGAATCTGGTGGTCAACTTCCTCAGCATGTTGAGCGGCGATGAGCGCAACGGCAGCGTCAAGCGCATGCTAAGCGTGTGTGCGGAATTCGAGCGCATAGCCAAGGTAGTGCTGGACAAGGCGGACCAGGAGCACGCGTCGAGAAGGAAGAGGAGGCAAGGGGATAGCGAGCAGGATGCGGAGATCGAGGCGACGGCCAACGAGATCCTCACGCCGGCGTATCGAGCTGCGCAGAGTCCGCCTCAGAATACCACGAATGCGACGAATACCCCGGCGCCGATACCGAATGCGGATGCGTTCAACCCTGATTTCCATGGCTTCAATGAGGTAGGTCTAATCCGCTCGTTCTGTTGCGTATTCTTTGCTAACTGTGCTCGCCAGCCCTTCCCCTTCTCCCCCGATTTCACCCACGCCTCTCTTTCCAATACCCACCTCGCCCAATTCGGCTCCCCCTCGATGGCAGCACAAATACTCCAACAACACGGCGGCATCCCGCTCACTTCCTCCGCACCCGCGGACATGGCCTCGCTAAACGGCATGACTTCCGGTCTCACCACCATGGGCGGTACGTACGACCCCCAGCAGCAAGCCGTTGGGTTTGGAAACGGCGCCAACGTTGGGCAAGATCTGTGGCGCATGCCCATGACGCTTGAGTGGGATTGGGCAGATATGGCGGGTTTTACAGGGTACGATGATGGGATCAGTATGAACGGCGTGTTGCCGGATTTCTCGCAGAGTACGGCGCACGGGACGAGTGGGATGAATCTGAGTGGGATGGGGGGACATCGAGGGTAGTGGTGGGCTGTGTGTTGTTGACTGGTTGGTGATTCGGCTTACCGGCAGCCGCCATGTTTATGTATATGTTTCATGTTTTGGCGACTTTCGATGCACTTTTGGCGTTGCAGTCTATGGCGTTGAAAAGAGTATTGGGACACCTGGGGGTTCGAAGTTGGGATGTCTCTCCTCTATGTCTTTTGTCGGGGCGACACTGTATGTATGATAATACCCGACGTGGTAGTGTTGCTGTGTATGGCGGAGCGGAGGCCGCTTATCTCCCATCGATGTTACGAAGTTACGACTCTTCTTTTGCGTATCCATTTCTTTGGCCGAGATTATACGGTATAGCTTGGGTGGTAGACCGCATGTACGATGTACGAGACTTTTATCTCTCTTTTTTGCTGAGTTTTTGAATGGCGTTCGTTACCTCTGGTTTGAATAGAGATGGTGGTATCTAGGTAGGTCGGAACTACAAGATGCCTGGAATTTTATGGTGTTACGAATCAAACTACTTACAAAACCCATAAACTCCTTTGAACTAGAGGGATAGTGTTCATGAAAACCGTCCGGCCAGCCAGTCAGTCCCCACCCACACCAAGTTTGTCCAACCTTCAATACCTAGTACAAATTGCCACTACACCCCAACACAGCACAAAGCACACAGCCAGATTGTCCCGTACTACACCATCAACTACATCACCCACTCATTCACTCACTCGCCCCCACCGGCTTTCCATCGACCCTACTCCTCCCTCTCCAACCTCAAATTCCCCAACCCCTCCCTCCTCACCGCCTGGATAAACTCCACAGCCTCCATCAAATACCCCTTGAAAGCTCCGGGCCTCTCCGTCATGGGGAAATGGCCCAACCCCTCCATGACCTTGTGCTTGGCCCCGGGGATCTTGTCGGCCGTGGCTTGGGCCTCGGAGGGCGTCGTGGCGTAGTCGTACGAGCCTGTGAGCATGTAAACGGGGCAGTTGGTCGTGTCGATGGAGGCGAGGCGGGGGCGCGCGTCGAAGGTGGCGTTGGAGAAGGCGAGGTCGCCGTGCAGGATCTGGGGGGTGTTAGCAGTTGTACTGGGTTTGCTTGCCGTGGGGGTGGGAACTGAGTTGGGTTGAGGCAGTGGGGTGGTTGGTGGTGGAGTTGTTTGCGGATATGGAGGGCGGAGAGGGACTTACACCGTAGGCTTGGCCGCTGTAGAGGTGCCAGAGGAGTTGCTTGTTGGCGTAGGGGGTGGTCGGAGATATCATCTACACAGATGAGCGTTGGACCGAAGCAGTAGATGTAGTCAAAGGGGTCCTACACTGTACATCCACTCTGGGTTAAACAGTGCCTGATTGACGTACGGCGAGCGCTCATACGACGGCCTCTCCATGCTGATATATCCAGAGCTGTTCCCAGTCAGTTCTTGAGCACCATGCATCTCATAACACGCATGTGTCGAATTACCTACCCTTGAAGCGGAATCACACCTCCAGACTGGACCTCGCGATTCCGGATGGCCACCGCCAAACATGCTTGTCCCGCCATACCCGCTCCGCAGATGATTGGCCTGCGGAGACCTAGGGCCTTCACAAAGGCGCCGATGATTTGCACATAGCCGTCCTCGGTGTTGGTGTAGGCGCCGGCGGGCACTTTCTGTGGGGGAAAGCTACGGCCATGGCCGGGCATGTCAAAGGCGTACATGGTGAGCTTTTGGCGGAGTTGGCGGTCGCCGGACATGAGGCCGTGGAATTGCCTAGAGTCGGCGCCACCATTGTGCAGGAAGACTAGAAGTGTGTCATCAGGATGATGGCTCGGTGTTGAGAGAGGCCATTTATGTCGTCTTACCAATCTGCTGTTTCCCATTTCCAGCCCATTCGTAGAAGACCTTGACGCGTCCCCAGACTGACGTCTCCAGATAGACATACCTCCCGGTAATATGATCCTCCTTCTGCTCCGGTTCGTCCTCGGCTTCCTCCATCGGCCCGCAGTGCGCATCGTGCGCCAGCTCCAACACCCTCCGCCAGACGTGCGACCACTGCGCCATAGCCGTCTGGTCGCCCTGAATCTCCGCACCCTCCTTCTTCAGATTCAAACCTACCATGCCCCAGTAGCTCTGATACGGGGCGACGGGTACCTTTTGGAAGTATTTCTCCCAGTGCTCTGGCGGCGCCGAGAGAGTGAACAAGGCATCTTTGGCTGAGCCCGTGCTCGCCTTTGCAGACCCGTTGGTGACGGTTATGAGCAGGCTGTTGTCGGAGCCGGAAGACTTGTAGGCAAAGGTCACGGGCTTGTTGATGGTGTCGGTGGTGACGAAGGCTTTGAGTTGGGGGTCGGAGGAGAGGAGGGAGGTGAATTTGGAGAAACTGTCGCCTAGGGCGGAGGGGAGGTCGTTCCAGGAGGAATTACCCATGATTGCTGTGCTGTTAGATGAGGACTTGGCTCAATGTTGTCTGATTGCTTGTGTTGCTGGTGAATTGCTCCGCAGCTAGTAATCAGTTCACTACTACCTCTGTAAAGCTCGTGTAAAAGGAGTATTATAAGATCGGAGCTGCAGGAGGATAAAATTCAGAGCAATCCTCAACAAAAGTCTTGTCAAGTTGACATCCTCGCGGACGGTGAATCTTATAAGGCATCTCTCCTCATATGGCATGCGTCCAAGCTCCTTAGCAGACACAGCGATGACCTCACGCGGGGAAGCCTGGAGCTTACCCCGCAAAACGGGTGCACGCGTGGGCCTATTGGTTGAGTAGGACTTGGCCTTGAGATACACATTCTCCGGTGATAGGACAGATGGATAAGTTCTCAGAACATTGGGGGGATGCGAATTTTGTATTGTAGAGTATCGAGGATGTAAAAAGAGGAAGCCAACTTGAAAACGAAGTGCAGCATCTTTCCCAAAGTCGTCCGTGCTCAGATATGCACCGTTCCTATAGCTACGAAACCACCTACCATCCGAAGCGGCGAAACGAACGATGAATGCACACAACTGACACTTGTAAATGCATGGAATTCTTCGTCGCTTTCTCTCTACAGCGTGGCGGATTTCTACATCTACATTTTGATAAACGTACTCACGGTAATCAACTTCATCTTCAGGCCTGGGCGGTTACTACAGCCCTCAAGAAACAGAATGCTAGCACAGCATGCATATATGCATGTATTAATCTCGGGCCAGAGCGACCATTCATCTCTCGAGTAACAAGTTCAACTTCCACAGTCAAAACCCATAGATCGTGACCAGGCAGCTACCTCGATCTGGATGGTAATTGCTACACGTTGCTTTAGAAGTCCCCTATATTCCTTGTTCTGAGGAAAGCCTTCTCCAAACTTGGGCCATACTTCAATACACGACATCCTCCTAAGCTTCCATCTCCGTTAGTAGTGATTGCTTCCGGGACGGAAACCGCTCAGACCGACTTATACATCCAATGCTAGTGACCTGTTCAGCTACACCCGTGCAGCATCGGGGTCCAAAGTCAATGATTCTTAAGTCCGTCTAGCGCGCAAAGGTTCGTATTGAACGTTCCACAAGAGACAGTACGCCACGATCGTCTTCACTCAATACCAAGATGGTCGCAATCACAATATCAATCTCGCGAGTCACGATCGCGCCAGGTCCATCCGCGTCCAGCAATCTCATGGCCAGCTAATACTGTGTTAATAAACCTCGCTTCACCCACATATATATATGACATCATTCTTGCACCTCGCATACTCAACGCGTGCACGACGCACTGCAGTATCCGCAATTTCCACCAAAAAACTTCCTAGAGAGAAAGGGTATTATATTCTAATTGCTGATTAGCTATTATATCTACAGTGATCTATTCAATCAACACGTTTTTCTTCGTTTGCTTTCCCTCTCTCCCTTTCTGCTCATGCTCTTGTTGAGAATACCGTCTAAATGAAAGATAGAAGCATATTAGTACCTTACGTACCTAAGGAATTCCTAGGTTAAACATCATAGATATGCATGCATTTAGAGTGATTATATGGAGATTCTAGATCGTTACTAGTCCTTACTAGTCGCCGCGGAACTATCTAGGACAGCGAAACTTAGAAATTGTAAGTAGATCTACTTAATAGAAATAGATTTAAAAGTCCCTAGTTTTTATTTCTGCATTTAGCTAAGATAGTGTATCTATAGAGCCTCTACCTCCCTTAGTATATAGGCAACAAGGAGCGAATTTTTCCACCGCGACCCTCATCACCTGACAGATTACCTTGTTTTCAGTGCGTCACTGTTCCGCTCATGAGAAGACATGACAACACGAAAGCACCGCATCTGCGCATTCGCCCACTCAGTCCCTCATTCGCAGTTCCAGGCGTCAGCCATCAAGAGAGAATGACAAAGAATCCCAGCGGGCAAGGCTTCTTTCCCCAGCCACCCAGGCCCTGCTTGACCGGATTAGGCTGGATGGGCTCCATGGTCTGCTTGTAGGAGAAGGCCGTATCCTCGGAACAGATGGCTCCGCTGACGGGCGCGATGCCGCCGGGGATGTCGGGGGGGATGTTGCAGGGAGCGGACATGAGGACGTATGAGTGTCCTGGGGACATGACGGGAGGAGGGGACTGGGGGCTGGGACCGGCCGCGGGCTGCCGGTTGTAGGTGGTAACGCCAGGGATGGCGAAGGCCCCGAGGGCGTAGCCTGGGGGGGTTAGCATACAGATGGTTGGAATGTTTAGGGAACGCTTGTGGTGATGTACATACCGATGAAGTTGAAGTGACCAGAACCCGAGTAGTTATAGTTACCCCAGTTGGGGAAGTCGAAGACTAGACTGCAGGTCTTGTGCTGGGCCTCAGCGACGGGGATCATGAAGTTGGTGATGGTGCACTTGTCGCCGGGGGAGATTTCCGCAATGTTGTCGACGGAAAAGAAGGGAGTGTCGGGCTCCCTCTTGCTAATAGGGACAAGGGCTTGGGGATAGATGGTGCTGGGAGGAAGCTGGCCGTTGGGCTGGACTTCGTTGGCAGGGCACCAGTCCGTCGAGATTTTCCCAGGGTTGAGGGCTTGGACTACCGCGAAGGCGGAGGCAGCAGCCTGAAGAGCGGTGAAGTACTTCATTTTGATAAATGATAGAGATCAGTTTGCAAGCTTTGGATAAAGGACACTGGGCTTATAAGGTATCGCTGGAAAGACGATATGACGCGGCAGAGAGGACGCGCGGCCTAAATACCAGCTGATGTGACAGTGACGGAAGGCGCGTTACGCTTCTACCCTTATATTCTGGGTGGACTATTTGGTGGTTGACTGCACCGATTTGGAGGCTATGTAGACTGGGGCAAGTTAGACAGGTGCCGATATGTCCGATGGTTCATAGCCTCACACTTCTATTCCCATCATACCTGAATTATGGCCCACAAAGTGCGTACGATGCATAGATAATCCATTTGAAAATGGCCTCACTGGACATGTGGTAGTTTACCTCCGGCCCGATGACTAGGTCTTAGCGTAATCGCAAAAGATCAGAGACCACCAGGGCTGAGGCATGGTCCGCGATTATTACGACCACCGTAGCACCTTTGTCACATGGACGCTATACGCTCCTGAATAGGTGGTTCTGGCATGTTCCATCAGATGTATAGTAAATAGACCGGAGGCATTCTGCCTACCAGTAATGCATCGTGCTACACGGAGCTGTGAAACTCCATTCATTCAGCTGATTGTAAGAACGCCTACAATAACCAGAAAAACACCATGGCAGCAGGTCAATGCTCCCAGAACCCGTGAACGGCTGTCTGCGGTCAAAAAGGGCCCTAGGTTGCATGAGATCTCAACGTTAGGGTACGATCCAGATCGCCCGAACAGTCTGCATCTGCCGATCCCCTAGTGTCACCAAAAACACCAGGTCGTCCTCTCTAGCCTTCGAATTCGCGTTCGAACTCTAGAAATATATGGCATTCGAGGCGAAAATCGGTCGACATCGTCGAAACTGTTTGGAGAGATTTTGGAGCAGAGCTATTAATTTGCGAGGGCAGCAGAGGGGCCGCTGATTCTTGCGGGACAATCTATCACATGTCTGCAGGCGGAAAATCAACTCTTCAGTTACTCATCTTCAGTGCGTACAGTGACGTCGTTGCATAGACCACGAACTTGGCCCACCCACATGTCAGAAGTTGAACGACAACAACCTTGCCACTGCAACCGCCGTCGAAGGTATGTCGCATACGGATTTGTTCTTGGTGGACGTGTCAATAATATTCTGGGTGGTTTTGTCATCGAACATTCTCGCCGGGCTGGGGTGATGAAATGGGACCGAGAATGTAATGCTTGCGAAAGATGTACTCCTACGCATTTTACCCTGTACAAGGCTGTGTACTTGCAGCGTAGTCCAAGAGTTGTACTCAATTCAGCTCTCTAACCGTAGTCTGGTTCGTGGGCGTTTTCTTAGAAACAAATATATCATCAAAATCTACCAGTAGATCGCTTAATAACACGTCCACTTCGTCACCCATTGCGATGTTCCCTCACGGGATAACAAAGATCTCATTCACAGAGGTAAAAGCAAACGCTGCACAACCAACATATGAGCTCATTTCGCACCTACCCTTTCCTATCCCACACAAGAACCATATCCCTCAAGTAAACCCTAAGTACCTAGGTAAGGGCGCCGATTCGCATCTTCCAACGCGACCATGGAAACATTACCCATAGGGCTAATTGTGGAGAGATTCGAAAGGGCAGACATTGAGAGACATTTGGAATGAAATTCAAGCAGCGGGCGAGGAAACACCAGATTTGACAGATAGTGGAACAGGTTCAGTGCAGGAAAGGAGAGACATCGGGAGACGGTCAACAGGGTTCCAAAACAATAACCTAATAAATGCGCAAGGCAGAGGCCTATACAGTGATAGGAACGAGTGCAGTTATGTCGAATGACGTTGACGTTCACAAATGAGGTTACAGCTGGGATGAAGAGAAGGCCATGACAGTTAAACCACGGTCAGGTAGGCAATACGCATATGAATATCACGACGACAAAGCACGAAAGTTCTAATCAACCACTCGATTCTCTACCTGCAACCCAACTACCAACCCCTGATTAAAGGATTACGCGATCCATGTACAATGATATCGTGTTCGCTTGACGCAGAGACACGCCCGCTACAAAGGAAACCAACCGACCATGCAAAAGTCATAGCCGTACCTCTTTGAGGGAGGCAAAGCTCATTTGAAGAGGATGACGTTTACAAGAAGAAAGCAGCGAAAGCACCGACAGCGGCGAGGACACCGAAGGTCTGCTTGGAGGCAGCGCCCTCAAAGGCCGGAGGAGAGCTGGGGACGGGGTAGCCAGTGCCGGTAGGGCCAGCAGGGACGTAAGGAGCACCAGTGCCGGTGGGGTAGGGAGCCTCGCTGGCAGGGCCGGTGGGATAGGGGACGGGGACACCGCCAGTGCCAGTGGGAACGTAGGGGGACTCGGACGGGACGGTGACGGTGACGGTGACAGTGCTCTCGCAGGCCTCGACCGGGGAAGACGGGGCCGGGGAGTAGACAGGAGTCTCGGTCTCGGAAGGAGTCTCGGGAGCGTAAGAGGGGACGGGGGTCTCGCTCTCCTCAGGGGTCTCCGGGACGTAGGAAGGCACCTCAGGCTTCTCGCTCTCGATGGGAGTAGCGGGGTACTCAATGACAGAGGGGGTGGCAGCGGGAGCAGAGCTCTGGGGAACGGCAGGGATGGCATCGTACGAGGGGGGACTGTTACAGAATTAGTCGATAGGTCACATGCCGCTCGTGGAATATTTCAACTTACGCCTCATAGCCGTAGCCAGCACCAGGGGCCGCAGCGGCGGCGGCAGCAAGAGCGAGAACGATGGCGGAACGCATATTGATTGATTAGAAGGTGAAAACTTGGGGAAGTTTCGTGAGGTGGTAGAGGAGTCGTGGGTATTAAGGGAGTGTAGTATTAGTTGGTTGTTGTATTCAACGAATGGACGACCGGAGTCAAATGCTGGAGCTCGAAGTGTGAACTTGAGTTGGAGGAAGAAGGAGAGGGAACAGCGGAAGTGAGAAAGCCTTATGTACCGGCGGAGATTACAACGACGGTAGCGCGGACCGGGAGCAAGTGGGTCACTGAAAGGGGCAACGGAGCGGTCAGGGGAGGCAATTGAGGGCAAAGGCCAGCGGTTGGCCTTGGACAGCTGCAGGTACAGAGCTGTGCGGCACAACGTGGGCCAATGGCACCGCGCACCCTCTCTGGGGCCAGCGGTGGCGGACACCGGGGTTTCGTATTTTGGAGATGAAAGGCCGTCGCCCCAGGTCCAACAGGGAGCCTTCTCTGGATGCTGAGTCGAGCGCTGCGTCTCCACAGATATTGATGTTGACGAGCCTTGTTGGTGCTGTCCTCAGCACGCTGACACCTTCAGTGAGCGCCTTTGCCGAATCCGCCTTTTTTTTCGGTCTATGGGAATACGGAATCCTGGAGGGAGACTTCTACATAGAGTAACATGATGATCGTTATGCACGTGTGAGCAGTTGCTTGTGTCCGCTGTTGTGCCTTGGTTGCGACATCGACACTTGTGCACAAGGCCGACTGGCGGAAGATGATGATAGTCAGGGGCAGCCTTATCGAGGTTTGTGCTGACTTCCCGCTTCAGGAATCGGCTTTTGCTGATGATTCGGAGAGTTGGAGCTTTCCATAACAGCTGGACCAGCTTCTTTTCTGGGATGTGATCCGCCGCGAGTTGTGTGGGTTTGCCACGGTTTGCGCACAGAGTGGATGTGTCAGCGTTGCATGCTGCCATGCCATTCATCAGCGGGATTTCTATTTCCGCCACGTCTCCATCCTGATTCCTTGTTGGTGAAGGGCATGGGCGATCGCCGCTGAGCAGATTTTCTCGTTTCTTCCCAATTCAAACAGGTCGTCCAATTGGGGTCGTTTGGAAACATGCGCTTTCGCGTTGGATCCTTTGAACAGATGTCGTGAACTCCTTGATTGTGATTCCCTCGAAGCATAGCTGTGGGAGAGGTCCACTTACGGAAAACCCCCACAAACTCGCACTTCGGGACGGGCACCAGCGATTCGTGCAATCCGCAAAGTCCACCTTCCCCAGCACGCAAGCACGCAAGCACGCAAACCAACGACCCCCTCGTTTACCGGGCGGACAGTGGAAATTGCGCTGACAGCTCGAATCGCCCGTTTTCCGTTTCGCCTAAACGGTCGTTGGCCTTGGCTCCCCTGAGCTAACCACGTCTGGACCCTTTGAAGGCCCCTGCATGGATGATCAGGGGAAGGGGAAACGGCAGAGAGGAAACAAACATGTCGAGAGAAGGGAGTTGAAGATGGCGAATTGTTGAGAAGAGAGAGGGTGTGGTGCGCGAGAGATGGGATGGAAGGGAGATGGATCCGCACCTTGCCCACTGTGCCTCTTCCCATTCCACCACCACTGCGGAGGGCGACACATTTCAACAAGACTTTGACACTCTGCTCTCTCTGCTCACATGCACACATTAAACACCCATTAAATGACCTTCATCTCGCCTCCGCATTATTGCAATAAACATCCTCTGGACTTTACCCCTGATCCTGTCCGCCACTGTGGTCCAGCCTCCCGCATCCACCTGTGCGCGCGCATGAACAGGTAGGGGACCCTTTGTGAACAAACAAACTCGAGTCAGGTCAGGGGTGCATACGCAGCGACGAAGACACACACGAACAAACGAGGGTCATCAAAATTTGCGAGCTGATGAGAAGTGGACATCATGAAAAGCGCCATGTTCGCCCGTCAGACTCCAACAGAACTCTCACCTCATCCCATCAGGTCCTCCTTCAATTTCGAGAATCAGCAAGCAGGAAGCAGCAATCAGCATTCTCCATTTCCAGAAGCGCCTACGCTCCCCATAATAATCGTCCGAAATCACCGAACGCGCCGATAGGATTCCAAATCCGCCCCCTCGCCAACTTGCCTTTCTCAGATGTCTATCGCCTGAGCTTCCACTTGCGGCTTCAACAGGGCTGGTGAACAGAATCGAGCGATTAGTACGGAGTATCGCGCTCATGATCGATGATATTGTCTAATAAAGTAATGTCGCTCACATAGGATAGCGCCGTAGTATCGCGTCCCTTGTTTAACAAAAAAGTCGTACCAAAGTCGCAACGAACAACATCAGATAGGTCCGAAGCAACTCCAATGCAAAAAGCAGAGAGGGAAGAGAGGAGAACCATTTTCATACGCCAAACCATACCATGCCATGAGATGCCCTGCCATGCCAATTACTGTACAACACCATGAGCACCTCTCCCAAGCAATTATGATAATACCACCCGAGCGATACCTTTCTTTCTCAAACAATGAACGAATCCAGAAGTACGATCCTACAACCTCACCCTCCCCTCATCCCCCCTCCCACCGAACAGCGCTCTCCAACCCTCATTCCTGCCATTACCACCACGGCCACCACCACTCCCTCGCGCCTCATCCCCACCCGCCATCCACCTCGGCCTCGTGAATCCAAAATCCGCCGTCTCAAACGTATTCCTCACGCGAGTCGCAAAATCCGAGAAGAAGTTCCCATCCTCGTCCTCGTCCACCGGCAGCGGTGCTCGCCTCCTCCCCCGATCCAGCTGCGGCCGCGAAGCACCTGCTGCACCTGGACCCCGTCGTGATGAAGAGGTCGCTGGATCGTCTGAATACCGGTCTTCCGGCGGCAGAGCCGATGCCCCGCGCCGCGAGAGACCGAGCAGATTCCCGTTCCCGCCGTGCAATTCCCGGTCGATGAGTGCGCGACCTTCCCTCCAGCTTCCGGTGCCATAGGCGCTTCCTTCGTCCTCCTCGTCGTCTTCTAATAGATCGCCGAAACCACAGATATTCTTTACTTTTCCGTACAAGCCGAAAAGGCTCGCGAGAACAGGCACAAGGATGAATGTAGGAAAATAGTCGGAGAAGTTCTTCCCCAGCGGTGTCAAGTCGATCAACCGTCCCAGGAAACGATGGAAACTGGTATCCTTGTAGATCACGGGCGGCGTAAACGTGATGAAATTATACGCCAGAGGGACTGTAAGCTTTGCAACCTGCAGAGCGTACCAGGTCGCGGATTCGAGGTAGGTGTGACGTTTGACCAGCGCGCGATTGCCCCAGACTTTGACTTCGGTCATGGAGAAGAAGGCGCAGATGCACATGTAGCACAGCCAGGCTGCGGCGATGACTTGGCCGCCGAAACCGATTTGGCCTCGTGAGGAGGGCGGGTGATGTATGACTGTGAGGCCAATGACGGAGAGCTTAGGCTCTAATGACCGCACGCATTCGGACCAAACGATGGATGCAGAGGCCAGTACCGTGATGGCGGAACCCAGATAGTATAGCGCTGGAATGATATGGACATGCAGATGGTACCGTGTGTATGGTGTAAGCCACGTGTATCGCGCCAGTAACCCCTCCCGTTGTGTCTCGAAGGGTGAATTCGAAAACTCCAGTCTCTTGGAAGCTTTCGAATCGAGGATCGCCTGTGTCTTTACGGCCTTTGCAACAAGATGATCCCACTCCGCTGAGAATCTCAATCGCGCATGCCTTGCTCTCTTCAACTTCCTCGTCAACTCCGCCAGATATCTTGCTGTTATGACTGGAGGCACCGTTGTTGCACTGTTCTGCCGAAGCAGTCCCAGCTGGCTTTCCTGCAAGTGGTCCGTCTCGCCCAACTCTTCAATCCACTCCTGGAACTCCCTCGCTGTGCCAGTTTTCCTCTGTTTCAACTGCACCACCTGATGCTCGTATTGATCCAGCTTCTCAATCGCCTCCGTCAACTTGTCGTGGATCTTCGGCGCTTGGCTCTGTATCCTCTTCAACCTCTGGCTGATATTCGCATAGCGAAACAGCGTCCTCGGAAAGGCTACAAGTCCATGTCCCATGAGATAAATGGCCAACACCAAACCCCACGCATATGCCAGTGCCATGACCAGCCCCTTGAAGCTATCAAAGTGGAACCCATGCTGCCACAAGATGTATATCGCACCCACAACCGAGGAACCCAGCATCATAAGCTGATACCGCCCATTACTCCGAACGGCATACAAGAAGCGATCCTTGGGCTCCCGGTACCCCGAATCGCAGTACTCTCCCAAGTACGGCAGGATGACCCAGGTCAGCGCAAACGTCAACCAGTAGGCCACGCGCCACGACTTGTATACCACCTTGTCTGAGAGCCATATCCCTCTGCCGCCGTCCGTGTCGGTGCCCGCGCTACTGGCGAGATCTATGGGGACAAGGAGAACGATGCTGGCGGGCAGGGCGATCGAAAGGAATACGGGAATGGTGACATATGCGGGGGTCGAGCGGAGAGGAATGTAATACCGCAAGAGGAGGAGAACGAGGGCGCATATGGTGAGGAGGGCGAGGACGAAGAAGGCCGTTGCGCCGGCGGGGGAGGAGGTCATCGCGGCGGCGGCGGGAGCGGGATGCTGCTGAACATTGAGGGGCGTAGCAATGGAGGAGGTCAGGTCTAAGAGCTCGTTTGATCGTACGATGGAACGGAGGTGGTAGTATATGTGGGTTGAGTAGAGGAAAGGTCGAAGTATGCGGTTCGAGATGGTAGTTACGGAGTGGGAGGGAGCAGGTCGACGGATCCCTCAATAGCTCTGCGCCAGAAGCGGACCTGTTTCGTTGTTGAACATGAGGTTGCCGCCTGTCAACCATGAAAGCATCATCAGTAAGCAGTCCTCCCCTCGAGCCACAGTCCGCTTCAATACCACTTACAGTGATAATCGCCGGACTATCTCCGATTGGACAATGGCACCATCAGCCATGGCTGACAAAGCTCGATGTTGTCATCGCCGCGGCATTCTTTCACTCCTGTCACACTTCGCTGCGGGGCGCGCCGTTCCAATTCCACCTCTTGCTGCATCCTCAATTTGTCTGACTGACTAATCGCTATTTCGCCATCACTGCTATTGCAAATCGCTGCACACATCTACCACTTATATAACCCTCCTCAGGTACGCTCCTCACTCAAACCTCTCTAGACACCGCAACCCAACTGACATCCCTCTATCAGTTCTTTTAAAGAGCCTTATTACACCGCAACCCAACTGACATCCCTCTATCAGTTCTTTTAAAGAGCCTTGTTACACCGCGAATAACCGGCCTCGGGCCCCCCAGTCGCAACCATTTCGTTCTTCAGAGCCTTCTTCACGCGCGCCTCCAGCCCAGCAACCATGTCCGCTACACGCACCAAGGTTCAGAGCATCATCGACGAGAACCCCGTCGCCGTCTTCTCCAAGTCCTACTGCCCGTACTGTCGAGCGGCGAAGCAGCTGTTGAGCGAGAACGGCGCAAAATATTTCGCGATCGAGCTCGACCAAGTCGGTATGTCGAGGCAATATTCTCGTTGAGAAAAGCATATAAAAGCTAACAGTTTCCCAGATGATGGCTCGGCAATCCAGTCCACGCTCGCAGAGATGACCGGCCAGACGACCGTGCCCAACATCTTCATCAACAAGAAGCACATTGGAGGCAACTCGGATCTGCAGGCAAAGAAGGCCGAGCTACCCGCGCTGCTCAAGGAGGCTGGCGCGATCTAATGAAGCACCGCAACGGACGAGTCAAATAATTATAGTCGATCTCTAATACAATTGCGATTAGACACCCGATTCAGATGTCCCTGGTTGAAGAGCAATGTCTTGACACATGTGATATTTTTTTGATGTCCAAATAGTAGCCACACGGATTGAACAAGGATAAAAAGTACTGACAGTTGACGGATTGGGATCTCTAGCGTTCTATGCCATGATCGGTTTCGATGAACATCTGGCTCAATCAGGGCAAACAATTGATGAGCATAGATCTGTGAATGGACAATCGTTTCCACGGTATTGCCCCAACCTCCTCCAATGGTATGCCAGCATGCTAAGCCCTTCAATCGCTTCTTCCTATCGCTTACATCATTAAATGCATCGGGTGCTCTCATCATCTCATCCCAAAATCTTACTCCGGAATCTACGTCTGCATTGCATCCGCGTACCCCTGCGCCGCTGTCGTAGCAAAATACCTGACGTCGACATCCTCATCTTGCTGCAACTTCTCCAGGTTGGGCAAGATATTCTTGGTGATGAGCTCGTGTCCCTTTGGGCACCCCTCTGCCGTCTTGCCTTCCTTCTGAAGAGCTAAGACTGTTCCTTGCTCGGGAAGCTGCTTCAAGGTGTCTATCAGCACGGCATATGACTTGGCCACGTTGAAGCGGATATTGGGAATCATATCGTTGACTAGTTTGTCCATCATCGGTAGGATCGAGGCCTCTATCACGTCCAGGCTGAGAGCAGGTGCAAGTGTCTAGCACAAATTAGAAACATGCCAGTTCTGAAAGGTACACGTGACTTACTGAAACAGCGAAACAAGTGGTCATTCGGTACAGATAGTTGGGGTGTTGGCCCATAGCCATCACCTTGGGAACAATAGCGTCATTGGCCCACTCGACGCCGAACACCTCGGTGAGTTTCTTCAGGTTTTGCGTCGACGCCTCCCTGATGGAGAAGACAGTGTCGCCCAGCCAGCTCATGCAGAGACTGCTCAGTTTTTCGTCGAAGAACTTTACGCCGAGTTGAGAGGCGAGCAAAGGAACGTATTCTATGATGGCCAACCGGACACGCCATTGCTTGTCTTCAGCAAGCTGGACAATCGCCGGAAGCAGAGATTGTGAGAGTAGTTCGATCCCAATCACTGCTGATATTAGCACTACTCAAGCAACAGTCGGAGACGATATTTACCGTTATTGACAAGCTCGAGCTTTGATATAATGTTCAACCTAACGTCAGGAAATTCGTCCTTCAACATTTGCAGGAACATAGGAAGGAGATGCGAGATCGTCCTGTTCTTGGTCAGCGTAAATCCTATGCGTACAGCTTTTGGGCACTTACTCCTCCTTTCCGAGAATCGGAGCCAGACCACTAATCTGTGTGCCAAGTGCAGCCCGCACGTGCTGAGATTGATCCGACACAAGTTCCTCTATGCTGGGCATAACGTCGTGCAAAAGCGTTTCACGTTCGAGGAGGGCGCAGAATCCTATCGTCAAATTAGCGGACGGTGCGGAAGAAGTAGAATATGATGTTGCGTACCGGGGATTTGGCCTGCAATCGCACTCCGTACCTCCGCCTCCGTATCCTTCAGGAGCTTGACGAATGCGGGTACCAAGTCGCGATTGACGACCTCCTCATCAACAGCTTTCGCGATCTAACCTAGTTAGCTTGGTGCGCTATTCGATGACTGCATACTGACCTTCTCAAACCGGTCGGCTACCATGTATCGCACTCGCCAGCTCTTGTCTTCGAACAGGCTCCGGAGAGCACTCAGCAGGACCCCATGACTTGATTGCTGCTCCTTGGGGACTGCTTCGGCAATCGAAATCAAGATTTCGACTGTAAGGAGCCTGACGCTGTCCTGATCATCCGCCGCTAGATGCTGAAAGAGCGGAATCATCTCCTCGATGACGATGGTTGGCGGCATAGTCTTGATGAACTTGGCCAGATTGCTTGCCGCCTGTCTCCTCACCATAGGGGTGTCATCGTGTACAAGCTGGCCATACTGCTGTCGCAGAAGCTCTTGTGAGGGTGGTGTAGCTCGAGTGTAAGGTACGTCGTATAGGCCGGTCGCAGAGACCTTAGACGTAAACCAATCGGCTTTGGACAATCGGATGACGAGGGGAATAAAGTGTTCTTCGATTTGGGACTGTGAAAGTTCTTCGCAGATTTTGTTAAGGGACTCGACGGCCTGCTCATGTCAACCATACTCATACGGCACCTGTTTCGAGCCCTTACCTTGTTCCGCACAAGCGGCTCCTCTATGGCGGCCAGATTCTCCAAGGGGGAAAGCAGAAGATGGCCATATTCAGGTCCACCTACGTACTCCACAAATTTACCCAACTCCTCGCATAACGCGGCGAGAACCTCGTCCTCGTCCTCAACGGACTCTAGAGAGCGAGTGAGCGAGATTCACAGATCAACAACAGCAGTGCAGCTCACCATCCAAGAACGGTATCAGCTCGTCCCGCGTCCGTTCGGGGCCCAAAGCAAGCGCAATGGTGTTCAAACGACGGATTGCATTCAGCCTGAGCAACACATCGTCGTGCTTGAGCTCATCAATGAGGACCGCGATGGGGTATAGCTCATCGTTTTGGTTCGAGTCCATGCTGTGCGGTGACTGTCGGGTAGCGAATGGAGCTCTTTGAAGGGGCCGGATGAAGTTCTCGAGGGAAAGGCTTGGGGCGGAGAGCCGGTCGCGTCGAGGTGGGTGGAGGAAAGTGCCACAATAGCTGTCTAAGCTTTAGTTACAGGAGACACCGTTATGGAAGAATGTTGAGTGCAAGTCGCTTGTTACGGGTGTTGACGTACCTGGATGAGAAGCGGGATGCTCAGGCCAGGGCCGCGGGGAGGGGGCGGCTGGCTACGAGACAGGGAGACGGACGGCGAGCAATAGGGGCCAAGATGAAGGAAGTAATGGGTGGATAATACAGTGTGAGCGTGGTATGCGAGGATAGTGAGGTCAGTGGATGTTGTGGGCGCGCTTGGGGATCTTGTGGCTGCCCAGTTGCAAGTTCATCGTGGGAGCAGCCAGCCCGCCAGTCAATTCAGCGAAGTGCGCCAAGCGTGGCTAGGGCGGGGGTTTCAGCCACACCAGAGCTCTGACTATCACAGTAGAGATGCGGTTTGGATCCAAGTAGGCGATTTACGTACTTGGACTTTTCACGTCCGACCAAAACACCATCCCCATTTCTTCTGTGGATTCCTAACTCGCGCAGCGTATCTAGATGGGCTGCAATCGATTAGAGGCATCAGTCAGCTGCCCCTCAGGGTTCATCAAACCCAGGTAAGGGCCCTTTTTAAGGTCAATTGCAAGGCCTGCCATATCCCTACGGCTCCTGGCTATTCACTCTGACGTAGAAACCGGCTCTATTTCTTCTTGGGATACTAGTATTCACTGCAAAATGTCAGTGTCTGTATCTAACGACACCAAAACAGAGCATGGTATGAAGCCTCTCTATCGAAATGGATAGTCTTAACTACATAACAGCTAGCCTCTGTAGCCCTTTACGGCCGTATTCTTCTATACTGCGGGCTGCTCAAAAATATCTTGTTCTCCATTGAAGTAGTCTTTGTCCTGCCAACCTTATGCTAACAGCTAAGCTATTGAGATATCACTACAGCCTACAATATCGAATGCTTCAATCCATACAGGAGATTATAAATGAGCGCAAAACCGTAAGACGAAGCACCTGCAAGAGAGCTAGACTATCTGATGCTAAAACGCATTAGGACATGTGTAACGTCTTTCCTTGGCAATACCACCTCTTAGTACTCTTTCTTTCTTTCTTCGAGGTTAGGAGTACTCTCTTTGCCCAGGGCCGTTAGCCAGCATCTTACTTCCGGACTTATCTGATATAATGCAGTCTCACCGAAATCATCACATGTCTGTCGTCCTTGGTACCCACTTATCCAAAACATGGTGCAAGAGGTTTTGTAGGTTCCTCAACTTCCGAAAATACGGTATATCATAGATGAAATTTTTTGAGCACTTCAATAATAACTAGCCCGGTTAGCTCAATCGGTAGAGCGTGAGACTCTTAGCTTCATGTTCCCTTAGAACGATTGACTCCAAATAATCTCAAGGTTGCGGGTTCGACCCCCGCATCGGGCTTTTTTGCCATTTTTTTCCTTTTTATTCAAATATCTCCTACGTTGGTGGAGAAAAAGAAGTTGATTTTCAAATAAGTTGGGGGCAGATTTTTATGGGGTCAGCATATGGGAATTGCCAAGCCGGCATCTTATCGATAACTACACCCCGGTTCAAAATTTCCCCAACACCACAAGTCGTGCCGGTGCGATATGCAATCACGTATTTCTCCTTCGCCCGTCTCCCTCAACAATGGTGGCTAGTGATCACGAATTATCAGAGCACCAACTCGGTTCGCGAAAGAGAAGGAAGCTCTCTGACGACGGCGACGATGACGCCGCCTCAGATGGCGATGTGCCCGCGCCCACACTCCCCGTCCCTGCGATCTCCAGGGTCAAAGTAAAACCGAAAACCCAAGCCTCAACTGAGGCAACAGCAGCACCAGGAAATTCAGGCTCAGGAAAGCCACCTGTGCAAGTCCCGGCTACCGATCCGAAGGCCACTTTTGCCTCCCTGAACGTATCGCCATGGCTGGTGAAAGCCCTGGCGGCCATGGAGATCAAGCGACCTACGCCAATCCAGCAGGCCTGCATTCCGGAGATCCTCAAGGGCCGGGATTGCATAGGTGGCTCGAGAACGGGTACCGGCAAGACGATGGCATTTGCAGTCCCCATACTTCAGATATGGGCAAAGGACCCAAGTGCTATCTTCGCTGTAGTTCTCACGTGAGTTCCACAACCCACTCTTTTTGCTCATAGTACAGGCGCATCTATATACTGACACTCTTGCAGGCCTACGCGGGAGCTGGCCATTCAGATCTACGAGCAGTTCATGGCGATTGCTGCTTCTTCCTTTCTCAAGCCCCTTCTCATAATCGGGGGCGACGACCAGCGTGAGCAAGCAATCAAGCTTGCATCCAGACCGCACGTGGTTATTGCCACGCCAGGCCGTCTAGCAGAGCACATCAAGACCTCTGGCGAGGACACCATCTGCGGCCTTCGCCGAGTCAGGTTCGTCGTCTTCGACGAAGCAGATCGCCTGCTCGCACCCGGACGAGGCAGTATGGTCGACGACATCGAGACATGCCTATCGGTGATGCCTCCCAAGGAAAAGCGCCAGAATCTCATGTTCACCGCTACCATCACGAAAGCAATGCATGCACTCAAGGAGGAGCCACGCCCTGGACGACCGCCCATCTTCTTCTGCGAGATCGACACCGAGACGTTGGCCATCCCGCCTAACCTCCAGCAGAAATACGTCCAAGCCCCCGTCACGCACAAGGAATGCTATCTCCATGTCCTCCTCGAAACCCCCGAGAACATCAAGAAATCCGTCATCCTCTTCTGCAACCACAAAGCCACCGCCACCGTCCTAGAATACATGCTGCGTCTCCTCGGCCACCGCGTCACGGCCCTCCACGGTGGACTCAGCCAGCGCGACCGCACTGCCAATCTCGCCCGTTTCCGTGCCCAGGCAGCCAGGATCCTCGTAGCTACCGATGTTGCAGCTCGCGGTCTCGATATCCCCGAAGTTGCCCTCGTTATCAATTACGATCTCCCTCGCGATCCGGACGACTACATTCATCGGGTTGGTAGGACGGCACGTGCGGGGAGAGGCGGTACCAGCATTACGATCGTGTGCCAGCGCGATGTGGAGCTCGTGCATGCCATTGAGGAGAGGGTGGGGAAACAGATGGAGGAGTATGAGGAAGAGGGCGTCAGCGTGGAGGGTAGGGTTGTCCGTGATGCGCTGAAGCCTGTTACAGAGAAGAAGCGGGAGGCGTTGCTCATGATTGAGGAGGGCAAGGACGTGCTCGGGAAGAGGAAGTTCAATTTGCAGAGGAAACCCGGCAGGAACATGTAGGGCTTCGTCTGAGTAGAAAGGGGCCTGTGCTGGAAATGGGATCTAAGGTGGTTGTTGCTGACGCCGGATGGAGGTATTGGCAGATGTTGGGTTGGAGAGGGCCTCCAAACACCAGTCACTCCTAATATCATAATGGAATCAGTGGATGACTCATACCATCACCAGAAGATTATTACGATGCGTGCATTTGCCATGTTTGAACTCCTAGACACCGTCAAGTCTATATCCCCTGAAGCGAACCTGTTCCAAGCCGACCGAGCTACGGGCCAGGGTATCCTATATTATCTCTATCATCGTCTATGATGCGACCATATCTGCGATTGAGTCAGTATAAACCATATTCCCTGTGTTATATGCACAAAAGGAATTTGACTCACTCCAAAAGCAGCCTGAAGAACCAGACCTCAAAGTCCACATTCCGAAGCACCTTCCCCGCCCACTCCGTACTCCGCTGCGCGATCTCGCGTGCCTTCTTTTCGCCAATAGAGTCGCCATTCCCACCCTTATTATTATCATCCACCTTTCCCCCCTCTCCGTCTTGCGTACCAGAACGCCGCGAGGAAAGACCTCCAGCAAACCACTGCACGAGGTCCAGATGCTCCGTCCCATTCAGCGAAAGCGGAATATAATGCACCCAAGGATACAACCAATCGTCGTGCCACTCGCGGAACACAGCCATCTTATACGTCAGACTCCTGCTTTTCAGGAACGCGTAGAAGCGGCCCGAGAACGCATTCCCGTCCATGTCGAGCAGGTGCTTGTAGTACCACGCATCCTGGCCATCTGCATGCTCCGCCACGTGGAAGAACTCCTTTTGTGCATCGCAGTCGCCGGGGTCGCACTGTCCGATGTGCGTGAACTTGACGTCGATGAATTTCTCGTAGTCGCGTCGTTCCACTTGTTGGAGTTTGTATCCTGCTTCGTCGTTTCCACCAGTCGCGACGAGAATCTTCTCCTTGTCCAGCGCGTTCAGGCGCCGAACGATGCGCTGTCGATGCTGTCTCCTCCAGCCTCCGGCTCGACTGAAGCCGCCGGTCGTTGAGCCACGCCAATACAGACTGTTTGTCTTGTTCTCCCATGTGGTGTCACGGTCTTCGTCGTACCCTACTTTGCCGAACCAGTACCAAGGGCTCGGATAGAGGATATCCTGAAAGCTGGAGATCTTGGACTGTGAAAAGACGGGAGTCAGTTCATGGATGATGTTGAAAGCATTGGGTCGCTCGAAGAACCCAAAGCTGGTTGCGAAGGAGGGCGAGTTGCAGATGTCAGAGAAGGCCGTCTGGTTGTATATGTACTTCAACGGACCTATAGCGTAGGAGGTGAGATTATCCGGGATGTTGTCCCCGTAATTGCGGGCTTGGCTGTCCATAGGGCATGACAACCGAGCATGTGTCCAGGTCTGTTGATGAGCAAACCTGTTGAACCGAGAGGTCGTGACTATGTCGAAGTGCTTGCCATCATTCAGATCAGATGGGCGTCCCGAGAACGAGTTACGAGGACTCTGGCGTCGACTCGCAATCGCTTCAATTTTTTGCCGTGCATCTCGCACCAGTGCTGCTAGCTGGTCGTGGGGAACAACAACACGCGGTTCGTCGTGGATGTTGAACCCTAGGTCCATGTCCGGTAGATATTGCACAAATTCCTTCATCATCCCGACGGTCGCCTGTTGCTGCCATTCTTGTCCATTTTCGATCTTAACGACATTGCCGTCCCGTATCATCACCCCGATCAGAGCATTCTCCTCGTTTCCCAAGGCAAGCTTGACCCGTTCTCGTATTGTCGCTGGGGATAGGGCCCAGAATGGAAGCAATTGCCGGGAAACAGTATCGAATTCGTCTATGAGCTGCACGCCATTACGCACGGCAAACTCGTACCATTTGTCAAAGAAAGGAGGGGGGGATATTCCGTTCCGGCGCCGGTACTCTGCCACAGCTTCGGCCAGTGACTTGGATTGTCCGCTAACCAGCTTCTGGTACTTTTCCTCGGCAGCTTTAATCAGTTGCTCAGCCGGATGGCCTTTCGTTAAATCGAGAGGAAGGGGCCCAAGCGGTGCTTCAGGAGAGGATAGACCGGGAAAGGGCACTCCGTTGCTGATTGGTTGAGGGTGACGAGGTTCAAATGCAGATGGAAGAAACATAAGTCCTAACGACGCCATGACAACGCCAAAGAGTATCCGTCTAACCCGGACGGCGTTACGACTGTCGCTGCTGGAGGTGGAAGATGCGTGGTATAGAAACGAAGCAGCAGCAAATGCGGATATCATGCCAAACCAAATAACAGAGAAAGAAGGACTTATGCTCAGCTTGGCGCACAAGTATGAAAACAAGATGAGCAACGAGGTATGCAGAGCGCGTTGTTGCGCCAGCTATTGCAGTCAGAATTAGTGAGATTAACAGAGGAGCCGAAAGAGCGGCATCAAAAGGAAGGAGTGTGTACGGTATGTGGCTGAGAGCGAGACTCACCGTGTGAAATATCAGGACATTTACAATTACGTTGACAGGAATCACGATGAGACATTGTTGCACAGTTCTGTGATACTGTAGGGTTTTCCAATCACCCCCTAACTGCCGATAGACGGGTTCCCAGGAGATGGCGTTGGAAGCGATGGGTGGCTCTAAAAAGTAGGATGCTCCAGCGCAGGCGAAAGCCATTACAACGGCAACATTCCGCAACGAAATCAACTGCTTCTCCTTATGTGCAACTTGGGAACCGCGCCGTGAGAAACTTCCATTGGCAAACACGAAGCCACGTGGGGTATCGTCATCGTCTTTGGAGATATTGAGCGATTCCTCGAAGAGGACCAAGCCAGAGGCTGTGAAGACGGCACCACTCAGACCGAGTACATAGGTCGATGATGTCGTGAATCGAGTTGCAAGAGCCGCAGCTGCAGAGATCACAGCGATGCTCAGAAGGCGAAAAGATTTGAGGGCCGGGGATCTTTGCTGGCTAGTCTCGCCCTCTGACGTGCTGTCGTCTGCAAGGTGGTATGGTGGCTGGGAAGGGCGCTGGATCAAGAGCTGGTGCTCCGAAGCAAGGATAACAAGGACCGGTAAGAGAGCCTGGTACCGTGAGCCGACGACAAGATTGTAGTATTGCTAATGGGCTTAAAGCTACCTTTGTAGTCCAAGCCCCAAGCTTGTCGCATGCTACCCTCTCGCAGATGTGACCCAATGCAAGCAAACCTCCTGCAAACCAGCCTGTTGTCTTATTTGCTCGGCCGGTACTGCTGCTACTGCCGCTCCAGATTCCGGTACGGAAAACGACGGGTATCCATATCAACGTCCATGAAACAGCAGTTACGAGTAACGAATGTTGAAGGGGGTTATGAACGGCGGCGACCCAGCCGAGCGCAACGAGGAGGAGTGGAGCGAGGAGATGCTGGTATTTGAGGGCATGCGCTAGAAGTAGCGATACGGCTGGGTGCATTGGAGCAGCGTAGGGTCAGCGGGCGTCTCGGGACATGGGTAGCGCTGGTCGATATCGACTGGAAAGATGGAGGGTGGTGTGAGGTTTGTGGAGGATCAATCTCCGAATCGTCCAAGGTTCTCCAGATTCCGAGTCTTGGCAAAGACCCCCGACAAGGCCGGACATCATCCCGCCGATGTAAGTTTAACGGGGGACTCTCTGGCTTATTTAGTGTCCAGCGTAAAAAGAACGGCCTCACTTGGTTATCAAGATGGGTAATTTCATCGACCCGAGGACACAAAGCTTGACTTTATTACCTAAACAAGTGAGTGTCTTTTGTAGGCTATTGCAAGATAAAAAGGAGGGTATATTAAGGCTATAGGAGGCATTGATTAGTCTCTGATGTGCTGTGTTGGGGAGAAGTAATCCACGAATAATCCACGAGAAAATAGGGTTCCACCGGGCTTGTCTGACCTCCAGTTCCCGTATTTGCATGACTTTCAAAATGAAATGACTTCCAAGACGCTACCTACTAGTAGGGACTCCGAAGCATAACTTGGCAACATCAAACCCCACTGTGCGAGAGGTTGCTTGCTGCCGATCTTCAGAACAGATGTTCACGCATCCGTTTCTGCGCTGGATGTGGTGATGTTGGCAGATATCAACATAGAGTCTTCGTCCGCCGCCCGTACTCGGAGTAGAGCGGGCAAGTTTTCTGATGGCTGGGTCGGCCGGTCTGTTCATCGAAGGTGTTGCACCCGTAGACGGCCGCATTGGGAGGGGTATACACTTTCACTCGTCAGCCATATACACTTCACGGAACGGGACGTCCACATACGATGAAGAGACACGGCGTATTCCTTCTCGTCAGGGTTGCGGATTTTGTGCAGACCGAGCTTGTCCGACATGTATGTCACCTCGTTCTCGTTGTAGATAGTCTCTTTCTCGATTTGCAAGGGCCGTCTCTCGCCATTGTTGAGGTGGACGGTGGGCCACATATACCGCGTCTCTACCAATCGACCTTTGAGGACTTTCATGATGCAGTGCGCATTCGCGTGGCTATCCCATGTGAGCAGGGGTCGTCCACTAGCCGGCATTGATCCCACTCACTCATGGACTGGACTGCCTTTCCCAGGGGTCCAAACGAGGATCAGCTACAGTGGTCGCCCGTTAGCGAACAGCTCCGCCGCATAAGGCTTCTGGAGCATACCAAGTTGCTCTTGCCGTTTCCCTTGTCTACCAGATTCCTTGTGTAGTGCTTCGTGGCGGACTTGAAGGCATACTGTGCCCATTCGGACTCTTGCGATATGTAGTCCCTCATAAGTGACTTCAACTCTTCAGTGTCTACTTCTTCGTCGGATATGCCATGGTGTTCCCCTAGTCGGTTCCTGAGGGCGTTGACGAGGTGATCGAAAGTCATGGCGAGGTTCGAGCGGTGAGGTTCAGGTTGCGAGAAGATGGAGTTTGTTATCAGAGAACTGGAATGGTGCGCTAGGGATGACTGGCATAAGTTAGTCTGTAGGAAGCAATCGTGTCAATTTTCCGACCGAGCTGTCTACGATTGCTCCTGGCATCTCCAGGCCAGACTGTTTCTCCGCTCAACAACGTTGTCAGGAAGCAGTAGCTGGCAAGGCGGTATGAGGGCACAGTATGAGAGCAGAAGCAGGAAGATGTGGCACCAAACGACTGGACTAAACAGGCGTCACGCTCCGCCATCGTATGCATGGGTTATGTAACGAGCGGCTCAAAAAGCGGTGATGCTGTGAGGTTCTCTCAAGCTCACAAGACCTGGAGCCGCCCTAAGCCGTGAAGAGCACGATCGAATGGGAAGAGTTAGGTGCCTGAATGGCATGTGATGGACATTCGCGGGTATATGCGGGGCGTTCAGGCACCACGCGCCCGAGGCGGTCTCAACAATGTGGACTTACGTGGATATAGCACTGTTGAATATGTGACAGCTTTGAGTATTCCAACAAGGATCGGTGCAAGTTTCTCGGGAGAGGAACATATGAGGCGATGAGTGATGAGCGATGGAATTGATGTTTGTGACTTGGACTCTAGTAGACCATGACTCCGCGAAGCGAGATCACCTTGCCGTCCTATATATGTGGAGCTGTTGTCGCGTCGATAGTAGAACCATCAACTACTTACAGTCCAGATACCTTGCCTCGTAATCTTGCACTGAGCCTCCATAACTGGACGACTGAAGCCGGGTGAAAGAATGGAGAATCGTTCCGTCGTTGCACAGGAACCTGCCCATGTGCAGTGAACAAGTGACGTCGGAGAAACTGATACTCCGTGCCGTCGCCGAGGAACCGTTCAGCGGCTTGCCCCGCGCGTCATCCCGCCGCTCGACATCAAATTTCTGGAACATCGTCCTATACATCTACGCGAAGCAGCATTCAACAGTGCATACGCGGGCACGGGCATAGAAACAGACACAGATACAGGCAAGACACTCAAGATGGCCACTACTGTGGACAAGGTTAGTTTCCGTCATCAATGAATCACGGCCGGACGGCTAACATCTGTCTAGATCAAGGAAATCGAGGCCGAAGTACGCAAGCATCATTGAAACCCTGATTCTCCCGTGACCACTGCTCACCGCTCCTCAGATGGCCCGAACGCAGAAGAACAAGGCAACATCTTTTCATCTCGGTAGAGTAGGACCGTGACATCGTTCAGGCCGTCACTCATATCGGATTAGGACAGCTGAAGGCCAAGCTCGCAAAGCTGAAGCGGGAGCTTCTTACTCCCAGTGGAGGCGGAGGTGGTGGTGGCGGTACGTTGTACCCTCCATAGGAGTAGACGAGTAACTGACAGTATCTTAGTTGGGTTTGATGTCGCCAGAACAGGTGTGGCGAGTGTGTAAGTCAAACATGCTCACTTCCCAGACAAAGTCGATGTGCTCAAGCTGGTAGTGGTTTCATCGGCTTCCCGTCAGTGGGGAAAAGTACTTTGATGAGTAGATTAACTGGTCAACACTCTGAAGGTATGTGTAGTGGGAGCACTGTCAAATGTGCAATCTAACAATGGAGCAGCCGCCGCATACGAATTCACAACGGTATGGGCATTCTACCGAGTGCTGGTCTGTCTTCTCTAACTCGGGCAGCTTACGACCGTCCCCGGCCAAATCATCTACAACGGAGCCAAAATCCAAATCCTCGATCTCCCCGGTATTATTGAGGGCGCCAAGGACGGTAAAGGCCGTGGACGACAAGTCATTGCTGTCGCAAAAACCTGTCATCTCATCGTCATTGTCCTGGACGTCAACAAACCGCTTACCGACAAGCGAATCATTGAGAACGAGCTAGAAGGTTTCGGGATTCGTATCAACAAAAGTCCCCCAAACATTGTCTTCAAGAAGAAAGACAAAGGCGGCATCAACATTACCTCCACCGTTCCCCTGACGCACATCGACCACGACGAGGTCAAAGCCGTGTTATCCGAGTACCGGATCTCAAACGCGGACATTGCCATTCGATGCGATGCAACTGTGGACGATTTGATCGATGTGCTGGAAGCAAAGAGTCGCAGTTATATTCCTGTCCTCTATGCACTAAACAAGATTGACGCCATCAGCATCGAGGAACTGGACCTCTTGTACCGCATTCCAAATGCTTGTCCGATCAGTTCCTCTCAGGGATGGAATATTGACGAGCTCTTGGAACAGATGTACACTTCTCCTGTCTCTTGCCCGAAGTGGATATGCTAACTTTTGTAGGTGGGAGAAGCTGAATTTAATCCGGGTGTATACGAAACCGAAAGGGAAAATGCCAGATTACTCTTCACCAGTTGTTCTGCGGTCCACGGCTTGTACGGTCGAGGACTTCGTAAGTTATTCTCCAGCTCTGCGTGAACTCCATGCTGATTCGTTGCCAGTGCAATTCCATTCACAAGACCATTGTTGAGCAGTTTAAGCACGCTATTGTATACGGAAAGTCTGTCAAACATCAACCCCAACGCGTAGGCCTGTCCCACGAGCTTGCCGATGAAGACATTAGTGAGTTTGTCTCTACTCATCTTTCTATTGGAGACTTTTTGCTCACCAATTTCCGCAGTCACTATTATTAAACGATAAGAGGATGATCGACTCCTAAGGAGCTGACAGCATCGGCGTACCGATTCCCACGATCAAAAATCCCGACGCAGTGAGACCCTACCGAGTGGCTGAAGTGTCTCATTTCTTGTGAGTACTGGGAATGGCTATAGAATTGATTGTGAGCAATGAGGCGGAATTGGGAATTGTCTCAAATCATACTCCGTGTTGGATCGGATGAGGTACGATGCCAATGACGGCATGTCGACATCGGAGCGCTATTCCTCACGAATATTGACACAAGTTGAGACGACGGATGCGGGCCTCGATTGGCTCGCCCTCGGCAGATGGCGTCGCTCGAAAGAGTTGATCGGACCCGCACCGAGCTTTTGTCGATCACTGACGATGCTCGTCATGCAGAGGACGGCAAGGTGGAGCGTGGAGGCGGATAGGGCTATTGGAACGGCGGGTGCATCGGTCTCCCATGCTGTTATTCGGAATTCATGGAATACGAAGGTCTTTCTCCAGCTCTTCTCGCACAGACATGGGCCTTTCACCCACTGGAAGACGACCACTACTGAGTACTGATGGAATCAGAACATGGCGGAATCGAGGCGGGGGACATGGGAGGCATGGGAACCCGCATCGCAAGCGACTCAGCGAAGATTCGGCGCCAACAGCGTCGCCGCTCGCTGCCGGTGGCCAGCTGCTCAAAACCGAAACTGTCTCTGGTGGCTCAAGGCGGTGGGGCGCAATTGTCCAGCTTTTCCCAAAGCGTTTCAGCCTTTGGATGCAGCGATACTCGAAAAACCATCTCCTTTATGCAGCGGTCACAGACTGGATGCTCTTTTGGGCCGTGAGCTAGGGCGCAGGGCTCGCGTACGGTACCTGAGCAGCACCAAGCGGACAAGGATCGTCGAGGAGGATGTGTCTCGCCCGGCAGCAGCTTGCGATGATGATTCTGATTCGATTTGATGTCCCTCAGAGTGAGCGCCAATACCGTCCCCCGCTGAGCCCAGCCGCTTTGGGCACAGCCAGATTAACCGGGCCGCTGCTGGATGCTCATTGCTCAATTGCTGATGCCGACAAGGAGAGGTCCTTTTGCCCTGGGTCCGTTCTCGCACAGGGGATCCCGCGTGCAGTTCCCATTTGCTGTGGATGGTGGGGACTCTGGGAGACTGGGAAGCGCCCTTGAGGTCGATAATTCTGGCCCGACCGGAGACCGCCCACCCACCCACAAGTGCCCGTCGAGGGCCCCGGAGATCAGAGCGGCGCACGCTATGCCCAACTGGCCGCAAGAGGAAGCCAGACGTCGTTGGGGTGTCGCTTGGCTTGCTGCTCTCATGCCAGTCCTCGGCACGGTCCCTCGCCGACCACGACGAGAAAGAATGCACCACTGAGCACTCCACGATGGTTGCGCTGCCCATGACCATGATGCCAGGCCGTCGCTGCGGATGTGCGCGACAGTTGGAGCAAGCACCGCCGTGCTGCTCGGGCGCGAAACAAACAAGGCCCCCTTCTTCCGCCGACTCTTCCGCGCCTGCAACCAGACGCCGTCCGCAGACAGAGTCCTTGAGAGGACGCACACGCGCACACGCACTGGCACAAGAGACCGCCGGGCCGTCCAGGTCTGGAGTTGAGGTGCGTCACTGGACAGACGACGAGGCCTCCAGGGGAGCTCATCAATCATGCCCAAAGTGCCCTCAAATCGCTCAGGTTGTCCGACCAGTGGTGCTCCAATCCGCCCCGTTGTCGCGCCCCGGAACGATGCTCACGCACGCTGCAGCCCCTCTCCCGCCCGCGCCGTCGAATTCGTTGCCGCGCCCCAGCTTCGCGTTTCGTTTCGTCTCGTTGATTAGGGCCTTGTCATTGATTAGGTCCCTGTCATTCCATTATTGCTCCCCTGTCTACCTGTTGATTAGTCGCCTCGGTCCCACCGCATATCCTTCTTGTCAGCTGCGGCCCCCGTGCTGCAGTGCTCCTGTCACCTGTGCTTCCGTGCTGCGTTCCTCTCTCGGTACATCCTAAGCTCAGGAACCATCGACTGCTCCGTACCTATTCTATCTATTCTTCATGCATGCATGCGCGCCCCCATCTTTGACCTCACTCACGCCGCCCAGGAACAGCACCGCTGCGGCCGAGGCGCAGATGCCCGCCTGGCGACCCGCATCGAACAACATCTAACACGGACGCTCCCGCACACTTGCCCCCAGCCACTGTACCAGAGCCGCTCAACCGCCCCGTGGACATGAGCCAGTTGCAAATGGACCACGACCAACAGCTTCACCACCACCATCAGGACCAGCCCTTCGAGGATCATGGCTCCGGCTGGCAGGACAATGGGCCCTACCATCACCCCTCTCAGCATCAATCACCCGTCCAAGACTTCAACGGCATGCCCTTCAACACCACCTATACCCCGCTGTCCATGGAAGCGCCCATTTACAACACCGGAATGCATCCACCAAGGCCGGCCCATACGCAATTGCAGCCTCTCATCATGCCTCAATGGCCGAGCATGCTGACGAGTCAATCCTCCTACGCACCTCCCATGTATCATTCGGCACCCGTCCCCGTCACTCCAGCGTCAGCAACTCCAGTGTCCGCCACATCAACGACTTCGCGACCCTCCTCGACGCCGCGCAAGACTCTTACGGACCAGGATCGGCGGCGCATGTGTCTTTATCATGAGGAACACCCTACCGTCAAACAGACGGAGATTGGAGGTGAGCTTTCGAAACTCTAGGCCCATTGCTTTGTACTGATTTGGCGACAGCCATGTTCGGCGTTGAGAGAAGGTATTCTTTTTATCACCACTCGGGTTTGTCCATAGCCGTTCTGATCTTTCTCTAGTACCGTTTCCAAAGTGCTCCGTCAAAAGGAAAAGTATCTCTACATGGACGATGGGAGCCGTTCACCCATCAAACGGTCAAAGGGGAAATTCCCCGACATTGAAAGGGCCCTGGCGAACTGGGCAAGGAATCACCAGAGACAAGGCCTGCCTCTTACCGACGCCATCATAAGGGACAAGGCACGCTTCTTTGCAAACACAGTGGGCAACAGCGAGAGCCATTTAAAAGCGAACAGCACTAGCTGGCTCGAGAAATTCAAGCAGAAGAATAACCTACTAGGAGCGAAGTCGCGGAAGAGCTCAATAGCGGAAGAGTCAGAAGGGAACTCAAATCCACCATCCAATGCACAGACTCCTGGAGGCATCTCGCCCACTTCACCCAGCGGAGTATCGCCTTCGCCCGTCACAACCAAGAAGACTGAAGAAAATCTGAGCGTCAAGAACGAAGGTACGGAGCCGTTTGAATATTCGAGCCATCGCCGGCCGTTTCACTCGCAGAGCCACACTTCTTTGTCCAGCGTCTTCACAGATACCGCCCATTCCTCCTTTTCGGCCGGACCAACCAGCCCAACCACCTTGTCGTCGCCGTTTTTCACCCCAGATTCTGCCTGTGGCCAGAACCCTTTCATCGGGAATCAACAAGCACGCGGACAGCCGGGGACTGCCAATTTCCAGCGTCCCAGAAGCCAAACATTCCCGATGCTTGTCGGTGTCGAGCAATACATGTCACCACCCGCGTCGTCGGAGCCTCTCACCCCAAAGTATCTAAATAGTACTGCCCTCGATTCGCCCATGGCGGAGATACAGCCGCCTCTGACGACTGTCGATGAAGCCCTACAGGCATCGCCAGGCCAAGCTAAGACCTCCATGCAACCGCCGCCAGTACCGCCTGTTACCATTCCCGGCCAGCAATCAGATCCATCCCAGACAGCATCTGTGGCAATGGATACTTCTTCGCCCGTGATACCATCTCAGGAAGAGGCTGCCCGAGCCCTTGAGCTTGTCATGAACTTTTTTCAGCAACAACCGCAAGGTTTCGTTGAGCCGCAAGAATATGTCATGATTGGAAAGTTGATGGAGAAGCTCAAGATCAAACGCAGCATGGACAGTTTGGCTCCAGCGCGACACGCGTCAGAATCCGACTTTGGATCTCTTTCAAAGGTTGAACAGATCGACCCAATACGTTAGGGGACCTGTGGACCAATGACAGAAGCACGCGCACTCTTGGGCGACTACTTGCCTCCTTCTGGGCCTTCGGAGTAAATTTTCGATTTGGTTTCAGCATTCATCCTTTTGAACGATTTGGAGAGGGAGTTGGGATGGCCACACTTCAGCACAACGGTGCATTTATCATTGGAATGGAACGAACCAGCAGTCTCACGCCTGGACTGTGATTCCGAGCCCCTTTGGCACTTTCTGCATCTGCATCTGCATTATCACCATCATCGTTCCTCTGCGATCGATTGCTCTTTTCTTCTTCTTGCATTTCCTTTGCCCCTGCTGTTTTCATGCGACGGCCTGATTATACCCTCCGAACAAGTGCGCAAGCCGCTGTCGCCACCATGTGTCGGAAAGAATGTAACCGCTCGCGCGGGCCATTAACATTGTACTATCTCGAATTTCATACTCCCCAAGCGCAAGCTTGAGATTGTTCCCGTACTTCCCAACAGCGCCCAACGGTCCTGTCTTTCTTCTGCTCAGTGCTCTCAAATATACTTCAGGCTGATTTACGGACCCTTGCCCTCGCTTCGAATAGCGTGAGGCTACATAACCCTCTTCCGATGGAATGTAGCCATTTGTCGCCTCACTATTCCACGTACGCTCCCTCCAAAGACTGGCCATTGGATCGGGTCCATCCGCTACGGCAACCGTTCCAAGTCGTCATTTCGGCGGGTGAACTGCGGTGATGATGGATCAAGCGGGTACAAGGTACAACGGACGATGGGTAAAAGGGAGATCGACTGCTGATAATGAATGAAAGCTGACATGTTCCGTCGCCCCCCGTCACAGGACCATGCATCGGCGGCCGGAGAGCTAATGCATGTTGCCATGATGACTTGCTGTCAACGCACAAGGCTGGTGTTTCCCCCGAATCGAGCTTCTCATACTTGTCTGTTATAGTCTATCCCAACGTCACGACCAACTTCGTTGCTTCGATTTTGTGCAACTGATGGGCTGGTCATTGACGACCACTAGCTCGTGTGCTTCGCTGCTACCTACGAGCGGTTGTCATTATTCAGAATCACTTCTCATTGCCATGCTGCCAAGGATCCGACTCTATCCGTACCCGAGCACGTCTCTCACCTGTGAGGAGAAGCTTGTGGTGGGGTTGGTTGCGTTTCAAAAAGCAAAAGCCCCGCGAGCATGCCATATCAGTATGAGGCATCTCACTGGTTGATGAGGTTTTGTTGACATGGCAGGCTCCATCTATCGGATCGCTCAACAAGCTATCTATGCAAAAGGTACGGATGTTGATGAAGCGAAGGAGGGAGGGAGGGCATGGGCCGAGACACGATCTGTTCCAACTTCTTTTTCAAATGAAATCGAAATCGTGATGCTACGGCGCTTTGCTCGATGATTAGTGCCAGAACGCGCACACCGTCGTGGTGGACACAGCCGTGTCTAGCCTCGACTAGCGATGCAACGGTGATGGTGGTGTAGGGGAGGATTATTAGGCAGTTGGGAGGACAGTTTGTTGGGCTTCCAATTTCTATGATTCGATCGCCGCCGCTGGTTGAGAGATGTTGGCTTTACTTCGTGCTTTGGAGTCCAACAAACGATCTCCAACGTCATCGATATCAGATCTGATCCAGAGCGCAGCGCTACATACATAATAGCCTCCAACAAAAGCCGAAAGCACTCTCATCGCACACAACTCATCAAGGACATCATCCACGTGCACGTGATCGACTTCTCATGCAGTGTGACCAAAAGCAAAAAAACTCTCCGCCGCTCGGGACGGGCCCCTGGGGGGTGGGTGGGTTCCCACCCTCCATCCATCCATCCATCCCTGATCCGGCTCCCAGCAGGGTTTCCAGGATGAAACGTGTGACAGCGTCGACATTAACTCACGATACATATGGTCTACGTTGGTAGTGGGGGAACACACGGAAAAAGGGTCCAACACGAAAGGGCTTGTTCCCGCCTTTTTTCCCTTGGGGCGGGGTTGGATGGATGGATGGGTGCCGGCGCCCTTGTCAAACGGTCGTACGGGCGCTTATGCGCGACGGTGACCTGATGAGGGTGGAATCCAATAATCTACATTGTCAACCAACAAGCACGAACCATTTTTCATTTTTAATATAATTGATCATATCAGATTGCGCTCTTGCGACTTGCCCAGCGGGTGCCCCCCGCCGCTTTTTTGCCTTGGGCCCTGTTACGCGCTTGGGAATGCCGTTCCGACTTGCTGATTCTGGAGTTTTGGACGGTGAAGATGTTGAGGGACTTTTATCTAGCGCGGTGTGTGGACTCAATAGCTAGTACGGAGTAGCCCCTCCCGATGTACTCTGTCGATATGGAGTACTTTTGTATCGAGTCTCCCAGCGCACGAGAGTAATTATCTCCCCCATCATAGATGCCAGCCTCCATACAGAGTAGAGATCAGTCCAGTACTCATCACTGACCCAACTGCTCCCGTCTAGGTACAGTTTCTAAATGAATCTCGCAACTATCGATTTGAAATTACCACAGTAAGTGCACTCACATTCCCAACAGCGGGCGCTTGCGCAGGACGGATTTTGAACAGCAGCGAATCATTGACCGTTATCATGCACAAATGATCCGATTTTTCTGCCTCGCTGGACCAATCGCGACTCGTTTATGCGAGTTTAGCGCTATGTATCTGTATATTCGTCCGTGTACTCCGTCCACATGCAACCCCTCCAACCCAATTCGCCCGCCCCTCCATGATTGCTCTCCCCCACAGATTCCCCGCTTCCCTCCCGGTTGTTGGTCGCATCGTGGATTACCCGATCCTGCTACTCCGCACTCCGTACTGCTGCTGCTGCTTCAGCTTTCTGGTGAGGACTTCGACTGCTGCTGCGATGCGACTCCGACTGCGACAGCGCCGCGAATACTTCCTCCGCTTCGCATCGTCCTCACCAATAAGGGTCCATCAGATTGCAACGGAAAGGGACCCTGTGCAACTTCCAGTCACTCCTCTAGCACAAGCCGTCATTGCTCCTCCACACAATCAGCTCCTTACCCAACACCAAGTACAGTACGGAGTACTCCGTACGTCTTCCTTCCAGTAGGTTTTCAGAAAAGGTGGAGCCAAAAACGAACCTAGCGAAACGGCACACGGCCCGTCCGCGGGGACCCGCTCCAGGCCTTGAAACAAACCGATGACGAATATACTAGCGGATCCATCAATGCAGTCAGCATTTTTCGACAACGGTGAGGGGCAGATTCGGAAAATGACCCTCAGTCGACACCGCTGAGCCCGGCCCTGAATTTGATAACTCTTGCCCAGCGAATAGCAATCCCCGCTGAGCAAGTCCCAATTGCAAAAATCAACCTCAACCCTAAGCCAAACATATCTGATGACTGTGGGGGTTGGTCGCTGCTATCTCGCTGCGAACTTCGGAAGCTGATGAGGATGATGCAAAAAAATAAAGTTTGCATATTCCGTATCCATACTGCAGCCGCTAACCGTCTTCAGTAAACGAAGACTTTCAACGGAATTGTCTGGGATAATTATTGCTTTTGCGAGATGCTGATTGGGCCACAAATGCGTCCTGCTGCAGGAATTATTGTTTTCAGTTGGCTAGGCCGGGTTCTGATGGAAAGGGTTGGATGGATGACTGCATCCTTGGGAACAAACTCCGGTAGTCCTTGACATCTGTCCTGAGTACCGCAAGAAGTGGAAGAGTCCCTCGAGTATCTTGCACGCGAGAAGGGATTCCCCTCTTTCTTCACCCTCCCCTCTATTCAAAGGATAATGTAGCAGCAGGTTTGAAAGCCACATCAGCTCCACGAAGCTATCACGCCAGGCTCGGCGCGTCCCGCGTTTGATGGTCGCCCATCCCCCTGATCTTCCACCATCGAGAAATGCGGAGGAAAATCGTGTGGAGCGGAACATCCTAAAAGGGAAGATCAAACGCATTCGTGATCGACGACGCCCGTCCCCAGCTGTGACAAACTTAAAAAGGGACGCTTGTATTCGTTTGTAAAGTGCACGTCCCGCTCTTGAGGAATCGGACTGCACTGACAACATGTCCTTTGCCGCTGCCGTTGCGGCCGCTGCCGTATGTTCGGCACGAAGGACATACCGTGTATACCGTAGATTATCTTGAGAGTCAAGAGGCGTCGGCAGTTTCATATCTACTACCGGGACGTCGGCACGTTGGGCACACACGCCAGCAAATGAATATGCCCTGCATCGTTCCGGGAGTCCAGGACAGGTCGTGGAAATACCTAAAATACCTGAAACAACGCCAGAAGATCAAACTCTGGAACAGCTCCAGGCGTGGCTACGCTCGAGACGTCGGAGCGAAGTTGACACTTCGTACAGGAGTTGTCGCGAATCTGTTGCTCGTGAGATGACCGAATGTGGAGGACGTGGCAATCGAATTGCAAACTGGTTAAGAGGTGTCCCCATCGGCTTCCCTGTGCAAGTGATTTGGCAACAATCACCGGTGGCTCCATTGTTGTGTCCACCCAAGTCATAATCGAGGACCGTTAGTCATGACCAACACGTGGACAGCATCCCTCGTTTTCTCTCCTCTCACAACATTCACGCCGGCGGCCGGGCTTCTAGCCAGGCGAAGCACAGCATCGCAAATGTCGAGGCCAGTGGAGCACTAGCTAGAGTTTGCTTTCCAGTAATCTCGTTCTGTCTTCGAGTAATCAGATGCCAGCCGCCCCATGGACGGCAACAATCTCGGTCCGGCGCCGGGTGCATCCTCAGGCGCAGATGCAAACAGGAGTGGGCTTATTCGAATCGGTGATATGTAGTGTCCTATAGCCGGAGCGTCCTCCAATCGCGGGTGCAGTTTCGGCATGCATCCAATAATAACTGCAGCCTCTCAAACAGAAACCCCTCAATGTCTGTTGTGGGTCATGAGACGGTTGCAGCAGCCATAGAATCTATGAACGACAGGAGCGGCCACGCATTCCCGGTTGTCCCTATGCTGGTGAGGGATCGTGTGATTGTATATTCCTCATAGCAAGCCGATACATGGGTTCTGACATGGGAGCAGCGCACACGAGAGCAAAGGACAGCCCCAGCAAATGGTTGGCTTGATATCGTAGTGGTTATGAACCGTCCACCAGGTCCCCATGATGACCTACAAGCAGCCTAACCGGTCATCGAGCAATTCCTTCACCCCTGTCTCGCCCAACTCCGGCACCAATCTGAGGACTATCAGCTCCACAATCTGGAAGATGAGGTGTTTGTTGAGATAGGGGTCTTCAAGAGTACACAGCGCCTCCTCAACTTGCTCGAGATGCACGGCGGTGCTCTCACTTGCGAAGAAAATGCTGGCTACTCTTGGTGGAACTAAGCTTAGGAGCTGTACTGCGCAGCGGCGTCTGATCTGTTTGGCTTCTTCGGCAGAAGGAGGCTGGCGGGCGGGACCAAGAGTGTTGTTTGGGAAGAGGGTCCCGCGCATGGTACGAAGAAGGGTGGGCAAAAGGGTCGGGCGGAGAATCCGCGTTTTAACATAGTGAGATATCGATCTAAGCACAATCGGTTAGCATCTGGAAGAATGCTGGTACTCTGGTTTCTGTTCGGAGGCTCCGCCATAGTATGCAAAGTCTGTGTAGAATTTGGCAGGTAGACGGTGTGCAGGTCCTATGATGTTCGTGATGCAGCTGCTATTTCGTTCCAGGTTCATCGCAGGACAAATCGCGGGACAAATCGCGGGCGACCTTCCCCACTTCCGCGAAAAACGGTGTGAGAAACGGTGAAGGATTGTTGACTTGTAAGCTGTCCCCAGCTGGCCACGACGGATAGGAGGGGTGCCTTGCCTGAGGCGCCCTGCAGCTAACAGCTGAGTCTGAAGTCAAGAATTGGTCCTTTGCGTGTCGACCTGACCCAAAGGAGGAAACGCTCATGCTCCAATATTCGCGATAGGGGAATAAAGAGCACTGAGCGAAATCGGACGTTGGCTGGTCCTCTGCAGATGGTGGATGACAGGATTGACGCGCCAAGTCCGGAGGAGGTTGGAGGGCGGACGCCTCGAGTTCTGGTGCGCGGGAGCGGGTGCCAGGGGCGTCTGTGAGTGCTGGGGTCCGCTGCCGTCTGCTGCAGTCGGCGCAGGACGGCACGAGGTGACTCGATGTGAAGGGTGCGGGCCGTCGCATTCGCTGACGCCAAAGTCAAGTGACCGAAAACTCATGCGGGGCGTCCTGCAGCCGAAATGGAGGACCCAAGGCCAGGTTTGTATACGAATCCTACTGGGCCATGCATGTCGCCGTGCAACGAAAGAGTTTGAAGGGAAAATCATCGACTCACCTGTCCAATACGCCATCAATACCACCCACCCTTCCGGGCCCGGCCAGCGCGAGCCAGTGCAGCAATGACGCGAACCCGGATAGCCAAGGCATGCGTCTCTCCAGCTCAACAAGCTGCGATACGCAGCTCCACAACCTCATGCTCAGCATGGGCCGTTTAGCAGCGACTGGGCGCATCGTTGCAGGTGGGTTGCCCTGAGGATCCTGCCACTGGTGGTCTCCTACTGCGGGTGACCGACTGCCAATTCCTGGGGAAGATCGAACTGGCAGGGCAGAGGACCTTACTGCAGCGAGGACCACGGTACGAAACCATGTGAACGCCAAAATGGCATATTGAAGGATGGTCCAGAAAACGTCGGTCGGAACGACAGAAGTGATCCCGTGTTGCATCTCCTTCCGTGACGAAGGCCTGGGGTCAGCTGGATCAGGAACCGGTGCGGACAACAAGCCATAGCGATCGAGAGAGTTCTGCGGCAGCTCCTCTTTCTCTTGACCTTCGGGAGGCGGCTGCAGCACCTCGGCGACCTTCGTGATGCCTTCCCACAGAAGCCACCCCTCACAGGCCTTGCCGCTGATACCATTGCCCAAAATCATCTCGGCGAAGATTTCAACGACAAGGGCTCGCAAGCAACCATTTTCCAGGTCCTCGGTGGGCAGCAGGACAGCTAACAACCCCTGAACCAGCATTTGACGCCACACGGATTCGTTTTCACGTTGCTCAAGCACGCTGGAGGGTATGGATTCGGAGGGAACAGGCGAAAGCGCAGGGTGCGGGTGCAAGGCGTGGTAGACGACACGAGGATCAGAGACTAGAGACTGGGGACCGCTCGTCTGTTCCTGTGCAATACGGAACGCTATCTGTGTTGTAAAATCATCCATTCACAAGTAAAGGCTGGAGCGCAGTTCCGTACCTTTGAGGTGGTCTTCCAAGAGACCTGGTATCTCATCGAAACACAAGGCTTCTAGGTCAACCTTCCGAAGTCGCTGCTCCAGAGCGCGTGTACAATGTGCGATAATCTGCATCACCTCGTTCACAAACACTTGGTCTGGTGTGATCTTCGAGTACCATGTCTGCACGAACTCCTTTATGATAACCGATATGATGGCATACAGCTGCATGTCGACGGCATTAGAGCTGGTCAAAGGTGGGAGCACCTCCTCTATGGGCCTCGGTGTGCCTCTGCCCTTCTCCGAAGGCCCGAGGAGCTCTTTGCCGGAGCATAGCGTCCGTCGAATAAAAGCTGCTGTCGCGTCGTCCGAAAGGAAGTCATCCGGTTTCCGTGCTTTAGAGGAACGCGTCAGGGCTGGTCCATGGCTGTTAACGACGTCGTTTCCACCAGCAGCTCCAGCGGTGGTGCGCGAGGACGTCTGTGAGACCGCTGCTTGTCCATGTATGCTATCGGTCATCGCCAGATCCTTCTCATTGTTACCTGAAGTTTAACAGGACCTGGGCTTGAAGAGCAAAGGCGGAGGCCCGCGGGGATAACGAAACTGGGCGTCCTTGTTTGGCGTGTCACTGGAAACGATGACGAGGAGTAAGCACGGAATATTAGTACTGCCGATGTCCCGACGTCCCTGCTTGGTTCGCAGCAATAGATAACCTGAACTACTAGTGGATATATACATAACAGGCCATCACGTCTCACTAGATCAGCATGGCGCCAGAGGCTCACGGTAGGTTATATCCGATGATATTCTAACAGCACCCTAATTGGTTCCAGGTTCCAGACCAGACATTGAAGCTGAGCTCAAAGATATCGTTCAAAACCTGTACAACCTCATTGTGCAGGCATACGACCACCAAGGCGCACCTACGCAAGATGCGATGAAACGAGAAATGTACGGGTCAGCGCTCCTTGAGTTAAGATCCACAAATTAATCCTCCAAAAGCGCCTCTCTCGTTCAGAATCTGGTCAAACTCAGTCGTGATGCGCCCTCTGTCACGCTCCGCATCCCTCCCGAAGTGGTGAATTACGTCGAACTGTCACGGAACCCTGACATCTTCACCCGTGAATTCGTCGAGATGGTCCAGCGGCTGAACCAGAAGCTGAAGGGTCGCTCCGACGCGTTCCGCTTGTTGCGGGATTCGCTGGCAAAAGATATCGTTGCTACCATTCCGGAGTTGAAGGATGATGTGATTAGGGTCCTGGAAACTACGGGGGACTCCCTCCCAACTTGAGGATCATTTAGATTGGCGCACTGCTTTACACCAAGAGAGAGTGCGACTCCGAGTGCTGCATACTACCACGATGCCACTGACTGTTCGACAACTGCCTCACGAAAGATGGATTACGCAGCAGCTCGTACGAATGTTCAGTCAAATTAGACACTTCAGGCCCTCCATCTCCGACAGGACGAGACCATTTTGGTGTTCACTTCCCACTCACATCTACCTCCAAGCAACACGCAACAAACGAAAGTGTTCAGGTACAGGCGGAACACAACCTCATTGCTCCATTGCCACTTTCTAACTCTGAAGAAGCAAGAGGAGTCGCCGATTCGAAGTTGTTGGTAAGACGTGCAGGCTGCATTTGGCATATGGGTTCTGCATGACGAAGGCTTGCAGCTGGGGATACCGTATTGAACACATTGAAGGAGTTCCCGGAAGTTGCTAGATGGATAACAATGAAAGTGCTACTCAGTGCATACCCCTTGCCTCTACCCATTATCCATGTGCTCCAGTGATCCACTCGCAGTCCCTCGAACGCAGTACTCCCCATCCTCTTCAGCTACTCTTCACAACCGAATCCCTACAAGACCTACCCTTGCACATCCCCCACTTAAATCCAGCCAGAAGCCGCAAAAAAAAAACCCGCGAAATCTTCAAACACCGCACCACCATCCAAAGAAAACAAAACCGATGCTGAAGACGGGAAGGCAATGGCAAGCTTCATCCGTGTCGGTCTGCTCCACGTAAATAAGAACGTCATCTTTCACTGCCCTACGGACTGCAAAACCAAATAAATTATTTGAAACATAACTGCTCTCTGTCTGTGCTTTATCGTGTACCGTTGATTTTACAAATACCCCTTTTCAAACGGAGGAGAACTTCAATGCGTCGCTCGGGAATACCGGGTGCGCGGGGAGACGACTCAGACGAGATTCATGAGGGCTGGTTTTAACAAAGCAAATGAGATATACACAAGTAAAAAAAAAGCCAAAAAAGAGAGGAGATATACCCTCTTCACCCCTCCAGCCCAATTATCCCGGCCCGGCACCGCACTAGGATAGATAGCCAGCGCCACATCGAAGACGGAAGAAGAACCGTCGTGCCCATCTGATACAGCGAAACTGTTGTTGTATCAAGCACGACTCCCACGTATACATTGAAGCGTCTAACGTAACACAGATTAGAAAAGTATCCATACCCCTAGGATTCTACATGTCCATGTCCTTCCGACCCGTCCTCCTCCTGTATAAATCGGGATGGTGGAGGTATTAATATGCCTAAGTAGACGTACCACCTTGGGGCACCTACCTCTATAACACCGGCAGGTACCAAGCTACATCCCCTTTGAGGCTTCACGACGTCCCTCTCTTCCCGCCTCAGCGGACCCAGCACAACGATCACACAACTTCCTTTATTCTTCATATGCCAGTCACCAGTCACCTACCCCCAAAGCCGCCATGTACCTCAGACCGAGCCCATCACTCCATCCCCCTAAACCCCGCAATCCACACTCACCCACCATCATCCTTCACACCTCACACTCGCCACACCACACACCCAAGCACCCCAGCACCCATCAAACACACATCCCATCAAAGATTCGAAAAAAATCCCATTCCCACACTCAACTCGTCGCCCTCCGCGGTCTAGCAAAAACCTCTTTATTCCATGGAGTTGTAATCCAGAGACCCCCACGCCACAAAAAAGGGAGAGTCTAAATAGATAGGAATGTGGGAAGGTCCGTCCGTCCGTCCGTCGCCTTCCACAGGTAGAAAGAAAGATTGTACATTAGGACAGGATACCGAGAAACGCAAGCCAAACCCAAGAAGCCCAAAAGGCATCCCATGCCCATCCCATCCCATGCCATCCAATCCGGACCGGACCCACGGGCCCCAAAGACGGGGGCCCCAGTGATAAACGCCTACCCATGCAACACAAAACACAATGGCCTTTCAGCCAAGAAGGTCCAAATCGGCAAAGAAAAACATGAAAAAGTCAGAACAGCCTTCTAACCACCCACGGCCCTCTAGTCCCCAAGAACCAAAACCCCAATGCACCGACGCAGAACCGCCACCGTCGTCATATCACCGAAACGCCCTTGCCGGAAAGACACCCCGACTCACGCTCTCCAGCTTCAAGCACTGATACGGACTAGACTGAGGATCGCAATACAAGCCCTCCAGCTTGCCGTCCTCCCTCCGGAGGCAGACGTAGTAGAACCCGCTGATCGTGAGTCCGCAATTCGAGTCGACGAACGTGGACACGTATTCATCCGACATCGCCTCGCCACTGCCCTCATGCTCGAATCCGTGGCTCTCGCCCGCGGGCGACGCCGAGTCCGGGCACTTTTTCACAAAGCACCGCTCCTTCCAGCGCATCAGGATCCAGTCTCTAGCGAGCATGTCGTAGAAATGTCGATTGGTCAGGCCGAGGGCTAATTGCTCGACGGAATAGCCGCGGAAACACGGCAGCTTGTGCCAATATGTCGCATCGTTTGCTGCCGTGGACTTGAAGGACTCGGTCAGTAGGGTGTGCTGCTTGAAGTCTAGGATTTCGCCTTCCAGGTACGTGGTTATCGAGGACATGCGAGCGCATGAAGGGATGCTGTCCCCCCCGCCGGATGACTGATGTGAATGCGGATGTGAAGGGACGTTATATGCCTCCATTGTCGCAGACAAAGACATGTTCTCGTAGTCGACTGCATGTATGGTAACTTTGACGGGCCAGCGATCCTGCTGCGGATTATGTGATAGAACCGTGTCTGGACCAGGTAAAGGCAAATGTCGCTCATGGGCGGGTATGTACTCGGGGCCCAGCGGCCCTGAATAATCGAAGAGTGTGGAGGTAAGGTAGTCGCCGTTGCGGAAGCGATAGAGCGTGTTGCTTACGGCGGATGTCGTCACGGTCGTCGAGAGAGAAGTCGCATGCTGACAACCAGAGAGAATGGCACCTGGTGCGAGCCATGAGCTGGGAGGTGGAGGAGGAATAGCAAGGGTATGAAGGAGGAAATCAGGTTCGGGTTCGACGTTGTCCTGGAGGAGTCCTGCTTCTACGGCGTACTCGCGACCGTCAAGAATGTTGTCCACATGTCGTATCCTCGAGAGGTATCTGATCGTCCGCTCGAACAAGGCAGATGCAGCTGGAGCGGGTTTTTCGGAGTCATCGATCCAATGCCCTAGCCGCCGGGGGTCAGATCTGGGGGGCAAAAAGCGATCTCTCCTTATTTGTTCGCGTTCTGCCAGATCCAGGTACGGGTTGCGATTACGGTTTCTTTCGCGCTCGCGGTCGCGCTCAATTTCCATCTCAAGCATCGACCGGCGCGCCGCCAGCCGCTGGATCGCCAGCGGCCTCGTGTCAGAGGCATTTGAAGTACTATAGGGGTCTCGCGCCATAGTGCGATCAGGTGATCTGCTGGTGTGATCTGGGGACCCGTTAAGGACGTGTGCGTTTCGTCGGGAGGCGAGTGCTGAACGCAGCCAGCTCGCGGAGGCGGAAGACTGGTTGGAGTTCAGCGGCCGTGATGAGTGTTGAGAAGGTATGCGCGACTGGCGGCGGCCGTCCGGATGTGGACTCGGCCGCGCACTTGCCATTTCAGCAAGCATTTGGTCCAGCTCGTCCTCGCCGGCCGCCTCGTCTGCTTCGTTCACTTCGTTCGCTTCGTTTGCGGGGGACCAGTCGTAGAGGTAGTTCTCGCGCGGGACTCGATCGCCATAAGAGGTACCCGGTGGATCGTGAATGCGCCTCAGCCGATTCATGACACGGCGCAATCTGTCCTGCTGCTCCGAGTCGCTGCGCTGCCGCCGTGAGCGCTCCATGTTGGTTTCTGGGGGTTCAAAGGGTTCGGTGGGCTGCTCTACCGTCTCGGTGGTCAGCGTATCGGCCAGATGGAGCCCTTCCCGGGTGACTGGCTCCAACTCACGCAATGCCGAGGGGTACGAAGGGGAGGCCAAACGGGGTGCCAAATCCTGCGCAGATTGTCAGTTGCACGATCAAAATTCCCATCTCCGAGGCGCGAGTGGCAGAGGAGGCGGTGTGCAGACGTACGGGAGGGCTCGTTTCTCGGGAGTTGGCGGGTGGCATGGTGCAGCTGCGATGCGCAGCTTAGGGACACCAGCAATCAGCAGTTGTATTCTCGGGGCCGTGAAGCGGTAATGGATTGGGAATGCATTTCAGATCGAGAGACGGCGCAAAGGGCCTGTGGGCTTTGTGGGTCGGCAAGATGTAGTAATAGGATGTATGCTGAGGAGTGATTGATAACATGGCGGTCGGCAGGTGGAGAGGGGACACGTGCGCCAAGTCTCGAGGCTGGCCAACTTCCCCCACACAAACCAAAAGCCAACTGGAAGACCGCTCCTCATCCCACGCTTCGCAAAAAGCTCGGATGTCCAGACATGCACAGCCACATTCACTCCCGGAACTCAGAGTTCCTCCAAAGTACAGCGGAGTAACAAACATATCATGCAGCGCACACGTAAACCTCACCATCAACCCTATGGAACTTCGCAGGTATAGCAAGATATGTGGACGAGTGCCCATCTTTTTTTATTATCTTTGAACTACTTGTAGAAGCAAGCTTCTGTCCAGCATCCGTTTCACTCCACCAGGAAGTGCTTCTCCCAGGACCCAGTCCGGAAGTGTAGGAGAGATGGCCCTACAGTCCCTTGTTCCCAGTAGGCGCAGAAGGTGGAAAGAAGTCCAGAGACGCGGATGCTGAGATTTGGAGTCGTTTGTTCCGCAAGCAGAATTCCGACTCCAAGCCCCGAGGAGCGCGAACTGGCGCGCGGTTTCCCCTCGACCCGTGTGTTCTGGACCTGACCACCCTCCGATCCTCCTGTTTCCCAAGAGACGGTCATTACACAGCATCCCAGATGCATGTATGGAGTTTGCCGCTGCCTTCCGGCATGTCCAGCTGGCACTCGATGCCAGTCCGGGTTGGCGATGAACGTGACCTGTCATATCCTCATGAGTGGCATGCCATGCTCAATGAAGAGATGCCAGCCGTCGTCCAATGCGACATTACAATAAAAAAAAAGAAAAAAAGACCGAGTGTGCCTGCCCGGGAGCCGTGAGGCTATAACCATCTTCGTAAAATGCCCAACATGCAAACCTCCCAGAGATGCAATAACCATGAATGAACGAGACCTGGTCCGGCCGCTGTATGCAAAAGCAACAAAAGAGATGCAAGAAAACCAGACGCTCGCTAAAACAACAACAGACTAAAAACGGATATCCTAGGAAATTTGTACGAGAGAGAAGAGGAGAAGATGAAAACGAGTCGCTGAAATCGATAAACGCCGTCCCATGCTATGGTTAGATGCTGCCATATATCGCTCGTGCACGTCGGAGTCAGCTCGTAGTATCGGTTCTCGCACGCGTCCGCGCGAAGACGTTGATGCCACTGTGTGGAAGATCCGGATGACTGGCCAGGTCCAGGCACGCAGGCAGACTGCGACAGAGGTAGGGAACCACAATACACTTCGACACCTAAGTGAAGGCGGCATATTGCGGTGCGAAACCCGTGTCCCAGCCGAATCCACCGCTGAAGCCACTGCTCATCATGCTTGACCCGCATTGCTGAGCAAGAACGCTGGGAAGCGGCAGCGCGGGGATGGGCGCGACGGCCTGAGGCGGACTGTAGTACTGGCTCGTAGTATGGTAGGGTGAGCCCAACGAAGGCGTTGGCGACGGCAGTTGAATATCACTGACGGGCATTGTACTCCAGAAGGATGGCTGTGTCTCGCTGCAGGTGGTAATGGTCGGGCTTGGAGTAGACGGGACGACCCTCCAAGACTCAACGGGCGCAGGAAGGGGCTGGGGGACATGCTGTCCCGGTTGCCACCAGTTTACAGCGCCAGTTGAGCTTGGAAGAAGTTGGGCTGCTGGTCGGACGACTTCGACGATCCTGGGAGGAGGAGGGAGCAGCGGGAGGAACAATCCCATGATGGCATTCTTGACATCCTCACCTCGGCCCTCGAGAAGCTCTCCCGCGCCCTCCTCCTCCATCCCTTCCAGAGCGCGCACACCCGTTCGGAAGACGTAGCGGTTAACGGCCTGAACGAATTCCTCCTGCAGCTTCTTCAGCTGAGCTTCCTTTTCCGGCCAGTTCCAAGTGGTAGCAGACACATCGACGGAATAGATGTCCTTGTGGTACTCGACGAGCGCCTCGATGGTCTCGGGTGTAAGCTTGAAGGCAACCTCATGCTGTGAGACCATGTCAACGTGCACGACATATGCCTCGATATGGATGAGCTGATAATTGAACAAGGCCTCGACCAGCGGGTTGGGATCCTTGCGCAACTCGGAGTCCGGGGCCTTCGGGACCATGATGGAGCATAGCGACCAGATGGCATTGGAGCCCGAGAGTGTCTCGGTGAGACAGCGCGTGTGTTGTTGAACGCTGTTCAGTGGGCGCTTGACTCGGTTTACCCGCTTGAGGGTCTGCGTCAACCATGGCTCCACCTTGGAATTCAGAACGACGTTAACGGTGGATCGAGGTGCGAAGGCCGCCGCCGAGGCTGGTAATAATGATATGGGCATTATGGCTTGGCGAATAATTGTGTAGAGCGATATACGGCGGGAAGTGATATTAGACGACGGGACGGCAAGAATCGGGTATCAAACGTAGAAGAGAAAGGAACGAAAAAAAAGTGTCTCGAGCGGATGAGGTTGACAAGGTCGCCTTGGTGGAGAGGAGAAAAGAAGGGTACGGGCGAATGAGGAGGGGAGAAGGCGAGGTGGGAGGAGGGAGGGTAGGGAAGGCTAAGGGTGGAGGGTGCGATGTCTCTTAAGAGGACTGACGAGGGGGGAGGATGGGGCCTGCTTCGGGGTGGCCACAGGCTGGACCAGGGTGTATGCACACTGCCCCGTCCGGACGCAATAATGCCCTTCTTCTAGCTTGCTTGATCGTGCATATTCTTTACGGCGACGACGCAAGCTGCAGGTCAACTCTTCGGGACTGATTCAATCTGACCCGTGCTGCTCACGCCGCTCAAAGGCGTGGATAGGCGGGGGCACGGTTAGGTCTCCATACCAGCCAGATCGCCGTTGTCGCCATGCGAGCGCAAACTTTATGTCGACCACCCAGAGGGAGAAGAGGATAGTGGGCAGCAGACCAAAGGGCGTCCTATCAGCCTTCCTTGTGGAAATAACAAAGTCCGGATGGCCAGCCAGCCCGCTACAGAGTGCGGCAAGGCAGCTGAGGGTGATCAGGGCCAGAAGCAACTTGCAGACGGGCAGAACTTGGGTTGTATGCAGTCCGCCCAGCATCATCATACCGTACCACCCACTGCCGCAAGTAAAAGATGTTGCTAATGAAGCCGCCGCTGGGACTGCACTTCTGTCGGGCCGCCCACACAGTACTGGAGGAGTGACAGTACAGTGGTATCGGACTCGTGGTGGGGGTTCCAGAAGCCTTCCCCCAACACGCAATGCAGAGGGCGCACTGCAGCGGCTTTGATGCCGCTTCGGGCGTGTGCGGATAGAGCAGAAGGAGCATTCCAGGCCGAGGTGAAGAGATCCAGTTGGGAGCTGGTGTGGGAGGGCCGACGTCGTCATCTTGGAGGCTTGACAGGTTGTCGTTGCTTGAGGCTAAAAATGGGCGAGAAACAGGCAGCCCAATCAGCTGGATAGGCGGGGATCCGAGCAGGGGTGCCATCCGCCTACAAAAGCCTGATGGGTGCCGTCGCTCATGTGATTTCCTGAGTCCCGTATTATATTGCGGTTGCGGTAGTGTTGGGAAAGGGACTTTTGACGAGTCGCCTTATTGTTGTCGAGCAGAGTCGGGCGCCTACTGCGACAATAGCGGTCACGCTCAACATTCATCGCGACAATTCTCCTTCTTCCGCCTGGAAGGCCTCGAGATGGAGACCCCGCTGGCGCAATAGCCGAGACCCACTTCTATTCTTTGCCATGCCATGTGGCTGTGCACCCACTTGGTGGCGGTGATGATCGCGTCGGCTCTGCCGAAAGTCGCTGGGGGACAACCGAGAAGAATGATTTTGAGACTGAGGCACGGGACTTTGACGAACCCGGAACATCGTTTTCATCAACGTCCAGTGTAATAAACCACCCGTGCCTCGCGTGTTATCCAGTCTGTGCTCGTCGTTGGCTTTTCCATCGCAGATCTCCGTCCACAAAGGCGACCCCGAATCCTCTGAGCAGGACCAAAAGCTGCGCCACGCGGATCCTGTTGGTGGTCCCAAGATACAAGTAGATGCCGTGGCTATCAACTGTACTGTGATATCCGAGGCTTCCTTGACTGTTGCCCCAACTGGGCGATTCATCATTTCGAAGGATGGGAACCTCTGTTTGGAAAAATCCATCCAACAAACGGAACACGTCGCTTAAACTAACCACTCATCCCAAGATGCGCATTATTTTCTCCCGCATTTGGCATTTGCCTCCATGGTAGTTGCGTCGGCTCTCAGCTGGTCAAGGGTCGTGTCGAGCTGGCCTGCATTCTTTTTTGGACCGCTATCCATCGAGTTGATATCCGCAACCTCAACAACTTGAAACAAAGATTCCGTCGTCTGCGAATGACGATTGCAGCCCAGCATGTCTACACCTCTGGCCGTTTCAGACATCGTGGGCGAGTCTCTCTCTCTCTCGTCTCCTGCACTCTGTATGCACGGCGACGTGGTCCGTGGGTGAGTCACTTGAGCCATTTCCCTCGACCGTTCAACAAGTCCAGATAGACACTCTCCCCACAAATAGACATCTCCTTTCGCCTCTGCCCGGGCTTCTGCTCTCGCCTCCTGGTCCCTGTTTCGATCCCGCTGTTCTCGTCCGCCTGATCTCGCCTGGCTCCCGTCCACGGGAGCACGGGACCTGGGGTTGCCGCCTCGATCTGATCTCGCGGGGAGATCGATCACGAGGGCTTCGCTCGACGAGACCCGATTTGTCTCCTTCTCTTAACGCTGATGAATTTCCGTGTTCCCGACTCTTTCTGTGCCTCGGGCGGCAACAGCGCTCTACACAGTCTTGCTGAGCACGGCTCGGTCCCTGAACTTTCTCTTGTTCGCCGCTCTTTCCATCCATGATCATCAATCACTTCGGGAATCCCATATCTACCCCCTACCAGTCATATCATCCATTCGCAATCACGAGACCTCCATTCTTGGGGGAAGGGGTCGTTCACGTCTCCAATCGCAGAACTAGCACACATCCCAGGGCTCCTGTTGGTACTTCCATACTTAAATGCCGCAGAAATGTACGCATAGGAGGCATGTCCCAAGCTGAATACGGGAAACAAGTATATCAGAAAGGGCTGGCTTGAGGAGTTGAAAGTCCAATTTGTTCTCCAACGGAGGTGCTCTTTAGCTTGGGTCCATTCTTACGCTTTGCCAGTTTAGGAAAGGAGCAAGGCCGCGATTTTCACCGTGCCGCCAGCTTGTCGAAACCTTTGGAAACAATAAACACTCACGCAGCTGATGGGATAGGTGTCTCTTGGAAGTTATTCTGTCTTGCAGAGCTGGTTTCAAGGACTGTAGGTATACAATTTCCCTGCCTATTGCCTCATTGCATGCTCGACGTCACTTTTAGACCGAGGACAGAAGAGATAATGTTGAAAATGCTTGTCGTTATTTCTCTATTGATTGGTATGCCGTAATGGCAAAGTTATCGTTATGGTCATGATCCTACTCCCCCCTCCCCTCCCCCTGTCAAGATTCTGGTAATACACAGTACACTGTTCATACACAGCTACTCCCTCCGTCTAAACCTCGTCTTGAACTCCGACTGCCTTACAAACCAAGCATTATGCGTCTTCCACTCCGCATCCGGGCGGTCCAATTCAATCTACACGAAACGTTAGCCCTCCATCTCACACACCCCAGCTGACATTCACCTACCTCAAACCTTCTCAGGAAACTCGGCACCAACTTGTAAATCTCCAACAGACTGACATTCTTGCCGATGCAGGTCCGCGCTCCCGCTCCGAACTGGAACATGGTCCCCCTCATCTCCCTCTGCTTCTCGGGCGACGCCTCGATCCACCTCTCGGGCCGGAACGCATCGACGTCGCTGCCAAACACCTCCGGCCGTCGATGCAGGACCCACGCATTGCATCCCACAATCGTACCTCCCGGGATGAATTCCCCGAGTATGTTCATACCCTGGGGCGGCACGATGCGCTCGAGGATCAAGCCCGCGGCGGGATGCAGCCGGAACGATTCCTGGATGACGGCGTCGAGGTACGGGAGTCTCTGGGACTCGGACCACGACACCGTCTTATCCTCGCGAGCTTCGATGATGCCGTTGGCGACTGCGTCGTCGATCTCTCGCATCAGTTTCTGATAGACGCGTGGGTGTTTCAGCAGGAAGTAGAAGACGCTGGATAACGAGATCGCGGTCGTCTCTGAGCCGGCGAAAACCATCGAGGTGCACGAAGCCAGGATCTGCATGTCCGTCATGAATTCCGGGTGATCGTGCGCCGCCTGTGCGAACTTGGAGAGGAGGTCGACGCCGCGAGGGTTCGTATTCCCTTCGGAAAGTCCATACGTCTTGATCTTTTGAATCTCTCCGGCGCGCTCATTGGAGCGCTTGAGTGCAAACTCGGTGACGGGGAAGACGGTCTTGGTAAGTCCAATGCGCTGCGCAAACAGACTGATGGGATTCTTCTCCAGAAACAGATCCAGAGTTGGTATCTGGCCGATCTGTGGAAGTCAGTATGCCGCGTGCTATATAAGCCTTTTTGAGCGCTTACCGGTCCTGCGTAACTGAGGAATTTCTTGAGAAAAGCGATGATACCATCAACATCCCTATTCTCCTCGATGAACCCCAGACGCTTGCTCCAGGTCAGATCGCCAATAACGTCAAAGGCGAAGAATTGCAGCCATTGAGCAAAGTCGCATTCCCTGCCAGTATTCGCGTACCACTGCTCGGTCTTGTCCAGGAAGAACTTCAACGTCGAGCTGACGAGCGGTTCATAGTTGACAAGCGAGCTCATGGCAAAGGCATTGTTGACGCATCGCCTGTATTTCGCATGGTAGTCCTCGTCCGTGGTCGAGAACAGGGATTGCAAGCGTCGTCCTTTTGCAACGGCATTTTGGACAGGGTAGAAGTCGGACTATTCCTGGTTAGTCCATCTGCAGTGGGCTGTCGAAAAAGGAGCAGGCGGGAACATACCTTGACCATTCCTTTATTCAGTCCATATATAATCTTGATGGCTTTGGGATCCGCAAACGACAGTACATTCGGTCCTAACCGAACGATATCTCCATGCTCCCTGTGCAGACGTAATATTGTCCATTCATGTTTCCTCCCCAGGACATCGTAGAACCTCCACCAATTGGTGTATCCTGCCAACCAGTGACCCGGGTACTTGTTCAGCCCTTTCCAATACTTGTTGCTCAATAAATGGCCGAGGACGAGGGAAGCGAGGACGAGAGGCCAGTACTTGGCTAGAAGGGGGATCACTTCGTTGAGAAGCATATCGGGCTAATATCCGTGCGACGTGTTGAACCCTTGAGCGGACAGATATTAAGAAGGCGTTCTCTGTGTGCTCTATCTATATCTTGGGGTCTCCCAACGTCTTGTATCTATACGGTGGCTGATCCCTGCAATTCCCAGTACCGTGTCCTCCTCCATCATTGTGCTCGGCATGACGGCCTGGCTCGAGGCACAGTTCAAACCGAACCACAGGTCGGCAGTTGAGAAAGGATAGCAAGTGAAGGTCATCGAAGCCGGGGAAAGTAGCATCGCGGGAGCAAGTGGCGCACGTTCCGAGCTTGGCGGGTAGTGGATCGCGGGGGTGGGGACAAATCAGGCATTTTTATCCTCACGTCGTCCTGGATCCTGGGGATGGCTGCCAGCCGTTGGGGTGGTGTGGCCAGGTTCAGACGGTGGATTTGGATGATCTAAAAAACAATCCAATTCACATCTGAAAGGGTTGTCCAGGTTATTTGCACGGAGCCGCATTTGTTCCCCGTATCGATATATTCCATCATATCTCAGCTGCGAAAGGACCCCGTCAGCGCTCGTCACTTCTCCATGTTTGCTAACTGCGCACGCACAGCGATAAGGCCAACAGCTTCACACCAAACTGCCGACGAGCGAGGTTCTGCTTCCAAACAGGCTAGAACATGTGCTACGGTAGGAGTGGACACGGCGGCTTGAGGGGGGTGGCATTGGTCCCATCGGCAGTTCTGAGGAGCATGTTTTCTTGCGTTTGGACGAATTGCCGACGTCGAGTCGGTTTGGCGCGGTGCTTAGTCATGGCTTAGTGGGTGGCTCGGTGAATGGAGTCGGCTGGGGAAAAGCGCAACTCTAGCCTCGCTACCTGTACACCCTTTATACATACCGTAGCTTCTGGCACGACGAAAGAATTGGATGTCTCAGACTCGTCCTAGACACTTTCGTCGCTGTTCAACAATTCTCTCCCCATATAACTTCATTTCCTTAAAAGTTCTTTTTCAGTATACCCCAAGTCACGCTTTTCGTCCTGGTGAACGATGGAGGTTCCAGTCCAGGGAGAATTTAAGTACCCTGCTGGCAAGACGAAAGCAATGAAAGTTTCAAATTTCTTCTGAAACATTTGTTGGACGTTTATCAGGTGGTCTCACTCTGCATCTCTTTCGTCCTTTCAACACTTCCTTTCCAACGTTACCACTTATCTTTCTTTTGTTCATACTTTCACCTCCGAATCATCTCATCTCATCTCGTCCTGCTCTCCCCATTCCCAACACACACAAAACACATCCCTCTCACTTCCCCTTTTCAACCGCCTCATACGCCCCCCTCTTCCCCCTCCTATTCTCCTCCAACCTCCACCTCTCAATATACCCCTCCACCTCGCCCACTTCATTCCCCTCGGCCGGCACCGGCTCCCCCCACTGCAACCAAACCGGCACCACCCCCGTCCACACCCTCGCCCTCAACTCCGCATCCCTCAGATCCGCGCGATCCTCGCTGGGCCCTCCCTCGCGCACTTTGGCGCTCGCCGACTCGACCCTTACTTTCAGGATGGACGTCGAATCGAGCTCGGCTTTCGTGGGCGGGATCCGCGACTTGTCCCAGCGCTGCGGGAGGACGTTGTCGGTGATGAGCCGCATGGCGTAGAGGCGTTCGTCGGGGGACGTGACGAGGGTGGCGTGGCCGTAGGCGATGGCGGAGCGGTAGTTGCAGCTGTTGTGGAAGGGGGTGAGGGAGAGGACGAGGCCGTCGATATGCCTGCGTGAAGCTGAGCGGTCCATCCGTCTTTCGAGTGGATGCCACGAGAGATGTGTTGGATGACCGAGCATGACATGGAGAGCAGAAAAATTACGTTACCTACGTCGCAGCAACCGTAATCGGCACCCCCTCCTCCCCCGCCTCTTTCCCCTTCCTAAACATCCTCGCCGACACATACCCATGGATATAGATATCCTGCGCCGCTTCTTTGGGATCCGCGTCCGGGTTCGCAAAATCCCCCGTGCAGCCGAGCATGGGCAGCACGACGGGGAAGGGGTGCTCCGGGTCGTTGAAGGAGACGTGCAGGACGGGTGCCGTGTTGATGATGGTGTGCACGGTGCCGTAGTCGTAGTGCCTTGGGAGATGTCGTTGGTTTCTGGGCGTGAAAAAAAGGGGGGAAGGGGAAGGGTAGATAGGAGGGAAGGCAATAGCGAGAGGAATAGACATACCCCCGATTACCAAGTCTCTTCACCGTATTCACGGCTGTCTTCGCATAGGATTGCGTTTCCATTTTGCTCGAAGAACCACAGTTTGTCGAGCTGCAAGCCGACGAGGGGAAAGCGAAATGGGAAACGCTTTTCCTTCCTCAGGGTCGTTGGCAGAGCCCAGGCCGATTTGTGGAGAAAAAGGATTTAAATACTATTTTCCGGCTCTCTTAAGGTGTGACTCTTTCATGTAGGGCGTGACATCCCCATAGTCATATATGTAGTGGGTTCTGGGGGATCCTACTCGGCAGTACTTACTTGAAAAGGAAAGCGGGGTACTGTGTACATGCAGAGTACGATGGATATTGCAGGGTAGACGTGGAAAAGTGCTTTACCGCAACGTGCGCATCAATGTCAACCATGTTGGCTCTGGTAATGAGGAATACCGCTAAGTCTTAAGGCAAGCAGACCGTACTGCAGGATTTTCTACATAGCGTGTAGTTTGCGTCGGGCTTAGGAAGAGAAGACCCACCAAGGTCAACTTCGAGGTCAAATAGGCGGGCGTACGCCGTTCGCATCCTATTCCCCGCGGACAGTCTCTGGTTCAAATCAACATTCTAAAGTCATCCCATCTTTCTTCCTGGAGGTGATGATGCACAGTCACATTAGGCTTCTCTCACGAGCGGCGAAGATGCTTTCAGCTGACGGAGAACTTTTGTACCAGAGTTCTCACGATTTTGACTGATACCATACTGCCTTTATGCGTTGCTGTGTTCGTCTAATTCATCTAGCTACGTATGGTACAGACGCCCAGACCCAGGTGATCTCACAAGAAGACCTGGAGGTCAATCTCCAGCGTGCTGACAGGGTAACTGGCGAAAATTAGCATATCAACATCACATGGTCAAGTGAACACGTACGGCAGTTCGAACTTGTGGAGCACAGAAGGGTGCAAGATGCCAAAGACGCCAATCTTATGCTGCTTTCCGGCCATTTTCAGGTTGATGGAGGCTGCATGTCCCTTGAGGAAGGTCGGGTCTACACAAGCCTGTTAGCACACAGCCTTAAGCGGACATGGCTACCCCTTACCATCGACTTCTTCGATCCAGTATCCTTCGAGCTTATCGTCCTTCAGCCCCTCTTCCCGTGTTATGAAAGCGCACCTGAGCATCAGCATCAGCCTGTCCAGCAGACCATGCACCTGCTCAAACCCGCTGGTCTTCCCCATGATGGCCGCTGCGAAATGCCGTTCGTTCCGAGTCTTCCGCTCCTGGGACAGATCTATGTAACCAACATCGCTGGATTCGAAGATCTTGATGGGGACTGCATGGTGCTTGTTCGAGTTGAGGGTCTTGAGCAAACCAGGGAGGAGTGATGTCCGCACAACCTGGTACTCCGCCGTCTTTGGGTTTGCGAGCTTGATCGCCGTCTTGCCATCATCTTTCCGGTTCAGCCATTCGAAATTCTCGTCGTGCGAGCAGAGAATGAGTGGCATCACCTCGCTCCATCCGGCTGTTGCAGCTTCGAAGCGCACGATATCGGCAAGCTTGTTGATCGGAAGAGGAGCGGCTACAGCCGCTGACTTGTTGGGATAATACCGGGGTAGGCGGTTGAATCCATATGCAATAGCGAAGTCCTCCATGACATCGGCCTGGTGGAGAACGTCCGCCCGGTTTATAGGAACGGATACATCCAGGATATTGCTATCCGCTTTGGATGGCGGTACCGTGTAGCCCATACGTCCGAGCAACTTGGAAATCTCCTCGGGAGATAGATTCAATCCTGTGCACCCGTTTAGATAATCGACCTCCGCCTGCATCTGCCGAGGTGTTAGATCGGGTGCTACTCTCGACTCATTGTTGTGATCGGATATAATCTTGATCGGTTCTATCGACTCAGCGTAAGGTCCGAACATGGCCACAAGCATATGGTTCACGACCTCCACCTTTGTCTTGTCCAAGGCGGTTATTTCGATGAAGACGTTCTTTGTATTCAGTGTGATCTTGCTATGGTCCCCGTTTATTATGGGAGGGAGGGACAGGACCGTACGGTTGGCGTCGTATATCACAGGGTACACAGGCGAATCGCGAATGATGTGCAGGTATCGACCGAGATGCTTGTCTTTCTGCGGTGCTGGGTTAGAACAAGAAACGCCATGGACGAAATTTCTGCATTACCTCGTAGAACTCCATCAATTCTTTACCGTTCATCTTCTTGGTTTGATTCAGAGGGACGAACTCAATTTGCTCAGGAGGAAGGGCCTCGTATGAGAAGGGCCCCTGGATTGCTGAACCAAGTCAATCATGCGTCGTCTGGCTAGTCTCCAGCTAACTCACTGTCGAGATCGTGCGTTCCTATAGACACCAATGTCCTCTGGCGAGCAAGATTCTGGTGCAGCTTGTCCTGCAGCGCTATGAAGGAGTCATATCTGTCCTGATTAAACTCGATGTTGCGCAGGATGACGCCGGAGCAGTATCGCCGAATTTGCTCGGTCTAGCCCCAGTCAGCCACACTCATACGGACCCAGCTGCTCTTTTCGCATGTAGAAATTTACCTCCGGCTGGATTGTGAGGGTTTGCAATTCTCCGGATGGAGGCGGGGTCAGCGTCCATTTCGGTAGCTGTTGTTTCTCCAGGAAAACCCGCAGATTCAGCGCAATACCCTCGAAACATAGCATGTCATAGCGATTCGCCGGTATCTCAATCTTCAATTGAGGCGGTTGGGCAAGGTCCTCGGGCTTTTTGCTCTGGCTTGTGTCCTCGTCCAGCTCGATACCGAATTCGAAACATAGCTCGTCGAACTCGTCCGTGGTATACTCCCTCCCCAGAGCTTTGAAAAGCTCGGCTTTGTCAACTGCTATGGTGGGCATCTCGAGCGCCGGTCTGCGTAGTGTGAAGGGGAGAGTTCCCGGTGAATACTACGATGGTGGGGCAGGATCGCAGGTCGCCGTTGCGCGGGACGGAACTGTTTCTGCAGAAAAGATTAGCGGGATGTTTACAAGTAAAATAAGGCTTCATCGTGCTTCCTTAGACGTACAGAAATTCGCCGCTTTACCCCTCTGCACTCTGTCTGGTGTTGTCGACTCCAACGTACACATAAATTGTATAAATGAGTCTGAACACGGCCTTAGGTCGGCCCGATGTTTACGCTAACCATATGAAGTAGGATTACCCCCACCACAGCTACCAGGAAAAGATACTGTAGATGCGCGGGGTTGGGCAGTACAGTCGTGAAAGATGGAGACAAGCTGAGAAGAGCATCTATTAACCTGTACTGGCTCCAGGGCACCCATTTTATATACAATGAGGCTCATTCTACCACTATATTGCTTCATCGGTATGCAACGATTCAGCCACTCCATGCCTTCTATCCCTTCAAGACGGACCTATGCAGCTGGCCTTCCTACCCTCCGACATATATCCAGAGAGTGCGGCGTTTGTGCTATGGATGCGACACTCCCGAGACTCCAGAAAGGGAGGAAGGTAAGGGGCCCGCAGACCATGCAGTTGTTGGATCCGATCCTTCGAATGGATGATGCCGTTGCATCCGGGTGCGAGCAAAGTTCCTTTTGCTACCGCCCATGCATCTTATGGTGAGATATGAGGAGATATGTCTGCTCCCCTCCATCCATATTCAACACCCCACTCCTGCTCCATGTCCCGAAGTGGTGGGCGAAGAAAATGTAGAATCGAAGAAGGCTGCCCAGGTTTCACGGTTGCCCAAATCGTTCAGCATTAGATTAGTCCTTCCAGTCCCAAACTTGTTTTAGGAAATGAGCCATGTTGACCTTCTTGTTCTTGATTTCTACCATCCACGGATGGTCGAGCATGCGCCAAGGAGTTGCTCGTCGGGGCATTTCTTTCTCAAGGCTGTGTGACGAGTGAGCGAAGCTCATTGGGGCACGCAAAATGGGAGACACTTACCAACAGTCGATGAAATACTTGAAGTTATCCGACCAACGGATCTTGTTTTCGGGCTCGTCCTTGAGTTTGGGAATGGGCTGCCGTACAATATACGTGAGGAGATCAATGAGGCCGGCCCTCGGATTCATTTCGGTGCCATCTGCGGGGAAAGGAAATCGGTTCTGGGCTACCTCGAGGAGCGTGACACCGAGACTCCACACATCACTGGTGATGGTATAACTCTGGCCTGTAATGCGTTCTGGCGCCATGTAGTAGGACGTGCCGATGAAGGTATTTGCATCCCCCTTTGTGCCGAACTCGCCAGACACACCAAAGTCACAGAGCTTGACCTGACCGTCGCGGCACAGGAGGATATTGCTTGGCTTGATGTCGCGATGGATGATGCGATGACTGTGAAGATAGGTGAGGCCGTTCAGGACGCCTTCGGCAACCTTTCCTAATACCTTCTCGCCCGTCCGACCTCCTAGTTTCTTCACCTCTTTGTACACCGAGTCCAGCGATCCACCTTCGCAGAATTCCATGGCGATGCTAATGGTGCCAGTGCTGTCATCTGTAAAAGCCCCGTAATAGCGGCAGATATGATCGCTGGCGCATGACTTGTTAAACTCGAGCTCGCGCATTATCTGCCTCTTGACATCGGGATCGGGGTTCGTCGTAATGACCTATGGACATGTCAGCTAAGCCCACGATCGGTGGTGTGCAGGCATGCCTTTAGTGCAAAGATTGTCTTTCCGCCCTTCAATATGGCTTTGGTGACGGCACCGCCAGCGCCTTCGCCTAGACTGCCTCGCTGTTCGATCATACCCTTGGCACTGGCGGCTCTCCATCCTTCGTCATCCAGATCCTCCACATCGAGCGGACGGCCCTTCTCGGCAGCCATTTTTTCCAGATCAGGTAACGGCGGTTGGCTGTTCTGGCGCTCCATGGGCGCGGCGCCCTCGCTCCCTCCTTGTGATATGGCGGATATGGGTTCGGAGCCTTGGAGGGGCATTTGCAGGCTGGGGAAGGGCAAAGCTGCCGAGTACGAGGAAGCAGCAGAATTGTTTCCGTTGGGCAGCGCCTCGGAGAAACTGCCTGACCGCGAGTGCGCGCTGGCATCGCTCGAGCCGCCTGCCGAAAGCCCGGGGCCAATCTGTAATGGGGGCAAGCCTTTGGGTTGCGGGCGACCCTCATGGGGGGTATGACTGCTACCCAGAGGTGTCGCAAGCCGCAATTGCGGCGGGGCAGGACGAGAGAGGTTTTGTTGAGCGTCGGAAGCGCCGTTGGTCACGGGCCTGGCATGAGGAGAAGGGGGTATGGAGAGACCAAGTCGTGGTGTGCGGCTGCCGCTTTGTGAGCGGGCACCGGGTATGGGTGGGCGAAGTAAAGGGGCGGGAGATGTCATGGCCGGACGGGGTACCGAGGAGGAGGGAAGACAAGGAGGTGTGGTCGTAGAGGAAGCGGCAACAGAAGGGCCTTTGGCTTGTACGATGGTCGTGTGCAGATGCGAATCGGCGGTAATGGGTCTCTCTACGGCGTCCGGGATCGATGGATGGATATAACAGCGGCTGGTCGGCGGAGAGGCAGCGGTGGTCGTGGAGTGGAGAGGTGGTTATGACGAGGAGGATGTCAGGAGAGGCAACTGAGGCACCAGCTGGCCCACGTCTTGTCGCAGGAGCGGGTAAAAGCGGGCCACCAAGCGAACGGAAGGGTGAGAGAGCAAGACTTCCCCACAGTCTAGATTTCAGCGAGCGAGATATGTACGTCGGAAGAAAAAAGGTGAAGAAGAAAGGTCGTTTGGGGGAGGAGGGTGAGAAGGAGTGAATGAGTGAGGAGTGCGGCGCAGAAAGGTAAGATGGGATGGCACGCACCACTTCCCTCTCTGCTGCTTGGAGGGGGAGAGGCGTGGCGCCCAAGCGCTGAGTAGGAAGACAGACCCCCAGAACCCAGAACCTCCCCCAGATACAGTCCATGGCCGCCGACTGGCCTGCGCCCGTTTCAAAACCCGCCCGCCCGCAACGTAGGCGCCGCTGATTTGCCCTCTGCAGCAACCCGTCGACGCCGGCCTGGCTTGGAAGGTGGCGGCTGTTGGGGGACGGCCTATGTGAGAGTGACCCTGATACAGTAGTCCAGTGCACTACTCCGTAACTACTTGATAGCAATAAGACAGCAACTGGCCATCAACGCGACGAGAAACTCAACCACTGCTCCCGACTGCGATGCACGCTCGAGCCTATTCCTCCATCTCAGCAGTGGCTGACGTTGGACCTGCTGCTGCTGCTGGGTTTTGAACCTCAGCGTGGGGTCCGCTGCCCCATCCGTTACCCTTATTCATCCTCCAGCATGGGGCCAACTACGCCGTACGCCGTAGCCGTTCGACGATAATAAAACCGCCCTTCGCATCCCTCTTCCCAAGCTTCAGCGGCGACTTTGCTGCCATACTTCTGGCGAGTCGATAACGTGTTGATCAAGGCGCTTCGACAGTAACCCATCAAGCTACTCGCACCTCTCACGACCAACAGCGCCCCGACAATGCCTCAGTAGACCCCTACTCAGTACTATCCCCTTCCCCTGCCAAAAAAACAGAACCGACAGTCCAAACTGCACGTCGGCGACTAAGGTGGGTACAGTAAGCACATATCCATCGGCAGGACCCTTTCCGCGCTCATCTAGTCTATCCTCCTTCCCGTCATCTTCACGGCAAGAGCCCACCCGACATCCCCTATCCGCATCTACACAGCCTCGCAGCCTTTGCCGGACGTACAATTGTGTATATATCTCTGCTTGACAGATCCCCCGCCATCTATGATGCACCATTGCCAGCGGATTCAGATGATCGAGGAAACGGTAATCACTTGAGAAGGATTACAAAAGAGCAATATCCTGTTCACTATTCATGTTGCTGTGCTCAGCTTCGCTGATTACTCACAGACTATCTGTTAAGATCCGCTAGGAGTGGATCACGTATAGAAACATTGGCGTTACACTGCAGTTCGGCTCTGTGCTGGACTGTTTATCCTCAGCTCCAGCACTCCCTATAGAAAAGGTTATCACTGCTTCCTTTCGGTGCTGTTAGACCGTATTCCTGAGATGCACACCGCTGTCCCTAAATCCACATTCAACGCACTCATATCTCTTCATTGCCCAGAGTGCCTTGGCTTCCTAGCAGAACTGTGGGTGTCCCATACGTAGGCAAGAGATTCGCTTATCCGAGAGCATCAAGGTCGGCCTGCTGCTCGTTGAGAACAACTGCGGAGATGCATCAACCGTACCTCGACAGACATGAATACCAAAATCGGCAATACTCTTGCCAAAGAACGGGAGTTTGCAGTTTGCCGAAGTTTGCACATACGCCCCCCGAGAAAGACGTTGATTGGAAGAATCTCGAACAATTATCATAGTGTCTGCCCTGAACAATTCTGTCCCGAACAATTCTGTCCCGAACAATTCTGTCCCACGTCTGGGTATGGTCGATGCATTACCAGCTGCTTTGACTCACAGTTTTGTAATCGAGGACATGGTTAAGTCCGAAAGATCCACAACCCAGCGTGGTAATTCAAGGTATAAGGGAAACCGCCTTTCAGGCACATCGGTCTCTCAATATGATAGATGAGATATTGCAACTACCGTGACTAGCTTCGTTGAAAGCTACCTGCTCTACAACGAGACGCTGACCAGTCCCAAGAATCACAACGCCTTCAACCTACTCTTCCTCTCGAGTTCGGGAAGCTACTGAACCATGCACACAACTTCTCGAAGAAAACCGTGATCGACGTACTCAGGTTATCATCCACGTCTACAGGTACTTGCCTGTCATTTTGTCTTTGTCAGCTTCATCAGTTTTGGTCTTGTTGACGGTTTCCAGGACGGTGTGAGGTGCATGAGAACGACGTCCTCCAGCTCATCACGGCAACGGCTCCACTCCGCGAATTCTGTTGTATTTTCCCTCTTGTTTGTAGGAGATGAACGCAAGTGCAAGCGCGACGGATCCCTCTCTTCTCGTATTGTAGGTACACCACATCAACCGGACCTACAGTCTCGGAAATATGGGATCACATTAACAGCGGCTTTCGTGCAGTGTACCTTACCTGGGCAAAGAACACTTCAGCTACCTACGCTCTCGGAGGGAGAAGAAGAAGAAAGAGAGGGGTTTGGAGGCCGAGGCGGATTGAAGAATAGGATGATGCATGAATGGGAGAGGACAGAACATAAAATGAATCTCCTGCCAGGGCATCATAGTCGGGCTATCAAGCGTTCCCAAGGTTGTGGAAGCGACATCAATACGAGCCCGCCTAATTCCACCCTGGGCTTGATCGGCGTAGTGTAGAGTCCACACGTCTGCATGTCCTCGATATAAGATGAGGTAGGAAGCCAGAGTTTCGCGATCTTGTACATAGTGAGATTCAGGTGCTTTCCAGCATGAAGCCTTCTCTGCTGCGTGTGGTGGCCCTCGTCCTGCTATCAACAGCCACAGTCCAAGGCCAGTTCATCAACCTTCCAGAGGTACCTCCAGGCGTCTTCAACGTCAGTACACGCCTTGAGCTCCGAACCACTACAACAGCCGTCTGGGATGCTCTTACGAATTTCCCAGCCTATGCGGACTGGAACCCTTTTGTGCGGTCAGTCGCATCACCACCATCTCTCCCAACTTAGTAGCGCAACTCTCTCTAACCAGCTAAACAGCGCCGCGGTAGTGCTGACTCCGCTCAACCTCACTCTGCCCAAGCAGTATCCAGTCGAGGGAGCGAACCTGTACATGCGCGTACAAATTCCGCCTCTGCCACTGCCCGTCGACGCCTCAACTCCCGATAATCCGCTGCACACGCAGATTACTCTGGAAAACATCACGCATGTGCAGCCAGAGCGGTTGCGGCTGGCGTGGAAACATGTACGTCGTTGAAGAAGTGGGACTTATTGGGGGGGAGGGAGTGACGGTGATCTATGCTGACGTTCACCTATTAGGTCCTGCCGGATGCCGTTCTGGATGCGGAACGCTGGCAAGGGATCAGCGACCTGGGGAATGGAAAGGTGCTGTATGAGAGCAGAGAGGTGTATCGAGGGGCGGGAGCGATTGCGATCAAGGCGCTGTTTGCGGAGGGTTTACAGCAGGCGTTTGATGCTCAGGGTGCGGGCTTGAAGTTGTTGCTGGAAGGGTAGGAGGAGAGAATGGAGACGTGACGTACCCTCTCCGGACTCCCGGATGAGGAATGCCATGTGACCTGATTTAAATGAGGGCATTCCAAGGTTCCAAGGCGGCATCGTGGGCGTGTTTTGTGGTGGATGGTCGCGCCGCCCTCCCCCCCTCCGCAACCAGCAAGGCGTGGAGGCGTGGCTGGTTCCTGAGTGCTCCCCCTCGCCGTCCCCAGCTGCTGCCCCTCCAACGCAGGTACACAGCTCGACAGTACCACCACCACAACCGCTACACTCTTACAAGCTTTCGTCCCAAGTCCTGTCAACTCGCGATATCCGTCCAGCAGATCCCACGCTACTTACCCGTGGGACTTCCGCCTCGCATCCGCTGCACAGACTCCAGCGGAACCTCCTCGGAAGCTCCTCACCCCACCCGCCATCATCCGCCAGCAGCAGTCGGACGGAAAGGACAGCTTTCAGTGACCCGAGTAGGTAGAAGCTGCTGAGACTTTCTTTCCCGTTGCCTGACAGAAGTCGTAGAGGCGTGTCTGCGTGCCCGTTCACGGGGTTGAGTCACGTCGCCGCATGACGCAAGTCCCTTTGTCTTAGCACCAGTACTCCGTCTTCAACACCTTCACTACCTTACGCGTCCGCCGTCCTCAACCGTTTCTACCCTCCCTTCCGCCACGACAGCTCGAACCACATATACCACACGCTCCAAGACCTTTTTATGAGCCTATCGCCAGATCCGCCTCTTTCCAAGTTGTCCTATCTGTACCAGCAACAACGTAACCCCGCCAAAACTACCTTGGATACTACCCATCCTCGCGGCCGGAACGCCTCCAACCATGAGCTGGGACGAAGACATAGACATGGGGAGAGGGTCACTCGAATCTACCCGCGCGAGATGTGAGTATAGCTCTTGCGCTCGTCCATCCTAGTCTTCGCAAGCAAAGCGCTGTGGCCTGAGAGAGGAAAGGGGCGTGTAGCGGTGATTGCCTACGTGTACCCCTTCACTAATACCACAATAGAGCGAAACCTCCACGGTCCGCCCAGCGCTACTCGTCAACCTCCCCCTCAAGCCCGCCGACCTATAATGCCGGCCCTTCTCCTCTCCTCTCCGCTCTGGGCGCCACCAAAACAACCGCGACACACTATACCAGCGAGTGGACCAAGTCCCTTCCCTTCTTCGGGAACAACGCCTCCCCTGGCCAAGGAGGCATTCCCATCAGCGGCTCTCCACCCGTTTTCCACAACTCTCCAGGAGCCCGGGACCCTGTCTATGGGCACGCTGCCATGTCGAACTCGCCTCCAGCACCCGCGATGAGGCCTCTCAGTCACCCAAACCACCACACAACCTTTGGGGGGCGTCTGCAGGGCTCTCCCCATGAGTTACCCGGTCGCGACCGCAGAGCCTCCATGTACTCGCAGGTGGGCCAACGGGGTCCCTTCTCCAACAATCCTCCACTTCCGCATCAGCCTCAGAGCCATTACTATAACCTCCCGGATTTCAATCTCGGTCTTAATGATGACCTCGCCGAAGGAATCACTGCAGGCGAGGGCGGATACCACTGTGGTTTCGATAGCTTGGCAATGGCTGGAGACGATGCAGCAAGGACAGCCGAGAATGTGCTAGTAGTAGGCTATCAGGGCGGTGTCGACTTATTTCGCGTTGAGCGGAGCCGCTTGGATCTGGTTGGCGGTTTAGAAGGGCTTAGAGGCAGCGTCATCGGAGCCAAAATTCTCCCCTGGACCGCCCGACGAGATCCCCTAGCGGATTCTCGTCCCCTTATCGCCCTTGTTCTTCATGGCCCGGTCCTTCAGCAACCCAGGAGGGCACACAGTGGTAGTACCACTTCCTCTGTGATTGACGATGGTTCATCCGATTCTCCTAGCCGGCCACCTTCAAGCAGAGGCAATGACCAGGGAAACACCGTGACCCACTATCAGACCACCGTCGAAGTCTTCTCGCTGAAGGAGAGGAAGCAGATTGCCGTCCTGTACAAGAGCCCTTTGATTCCTGTCAGTAGTCCCGTTGATAGCCCCATGTTTGAGCCTCCGGCGCCCGCTGGCGAATTCGTCCTCGAGGCGAAAGGGAAATTTGTCGTGGTCGCATCTGGAACGAGTGGTGAGGTTTTTATCTTTGCCCCCTACCTCAGAGGACACGAAGATTATGTTCCCAAGTTTCGCTGCGTCGGAAAAGTGTGGACCACCGTCCTTCGAAGAGAGAAGGGACTCCATTCGAGCAGCTCCAGTGCCGCTGACGGCAGCTCGGACGAAGCGCAGCACGAAACACGCGGAACTCCTCTGTTCTCGGTCTCTGAGCGTTGGCTTGCTGTGACGCCCCCGGCGGCGTCGGTCTTGTTACCCGTCAACGGCGTTGCACTGACCTCTCCGTACTACGAGAAGCCTCCTGGTCTGTCCCATCACACTGTGCCACCTCAACCTTCGCCCAACTGTGCGGTGGACGCACCCGAGGCAGGAAGCCTGATCGATCGCCTCACCCGGGAAGGGACCCAAGTTGCCATCAAGGGTGCGCGCTGGGCGACCGAGAAAGGCATACAGGCCTTCAAGAGCTATATGAACAAAGGATCACAGCCGAATAACAATGCCATTGGATATCACCATGGGCCAGATCCGATGGAGCAACCGTACTTCCCGCCAACGCATGGCCAGAACCAAGTTCAAAGGCAGGAAGCTACTGTGATTTCCATCTACGATTTGCAACGCCTTTTGGATGCCGAGGAGACTGGGAGTAAAACAGCCGTTCATCCTTTGGCTACGATCCCGGCCGCTTTGGGCTGCAGTTTCCTGTCCTTTGCTCCCACTGGCCTCTTTCTGATGACCGTCAGTGCGAAGGGAGATGTGCAAACCGTGTGGGACCTCAAACGTATCACCTCCCGCAAGGCCAGGAAAACGAGCAGAGAGCAGATTGTAGGCCCACATGTGCGCCAGATTGCGAGGTTCACTCGACTGACCGTCGCGAACGTCGTCGACGTTGTCTGGTCCCAACCACGACCAGATAGGGTGGCAGTGATTACTGACAAGGGAACTATACACATGTTTCCCATGCCCGCGTCTGCTTTTCAATGGCCACCTCCGCGTCGGACCGTCAAGCCCTCTCCTCCCGCGAAAATTAAAGAAGAGGGTACTGCCACGAATGAGCGTGGCGGAGCCATCAGCTCGGCCATGCAAGCTTTGAACGGAAGTGCCAAACCATTGTTCGATGCGGTACGAGCACGCGGCACGAGCAATGGGTCGCGCTTCCCGTCGTTCAGCAGCCTCGGCCTCACCCCAGCCTCTGGAGCAAAGTCGGGTAAAGCCGTCGCCGCCGGAGTGGGCAAGTCGATCAACAACATTCGCCATTCAGGCGACAACAAGCTGTGGCTATCGCCAATATCATCGAGTGGTGCCAAACTCAACAGTGTGCGGTGGCTCACGGGGAAGGGACGGGGGTCAATAGCTTTCGTGTCCGCTGGTGTGTTACAGATCTACAAGGTGCACATGCGACCTGCCACTGGTAGAGGAAAGTCTGCGACTGCGCCCTCCATCTCGAAGACAAAGCTTGCAGAGTTCGGTCTAAGTCCTGTATCGGCAGCACGGTTTCCGCCCTCTGTTGCCGCTTTCTTGGCTCATCAGGAGGAGGAGCCCCGAGTCCCCCTTGAGCCTTACGGCGACTGGCTGCCTCGCGCGCTCCCGAATCGTGGAGGAAAAGGGCGATCAACTGTCAAGAAGCATGTTGTATCCTCCCCGGCTCCATTGAGCTTCTCCGAAATTGAGACCAATCCGCCCTATCAGCCATTCTATACCGATAGGAGAGTCACGCGGTTCAAGTTCGCCAGGCAACGGCTGGATGCTAGCACCGAAAGCGAACAACTTCCCACGATATCCGAGCTGAGCTCGGATCTCCACCATGCAGATGAGGATACGCCTTGGCTGTTTGGAGAGGAGGTTGAAGCCGTGCGGATTGCCTCGCCTGCATCCTACGCGTATGACGTGGGGCAAGGAGGGGATGAAGATGACGACTCGGTGATCCGGCTTGGAGCGCGCATCGAGACGAAGCTGTCCATGGGAGACGGTGAGGAAGAGGTCGAGCAAGTGGTTAGTACGACGAGGCGTAGACGAGTGAAGGCCGGGGAAGGCCCGGAAGATGACGATGGCTTCTTTGAGGATGATTGCGAAGTACTTGACTTTGCGGAGGACAGGGTGTGAGGGACTCGAGTTGTTGGGCGAAGTTCAATCGCTGGAGAAGAGGAATAGGAGTAGGAGAGGGCGTTTGGTGAGGGAATTTTCTGTGATACCATCTTTGTCTCATTTTTGTCATCGACCATTACTAAACAACATCAACAAACGCATTCATGGGGTTTCGCTGATTGGTGCCGTATTTGTGACTTTGGCTCTCATGCCCAGGTCTTTGCATAGTAGAGACGGGGTTATTTATCGATCGCCTCGAGAAGGGTCATACTATGGTTAATAGTGATAAACATGAGTTTTATATGAAGTTTGCATGCACATACACAGCTGGCGATAGTGTCCTTCCTCCGTATTTTGTCCTGAATTAAAGTAAGCCAGTCTGGGATGGAGGTGCGCTTGATGTCTTTCCTGACCCCTGCTTGCTGCGACCTCCCCGCCAAGCCTTGCGTCACCGAACCTCTCCAACTCCAACAATACAAATTCGCACTCCCCTTTCTTTCCAACAACTTCCCTCCCCCAACTCTCTACTCCCCTCCAACTCCAATATTAACCATGGACACCCTCCGCAGCGCCCTCCAACCCATCACGCACAACCTCCCCCAACCCCTCGCCAACCTCGGCCGCACCATCCTCGGCGCACCCTGCTACAAACACCTCATCATCGACATCGACCCAGCCACCCACCCAGACTGCGTCAAACTGCTCATCAGCAAAGGCCTCTCCTACGGCATCATCGGCGCCTCGTCCATCGTCAAGATCCCCCAACTCCTCAAGCTACTCCACAGCCAATCCGCCGAGGGCGTCTCCTTCCTCTCGTACCTGCTCGAGACGAGCGCGTACCTCATCTCGCTGGCGTACAACGTCCGCAATCGATTCCCCTTCAGCACGTTTGGCGAGACGGCGTTCATCCTCGTGCAGAATGTCGTCATCGCCGCGTTGGTATTGCAGTATAGTGGAAGGGGGGCCGCGGTCGCGGCGTGGGTCGCTGCGCTCGCGGTGGGGGGGACGGCGCTGTTCAGATCGGATGTCGTCGATGTCAAGGCGTTGAATTGGTTGCAGGCCGGGGCGGGCGTGTTGGGCGTCGCGAGTAAGGTGCCGCAGGTGGTGGAGATTTGGAGGCGCGGGGGGACGGGCCAGTTGAGTGCTTTTACGGTGAGTATACATAATACCCCACACCGTATTTCTTCTCAAATTCCCTCGCATTGTCGATGTTCTCCTTTGGAAGTGGTATGCTGATGCGTTCAATAGGTCCTGAATTACCTCGCCGGCTCCCTCTCGCGCATCTACACGACACTCCAGGAGGTCAACGACCCGCTCATCTTGTGGGGCTTCATCTCCGGGTTCGCGCTCAACGCCATCCTCGCCCTGCAGGTGCTTTATTATTGGAATGCGCCCGCCAGCAAGATGACGGAGGCGAGGAAGCCGCGCCCGATTACGGCGGAGAAGGTGAATGCGGGGGAGAAGCAGAGCTATGCCGGTGTGGCGGGGAAGAGCAAGAGCCCGAGTACGCGGCGGAGGGGGTAGATGTGAGAGGGTGGTGATTGATGGGGAAGGGGAGGTGGGGGAGTTGCGTAATGTAATGGGGGTGGGAAATTGGGTGGGTAGATTGACCGCAAGGGCGGCAGAGGGATGCGGGAAGTTGCAATTCATCTTGGAACTCATGCTGGTGCAATGACATTTTTCAAGCACTCGGCATTGGAACTTGGGCGTAGGTGGAAGAAGCGTGCAATATTTCAATGAATGGATATCAAGTCTAGCCATCTATATATATATATTTGAGCATCATGATCGTCAACGTCGTCATAATCATCATCATCGTCTTCTTCTTCTTCTCCTCCATTCCCAACTACCTACGTATTACTCAACCAACGCACTGGCAAACCTACTCCTCCGTCGAATCTCGGGCCCGTACAGCACGAGCACCCACGGCACGAGCGTCAGCAGCAGCCCGATGCCGCCGAGCAGCGAGCTGGCGGGGCCGAAGCCCAGGCGCGTGTAGAGCTGGGTCGTTATGAGGGGGAAGACGCCGCCTAGAGGGGTTTGTGTTAGTAAGTGGGAGGAGGACTGAGAGGAGGGTAGAGGAAGAGGGAAGCAGAGGACGAAAAGCCGGGAAAAGGGTGAAAAGGAAGAACAAGGCATCAGCATCCCGCCGAAGAGCATAAAGAATCACGTGAGGAAATATGTAGGGAACAAGCCAGGAAAGGAAAAGAAAAGTCGAGTCTTAGAGAGAGACACAATGGGGAGAGAGGGGGAGGGAGAGAGAGAGGGAGAGAGAAAAGGTACGACGCACCCAACATATTCCGGCAAAAACTCTGCGCCGCCAGCGCCGAGCTCGCATACCGATGATACGTATCAGCCAGATAATTAAACGTGCTGAGGTAAATAGCAAAGATGCCGATCGTGGCCAGCACGATCCCGAGAGCGGGCACCATCCAATGGACGTGGCTGTAGGTGCCGCTCCAGCCGAACAGCAGCATGCCGACGGGCATGAAGACGGACTCGACGCACACGAAGTAGAGTCTCGCTTCGGGGACTCCCGTAGCCATGTTGCGGGCGAAGGTGGTATGTGCGTACCTTTTGCTGCGGGCAAGACGTTCCTGGTAGATGGAGAGCAAGGTGGCGAGGATGGCGCCGAGGGAGGTGGCGGCGAAGACGGCGTTGGCTTGCTGGAGGGAGAAGGCGTGGGTGTGTTGGAAGACTAACGGGATGGCGGCGAGGGTCAGGTACAGGACGGCCCAGGAGAAGGCGACCCAGAGGGAGAAGAAGAAGACGACGGGCTCGGTGCTGAGGAGGTGGAAGGGGCGGTAGAGGGAGATGGCGATCATTTTGGTGAGGGAGCTGCGTTCTTCGTCCGAGAGGACCTTCCAGCGGATGCGTTGGGGGGATGGGATCATGATGGGGTCTTTGGGTGATGCGTGGGAGCATGGGAGGGAGATGGCGGAGGAGTAACCGGCGGCTTCGAGAGCGTCATACCATTTGTTGAGGGCGTGGGCCTTGCGGCTGAGTAGGACGCTGCCGCGGGTTTCTTGGAAGACGAGGACGATGAGAGCGACCATGAGGGCGTCGACGATGGTTTGGACGTGGAAGATCCATCGCCAGGAGGTGTTTTGCGCAATGAAGCCGGCTACGAGAGGGCCCAGGCCGGTGCCGCAGAGGGCGCCTCCACTGAAGATGGCCATGGGCTTGTTGCGGTCATCCGTGTGGTAGATGTCCGACACGACGCCACCGATGATGGAGGAGAAGGTAGATCCGCCCACGCCGGCGAAGAAGCGGGCTACGAGCATTCCTGCGTACGACTGCGTGAGGCCGGTGCAGAGTTGGCAGATGACGAAGAGGATGCCACTCGCGATGAAGACGGGGCGTCGGCCTTGGACCTCTGAAAAAGGGGCTAGGACCATGGGGGCGATTGCGAAGCCTAGGACGTTGTTAGAATACACATCCTGATTTTGAATAACAGTAAACGTACCGCTTGTGAACATGGTGATGCCGACCAGTGCTGCTACATTACTCACATGCCATTCTTGACTCATTTGTCCAATGCCGGGACTGTACGAGCCCGCACTGAAGGCAGTCAAGGATGTGATGATGCAGGAGATCCATATTGTGATGCTCTTCCTGGTACTCGACCATTCGAAGGGCGACGTGTACTTGGTGAGATTGGGTTGGGGTGGTGGTGGCGCTTGATCGTCCTTTGGTAGATATAAAATTGAGGATGGCGTAGGGACCTCGGTCTCGAAAGTCAAGTATTGGTAGACAATTTCTCCCTCTTCTGGAGTTCCACCTTCTTCTTTATATCCACTTGACTTTTCAGCGAATTCTTCGACATCCTCACTGTCGGATTGCGGCGGTGGCACATCAGAGTGATCATCCGGGTATATGGGGCTGCTTATTTCCGTAGGTTTTCTCCCGGGAATTGCAATTGCACCATTTGTGTGGAGTTGAGGCGACATGATGGCATCAACCGCCCTGGAGAAGGGGCAACAGGGCGAAAGGCTTGAAGAAAGAAGACGGGACTGAAATGGAAGAAAGGGAAGAAAGCCAGCAACGAAGAGGCATGAAGATCATGGCGGGAAGATGCATACTACCGTTGCTAAGCGTGGTATTGCTGGACGGGAGATAAAGTCGGATATGCTTGGCGATGCATTTTCGAGTTAGCAAAAGTGGATATGCTGTATGGGTAAGGATCGGTTTGGGGTTGGTGCTTTGGCCTGGTTGGTGTAGGGTCTGTTCAGCAACACGCCCTATCGGACACAAAGTACAAACAGAGCTCTCATGTCCCCATGGCGCCATCTTGATAGAGCGACTGCTGACGGCGGAAATGTGATTCTCGATAATGTGTCTCCAATGAGCAGGCGGACTCGAGGAAGATGATGACAAGATGTTGTCAGTGTGGTTGCTGACGAAATGGAGCCCGTCGGAAAGCTGGCGGGGGAAGAGTCGATGGAAATGTCGAGCCTTCAAGGTGTAGCGAACAGGGGAATTTTCTTGATTAGTGCCATTGCAGACTAGAAATGGGAATCTCCTCATCTAGCTAGTGATGGAAACCCCTTGCCCTTGCACGAGAAAGAGAGCGTTTCGTGCCATTCCGACACAACGGTAAACACCGTGTCCGATCTGGTAGACGTAGTAAACTGAGATAGAGACGGCCCCTGATTCGTCGAATACTGGAGGACCATAGTAGCTGGGAGTGTTCGAGTTAGTACCGCAGTTAGCAGGGACGCTTTAGTGTGAAACTATGTATACGGTATCTAGTCCCTTCTATACAGAGCAACACAATTGCAAGGGCCTGGAGCGAGCCTTGGGTTTCACACCTTCTTGCCGCCCCCCACGCGTTGCCACGGACTTGGTGGTCTCGTATAGGACAATACCGACGTCGGCGAAGAGTGTCCATCAGCCCATTGACATTGGTGAAAGAGACTGCTGAGGAAGCATTGGCATGGCGATTGCGCAATATCCACCTTTCCTAATCCAGCCGGGTCGAGCACATCGAGGGACCACAGCTTGGGCAATGATAAAAAGACTTGTCTGCCGCTCATCTGAACCATCTTCACTTTTTAACACACAAATCCATACGCCTTGCAGTTCTCGAGATACCCCAGTTTCCCTTGCTTGCACCCTTTTTCTGTAAGTATCCCCGCATTGATTTCTCCCGTTGCATCCTCCGCCAGGGCCGGGATGAACGGTATTACCCCGCTACCCCGCCACCCCTCCATTACTCCCCTCTACAGCTGGTCTCCAGAGCGAGTTTGCGGTGTTTGCATCGGGCCCCGCGCTGACCATGACCAGAAGAAAGCAGAATCACCATGGCCGAACAGCGTGCTGAACCCCTCCGCCTCGGCAGCATTGCCCCCAACTTCCAGGCCGAGACGACAAAGGGCCCCATTGACTTCCACGAGTTCATTGGCGACAACTGGGTCGTGCTCTTCTCCCACCCCGAGGACTACACGCCCGTCTGCACCACCGAGCTGGGCGCCTTTGCGAAGCTCGAGCCCGAGTTCACCAAGCGCGGCGTCAAGCTCATCGGCCTCTCCGCCAACACCATTGACAGCCACGAGGGCTGGATCAAGGACATTAATGAGGTCTCGGGCGCCACCCTGACCTTCCCCATCATTGGAGACAAGGAGAGGAAGGTCGCCTATCTGTACGACATGTACGTACTCATCCCTCACGCTCTTCCGAGAACATGAGGTGTTAACCTGGAGCAGGCTGGACTACCAGGACACGACCAACGTCGACTCCAAGGGCATCGCCTTCACCATCCGCTCCGTCTTCATCATCGACCCCAAGAAGACGATCCGCCTCATCATGTCGTACCCGGCCTCGACCGGCCGCAACAGCGCCGAGGTGCTGCGCGTCATCGACTCGCTCCAGACGGGCGACAAGCACCGGATAACCACGCCCATCAACTGGGTGCCGGGAGACGATGTCATTGTGCACCCCAGCGTCAAGAACGAAGAGGCCAAGACGCTCTTTCCCGAATTCAGAATTGTCAAGCCCTACCTCCGCTTCACGCCCCTCCCCAAGGAGAAGACGAGCGCTGCTGTATAAAGGAGATGACGAGGCAGTGCCGGCGCTGTGGTGGATGCAGTCTTGGGAATTGGGCCAAGGATTTTGTTGGGAAGACATGAGGATGCTTCCAGAAACAGAAATCCCGGCATTCTGGCATCAAAGCGGAGGGTATGGGTCTTGTAGGGCTGAAACGAACAAGCCCAGATAATCCCATCACGTCCACAAGAAATAATAACAGAGGATCTCGCCAACAACGGTGCATGTGTGTGACTGTTCAACCGTCAGCCTTGCAACCCTAAGGAGCGACACTGTGGCTGAAGTATTGCTTGGGCGCCGTCTGCGTGAATTGCTCATGTGGATACGTCGACTATCGCAGTCCCCTTTCCCCATCGGTGTGCTTGTACTGTACCTCTGTAGCACCCGCTGCCGACAATGGCTCGCAACCGTGTTCCATCCGCTCCCAATGATATATTATCCAAGCTGTCCAGCAGCGGCTAAAGAGCAGGCAGCGCCAATATAGATCTTTTTAGACTTAGGGCGTGTTTAGTTCCAGAATTAAGGATCTCTCGCACGGGCTTTTCAGCTGTAATAGAGTTGTAATTAGGGGACTGTTTAGTTCCGCGGCCTATTAAGGAGTAATTTGCTAGTCCTAAGTTAGCTCTATCTGTAATAGGCGGAGTATTTAGTTATCTGTTGTCTATTAACAAAAGAACACGTTTAAATTTGCTGCTAGCGCACTTACAACCCTGCTACCTTCCTAAATAGGTATAACTCTACTAGGATCTCACCTATTACAACTAGCTGTCTAAGGATAGTAGTTTATAATAGACTTTTGCCTTTCTTGTACTAAGGATTACTAAAATTGCCTATTACTATATAGAGGAAGCCTGCTAGTAACTATAGAGACTGCAGAGTTGCAACGTGTATATAGTAACAAGGAGCTTAAGGATAAGTTACTAGAAGAGATAGGGACTTGTCAGATTTGATGGTATCTGAAGATGTCACGGTGACAGAAAGATTGAATAAAGATGGGTTGACTGATTGTATTCAGTTGTGTCCTTGTGTATGAGGCTGGGGCCTGACACTGGTTTTGATGTTCCTTCTCTGGGCGCCAAGGCTGTGCAGGGCACTAGCCACTGCAGAATCACTAGCCATATGTCCTCAGACAGTACCGGTACAGACATCTTCTCCCAGTCCTCCTCTCCAGTCCCAGATGGGATGTCCATAAACTGGCTTACCATCTGACAACAGGAATTACTACATCCTCCCCTCCTAGAGTGTATTTAATCTTTTTTTATATTAATAAGTGTATTAAGTCTATAGACTATAATAGAGCTATCCTAGTTATAGGAACCCTAAGGGCTATAGGTTATAGAGATTTTAAAAACTTACTTAAAGCTTAGTATAGACTAGGCCTAGGCTAGGTCTAGAGCTATTACATATTCTCTAAGGCTTAGGTATAAGTCTAAGCATATTATACTTTATTAACCAGCTGTGCCGACTCGGGCACCCTTCATCCTTCCCGAACTTCCAGACTTCCCATTTCATTCCCGAAGCTGCGCCGCACGCGTCGCGTGAGCTCCCACCATCGTCCTCGACCGACGACATCAAACGCACCTCCTTTTCCTATTCTGAAGTGTGCTGTTTGCATCTTCTTTGTCCGCACCCGTCTGCCTGGCTTGGTCGGTTCCCTTACAGTTCATCAATTCTCAGGCCCCGCCCTAGCGCGGTCCGGGGCTTAGCTCGGCCGCCCTACCCACATCACCGACCGACCCCCAACCTTCACCTCCACCCCTCGAAACCCTCTCCGCTGCGCCAGCCCTCCACTCTACAGGCACCTCCCTCCAGAACGAGGCCTCCTCCTCTCTATCCGCTCAAGTTTCCTTCTACACTCTCTTCTGTCTTCTCAAGCCCGCTGGTTGTGGTGCTCTTTTCCCGCGTACGTATCCCTCACGCCTAACCCACCCAATTTTCCTTTCATGTAATGGTGTACCGCAATGCCTATGGCTTGACCAAGACATCCCGGTACCACGCATACGGCTGCACCGCAGCTGTATCTCCCTTCCTGATCTGCAAACCATGGCTTTCCACCTTGCCGACCATGGCTGCAAAAGGCACATCCATCTGCAGCTCGTGACGGTCAACGTCTCCCCCACGCCCGTTGAAAACCACGACATGATCCCTTTTGAGCCCGCTATTGCATTTCACTCGTTTCCTTTGGCCGTCTCGTACTCGACTCCAGTTTCATCGCTAACATGCTCCCCCTAGGCGTGGTCGCCTACCCTTCTGTCGTCGGCTCCACCACTCCATTGAGCGACAGCTCCCCAGCCTTCTGGACAAAGCCCAAGCGGTTAAGGCTCAAGCGAGTGCTTTCTGGTCGCAGGAGAAGCACTCACCACTCGGCCAGATCTTCCCTTCAATCTTTCCCCCCTCCTCTGATTCCCCAACGCCATCCCAATCAGTCTCTTTTCACGACTCTTTGGTGGAGAGCCCTACCCCTTCCACTCGGACCAGGCCCAGGCACGTGCCCATTGTTATTCCACGCTATGCGTCCGGTGTAGGACCAGATAGCCCATGCGACTCCGCCGGACTCACTTCTTCGAGAACTTCAACCGTTGTATCAAGCGACCGCACCAGTCTCTCCGACTTTCCCCTACCAGGCCGCAAGCTCGCAGGCAATTCTCCAAGCTGGAGGTCTAGGCATGTGGAGATAGTAATACCAGACTGGATATTGCCCATACAAAGATTCTCCACCTCTCGCCTTGGCTTTGCTCACCCTAATTCTCAATTCCCTCCACTGCCTTCCCCCGGGGATCCAAGTCCGGCCACCATGTCTGGTCAAACCCCCAACACAAGCCGCACCAATACGATCGATTCCCAGACCTCGGCGCCTTCGCCATCCCAGCTCTATTCAGACTCCTTTCGTAGTGGTTCTGGAACCTACATTTCGAGCGTGAACAGCAGCCAGACGAGCCTTCATCGACAGGGGGCTCAAGAAGCTGCAAATGAACGCCCACCAACCGCTTCAGCCAGGACTCCCGGTTTTGGTGCCGGCGCGACTCCAGCGCTAATGCAGACTGCTGGTCTGGCAACTCCGTCCGCTGCAACTTCCGGTCTTTCTGGCCTTGTATGCAATGTGCACAGGACGACCGGGCGTGAGCCGCGCCCCTTGGTGGGAGCCACAACCACCATCATCGGCGACAAGCTATTTGTCTTCGGGGGGAAGAGGCTCTCACGGACACGACCCATGCTTACGGCAGACCTGTACGAATTGGATCTCGTTCGGAGACACTGGACCAAAATGGAGGCGAAAGGAGATATCCCGCCTCCTCGGTACTTCCATAGTGTTTGTGCTCTCGGGGACACGAAGCTGGTCTGCTATGGAGGCATGTCCGCAGCCGGCTCTCAACCTGGCCACGTACCGTCTGCAGCACAAGGCGCACCTGTAGACGGGCCTGAGGTTGTGGTCATGTCTGATATCCACATTTATGATATCCCTACACGCACGTGGATGCGTGTAGCCACCAATGATGGCCCTCAGGGACGATATGCCCACTGCGCGACTATCCTTCCATCATCCGCGACATTTGTTTCGCCAAATGCGCCCCTCGGGTCCATCAGACACAATCCTTCGTCCGCCAACCCAAACCAGGGTTCCATCGGTGTCGATTTGGATGGAGAAGGAGGTGCGGAAATGGTTGTAGTAGGCGGACAGGACAACGCCAATCACTACATTGAGCAAATCAGCGTCTTCAATCTACGCAGCCTCAAGTGGACTGCGACCCACCCGCTCGGGAGGAGTTGTGGTGCTTACAGAAGTGTGGTTGCACCCTTAACCAACTTGGATCCAGCAAAGATTGGCAATGGAGCGCGAACTGGGAGCGATCAAGACATACGACAACGAAATTCGCAATCCAACGGGCAAGGCACGCCCATGTTAATCTATTCCAACTACAACTTCCTGGATGTCAAGTTGGATCTGCAAATCAGGTATCCAGATGGCACGCTTGCGGAGAAGCCGATGCACGGGGAATTCTCCCCTCCTGGTCTGCGTTTCCCTAATGGCGGCATCATCAACAACCATTTCGTCGTCAGTGGTACATTCTTGACGTCTCATAAGCAGGAGTACGCGCTTTGGGCTTTGGACCTCCGGACCTTGACCTGGGGCCGCATCGAGGCTGGAGGGAACATCTTCACTCAAGGGAGCTGGAACAGGGGCATCTTGTGGAATCGCAGAAACGCTTTCGTCATACTAGGGAACCGTAAACGGAGCTTGGTGGAGGACTATCACCACCGGCGCATCAACTTCTCCAACATCTGCGTAGTCGAGCTGGAAGCGTTTGGACTCTACGACAACCCGCGCAGGGTGACGCCCAATTCCAGCTTCCATTCCGTCAGTGCACCCCGGCATACCGTTGGACTCGACCTGAAAGCTGGCGGACGGCAATTGTCTCCAGCAGCAGTGAACCTGGGCCAGCTAGTCCTGAGCATGCGCGAGTTCGCTGACATGGATTTCCTCGCGATAAACGGCGAGCGCATTCCCGTAAACTCTCATCTGGTGGCTCGCCGTTGGGGGCCTTACTTCAATCAACTGCTGCGCGAGAGCACCACTCAGGAGCACTCGGACACGGCAACCCTTCGACCTCCAGGCGCAGGACATCCATCTCGCAACTCCAGCATCACCATCACTCCGTCGATACGGACAAACTACTCTGCCGCAACCACCCTTACAAACAACAGCGTCGTATCGACCGAAACCGTCACCACGGGAAGCGCGACTAATACATACTTCGGCCCTCCCGAACCTTCAAACCTGCCCCCTACGCGCAGGCCTCGTACGCTCTACCTCCCACATACGCACCTGACCCTCCAAGCACTCATCCACTACCTCTACACATCCTCGCTACCACCTCTAAACTCGCCCCTATGTACACCACAGATTCTGTGCTCTCTCCTACAACTCGCGCGCCCCTACCACATCGACGGGCTCCTGGAAGCCATCATCGAGCGATTACACCTCTTGCTGGATAACCGCAACACTGCCGCTATCTTCAATGCCGCTGCCATGGCTGCTGGAGGGGGTTCCGGCGTCTCCTTCCTGGGCGTCAACGGCATTGCCTCCAACGGCACCACAAATGGACTGTTGGACCCGTCTGTCCCCTCGTCAACCAATGGCGCACATGGCGCGATGCGTTCGCTGGACCCCGCGCTCCGTGCCCTCCGCATCGACACCGAGGTCGAAAGCGATGCCCAAGAAGACGAGGTCAGCTCCGCCACTTCCACGTCCACATCCGGATCGACATCCGAGTTGGGCGACGCTGGCCACATTGGCGCTGAGCGCGAGATTTGGAGCGGTGAGATGAGCGCCGTTGTTGGGCTGCAGAAGCGTGGGTTGAGGGGTTTGATGGAGGGGAGGAGGATGAGGGAGATGGGGAGGGGAGCTTCGAGGGTGAGGGATGAGAATGGGGGAGCGAATGGAGGAGAGGGATTGGGACTAGGCTTGGTAGGACCAGGGGCGTGAGAGATGGAATGCGATGAGGCATTTGCCTGATGAGCTTGCGATGATTTATGTATTCCCAGTATCATTTGTAAGATGGAAGGTTTCTGGCAAGGGGGGTTCGCTATATGTCACTGGGCTTTCTTCCTTGCTCTCTTTGCTTCTTGGATATATATATTCATGGATATGAAAGGTGCTTCTTCGAGGAGAATAGACGTCTTATGAATGGAGCTATTACATGGTTCTGAGCGTATAGCGTATGCCTTGTTGTGACTCCTGATGCTACAATCTCCGTGTCTCTTCTCCTAAACTTACAAATGCTATGATACTTATAATCAAAAAATGCCAAGCAACGGATAGATCAAGTGGAAATTGCCACCCGACCACCACCCTCAACTACCACGAACGCTCGCCCTTTCTATCTTTCTATCCAACTCTATCCTACCGCTTCATATCCTCTCTGGCACATAATTGCTCTCAAACGTGCTCCCCTGCTGTATCGGCCCCACCGTTCCCCGCCCAAACCCCAACGGAATGTCTCTTGAGTCTTGGCCGCATGCATCGTTCATTATGCATGTTCCAGGTCCAAGCTGACAGCTTACGTTTCAGCCGGCACCGACGGAGATCAAAACAAGTCCTCACAGGCTTATTAAGGCAGCTTCGCCCCGTCCCTGGCCGGAAGCCATGGATGATGACGATGCGACAAATGGAGGGTCTTCCGACTGCGCCGCCCTTGAAGCTGCCACGCCTCTCGCTGCCCTCGAGCTAGCTGTCGACGGATGTCTGCTTGTTATTGAATTCTCGGTCAGACAGTGAATAGGTTCGGGCGTTTGAGCGATCGACTTGGCAAGCTTTCCGCTGGATTTCAGGGACACCCTCTTTCTGGATAACTTGGAGGTGTCTCTGTCGATCATTATACTGACTACACTACGACTTCGCTGGATACGCTCCCTTCACTCGCCGCACCAGGCATGACGCCGTGCCTTCGAATGTCGAAATCCTCCCTTTTCTGATGTTCACACATGCCTGGCACCGACTCCGCCGTCGCCGTCTCCTCCGTCACCCAGCCTTCCGCGTCGTGCTGCTTCTTCTGCTGGTATGGGACAGCCTACACGTCCTCACCATCTACAACAACCAACACGAAGCGCTAGCAGCACGGGAATCCATTGTCAGCAATTACCACCGTGGGCGAGCACCATGGACTGGGACCGGAACCCAGCCCCATGAGGAGAAGGACAGCTCTTCCAAGCCCTCAACACCCGCACCCGCACCGAAGCTCTTCATCGCCAGCCAACACTGGAACTCCGCGCACCTCCTCCGCGACCGCTGGAACGCCGCCCTTGTCTCGCTTGTCCACACCCTCGGCCCGGAAAACGTCTACGTCTCCATCTACGAAAGCGGCAGCTACGACGACACCAAAGCCGCGCTGCGCGAACTTGACGACGCGCTCGAGGCGCTGGGGGTGCGTCGGTCGATCGTGCTGGAGCAGCGGAGCCACGAGGATGAGATTAATAGCGCGCCGGCGAAGGAGGAGGAGAGGCAGCCTGGCGGGTGGGTGAGGATTCCGAAGGGAAGCGTTGGAGGTGGGGAGTGGGGGAGGAGGCGGATTCCGTTCCTGGCGGAGTTGAGGAATCGCGTATTGGAGCCTTTGAGAAATGAGTTTGGGGAGGGGAGGAGGTGGGAGAAGGTGCTGTTTTTGAATGATGTCGTGTTCACTGTAAGTTTGTTTTTTATTTCCTCTATGGGTTTCACGAATTGCCGCGCCTATGGTTTGGAAGAGAACTGACATATCCAGCCAGCCGACGTCCTCACCCTCCTCGCCACCAACCACAACGACTACGCCGCCGCGTGCGCCCTCGACTTCGCCCACCCCCCTTACTACTACGACACCTTCGCCCTGCGCGACTCCCAGGGCCACGAAACCGTTTCTCAGGTGTGGCCGTACTTCCGCAGCCGCGCGTCCCGCCGGGCCGTCGAGCGCTTCGATGCCGTGCCCGTGGCGAGTTGCTGGAACGGCATGGTCGTCATGAATGCAAAGCCGTTTGTGGGGGAGTACTCGGTAGGGAGTCAGAATGGTAGCAAGGAACTTAGGCGGGAAGATGACGAAGAGGGAGGAGGAGGAGGAACTAAAGCATCGCCCCCGCCACTGCGGTTCCGCGCCATCCCCGACTCGCTCGCCGCGCACCACGTCGAGGCCAGCGAGTGCTGCCTTATTCACGCGGATAACGAGCAGTCCCGGCAGCGCGGCGTGTGGCTGAATCCAAACGTGCGCGTCGCATATAGCAGCTCCGCTTACGACGAGGTGAATGCAGAGGGGAATGTAATAATGGGACCTGCGAGGATCTGGATGAGAGTGTGGGCGAATCGGGTCAGGAGGTGGGCGACGTGGGTGGTGGTCAAGGAGGGGGTTGTGCGGTGGAGGGTTCGGGTGTGGAAGCAGGAAGGGGAGGGGGTAAGGGATGGGAAAGCGGAGAAGAGGGAGGAGAGGGGCGTGTTTTGTTTGATCAATGAGATGCAGATTCTGCAGGCTAATGGGTGGAGGCATGTTTGAGGAGTTGGGTTCGAGAGGAGAGGGTATGAAAGGGTATGGTGTTGGGCGTGTCGTTTCTGTGTATGCATCATATGGAGTTTGGATGGGTTTGGACGGAGAGAGGACGGTGTTGCAGTATATCTGGGCTGGGTACGTTCATGTTCATACCAACGAATGGGAGAAACGGAAGAGTACAAACTCGCATCTGGAGATGTTTTCATCCTCTATATCGACATGATCAGCTTTCAGGAGGGTTTGACGGGCGCGAAATGCATATGAATATCCTGCATCGAGATAGTTGGATCCGCAGCTCCGCGGAGTCTACTACTGTGTACATACTGCTTCACATCGGCCTCACTTCTGCCCTGTCTCCATTTGACCCAGCGTATTCAACAGAAGGACGGAGTACCTCGCACACCGATACGATTGGTCCGCCTCGCTGCTGCGCCTACTCAGTAAATTGGTGAATCCTGCGTAAGCGCGCTCGATGTTGGGTGAGAGGCGAAGCAAGGCGAAGCAAGGCGAGGCGAGGCTGTTTCACGGATGAGCCTCCGCGGCTAAACTGATTGAGGAAAATACGCAGTCCCGTGTGCCTACGGAGTACTAAAAGTCTCGCTAGTTAGACTCAGTTATCTGCTTATATCATTCATACCCTCCCAGCTGTCTACCCGCGCCACAGCACAGCACAACACAGCACCCAATCACCTTGATCGCGCTTGCACGAGAATCCTAGACTAGGAACGCACTAGTAGCACTTGGGAGAGACGGGGGAGGCACGGGTTGTTGGATGGCATACTTCTTACTTGTACAAGCGGGTACAAGCGGGTACAAGGCCCGCGAGGCTGAAGCGATGTTCTTACTGCAAGTGATTGCCCCGTAGGATTCTCGCATCGCAAGGCGAACATGGCGCGTGGGACCAGATATGTATGCGGCGCAGTAGTGCAATGAGCCGTATACATAGGCAGAGGATGGAGATGGGCGAGATATCGATGGATACTGCCCAACTCTCACTTCCCCAGTCTTGAGACGGGATACACATTCCAACGCCCGCCCGTCTTTTCGTTCAAAAATAAAATAAAATCGAGAAATCAACGGGCTCTACGCAAAATTACAGCTGCGAGTTACCACACCATCATCATCCATCACACCAGAACCACTCGGACCCTCACTCTCCCTCCAAAATGCCACCACCACCACCACCTCCTGCTCCTTCCCACATCCTTCCGAAACGCTACACCCGCGACTACTGCCCGCACGACAGCCCCTCCTGCATCCCACTCACCATCGTCATCGTCGTCGTCGTGCTCGTCGTTTTGCTGAAGTTGGGCATCCTTTTTACGCTGTTTGCGCTGCATCGGCGGCGCAAGGAACGTCGCGCTCGTGCTCGCGCCAATGAAACTAGACAGATGGGAGTGAATGGAATGGCGCAGAGGGAAACGCAGGGCTTTGGATTCGGGGATATTAGCCCGGACGCGGTGCAAGAAGATCGAAAACAGGAGCAAGAGAGGAAGAGCGAGGAATGCAGTTATGGGGGAAGTGGAGGGCGGATGTCGCCGCCGCCGCCCTACGAGTACGCGCTCTTCCCTGCGCAGACGCAAGCCGAGGGGATTCAGAGGCCAGAGCCTGCGAGATTGGAGGGACGGGGGGAGGTATAAAACAGGACGTGTCTTTTCGTGGTTGAGCGGATATACTGGCCCAGTTCACAAGCGGGCCATGGATACCTGAAAGCCAGAACGGCGAAATAGCGCAAGACTGCGGATTCAACGGCTCGACAACGCGCTCGCGCTGATTTCCTTGCCGTCACCACGTCCCCTGCGGAGGAAACAAGACTTCTACGAAAGCGAAATCTTGCGGCACAGACTTCGTGCTGCTGGATACCGCAGTGTGCGGTTAAGGATGGGAGGCACTGCTACAGTACCGAGCTCGGGTGTGAGAGGCTGGGCACTACGGCGGTGGATCGCACGGGATCGTTGGAGAAGCCTGCTTCCTGGTTGATAGGGATGATGGGATATATGGCAGAGGAGTGTGTGGTCGTGAGCGTCTGGAGGAATGTTGGGACGGGAAGATGTGCGTCATCAGAGGAGCTCTTACATAGTAGGTAGCTCTATCCGAAACCAGCAACACGCATCTGCTCCTCCTGTTGCCTGGACTCGCACTCGTGAAAAGGGCACGAAGCAAGCACACTTAGCAACATTGAAAGGAGAAAAAGACCGCCAAAACCGACATGGCAAAATCTATCACTACTTTGACAAGAGAACTTGGTCATACCCTCATACGTAGGTAGTTCTCGATGCCTACCAGTGTCTATATAGCTCCATTAATGGGCGATGCGATGCAATTACAAAACGATAGTAGATGGACCTCCAAACTAGCACCACGGCCTTCGCCGTCCCATCACATCGGATAGAGAAACTAGATCCAGAAAATCAAAAGATTTGGACACAATAGCCAACATGGAGAAAATATGCATCACCCACCAAAAACGCTACATGTCCATAGCTGCAGCTTAAAGTATGATATCACTAACATATGTATCATCAGCGTTTTCCCGACTCTTCCGTTGTCAACAACTACTCTTTCACCAGCAATTCCCATTGCCCGATCCGGCAATGCTCGTCTTTAACCGCTGGCCAATGGCAAGCCGCCCACCCCAGCCAAGCGCGACCGGCAAAAGACGTGATGGCAGATGGGCGTCACCCTTCAGCATCGGGCCTTGGGGGAATTGAAGATTAGCCCGGCACCGACGTCTACCATGAGAAAAAAACGGCTGCTAGAATACATGTCTTTGCACCAACTTCCTCCTCTCCTTCTCACTCTCGTTCTCCCTCTTTGTACATACCTTGACCATGGCTAACCAGTACCTGGGCTTCGATCTCAGCACCCAGCAACTGAAAGGTGCGCCCAATTCAACTCCCTACCTACCCCACTCTCCCTCCGCCTACCCCGCCATGGCAATGTCTCCCCATACAACCTTATACTGACATGGAGATTTCCTAGGCATCATCGTCCAATCCGACCTCAAACTCGTCCACGAAGCCAAAGTCGACTTCGACGCCGACCTCTCCAAATATGGCATCGAAAAGGGCGTCCTCACCAACCCGGCCGACGGCGAGGTCTTCGCCCCCGTCGCCATGTTCCTCGAAGCCATCGATCTCGTCTTGCAGCGGCTGAAGGAGCAGGGAGCGGACTTCTCCCGGGTCCAGGGTATCTCTGGCGCCGGCATGCAGCATGGCACTGTTTTCTGGAACCGGGACGCGGAGGCGTTGCTGGCGGGATTGGACGGGGGGAAGACGCTGGTGGAGCAGTTGGAGGGCGGGGCCAAGGGGGAGAGAAGGGGAGCTTTCAGCCATCCGTTCAGTCCGAATTGGCAGGATGCCAGTACGCAGAAGCAGTGCGAGGCGTTTGATCGGGTGATGGGGGATGGGCAGAAGTTGGCGGCGGCGACGGGGAGCAAGGCTCATCATGTACGTCTCCTCGTAGCAGTAAACCCTCCGATGGAACTGTCTCGACTGACAAGCTACAGCGCTTCAGTGGCCCTCAGATCCTCCGCTTCCGCGAGAAGTACGCCGAGGCGTACAAGGCGACCTCACGCATCTCCCTCGTCTCGTCCTTCGTGGCCTCCGTCTTCCTCGGCAAGGTCGCCCCCATGGACATCAGCGACGTATGCGGCGCCAACCTCTGGGACATTGAGAACAACCGCTGGCACGAGGACCTGCTCGCCCTCGCCGCGGGCGGCTCCGAGGGGCTCTCCGACTTGAAATCCAAACTGGGAGAAGTAGCGCTCGACGGCGGCAAGAGCTTCGGCACCATATCCCCCTACTTCGTCCAGCGCTACGGTTTCCCGCCGTCGGCACAAATCATCGCCTTCACGGGCGACAACCCCTCGACGATGCTCGCCCTCCCCCTCCGCAGCTCCGACGCCATCGTCTCGCTCGGCACATCGACGACTTTCCTCATGTCCACCAAGCAATACAAGCCCGACCCCGCGTACCACTTCATGAACCACCCGACCACATCCGGGGAATACATGTTCATGCTGTGCTACAAGAACGGCGGCCTCGCCCGCGAACACATCCGCGACGCCATCAACAAGGTTTCTTCTACTTCCGACCCCAAATCCTGGGACGCCTTCAACGAGACCGCAACCCGCACGCCCGTCCTGGGCCAAACCGACCCATCCACCTCCCCCATGCGCCTAGGCCTTTTCTTCCCGCGCCCGGAAATCGTGCCCAACGTGCGCGCAGGAACATGGCGCTTCCTGTACGACGCCTCGACCCACGCCCTCAACCCCGTCGGCCCCAACGATACCGAATCCTGGCCCACCCCCCAAGCCGACGCCCGCGCCATCCTCGAATCGCAATTCCTCTCCCTCCGCCTGCGCTCCCAACCCCTCGTCGAACCCCAGGGAACTCTCCCACCCCAACCCAAACGCATCTACATGGTCGGCGGCGGCGCGGCGAACCCGGCCATCGCCGACCTGGCGGGCCAGGTGCTCGGCGGCGCAGAGGGCGTCTTCAAGCTCGATATCGGCGGCAATGCCTGCGCTTTGGGCGCCGCGTACAAGGCGGCGTGGGGCGTCGAGCGGAGGCACGGGGAGAAGTTTGCCGATTTCCTCGAGGGCAGGTGGGACGAGGAGCGGTTCGTCCGCAAGGTGTGTGAGGGGTATAGGGAGGGCGTGTGGGAGCGGTATGGGGAGGCGTTGAAGGGTTTTGCGGCCGTCGAGGCGAGGGTGGTCGAGGAGGCTGGGAATGAGAGGAAGCGTGAGGACGAGGCTATGGTGGGCGATGTGGTGTAGGTTATCATGTATAGGGTCGTGTTAGGTTATGCTCCAAGTAGGATCATTTGGGAGAGATATGGAACAGCAGGCATGAGCATAAATTACAAAAGGATTAGCATCTTTCATCGCACTAGGTGCATCTCCTGACGAATCGTGAATCCAGGTTTAGAAACTACCAGAGCGAATCAATATAAACAAAAAGATTGAGACGGCTTAATCTGGATATTATTCCTACAAGCAACACAAGGACACTACTCCCCATTAATAAAATAAACTCGACTTTTACGCCTCGCGCCTAGTATGTATGCTATACAGCTCATCTCAGGAGCAATGATTGTCATCCCTTTGCCCTACACACGTCTCGCCATTCCCTTTGTCATCCCATCTCTCCTGTCTCTGCCTTTCGCGGTACCAGACTCACTCCTGCACATCCTCATGCTTCTTCATGGAACGCAGTTTCGCAATTTCGATCCCACAAGTAGCCTCATAACCTCACGCCTCTGTTTTGCCGTGGTAGGAAGAGTTTTATTCCCCTCTTTTGCCGTGACGGGAAGAGGCTTACGCTCCATCATCATCCAGACGAAGCACACCCTCGCGGCTCACGCCCTGGGACCAGAACCCCTTAAGCTCGACATTCGTCTCCGCGTTCTTGGCAACGGTCAAGAGGAGCCAGAGCCCAAAGACACCCATAGACAAGACGTCCAGAACAGCGAATGTGATGACCTCGGTGTTGACGGTCAAGTGGCCGCCGAGAATAACACCCCAGACCCTAGCTACATGTTAGCAATCTGAGAGCCAGAGCACTTCGTAGGGAAACCAGAGAGGAGACAAGGATGATACTTACACAAGATAGGCCGCCCACACAAGCCCCGTGTACGTCGCCAGCGCAGTATAAAACTTGGCCACACCACGGCTGGGCTCCCTCACGGCAGCACGTCCGTTCAGACCCAAGTGCCACACGACCACCAAAAACGACAGCAGTGCAATGACATAGTTGCCCCACTTTTGCGGCGTATTCTCCTTCCCAAACGCCGCGAAGAGTCCCATGAAGTTCATCAGCGCGCCTGCGGTCCCAGCCATGAGGATGTGAGCGCCGCTGATGCCGGCCAGGATGCCGAGATTGAGGAGGATGAGGGGGAGAGCGAGTGTCCACTGGATATAACGCGGCCAGAAGATCTGGCGGTCAATGTGCGTGAAGGTGTCTGGGACATGGTCGTTGGAGTGGCGGATGGTGATGTGTTTGATCGCAGAGCCTTGGCCCGTGGCCATGAAGAAGTAGGCTATGGCGGAGATGAGGGTGGTGAGGGTAGCGAGGACGTGGTAGATGCGTGCGGACTGGGATCGTTGTTAGTACATGTTTTCTACAGCCATATGGTTTTGGAGAAGCAGTGATTGCAAGAAGCAATAGCAAGCGGCTTCAACTGGAAGGGAGGCAGGCACTCACCACAGCGAACCTCAACGACCACCCCGCAAACACGGCCGACGCAATGGTCATCAGCGCAAACAGAACCCACAGCGTCCTCTCGCCACTAGCTCCTATAAGCTGCTCATGGACATCCGGCACCACGGACGGGACAGGCGCAACGTGCGTGGGCGAATGCGTCGGCAGCACCTGCGTCGCCGAACTCTTGAGCAGCATCTCTGCGGCGTCGACAATCATGTTGTATGGCGGTGATGTCAGTGTTCCTCAGGTGACGATTCTCTGTCTCTCTCGAGGGTTTGGATGGTGGAGGTGGTAGCGGAGGTGAAGAATATACGACGAGGACGAAGTGTCGTGAGGAAAGAAAAAGTGGAGAAGAAGAGAAGAGAAGAAGTGAAGCAATGAAATGGTTTCCTCATACGTTCCCTAGGCAGGAGCGGGGGAAGAAGGCTCTGACGTCACTGCCTCACCGCGTGCAGCTCTCCATTGGCTGGCCGTCGGGCACAGCTTCCATGCGAAACTTGAAAGTCATGGCCACATGACAGGACTGGTGGCCATTCTGAGGATGCGGTTACTCATAATACCAAGTACTGTGGTCTGTTTCGTCTGGTTGTGTTGGATAGCATGACGGCGGCTTGAGCTGTGGATGAGTGAAGAGCTCAAGCACCGCCACAGAGTGGAATTGATATTTACCCCACAATCTCATAGCCAATGAGAAGCGGTGTGGCTGGAGTAAAGCCTAAACCATAACGGGACGAATATCAGATGAACAATGGTGATTTGCTTCAATAACTTCACGGATATACCATTCCCAATCATCAATGCCTCATAAATCTTAACAACATAAACCTCTACCCCATCCCTCTCCACTCACCCTGTCGCCCACCATCCCCACATCTATTTCTTCTCCTCGACATTCTCCACCGTCCTCGTCGTCGCACCCTTCCCATCCATGCCAATCTCCGTGCTCGTCTGGGCGTGCGCCTCGCGATCCTCCTCGACGTGCTTCACCAGCTCCGTCACGCCGAACAGGTCGTCCATGCGCTCGAGCGACAGGCCCTTGGTCTCGGGGATGAGGAACCAGACGAAGAAGAACATGGAGAAGCAGAAGCAGGCGTAGATGATGAAACACCTGCAGTACCGTCGTCAGCAATCGTTGTATCAGAAAGAGGAGAAACATGACTGATTAGAAGGGACGAGTGACGGGAAATAGAGGATTGCATACCCATAGCCATACGCGCCCACATTCGCCAGCATATTCGGCGTCGCCCTCGCCACCACAAAGTTGAACAACCACTGCGTCGCCGCCGCAATCGCCACGTTCAGACTCCTCAGCCGCGCCGTCGGGATCTCCGACACGTAGATCCAGCACACGGGACCCCACCCCCACTGGAAGAAGCCCGCAAAGAGGAAGATGCAGATGAGCGCCACGTACCCGGCCCCCGGGAGAGGCACGTTGGGGTTCGGCGGCAAGATGCGCACGTAGAGGCCAATGTACAGCATGGCGGAGCCCTGGGCGATGGACGTCCACAGCAGCGAGCGGCGCCGACCGAGGGAATCGGCGGCGAAGATGAGGAAGGCCGCGCACGTAACCATCTTGACGACGCCGTAGATGCCCGTCGCGAACAGCTTGTTCGTATTCCCCTTGATGCCCAGGGCCTCGAAGATCTGCGGCGCATAGTAGTTGATGGCGTTGGTGCCCGTCATCTGCTGGCAGATCATGAGTCCAATGGAGATGAGCACGCGCTTGCGGTTGCCGGGGATGGTGAACATTTCCTTGAGGAGGTCCTTTGTCGTCGAGCCGCCGATGAGCAGGCGCTCGTGCTCGAGCTGCTCGGAGATGTCGCGCAGTTCGCCCTGCACGTACTCGTGCGTTGCGGGCAGTTGGCGCACACGGCAGAGTGCCTTGGTCGCGTCCTCCCAGCGGTCGACCTTGGCGAGGAAACGGGGGGATTCGTTGTTGAGGAGCATGCAGCCGACGAGGAGGATGGCGGGCAGGGCCTGCATGGCCAGGGGCACAATGTACACGGCGTCGCCTTTGATGTGCAGCGACGAGCCGTAGTTGACCCAGAAGGCGAGCATGACTCCGGTGGCGATGAAGAGCTGATAGATTCCTGTCAACCCGCCGCGGATGGCGCGGGGCGAGTTTTCGGAGATGTAGAGGGGAACGACCATGGAGGCGCCGCCGACGCCGACGCCGGCCACGAAGCTGGTGGTGTGTCAGTCCATGAACAGGTGGTGGTGATGAGGAAGGATGGATGGACGGAGTACGTACCGACCCACATACATGGAAGCAATGCTTCCAAAGCTCACCGACTGAATGATACATCCAACGATGGTGACCAAACCATTGAAAATCAAACTCGTCTTGCGGCCCCAGCGATCCGCAACCCAGGAAGCAATAAAGCATCCGAGGAAGCATCCGGCCTGCAAGGTCGAAGCGATATTGGCAGAGAGATCATACTTTTGCGCTTTGGACAAGCCCGACAGTCCATATTTCCTGCCACGGACAAGGTCAATTCCGGCGCCATCTTGTTTGTTTTCAGTGAAGTACGTACCGCTCGAAGGCAGGCAAGGTCAGAACTCCACCGATGGTTCCGATATCGAAGCCGAACAGCATACCACCGAAGCATGCCGAGCATGCGAGCGCGTAGGTCCGCCAGCCATAGATCTCGGGGGGATCTTTCCTTGCGTTCTCGTTTTTGACAATCTTGTAGACGAGTCTGGCGCCAATGTTGATCTTCCCGGATGGCCGTGGGTCCGCCATGGCTTGTTGCTGGGTGATGTCGAGCTTGAGGAGGACTGAGGCGGTCGGTGTTTGTTCTCAGAGAAGCTACATAGAGGTGGTCAGTCTGAAGGTGGTTCCAAGCCGAATTGATGCAGTGCGTGAGATGTCCTTCCAGATCCACTCCAATATAGATAACGAATCGCTCCACCCTTCCCCTGCAAAAACGAAATCTCCAAAGGAATTGACGAACACCTTACCTATCTCTTTTCCAATCGCCACCCAAATAATGCACAGTCGATGTCCACAGCTCAACCAGCAAACCAAACCGCGACCCTTCCTCCAGGGACATCCATCTCTTCTCTATATAGATAAACGCACACGCCCATCCCTCTCCCGGTCCAAGCTCGTCCCCCTCCCATCACCCCAAAACCCTAGCAAAACCCCGAATCCGGGGCGACGCTATCCAAGCTATCCAAGCCCCTCCCATGTCGAGAAACACGTTTCTTCCGTCGAATCACCGCGTTTCCCCCATTTTCACCCTGCCTAGCCCTCTTCTTCCAGAATACCGCTATGAACCCTCGCATCCGCTTATCCTGCGACTTCATTCGTGGAAAAATACTACTCCCGGACCTCCCCTGGTCTGCGCCGCCGAGATCCCCAGAATTCCTCCATCCAGTTGGAACTTTGGCCATGGAGAGAAGATCAACTGTGGAGGTGGCCGGGCCGTTGGTTTTTGTGGGACGCTGATGGAAAAGTTGGGGTAGCGGGTTGCGGGGCGAGCGAGCGACGACGACCATGCCCCTTGCGAGATACCTATCACAGTATGGCAAGGATGTACTGTGTTATGGTGTCTGTGAAGTCGCGGCGTGCACGTGTGCGAGAGCGTGTGGGTGTGGAGAAACCACATGGCAAGGCTAGTCCAGTACTAGATGGCCTCGGGTGATTTGCAGTTTATCCGTGAATTACAACAAGTTCCACTGCTTCCACTGCTCCGGTCATGATGGCAGGCCAGACGCCAGAGGAATGATGTGCGATAATGAGGTGGGTAACCTGATGGGGATAGGTATGCAGGTGGGTTTGTGGAGCTTGCGGATATAGCAGAGGCTATAGTGCAGACGATGCATACTATGGTGGAGGAGAGTGAGAGGAGGTAGCCTCCATCTCAGCGGGAACGACTGCAATATCCTCGACTGGGAGAAGCCATCTCACGCAGATACTCTCACCTTCCGAGCTGCGATATCAGACCTCCTCAGCAGACAAGACCTCACAGAAGCGATCGATCATGACCGCCGCAGCCGCAACCGCCAACCGATCCTCCCCTCCTCACCCCTTCTCCTCCAACCCCCTCCTTACCCGCTCCGACGTCGTCGCCGCCGTAACCTCCCTCCTCGACCCCCTCGCCTCAGGCTCCTCGCCCCTCCACGCCCTCACCAAGGTCGGCACCTCCGGCACCCGCTTCGACGAGACAGCCGCCCAGATCGAAGGCTACGCGCGCCCGCTATGGGGCCTCGCGCCCCTCCTCGCGGGCGGCAGCCAGTACGCCGGCACCGACCGCTACGTGCAGGGCCTCATCGCGGGGACGGATCCCGAGAGCGACGAGTTCTGGGGTTACATGGAGGATCAGGACCAGCGCATGGTCGAGGCGTGTCCGATTGGGTATACGCTGGCGATTGCCCATAAGGAGTTTTGGGATCCGCTGAGCGAGAGGCAGAGGGGGAGTGTGGAGCGCTGGTTGGGGAGCATGAATGATAAGGATATGCCGAATACGAATTGGTATGGTCTTTTCCCTCTTCTTCTTCTCTTCTCCTCTTCTTCTTTCTCCTTCTTCATCATGAATCTCAAATCTGTACATTCATTGAGAATGTGTTTTCCCCAGGCTCTGGTTCCGCGTCTTCGCCAACCTGGGCCTCGCGAGGAACGGCGCAAGGTGGTCCAAGGAACGCCTCGAGGCCGACATCCACCAACTCAACACCTTCTACCGCGGCGACGGCTGGTCCAACGACGGGCCCGAGGGCTACCGCCAGATGGACTACTACTCGGGCTCCTTCGCCATCCAGTACCTGCAGCTGCTGTACGCGAAGCTGGCCGCCGACACGGACCCGGAGCAGGCCGAAGAATACAAAGAGCGAGCGCGCAAATACGCCCAGGACTTTGTGCACTACTTCGACCCCCAAGGCCGCGCCATCACCTTCGGCCGCTCGCTGACGTACCGCTGGGCCATGGTCGCTTTCTGGGGCTCCCTGGCCTTCGCCGACGTCGAGCTGCCCGCTCCGCTGACCTGGGGCGCCGTCCGCGGCATCTGGCTGCGCAACCTGCGGTGGTGGACGACGCAGAGGGACATCTTCCAGCCCAACGGCATGCTCTCCATCGGCTACTCGTACCCAAACTACTACCTGGCCGAGAACTACAACTCCCCCGGCTCGCCCTACTGGTGCATGTTGGCATTCGCTCCCCTCGCCGTGCCCGAGACCCACCCCTTCTGGAGCGCGCCAGAGGAACCTCACCCCTACGCCGGCCAGCGCATCATCAAACCACTGCCCCATCCCCGACACATCATGATCCAAAGCGGCGGCCACACCTTCCTCCTCTCGAGCGGCCAATCCTGCCACTACCCCTTGAAAGCCACGCAAGCAAAGTACGGCAAATTCGCCTACAGCTCCGCCTTCGCCTACTCCGTGTCCACGGGGTCCTACACGCTCGAGCAGTTCGTTCCCGAGTCGGCCCTCGCGCTCTCCGACGACGCCGGCGAGACGTGGAAGATGCGCCGCGCGCTCGACGGCGACTCGGAGATTGAGTGTCGCGATGGCGGCGTCCCCGTCCTCGTATCCCGTATGAAGCCCTGGCCCGACGTCGACGTCCTGACGTACCTCATCCCCCCCGCCGAGGACACGCCGAATTGGCATCTGAGGATCCACCGCGTGCGGACGGGCAGGGACCTGCAGACGGCCGAGGGCGCCTTCGCCGTCTACGGGTGCAAGGAGGCCGACGGGCGTAACCTGGAAGCGCTGGACGAGGCGATTTCCGAGGGCGGGATGGCCGATCGGGATAGCGCGTTTGTGGCGTCGAGGTCTGGGGCCGTGGGCATCGCGGAGCTGAATCTGAATCTGGGGAAGAGGGAGGGGAGCGTGTTGGCGGCGGATGCGAATTCGAATCTTGTCGAGGCGCGGTCGGTGGTTCCGACTGTGCATAAGGAGATCAGGGCTGGTGAGACGAAGTGGTTTGCCACGGCTGTGTATGCGTTGCCGGCGAGTGTTGAGGGCTGGAAGGAACGGTGGAGGGCCGGGTGGGAGAAGAGGCCTGTTCTTCCCCAGTGGGTGCAGGATAAGATTTCGGGGCGATGGGATTGAGCAAAGGAGCAGAATGACTGACATGAAAAAAGTGGGAGAATGCATGCAACGAGCAGGAAGAAATCAATCATGAACAGCAATAGAACCCAAGAAGACGTCGTTGCTGTATACTCCCATTCCAATCCTGCCTACCCATCTACTCCCTCGCCGCTAAACCCTCAATTCATGTCAATCATGTCATTGAAAACAAACCCAAAAGCATATCCGCACGCCGAAGAAAACTCCATACCTACTCCCAACCCAGCCCATAATCACTTGCACATCCATCCCCCATTTCATCATCCCCATCAACCCTCCCTCAACGGATTCTCCTCCTCGTCCAGAATCCCCTTGCGCACCAGCTCCTCAGGCGGCGGCCGGCTCTGCAGATTCTTCTCCAAGCTATCGGCGCGCATGTGGCGCTCGAGTTCCTTCTGGTGGCCCTGCAGGGCCGGCGCGGCGGTCGAGTCCGGGAGGATGTTGCCTACAGGTTACAGGTCTGATTAGCACATCGATCTGATGCTTGGTATTTATGTAAGTCGGATAGATAAATATGGCGTACGCTCAACCAACGTCTCGCGGTCCGGCCGGTGCGCAAGGCCCTTCTTCAGATTGTCGACGGCGCGTTGGCGCTCGAGCTCGAGGGCTTTAGCTTGGAGGGCTCTGGGGTTGGGATCGTTAGCCAGGGTTTTTTCATGGTCAAGCGTAGAAGCGTAGGAAGGAAGGTCTTGGTGGGTGAAAATGTAAGGATCGCGGAATGAGGGCACACGAGACATACGGCGCGGTATTGGTGTCGAGCAGGATGTGCCGATTCTTCAGGTCCTGGACGTCCGGTCGATGCTGGAGGTGCTTCTCCAGGCTGTTCCTGCGCTCCGTCGCCTGGCGGACGGGCGAGATGGGCGTCTCGTCGATGGTCGCGGGTTCGGTGGCCATGGTGAGGGAGGGAGGAAGAGAGGGAGACGGTGGACTTCTGGAATTGAGGATTCGGAATTTCTTGGATGCTTTGGTTGTAAGTACCGGGTAGAGGAGTGTTTGTACTGTGTCGAGATGTCAGGCTGCGACATCACTGAGGGCAACAAAGCAGCCCCGCACCCCTGTTCCAGATACCCCAGCCTGGTTGCGGGGTGAACGCGCCATATTAATACACAGTGCTAATGCTCCCTTCAGCCAACCACCATATCTGTACACAATAGCAAAGTAAACATGCCTTTACTTCAAGTCGAATCGCTAAAAACCGTAAACAGAGCTCATCACAACGCTGTTCTCATGCTATAACCCTACCCCTAATTGCCTGCACTCCTCCTCCAAGATATCACTGCGGCAACACACCATCCATCCAAAACACCATGACGTCAACATCAAATAACCGCTTTTCCATCCCAACCCTCATCACACGGGCAACAGCAAAATCCTGATCTCCCAACACGACGAAATCCTTCTGCTCAGCAGATATTCAGCGGCCTTGGAGCCAACCTAACCACATTGACATTCTCCAATCCAAAAGCCCTCAATCGTGAAGATTCTCCTCTCCCTGCATACGAACCGCAATCGTGCCTACACTGCATTAGCATAGAAGAATATCATCCTGACCTACCTATGGCTTTACTACGTACTCTAATTCTCCATAGTCCTAGTCTTCGTGTTCGTCCTCGAACCCGTCCTCGTACCCTCGAGGACAGTCGCTCCAGGCCTCCCGATCAATTCACTGGCGCCAGCAATGGCCGTAGAATGAGAAGGCGTAGAAGTATCCGTGCCATTGACGAGTAGAAAGGGTGCTGTCCACCCTCCCGACCGACTCGACCCGACAACATGAAGACAGGAGGTAGCTACGCCCGTCCACCTGTACCCGCCACGACAGGCACGCCCTCCACCAAAACAGGCGCCACCCAAGCATCCGCACACGCCGTCATCGTCTTCGTCAACGTGCCCGGCACAGTAGTTACAGTACGGCAGGGCTGCGGACGCGTCAGTTGGGAGAAAGCCAACCCCTAAATGCCCATTTTGAATTGATAATTTCAAGGTCGGAGTGATTACGTACAATCCCCAAGCCCAACGTCCTCGTCGTCAAAATGCACTCCCCGCAATCCGTGTACGCCGTACTCGTCACCGTGTGTGCAGAAAACGTGCAGTCTGTTTCGAAGGATGGGGCTCGGAGGAGGGTGAGGGTGCAGGTGGGCGGGGATGCGAGAGGTGGGGAATGGATGGGGGTGGTGTGGTCGGAAGGTGTCGTCGTCGTCGTCGTGGTTGAGCTCCTGACAGTACTCGTTGTACTCCCCAAGCTAACCAGCGACCCTGAACTGCAAAATATCAGACACTGCCTTGTGACGAAAGACCAAAACACTAAAACACCACTTACACAGTGCCAAACCCCATAACCAGCACAGCTATGCCTACTACTAATAACTCCTCGACTCTCATCTTCGCTGATTCGGGAATATCGATGCTGTGCTCGGAACAATGGCTGTGTTTTCGCAATCAATCGTTGCTCAAGGCACTGATGCTATTCTATTGATGCTGTGTCTGAGGTGGTGGAGATGCGTCAAGTTTCCGGCCTTAGAGAGGTCGAGGGAAGTGGCGGCATTCTTCGTTTGCATTACGGGAAGGGGAGGGAGAGTGGACCGCTGCTTCTTCTCGCAGGGAATGGGTCTCTGAATTTGACGAGGTATCCAGGTAGGTCACGGTTTCCTAACTGAGGATCGCGAGGAAGGGAAAGGCAGTATTGTAGGGATGTGCTTGTCTCTGGAGTCTGAGTTGAACGTCAGGAGCAGGGATATTCGAATTCGACGACAGCGGACACCGTTCATATCTCTGTAGATGGGGGATCATGGTGTCGGAGGGCAGTTACAGGTCATTGCAGCAAGAGTGAAATGGGTTCAGAATCCTCATTGCAGAGACTGACATTGATACAAAGGTCGTGAATACATCCCCAGAACTAGCAGTCCGTCAAGTCGACGAGTCGATATTCGTGAATCAGGACCCAGCAAAAGACAGGAAGAATAAAGGGAAATGGGAGGTATCATATCCAAACCCAACAACGCCATGAGCAGCACGCTTTGTGCTTCCTTTGCCCATCCCATCCCTTCCCAACCCATCCCAACTCCACCACACACACAAATCCTTTCTTCACTTATTTAATAAACACCCAACCCCCTCGCCTTCTCCTGCTCCCCATAATACTCCGCATTCGTCCGATACGGCGACTGCTGCTCCACCACCACCTCCTCCTCGTGCCGCCCTTGCTGCATCTGCTGCTGCTGCTGCGCCCAGAAACCCCCCTGATACGGATTCTCCATCTTCTCCGTCCTCTCCACCCTCTCCATCCTCGGCATCGGCGACTGCGGCTGCGGCGGGGGCGGCATCGCAGGCATCACGCCCTCGCCACCCAAATCCCTCCACGCCCTCGTCCTCGGCGTCGTCGGGCTCTTCAACCCCCCCGCCGTGCCCGGCGTGCGCGGCAACTGCTGCAACTCCCACATGTGCTGCCACTGCTGCTCGGGCGACATGCCGTGTTCGGGGGAGGACGAGGCGGCGGCGTCGAAGGCGGCGTATTTCTCCTTTTCGGCGCGCTTCTCGGCGAGGCGGGATTGGTGTGCTAGACGGGCGGATTGGGTCGGGTAGAGGGAGATGAGGGTGAGGAGGAGGTAGAGGGCGTAGATGGTGCTGTTGGAAACGATTGATTAGTCACTTCGAATGAATAGTTTCTGGATTGAAGTGGGAAAGGGGAAAACGTACAGCATGATGACGCTCACGGCGAAGGCGCTCTTCGCCTGCATGCAGTAGGCGCGGATCGTCTTGTCCTGCACAATGTTGCAGCTCTTGGTGATGAACCACGGCGGGCCGTTGTTGATGCGCTTGGGGTCGATGGTGTCGGGCGAGGTCTGGATGCGAATGGAGACGGCCCAGAGGGAGAGGAGGGCGGCGTGCAGGGGGAGGCTGACGATGGGGTAGAAGATGTGCATGAGGAAGAGGGTGCTTTTGACGAGGTAGAAGAACATGCAGAGGACGCCGATGACGAGGTTGTATTGCGTGTTGCTGGGAAGGGGGTTAGCCGGGGCTGCTTGGTGGTGGTTGGGTATAGATGCGATCCAGCTCTTTGGTTGCTTCATATTTTCTCCCATATTCCAATCTTCTGCAATGAAGATGTTACTTACAAATTACTCCACACCACCGGGATCTTGACGGGTCGATAGTTCGCATACGCATACAGCACCGTCTTGGGATCGCTATTAAATCCCATCTTCCCGCCCTCGGACCACAGTATCGTCCTGTACAGATTGGGTGACGCGACGCCAAACAGTGTCAAATTCGCTACCGTCAAGGGGAACTCGAGTATTATGAGGGCCCAGAGGACGTTGTGGAAGCGCCATTTGCGCGGGATGAAGCAGCCCCACGGCATCTTGGGCGGGGACTGGGAGGTGAGGTGGTAATGGTCGTGGTGGTGGGAATGCTGGTCGGAAATATGCGATGTGGAGGAGAAGAGTTAGAGTGGATGCGATTCGATAGTATAATCGATCCGGATTCGAGTAGGCTTCGATGGCAGTCGTCCGGTAGCCTCGTCCAGATGGCAGCTCTCTCAGCGCTGAAAAGCCGTAAAGGATAAGTCGAACTCGTCGCAAAGTGTCCCAGACGACAAAATCTCCCCTCTATCGCAATCGTAATAGGTCCAACTCTTTCCACGCACTTTTGGAAACAATCTCTCAAAATCTCTTGACAGCAAAGCCAACCAGCTCTGCTTCGAGTCGAACGAAAAGACGCATCTCAAATCTGCCGTTCACCACTCTTTCTCTCCCAAGGCGGGCGGCATCCAGCCCATCAAATACCAGCTGCACACACACGCACACAACCCCAGCCGGACGGGAAACCCAAAGGGAACCCGGCAGCAAAAGCTTGCTTTTGCACACCCACCACATGCATACTCTGCACGGCGGTTGGCCGCAACGTCGAACACACAATTCACCATTGCTGCCCGGGGGCGTTCCAATTGGCGAATCCCGCCTTTTCCACTCACAAGTCCCCCTCTGCCGCCACGCCCGCTCCCATCACATTTGACCCAGTAGTGGGCGTCCTGCGCGACCAATCACGTCCCTACAATGCATGTGCCCGCATTGCTGCCCCTGCGCGCACTCATGGACGCACGTTAATCGATTCGAGGGGGTAATATCCAGCGCGGCTGGTAATTGGACCGAGGGGGTTAGGGGTAGTGAGAGAACATACCCACAGTCTGTACCGTCCTCATCATGTTTTTCCCATACAGTCATCCCCCTCATCCACCAGTCGCACCAGCTCGCTACCTTTCTCTGCTGTCCGTAGAAATTCTGCAAGGCTCCGTAAGCACCGTATAGTCAGACGCCACATACGCTGTCCCATAAGCGTCTCCTCCGTCATCCCTTCAATCCTGGTAGATAGACACATCGACAAGCCGATATTGATATTGCCGCTCCCTCTGAACGAGCAGTGTCCGCAACGCAAGTGGAGTGAGCATCGCAAAAACGGCAAACCGTCATGGACAATCCGGCGCTTGGGACCGCTTGCGTTTCGGTATGGCGCGGGCGCGTAAAAATCCCTCTGTGATGAACTGAGGTAGTCCGTAGAAGATGATCGCAAAGGTTGACGAGGAAGCGTGGGCGTCTCCGTGGCCAGTAGGAAGGAGCCTATGTGTCTCCGAAGCGCATTGGAATTTCCCATCACATGCTCTTCATGCAGATTCCATCCATTTGGCATCTCAACTTGTCTCAAATAATGTCACGTGTGTGTATGTCCAATTCCTCAGTCGTTCAAGACAGCATTGGATCCTGAATTAACTTTTCCATGCTGTAATTGCAGAAATGTCATTCGCTAGATACACACTGGACTCTTCGGAGCGTCCAATCCACTTTCGTACCTGCAAGAAGCACACCGGCCAACTCCCACCCGGCCACTTTTCCTGATCCCATTCGTAACCGTTAGTGCAGCTTCATGTCGAATCGCCGAATCGTTACTACGAAATGCATCCTGACCCATACGGTATTCTCCCAGTCTATGCATCAAGCCACCTTCCAAAACCACATACTGTTTACTCGCGTCTCCTGGAAGCGAAAGCACCGGGCCTGTACTTTCCGTCGGTAGAAGGCTGGGCGGGAGGAGGAGGTGCGGATTCCCGCTCGTTCTCGCGGCCGCCACGGCGGGCTGGGGGAACGAATGCACCAGTCGAAGCAGGAGACATCCGTTCCTTGTCGTCGGTGAATCGCGGACGAGGAGGCTCATAGCGGCCTCCAGCGTTGGCGGGTGACTCGCGACGCTCAAGACCACGACCGCTCCCTTCACGTTCACGCCATCCCGATGATGGGGGAGCCGGGCTGGTCTCCGCACCACGATTGCGCAGAGCGGGAGGAACATAGCCGGTCCTCTTGGGAGGCTCGGGCTGAGCCTCAGCCGCCGGGCCCGGTGCTGCGGTGCCTTGAGCTTCAGCAGCCTTCTTGGCCGCTTCACGCTCACGCCATGACGGCTTCGCGCCGGCAAGGTTGAGTCTGGGCCGTTCACCCTCCGCAGCGAGTGCGGGCGCGGGTGCAGCTCGCTCCGCAGCAAAACCGCCAGATGCCTTCATGGCCGCACGTCTGGCCTCGGCTTCCTCCTCGCGCTGGCGCTGTCGGGCTGCAATCTCGTCGAGCTTCCTACAATGATCGTTAACAACCTGCACCTCTCTAGTGAGAAGACAGTCGACGTACCTTCTCTCTTCTTCGCGCCTCGCCTTCTCCTCAGCGAAACGTGCGCGCTTCTCTTCCTCTGCCTTCTCCCTGGCCTCCCTCTCGGCCCTCTCCCGCTCCTCTTGTTCCCTCTGTCGCCGTTCGGCCTCTTCCCGCTCCCGTCTTTCCTTTGCCCGTTGTGCCTTGATGTCCCGGATACGTGCAGCCTTCTTGGCCTCGAGCTCCTTCTGAGCCTGCTTGCTGCGCCGCTCAAACTCGGCCTTACGCTGCTGCTTGACTTCACTCACGAACTTCTGATATGTCGGCACGAGCCTGGATAGGCGGTGCTTGAGCGCAACGTCTTCCTTGTGCTTCTCTTCCGCTTCCTTGAGCTCCTCGGCCTTGGCCTTCTCATACGCCTCAAGGTCCGCCTTCATCTGCCGCTCGTAGTCTTCCTTCAGATGCTTGATTTCTTCCTTGCGGTAGGCGCGCTCCAGATGATCGATCCTCTTTCCAGTGACGCGCAACTGCTCGCCGAGCAGGTTCTTCTCCTTCTCCAGAGCAGCCAACTTCAGGGCACGGATACGGGCCGAGTCCAGCTCAGTGATGTCTTCGGGGATCTCAATATCCACCTTGGTGCCCTGCTTGAGCTCCTTGAGCTGCTTCTCGATTTCTTCACGCTGTACTCGTTGTTGTTCGGCCTGGATGCGCTGTTGGGTGCGGATGCGCTGCTCCTCGGCCAATCGCTTAGCCTCCTCCTCCCGCAGTTGCTGAGCGCGAAGCAACTTCTTGCTATGCTCCTCGCTCTCCTTCGCCTGCTGCGCTCGGAGTGCTGCCTCCTTCCTTTGGGCAATGATGTCGCGGCGGGCCAAAGCCTCCTGGTGCTCCTTCTCGGCGCCTTCTTGAGCGCGATGGAGGGCGGCCTCCCGGGCCTTGTTCCGCTCCTCATTGAACGAAGGATCAACGTACTGGCACGTAACGAACAATGACTTGGCCAGGCGTGTGAGTGTAGAACGGACAATTTCGGCAGGAGTGCTCTGGAGACGTTGTACAGATCGGAGCTCGACTTCGGCAGAGCCGGCACCGGAGCCAGGATGCATTGCCTTGGCAGAGGAAAACACGTCGGAATCGAAGGTAAGAACACCAGTGGCATGGTCAATTCTAATGGCCAGGTCGCCCTTCTTGCACCCATTCATGATGAACTTTTCAATCGTGCTGCTGGAGACTTGGAACGGATCGGGGAATTGGGCAAGATCAAGGACGAACTTGATCTCAACCGAGTCGTAAACCTGAGACAGCTGCTGGAAAAGGCGGGTGAGAATAACCTGTTGGAGCGGACCAACATATCTCTTGAGCTCCTCATCAGCGCCGATTTGAGAGAGGATGGGAGAAATCTTTTTGCAGATAGAAAGAGGGTGGAAGTCGACTTCGAGGATGTTGTAGAGATCGCGGATCTCGGGACGAGCACGTTTGAGCAGGCCTTTGCTAAGGGCGTCCTTGAACAGAATGGCCCGAGTGGGAGCCTGAGTCATGCCCAGCAGGTTTGTAAGGCGAGAGTTCTTGTTCTTCCTCGCTTCGTCAACGTCGACGAGTGCGCCTCGGGAGCGAGAGGTGCTGATCACGGGAATGGAGAGAGCCGAGAGAAGGACAAAAGAAGCAGCCTTGGTCATATCGGCCTCGGTGACGGCCGGATTGTCCTTCTTGGGGCTAAGTCCGGACGCGACAGCGGCGGCGGATTGGCGAAGGAGATTGTAGTACCTGCTCCAAGCCGCAGCATGGAACAGGTAGTTTTCGCTGACCAAGAAAATCCGGGTGAGCTTCTCAAAGTAGTTTGCCATCATGATGTTCTTGGCGGGACGCTTGCTGAGGCTGAGGAGGGTGTGAATGTCCTCAACGCTCCTGAACGCTTCCTGCCAGAGCTCGAGCTCGACTGCGACATTGAGCTGCTGAAACCGGGTATCCAAATGCCTCTGCAGAGTGTCCGGGTCGGACAGGTTGATGGCGTGCATCTGAGAGGAGAATTTGGCGGCATTCTGGAGATGGTTCCGCAAAAGCTCGCAAAGACGGCGAAACTCGGTCTTGCGCGCATACTTGGAGCAGAACTGGAACGCCTGGTGGGCCGTCGTCTGGTACATGGTCTCCAGGCGAGCATTGTTCTTGAAGATGTCGAGAACTGTCCGGTATGCCTCCCACAGGAACTTCAACCAGGGGGTAACGATGGCGCGGTCGGTACGGTCACGGGACTGCTCGCCGGAGACTGTGGATAGGAGAATAGATTCGGGGGTCTCGGAGGCCTCGAGGTCTTCAATGTTCTGAGTGGCGGTGGTGGTCTCCAGGGTAGATTGCACCTCGTCGGCCTTGGCCTGAGCTTCGGTAACTTTCTGCTCCGCGAGTTCGATGAAGCGTTTGAAGACGGTCTACATTGGGGTCAGCCCTGTCCGTCCTTGCAATGTGAGTCTGGCCTACCTCGATGGTGCCGACGTTGGTGTTCTGTGCGGTGTTCTTATATTGGTAGAGGCCATCCTTGGCGAGTTTTCCTTTGCGGAGGTCGACGCAAAGTTCGACAAAGAGGATCATCACCGGCTCGAGGGAAGCGATGGGGCTGTTGCGAGTCCGCTTGGAGATGACATGTTCGTGAAGGATTTGCAGGGCAGCCTGCGGTTGTTGGACACCGATGAGTTCTTGGGCACGCTTGCTGGGCAGGAGGGTTAGCAAGGGAAAGTCCCATGCGGCACTGTTAGGGACGCGACGAACAGAGTATTCTCAGGCTTGCTGTGCGGCGGAGGCGCCATGCTGGGCAGTCTGGATCGGGAGATTCGACTGCTCGAGATGCTTTGGCGGGGAGCGCAGCGGCGGGGGGTTGAATCTGGTTGCGGTCGCCTGCCGTTGTGACGAAAATCGCAGAGGGCTCTATCGTGGGTGATGCTGAGTCAGCGGGCGGGCGAATCACGGGGCGCCGCGATCAAGTGCTGGGCGAACGTGTTCGCCATCCCCCCGCTTTTGAATACTGCCTGCAAAGATGCGAGCCTACGGATTCACAACACTCAGTTCTACTTCACTTTCTATTATTTCGTCTTCCAGGTCAACCCCCAATCTCGTGACTCCTGCTCGACTCGGCGGTGAGCACTGAGGAGGCAAACCTCATTTCTGGAAGACAACGCTAAGCCGCATCTGTCCGCTGGCCAGGGTTGGCTAGGATAGTGCCGTTCTCGCACCCCGAACCCCTTCCCCCGGCCGCCAACCTCCCCTTCGAGCACCGCACCCTCCTCATCATCGAGCTCATCGCCAGCAGACTTTGGTGCCATAGAGGCCGCCGCAGTCTCGCTCTCCGCGTTGAATTGACAACCGCTCGGTCCTGCTGGGCTCGCCCACCGCCGTTCCTTTCCCGCCATCTCTCCTGTCTCCTGTCCAGCATCGCTGCTGGCACCAACGAACCCACTCGTCGCGCGCCTCCTGTTTGGAACCGACATCCTTCACACATCCTCGCTCTCCCCTCTCAACACCTGACATCGTTTACCTTTGGTTGAATTCGACGCATACACGCCCTCCGAACGCCAATCATCTCATCGCACGATGCCCGCCGCGTATGAGCTCCGCCCTGGTGAGACGGGCAAGAGCAAGAAGCAGAGCATGGCGGAGCTGAAGCTTCGCCGGTTGACTGAGTTGAACCAACGCTTACGGGAAGATTTGGAGCGCCGCAGGATACCCGTATCAGAAGCCGCGTTAGAGTATGCCTATCCAATGGACATTTCGCCGTCTCGAAGAAGCCCTGCTGACATGTGCCCTCGCAGCCTCATTGCATTCACGGATAAAGAGCCCAAGGACTGGATGGTGCCCTCACGCTGGGGAACGGTGCGTAGTCCGGAGTCCATTGCTGGCAAGTGACGCTGCTGACCAGGCATGCAGATTGATAAGCGCGACGACCCATATGCGCCTCAACAGAGCAACGGCTGCTGCGCTGTAATGTGAGATCGAGAGCACAGTGGGATGTAGGTGGTCATCATGTCAACAAGCACACGGCGTTCATGCGGAGCCTCTTCACGGCAGAATTTCAGATACCTTTTCCCTTCGCTTCTTGGCGGCAGCAGCGACAGGCACAGTTGTGGGTGGTGGGGATAATGCCCATGGTGGGGTGGGAAAGTTGAGAATATTTATGGACCAGCCATGTATTTTTCTTTTCTTTTTATTTTTTTCCTTTCAGCCATGTGTAAACTAAGGAAAAAGAGGGTTGCCGGCTGCCGCATTTTGTATGGCGGGCGTGCGGAAGGGAATTTGTAGCAGGAGATGAGTGTGTTGTGTGTCTGTTTCTGAAGCCTACCATTCTTTGCCTCTTCAGGCATATTTTCTCCGTTTATGAAGGAATACAAGACCATTTTCTAATGCCACATTATTTGGTCGGATTTTTGTGATGGTGCTGAGGTGTCTCTTCCAACCGAGGCAAATATAGGGGCAGACGTCCAGCACTGCAAGCGAAGTCGTTGAAGTTTGGGAAGATTCTGCAAGTAAACGCGGGGACCGAGAAAACCGCGAGATGAGCCACACGACGCACAGGCGCCTTTTGGAGGACGACGGACTCATGGCGGACAGGCTTCGCGAACGAATTGAGCTTCGTTCTTGGGGCTGGATGGGCGGCGCTGAGGGCCGGGGTTTGCATGGCGATTATTGGGGGTCCAAGTTCTGAGGCGGGGAGATTGCTGCAATTGGGTGAAAGGGTGGGATGCAAAGTGGGAGCGTGGCTGCAATCCGTCTGGGGGTGGCAGATCTAGATGGAGGTTTCTGTATGTTCTCTGTGGTGAAAAGGAGGCATTTGTTCAGTTGTTTCGAACCTTCTTCTGGACAGAGAATGATACTCTGCCATGGCGATTCGGTGGACGCTTTCCTACCCGAGTCGTATTATTATTTCCCCACTATTCGGGTGTCTTCTCGAATCGAAGTTAGCATACTCCGTGAGCCGGTGAAAGTCCGTGTTGGTGGACCCTCTCTAGCATCAATCATCATCATAGGTCTGAAACAGCCAGGCCATGTTGCGATTCTCGCTGAGGCGGTGCATGTGTGTGTAGAGGAAAGAAAAATTGTCTTGTTCTTCTACCAAGTAGATACTCCGTACCCTGGCGCTTTATGAAGAGCAGGTGATCTACTCTAGCACCGTCACGAGCGCCGCAGAAGGGACTGCTGCAAGCCCACAGGCAAAGCGCAGCAGTGGGCAGAATTGGTTCGTCTTATCAAATCCGTGGGGTTGAGTTGAGCATCCCGGTGCCTTTTTGCGGCGGGCCGGCTGCTGCAAGGTCTGCACATCGGTCTTCTTTCCCCACCAGACCAGACCCTTCACCTCGACCCTTCAAACCACAACTGAACCTTTCGGAGCCCTTTTTTCGCGACAAGAACGACACCTTTCGCCCTCCTCTGCGCAGCGAGGACGACCGTCCTTCGCCATCCGCGCGCCTTCTGAGCCTCCCCTCCCGCCTCCCACCCATTTCCATACCTGACGGGCCCGCAATGGACGGATTCGGCGATTCCGCATGGACCAACGCCCACCAGTTCCAGCCCACCGACCAACAAGACTTCAACTCCCTGCTCGACCTCGATCTCGATCTCGACAACTTCTCCAATCCTCAGGGCCCGGACAATGCTCAGAATACCTACGATGACCTCGCAAATTCCTTCGACACTCAACACTTCTTCAGCCCCCAGGTTCTGCCTGACCAACACCATGGCGCCCACTCTGGCCAGCAAGACCACTATCAACTGCAACAGCAGCATCCACATCAAGCGAATGGAGCCATGACACAGCCCACAGACATGTTCGGCAATACAATGCAACAGTACGACAACCCCATGGCAACCTACGCGATGCATCCAGCCATCCCGCCTACCCCCAATAGCGCCGAGATGCACCCCAATGCCGCCCAGTACCTGCAGCAAAAGCGCGTTCAGATTGCCGAACAGGGCTTCTACCCGCACAACGACGATGGTGTATGTCAATCTCCGTCCGTCTCTACAACTTTGCAATGCTAACGCAGTCGTAGTCCTTCACACCTCTTGGTACCCCCGCCGTCACCCCCAACGACGTCATGCACAACGGACCTGACTTCGGTGTGGCCCCTGGGGCCTACTTCAGCCCTCTGGTATCGCCGGCTCTCAATGCGCAAAATCACCCGCATATCCAGATGCAGTCCGGCCAGGGCAATGGCTCCGGCAGCTCCGCCGAGGCATCTCCTACAGTCGCCAATGTGACTCTGAATGCCGACTCGGTCATGGCACCGCCAGAGCAAGGCAGGAGGAGTAATCTGAGGGGCAACAAAAGGGGTGCACCGGGGAGCGCCAACGGACCTTCTTTGCTGGGCAAGTCTTCGGTCCAGAAATCCAGCCGGAGGAAAGTCACGGCCTCTGGAATGACCAAGGGGTCTAGCGAGTCGCCCACCAGTTCCCAAGGCCAGACACTGGGCTCTATGCTGGGCACTGCACAAACCTCTAGCGGTAATGCGAACTCGCAGTCCGTCTCTACTTCTCCCGAGTCCACGTCCCACCCAATGGGTCCGCCTCCTAGACCGGGTTCAGTCTTGCATTCACCGGATCCTTTCGGTCACGGTTTCCACTCACCGGCCATCCTCTCTCAAGGCGGTATGACACCTCCGACACCAGCTGCGGGGTTTCAACAGTCTGTTGGCTTCTCGGGCTTTCCAATGTTGGAGGATCTCAGCCTGCCGGAAGCATCATTGGCAAAGACGCCATTGCCTCGCTCCGATACGGCCATCTTGGATAACAGTGGAGGCGTGGAAGGACAGAAGCCACCGAAGCTGGCAGTAAACACCCCCGCAGGCGTCGGAGGGGTCTCTGGGAGGCCGAGTCCCATGCTCAGTGCTGTAAATTCGCCGACCAGCCCTGCATTTACCGCTGGAATGAAGAGGCCGGAATCAAGGATGGCTCGCAACACCAAGAAGCGGGGAAGCGTCTCCACGGCCCCGAGTCCCGCTATAAGGCCCAAGATATCCCCCAATATCAAACCGCTGATTGCGCAGCAGGGCGGTAAGTCTCTTAGAACATGTCCTCTACGTATACTCCGTCTTTGAAATTGCGTTTTTTGTTTTATACGATAACTAACAGCATAACAGCCAACCCTTCCCCCGACGACCACGCCCGCCTCCTCGCCACGCGCTCCAACTACCAAAACATCATCGACGGCACCAACGTCCCGGGTCTCAACTACCCGACCTCGCTCTCCGCGAACCTGACGCAGAAGAAGCAGAGCCACAAAGTAGCCGAACAGCATCGCAGGAACAGGCTGAATGTTGCGCTGGCGCAGCTGGACGCCTTACTGCCCGGTTCGCCGAAGATTTTGGCTAGAGATGCTGCTGCGAATGGAAAGAATGGGATCAAGAGCGAGGGTAACGGGAGCGGCAGTGGGGACGGAGAGGAAGGGGGAAGCGCGACGGCGGGGAACAGTGCGAGCTCGAAGGCGGAGAAGGTGGAGATGGCGGTGAAGTATATCCAGGAGCTGAAGAGCAGGATTGAGGCGCTGGAGAGGGAGAAGAGTGGTGGTGGTGGTGGGGAAGAGGGGAAGGAGACGCAAGTGGAGAGGATGCAGATCGATGAGGTGAGGGGGAAGGCGGAAACGTTAGTGTCACAACAGGGTGAGGCGGAGGCACGGAGTAGTACGAGTGAGGCTTCTGAACGGAGTCCCGATTGAGAGGTCCGGATCAATGAATGCTTTGCATACACTGAAGAAGGGGTTTGGGGACCTGGGAGGAAGATTATGATATTTGTGAATACCCCCATATGTATGACGACGATGACGATGATGAGTACATAGGCCAGATCGATGAGTGATACCCTGATAAATATAAATAAGGAAATGAGGCTTGACGCGTATCCGTACGTGCGTAGTTGAGGAATGTCATCAACAGTCACTTTTGCTCGCATGGACGAATGTAGTACGCTAATTGCTGCTCATTGAGCTGGTATTTATGAGCAGGAACTCTACGCGTAGGCGGCCGTCTTCGAAAGAGGGTGATATAGAAGAGCTGGTTCTACCGTCATTTGCAATGGTAGCCAACATGACCCGGGAGTCTGAATCTGCAATTCCAACCCCCAAAACGCCGAATCCCGCCTTGCCCTATATACATGCACACAATGTATTTATTGTACAGTCGCCCTATCGTCTCTTGCGTACGCTCTCTTTGGTCTCTTCTTCGTGTGCATGGCTATGCTCATGCTCATGCTCATGCTCATGCTCACGCTCACGCTCTACCTCAGGAGTCGACCTCGCGCTATCATCTCCAGCAATAAACTCATCCAGATAATCATGCTCAGCCGAATCCTTTGACACGAACCGCACCCGCACGCGCTTCACGCCCCGCACCTTAGCTCCCAACCTCTCCCTCACAAGCTCCTCGACGCCTCGCGTCTGCTCAATAGACCACTGCCCAGGAGCCGCCAGCTCGAGATCAATCAGGTAATTCTGGCCGGACTTGATGCCCTGCACCGCTCGTATCTCGACGTGTTGCGCCTCCGAGCCGGAGTTGATATTAACATCCGCCAGCGCCCTGAGCGTGGCTCTTCGGACATTATCCCTCATTTCCTTGTCGATGCCGACGTCGGCGAGTTCGAAGAGGGCCATTTTTGTGTTGGCCCAGCCGGCCTGGACGACCATCATGGAGATGATGAGGCCGCCGACGGGGTCGAGCCACTGCGCGTTGCGGAGCAGGTTCGAGCCGGCGATCATGACGAGGGCGACGAAGGCGGTCAGGGAGTCGACGCGGTGGTGGTAGGCGTTGGAGGCGAGGACGGAGGATTTGCGGTCTTTGGCGACTTTGAGGGCTAAGTAGGCTGTTAGCATGATGTGATGCAGAAGCATATGTGTGGAGCAACGTACTCGCTCGATACAGCCACTCCTTGATCAAAATGGACCCCGCTGCCAACCACGCAGCGTGTATACTCGGCCCCAGCTCGCCGACCCCGTGGTGGTGTCCGTGGCTGTGAGGGAGAAGCCCCCAATGTGCCGCCCACTCCGCGAACTCGGGCAGGAATTGCTGGCACAGAGCGATGATGGCCGCCCAGCCCATCATGAGCCCGCCTCCTAGTAGGATCCCGCTCACGCCCAGCGATCCTAGGCTTTCCACTTTTCCGTAGCCGCTGGGGAATCGCGCCGACGGGGGTTTGAGAGACCACGATACTGTGGCTAGCGTCATGACGTCGCTGACCAGGTCGGTGAGGGCGTGTATGGCGTCGGCGACCAGAGCTGGTGAGGGCCGGTGGTTAGCGTTTATCATCGAAAAAAAAAGACGCAAAACATATTCCCATCACAGGGACAACAGCTACTATTACGCCGGGGTACTTCTGGGTTTACTCGCCTTGACTGTTGAAAACGTAGCCCCCGAGACCCTTGGACAGCGCCATGCCGAGATTGACATAAAGCCCAATGCGCGTGATCCGGACGCCCGCATCCTTCTTGTTCGACGAGATCAGATACGTGTTATCGTGCGCGTGGTGGTGGTGTCCGTGGCCGGCGTGGCCGCGGCGCTGTTGTTGCTGCTGCTGCGTCGATGTCATGATGGGAGGAGGAAGAGGAGATGGAGGAGGGGGGAGGTGTCGTCCGCGATGCAGCACCGCCGTCGAAAACGACCAATTGACGGTGGTAGGTCGTCGTCGGGTCGATGACGCCGCAGAAGCGGTCGAGGAAGTGCGCAACACGCGCCGCTGGAGAGATGTCACCGCTGCGGGGGAGCCTGTGCCTGTGCCTGGGCCTGTGCCTGCACCGCCGTTTGTCGCTGCTGTCGCCGCAATCTGGATGTAAAGTGGTGAACGTGGCCCGTCGCAGCAACGCACGCGTCCACGGCACTGGCTAAACAGCAGGCCATTTGTGTTGCGCAGTAACATAGATGAGCGAATTGGGGTCAGCAGGGTGCTCGCTGCTGCTGGTTGGGTGTGAATGGAGCCAGCTTTTCCAAGGGGGTTTCTTTTCTATTGGCGATTTGAGTGGGTTTTGAGGAATGGCTCGAGAGAGGGAAACCTCGGCGCGATTTGTGTCTGGTTTTCTAAGTTGAGGGTGATGCGAGATGGTCTTTTGGGCGCTGATTCTCGTCCAGAATTATTTTAACTACCAGCCCTGGTGCGCCAATCACGTCATGCCAGTGTCCGCATGCTGACGGGCAGTCAATGTTGTTGACTATCTCAACTATTCAACAGGTGCTTCCCTACAGGAATGGATTTGGAGTTCTTGAAATGTTCATGGTTGACATTAGGAAGTACATTTCTACAATACCCGTACATTTATAACTCATTACCATCTACGCTATTTTGGTAACAAACAAATGTACGTAATATGAAGGTACGTCTACTAGCTTCCCAAGATGCGCGGAGAAGGACAGTCGCTATGGGGATTCCAAATCATTAGACATTCACACATGACACTCCTACACTGCCCTTCAGCTCCCCACCTACAACCTCGGTCGCTGGACATCTGATTGTACCGGATCCACGGAGCGAGCAAGAATCCAGTCCACCATATCCTTCAGAAACGCCGGTCCATATGGCTCCGGTTCATCATGCACTGTTCGAATTAGTACTCTTAGCGCAAACAAACAGATCATCATATACTTACAACGATGGAAATGCCCCTCATACGACTTGAAGTCCTTATCCTTGGCCGTAACACATGTTTCCGCAAACCTCTTGGAAGCATAGTAATCTGTGATGCCGTCCTCATCTCCATGCGCAATCCATATCCTCGTCACGCCTCCCTCGCCCGCATCATCTGGAATCTTAATCTTCCCGCTTGCGAGTTCCATAGTTCGGTCCAGCATCCCAGCAAGCCCCTCAAGGGTGCCCATGTTGTGACACAGCTCGTCCGTCTCAAACGCCTTGCACACCTCTGGATCTCTCGATACGAGCTTCACATCCAAATGACTCTTCATCTGTCTCTTTGGGAACAACTTGCCCACCATTCGTCCCAGCACGACGGTGATGATCGAAGGTTTTGACGCAGGGCTGAAATCGACAAAGGGGGAGATTAACATGTATCCTCGAATGTGTTTACGGATTTCCGAAGGGCCGCGGGCGGCGTAGTATAGGACTTCGCCGCCGCCCATGGAGTGGCCCACTAGGAAGAGAGGGATGGGTGAGGGAATGACAGTCTTCATGAAGGAGGTTATGTCGTCCAGGACCCGGGTTGTGGGGCCTGTTAGTCCGCGTTCTGAGGGCTTTGTGACGGAGCGACCCCATCCTCTGGTGTGGTGTTAGCGAATGAAGAGGGCTCAGCAGATAGAAATATGAAACCGAATATAAGGCTGAAAATAGAAGGACAATACCTTTGATCAAACGTGTAGATCTCAATGCCATGCGAAGCGAGGGCGTCGAAGAACTTGATGTAAGTGTTGCCTATCACGTGTCAAGGGGGTTTTGGTTCAGCAGCATTAAGCGAATTACAGTGGTCGCTGAATCCATGGATGAAGACGACTCGGGCTTTAGCGGGGCCGTTGGCCTGGTACTCTCTTAGCAGGGGATATCTTCAGGAGAGCGGAATCTGATAGACATACCTTCCACGTCTTTGTGTACAGCTTCTGGCCGTCTTCGACGGTGTGCCAGCCTTCTTCAGTGGACATGTTGAGCTGTTGGGTTATGCGATGTGCATATAAAGTCCAGTAGGTATGAAGGGAGAAAAGTTAGCCAACAAAAAGAGTGTTGAAAATAGAGTCCTGTCTTATTCTTCACTTCGGAGAGGAGAGCTGAACTGATGCTGATGTTGAAGGGACATCAGCACGTGGGGGACCGAGGCTTGTTCAAATGTGGTTTAGCGCCGCCTTGACCATGCATATGTCAGGTCGGAACCTTCACAGGCCAACGCTCCCATCCATAACAATACTCGCAGTATTTTCGTTTGAAATGCTTCCGGCGAGGAGATACTATGCGAATTGTTGCACCTAAAACACATCATCTTGGGTACTCCGTGTGGTCTCGTCGTTTCACCGCAACCGTGCCATCTATCAAAATGAAGCATGTCTCGGCGAAAGCATCTCTCAGCCACGAGGAGCGCACAGCTGCAGAACCGCGAGATAAAGGCTTGCACCCTGTTACCATCCGTGATATAACTCCAGTGAACGAACGAATAAGACTGTTCAAGCTCAGTGCAGTCAATGCAAGGGGAATCAAGGTATTTATATTCCTCCTTGTTTCGCCCACCACCGCCTACTATTAACGTATCCGGTAAGTTCCTTCCTGGCCAATGGCTCGACGTCTACATGCCAAATATCTCAAAGGCCGGTGGATTCACAGTCACCTCTTCTCCGCGGTACGGTGCTTCAACCTCCGGGACAGAGGAGTCTGTTCCGTTTGTGGAGTTGGCCATTCAGAAGAGCCCTGAGAACCCCGTGGCGGCATGGCTGTGGAGGGCCCATCAGGATATTCTAGGTACCGTCTTGAATGTTCGCGTGGGTGGGAGTTTTGTGTGGCCGCCGCCAGGGATGGATGAGGAGAGTGTGACGAGAGCCGTCTTTGTTGCCGGTGGAGTGGGGATCAAGTAAGTTCAGTGAATCATTAGTCTTTGAGATAGAGGTTGACGGTCCTCGAATAGCCCACTCATGTCCATGATCACCCATATATGCGAAGATACATCCAGCAAGGCTCACATACATCTGTCGTACTCTACAAAGATGCCTTCGTCGCATTCGGAACAGCATCAAATACTCTTCCTGGATCGAATCGTGCGCCTATTTTCCAATCGAGGATCGTCGTGTTCCTTGGATCTGCACATCACCGGTACCTGGGATGGATCTAAACTTCCGCAAGCTACTGAGTTAGCCAGACAGCTGATGATTTCGGACCCTCAGAGCGGTGGTGCTTCTTTCAACCTTCCAGCTACGTCTGTTCACCAGACCCGGATCAGTATGCAGAGCTTACAGGAAGCTATCGGTCCGGAAGAAGGCCGAGCAACGTCGGTTTATTATGTCTGTGGGCCGCCGAATATGACGGACAGTACAGTTGAGCAGCTGAGGGGAACTCCTGGTATCCGACCTGAGAGAGTGTACTGCGAGAAGTGGTGGTAGCCACTTATCCCGGAGACCACATCCTGATTGCAATTCGAAGGTTCCATTGGGTTTGTTGGTCCGGTAGTTTGGTTGCAGTCGGGTTACACAGGTCGATTGATTTCATAGGTCCTCAGAGCCCAAAGTCGCCTATCATAGCTGGAACTACGTCCATGTTCTCGCCGAAGAAAGTAGTGGTTTATCAGGTTTCGAAGTTGTTCAGTCAGGCTCGCCAGTTCGAGCCGTTTTCCGGTGTGTAACAATAGTGCGGAAACCGAATGGGCTTGCTCGGCAACGGCTAGCATATGTGCCTTGAAGAATGCTGACTCGGCTGTGAGACCCGGTTTCTCAGCGCGATTCATTTGCTGATGCTGATGCGCAACAGCCCTAAAGTAATCCTGTCAGGTTTCCGTTCTGGGAGCAATGTTAGCATAGGTTGCGTGCAGGTCCCGCAGTCCACGGCGAGACGGATCCCGACAGTTCATCGGCATCGGAACTCCACGGAGATGAGGTCAGACGTGTATCTGATGCTGAGCCAAAAGTACTACCGACAATAAACTAATCAGGGAGCTGCCGTCACCGAATGCACAACAGTAGCCTGAAGCATCGGACGTTGAATGTCGACACAGCCAATCATAGGAGTTTGATTTCACCGGACGCTGAAGTCTCACGACAGCACAAACGCTGGCGTCAGAACACGACTCCAAAGACATTCAAGCGCGCCTTGCCCTGGGACACAGGTACCTGTGGCATTTCGTCTCGGTGCGAACATGACCAGTAACTGGAACTATTAGTGTCTCTTATCGTCGTTATCGTCAAAAGTATGCAGTGTTCGTTGTCGGTCTCGTTTGCTCCGTATTCCAAGACTCAAAGATATCCATCGAGGTCCCGTGCGCACGGAGAATTTGACGAATAGCGACATGATCATCGATCATCGATGGTTCGACCCAGCTCCCAGCCAGCCAGGATGGGGCGCACGAGGGCAGCTGGGGTCGAAGCGATAACCGCAGCTGGTCAACAGAGAGCAGCAAATAGTGCAGAGTTGTTGCGGTGCTCCTTGCCTCACGTCTCCGAATAATCGGAAACAGTGTCTGGAATGAAGGGGACACTGCGAGGTGTACGAAATTTCACTGGAGAGGAGTTCTTGTGTTGGCGGATTACGCGGACGACAGAGTGAGCCATGCGTGGAATATTGCAAGCCATTTCAGCATCATCAGCTGGTCAGCACGCGCATCCTCTGGGTTTTAGCTCAGCGGCACAGTTTTCTGGACAGACAGATGGTGAGGGCGGGTTTCTATGGTGCCTGGCGTGACATGTCTTCCCAAAGCTGTCAGTAGTGGTGCTGCTGGAGGCGGAGAGACGCATCGGGCGTCCCGCCGTCAGATGGCATGCAATATCGGGGCTTGCAGGACGGTTATGGACGAGGGGCACCTGTGTGACCATGAAGCGGACGCGGTGTACCGTGTCACTCGTGTCACTCGTGTGGATGAAGTGGAATCTTGGAAAGCGATGCGGGCAGACAGACTTGGCGGCCCAGTCGCCTTGCACCGGATTCTGGACCGTCGTCTTGTCTTTGCGCCGGCCGCCACAAAGCTGCAGCAACCTTGCACAGCTTCGTGTGAGGGGTGAGGGGAATTGCTGTGGTGGTGCTGGTGGTGCTGCAGCTCGGCCTCTTCTGGCCTCTCCAAGCTGGCCTGACCCGTTGCAGCTTATGGAGATGACTATGCCTGCAGATGCGGGATCCAATCCGTGCATAGATAATAACACGAGAGTGGCAGTAGGCGAAGGGGGGGTTCTGCTGTATCTATGCTTGCTATTCCTGTTGCTCTCAATATCGGCAACCTATTGACCTTCCCAACTCAACCACTTTCACATTCACACCCGAGTCAACGGAGCAACAAGTCTCTGGCGCAACGTCCTCCCGTGATCAGGGTGTCCACTAGAATTTGATCTTGGAGCTTCAACTCACCGCCAGGAGCGCGCTTACCTCATAGCGCCCCTGCCTCTCACCGCGGCCCTATTACAGGACCACCTACAAAAAAGAAACGACTACTGCTGCTCGCTCTCGCCTGCCACTGTCGCCTGTGAGCTTCTCGACCCTTTTAAAATCCTGCCACCACCAAACTTCAAGCTCTGTGAGCCGTCTGGACCTGAGAACAAAGCGTCTCGTTGCGCCAACCTCCGGTTTCGTGCTATAGAAGCGGCCGGCGTCCTCGCCGAACTCAATACGGTAGCTTGCTCGCGAGTCCGCTTTCGTCTCCCGAGGTCGCCAGCAACCATCACCTCTTATTTACCATTACCACGAGCACAACTTTGGTCGTGCCAACTTGCCGACTCGCTGCCCATTGCACCTACCGCCGTCTTGGACAAAAGTCGACCAAACTCGAGGCAAACGCATAGTCTCCCGGGCATCATCTGTTACCTCGTTTCTTCCTGCATGCATCCTCCGAATGCCCGCCATGTCTGATAACTCGGACGCTCAGGCAACCACAACTCCCGACCGCACCATGCCGAGTTCGAGGTCGAGAAGCTCCAGGTCGAGCAATTCGAGCAATCCGCCTACCTACGGGTACCACAACACCTTTCACACACACGCACAACTGCCTCCTCCTGTACCGCCGCCCACGTATGCCGCCGCAAACAGCGAAAGAACACTGAGACAGCTCAATGAGAGGGCACGAGCGGAAAGCGAGCTTTGCCCGCTTCCTGCATACACTTGCTCAGTGGGAGTCAGTGGCGAGCTAGGATTGAAGCAGGAGCTCTCCTCGCCTTTCCAGGTTGCGAGCAATCGCGAATGGCAAGAGACGTTTGTGGTTCTACAGGGCACACAATTGAGCATCTACCGACCCAAATCCCCCGGTCCCTTCAGCAAAACAAAGGCAGTTGGCGCAGGACGTCTCATCAAGAGCTTCTCCCTGCAGCATGGCGAAATCGGTGTCGCGGGCGACTTCAAGAAGACGAGACCCGTCCCGAAGTCGCCATTTGCTCATCTGATACCTGGCTCCGCCCGCCAGAAGCTCTTTGCGACGGACCCCCATCTCTTTGAACCCGTCCGGGAGCATGTTCTCCGCTTGCGATTGGAAACAGAGCAATTCCTGCTCTGCGCTCCATCGCAGGAAGAAATGTTGGACTGGGTCGAGAAGCTGTGTGCGGCTGTGGACATCAGCCCACCTCTGGAAGATCGCAGCGAGCCTCGGTATCGAAGCTTACCCCGGAGACAGCGCCGTCAGCGAATGCTCGACGGAGGGCGGCTCGAAAATCTCGACAATTTGTTAAGCTTGGAGAGCGGGCGCATGATCATTGCAGAACAGGAACGCATCATCCGCCGACTGTATCCGCATCTCGCAGGCACAGCTTCCAGTGGTGAACCCGCAAACGAAGGCTCAGGGTCCAACTGCCAAGCGGTTGCAGCCCATGCAAGCGCTGATCCAGAGACTGACGATCTTGACCCCGAAGATGCTCGCTTCCCCACGCCCCGTCGGACGACCTCCCACACCGGCGAATCCGAAGAGCGCCCCTCCTCGAGTGCCACTGCGGATCTATCTACTGACCCCAAATCCTCCCCTCCGCATTCCCACACACCGGCACAGGCCTTACGCTATCGGAGGCGCTGTGCCCCCGTCCTACTGGCGAACTCCCCAAGGGTCAGCGACGTCGTCTTCAGCGGAGGCAAGCGCATGCGCATCAACCCCCGCGAGCGCACTCTGATCAACCTCGTCCCTCTCCCGCCGCGCTACGACGTCCACAACTTCCCCAAGCAAAAACCCCTCGCCACCATCGCCGAAGGGGCCGCACCGAAGTTCCCATCTGCGCCCATCCTCGTAGAACCCCCATCGGTGCCCGCCCGCCGCGTCACAGACGACTCGATGACCTTCGGATACGACTTGTCGGCTACGTCGTCGTCCGAGCAGAATGCCTCTGGCAGCGATGCCGACGACATCCGATCAGCGCTCATGTCGTCTGAGCCGCCGTCGCCTACGCTTGCCGGCAGGGCGAAAGCGGCGTCGAGGAAAGGGAGGACGAGTGAGGAGCGTGCGAGGGAGGACGGGCTCAGCGCCGTCGCGTTGGGAGTGGGATTGTTGATCTGAACTTCACCACCGTGCTTGGAAACACATGCACACACACACACACACACACACAACAGAAAGGGGCGTTTGGACCTGTTTAAGTGATGCATACCCATGCCCATGGCTATGAGCGTGGGCGGGGTCCCACAGCATACATGCACATTCTGGCGTTTCTGGCGGGTTATTCCTGCGTTTTCCTATGTGTTTTGGGTCTTGCTGCTCTCGCTTGCAGATGAGCATTCGCTTGTTTCATATGATACCCATATTTCCTTTCGTTTATAGTAGCTGGGAGAGAGAGAGGGGATATTGAGCTGGGAATGGATATGCTTGGGATAGAAAGCGTAGCTATCTACTGGAAATGAAGTATATGCAAAGTGTGTCGATCAAGGATTCGATCGGCATGTCAGACTTCGTCATAGGGCGGGATTTGAAGAGTTGTGCAATGAGTACTGTGTAGATGGGGCGATTATGTAAGCTGGCGTGAGGGGTGAATGGCGGTATCACGTGAGAGGGGCGCTTCCAAAACTGATTTTCTGGAACGTTCCTAGGTACTGTGGCTTGCATTGCTCGTGATTCTCCAAGAGCATATTCAGTCGTCTTCGCATGTCAAGACTCATGGAACAGTCTACGATACACCCGCAGCTCTAATGCTCTCGAGATGCTTATCGAAATGAACTTGTGATAATAAACCTTGGAAGTCTGCCACCTACCTGCGCCATGCCACCTGCAGGACGAGTCAAGACTTGGCCAAAGCTGGAGACGTGGAGCTGGAGCAGATAAAATCGTACCACAGTCCAGACGAAACGAATCAGACAGCGGGACGGAGGTAAAGTAGCCTATCGGATGTCTTCCTTTCGCTGACTCGATGGAGTTCCAGAGGATACTCCCTCCACGGCCTACTGGGCTGGTATAAACCTCAGCTCCCACTCGCTCTGTCATTATTGCAATTGAGCAAATTTACTCGCAGGCGGAGTGTAGGGCGTCAGAACAACATAAAAGCCACGTCAATTGTCTTTGGGTCTACTGTTCCTGCTGAATTCGGAGGCGGACGCCGTGGGCATACAAAGGAGCTCTCACAGTACGAGTAGGAGCAGAAAACGCCAAAGTCTTGAGCGTCAAAACTTTGTCGCAGCTCCTGCATTATTCGTTCTTGACGGAGACTTATCAGGCCAATTGGGTGTTGTTTCATGTTTTTCCTAAACGGCCCCCACCTATAAACCGCGTCAAGACTTCGGGAGATATGGACCGCGATTCGCTGATTAGGATCCATACAAGGATCGCAACCTCAAACGGTTGCGATCGTCCGCACGCACCTCTTGGATAACCTTAAAGCAATTATGCCGCCGCCACCTGACAAATCAGACGGCGGAGTAGAACCTTCAGCGGTAAACTAGAACTGAAAAGGAGTCTCGAGCGACAAGGATCGGATTGCCTTAATATAGGGCTGAGCATCCCCGTTCGCGGAGTTTGATGCTCCTTCGGTCCCAAGCCCCACAGGACTCCCTCCAGGCATGGCTGAATCCGTCCTGAAGGCAGATTTTACTGTGTTCGACGTCTACACCGGGTTCTGGATCAACTGGAGCCATGGCCAGGTCAAAGGAGCAACACTGACAGTGGACAAAGCGACGGGAGGGTTTCTCATAGCGTTTCTTGCTCTGTATGTGAGTGCTACGGGTCAGAGTCTGTGGAGGTTGGCATGTTTCTTCATACATCGCAAGCTATCTTCTCTGGAACGAGAAGATGCTCTCTACCACCAGCGGCAGGCGATTCTGCGGAACTCCGAGTCACCACACAACGGTGCCTTGACTATCCTCTGTACAGCGTATTGTTGGAGGAATATCGCCCGGAGGCCGTGGCTGCGCCTGGTTCCATTATTTGTACTTGCCCTGGTCCTATCTGTAGCAATCACACTTGCAGGTAAGGGAAATTCGAAGAGAATTGGTGTCGAGGAAATACTTACAAATCCACTCTGTAGGTGTGTTCTCTTCGCAAGTCTCGACGCAGAACGAGTCAAGTGAGGTCCTCCTCAAGGGCTCTAGATGCGGAGTGGTCACTAGCAATGCAACGGGCGACACGCTGGCCTACGAGCTATACCTCCAGGACCATATTGCCGCCTACCAGAATTATGCGCTCCAGTGCTACTCGAACGACCACGCCTCCATGTCGGAGAATTGCCGCTACTTCGTCAAGCCCAAGCTTCCATACACTGTAGATCGCAACGCATCGTGTCCCTTCGCGGAACAACTATGCAAGCTCAAAGACGGCAACATTGTAATGGACACTGGATTTTTGGATAGCCATTACGACATGGGCCTGAACGCTCCCCCAAAGCATCGCTTTAAGATAAGGAATAGGGTCGCTTGTGCGCCGCTTGTCACGGAAGGTCGTAGCGAATATTTCCTCGATGAGGAGAATCCAGCTCTGTCGACTATGAGGTACTTCTACGGGAATGCGAGTATCGAGGGGCTCTATACCAGAGGGAACTCATCCTTTACGTTCCAGGTGCCTGCCAATTTCTCGACGGATCGTATGAAGGACTACACCCTCTTCCAGGGATCCACTCCGGACTACTACGTCGGCACTCAGTTTTGGAATCCTCAGAGTACAGGTGGCTTCTTCGACCCGCTTCCCGAGCTCTTTCAAGATAAGGACGGAAGCCTTCCGGACCGGAATCTGGATCTATTCTTCTTGAGCGCTCCGGGAGTGGTTTACCAATACGAGGTCGACGATCCATGGTTTTCCGCACATGTTCCTTCAAACTTTTCATCCATGTTCGATACCGACTACAACGGTACCCCGCTGTTCACAAGGGACGAACCTGCAGGTGTGATAGCTTGCACGTCGCAAGTTCAATACTGCAACCCCAATCTGTCAGGCGATGGTGGCTGTGAGAATTTGACTTCGTATGAAACGAGTTATTACAACGGCTCGCAAACCTTGTTTCCGGATACTGACCGCCTATCTATGGGCTGGGCAAAGAATATCTCGATAGGGTCAATTGGGATAAACCTCGGGCTTCCGTATCAGACCGCCGGCAGCGCGGTGCTGCAAGCACGAGCAGGTTTGCGGGTTGGCATGCAAAACGATGCACTGCCCGCGAACCAGTGGCAACTTGAGATGGAACACCTTTACAGAACGTCCATTGCATCGTACCAATTCGTCTTCGCAGAAACGGCGAATGGACCGTTGACGGATGCCATCTCAGAGTTTGTCATACCGCCAGTCGACAAGCCTTCGCTATCCATGTGCAGAAACCAGGTAAGATTTGCCATTTCCCTCTCCACCTCATGACGGTTGGCAACTGACGCCTACCCAGAAAATCATCAGCTCCCGCTACTACTCCTTCAACGTCCTCGGCATGGTCGCCATCCTCGCCATCGGCACCGCAATCATCTTGCTAGACTACACAATCGAACACATTGTCAACTTCATCGACAAGCGCTGGCGCAAGTTCAACCACGAGAGCACCTACGCCCGCCTCGAATGGGCAGCCAATTCGACACTCCAGCTCCAGCGACTCGCGCACGAGGAGCTCGGTCTAGGGACGTGGCGACATTGCGCCGATGCGATCCCTGTGACGGAACCGGGAGAGAAGCTCGGGTTGCTGGATGTCACGGACGAAGAGCATCCGATATTGATACGGCCGGGGAGGTGGAGACCGGGAGCTGCGATGCGGTCGGCGACGGGCGATTCACGGAGAGGACTGATCAGGGAGGATTCGGAGTTTACGCTCACGGAGGTGTCGAGGAGCTCGACTATGGATAAGAAGTGGTCACCGGTGGTGAAGACGCATCCCGCGTCGCCGCTGAGGGATTGGTAGGCGGACTGTGTTGCGGGTGCAGTCAGTTTTATAGGGTGTACACCGTGACGATATTTGCATGATATCTATATTATTCTCTGTTCAACAGGTGTTATGTACCATGTGATCTTGGTGTAACAGCAATTGATGTCGTCGAGAGTTTCCAAGATAACATATTGTCTTCCAAAGGTTGAAGATTTGGGTGGTATCACGTGATAGTACCGAGGACCAGCTCTCTCAATGTGCAAGATCAGCTTGACATAACAAACGTTAGATTAATGCTTTCAATCCCATGAAACATGGTACCTACTGGAGCCTCTTCTCAGGAGTGGGCCATCTCCGTCTCACGTGCACTGTAACGAGACCGCGCACGGTTGCACGGGAAGAGACGTCTTCCTCCACCCACATCCCATTGTGCACATTCTCGAGCATTCCGCCATGTCGGAGTCTTCCGAAGCTCGATTGAGCACAGAGCTAGAGCTCCTGCAAGCAATGTACCCTGATCAGATCGATTACAACCCAAAAAGTCGAGAACTGAAGTTCATTGATAATTCAGCCCTACTCCACCTCCGCATCCCTGAACACTATCCAGAAACCGCACTGCCAGATGTACTCTCTGCAAGCGACCGCTCGAAGAACGACTTGCGCGATCGCATGCAAGCCGCGATCCGGCATTTGGGTATAGCAAAAGGCGACGAAGCTCTCGACGCCATTCTGGGATGCTTCCAGGCCATGACTGCTTCCACTAACAACAGCAATGACTTACAGGGTGATACAGACGGTCCTCTCGCCCATGCTGCATGTACTCGGGAACCCAGCAAGACCGTCATCATCTGGCTGCACCATTTGCTTGCGCTGGGCAAACGGAAACTCGCCGTCTCGCCGTCGTCGCCCTTGTCCGGCATCACGAAACCGGGCTACCCGGGCATCTTAGTCTTTACGGGAGCTGCGTCAGCAGTAGATGAGCATGTGGATGTTTTGAAAGCACAGAATTGGCAGGCTTTCCAGGTGCGGTTTGAGGAGCCCGTACGCTGGGATTTTGGACATGGAGGAGTGGTAGAGGTTGAGACGATGGCGGAGGTGGTGAAGCTCATTGATGTTGGTCCAAAGGGTTCTCGGAGGAAGGAAGAATTCCTGAGAGCTGCGGGGATAAAATGACTGGAAACGGGGTCATCGTGTGCTCACTGTTTCGACCACAGACGTTTGCATGCGGCCAAGCATAATGTTCGAGGTTCGGACGGAGCCCTACTCGCTTGATATGGATTCTAAGGGCACCGAAGTACCATTGTAGTTGGGTTTTGGAATGGGAGCATTGCTTAGATGTCTACTTTCGAGTTTTTCGCGCTACGCCTGTTGCTCACAATGGTTCTGCACTGAGAGTGGTCCATGGAATCTATATTGGGAACATATCGAGTCCTCCGGAGATATCGTAATATCAAAACCGCTCCGTACCTGTAGGTCGTGTTTGGAAAGAAGGTAAGTATGCAATAAGCGTGATTCCCTTATCGAATGCTTGCCCATTTTTCCCGTACGAAACCACCGTCGACATCATCCTTTTAAAATGGGCGGGGGTTGTTTGTGGGCGGCATTGTTCTTACTGTACGCGGTGTCGCGAGGTGAAACTAATTGAATGCCCTATTCGGGTGTAGCGCGTACTTAACGCGATTCACGCGGCGTCAGACCTCAGACCGATGATGAACTACCAACCACCTCACCTCGCTGCACACCTCACCCAATTGTGTTACTTGAACAATCATCTCGCTCACGATCAGCTTCTTGTTACTGAGTGGACCATTAAGGGATGTAATCTTTGCCAGAGGAGCTCCCGATTTCATTATAGCCCTATCAGCACTCTGCACGCAAGACAGCTGGACTCGTCGTCGCCCACAAACCTCCAAGGAGCTTTTATAACTGTCGATAAAGCACTCACAGCCATCATATATCCGTTTACTGAGAGATCAAGGTAGCAGGTAGCTCCGGAGCAGGATGAAGGCAGCTCCTCTACTTGTTTCCTGGCACAACGACAACAGCCCGGTTTATTCAGCTCACTTCGAGCACCACGGCAAAGGACGTCTAGCTACGGCAGGAGGTGACAACAATGTCCGGGTATGTGAATCACTATCCAGACTCTGGTTTCAGTACCAGCTAACAATTGTATCAGCTATGGAGGATCGAGGCTGTCGGTGAGGAACGGAAGGTCGTCTATCTCTCGACGCTGGTGAAGCATACTCAGGCTGTCAATGTTGTTCGTTGGTGTCCGAGAGGTATACCATCCATCCCTGAATCCCGATTCGATACTAACGCCCATGGTTGTAGGGGAAACTCTGGCAAGTGCCGGCGATGACGGCAATATCCTCCTGTGGGTTCCGGCGGAGAACCAGACGCACCACAATAACTTCGAAGAGGGATTGGAAGATAAAGAGACTTGGAGAGTCAAGCACATGTGCCGCTCCATGGGTTCTGAGATATACGACCTTGCATGGTCTCCAGATGGTGTCTTTTTCATAACGGGGAGCATGGACAACATTGCACGCATCTACAATGCACAAACAGGTACGGAAATCCTCATCGAGCCTAAGTCGTCGGCTAATGTTGATCCAGGTGCCTGCGTACGGCAGATTGCTGAACATAATCACTATGTACAAGGTGTAGCTTGGGATCCCTTGAACGAGTACGTGGCCACGCAGTCCTCGGATCGATCGGTACACATCTACACTCTGAAGACGAAAGATGGTCAGTTCTCCTTGGCCCAGCATGGAAAGGCAACCAAGATGGACCTTCCCGCTCGACGGGTATCATCCCATAGCCCTGCACCGCCGGAATTTGGAGCGCGGACCTCCTTGGTCTCGCAGGACTCAAGCCTGGCTGTGGGCTCTCCAGCACCGTCTGCGCCAGGCACTCCGCAATCACTGGCCCTTCCAATGAACCCCCCACCGACGTCGCACAGCCGTCGATCCTCGTTCGGATCTTCTCGTCGGTCAGCGTCGCCGGCTCCTTCCATGCCTCTCCCTGCTGTAATGCCCAATTCTCCCAGCATCAGCAGTCTTGGCACAATCGGTGTGAGGAACGCCCCTCTTTATGCGAACGAAACATTTCCGACCTTTTTCAGGCGCCTCACATTTGCACCCGATGGAAGCCTTTTGTTCACACCTGCAGGCCAGTTTAAAGCGGTGCACGCATCAGCCACCGATCCTCAGAAGCCCTCGGAAGAAATCATCAACACTGTTTACATCTACACCCGAGCTGGGCTTAACAAACCCCCCGTGGCATATCTACCGGGCCACAAGAAGCCATCTGTCGCTGTTTCTTGCTCACCCGTATATTACACCTTACGAGCAACTACCGTCCCGACAAAGCATATTACGGTCGACACGTCATCAACAGAGGGGGATATACCATCGTTACCCGAGCCCGCTATCCCCTCCAGAGCACCTACATCCCATGCCTCCATGGACCCGCCCCGGTTGACAAGTGCTCCTTCCCCTTCACCCAGTCTAACATCTGCATCTCCGAAAACATCTGAGAACGACGCATCTACGTCTGGGGCACCGCCTCCCGGCCCTCCGTCTACATTCAGCCTTCCGTATCGTATGGTGTACGCGGTAGCGACCCAGGACGCAGTTCACATCTACGATACGCAACAACAGAAGCCTCTGTGTATCGTGAGCAACCTCCACTATGCCACCTTTACGGACATCACTTGGTAAGACAACCGCTTATCACCAGCTTGCTTATTTTCTAATAATCTTCAGGTCGAGTGATGGATTGACGCTTATAATCAGCTCGAACGATGGCTTCTGCTCGGCCCTGACGTTTGCACCCGGGGAGTTGGGAGAGAAGTACACCGGGCCGCTGGCTACGCAGGGCCGACATCACCACACTCCATCCAGTATCAACACGGGTGCATCCCAATCCTCTAATCATTCTACCCCAACGCCAACACCGACAACCTCTAGCTTGCCTGTCTCTACAACACCAGCTGTTCCAGCTTTGTTGAAACAACCGTCCGCGGGCTTCCCGGCCTCACCATCTTCCTTCGTTCCAGCACGACCTGGCAGCCCAACAAGGAGCAACTCCGTCTCGAGCATCGCTACAGCGTCATCATTTGCTCCCAATGCGGCCGATCAAGCTCCTATGAATGCGCCTACTCCGGTCATGTCCCAGGTTCCAGGACTGGCCGCAGCGAACTCTGGGCCGGTGGGATCTATACCGGTGTGGACTCCACCACATACGCCGGCTCATGGACACGGAGGCACGCACAGTGCTAGCAGCTCCCTTAGTGGCATCCCTGGCGTGGCCACGGCTAGGCGGGAGAGTGAATCCGAAAGAGAGGAGAGCACATCGGGTACGAGGAAACGGGAGTTACAAGCTGTTCCCGAAGTCGAAGAGCAGAGAGAGGGAAAGCGAAGGAGGATTGCACCCACTCCTGTCACAGTGGGAAACCCTCAAGATGATGCTGACATAACATCGACTGAGGAGAACACCCCGACCACGCAGGCACCGGCCCAGCAATGAGCACGTGACGCCCGAAAAGGACGATGGTCGACGGGTATTGGTACACTGTGGAGTGAATCATGTAACGATGGGATTTTTTGCCATCCAGACTTTGGCGCACGCGTAGCGGAGTCCGGCGCATTTCCATGCATTAGCGAGGCATCTCTGGCGTTTAGAGGGAAGGAATGAACGGGCAGTGGCAGGCGTACTATGGGATTACCTGGCTTTACCCTATGATTTGGTAGGCGATTGGGCCGGTTTCTGGATAGGGTTATGCTTTCACCAGAAGATTGTAACCCACCGCTAGGTTTACGTATCACAGTTTTCAATGCAAAACTTACTTCAAGTTCCCGAAAACGCTGTGAGTATTGCGGTCACGGTCATCGTCACGCCCAGATCAAAGCAATGGTTCCTATGTTCATCATAGTCGCTGGGGCCCGGCTATCAAGTATTCGTTCACTTTCCCTCATTTGCCTTTTACAGCGGGGCTTCTAATCAGTAGGAGGTTGGAGCTGCTGAGCACTTAGTGGTGAGTACCCTGGGGTTGGCGACAGGGCCACTGAGGTTGACCAAGCAGTACCCGTCCCGCGCATCAAGAGGGACTTATTGATGCCTTCTAATCATAACCATGGTGCAGTCATATTAATTAATGGTATTTCAGGATCTATCTGAGAGATTTTCGAGTCCAGAGACTAATTTACGCACTTCGTGGTCACCTCGTTGCCACCCGGTTGGAGACGACACTGGATTAGATTGAGAACTCACGTCGAATCTGAAAGACACCCAACAGTGATGTGATGAAGTGATAATAATCTGAGACAGCCACGGTCGTCAATTGTCCGCGCAAGCCATTCAGCTTGCCCTTTCCTCTGTGTCAAACAAAAATTGCGGCAGCACAGCAGTGGCCAACTGTGTACGGCACCACCCCAGCGGTGCACACAGTACGGTATAAATGAGCTCTATAAGCCTGATCCTTAGGTCCATGCGTTTTGCAGAAGCTGGATGCGACCTCGGAGCTGATCTATGAAGCGGTCTGCAACCGACGGGCGCCCCACTCCAACACTCGGTCGCACAAGAAGCGCAATATACTCCAGAAGCGTCATCTTCGCCGATGCGGGCTATTGAAGTACTCTGCAGACCCCCGACACACTTGTCTCTCGACAGCGTGGCACAAGTCGCGGGGCACTTGTTAGGCTGCGCGCTGGAAAACATGTACGTGGATTCATTTCCCGCTGATAGGTTCAGGATGTCTGGCTTTGCGAGTCCGTTAGAGAGTAGAGAGAAAAATGGAATCAGGCATGCGAATCCATTGTCCATATATACATGCATAGCATTTTCATAGACACGGTGATAATGCTACTGCGCCTTCCACACAACATAGACAGACCCCGTTAAGCAGACTTGCGCACATACGCCACCGGCCCCGCATACACATGCCTCCCATGAAGATAGTAGTAAACCCAGGAAAACACAATCGTCGAGCCAAACATCAAAATGCTCCAATTCATCCCCGCAGGGCTGGGCTTGGGTCCCATGGGGAAGAAGGAGAAGACGAAGATGAAGACGAGGAAGACAATGGACGCGATGTTGATGGGCAGGCCGGCGAGGCCGAGCTTAAAGCTTGAGGGCAGGAGAGGCTCGTTCCGGATGCGCTTGAGCGCGATGCAGGAGATGGACACGATGTACGAGGCGATGATGGCGGCGGTGGAGAGCGAGGCGATGTTTATGAGGGCGATGGAGGAGCCGAGGTTGATGAGGGAGAGGAGGCAGGAGACGGTGAAGGCGAGGCAGATGGCATTGATGGGGACGTCGAATTTGGGGTTGACCTGGACTCTTTGGTTAGCTGGGGAACTGATGATTGAGAAATATGGGGGAGGGGATCAGTGACTCACATATGCGAAGGTGCTGCTGAAGGGGATGCCTTGATCTCGTGCGAAGGCGAAGAGTTGGCGAGAGGAAGTCGCGGTGATACTCAAGTTGCAGAAAATAGCCATGGTGATGACTAGGGCTCCCATGGCTGAGGCGCCGGACACTGACTCGGTCACGTTGTAGAAGACGTAGAGATATGCCTGCTTGGTCGGGGTCTCGAGTGCCTCGTCAAGGCTTCCGAGGACGGAGCAGAAGGTAATGAGCATGACCCATCCGGTTGACCCGTTGATGAGAGTGGTCCAGATCATGCTACGGGGCAGTGTTTTCGAGGCGTTGCGAAGCTCCTCGCTCATGTGGACGGCGGCATCGGCTCCGAGCAGAGGGAGAACAACAGCAACAAGGCCCGAGAGCGTCGCCAAACCATAGTTGTTCCATCCGCCATAGTCGTTGAAAGTCGTAAACGTCGCAGCCGCATCACCCTTGGGGCCCAAGACCCAGAGCACGACGAGGATGGCGAAGAATCCGAAGATATGGACCACCAGAACGATCCCCTCGACCAGTGGCAGCTTCTTTGCCAGAAAAGTGTTGAAGATAACATTGAATGCCGATACTGCAAACACAAGCAGCGTGCCATGCCATGCCTCGAAGGTGTAGTCGGGCTTGTTGAGCGCAATCAATCCCTGGATTTGTGTTCCTGCGAGGAAAGCCGTGTTGGCGGCGCCAGTCTGCCATCCAAGGACGCAAAGCCATCCGATCATGTAACTCAGGAACTTCTGGTACTTTGCGGGAGCAAATTCGCTGACCCAGTGGTACTGTCCACCGCTGGTCGGAGCCCTATACAGCATCAGCCAATGAAACAGGTTTGTTGAAGGTGATGCCGTTGGTCACTCACATGGAACCCATCTCAGCCATCGACGTGTTGACGCAGATGAATCCAATCCAACATATCAGGTACATCCAGATCAAGCCTGCGGTTCCTCCATCGACGAGGCCAATGGTTGCTGTGCTGTGAATGCCTGTCAGTGGCTGCTTTTGGCCGTTGCATGACGAGAGTGTTGACTTTGGAATATTTGGAGAAGCAGAACTGTCCAGCGACAGAATTTCCACCTTGAAGAACTCTTGATGAAAACATATCCGTGTATCCAGTATCTTACCCTAGCATTGTTTCCCAGCTCGCCATTAGTATCATGGAGAACCCGAATATGCTCACAAAGCGGAAATTCCTCTGGCCAGAGTTGGATCAGTATCATCAATCTTTGCTTCTCTTGCTGTGCCACATACCCTCATCTCCTGTACTTTGCCCATCCTCCACATGGCATGCCTATCGGCAGCCGTGCCCTTCTTCTCCACCTCTTCAGGAGCATCATCGACGGCAGCATCGGGCTCTCCACCATATGTCTCTCCATCAATGACAGGTAACTTCGCGATCTCGGCCATGATGAGATGTGAAGATGGGTTTTCCTGTGGGGCGGGAGCGTCCTAAGAAATGCATGTGTCCCAAGGCCAAGACAAATGCGATGCACGCCAAATGCAGTCATGTTTAACGGAGCTCTTCCTGGACCCTCGCACCATTTTGCTTTTTTCTGTACGGAGCACAGGGTTCCTATCTGCACATGGGATGGGACATGACATGGGGAAGCGGAATTTGCGCCTGGATTGGGGCGGCACGGCGGTTCGGGCGAAAGTGAATGCTAACTGCAAGGGTGGGTTTCGCGAACCTCAGCTCTGGTCAATCAGGGCGGAAGAAAGGGACGAGGCGAGCGCGGTACAACCACACTGTTGGGTATAGATGCTCTGGCATGGGAGCGATTACTCCGAACCCATCAACCATGCCTCCGCTTGTTGCCACAATTCAGAGTTTGTGTACCCCGAGCGATTCCATCCTGCGCCAGGAACTACTATAGCAGTAGTCTAGGTGGGAGCAGCACTTCAGGTCGTGTAGCCGCACCACCAACAAACTGCAGCAATTCTTCGAGAGCCGGCGTTTGAAGCTTCCACGTTTTGTTGAGGGAGCCCAATAGACAACCATCCACCCAACTGAACGGTACAAATGAAATGTTTCCAAAATGCTTCGTATACATGTCTTGGGCGTTCTGGGCGCCAGCCTCCCTTTGTTCTCTTCAAAGGTGGCACACCGTACACGGCACACCTTGCTTCCACGGCCCAAGTCCCTCCTCTTAGTTTATGCATCAGGCATCTTCAAGTCTGGAGGGACGCAAGGAAAACCTGGAGAGGACTTCCGGAGAATGCGCCCACAAGGACTGGGCGCGGGATGAGCGGTCAATTGTCTGTCGTCTGATCAATCCAGCCGGGTCCCTCGTGTCCCATCATAGACCTCGTACCACGGCACTTGGCACTCTGTGCTTGCATGCGAGGTAAGGTGCAACTCGGTGCTAGGTTACGCCTGGAAGAAACCCAGAAACCAACCTCAGCGTCATTTTCTTTTCCTCTTCATGTGGTCCCGCAATAACAGCTATTGGCCCTCAGCTTCACGTTTCACACAACGTCCATGCTAGCCGCCTTTAGGTACCATGCGCAGAGTTGAGCTTCCGATAACCATAGCCACGGGTCCGGCCGGCACTCATAATGGCTGAGGAGTTCGTCCTTCTGTGGCCGAGGTGGAGATCGAACTTCTCCTAGTTCAGTATGAGCTCGTTGCCGATTACAGAGGAGAACCGCTTTGCTCCCATCACTGACGATGACCACTCCGGGTATCTGTGGATAACCTCCATTCTCTGTTTGATATACGCTTCCCTTATCATCATTGTGAGACTACACATAAAATGGAACATGTACGGTGTGGACGACTGGACGGCACTGATAGCAACGGTATGGGTTCTCTCACTGCGGGCTTCTATGCCTCCCCTCTGACTGGATGTAGGTGTTTCAATTCGGCCAGGTCGTGCCGCTTTTTGTTGCCATGAACAACGGCCTCGGGCATTCTGAACAGCTCCTTGAACCCGCTTCCATAGAAAGAGCCGGGAAGGTATGTCCTTGATCATTGTCTTTCACATCTTCCCTTCGCGTGGACGGTTAGCACTGACAGTTTGGACAGGCAGCCTTCGTGTCTCACATCTTCCTCATCCTCTCCCTTTCCTTCGCCAAAGGCTCCGTAGCAGCTCTCATGCTCCGCCTCTTCACCCGCGACATAACAGCAACTCGGAAATCCTGGATCTTGTGCCACGCCACAATCGTCTTGATTGGCATCTGGTGCATTGGATCCATCATCGCTATATCGATCTCCTGCGATCCTGATGGCTTCCTTCGCGGCTTTGAACGGGAGTGCGGTTATCAAGTGAATCGCTGGCGAGCCATCACTGCAACCAACATCCTCATCGAGCTCCTGCTAATGCTTTTACCGATATTCTTCATTTGGCCGATCCAAATGAAGACGTACATCAAGCTTCAAGTCGTCATTGCTTTCGGGTTCCGGTTCCCAATCGTGGGTCTGGCTGCTGCCCACCTGCACTATGTCTCGAGTTATGAACATAGCACCGATGTCTCGATAGCCATCATTCCGGCTTTACTCTACTCGCAGTTTGAACTCTTCTGGTCTCTCCTAGCGGCAACTATCCCAACATTGAAGGCATTCATGCGCTCGTTCAACTCCGGATTCGGTATGGAAATCGATCTGGACGGGTATGGTTCGGGGTACGGCTCCGGCTATGGTTCGAGGGGCCGCAACACCGGAAGCTATCCGCTGCACTCTCTCAAAGACTCGTCGAAAACGAACGGCCCAGCCACATCGCGCACCGTAACAACGAAATCATCGAAGTCTAGGAAGAACGGCATCGATGACGATCTCTCGGGTATATCGAGCAGACCTACAAAGAACAGGTTGCGGGCAACTGCAAGTGTTACGAGCGATGGAAGTCAGGAGTTGATAATTCAGCGGGGAATGCAGTGCTCCGTTCACAGCGACGACTTCCATCCAAAGAACTCGTCGTCGACCTCATGAGCGTTGCTGCTGTGCAGCCGTTCCATCATGTCGATCTTGGCCCAGCGCCATTATTCTACGACTCTCGCTCTTTATTACTGGGGCCATTCTGTCTCCAGATAACACAAGTGTATATATTTCGTAGACAGCACGTCGGAGCTTTGACACACGCAGACCTGCGCTTCGCTTCATTATTCAAAACCAACATCATTCTAGAACATCAAGCTTTCAAGGGCAATTGCGCAAGGATTGCACTCACTGATATCGCACGGTCCACCTTGAACATTGAATCCCCATCTGCGGTGTGGTCCTTCTTTACAGTCACCGCTGAAAATCGTCATGGGAAGTTGGCGATGGCTTGTGGCCAAAGGTTCCATGACCCAATCACAGTAAGCAGCATGGGATGTCCAAGTCATAGAAAGCAGTTGTAAGTCAAGTCGCCAAGTAAGCACTGCGACTTTGTGTGTCCCAACCCTGAGTTGACGTTCAGTGCCTTGTATGGTGGACGCCAGCGGAGTAAAAAGCCATCGAGAAGAATCTTGGTTTTAACGAATCGTGATGGTCATCCATTACCATACTTCTTGACCAAGCTCTTCATTATACTGACCGCTCCGGACCTGTATCCGCCGCCAAACAAGGCGTAATGGTTGAGGTGATGGTACCTATAGGTGATGAGAATGCATTCAACCCTTAAAAGAAGGTGACCCAGTCACTTACAACTCGTACAACTTCACCCTGTCCTCGTACTCCTCCACTGGCTCCGTCTTGGGACACAGTTCATGATATTCTTTCAGAAAGCTGCCACCAAAACCGCCAAACATCTTCATTATACCCAGCTCATACTCGTTGTGCGCGTAGCAAGCACTTGGGTCAAAGACAACATCTTCCGGCTCTCCGCTCTTCGACCCAATGGTTCCTACACTAGCATTCCCGCTCCAGAGATCGCCATGGACTACCACAGGAGTAACGCCTTTGCCGTTGTTGAGGTGCGAGTCCCCAATCAGCCTCGGGACTACCTTTGATGCAGTCGCTTCAACGAGAGTGTGCAGCTCCTTGTCTGAACCATTCGACTTCTCCGCTCTCCGCAAAATGAACCGTAGCCGATTTTCCGCGTAGAAGTCCGCCCATGACTCTTTATAGCTGTTGTCTTGCGGTGTATCGCCGCAGCATGTCGTTACTGGGAACCCGAACATCGGCTTGTCGTAGCCTTCTGGTATACGTGCGGGCGTCGTATGAAGTTTCGCGAGTTTGGCGGCGAGGGACGGTCCAGATTTGGAAGCCGAGCGTCCTCCCAGATTGAGGAATTCAGCCACGAGGAAAGAGGTGGAGGGCTGGTCTTCAAACCTGCCGTGGCCGAACGACGCTGGGCATAGGGAGGGGACGGCGGAATGCAGCGCGTTGAGTGATTCGTGTTCTCCTAGACTGATGTTTAACACCCATTCCAAACCAGTGGAGCGAAAGGGAACACCGACCCCTAAACATGACCTCTGCGTCCTCCCCTCGCCCAGTTTTCATGAAGAATAACTTCTCGCTCCCGTCGTGAAGCCGAGAAGTAATCTTTGAGGTCGATGCGGAGCTGCACCCCCCTCCTCCAGCTGGAGACACTGTTGTTGTGTCAGGGTCGAGATTGAGAAGCTGAGCGACTGCAGGATCCAACTTCATGGCGGTTTGAGCGGGCTGTCTACGCAAAGCACTGAGCTTAGATGACACATTGATATCGCGTTGTTACAACTGAGGTTGGGTGTGGGAACAAATGACGTGGGCGGTACGGAGATCGGTACGGAGATCGGTGATACTAGCTAGAAATAGACAAAGGGTCATGATAATATGTACGCAGGTCATACTCTTATCTTCGCATTGCCTTGTACAAGTACTCCACCACTAATAAGGCATCACACATATAATCGGGCCACAAGCAATCACTCTACTTAGCCTTCGTGGCATCTCGTAGGGTCTATTCAGCTGCAGCTATTATTCGCCTGGAGTTTCCGTTCAGCCTCTGAGCATTTTGGAATATGGTACCTACCAGGCTTCCATGGGTGAAGGGCACCCTTGACTCTTGTGGGACAGACCGGCCTGACTTACAGGCTCACAGTCCCCCTTATCCCATCCCTTGGTGCAATGTCATATTTGTGGGGTGCCCTCGACGCAAACAACGAAAAGGCTCTCAACTTCATCAAGCGGCCAGCTTCAGACTCGGAACGAGACATGAGAATTTTCCAGAGGGAGATTCAGCTGCACAAAATCTTTTGACGATTGTCAATTTATCCGCTGTCAGGGTGATTCAATACCGCCGAGTGAAACTTCAGGTCCTCCTAAAATGGTTTTGGAGCCCTTTTAAAGGACCGTCTGGGGAGCGAGAAATATACGGAAGTTTACGAGAGGAGCGATCAAAATGGTTATGAGAAGCTGTCTCGAGGCGCTTCAGAGTATCCATAAACGAGGGTTTGTATATACCGGTAAGCGAATCATGATTCCATTGCCTTCTTTTCTAATGGTTATTCGTAGATCTGAAGATGGAAAACATATTGATCAACTTCTTTCCAAACCATCCAAGTGACGGATCAGGGATCGTTGTCAAACTTGGTGACCTCGGTCAAGGTACCTTTACATTGACACTACCAATCTAAGTTTTGGCTCCTGTTAGTCATTCCACCATCAACGGGGATCTGTCAGGCCATCACATATCGCAGTCCAAAAGTCTACTTCGGGAAGCCATTTGATTCTTCGGTGGATATATGGTCTTGGGGAATGGTGGTACTTCTGCACCTGGATTTATTTATATTCTGACTATACTCATGTGCGGACAGTTTTGTCACTTATTAGAAGCTCGAGTTAAGTTCGACGAACGACTCTACAATGAGCCCTTCTACGCTGGTTGTACATTTCCGGAGCGAGACCCCGCAGGGAACGTGCCTAACTACTGGATAACGCGCTTGCATATGAAAGGACTGACGGAGGAAGATTTAACTTTCCTGTTCAATGTCTTGCGGCCTGATCCTCGGACGAGACCCACTGCTGAGATGATTCTTTGTCATAGATATCTTGCGCAGAATGAGGACGAAGATGGTGATTAGGGCTGAAGGGAAACCTCCACGTTTTGAAGACACTTCATTAGCACATAGACTTCGTTGTAATCATCCCACCAAGCTCTACCGACGATGTAAACATCACCACAGAGTATCTGACCTACGATAATTTTGTCCGCCGTGGACCGTACTTTTTGGGTTCGCACCTAGATAGAACTCAATTAAGTGATCACAACAGCGTACAAGAAGGTGAAGCTGAGGAGTAGGAGGCGACGCGTCACGCACAGATATCTTCGATCCTGTGCATGGCCCACAGCAATTCCAGGGCCGGAAGGGTCCGTCTGTCCTTTGCCTTGCTGCTACATAACCTGCGCTAAGCTCAATGCTTTTAAGTGGCATATCCTATCAAGCTCTCTGCTTTAATAACCGGCTTAGCATTTGAGAGCAATACTACGCCAGGAGTTGACTCGTAGTAAAGCCACTGTATTTCTAGTCAATTTTTGTGAAGGATACTCTTCACCTTAGCTATTTCTGGTTGGCTATGGTTTATATCCGTGTTAAAGTCGCTCCCTTCCGTTGCGCAGAGAACATACACGTAGTCCTCGACACGAACCTTGCGGCTATTATCTAGAAGAACTAAGGTGAGCAAACGATGAGAGTGAGCTCGGAACGATACTACATACTGTTGGTAGTTCAAGAGATTGGCTCTTGGCAGTTCTGTCATTCTCCACGACCCCTATGTGCGAACCCGGCTCCATCGTATTGAAATCCAGGCTCAGTAAATCGCCAGGGCGTGGAGTTAAACTGACGGGAAGGTGATGGTGAAAAGTCCCTCGGAATACTGGAAGCTTGGAAGGTCTGCATCTGCGGCGAATACTGCGACGGCGGGGAGCCTGGGAAGTAACCTGAGAAATGCGAGAACTGTAGAGTGTCTCCTGTGAGAATGGTTGGTATAAGCCTCCAGGCATTTGACTCCATTGTTTCTGTTGATACGCTCGGATTGCCGTTGGATTGATCCGCCTTGACTGCAGTATCTTGGTGGATGCAATAACTGTGTGAAGCTTCTGAAGCGCTCATCGAAGGTACTCCGTTTGTACGGTGGTCGAAAGTGTTGAGTTTTGTGGGCGAGGTCTGTGAAAGCCCTATTTCTTCCAGATTGAAGGTAGGAGCGGTCAGTGTATGGGTTGTTCCGGTAGGCAACCTTTCCCCTACTCCCACTCTGGACAGGAATGCAGTGCTGCCGAGCGGACTGGTAGATACTCTTCTGGATACAGCTGGACCATTCCTTTGTGCCGTGGGATGGGCTTTTGGGAGTTCTGAATTGGTCTTCTCTAACCTGCCTTCCCATTCAGCGTGGGCCCTGCCATGAGTGGATACGGTCCTAAGCTGAGTTGACGGACGTTCGAAATCGTTGCGGGGAGCAAGCTCAGACACTAAGCTTGATATTGTCATCTTAGAACTGCCTCTGTTTGGTGTTGGCTGAGGAGGAGAATGTACCCTCCTTGATCCTCCATCTCGACCAGCAAACGCGGGCCTCTTTCCAGAGTGCGAGATGACGTCCATCCCACGTGCAGGCGGAGCCAGATCTTCCTGCAACCGATGTTTGTTTTCGACAAGAGTTGCTTGTTGGTGCTGAACTCGATATGTACCGCTTGCGAACGATCCCCGCTGTCGGTCTTGCTCCTGTTGACGTTGTGAGACTTCCGGATCGCCTGGTTTATCGGGGAATTCCGCTTTGAGCGTGGAGGTAGACAGCTGCGCGTCGCACTTGCCATGGTACCCTGATCGCCCCAAGGTGGTTTGAGCGGCCCGATGAAGGCGTCTCCCGCGCCCAAGAAGGCTCCCGCTGTGTTCGGCTGACGGTAGCTTGAGCTTGTATTTGTGCTTGATCACACACAAGAGGTCCCAATCGTCTTTATCCTCTCCAGAACATCGATCCCAACCAGGTGCACCTTCTTTCAAAAAACCGACGGGCCCAGGGTGTTTATAAAGCGGTGTGAACATCGTAGAGGGAAGTTGAGCGGGATCATCTGGAATCGGGGAGTCTCGCGGTGTCGTCATTCTCTGGAATTGACAAGGGGCACCGAAAGACATTACTTTTTGATTTGCGGAAGCTGAGGTTAGCTGAAGTCTGATCGAAACGACGGATGGTCTTCTCTCACTGTCTATCCGGGTCGAAGCTGGCTGTGGAGAGACCAGAGGACTATGGGACGGCTCCTCGTCGTTTGCCCTGTCCTCATCCCAAAGGGTGCAGAACATGCTGAGATCTGACTGGGCACGCATTAGTGGGTTCGCCGTTCTCCGAAATAAGTAGTGGCGCGCGCGCTGTGATGTTGAGGCGTACGCGTGCAAGGACAACCACTCGGTTTGATGTTTGCGGTGAAGGTGAACAGCCTCTGGGATTTATGTTCTCCCGGGGCACTGTTATGAAACCGGAAGCTGGGAAGACATACCTCATCCGCAGCTTGAGTTTGCATTCTCTCCATAGGAAGTTCACGGTGCTTTTCAGCGCACTACTACTACCCTGGAGTCTGGTTATTCCCGTCCGAAAGGGCTGTGGGGCGTGGAAAGTGAGAATATGTTGGCCTTGATAGTGGGCGAAAGAAGAAGATATTCTGAGAGAAGACGTAGTCGGATAAGTCTGACAGTGTTGCTAACGATATGACGCTTCTGTTTGAGTGCCCATATGGCGGTGAAGGCGAGAGACTGATATGGCCAATTCACCGCCGATGCAAGGATAGGTTAGCTACAACCTAAAGTGAGGGGAACATGCGGTCTTCTCAGTTAGTACATATTTCTAAAGGAGGTGGTATGGGGCTTATCAGCCTTATGATGTCACGGTAGTCCGTTGATTTACTTCAAAGCGGTAACGGACATTTAGGTAAGCATCGCCAGATGACCACTTCACCGCCGCTGGAATACAGCAAATCGGTGGCACCGTGATGAAAATAGATGATTTGGGTGAAACTCCGCAGGAGACCGCCGTCTTTGTACTATCCGTTTTACCAGGCGGAATGGCATTTGAACCATCGTCAAGGAGGCGTAAACCCTATGCAACAGTGTGCTTGCTTGATTTGGCTCTAGACATCCTCTTCATCAAGTGACTATGACCGATTCGGTACAGGTCTGGAAGTTCGATCGTGTTGCTCCCATGTTTCGCTCCACACCACTTGGTCCTTCAGAATTCGTAGGGACTCTGCCAGTAGGACTCTTGCATAAAAGTAGCGGCATCCCTCCGGTCTTGATATTGAATGGGTTGGTTTGGACTGTAGTAATCTATAAAGAGTTGGCGAGTTCGCGGAGATTCTCTGTTCTACTTACCAAACGGGTGATGATCAGGCAGCCAGATTGGACTTGAACCACCATTGGGAGGAGTACGAACGCGCAGCACTGGCTCGCATTCCGGCTCCACATGAAGTTCATTTCCCAGCTGCATTTGTGCAAGTCTCTGGGTGGTATGATTCGGGAGATCGTTACGCGACTGACTTGTGGGGCCAAGTGTTGGTGTGAAAAGGGAGATACATCCGTCGTTGAAGCGAGCCATTTTCGCATTGTGAAGCTCCAATCGCCTCTGAAACTCGTCGTATCGCGCGCATAGATTTTGGTAGCGGAGCTCCTTCTCTTGCAGTGTCCTCAAATCAGTGGATTGGAGGAATTGATAGGCATTGGTCCTGCCGGGGCAAACTTGTACATTCGATTGGTGTTCTGCACCGCTTTCGGGGTCCCTTCTGCTTGCCTTGACTTTGTCTGCGGCATCGGGCTGGTCAGTGTGGAAATGTGATACTTCCCGATTCTCCGCACGGCTTTGAAGGGCCACTTCCGCCGCGACACGGATAGTCTCCCCCCTCTTGTTTCCAGGATCGACTTCCAAGCTATGGTGTGGATCCTGCTCTTTCCTAGCTGGAATTACATGGCGATCTTCATCAGACGTCTCCCGGCGGCGGCATGCTAAAGGTAGAGTCAACGTAAAGACGCCCGTACGGAAAGGAAGATGGGCATCAATTGTCTCCATGGTCCTGTTATGGTTGGGTGCAGAAGGGGTGAAGGACGCGACGGAAATAGCTTTTAGAAGCTAGGCGGCCGAAAGGTTTATTGAGCTGCAAGGAGGATGCGAAGATAGAGAGGCGAACACTTACTGTTTCCGGTCGACTGTGTTGGGGGAAGCGGTGACCGATGCATAACAATAACACACCGTATCCCAGCTCCAATGGCGGTCGGTACTTGCTTCTTTCCAGACCGGCTCCTGCTGTACTTTGGTTTACATTTTACAATGGACAACACCTGGAGTCCCTCTTCTGTAAATGGGACCAGTTCTGCATTTAGCACTATCTATGTCCCTGCTAACAACTTCATGGTGAAAGGGCCAGCATAGGAAACAATGTTGGCATCCTGGATTCGCAAGGGTTTCACGACATAACATTTAACAGCAATAGCCAAATGATAATACGTCGTTTCTTCGCACGACAATTCTATAAGCGATTGTACATCGGAAGAAGCGTAAGGAGACTCTACACATCCTTATAAGAACTGAAACAAAAACGAATGTAGATACAAGAAGAGAATAAACCATATCTCGGAAGACGCAGGGCTTCCGTGAGAGGAAAATGTCAACGAATGGCGTTCAACGCTGCGGGGTATACACCAGAAATTGAATATAGACAGCGAAAAGAAGAACATGGGAAGCATATCACTGCTACCCATCAAAAGGGGCGAAAACTCAACCAAACGGTTCAAGCACTGCTCGCGGACTCAACGGATCTAGCCACTGGGGAACTTGGCCTTCAAGTTGTCGTACTTGGAAGCTGGGAAATCGAGTTGATTCGGGCTCTGCTCAAGGGCGCCGACACCGCCAACGGCGTTCACGAACTGTTGCCGCCACGGTCAGAAAACTCTCATAAGCGGAGGGCACATCCAACTTACAGTGGAGATGAGACTCTCGCTTCCTTTCTTATCAGCGCTGCTCTCCCACCACATGCCACCACCAAGCCCCAGGTTCTTGATGAATTCGGTCTTCTTGCGTATAATATCGGGAGTGTCGTAAGAAACCATGAAACGCTGTCCAGCATCATAGCTATATGATGCAGTGATTTGATTGTCAGTGACGACGGAAGAACCGGCCAGCGGCAGAGCTTTGTAGTCGTATACGCCGGTTTCCCAGGTCCCTTGGCCGGTGCCGGAGAATGGCTTGCCGGGGCCATCAGTGTTTGCGAAACCGCGGCCGTAGAGAGGCATGCCAACTACGATCTTGCTAGCCGCGACGCCATTGGCTGTGTAGTAGTCGATCGCTTGCTTGGTGTTGTACGGCGTACTGCTCGGGTTCGACGATGAAGGGTCCCAGTTGGCATTGTGTCCAGCCACAGAGTCCCAGGAGCCAGAGTAGTCGTAAGCCCTGGATTCAATCAGCGACTCTATATGTGACATAGTACGGGCGGCTCACATCAGGTTCCAGAAGTCAAGATACTTGTCCATAGCCGCGAGCTTTAGTTGCTGATAATGAGAGGGACCTTTCCATGTCAGTGCTAACCCTCAATTCCACTTTCGTATCTACAAACCTGCAGGCGAAGCAACCGTGAGTAGGAAATGGTAACCGTTCGCGCTCTGTGCTGAGTATGCATCCAGCGCCTGAGTTATGGTCAGCTATGGCAAAATACACCTCAAGGGCGGAAGCATACACGTCGTGTTTCGGCGAGAAGAGAAACATAGTCGTTCGCCTGTTGATCATCTATGCATTGATCAGTGACCGTGCTTGTGAGCAATATCCACATCACTCACTTGCAGGATATTCCCAGTCGATATCCAGTCCTGGGTGGGGTCAACCTTTGCCGAATAAACAGCACTTCTGCCAATTCCTTACCATCCAGGCCAAAATTCTTCACTAGCTCGACCGCAGACGAAGCAAACTTGGCTCTTCCCTCAGCCGTGGAAGCTGGCTGCGGAAAGTTCGTTGAATAGGTCCAGCCACCGATGGACAGCAAAACCTTCAGTTTGCGATTCTTCTGTTTTTGAAGGAAAAGTTGCTTCACACAGCCGTAGACGTTGTTTCCAGCGTCGTTCCAGGAATCCGTGGGATAGTGTTTGTCTATCACATGTTAGCACTTCTCCTGAGAATGATCCATGAATGCGGACCTGTGTCGGACCATGTGTCTGACAGGTAAACCTCGCCAGTCTCAGGTCGCACATTCGCGAAGGAGTATAATACGTGAGTCAACTCCTGTGCTGGAAGGTCTTGAGGGTTGTAGTTCCGCCCATAGATCGCCTACACCGTAATTGTGAGTCAGTGTGACGCCTCAGAGAGGGACAAGCCTTACCCAGTTCACGAAGTATGCAACGTTCTTATAACCCGAGGCCGCCCTCTCAGTGAGGTCAGTCACTGGTTGAGGTAGTGCGGCGGCGTAAGCCATCGCGGTCACAGTAAAAGGAATGGCTGTGGAAAGGCGCATCTTGAAAAGTCGATGTGGTGAAACCTGGAACCCAATCTATGGGACATGAAGAGCCGATAAGTAGATACTTATAGGGCGAGCATACAACAGATGCCGCTTGAGTGAAAAGGAGGCTGCTGAGATGCGGAAGGTAACAATCCAAAAAATGCAACCCGCTGCAAGACAGGAACCTGGCAAAAGTGCAACGCCGTGGAATTCGCAGCCATGCCGGGTGGTAAGGGTTATAGCTCAGGCGTCAAAAACGCCTGTCTCATGGGGCCTAAATCGGGGCAAGGGTCAAATGCCATCTCCCTGGTCGAGCCTGACCCGGGAGAGGACGTAGATGACCTGGTCTCCACGAAATTTCCCTATCTGCTGTATGTTACGTCTTCATCACGCTTCATATGAAAGCCAATCTTTTCACCAACGATAATCAGCTTGATATCAGGACTACGCCCAATAAATACTGCGTGCTGCCACCTGAGAAGTTCGGAAGACCATGGACCAAGGGGCTGATAGGGGTCATCGGCCCCTGTTGTAGGTTCTTCGAGGGATGACAGGTCCCTAGGTGTGTGCCTGACAAGACCTGTTCGTGTGGTCGGGTCCAGTGTGAACTATGATCTGCATTTTTGATCGGAGGTTGGCTCCGGAAGCAGGCCGATAGCCGATCCAACAGGAATGCAGTGATAGATGGATTGATCTAGAGAAGGGCGGCTAAATGAACAAGCCGTTGAAATGGCCCACTCAGAGCGAGAGGTGAATAGGTACAGATGTCGCCGCGCGAACTGCACTCTTGCACTGATGAATACTTTGGCAACTATCATTGCTCCGTCGTAAGGTACTTATGGCACCTCCTTCCGTGGTCGACTTCGCCCACCGAGATCTTTCCGGAAGAGAGACTCCATACCTGAGTTTCTGAGTTGGTCAATATGTCATAAAGAGTCCGGAGACGAGATGATGTCCGTTGCTGACTATAGCAAGGCTGTACCGGCCGTGGTGTTGCAGTGTACCCATGCGAGGCGGTGCCATATGGGGGCGGTACTTACGCTTGAACGCCCTGTCTAGAGATGTCTACCAGGGACGAATGTGGTTCTCCAAGCGGATTGCGGTGATTCGTCCATTGCCGTTGAGCGCGCGTAAAGAGTGTGCCTGAGTCACGCGGCACTGGCACCAGGGTCTCTAGCGACTCTCTAAGCGCCTGAGATGTAACAAGACAGGCGTGCAAAATCAACTAGAGCCACGTTACCCGTGCCAGGGATACAGATGGCACCTAAGACGGAAGTTGGGATGCAGGTGGTGGGCGTCTGAAATGAAACCCGTCGGCACCCCCAGCGGCAGGACGAGGGACCCGCCTTATCGCTGTAGCCAGAAAAGCTACATCCATGCCTCGAGTGCATGTGGAGCGGTCATGAAAGGCAGCGCGCATGATCGGGTCAAGTCAACGGACAGCATCCATCGACATGTGACGCCGCGAGCAACCACAAAGACCTACCGAGTACTATCAGGGAGGCTCTCAGGTGTTAGCCAGCCTGAGATTCCTTACACTTCGCGGAGGCGTAGATATCTTAAGGACCCGCTGGAAGACAGCTTAAACTAAGCGCTAGCCGATTTTAGCCATATTCTGGAGATGTGGAAATTGGGCAACCAATAAGGAAGGAGAACAAGAACGGATATGATTGGACAGAATGGCGAATTGCAATGTCCATAGCAAATAGTAGGACCTAGGATAGTGGTGTCGTGGGCGTAAAAGGACGTGTGAATGACACGGACAATTGCCCTGGGGATCCAGAAAACCATCGGTTCGGACTCACGATGCGATTCATGGAAGAACGGTTCAGGAGACCCGCAGCAAGTGGACCGGAAGGGGGGTGTTTCAGGGACCTCTTTGTTGTACGGAGTATCTGTAGGCCCCATCGACATGTTCATTTTGGCCCCGGGATTTTCGCCCCATGGAGTCCAAGTACCGAAGGAGGGGAAGAAATATCGCTAGTTCTCATTCCGGGGAGGTTACACCAGGCATTGTGATGGTTGAAGCCATGTGCGCTGTGGGTGGTGAGTGCTTGGATTCACCCACTTTCGCTTGTCCGGCCATGCAGTTGGATAGGGGCGTCCAGTTATGGCATCCCGTAGATGTGGTACTGTTGCAAGCGCCGTCGGATTTCTGCAAACCTCTCGCGTGGGGTATGTGTGGAAGCTAAAATCGGCAGCTATGATTTTCTCGTGTTGCTATGTGATTAGATACGGAAGCACCGTTGGAGACAAGTAGTCGTCTTGTTAGGTGACCGAAGATGCATGCCTAAGATAGAGGTCTTTGACGGATGCTTAGAAAACACACTGGGAGCTGGTGCGGGAACGCGATGCGACGCCACGTCCGGAGACACGATGTTGCGAAAGGGAAATTGCTGCCGATCTCTGCGTAAGATGTAGCATCCTTATCTCCGAAACTAGATGGTGTTGAATCCTTTGCACTTGTAGATTGTGCAGGGGCGAGGAGGAGATCGGGACGTTGAAACGTATCCAAAAGTCCAAACTGAGGTTAGTTGAATTGCGGTCGATCCCTAGCGGTAGGAAGCGTTCCCCCCAGCCTTCTGTGCCAGATGTTTTTTCCTAATAGCCCAAAAGCGAACCGAAGCTGTTCTCTATGCGATATGTAAATGGGATATGCTAGAATCTTAGCTCAAATCTCGTTGTGGAAGGGCCCCTGAAGTGTCCAGCAGGCGAGCTCGTAGAGGGGAGGCTGTGCGGTCCATGCAAGTAGTTGGCTAGTTGGCTCTGTATGAATAGCTCCCGTTGGAACAAATTCTTAACGAGCACTTCGAGCGTACGATGTATTGGCATTGTCAGTGTGGTTTGATGAGATCCTCAGGAGTTGTGTCGTGAGGTCTCGGCTGTCCGCGCAAGTCGTTACGCTAGTCCCAGAAGGGATAGAATGAAAAGCGCCAACCACATCTCCACGCTCTCCATCACTCGTGCCTCGATTGCACAGTCGAAGCCTACCTAGGTACTTTTTAGACTTCAATGCCTTTGGAAAACTTGGATCATTGAACTCATTTGCCATCGATGTTCCTTTTGCTATGCCTGTCCTCCCGGAACTCGTCATGGTCTACCTGCGTAGCTATGTAGTCCTGTCCTCGAACTTTGCATCAGTTAGAGTGTTTACTCTAGTGTTCAATGTATGGTTACTGGGTTTCCATTGTGTCGCCACTCCAGATGTTGAATTCATCATCGCGGACCAGGCTCATGCATCCTTAAACCAGAGACATGTTCGTTGAGATGACAATCTCTAGGAGCGACTCGCAACGAACAACGATGTAGTTTTAGATGCACATCGACCTCACAAGCTTGATCTCGAAGTACCGGATACCCAAGGAAGATATTTTCAGTGGCGTTGAACCTCAAAGACTGTCCGCGTATCTACTCTCCGTTCTCTTTCATTCTCTCTGCAGGTACGATGATTTGGGGACCAAAGGCGAAGGGACTCCTTCAAGCGGAGTTACGAAAGTAGGTACGAACCACCCACAGCAAATATCTGTTTCACTGCTAATGCTCACGATAGAACGGACTATAAGGTGTATGCTGTCTAGAACCACATCGCAGACATATATCACGGTAAAGACTCTCAATGCTGCGAGCAAAACGAGATGACGATGACTGTGTCCGAAGACCGCCGATATCTGATCCCAATATACTGATGCCCGCGGGGATACCAATATAGTATTCACCGGATCATCCGAAGGCACCTACAGCCACAAACCAGACGGGTGGCCTGCAGCTGCGCTGGGATTCATGGCGGTGTGCCCGAGGTGACTTGACAAACGCGCCTATCAAACAAGCGGTGTGGGGGGGTTGATCCAGTGCAAACATAAGTAGTACGCCATCCTCCCCACTCTACCTCTCGCAGATTCTGTCGGCATGATCTTGTCGGCCCACATATTGAATTGAGCCGCATTAGAGTCATCAACCTCGCTCTATCTCTGACCACCTCAGCCAAGTCTTGATGCTTTTAATCTTCTCTACTGGCCAGCATCTGTCCTCGGATCATTCAACCCGACCGAGGCCTTTTCGCAGTGGGCGTGAAGCGTGAGCTGCTCTCCGGTGAGCCATATTTACAGCCGCTGATGTCCATACTCATTCAGATCATAGGTCTTCACATATCTCTCACCAGTAACCCACCACTCACATCCAAGCATATTTGCTTGTTTCAGGTATTATCACATCCTCCTCGTAGAAATCAACATCCGCGGCCACTCCTCATGATGGAAACACAAGATGAGCCTCATTCCATTCAAGTGCCGAGCCTAGAGGAATTCAGACAAACATGGGCAGCGGACCGCGGAACAGGTAGAAAAGGGAAAGCCAGGATTAACGAAGAAGGCCATCCGTTCGGCCATTTGAGCATCGCTGCCAATGTAAACAGACTTTACGAGCTCAAGAAGCGAGGTGATGCTCTGCTGGAAAAGGCTTCCCCTGAAGACACGGAGTTGCAGAACTATAGAAAATTATTGGCGACACTCGAACCTCACTTCCCCACTCGAGGCATAGTCATCAGTATCAATGGATCACAGGGCACTGGCAAAAGCTCGCTGATCAACGCGTTGCTCGAATCTCCGAATCTGGCGGACACATCTGGCATGGGTGAGGCGTGCACCAAATTCATGGTCAAGTACCAATTCCGGCCCGCAATGACAGACAATCGCGCAAAATGTGATATAGAGCTGAGGTATATGAACGAAAAGCATATCGACGAGATGCTGAAGAAGATGATACAAGATTATGAGTTTCACAAGTTCCAGAGGGCAGCAAAGGAGCCATACACGGACGAGGATCAAGAGTTAACGTGTCTTATAAGCGAGCGCCGCGTACAAGCGAGCGCCGCACCTTACCAAGTTTACGCACCTCTCTCCTCTCAACATACAATGGCTCCACACAACGTTACTCAATTGTCTTCAAATGAAGCAGATATTCAGCTTGCTATCTCATCTATCAATGCCAATCAAATCCAGAGCAATTGTGCTGCTGCTACAGTCTACAATGTGTCTGACAGAACACTCCGCCGCCGACGCGCTGGTATCCCTTCCCGACGCGATTGCCAGCCCAACTCGAAGAAGCTCACCCGATTAGAAGAGAAGGTGATTGTTAGATATATACTCGACCTAGATCAATGTGGCTTTGCGCCTATGTACGCGGCTGTACGTGATATGGCCAATAAGCTGCTAGCTGCGCGCTGCGCTGGACAGGTTGGCGTCCACTGGCCGCGCAACTTTGTCAAACATACAGACAGTCTCACAACACAATTCAATCAGGCATACGATCGGCAGAGAGCTCAGTGCGAAGATCCTGTGTTAATTAGGAGCTGGTTTGAGCTCGTAGAGCAGACAAAGGCCAAGTATGGCATCTGTGATGAGGATGTCTACAACTTCGATGAGGCTGGCTTTATGACAGGCAAAATCATGACCCAACTTGTTGTAACAGGCTCAGAGAGGAGAGGCCGTCCGAAGGCTATTCAGCCAGGCAATCGCGAGTGGGTAACGATGATCCAAGGAATCAATGCTGCTGGCTGGGCTATCCCACCGTTCATCATCTTTGCTGGCAAGCACCATCTATCTGCCTGGTACGAGGAGGATATCCCACGCGATTGGGCTATCGCTGTTAGTGACAACAGCTGGACGACCAACGAGCTTGGAGTTAAGTGGCTAGAGCACTTTATCAAGCATACAGAGACCCGGGTTGTTGGTGTACGTCGGCTGCTCATCCTTGATGGCCATGAGAGCCATCACTCTCTCGAATTTCAAGAGCTCTGCAAGGCGAACAATATCTATATGCTCTGCATGCCGCCTCACTCATCGCACCTGCTACAACCACTTGATGTGGTCTGCTTCTCAGTGTTGAAGTGCATATACAGCCATGAGATTGAGGCTCTAATCCGTGACCATATCAACCATATCACGAAGCTTGAATTTCTGCCAGCCTTCAAGGCAGCCTTTGAGCGATCATTTACACTAGCTAATATCCGATCAGCCTTTCAAGGCTCAGGCCTTGTTTCTCTCCAGCCTGAAGCTATCCTATCAAAGCTAGATGTGCAGCTCCGTACATCTTCACCAGCTGCTCTGTCAGAGGCTCTCTAGGAAGCCAAAACGCCGAGCAACATACGTGAGCTAGAAGCTCAATCAACCCTGATACACAATCGCATCCAACGGCACAAAAGCTCCTCACCTGCCTCAATTATTCTAGCCATTAACCAGCTTAAGAAGGGAGCTGAAGTAATGATGCTCTCAGCCGAGCTGATGCGTGATCGGATCACCAGCCTAGAGAGAGCCAATGAGGCAGCAACTAAGCGTAGGAAGCACAAAAAGAAGTGGATACAGAAGCGAGGGACCTTAACAAAGGCAGAGGGAGAGGATATACTTGCTCAACAAGAGGTTGAGCAGCAGATTGCTCGCGAACAGCGTCAAGACGGAGAGCAATCAGGCCTCAGCCGCCAGGCTCTAGCGCGCTGCTCAAGATGCAGGGAGCCTGGGCATAATTCACGTACATGCAAAAAGGATTCTTAAGATGATGTCAATGTACTATACTAAAATCTATACAGTACTTGACAAGGTGGTTGAGTTGTACGCCTGTGAAGGTCTAAAAAGTTAGTAGGGTGCGGCGCTCGCTTGTACGCGGCGCTCGCTTATAAGACACGATACCGGGTATGACATTCATAACGTGCGGTTAAACGCATGATGCTGACACCTTCAGGGCTTGGTGATCTAAATCAAACTCGGGTGGCGTTCACAAATACAGTCCGGAGAGAGTCAGACTATGAGATCATTGTTGCGCCGCTAAATCGTGTCCTTACTCGCAAAGAAGTGGACAGGTACATTGTGAATTCGCTGAAAGCGCATGGTGGAAAGAACACAATCATCCTGTTCAATCAGATCGACGTATGTCACACGATCTTAACAAAAGCTAAAATTCTAACTTTCCATAGCGCGAAATCCCCGAGGACATAACTATAGATGAGTTGATCGAAAAATTCATGGAAGCTCCATTCCCTGAAATTGCAAAAAGAATTAATGAAGCGGGCGATAAGCAGAACATAGAAGATGATGAAGAATCCGAATTGGAGATCCTCGAATATATCAAGGACCTTGAACGACAAGCGGGGTGTGCGTTTGCTCACGTGCAAGTCGAACTGACTGGGTGTGATCTTACAGAGAGACATAAAGGCCTCGCAGGCGACAAAATGAGGGTAGCGGGCATTACTGCTATTCAATACATGCTGCATATGAACGGAGCGCGAACGAGGGCTCCAACGTTCAGCCCGTTATGACCGGCATTCCCAGCTTCAGGAACGTCTTGCATAACATTGTTGCAGAAAAGAACTATCGCAATCTTCACCAGTTCATAGTTGGGACTCTGCCTCCATTACTTGACCAGGGTCGCCGAATCATATCAAAACAGAAAGAGGATGATGGCTTCTTCTACTTCCGTCAGCACGTCACTGCTTTGTTGGAGGAATTAACCACCGATATTGACGCAGCTGTGTCAAGTTCTATGGAGTCGCTTCTCCCGCCGATGTGGGATTATGGAATCAGATCATGCGTGATGTCCAACCTTGAGAACAAGGTTCTTAGTTGGTCAAAAGGTGTCCATTTCAATACTTATAGGATGACAATTCGTCAGCGGGGCATACCGAAAGACAGTAAAGCAAAAGCTTATGAGGGAAGATCTATAAATTGGAACCTTGACCTGCTAACCGCCATGGAGACAATCTCAATTGAGAGGAAGAACAAAAGACCAAAAGGCCGGGAAGTTCGCAAGCCATTAGGCGAGTGGAAAGATAGAGTGCTTGAACTTTCGAACACTCTCTCAGTGCCGGTCGTCTCGCTCACCCAAGACTTCCTGAAAAGGGTACAGACAACTATAAATACGACATCCTGTGATGCGGCATTGAAGAGCCGCACTATGGAAGCGTGGCAAAAGGTGGTGGCAGTTATTCGAAAGATGATTGATAGATTGCCCGCCAAACTGGACCGCAAGATCAACGATGTTCTCCGCGTCATTACAACTGAAGAAGACGTAGGGTGCATGATAACCACACTGAACATTCCACAGTATGACATGATAGCATCGCAGAAAACAGGTCGAGGAGTGTACAATCGCTACAAGGCGGCAACACGCAACGCTTTTCTCGAAGTCGATGCAGACGGAAAGGCATTTATTGACAAATATGAAGACCAGGCCACAGGACTAATGCATGGTGCGCTAAACTCTGGCTTGGATGACTTCCGTCAGACCATCACCGCTCGGCTGGAAGAGTTCATTACGATCACCCAACAGTTCTTGGAGAGCCAGGACCACAAAACCAAGGAATATCGGGCGCTCAGAAGCAGACTTGAAGCCCAGATGCCCGACTTTGAGAGTCGCGTTCTGCAGCTGCAGAGGATGTTTCCTGGGTGCGCGGATCAGGAAGAGATTGAAGTGCGCCGATTTGCAAAGAAAATAAAACTTGAAAACAACTAAAAAGTGGTGCTGAATCTAATTGTGGCAGATCCGCTGCTGCCACTAAACGCAGTGGTAAATGAAGCAAGGAGTGGTTCACAATGATTATCTCTTTTTCCAAGGGCTGGCGCTCTCAAACCCACTCTATCTCTTTTCTCTGAATCTTTTGGGCTTAACGAGAATTAGTCATATCTTCACACAGGATATACGTGGATTTATTTTTCCTTGCTTCTTTTGCTCAGACACTATATCTCACATCTCTTACCATAGTAATAGATTGTATAACACTTGTACAAATAACAAAGCTGTCCAATCAATGGTACGTAATTATGCCACGCCAGGTATTGTCAAAAACCCAGAGAGAAAGTGATAGCACTGAACCAAAAACGCGTGCAGACTAGAGTATACTGATCCGTCTCTGAAGACTCTGGATCTTCACCTCCAATGCGTGATTCTCATCCTCCTTGCGGTGCAACTCTTTTTGCAACGCCTCCTTCTCTGAGCGCAAGGCCTGCAGCTTTCCGCCCATCTTCTCGCGATAGCTGGCGTGCTCTTCGTGAATAGCTTCAACACGGTGCAACTCCAACCCCGAAACCGATCCAGTAACCGTCAGTGCACCACCGGATTGCAACCGCGCGATCTGGGCATCCTTGGCCTTCAGCCTTGCCTCCAAGTCCGTGACTGTATCCTTCCAGGCCTTGTGAGCAGTCATGCGATTAAGATCGTCGATATTCGCGCCGCCCTTCAATGTCTCAATCTGCGCCAGCAAGTCTTGATTCCTCTGCTCAAGCTCCAAAGCACGCTGTTCCAGTGCCGCTGCCTTTGCCGCTGCAAACAGGTCCATCGTACCTCTCCGTTCCATGATTACGCTTCCTGGGCGACCACCATGACCCCGGCTGGGACTCGAGCGTCCAGTCTGTGAGCTCTGTGCCTCCAGCTTGTCCAGCTTTCTTGTCGCCTCTGCAAGTTTAGCCCTGACGGCTTGCAAGTTGACAAGATCGTCGTCCCGGAGCTTGGTCATGCCTTCAAGTTCGCGGCGGGCCTTTGCGAGCATGCCCCGGATCTTGATGTTGTTCTCCACATCCTCGTCGCGAAGGGCGAAGAGGGCTTCGTGCCGCTTTTGCCATGTCTTCTTCTCCTCTCGAAGAGCCTTGAGTTCAGCGACCATCTCAGCATAGTCTTCCGGCGTGACCGATACAACGGGGTTGGCGCGCTCCATGAAGATGAGCTTAGACATTAGACTGGCGAGTTGTGTTTCCAGGGGGCCGGGAACATGAGGAGGCGGAGGCGGTTCGGCGGTCTCTTCATTCTCTTCGAGTTTAATCTCATGCACTTGTTGCGTTGTCTTTGGCAAAGATGTTGGCGTCTTCTCTGGGTATTCGAAATCCTGTTCGTCTCCCCCGAGCGTCGAGCTGCGTGAGTGAACATCATCATCTGGGGAGTTCTCCACGGACTCTTGGCGATGTCGATGCTGTGTCCGTAGAGGAGGTGGCGCTATCTCTGCGACTTGGGCGGCGGCTCCGAATTTCTGGCTCAGTCTCGAGACAGCAGTTCCGGACTGCTGCCGTCCTGATTGCCACATGGCCGGGACACCGTTCGACGGCACTGAAGGAAAGCTCGAAATTTCGTCGTCGGCAGCGGTCTCTGAGGAGTGATCTGATTCATATCCGGTACCTCGTCGCTGCGTCGGAGGGGAGCTTATTGAAGGAGAGCGGCTCGCTGAATGCATCGATGCCACGGAATGTACGGAAGTAGTGCGTTGAGGTCGTGATGGCGCACGATTGGCCGTCCACATTTCCTAATCCTGTGTTGTATACAGAAGAAAGTAATCCACTTAAGGCAATACGTAGGACTTGGTGGTGCAATCGCCGCTTGTACCAATGGACACAAGTGGAAAATCCGGGATGAAGGTAATGCAGGAATTCGGTTGTCTGGAGTTTGACCGAGATACCAGCGCATCATGGCCTTTTGATCTTGAAATGATGGGCGTCAGAACCTCCACAACATGACCTGAAACACATTCTGATACGGGGGTCTCTCCTTGTTCAGACCTGCGACATTGGTGCTATATACCGCGATACAACCTTATCAACAATCTTATTAAAGCAGAAGTGCTGCCAAACGTGCGATGTCCCCTTATATTACCCGTCGAGATCTAGATCGTCGCAATGGGGACCGGTGAATTAAAAGGTCACGTGATCATAGTGGAAAGCGGATATGGAAATTGTTTCGCACGCTCGAAGATATAGGGGAAAATGAGTATGAATTCCACACCAAACATTCACGGAATTTCCGTTGTGTTCCATAGACCGTAACTCAATGCTGCACCGGTTCTGTGCCCTCTGGATGTCGAGAGTTGCTTCCTGAAAATCGGGGCTCGTGAGGTCATGACGAAACGCCTCTGGTGTCAGCTGTGCGATTAGCCGCAATACTGGCAAGCTTCTCGAACACAACATCCACTTCGAGACATTGCATGCTTCAGTTGCAATTTCTTGCGCCTCACATTCGCCATTGTGGAGATGATGCTCCAATTGGCGCCAATTGGCGCTATCACCACCAGGTCTTCACTCGGAGTTGTTCGAAGGTTGTAATTCCTGGCTATGTCCAGCGATTTGAGACTAATCGTACTGCGGGTTTTCACGTCCGGCTGAACAGCAGCGGGTCGCATGGGATATAGCTGACGCTGTAATTGGCCTGAGGGCGCCTCCGTCCAGGTATAATCAGCCTTAAAACACCCGTGCTCTAGTGGCGTAACCTAGACTGTAGCCAATTGAAATAGTTGACCTAGGTGATATAACTCAGAGCAGCAGTACAAGGGGGTGTTCAGTCGGATGTGAGAGGGTGCAGTAATCGTAAGTGCCAATGCCCTAGCATTGTCCACAGGAACGCCCGGATGTGCAAATGCTGTATACCATGTCCTGATTAGGAAATCTTCAACGACCCTGCGGTGAATGTCATTTCACGTGACTCGACCCCATGGCCGTAGAATGGCAACTTCAGCGTTGAGACGTGGACCATAATAAATTCCGAGTTTAGCAAGTTTATGACCCTTGCGGGCGCTTTGCTCATGGTGTTTGTCTTGCTGGCTGGACGATGCTGGACGATCTTAAGAGCAAGAGGCTTTCTGCACTGCTCAGTACATGTAGCTGCACTGAGATTTTAAAAAGTCGTCTTGCATGATGTCGTACAGCATCTATAAGCTTCATCCATTTGGGTTTAGGAAAATTCTTAACCTAAGATACGGTGCAGCTGCCGGTCACAACAAACTTGACCAGAGTCACCTTTCACCGGGGCGTGGTGACGTCGGAAGGGCAATCGCTCAAAAATTCTTGTACAACGGCCGCTGCTGCCTATTCTTGGTGTAGACTTAAAAACTAGGTAGCCACACTTTACGTTTTCTCTGCTCGCCCTAAGACAACCTACAACCTGCCACCCTCTGAGTCCGCGTCACTTCGGCAAAGTGCAACTGCAAGCATGGATCCAGCCTTCTTCAGGCTTTCGACACCATTTCTGAAGAGCTCGGCTCTTTCATCAAGAGCAAATCGTCGACCTTCGCGTGCGGTGGAGCTATTCCAATCGTATGGACTTCATTTCTGTGGCCTTCTGCACTGGCACTGACGAACCATCGCAGGACCCAGCCGATGATCACAACGGTGGAGCTCAAGATCTGACCGTGAAACCCTTCAACCTTCGATGGGACTCTTCAGGATCTTCGTCCGGTAGCTTTAAGATCAACTTCCCTATCGGCGATGAACAACATGGTAGCCTGCTTCGCCTCATTCAAGATTGCCAACCGGCCAGCTTTGGCTACAAGGGCGACGACGTTAACGATGAGTCCTACCGCAAGGCGGCAAAAATGGATCGCAGCGCCTTCTGCGTAGATTTTTGCCCCTATGAGGTTGGCATCATCGACACCATCGCGCAGGTACTTCTTCCGAACGCGGCAAGTAACATCGCCACCCATGGAGTTAAGGCGGAACTCTACAAGCTCAACGTAAGTCCTAGCTGAAACTTGGAAACTATTGCATCTGGATGTACCTTACACATGGTAGATATACTCCGCTCTCTCTGGCTTCTTCAAGACACATGTCGACACACCGCGCTCTGAGACTCAGTTCGGATCACTTGTTGTCTCACTCCCGTGCCACCACGAGGGTGGGCAGCTGGTTGTCCGCCATGCCGGTAACTCTCTGACCTTTGACTGGGGCAATTCAGGCTCTGGTGGCAAGACATCAACATCGATCCAGTGGGCCGCGTTTTACAGCGACTGTGAGCATGAAGTGCTCGAAGTGACAGAAGGACACCGGGTCACGCTGACATACAACCTCTACTATGCCCCTGGTGTTGGTGATTTGGCGGTAAACAGTCCCGCAATGGATGTCAAAACGCTCCCTCTCTACAAGAAGCTCCAAGATGCGCTCCGTGATCGCTCGTTCATGACAGAAGGTTTGTATAATCTGCGCTTCGAAATGTTTGGCATCGCAGTCATTAACCGACTACAGGCGGATACCTCGGGATTTTCTGCCAACATGCGTACGCTCATTCGACGGTCGAAGGAGTCAAGTCTCTTCCAGCTGTCCTAAAAGGCGCTGATATGGCGGTGTATACGATCTTCAAGGCTCTTGACCTTCCTACGTCTATCCGTCCGTTCCTGTATATCGATGACTGGTACCACCCTACTTTTGATTGGCGCAGTCAACGCCTTTCAGACACCTCTACTACATACGTCGGAGGTAAGATGCGTCCCCTTGTTATCACTGAGCGTGGTGGCGAAGGCGACGGGCCAGATGATATTCTTCCGAGCTTCGAAGGGGACTGGCTAAAGGTCAATTGGCTCATCAAGCCTGTGAAAGATACCGCTTGTGTCAACCTCATTCATCTGACGGTCAGTGCTTACTTCTAAGCTGATTACATTTCAGAGCTTACATATAACAGTACGGAAATCAAGCTGGCATCGATTGTGTCTACAGCTATGCAGCTCTGATTGTCACGATCCCTCCCGCCAGCGAACGTGTTCCCGCCTAAGTGCAACATGCATCAGGTTCCGTCCTCCTCGGCATAGGTAATGGGGCGGGGGTTCAATTGTCTCAGGGATCAACGTCAGCTATGATAGCATCATGGGACATACAGCGTTACGGGGGCAGACTAAAACACCATCATCCGTCGACGGCTTGGGTAATCGAGAAAGCTGCAATATCAATGATTGCAATATAAGCATCTTAATGCAGACCTTCCTCCATGCTGATCACTATTATCTCGTCCGACGTTTCAGGAAATAATGCTCCTCCAGGTGCCTCTCACATGTCGAAAAGCTGCGAGACTGGCCAAGATAAATCAGCTACTGCAGTTATGCCAGAATGTGACATAGGTCCTGAAGAGAAGATTCCTCTGCAGTCCGCCCCCTGTGAAGCCGGAAGGTTCTGTAGCGCGGAGTCGTGGTGTGTGACACGCATGTGTAGTTCCCATCGAGTCCTCAACATTTGCCAATTCACACTTTGCATATGCAATCATTAAGTCCCATGGTGTCCACATCATGGAATCAAATCGGATGTTGGTGTGGTGTGAGACATAATCGAGTGAATATCAAACACCAAAATGCTGACATGCGCTCGCACCAGGGAAGGCGTAGAGCGCTTCATCAACATGACAATCCGGAAACCTCAACACGCACACATCGCTTCGGATCTATCTTGGACATGTATAGGCATTATGCTCCCAGTGGTCAATAGTAGTATGAGTTCCTTCACCTTACGACACCTGCCTACAGTTCATTCTGCAGATCTAACAAATGCGCGCAGTTATATGCTGATCCCACTCATTGTCCAGTATATCTCACCCCGAACAATCGTTGCACGCCTATCCCTCCATCGTCCCACGCTCATTGCTCCGAAGCAGTGTCGAACGCCCTGCTTTCGTATCTTTCAAATATGCATAGTGTGAAGATACTCTAGGCCTCAGTACTGCTGATTCCCCGGAACATCATGCCGTCACCCTGCTATATTTCGAGCCGAACACCAATGGTGCTGTGAACTGGAAAATCCAACAACCTTTGGAAGATGACCACTATGTTATCAAAGCAGAGTTAGAGGCCCATACCGTATCTGGACAGGCATACTGCCATTTCACAAACTATACGATGGGCTGAGACCGAGACGATGAAAGCAATTGCGCAAATTCGGGCAAATCCTCACGGGAGCTGCCTCGCCAGCGCTACCTTTGCAGCTTTCTTGGGCTTCAAGGCAATATGCATCTCAAGTATTCGGCATGAACCGGGGGAATTCCAGATCACGCTGATTAAAAGGCAACTCTGAGCTCCAGTATGCCCGCTCTGGTGGCTTACCCCGCAGTTGCATGCTCAATGAGCGGTTGGCGTACCATTACGCCTGTCTGCCTTCTGACGCCATTGGTTCTCTCGTCCCGACTTCCAGAGCATGATAAACGCAATACGGAGGGTCACTACACATTGATCCTGCTGTAAGCACTGGGACATGCTTCAGTGTCATCTCTGTGTACCATGCTGCATCGGTCGCATATTGCCCAACAAGCAACTCCTCATCAGAATAGCTACCTGAAGGAGATATTTGGACTTGTGGAGCTCAAGTGACCTACTTCTTATCTGGTACCGATACTCTTCCAGACAAGCTCCACGAGGAGGCCGCAAGAAGCAGCACCAGAAGGCAAACCGTACATGGGTTTGGCTTAATCGACTTGTCTCACTTACGATGGACGTTATCGATCCCGGTGATGCAGTTGCATGGTTTGGCTGCTCACGTGGGGCGGGCAGCATAAGCTAGATGACTGGGCTGCGGCACAGTCGTACAACCCGTTACCGACCGTTTACTGGACACATGAACCTCAAACATCACTGGTGGACGCTTCGTGCCTCTCACCATCGTGCCTCTGCATTCTCAGGCAGTATATACTCCGTACTCCCTCCTCAGAATGACCAGCTCGCCTCATGCTCTGCAGTTTTAGGGGCCTCCAGCGTGGCTTATTTCACTTCAACCTGTCTTCGCACCCTTACGCTGTGGCCGTCCCGTATGTGCATACAACAAAGTTTCACCAAGCTTCCCTCGAGAAAAGCGACCAATGCTTGCAAGTTCAAGCTCGCCGTTGTTCCCGTGGCTCGCGCCAGCTGGATATGCAGCTCGCTGACCCATGCCGCCATCTTGATACACATTTCTTTCATTGTGGGCTCCTCACCTTCTTCGAATGATTCCTTGTCTCGTATTCTAGCTTAGCATGCGGCACGGGCCCCTAGGTGGTGACTTCTACTGTACTCCGCACAACGCTCAGCCTGGCGGACAGCATCACAGTGGCAGCGAGCTGCGGCTCCTGATTGCGGCACAGCAACACATGGTGGGTGAACCTGCTATCCGACTCGACACCACGGCACGCCACGAACGCCTTCTGGTGTTGTAAGACACAGTTGCGCGTTGTGTTCGTCTTTCCGGAAACTCGCATTGGTCATTGAGGTTATCCTACCCCCTTCAAACTGCAGCCTGCAGAGAGGGACTGAGGTCGAGGGACAATCATCCGTGGCAGCGTCACAGAAGCTGATGACTTCTCTGCAAACTGTATCACTCGTTGAATGATATAAAGGGTCGGCATGTCAATACAGTCTTCACCTTTGGAGCAGTGGCCATGTCTACGCCTCACCTCTCTCCGCAGACTTCTTCTTCTCACCGAGGAGGCAAAGCATGGCTTCATCATCCTTGTTGTTGAGCTTGCCTCCTGAAGTCATAAGCAACATATTGTTTTTCCTTCCAATCCAGTCACTCCTTCGCTTCTCACAAACAAACCGGTATTCCCATTCGCTGGCCGTATCAAACCTCCATACGCTGTCTCTGGGGATTTATACAACGCGGATCGCTGCCATTATCAGCTGCCTATCAGCGACAAAGTATCCCGAACCGAAGCTCACCACTTCATCCTTCCCATCCAGCATAGGTTGTTCCAGCGAAGTTACGAACACCAAGCGAGATAAGGAGCCTAATCTAGAGCCAAAAGAGCACTTTGGAACCAGAGGTCCTTATAGTGTAGCGATCGTACTTCAAGAGGCTCAATGGCTCGATGCCACCACACTTTTGTTATTCCATAATGCCCTCATGAAAAGCGTCATCATCAGACATCGGACGGCGTTGCGGAATGTAGAGTTATCACTCTGGACTTTGACTGTGCCTATCGCAAAATCTTTATCCGCTCTTCAAGGGCTGCGGACGCTGTCTATTCGCATCGAAGCCTTCCCTCAGGTACGTGGGATGCGTGGTGGGCTAGCGGTGTCCCAACGCCTCGAACAACGCGAAGCTTGGAATATCCTCACGGCGGATGCCGTTTGGGCGCCACGATTGCACGCTCTTCGCTTAGAGGGAGGTGAAATTACTTCCACCCAAGTCTCCAGATTGCTTCGCAGAAGCCGTTGGTGCCGAGAGTTGTGGCTCAGTAAATGCGCCCTCGTAGACAAAGGAATCTGGTCTTTCCTGGCAAATGAATGGGCAACGGCCAACGCCTCGCTGCGTATCCTCGGCATCATGGAATGTGGTGGTCAGCTTGACGAGGAAGTTCTCGAACTCATTGACAGACTCGAAGGCTTGCAGGTAAGCCACCCCTACCCGGTTCGCCGGGTCGTGATACGATGAAGGTGGAAGGTGGTGTGGCTGACCGACCAGTAGTTCCTATTTTTGCAAGGGGTCGCTTCTTATAATGTGAGCAGCGAGGTTGTCGCGCAGAGAAACGAAACGTACTGGCGTATCCCGGAGTTCATCCCCCCGGTTTCTCCCGCCTTCATGGGGACAGTGATTGAGGCCGATCCACTCTATATGTAGGCGGAAGGCTACCCTTAAGGGATTGGTCTATGCACATTTTGAGTAAGACAAGAGACTTGTGCAATCGACACTGACATATGGGGCCCACAGTTTCTTCAAGATCCCTCATAGCTTGAAGGCTCAGAGTTTGCCTGATCGGCTTAATCTCATTGCCAACCGTTCGTTTATTCAAGACAGGCCACTTCTCGAGCGTGCATTCCTTCATGTAGGCCGTCCAAATCGGTTCTGTCCCCTAAGTCCAAGGTACGGAAAGCGCCCAGGGATCAATATAATCGTGTCAGTACATCCGCGTCATCCATCTGCGTCGACAACGATAAGGAAAATCAAAATGCTATGACAGCTTCAAAAACAACATCCCCACAGTCTCTTCCGAAAGGGTGAATATACAAAACCCCTTTCCGGCATTACAAGTCAGTCATGAACTTTAACATTAGCAGGGCTTCGGGAAGTCTCCATATACGCATAGCACGGAATTGGACAAGGGAGACAAGGCGAAATGCGCTCTTCAATGAAAGAAAGGGAATACAAGTGGAGTGGAGAGAAGAAGATTGAATGGTTCATATATTTTGGAAGTGACAGTGAAGACAACCTGTGCTCCATTTATTCCCAACCAGCCACCCACGTTAAAGGACCAAAATGAAAGAAAACAGATAGAACACAATCGAGGAGTAAGGCATAGTTGTCAAGGCTGCACTGTAGGTGTTGGTTCCGAGACGTATCCGGCTTTGAATGCAAACTTCAGACGGCCACTCTTCCCGAAACCTGATGGCGAAATAGAACTCGAAGAAGATTTAAGGTTTTGCGTTCCGTAGACGTAAACGAAGTATTACCACGGTTGAGCGTCCGTCCAGATAACGGTATGAGTGGTTGACTGGACCGAATAAGGGGTTAAAGTTTTTTACGTCGCTGCAAATGGCAGTGTTTAACGGATGACTCCAACTGCCTTCTAAGCGCAACGATGTCCTGGTAGACCACCGTCTTCCGGCCGGCCAGGTTTCCTTGGTAAGTTGGGATTCGTCGGGCGTCGCGCGCTTTCGGGAACTCTGGGTTTTTTAGGTAAGCCGTGCTCGTTTCACAGGGGAATCGCTCTGGTCATCGGGTTCCTACTCCGGCCGAGGCCTTTTTGCGCCATGAGGATTCCAGTTCCCATCATTACCACCCATGTTGGGGTTCTGGTTGAAGAAGGCCGGATTGAAGTGGCCTTGACCTCCACCACCAAACCCACCAGGTCCACCTGTGACACGAAAATTAGCATCATAACAGCGAAACAGGGAGACGCTTCCGTCAGCGTTGTGGTGACAAAGAAAACGGGTTGCTGTACCCATTCCGCCCATCATGCCCATGTTCCCACTCATACCCATCATGCCACCGCCCATCATGCCCATGTTGCCGCCCATTGGCATGTTCATCCCGCCGCCCATGGGGTTCATGCCCATGTTGCCCCCTCTGCCACCGCGGGCGCCCATGCCGGGCCCCATGCCGCCTCGCATGCCGCCCATCATCCCGCCGCGATTGAAGCCAGGGTTGAACGTGTTCATACCGCCCATGGGGCCTCCGAAGTTAGTCATGGGCATTGGCCCGTTGAAACCGCCCATTCCACCGCCCATGTTACCGCCCATGTTTCCACCCATGTTGCCGCCCATAGGGCCAGAAAAGTTGCGGTTGAAGCCCGCATTGGCCTGGCCCCCTCGGCCGCCGAAGCCACCCCTAGGGTTGTTGAAGCGATTGAATTGGCCGCCGCCGAGACCGCCTTGGTTTCCAAAGGTTCCTGACGCTGCGCGATCTCCGCGACCCTTGTCTCGTGCAGGCACATCTTTCGGGAGCGTCTTGAAGGGATTGTGGTTAGGTCGATCGAAAATGGCCGTTGGCTTCTTGATGTGAGCTTGATCTTTGTATATCGCCTCGACTCGGTGTTTTAAGGCAGTGGCCGCCTGAGGGGTCTCTAAATGCACATATACTTGGCTGGGATGGGTCAGTACAGTGATCGTACTCTGCTGAGTGCGCTATTAAGCTTACCCTTTGCTCTTACCGTTGACTTTGTGCTCATTGAAGGTGACCTCTATTAGCTCATCTTCGCACCCACTTTGGTTAGCCCATCCTCGGATGTCTTCTTCACTAATCCACCAGTTCAGGTCGTTGATTGTGAGAGCAGCGGTCGCGCCGGGGTCAACAGGCCGATCATCATCTTCGCCTTGCTTGCGCTTAACGCCTTGTTGTTGGGGAGCTTGCTTGTGGAGCGGTGCCTGATTGTCTGTTGAGCCCCCCGTAGATGAAATTTGCTGAGTGCCATTCGCCTGATGTGAATTCCCGTCCTCTGCCCCATTTGTGGTATCCTGCTCCTCAGCTTCTCCGTGCGATTCAGCCTGTGTATGATCCATTGTGTCTGCAGGAGCTTCTTCGTGTACCTGAGCGTCATTCGGGCCCTTGTCTTCGTGCCTCACGCCGCCTTGTATGTCTTCTTGGTAGTCCGCGGGCGCATCATCTCCGTAGATGTCGATATCGAAGTTATCGTCGTCCGCCATTTCTGCCTGTAGGGTTCAAACTGCAAGTTGGGGTGAGAGAGGAGGTGGGGATGAAGGCAGGTATCTTGAATTAGCTTGTAAATACTTGATTTGCCAAGCTTATGAGCCAGAGTACATGCAATTCTGTGCGCGGACAATCATCAGCAAACTAGAGGACAGTGTGACTGGGAAAGAAGAGCATCGCCAGTAGAGAAGAGCGCGCAATGCCACCAAGAACAGAAACGCGGAAAGCTTCGAGGAGATACGTACAATTCCGCTCCTGAGGCTGGAAATGAAGCCCAGAAAGAGATGCTGAGATCAAGAGGGTGTAGAAAGATCCGATCGCCTCTGGCAGATGCGGAGATAGAGGAGGTACAGGATGTGAAAGTTGGGCAGCTTTCCGCGTTTGCTTTGCCTCGCGTGTGTTCACGCCTCGCGAACCAGACCTAGGACAGCTGCACGTGGTGCCAACGCCGTGTGCCCAAGCCCCTGGAAACAGATATAGGGCGGATCCGTCCGATCAAAATAATGAGATGAGATACAGAGGTATGTATGCGTGAAGCGGTTACAAAAGTCGAATCCTCCCTGGTGCTTCCCGAAGGAGTCACGTCTCCGACAGCGCGCGCCGATACAATCGAGTATCGTAGATTTCCTACACGAGACGAGTGAGTTAGTTCAAATTGCGGAACCAACCTGTCGAGAGATGGAGAGGGGATGTCCTGGCAAGTGAGTTTGCAAGAGAGATGGGTGAAGGAGTCGCCAGCGATCTGCGTTGAGGAGCTTGGACGGTCAAATAGGGATTAGCGCGCCAGCAGTAATCTTGGCACGCGCTAGCAGCAGTTAGCGGCTCTCCCTCCGTGATGCGCAATGTGTCCAGAGCCCGGGGGGTCGCAGCAACTCCCAATAATTTCTGGACGACGACCACTTCCCACCTATCGAAGTTGACGAGTCCAGTACGATTACAATCACCGTCTTAAACGACCGGAGAACGAGTTCCACAACTTCATTTCCCTTATACGACCGCACCGTCATCGCAATGGATCAAATCAAGGAGCTGGCCGAGTACGCAGACACGCAGACCCAGTTGCGCAGGAGGAACTCGATAGCTAATTGCTCTACAGTGTGCCGCAGGAGTTTGTTAAGGACGGCATGCTGTTCATCAACCGGTGCACCAAGCCTGACAAGCGGGAATTCCTCAGTATGTTGAGCTTGTCATTTCGAACAGGTGTACCTCTCTCTAACATCGATCAGAAATCTGTCAAGCAGTGGGCGTTGGTTTCATAGTCATGGGCGTCATTGGATACATTGTCAAGCTCGGTATGTGCAGACTGGAATTCCTACGAGCGGAGACTTTGGCTCTCGCAGGACGCTGACACCTAGCAGTGCACATCCCTGTGAACAACATCTTGGTGGGCGGCTCGTAAACGAGGAGACCCGAAGCGAAGCAGAAAGGCATGGGAGCTTGGACGAATGAGTGCAAGCAAGAGCGAGGTGTACACTCGGAAAGTCCAAACACCAAAACCGATCGATATCACATTTGCGGAGAATGAGATTGCGAGGCCGGAGAGCGCCAGCCAAGCGCCAGGACTGTACAACATGAAGCATTTGGGGAGCGGGAGTTTGATCATCCATTCATATATACACATCATGAGCCAATTCATGTTCATTCGGATACCCAGAAAGCTCTTGGGACCTGATTTCGAATCAACCATGACACCCCAAACCCCTGACACTACAAAAATCCCAAGATCCCAACTGATAAGGATAGACTCCGGCCACTCTCCGCATCGTGGATATATACTAATCGTCCTCGTCCGTATTCTCCGTCGTCTCCCCTTCATCCACCTCATACTGATACTCTGACGCCTCCTCTTCCTCTGACTCCTCCTCATCGAGCCACTGACTATGATGCCAAGCGCCATCCCGACCTGAGTGACCCGATGGCCGGTAGAGTCTCTCATCATGCGCAAGCCTGGCATTGACGCGTCTCCCGACCTTAGGTTCCGCCTCATCCTCGTCAAGGCCATCGTTCCAGGTATGTACAGTGCATGTCCCTTGCGAGATGCCCCATCCATTCCACGACGTGGCTGCAGCTCAGTTAGCGTAGATTTCACGGGTGCGTCCATAGACTGTTACTGACCAGCTATAATGGGCGCATTGGGATGCCACGAGGCATCGCGCACACAAGTGCTCCAATGTGCATGATTGTTGCCGAAATAACCCCAAGAATCATGCGGCATGCGAGTATCCCGCGGTCTAGAGTTTCTTGTAGCAGCAAGCACGTCTACCTTTCCAGCGAGGGTAGCGTCCAGATTCCAGACATACACTGAGCCGTCGAAGCTTCCGGAATAAACGTATCTTGAGTCGGAGCTGCCAGGAGGCGAGAAGTGGCAGCGGATAAGCGTTTTGAGGACCTGGTGACCACGGAAAGTCACCAGAGAACAGTCGTGTGGATGCGGCATATACTCGTCCTGCGGGTAATGATTACTGCGATATTCGAAGCCTAGAGTGTACCTCGAGATGTCTATCCGTTCGGCCTTGTCGGCGCTCATCATCTTCCGCAAGTCCCAGAGCTTGGCTGTTTGATCTTTAGCATTACTTAGGACATATCGGCCGTCTCCTTTGCTGTCAACGTAAGTCAGGCCTTCGGTATGCCCTAGGAAGACTCCGGCTGGTCGACCATCTCCCATACTTCTCCGGTCCCACACTTTAAGCGTCGTATCGTCAGATCCGGAGTACAGGATGTGGGGAGAATTCACGTCTCCGAAACAGACGGCGTTTACGTCGTTCTCGTGGGCTTCAATGCGTAGAGTGGTTCTCCCTGCGTCGATATCATAAACGTAAACCCCGTTGTCTCCAGCGCCTGCTACGATTTCTCGGCCGTCACCGGAAAACCGTATTGACCATATCTACCTAGGTTAAGATGAGCCTTTTGAGTAGAGAATTTTACTTACGCCAAAATAGCTCGGATACCCAAGATTAAACGAGGAATCTGCGAAGTCGAGTAAACGGGGTTCAGATCTGTCTTGGGGGTCTGTAGGTGCCAGACAGACCACGCTCCGTATGGAGCTGTAGGCTAATAAACGGTTATCGGGGCTCAATGAGGCATCTGTTATCGTCCACTGCCCATAAGGGTATTCCACAGTCTGTGAAAACTCAGTGCAGGTCCTGTGGTGGGAAGCTGTTCTAACCGACCTTGTAATACTTCCAGTTGTAAGGATTCGACGTATCGTACATTCGGACGCGGAAGTCCTGCGCACAGGAGAAGAAGAAGTTGCCATCGTCGCTGAACTGTCCCGAATAACATCGTGCATTGTAGTGTATGATGAGATCGGCTTGTGTCCCTGGTATCATGTCCTGCTTCATCAGCCTGTTGGCATTTCTTTGCCTGCCCTCGCTTCCCAAACCTAGCTCCCGTCGCATGATTTTGTGTTGCAGACGCCTCTTCCGCCTTATCGTATCCTCCGGTCGTGGATTTGATCCAAACGTGCCGGTATTCATCAAAGCTCTTCCCTCCTCACTAGGGACTTTTTCAAATGCCGCCGGGCCACGGAGTCTCTTGCTTTTTGAACCGGCAGGACCGGCTTCGTCTTCATCGAAATAACGACGAGTGTTGCGGCGCCGGGACCCTCTACTGGGAAAGCCGTGAGCGAATAACCGTCCAAGTCCAGCATGGCCGAGGAGTTGTATGATTTGTTCGTGAGTAATGACCACCCGATTATTGGCATGAGTGTCTGCGGTCTCTTCTTCCTGATTCCCCTCTTGCCCCTGTTCTCCCTCTTCCTCTTCCTCTTCGTCGTCGAGTCCGCCGAAGTCGATTTCGAGCTCTAATCCGCTGAGATTCTCTTCGGCATCTGTGGAAACGGGTTAACTTCTGATTCCTGCATCGGATATAATCTTTCCGGATATACCATGGAAACTTCCTCCGCTCTCCTCGTCCTCATGTTCCCCTTCCCCCTGACCATCCATGTCGTCATCGTCACTCATCTGGTCGAACCAGGCAATGTCATCGTCAATATTGAGCTCAGGAGACTCTTCCCTCCGCGACTGACTTGGACTCATCCTGATGCGTTCGAGTGCGCAAAACGGGTAGATGGGTGGCTGAAGGGCGCATCTTGCTCATGAAGAGTAATCGGTAGTTATGAAAGCTATCCGCTTAGGTCACCGGGGTCCCGAGGCGGAAGTACCCCACTATCTCCGAAACCCTTCCCGCTAGCCTAAGAAGGAGGCATCGCACCCGACGACCTGTGAATAGAGAAGGCGCGTGAATCTGGTTACACATTCCTGATTCCCCGTCGCTTTCGTTGGTTTACTGTCCTCGTCCTCATTCTGGAGAGGCGTCCTACAGCCAGGCGCATTACCACACTGAATAGCTCATTCGAGATATCCGTTCCCGTAAACAACTCCCCCATCAAAGCTTTGACAAGGACGTTTAGCAGACAAGAGAGATGTGCCTTTCTGCAATAAGATAGCTTTCTTGGGGCCAACTACCCCTATGCAGACTCCTTAACGATCAACACTTGACCACCGCCAACATGTCCCGCGGAACTCCCTCCCCTCTCCATCTCCGCCAACCAAATATAAACATACAAACCCTATGGCCCATACTTTTCCTTCTGATTCTCGTCAACCTGACCACGAGCCTCTACTCCCTCCCTCTAAATCGCGTCATCGAGAAACGCCTATGTCAAGAACACTACGCCGGCGACTCCAATGTCACGCGGCCAGGAGGTATGATACCAGAAGAGCTGTGCAAGATTGACGCTGTTCAGAAGCGGCTTGCTTGGTTTCAGGGCATTATGGAGACGACGTTGGTGGTGTGTGGTATGCATGATGAATATATAAAATAAGCAAAGTGAGAAGCACGCCAGCTGATCCGAAATTGTCAGATGTAATCGTTACCATCCCATTCAGTTTCATTGCTGAGAGATACGGTGTTCGGATCGTGTTATGGTGTAATCTGGTTCCGCGGATTACGCTGTCAGTCATGGCAATTGTGGTGGGTGAGTTGTAGTCCTCGAGCATTCACACGCTTCGGATTATCTCCCTGCTCATTGATGCTGTATAGGAACATTAGATCATATCCTCCCAGCAAAAACCATCCTCGCTGGGCCATTCCTTGCTGTGTTTGGAGGAGAATGTGTCTTCAGCTCCACAATCTTCACACTGACATCCGCTCTGAGTAATGACTATGTACAAAGGTAAATCACTCTGCCATACAATTTCACATCATCTGTAGTGTTGACTTTGGAATCAGAACATCCTACTTCTCGTACGTCAGCTCTATCTCTTACGTCGTAGCCTTTGTCGGCCCCTCGCTGGCGTCCCTCACCATGAGCCAGAGCTTGTGGTTACCCTTCTGTATCAACATCGTATTGCTCTTCGCCGCCGTACCGACAATCCGTCTCCTTCCAGACGCAAAACACCTCCTCGTCCAACTACCCATCACAGACATCATAGACGGAGAAGTCGACAATGAAGAAACCTCTAGGCCCCTGCTCCGTCCCAGATCACCGAAGCCGGACAGATACACCCACGCCTTCGACACCACCGACAAGTTCGGAATCCTGCAGAGCACACTGCACGCCACACGTACCATCATCCGGCTCGTCACGGCCCGACGGAACTTCCAGATCATCCTCCTCTCCGCCTTCCTCACAGCTATAGCTAGTTCCGACACCAAACTCCTCGTTCAATATATCTCCAAGCGCTACGCCTGGACATTCGCACAGGTACGACCCACGCAATATTTCTCTATGCTTCATCCATTGTCCAACCTTCCAACATCTCCCTAATCCAAAGGCGGAATCACACAACAGGAACCCATAACTAACAAGCACTTTCCAGGCCGGCTACCTCCTCTCCGCCAAAGCCCTCATCAACATCCTCCTCCTCACCGTCATCGTCCCCCTTCTCATCCAGCGCACCGCCTCAAGCCAAACCCTCCAAAACAAAGACGCCGTCTCAGAAACGGAGATCCGAATGAACTATCTCGCTGCCGAAGCTAGTATCGCCATCTCCGTCATCGGCGTCCTATGCGTGGGTCTGGCGTTTAGATTTTGGATGTTGTTAGGTGGTATGTTTGAATTGTTTCTAGCTGCGGTTTTCTATCCTCTTTTCTCATATTCCCTTTCCCCGTACCCCCTTTCCTCATACTCCCTTCCAAATATCCCTTTCTCGATACCCCCTTAATACTACGTACTTCGGTAGTTACTATCGCGCCTCCCAATATCCACTCTGCTGCTCTCCCCCTTTCACCCCACACTCCACGCACTCCACCCACACCCTCCACCATCCACCCTATCCGCCCCCCAAACCCCACCCCCACTTAACTAACAACCTCCCCCCTTAGCCCTCCTCACCTATGCCCTCGGCTCCGCCCTCCCAATCTTCATCCTCTCCCTCCTCAAATCCCCCCTCACAACCACCAACCCAGCCTCCCCTTCCCCCTCCCCTTCCCAGTCCCCCTCCCCCTCCAATAACCACTCCATCCCCATCCTCACACTCGTAAAAACCCTCGGCTCCCTGGTAGGCGTGCCGCTGATGACAGGGCTCTGGGTGCAAGGGATCAGAATCGGGGGAGCGGGGTTGGGATTGCCGTATTTTGTTTCTGCTGTAAGTAAGTTCTTTCTTCTGCTGTTTTGAGGGGGTGGAGTGGAGACGGGGAAAAAGGTTGGGGGGAGGAATGTAGGAGTGAGGTTCGGGTTGTGCTAACGGGGACTTGTCTAGGGCGTGTATTTGAGTGCGGCTGTTGTGGTTGGGAGGCTGGAATGGTGATCGAGACGTGTGTGCGGTCATCATCGAGATAGAAGAGGAGGGGAGCAACTCAGGTTGCAACGCACTCCGGGAACAAATACGAGGTTTGAATCAAGTCTGAATGATGAGGGAAGTACTATAATCATCCATTATTACAATAGGGGTAGCAACGCTAAACCCACGCGCCTCAGTCCCGACTCTCTTGTACATGGTATCAATAACACCGCCCCTGCCAAACCCACAATACTCAAAACCCCATCACCATACGCCCATCCCCATCCCTAAGAATCCAAGCAATCCCACAAACAACCCAACTCCACATCCAACAAAAATCCCCCCTTCCCTCCTCCCTCTATACCCAAAGCAACCACCTAATAACCAAAACCAACCACCCAACCCCCGCCGTCACCATCTTCACCACCACCAAAACCCTCACCACCCCCCAAACCCCCCACATAATCGCCAACAGCATCCACTCCAGCACCCCCCACAGCAGCCGCGTCACCCACCTCGTCCGCCTCCTCCTCGCCCTCAGCATCTTCTCCACCCCATCCACCACCTGCTGAACCTCCAGCGGCGCCTTCGCCCCAACCTCGCTCGAAATCCTCTGCGCCTCGTCCGCCCCCTGCCGCACGCGCGGAATCATCTCCGACTCCACGCGCGCCTTGACATTCGTCAGTGCGCGATTCAGCTCCGTGATGGTATGCGTGCGATACCGCTCTGCCGATTTCTGCACCGCCGCCGTCGAGGCCTCGAGGTTTCGAACCAGGATCCTGGCAGCGAGCGCATGCTCTTCTTTCCTGGCGACGGGGATCAGCTCCGCGTTTGCGGCTTTGGCGGCATCCCTTAGGAAAGCGGGGGCCTCTGTTCGCTTCGTCTGCGCGCGGCGAGCGATTTCGCGGGCCTTGATGCCCGAGCAGAGGAACAAGGCGCGGATACGTGCAATATCGGACGCGGTAGGGACATGGGCGGTTGTAAAGCGGCGAGGGTTATTGGGATCGTCGTCAGTGATGCTCCAGTGACGGCTGGCGAAACGGGGACGCGGGTGATCCTGGTCACAACGGCTAGAAGCGTCGGAGTAGACGTCGTAGGTTGAGGCTCTTGAGATGCCTGGTTGGCTGGGGCGACGGGTGTAGATAGTGTCGCTGTGGACCCTTTCGAGCTCGTGGGGACGGGGAGACAGAGAGGGAGATTGGCCTGGGGAGGATCTGGAGGATATTGAACCTAGGTTCATGCGCGGAGGTGCGAGACGATCGAAGCGTGGTGAGCGGCTGTTAGCTCTAGCTCGAGCTTGCTTGGTGACGTGGTCCTCTATCTCGATCTCCGATACCAGAGTTCTGCCACTGTCTGCTTCATGCTGAGATCGGAATGTAGGTAGCTCAATATGGTAGTTATTACCAGTCTTCGACCCGGTACTGACAGGAGTGGGACTGTAACCAAGACCTCTTTCGTTCTTCTTACTCGAGTCTTCCCCAGCATCCAAGTCTCCCTCCAACGCATCGTCAAAGTCTACGTCAGATTCCGAATCCGAAGAAGGCCGGTCTCTCTTGAAGATAAACTCCCCAACTTTGGTGCCTTCGCTCTTGACACCCTTTAAGAAACGCGTGACGGCAGACGAAGGCTCTTTCGACTCTCTGGAATCTCTGCTCTTCCGCTGATTCGGGCTGCCCAAAGTGCTGATACTCTCCTCTTTCTTATGCGTCAGCAAGGACTTCACGGCGTGTCCTAGCCCAGCTGGATCCGGAAACTCAGTATTTGTGCGTCTGCTTCCGGTCTTTCCCATACTAGCTGAAGACGGTTCATGCCTTAAGCTGTCGAACTTCGGGCTGCTTCTGGCGCTTTCATCTACGCGGAAGAAATCCAGTCTACCCTTCTTGGGCTTGACCGCATCGCGGCCACGGCTCCCTGGCGGCGAAGGTTCACTCTCGACTCGAGTCAGATTCGGTGCATGAAGAGGTGTACCTGGCGCACTGCTGTAATCGAGGGAAGTTCTCTGTTCCCCAGCCAGTTCCTCTCGGCGTATGCGATTCGCAGGCGGGACTTTCAGCCCCCTTCGCACATCGCCTCTTACCGATCCGCTCGTATATCCTGCCGATTCTAACGAGTCACGACCTGTGGTACTTTTGGAGAGACCCGGGAACCCGATTCCCCATTTATCAGGCGTATCGGGCGATACAAAAGCAGGCGACTTCCCTTGGGCCCCTTCCGCCTCCTTCGCTAGTAACTTCTCAAGATGCAAACCAAGGGCGCCGGTATTCAAGGATGGTTCCACAATATGGCGAGCTGACTTGGACTTCGAGAGATCGAGCTCAAAATCGGACGACACCTCGGAATCAGTGCCGCGGCGGCCTTCTCTGCCCTTTCCCGTGTGTAGGTGAGGAAGTGGTGCAAGTGCTCTGAGCTTCGGACTCTCAGGTCGGAACGGCGGTATTATTCTTCGCTTCCGACCTCTCTCGCTCAAAGGCTCACTTTCGTCACCCGTTGTGGGCTCCCCGACGCCCGGTAGACTCTCCACCAGACTTGCCTTGCGCTTGTCCGCGTATTCCTTGCTTGCACGCGGCTCAAGAAGGTCTGATTTCTTCGGCGGTTCCCGTTCCGATAATTGAGGAAAGACCTTGTGCCCATGCCGATCTTCAATCAGCGCCTTGTTCCCATCCTGCTCAAGCCAAAGAACATCGGCGAAAAGCTCCTCAGTAGTGAAGTTCCATCCCATACGATGTTTCGTCGGCTTGCTAGGAACGGCATCTCTCCCATGATCCTCGTCAAATTCAGGTAAGTGGACACGGTCCTCACGGCGATAGTCTGGACGAGCAGACTCCTTCTCCACTCGATCAACCCAGGTTCTGGCTTTCTCTGCGTCTGCAAACTCCTCGGGCGTATGCTGGAGGTTCATTCTCTCGCGAGCTCTTGTCCTCCGGTTCCTTAGATACTGCAGAGGGTTGTAAGGGCGGCCTAAAGCGTGTTTCTTTCCCGAATATGACGGTATCCGTGTCATCACTGCGTAAGGGCTGCCGGGGATAGCAGTCGAAGTCGTTGTATAATTGCCCGGAGCAAAAGCATTAGGTTTAAGAGGCGGCAGGTAATCCAACAGTCGTAGATATTCCATCCTCAACTCAATCGCCGCCCGTGCTTTCGCGGCTCGTTCCAAAGTCCCGTCAGTAACCTCCCGCATCAGACCACCCGCTCGGCCACCGAAAGGGGAGATGTTGCCAGACACTCGCCGTTGTTCGTTTAGGTATTTCCGCAAGCTGCCACCGGTTTCAAGATCCCGAAGGTTCTTATCCTTCTGTCTCGCGATGGACGCCACTCGTGAGGAACCGCCTTGCGAGGGGCCAATCAGCTGTCCGGCACTCAGATTCCTTCGTCTGCTCTCGCTCAAACTAAGAGCCAGTTGCACAATCTGTGTGGGGTCTATCGGTGGTCGGGCGGCTTCTTCGCTCGGATCCTGGGGTACTGGCTCGCGCCTAGCTTTCCGTGCGCGCAGTTGTTCGTTGTCCGGGTATCGATTTGCAGATCCGGAGCTCCCGGCTTCGTCCACCACATCATGCTCCTGCATGGACACTTCCCGAGACAAGGAGGAGCTGCTCGTAGATTCCCGCTCCGCATTCCTCGCACGCTCACTCCGCCTATGTCCATATTCCTCGCCCAGACTGGCGCTCTGCCTCTCCTTCCTACCTCTCTGCACCCCATTCCCACTCCTGTGTCTAGCTCTTGGACCCTCAGGAAACGTCCCGTCCAACAGAAACCCCCCAAACCGCGTACTCTTATGTCTCCTATGCGCAAAGTCCTGCTGTGCTATTGATTCCGCACCCAACGGACTCCCAGAATCCTCGGATACCCTGTATGAAGCCTCATTCCCCGCTCTACTGCTGTGACTTGACCCTGCCAGGGTCGGCCTCTGCGACGAGCTACTCCCCTCCCCATTGTCGGGTAGTACGCCTGACCACCGAGAATGTAGTGTAGGCGACGAGTGCGCGGACCGGTTCGGAGACGGTGAAGGGCGGCCATCGGTGGAGGGTCCGGACATGCTCTGGCCAGTTAAGGTATGCGATCCTGGTATCTTAACTAGCTCGTAACATGGTCATGGGATGATGTAGGCGGCTGCCTGCAGTTTGTGAGATTGGAAGGAGTTACAAGGCCATCCACCCTCACGAAGTGAGCGCGCTGTGAAGTGGGGAACAACTGTTTGACTCTGTTTGAGCGGGAAGGGGAGAGTCTGGGAAATGCCTGATTGGGATTAGAGCACCGACGTCACGCCGCATCTGTGCGGCACAAAGCGTATGTAACATTGATTGACGCTTACTAATCCTCATTCACTCCTCCCATGGTTGCTAACAATACGGACATTGAACAATATATCATCTCAACTCGGTCCAGAGCAGCACAGGTAAGATCAGATCAACCGGTTCCGTATACGGAGACCGACCGTGTTGTTAATTCTTAATAGATATATTTATCAACGCACCAAAAACGCCATAGATATGATACGCCAACTAGCAAACCTGTCGTGATATCGCTCTGAACCTTATCACAACTTTGAGCCGTAACCTCCAAATGCCCGCTTGAGAGAATGGTATTGCCATGAAGAACTGCCGGCCTTGATCCGGCCCCGAAACCTTCCAAAACGGTGAAAACTTTCGCTTCAACCTAGATTAACACACACCCCTTTCGCGACGCGCGTCCATTCGCCACATCGTGTGAGCTTCTATGATGCAGTTCCCGGCGCATGCTGCGGCGCCATCGGCGACTGTTGAGTCCTCAACTCCGCGATATCGCCCGTAGTAGGGAAAGGACGAGGTCCGCCAACACTCGCCGCCGGTGGAGGGGTAGGAGTTGGACTCACCCCCGCGGAACGATGATATCCCGTGTCTGTCAAAGTGCCCGTGACGGGATTGTATACTGGATCGCGTTGTGCATCGGACAAAGTATACGTCTGCTGAAGCTCGTATGAATCGTCCTCGTCGGAAGACGAGTAGTCGTATGTATCGTGGCGTCTCGGGGCTCCTAGGTACGGGTTTTGTGTGGGCATTTGGTTCTGATATCCTGCAACTTTCGAAGACAGAGTGGAATCCATGGTGTCACTGTGTTGTAGGCCATAATCCCGAGCCTCCTCCTGTCTTCGTCGATTCGACTGAGCGATCTGCTGGCGGAAGACATTAGTACCTGCGCCTGCGGCTCCTCCGAGTGCCGTCTGTGAGAATCCGGAAGAGGCAGCTTGAGCCTCGACGTCGGATGGCTGGCGAATGGGTTGCAAGGGCTCGGTATCCTCATCGATCTGAATCCTTGGATACTGCGGTGGCTGCGGTTGGCGGCCCCAGCTCCTAATGGGGTATGCACGTCCTTTCCGCCACGTCTCGGATATGGGAGGGAAGTATTGACGATAGGAGAGCCAAGCGACAAGAATTCCCACAAGGCTACCTGATATTACGTCAAAAGGGTGATGTCGCGCATCCATGATGCGTGAGCCAGCCACGAGCGCAGCACCAAGAGTGGGACATAGGACGACGAATGCCTTCCACACTTCGCCTTTGGAGTCCAGGATATGTAGTTTCGCTGCTAGATAGAGGGAGAGGTAGAAGAGGCCGGCAAAGGCAGCTAGACCACGTTAGAACTTCCTCTGGAATAGAGAACTAGTCAGGTACGTACTGCTGCTGTGGCCCGAGGGGAAACTCTTGAACCCGTCCTGAAGAATCTTATCGTCTTCCTGCGTGCAAATCTCGATCGTGCGTAGTGGCCACCTCGGATCTCCTGCAATTTTAGTGTTTTCCCAATCTTCCCTGACTTTGCACCTAGTCAAAGTCAGCATCCATCTGCACGGGATTTCCACAGCTCCAGACATACCGGTCAATCAGATCAGGCCGTGGCTTCCCGATAGCATTCTTCAGAGCTCCTATACCGTCGTCAGTATACTATCATTTCCGTCTTCCCCTCCAAACGTACCCGTGATTGTAAACGCGAGCATCACGCTGAGGCCCAGGCCCAGGATACCGCAATTAAGCTCCCAGAGCCTGTCCTTCAGTCTATATCTGCCCGACAGCCGGCGCAACCCCCTATTCTCGGCCGGCATGGGCGTCTGGTGGGAGAAGAGGCCATCAATGACCAGGGTGTATATCGCAATGATGGCGGCCGGCGCAGCAACGACGATGAGACAGAGCTCGAACACCGGTATTCGTTCCTTGACGGCGAAGGGATAGTGTAACGAGTAGTTTTCCATGGAGAATGGTTGGTGGAACGGTTCGATCTTATCGACGATGTAGAAGGCTACTATGAGGGCTCTAGGGTATGGTTAGCTGAAACCCCACTGAGGAAGGTGGTCGTGTGCGTGGAGGCGCCTACACTATAATGACATAGTCGAGTATGTACCTGTGAAGAGTCGTCAGTATTCGCCCTGGAAGGATTGTAATCGCACACAACGTACGAGAAAATGACCCGCTTAGGGAGTCGCTTTTTGGAGAAGGGAAGCCGTTCTGGGAGCCGGTCCGGCAGCTTGTTCGACGACCAATCCATGGTGAATTACTTTAGCTGGCGGCGCACCAGTTATGGTAGCCGTATGTGCGCAAAAGGAAGAGAAGTAGTCGGAAGCGGTGAATGTTGGCTGTGTCTTAGGGAGTGTGAAACATGCGAACTCTCGCGGAGAGACGCGCAACAAAAGGGGGCAGGAGGAATAAGGAAGGATGAACAAGATGGACGTAGGGAATATTCGAGCGGCGCCGTTTCCATCAGCCGCAGGCTCCTCAGGGCAGTGTAGAGAGAGAACGAAGTTGGTCTGCAGTAGTCGTCAGGGTGGTGGCTGAGGCGCTTCAAAGCTGACTAGGCGTGCCTCCTCTCAAGTGGACCTCCGGGAATGTTTCGCCCAGAGCGCCAACCTTCGTGGTTCACCGTCATTCCCGCTGTGGCGCAAATCCTCGCCGATGTGGCACAGCAGATATTCCTGTCCACCACCACACCAGCGTCTATTTTCGTGCAACGCCCAGTTACCAGTGGTGGGGTTCCCTCGTTCGACTACATGGTGCGTTTGCCATCAACTTTTGTCTCTCGTTTAGGTGTGTGGGGGTATAAACGGATATTGCCATCTCTGGAATGCTGACAACGATGGGATAGATGCACCAACACATCTCTCACTCAGAATCATTTTCTTGATCACTTCGCACACTTGCCTCTAACATGCACACTTCAAATCAACGCAAGCGGTACACGTAGATACGTACGTACGTGGACCATTCATACCATCATGCTCAATTGCTCTCCCCTTCACCTCCATGTCCTCGATATCCTTCCCATACCCTTTCTTCTCCCGCACCCAAAGCCCTAACCTCCATAAACGCCAACCAAATCGTGGTATAAATACTCTACCAAAATGAAGCAAAACGCAAACCGAGTGATCTTCTCGCAGGAAGGTCTCGTATCATAATCCACATCCACTTCACCATGCCCACTTGAATACACCAACCATGAAACAACATCCATCAATCACACCCTCTGCTCCCTATACGGCTCATAAGCGGCCCCATGCCCGCCATACCCCTGCCCCCCAACAGGCGCCATAGCATGACTCTCGACCCCACTCTGCTGAGCGCCCAAGTACGGACTCGCGACCCGCTCATACGTATACGGGGCCTTCTCCACCACGACCTTCTTGTGCGGGCTCTTGCCGCTGCAGCAGCAGATGCTGATGAGCCAGAAGAAGCCGGCGGCGACGCTGCAGATGACAGCCAGCCAGACGACGGCGAACATGTTGGCGCCGAGCTCGGCCTTGATGCCGTAGGGCGCGAGGACGCTGCGGAAGACGCCGGCGAGGGTGAGGTAGATGGCTGTTGAGGAGCCGGCGGCGGCGATGATGAAGATGGTTTGGGCCTAGATAATATATATATTAGCATGGGAGGGGAAACCGGGGGGGAAAAGGAAAATAGAGTGGAAAACGTACAGCGGCGACGACGGTAGTAACGACACTGCCCCAGCGACTCAGCACCGCGAAGATGCCGACGATGAACTCGACGCCCGTCAATATCGCCGCAATGACCCACGCCGCGAAGGCGAACTTGGCCACCTTGCTGTACGCGTCGATACCTTTCTTCATCTCGTCGTTGTAGATTTGATCGGGGGTGATATCTTTGAATTCCCAGACCTCGATCGGGTTGAACCAGTAGCTCGCTTTGCGCGGGGAGCAGTAGACGATGGTGTCCTTGCCCGAGGCGTCGATCTCGCCTTCGCAGTAGTTCCAGAGGCCGACCTGGTAGAAGTCTTTGAGGGAGGCAGACGTGGAGACGCCTTGCAGGGCATTGATGAGGCGGTTGTCGGTGTCGGTGTGTGGGATGTCGGGGATGTCTGAGAGGGGTTTGGGGTTGAAGTCTTTGGTGTTGGCCTGGGGAAGGTGTTAGTTATCGTTTTGTGTAGTTTTTCATGTCCTCGATGCTATGACGGTTTTGCGACGAGCAGAGGCGAGGACGATGGCGTACCTTGAAGAAATACAGATCCCTTTGGATAGCACTGTTCCTGTTCAACTGTCCCATAAAGACCAGGACCTGGCATATGAGCGACGCGAGGGTCAGGAGTAGAGGCGCGGCGATGCACACGAATCTGCCGAGCTTGCCCATCTCTTCTGTATGTACTCCGTAAGACCGTGTATGTGTATTTCTCGACCTGTGCTCCGTTTAGAATTGCGTTTCGGCTGTGCGCTCAATCCGTTCGTCGATCGTAGGCGTCGTGGTCGTCCTTTTGGTGTGTTGATTATCGGTGAACGTTCGTAAAAGTCCAGTCGTCACAACCGATCGAGTATAAACCCAAAACCCAGATATCCCACACACTGCCAATGGACGTGAAAAAAAACGCGAACCCACAAGCGACAGAGACAAAAAGATATCCAAACAGAATGGCCCTCTTCCCTCTTGAACCTTTTGTACAACGGCCGCGGCGGCCTCAGCCCCCTTCTCGCGGTGCCAGCTCGGGTCCGTGCGAGAGGAGCTGAATTTCAGGGCACCTGGGCGGACCCTGCGCCGCTCGACTAGCTGTACCAAGTTAGCGTTGGAATGCACTAGCCACAGCGACTAACTGGTAATGGTAATTTTATGCTTTTGGAGGAGGTTGGAGGTTGCGCGGAGGGTCTGAGGCGGTGCAGTGCAGGGCTGTGCCGGGGGGTTGCGTAAGCGGTTGTGTTGGCAGTTGGCAGCGGTGGTGGGGTGCGGGTGGTGATCGTTATGGAGCAGATGTTGCGGGTTTGTTGATCCGAATAATGCGAGAGATGAGATTGGAATTCCTCCAGGCGCTTTTCCTCATCTCGGAGCGTATCCAGTTGGTCTCCTCTCACAGAAGAAGTACGGAGTACTTTCTATGTAATCCTCATCGCTCCCACCTCCGGTCTCGCAACTCGACAAACACGACATGCCATCACCAACCCAGCCCAGCCCCCCAGCTCCAGCCAAACAAGACCCTACTTAATCTCGGCAGTCCAACCAATCGCCTCCTGTGCGTCTTTCCCCTGTCGTTCTCCAGATTTAAGCTTTGCGCAGTCAGCCATCTAAAAATACCACTACTCTCTCACGCAGGCATGGCATGGAGCCCTGAGAAGCATATGCCCAGATCGTTCAAGTCCGCAGTTCTGGATACTTTGACGAGTTGGCGAGATGCGGGAATGTAAAGAGCCGCATTTCCAGGTTTCTGGGGGGAAGCGCAAGAGTCGCGGGTGGGAATGCAGGTCAATTCGCATTCCTCATAGAGCAGGCTTTATAGAGCAGAGTAGCATTCGACCAACACCAGTGTAGAACACCATACCTATGTACCAACGATATAGTTATAGAGAGAACCGAGTACTAGGCAAGAGCCTCACAGCCAAGTTCAAAAACAGCTGTCTAAACGCTTGGTATCATTTGTCGAACAACAACATCGCTGAAACATTGCTGAATACCTTCCAATCAGTGCACACGCTCTGTAAAAAGAGTCTATACTTCAGTCCTTCACGACTCCAACTCGAAAACTCCACAGACGTCAATCAGAAGATGCTCGCTATTTTCGCTCTCAAAGCCAAAACCATCATCCTGTAACAAAAACCATCAACTCGCTATCATATACTCGCTGCAATGCACCCTTTGCCCATCCCATCCCAAAAACTCCCCATCCTCACCACACCATGCACACCCAACATAAGAAAAAACCCGCGCGTCGGCACTCTCAAAACACCAACATTCCCAAACCAAGTTAGCCCAAACATGCTTCCCATGAGGGGGTATACCCATGCACACGGAAAAAGGAAAAAACAGTCCCATGTGGTTAAACAATCCCAACAGACACCAATGAAACAACATAATAAAGTGGACAACAAAGGGGAACCGAATCCAAGTTCACACCAGAAGGGGTATTCTAGCCATGGACCCGTGACGTGGCGTAGGCGGACATTAGACGTTATCACTAACATCTCGACTCGTGAGATGGCGGGTATAGGAGGGTATATGTGGAGGGTAGAGGCAACCTTTGCCCCAACACCGAAGCGTCGAGCCGCGAGTTGGCTTCTTACTCGAACGTTGCCTTGCTGGACGCCTGGACGCGCCGCATGCAGACGCGCTGCAGACAGACAATGGAGCCGTGGCTTGATCAATTGCAGCATGCCATACGGCCCGAAGATGTGGTCTGCTGGGCGTCACGCGGCCGCAGGGACCTTGATCTTCTTCGGCAATGAGCCGTCCTGAGGCATATTTAGCCCGGGCCGAATGCTGCCACGTGGGATGCGTCCAAGGGGCAGGGTAGCTTCATGCCGGTGTTGTTCCGGGAGCGCGATGAGACCCTCGATTGGGAGAGACCAAAGGCCTCGAGAGACATGAAGAGTTCCAAAAGCACGTCTAAATGCTACCGCGGCGGATCTTGAGGGTTCTGTTGATTGCGCGGAGAGCCATGGCGACTCTCACCGGACCTGTGGACCCTTTGGCTCTGGGCGTTCTCGGCCGCTCTCTCCGCAGCCTTTTGAGCGTCGATGTCCGATCGGGGAGTGGTATGGGCCCCACTCAGCAAAGAATCAATGCTGAGGTTGTTAATTCCAGAGATGATGGCCTGGATCGTGCAGGCGCAGAGGGCCCTCTCTTCTCGCATGTCTTCGCCCTGCAGGCGGAACTTCTCCTCCTTGGTCATTCGTGCGCGGCGTTTGGCGCGTATCTCGGCCAGGATATGTAGCAGCACGGATTCCGGGCACTTGTTCCGCGGGTTCGCGTATTTCTGGTCCCGGACATATCTGCGGGTGACATCGTATGCACCTTCGGAGGAGAAGGCGATGATATACGACATCTTTTTCTTCCAGCCTGCATCTTGTCAGTACTGACCCATGAAGCAACGCACGCACGAAATGACATACCCTCAGTATACATGAGGGGCTGATCCCACGTGTTCTCTGTCACGTCGCAATGGACCCATCTCTGTTGGTACTCGGACCACACTTCCAGCCAGACATAGTCTTCCGGATTCCAGATCCAACGGACACGAGCCCCTATTGCGCGGCAAAGCATGCCAAAGCAGTTGACCCATTCGCCACACCGTCCCTTCCGTTCCTCTAGCAGGACAAAGGCATCCTTGTATCGGGGGAACCGTTCCAGTCCTTGACATTGCGCATTCGAACATTGATACAGCTCCACCATTCCGGCGCTGCGAGCCTGTTCCTCCGGAAGAGGCGGTGTCCGGCCTAGGCCCACAGTAGGGGCATAGCACCGTGAACACGGCGGGTTGTTGACCCACTCGAAGAAGCTGTCATGGAACCACGTCATAAGGGCACGAATGACGCAGTCGGCATAAGTCCACTTCGGGGCTTTCCCCAGACTCTCGGCCTGTGCCTTGTACACTTGACTCTGCTCCTCGGCGGCCGCGTAGATCCTCTCCGTCGGGACGGCCCGTAATGCGTCGTCTAGGAGACCCGGGTTCTCCCAGTTTGTCGGTGTTTCGGAGAGCATGTGAAGCTGGTTCCTGAAGCGGAGCGATCGTAGATCGGACGGATGCGGGGCTTGCGGGACAAGAGGTATGTTCCGTAGCGACGAGTAGGAGGGTGGCGCGTCGGTGACGGATGGCGATTGCGGCGCGCCCACGAGAGGGCGCGCGGGAGACGACGTTCGTGCTTGTGCGAGGGAGCTCAGTTGATTCATGCGCCGTGTGCTTAGTCGTTGTCGGAACTGAGTCGTCATGTCCTTTGCGAACTGCGTAGGGTCGATTGGCGTCCCTTCTGGAGGCTGGGGCCGCTGCCCTGCAGGCACGCGCGAGCGCTCCATCAGGGTCTTTCGAGAGTAGTGGTCAGTGAAGGTGATGATTGCCGGTGAGTGAAGGTCGGAGTGTCGAGGAAGCGTGGAGGAGTGGTGGAGGAGGTCGACGAGTGACGACTCCTCAGACCAGGCTGCGATGGGGAATGCACAGCCCACAATGATGCGGCGGCTGTACACGATGGCGCAGCAACGAGGAACCCTCGACGAGACGCTTCGGGCGATGAGGCACAGAAGCAGCCGGCTCTTGAGCTTGACGATAGCGCAGAGGGCGGCGAGCGCAGAAAAAGGAGAATGATGCAAGAGATAAGCGCAGAGGCAGACGAGACGAAACGTGGTGGTGAAGGGCCGAAGCGCTCTCTCTCGGGGCGCTGCCGCGGAGAGTGATGGGGGGGCCTTGGCGGCGATGTCCACGAAGCGGCCGCGTAATCCCCCTGGCCAGATGCCGAACACTTTTCTTCCACTCCCGCCCCGTGGCGTTCCTCCCGGGAGTGACAATAACCGTAGTAAGTGAACTTGTCGAAACTGTTGAAATTGTCGATGCAAAACCCCAGGATTAGATCAGGAACTCCCTTTTCGTTATGGCGGACTTGAAACCTTAGGTAGAAGTTCACTTGGAGATGGATGGCTTGGGTGAAGAGCTCGGATCGCTGTGCTTTTGGTAATCAAAACCAGAAGAACAGGGGACTCCCGCGGCAGATGCACGCGTCCTGGACACTGGGAAACCGCTATCGAGCAATAATAACAATTTAAAGTATCAACCGCATCTCAACAACCCAAAGGAGGCTTGCTATATAGCTCTTTGATCTATCAACTCCTACTATGCACATACGCAAGCAGCCGCTCCATCCCCGATATCATGGCAGCCGGATAATCAACAGCTGGTTTGTCAGGCCGCGTGTACTAGTACTCCCGTTACACCCATACCGCACACACGTAACCCCTCGCAGCCTCATGACCACTGGTGTCTTGCTCGAGAATACTAATCCGTCTGATATTGTAGACTACGAGGCTCCGTGGATCGGGATCGCATTAGCTGACTGTGTGGGTCCTGACCCTGAGCCGTGTCTTTGCCCCTCAGCACAGATCGTTACGCCATCGTTACGGTCTGGTGGAACAACCGCTTACAAAACTTCCGTTCCCTACGCATCCTTCTCCCCAGAATCGCCACCGCCCTCTCAACGTTTCCCTAATCAACACCTACCATCTACGCGTCGCGCAAAGAAGCTTACGACTCTTCCAAGTACTACCGCTCGCCGTCGCGCGCCCCAACCCGGCACCGGAATTCGACGAGCTGTGCTTTGTAAAACACTACCAACACAACGCCAGAAGTGGTAGGAGATACTTTGGTATCAGTCGGGCTTTGCTGACATTCCTGACATTATGATTGGCCAATTGTACTACTCAGTTTCACCTTTCTTTATACGGAATTCAACGGCTCATTTCTAATAAATAACGCACGTGACCCAGCCTCCCACAACATCCATTGACTGTATCTCTAGAACCACAACAGGAGGCAACACACGTCCTCGCACAACGAACACATCATCCCACAGCAGGCACCACTTCCCCTCCCTGCCTGAGTATCACTCATGAGCACCCACAAACCTCGGCGGCAGATCCAACTCCCACGACGGCCTCTCCACCAGCACCACCTCCAACGGCTCGTCATCCCTCCCTACCGGCACAATGCCAAGAATGGGACGATACTTCAACGTATGCCACCACGCGTCCTTCTCCCTCTTCCTCCCCTCCTCTTCTTCGTCCCCTTCCCCATCCTCCGCGGCAGTCTCCACACCATTCACCTCCCGCCCACGTAAACTAGCCAAAGTCAACCTCCTCGCCTGCCTATCATCCTCATCTTCTTCCTCGCCGTCGTCGTCAGACTCGGCCGTCCTGTCCAAGGCCCCAACGTCAATCCATGTCGATCTCCCCCCCGCAGATCCCTCCCCCTTGCCACCGCCGCTCTCGAACTTGCGGATCTTGGAGACGGGTGCCTGCCTAGATCGCACGACGTCGCCAGCGCCCGCGTGGCCTCTGCGCGGCGTCTGATGAGTAGACTCGGTGAGGGCGTCACGCTTGCGCTTCTTTGCTCCCGGTGCGACGTCCACGGCGCCGTTCATGGATGCATCTCCTCCCCGAGATAGAGGCAAGTCTTGAGAGAGGTCGAACATGAAGAGGAAGTTCTCGCCGTAGAGCCAGAGGCGGCGGTTCTCGTGGCTTACATCCCATATACATCCCTTGACAGGTTCCTTGAGGCGTTGGAACTGCGCTGGATAGCTGGATGGGGGGTTCCTCCTACACCAGTCCGACAGACGACCCGCTAATGGCTCGAACTCATAGAGCTCGTGCTTTGCCGAGACGACGAGGAGGGGTTCCTCTGTCTCGGGGTTGTAACGCGGACGGGGGTGGGGATTGTGTCTTGTGGGATGAACGGCTGGGTTTCCGTTGGGCTCGGGGCGGGCAGCGTCTTCGGGAATCGGCTTGAAGGAGAGGAAGAGGGGGGTAGAGTTCAACCGGGGGAGCAAGTGAGCTGATGGATTACGTATCCATCTTTGACCCAGACTTGTTATCCTAGCAATCGGTTCCTCGTGCTCGTCATCAGACTCCTCACTGTCTGTCGAAGGAGTAGAGGAAGGTTTGGCAATGTCCAGTTCCGGTGCTGTGGCGTCTTCGTAGCCTTCGACGACAAACGTGTCTACGTAACCGGCGAGGTCGGCGACGGCGAAGAAGCTGCTGGTGCTGGAAAACTCTGCATGGCAGATGGATCGGTTGTACTGACCCCATGGTCCGTTCAAAGGGTCACGTGAGTCTGTATCTCTCCGAAGGCGGTGGACGTGTAATGGTTCCCGAAGTACGCGCGGCCTTTCAGAAGTTTCTTCTGCTGGGATAACACGTACGAACCGTATCTCGTCCGCAACGGTGACCACACCTATCCACTTCCCGTTGGGCGCTATGCGTACGAGCTTCGCTCCAGTCGACGTAGGCATCTCCAGCTTACGAATACGCAGGCCAGGCCCCCCGGATGAGGTCGAAGGTGCGACGTGGAAGAGCTTCACCTCGGCCGCCGTGGATACCGCCAAGAGGCTGCCATCTCGGGAGATGGAGGCAGAGGTGATGTTCTCCTGTCCTTGTAGCGCTATCCGTGCAACGACTTTGGGTTTCTCCGACCCTCCCTGCTTGCTCTTGACACGCCATATCCGGACTTCGCAATTCCACCAGCTGACCAGCAACCTTGCTTCACGAGCGCTGGCCAAGGGAGGAGTGTGAGGCAGGAATGGGAGACTGCGGCTATATTCCTTCCCGAATTGCCGTATGGGGAGTACGATGGGCTTGGTATCGATGCCTGTGTTTCTCAGCATTCTGTACGCGAAAGAGAAGCATTTCCTTCTTACCTCCAGATACCAAAACGTTCAGCTGGTGGCCCTCATAAGTAGCCATGGCTTTGACATCGTGTTCATGATGTCGTTGATGTGATACTTTGGCCCATTGTCCCACCTTGTTGCCCTTCTTCTTGCTGCACGTGTAGCAACATGTTCTCCTATCCATGCCTCCACTGAATATCATGGTGCCATCTTGTGACACAGCGAGGTCCAGAATATCCGCTTCGTGTCCGGCGATACGCTGCTTTTGGCTGTAATTCTTGCCGTCGTAGATTCTTATCTCCCCGGTCGAATCTCCAGAGACGAAGTCCCCATTCGGGAAGCACTTCACCTTCCACACGAGGATATCCTTCGGTCCACCGATCGGCCCGCTGCCCAGGGAAATGGTCCTCAAAACACTCGCGTTCCTCGTGTCCAGCACCCTGATGGTGCTATCCGCATACCCGGCCAGGACAACATTCCGATCTTTGAACGCGATACTCAGCACCCTGGCCTTCTTGGTCGTCGACCTAGACAAAAACCGCTCAAACCGGACATCGTTATCCGCCGTCGAAAGCAGCACGACGGTGCCATCCGCACACCCCGCAGCCAGCTGCTGATGCTCATCCCCTCCTTCTATCGCATCCTTCTTGTTAGACCCCCGACTCGTCGCCCGCCGCGGCTGCGCAGCAAAACACCACACCTCGCTACTATTCCCACTACTCTGCCTCGCCGGCAATCCGGAAACGAGATCCCACTCCGTCACGCTGTTCGAATAGCCGATACTGAACAATCTCAATCGTCCCTCTACCCTCTTTTTCCCTCCCCCAGGTTCATTCACCCACTCGTCCGGTTCTTGCGTCCAGACTAGGCCTTCTACACTCCTTTCTTTGCCCCCCGGGAAGACTCTCTCTTGCACCCATGCGCCGCCGGAGGGATTCCATATCTCGATGTTGCCGTTTGCGCGGCCGAGTGCGAGACGCAGGCCTGTTGGGTCCTGAGTTGTTGGGGCGAGGTCGTCTGGTTGGGTGTGCGAGAAGGCGAGGGCGTTGATGGCGGAGGGGGCGTAGGGCACGAAGCGCGCGCGGTGGATGTCCATGGTTGCTAGTAGTTGGACGGAGTTTCTCGCGGGAATGAGATGGGAAGGCGTAGATCAATGGGATCCCCGAGACCGAGGGGTGACGTAGCTCGGGCTTAATGTAGCGACTGGACGGAGCGCCGCGGGATATCAATTATGTAGAAGGCGACATGGGAGTTTCACCAGAATAGCATTAACATGGTGTTGGATTGCTCTCCGAACTTTTTGTCCAAGCCCGAAATTTCGTCGGCGGAAGCTAAGCTCCGATTCGGGATGGAAGAACGTTTTACCGTGGATTCCGCAACCACTTCCAGAATGAGCGAGGAGTCGAACGTCGCTTCATTGTCTGATGAAACACATCAAATGTCGACGCCTCTTCCATTTCGCATTCCAAATCAGAGGCGGATTGATATTGAAGGGTTCCGGGAAGGAAAAGCTCATCTAGCGACTTCTGACCTGTGGTAGTGCCTTTACGACCTCTCAAGCTCAAACCCAAAACGAACGATTCGAATCGACAATGTTCGTCCTTCCATCCTCACTTTCGCTCATCTGCGACTTTGCCCGGATACGCACAATAGACAAATAGTAGATGCATAGTGGGTAGTGTCTCTGGAGGACAATGGCTCGCATCCGAGCAAGGAGCATGCTGAAGACTGTTTCTCCTGTCTTGAGACGGAAGCGGTTCGTCTTTCCAGCTTGCAGCAGTCCAGATAGAAGTGTTCGCGTGCCATGCTATCGATACACATAGCTCGAGTGTTGGTCTTTGTCGATGAGGACTTCAAGTCATAGGGGGAAGGACTCTGCTCAACCCCGGCCCCTTTAGGAGGGGTAGTTGCTCTCATCCCATCTCCATCTTTCTTGACTTTGCCAGTAGTGAATCACATCTACTGATATGTCCAACTCATGACCGTAGATCCTCTCCCTAAGCTTCACATAATAACCACGAACAAAATCCCAAGTAGAAACGAGAACAAAGAGGTCTGGCGAAGCTCTACCCTCACCCCTTGAAAGACGTTGGTCAAAGCGAACGAACCTTGCCTGCCTCCCAGAAGCGGTCAAGCTGACTGGGAACCCCGTATACGCATATTAGAGTACGCAATGCAATCTGCGCAGTGGGCAGCTTCTCTCTCTCTATCTCTCTCTGTATCTACGCCGCCGCCATGGCAGCAAAAGTCTGAACGGTTTGCATGTTGAACTTCATGTCCAGCTGCTCCATTGTTGCACAATACCTCTAGACACCTTCAGCTCCGGGACCACCATTGCCGTCGTGCACCGCGTAACGGCGCGCAACGGCCTCGGGGATGTAACTAAATTCAACCGAAGCCGAGAGAAGCAAGGAAAAAACTTAGCAGAAGGCTCCATATCGGGTCGTAAAGGTGTCAGTGTCACGGCTGTATCCATGGAGACGGTGCAGCCTGTGCAGGCAGTTGCTAGGGGGGGAAGAGAAAGAAAATGCCGTGCAATCCACAATGAGAAAAAAAAGCTTCTCCGGAGTTACGAGATAAAGTCCACACACATCGACGATGAGGGAAAATTTTCTCGGCGAAAGGAAAGGCGATGGATTAGAGACGCAGTTTTTCTTGCCTCGGGCACGCACACGACGCCGAGGCGAGATGATGACGATGAATGCTGGGTCCCTGGATCCCTGGATCCTCGGGTCGCGGTCCCTGACGAGCACCAATTATGATTCCAATTTGGAGCGGCGAACGGAAATAGAAATTTTCCAACTGCTGTCGCGTGTGCACGCGCGCAGGTAACGACGCGTTGGATTCGCGAGGTCGCGTGCGCGTACGGGTTTCATCAATCTCCAGAATCATCTCGGGGCGGGGCGGCTGCTGGCGGCGGAGAGTGGGCGGAGAGTGAGTGGTTACTACTGGTGGCTGGTTCTCGGTCATATGTAACTGCATGACTGCATCAGACAGAAGACGAGACGCCGCGCCGGATGCGCGGCTGTGCTATGTACTAGTTTGCAGAAGTGGAGCGAAGACTGGTAACAAGTAAAATCAAGGAATGGTGATAGGGCGAGATATTGGGGAACCGGTGAATCTTTGTCAACACTTGGTGTTGGAAGTTGGTGCGCTAGTCTAATAAGTTGTTAAAGAGAGAGACAACAGCACTAGGCACCTCTTGGATGTGAGAGAGTAATCGTAGACGAATCGTTGGCGTGTTCCTCGGGGGGAAGAACCTGTTTGCTGCACGCACGGAAAGGCTATCGGAGGCGCCTCTCGAGAAACAAAGGAAGATCTGGAAATGGAGGAAACGAATGAAGATCTATTAGCTCGGAGAGGAAAGGCGGCTTCTGGAAATCCTGATGTTTTACCTAGGCAAAACGCGAGCGTGAAATAGTGGTAGAGTGCTTTTGTCTCGTATGTTGACCATATGGAAGGAGAGGAGGGAGGTCCTGTCACATCATGTGTGAGTTCTGCATGCAGCAGCGGAAGCGCACCTCAATCGAAATAGAAATGGTCCCGGCGCGCCTGAGGAGAGTTGACGCTGGTGACCGCGAAACGAGCATGTTCACAATAAGGGGAAGCTGGGCTGTTAGTGGACGACAGGTAGTAAGAGTTTCCGCTTGCAGTGCATAATACAGAGATGACACTGGCATCCTCGCCGCACAGGCGGCTACTGGCCACTCGGCTCCCAGGAGATGCGGAGACGATTGGCAGTTTATCGTAGTAGATGATAGCTGAGAGGACGCGTTTATTGGAGACCGGCATGATCAATATGTTGACGTGAGATATGCGCTGGAACGCCCAACCACCTAATAAGGCGTACCGTGGTCGAGATGTAGAAGGTAGGAGGTGAAAGTCGGCGACAGCAGAATTAACTGTGGTAATAGCCGGATCCAACGAGACATGCGAGTTGAGGTTTTTTCCAGAGAGGTGAAAGATTTTTTGGGACGCACTGCAAGGGCGAGGTCCATTTGTATTACTCCGGTTGAAGGTTCAGGTAGCGATGCGGCGTAATCTGGGCGAGCACAGCGTCACAGGTTTCCTTTATAGTACTTCACCACGCAGCAGCAACGTGAGGGTCAACGCATGTCGATTTTTCTCTTCGGGTTTGCATCGTACAAAACAATTGGTGTTCCGGTCCAAGTTGTAGCTGTCGAACATGAGGATAGACTGGCTATAGGGAGGTATAATAAGTACTGTAATTGGTGAGGCGTGGTAGGCTCGGTAAGAGTCAAGACAATGGCAGATCTGGCATCTTAATTGCAGCAGCTAAAAGGGGAGAGTCCCGAGAGCGGCATGGACGCGCTTAAGAGAGGCGTCTTGGGCAATATGACGATATTCAGGAGCCATGACGGGGCAGCTTGGCGCGGAGGAAGTGACCGGGGGAGACCGGGGAGGCCGCCGTTCAGGTTGGTGGTAACCCGTGAAAGGACCCTGCTGTGAGACGAGCTTGTGCGGCGGACGCGGTGCGCCCCCAACGAATAATGGGCTCGGCGTGTCGAAGAAGTAGGAAGTTGAGCAATTGTTTCGACCAGGCGGCCACTCTTCGTAGATCTCTACTTATCTACGGCTCGCCATGCAACTGCTGGATGCGTTGGCTTCAGGCTGACGGCAGTGGTGAGGAGGGAGTGGATCGAGTGGATTCTCAGGACGTCACCCTGGGCGGCCACACGAAGAGAAGAGCCAGCATGTGTTCAGCCGTCCTGTCGCCCGCCCAGGCATTGCCCCTGCTGGTGCGAGGAGCAAAAGTCCGTGATGCGCATGTTTCCTTTCTTTGTGTTGCAAAGCCTGTGCTCTCCTCCCGGTACATGTATGTGCCTTGTGCTGTGCTCGTGTGCCTGTGAGAGGAGAAGGAGACTGTGAAGGAGGGAGCAGCGTAACATGGCGGAGGAGGAGACTGCATTGGATCAGTAGAGAGCAGCGGCTATCGAGCAACACAGGCGACTGCTGCTACTGTGTAATGAACAATGCTTTCGGTGCTTCTGTTCTGCTGCGGCTCGCAGGGGGATCTGCTGATGGGATTTCAATTATTTCATGGCTGACCGCTAACCAGCCTGAGGAATGGCGAGGACAGGGCGACGCGTGAGAAAAGGCGATGCGTCGCGGTGAAAGTACTCAGCGGTGCCTGTACCTGGGCGTGTTCGGTCTCTGCGCGAGTGCCAGCATCGACGCCATGCTGCTCGACAATGCCGGCCTGCCCGGCTGGGGATTGGTCCTCACTGCTCGGTGCCCTGCCCGTCAGGACAAGGCCCAAGCCGGTTCTCAGGCGTCGATGGGGTTTGGTGTCGTTGCTCCCTCTCAGTGCCAGTGCCAGTGCGTTGCGTCGAGTGGGTGCGGCGTGTGCGGGCCTTGTGGGCTGCCTTCGATTGCTGGCCCGTCGTTTCCAGCGTCTTGGCTCCGTCCTGAACTTCGACCACTCTTAGTCTCTCCGCTTCCCAATCCCCTCTCTCCTCCACACCCACTCCTCTCCCTCTCCTTCTCCCTCTCTCAACCCATCTCTCCTCACCACGGTCGGAGCATTGAGTCGTAGGTTGGACGCGTGCTGATACTACTGTTTCGGCACCGCCAGTCCTTATAACTCCACTCCCTCCTCCTCCTCGGTCTCCCCAAACCGACCGTCTCCTCCCGAATCGGACACATCGAAGCGTGCAAGTCTCCCTCTGTGCCTTCGCGTCCATTCAGCCTTCATCATCTCCCATCCCTCATCCCTCTCCTCCCTTCTTCTCCTCCGACGGTGTCCTCCCGAGTCTCGACGCAGCCGCTGCTCTCCTGTCTCTCAGCCTGCCCAGAGCTGGCTTACCACCACCCCCTCTGACCAGCCTCGTGTACCATCATCTGTGCTATTACAGTACAAATCCTGTACTGGGCTCATCAGGTAGGTCTCAATTCTCTCTTCCTCAACTTACCCGTTTCCTTTTGCTTCGCTCTCACTTGGTCTTCTCCTTTTCAGGGTTTGCATCTCAAGCTGTCCTCGTACACACATTCAATGCCATCGAGACCTGGGGATCCGGATACAATGCCCAATGGAACGACATCGTACACCGCATCGGACATGGGATGGGGAGATGGCAGAATATCGCTGGTCGGGGGCATGGCCGAAAGGGATAGGACCCCCTTTGAAGGGAGACCATGTCTTTTGGCGGCAACTTCGGAGCATTGCATACCAGGCATATGCTGGATTGCGTTCTACCCAAGACGTATCCTGATTCCTGCCGCGCCTGAGACGGAGGCCCAAGCTCAATTCGACCTTCACCACCAATTCGCCAAACCGACGCGCCTCTGACCCAAGCCCACCGACCTCTCCAGCCACAGCCAAGAGAGGCCCGAGTCCTGCCTACACAAAATTTGCAAGCACTCACTCTACCTGCTGTCATTCTCTTCACCTTGGAGCCTACACTCGTTTCCCTTCGCTTTGCAACTTTGCTCTGGCGCTCAACAAGGATTTTTTCGTTCCCCCACGCTCGCTCTCCGCCTTGGGTAGGGTTACATCAACTTTGCATACCTCTATCCAGGTCCCATTTGGCAACTTGGTTGCGGCTCCCTACCTTCCCATCGGCAGTTTCATTCCTGCCAGGTTCTCGGGTTTGCTCTGGCTCTTGTCGGCCCACTTCTGGTCTCCATATCCTCAGGCCCTGTTGTCTTGCACCTACACCCGACGTTTCTGAGCCGTGTTATACCGCCATTTGCATTTGCTGACGTTTGACCCAAGTCTCAGGACCCTCATCTGGCTCTAACACCTTCAATCTTGAAAGGTTGCGTTCTGTGTAAGCATTTTACCTGGCATGGACGACTTCCACCTCGCTGACCTCGTCCTTGCTTAGGTGCGCAATTGCCAGACCCAGATTGTCCACATTCCCAAAGCTCATCTTGGCGATCTCGTGCCACTGGGCCACCAGGCGGACTCGTTAGCTCGTGTTCTGCCTTCGAAGAGTTCTCCCTTCCCCAACTTGGACTATCCGAGCGCTTCGCATTCCTCGTGTAGTCCTGAATGCAACTCGCAAGGGATTAGATCTTTTCGACTTTTTACCTCTTTTTCCTTCCATTTCCTCAATATCTACGCGTCTCTCTTTAGCTTAATACTTTAATCGCCAAGGTATGTCATCACATCCAGCCTTGCATGCTGCCTGTGGGGCTCTAGCTAACCAAGGGACGTTGCAGGCTCTGCTATAACAATTTCCGGTCTCTCTACTTTCGAGCTGGCCCAGAGACCTTCTTTCCTGTTATCCAACTAATTCCAATCTTTTCACCGTCGCCCCTGCGACTGCCATTCTCTTGATTGGTTCCTTCGTTGAACCAGCCACTCTCTTGCGACCCTGACCCGCCGCCCCTCAGTCTATCCCGGAGAATTGACGTCCGCTCTTTCGACGAACACTCAGACACACAGACAACATGGCCTTTCATCAACAGCCATCCCAACCTCGCTACGGGCACTGCGACACCTTCTTTGTGGAGTCGGATCAGGACGGCATTTACGCCGCCCGTGCCGAAGTCAGGGAACGTGCTCGAGCTATCGCCCGGATGCAGCAGCGAGCCATGGCCGAGGATCTGTCTAGGGCCACCGCCGATGAATATCAAGACGACATCATGGATCACATGGAATACATGGAGGTAAGGAAAACCGATGGTGTTGTCAGCTTTCATCGCTGACACAAGGTGTAGTCTATCACCCTCCCAGACGTGAACTCCATCGACATCCAGACTGAGATCCAATGGTTTATGCGCCCTTACCTGCTCGACTTTCTGGTCGAAGCTCATGCTGCGTTCCAGCTGCTTCCAGAGACCCTGTTCCTCGCCGTCAATCTCCTTGATCGCTACTGCTCCCGCCGTGTCGTCTACAAGCGCCATTACCAGTTGGTTGGCTGTGCTGCCCTGCTCATTGCTGCCAAGTACGGTGACAAGAAGGACAGGGTCCCAACTGTCCGGGAGTTGAAGTCCATGTGTTGCTCGCTGTATGACGACGAGATGTTCACGCAGATGGAGTGGCATGTACTGCAAACGCTCAACTGGGTGATTGGACACCCCACCGTCGATGCGTTTCTGCAGCTTGCCCTTTCCGATGTCGAGTACGATGCTGAGGTTGAGAACATGACGCTGTACATTGCCGAAATCGCCCTGTTCCACAAGGAGTTCGTTTCGGTCAAGCCCTCGGTCCTTGCCCGTTCGGCACTTGCTCTGGCAAGGTGCATCCTCTCCCGCGACCAGGCAAGCAGCTCCGAATGGGCCGGTGCCTATGACCCGAAAACCGTCATGAACCTGTCCAACCACCTGTACCAGCCGTCTCAAGTTCTGTCACGCAAGTATGGATCCGTACATCTCTCAAGCGTGTCTGCAACGGTCGACGAGTTCCTCATGCGACAAGCCCAGATTGCTAGGCGAGCTGCTGCTCCGCCTACTCCTCCCGCAAGCATGACGCTCGAGGAACCCAAGCCCGCTCTCAATGCCTATCTCGCGCCTCAGACTCCTCAGAAGCCTCCTTACGGATCTGTCATGCAGCACGGATGCCTCACTCCTCCCATCACCCCGGATGGCGAGCAGTATCCCAATGTTCTGCAGGCGAAACCCCAACAGCCTCCCACCCATGTGTACCCTTCCACTCCCAATCCCGGACAGGTGCACAACGTGCAACATCCCCATCAATACTACCACGCTACCTACCTACACCCTCAGCATATCTGAAGTTCTCGATGCGGCCGCCAACACCCCGATGTTACCGCTTCAGTAGAGGTCCGGATATATCCTAACCCTTGCTGAAGTTTCTCTGTTTTCCTGTACCAAACCTACCGGTTATGAGCCCGATACCGCGCTCAATCTCGGCATTGCCTGCGTTCGTGTTTATCTACTACCAATACCAAAGAAGTTTTCTGCCTTTCCAGTTTCCTCAGCGATTTTCCTTTGTCAACTCCTCGAAATTCCCCCAAAATCGATTGTCACTCACAGCCGTTCGTCGCGGTTGTACCTGATAATGGTGTATATCCTCACGGAGCGCAAGCACAACTACCCTTTCCCACTAATACGGGTTGTGTCTTGTGTCATCTGAGGAAAGAGTGGAGGGGCCTGTGTGTGAAGAAGGCCGAAATTGATAACGAGGCTGTGTGGGCGTGGACATTAGGCTCAATCTGGCCGACGTGTTTGTGCAGGCACCAGTTTTTCCGTGGGCGAAGATACCCTTCTTCTGGTTCTTTTCTTTCCTTTCCCTACCGTATACATGCCCCTTTTGTTTGCAGGATTCAGTGCACAGTTGGCGGATGGGGAAGTTGTGAGGGGAGCATGTCAGTGGTGGACCCGACTAGCTGCAGCGCGTTGGCGATGGCAGAATCACTTGTCTTGACAGCGGAGCTAGCGGAAGGTCGGTGGACATCACTGATGATCAGGGGCAGATGGGCGTTGGTTGGGCGGATGGTGGACATCACATAGATGGAAAAACGTGGACTGGAGAAAAAAAATAGCGGAACATGTATATACATGTTCTCTTTACCCCCGGAGAAGACCGGCTCTCGTGCTCTGTTTGTTTTTTGGTCAGTGTTTCTGTGCGTGTGTTTGTTTTATGGTTTCTTGTGCCCCGTCGGTTTTGCGATCATTGCGTCAGTGCGTGTTTATGCCGTCTGTTCGTGGTCATGGAGGAGTCAACAGCCTCGATAACTTTGCAGAGAGGTGCAACATACGGTTGGAAGTTGAGCATGGAGTCTTTGCACCTCCTTTGGCGTTGTAAGGCACTGCAGCCTGAGGTGCGGGCGTGGTGGATACAGCATTTTGTGGTTTGATTTATGTCGTCGTGCGTAGAGAGAGTAGATATATCTCCAAAATTTCCCCCCCTCGACGCTTCAGCCTATCCTGATGATCTTCTTCTTCTTCTTCTTCTTCTTGACTTGCTAGGAGTTTTGATGGAGTATACTAAGGTACAGAGGACTATTTCGCCTCCTTCCTCATCTACCTCCTTCTTCGGTTCAATCTACCACGCCGCCAAACATCTCCCTCGTACGATTGCCCTACCCCGACTCGATCAAACGGCGAAGTAGACTCACTCGCCATTCCCATGCCCTCTTCCTCCGGCCGTGCCTGCATGGACGTAGACATAGACATAGACGTAGACGTAGTCCCAGCCGTAGCCACGGAAACCGCCGCCTTCCCGTCCTCAGAAGCCCCGTACCGATGCGGTACAAGCAGCAAGTGCGCAATCGCGGCAAGTGTGCAGGCGAGCAGGAAGATGATAACGATTCTCCTCCTCAGGGGCGAGGGTTTTGGTGTTTCGGTTTTGTTGTTGTTGTTGGGTTGCTGGGAGTGGAGGCGATGGAGGAGGTGGAGGGCATAGGCATAGGGAGCGAGGAGAGTGGTGTCTTCTTCTTCTTGTTCTTCTTCTATTTCTTCCTGTTCTGATTCTGCTTGGGTGGCGGAGTGGGCGGAGTGGGCGGAGTGATGCATAGTGGTGATCGGGGGAATACTAGGCTGTTGGTGGGACCGCGTTGATTTCTCTTGTTTCGTTGGGTTTCAGTGTTGAGTGTGATGCACAAAGGTCGATGGTAGTAGGGTAGCAGAGGTTGATTTCTTACAACCTCCAGCGTCCCTCGTCGTCGTCGTCGTCGAAACCGTCTCGATTGCGGCGAATGACCAAGAGTGATTGATTTTGTCACTGCCGTAGTGACGGGCAGCATGTAACCGCTACCGGAAGATGGCGAAATGGCATACACGTGTTGGTCGAGGGTCGTTTTAATGTCTATATTTGTACTATAGTATATTTATATTCACGCACTTCAGCGAACAGGGAGAAGGGGTTGAAAAATACGAATTATTAGGGTTATTAGGGTTCCCCGGCGACACACGTGCGTTAAGCATTTCATACTGTGTATGTACAGTAGTGCTTGCTTGGCTTCGTGAGTACATGTAGGCTAGGGAGCCCAGATAAGTGACAGACGCCTACTCTCTCCCTAGACACTACTATATGGAGAGGTGGCAAAGGTGTGTCTGATCTCTGGGTAGGCGTGGCACTTGGGTCCCGGGAGCGCTGCATGCCTCGCGTATACGTCGGGCTATAGCATGGAAACTAATAAAGGGCAAGAAACACGGTAAACCATAGCATGACCCCTTTATCGATCTAGGACTCCCTTTCCTGGCACCGTCCAGGTGACCATTCGAGATAGTCAAAACCCAGGCGAGGGCAGGAGAGGAGCAAAGGTCGAATAGGAAGGCAAGCTGCTGCTTTCACACTGTCATGTCGAGCCGGGGGAGTGCAATATAATAAATGCAAATTGAGTTCGAATGGCGTGCATGCAGCAGCGAAGACTGTGGTAGCATCCGCTCGCTGCGGTTGGCTGGGTAAATCTCGGGTGTGGGGGTTGGACAGAAAGATGGACATGGAAAACGAATCGCATGGGATCGCACATTCTGTTTTCCGCAATGAGTAGCAAGTCCAGCTGACGGTGGCGACGATCATGACCTGTAGCTGGGGGAGGGGAGTATTTACCCATAAGCGAGTGTTTGGTCAGCATCGAGTTCGGGTTGCTACGCCGCACCATGGGCCATAGGCGAGGAGGAATCGATTACCTGCCGTTCTGGTCATGGTACGTGGGATGTACCTACGGAGTAGACGCTAGGAACGGACTATTCATAGAGTCGGAGGTTTTACGGCGGCCAGGTGCAGAGCATTTTGAGATGTAGGTCTAGGCAGCCGACTGTGAATGGTCGAAACACCATGCATTCACAAAACATGAATGTTCTTGTTTCGTAGCAGCATGTTCACCAGTTCTGTGCTCTTGTAGTACAAGTACAACGAGTGACAGAGTACATGGCCCGACCTCAGCTCAGCGAGGATGATGGGTTGGGGTTGCGGGTGGTGCGGTTGGTGGCAGACAAGGCGGGGGCCATGTCTCGCTTGGTGCCCTTCTAGAAAGCTTCTCCCGCGTTGGATGACGTGGGACGTGGTGTGGAGCAGCAGCAGGCGAGGCAACGGTTCGAGTATATCTCTCGGTCGCAGCTCGCAAACAATAGAAAGAGAGGGATCAGAATTGAGGATATGGAGTGGTTGGACTGGGGAGCGCAACAGTGATTATTACTACGCTTCGCGAGTACGGTGGACGAGGATGTCGAGTGGTTCACACGTTTCAGAATTGGCCAGCCGGGAGTGTGCCTTCACCCGGTCGGCCTGCAGCCAAGCCGTAGATTCGCCGGCAGGGATGGGACAGGGTAGACATATGGCGGGAATGTTGAAGTACTGTATGTAAAGTCAATTGAAGAATAGAAGGGTAGAAGGGCGGCGCGACGGAACGTTTGAGAGTTATATAACGTCGTTCTGCAGTTCTGTTTACTCTTGTCAAGTGTCCTGTTGTCCGTAGGAAGGCGCCGAACCGAAACGGCAGGCGCGCCCACTACTGGGGAAGTCTTGGCGAGCTGGGCAACCCTGGACTGGGAATGGACTGGGATAGGGGCACGGGATCTGATCTACCGCCCTTCTGGAAGCCGCAGGCTGCCCCTAGCCGCAACGCTAGCCCCAACCGGGCTCGTGTCGAGTCTCACCCAATAACGACGCCTGCCTCTCCGCTCTCGCTCTCGCTCGCCCTCTCTTGTCCATCTCTCTCGTCTCTCTTCGCCCTCTCCACACTCGACTACCACCACCACCACTCACTCCTCCTCGACTGCTGGACTCCCCCTCGCCGTCGCCGTCGCCGTATCCACGGCCGAACAATCCCCTCCCCGCGCCTCGCATTCCCCCGATGCTGCTCGCCGCCCATCCTATTCTTCTCCGTGTGCGCCGACTGCCACACTGACGCTGCCCGCCCCCATTCTCCACCATCCCGCCCGACGTCGCCGACGTCTCATCCTAGACCGGCAGGAACCCTTCTCCCCATATCTCCTTTCCATTGCGTCATTGTCCCTACCCTCTCTCCCATAGCAGATCCATCTCCTCCCTCTGCAGCCGCCCATTCACTCCTCCACGCGCGCCCTAGAGCAGCCTGCTTGGCTTGCTGGCCCCCGTGGAGACGATGGAACATGGCGCCTGCAATGTCATCTATACCAACCGCCGTGCCCATGACGAGCACATCCGGAGGGGTTCGCTGTCCTCGTCGTTGGTTGCCCACACCACCGCCGGCACTCTTCCTCAAGGATACTTCTCCTTAGGCAAGACATCCCCGAGAGAGATCCATGACAACGTAGAGTTGCTCCTCTCGACGTTCAATCAAGGTAGGCGCGCTCGACAATAAAAACTCCTCCTGCAATCGGCTCTGACCGCACATCACGCTAGTCCATATATGCGGATCCGGCCAGTCCTGCCTCAATAAAATCTCCGAATTGCTCGAGTCCGCCGCAGCCGATAACCCCACCATTGTCCTAATCGACATCCCTTACGACGAGGAGCAACGGCTCAAGCGTCTCTCCCGCGAACCCCGTACTCCCTCGCCGACGGCAACCAGGACAAGAAGGAGTGACACGGCCGAGCTAGAAGACCTGTATGGTTTCCATTTGCTCACCCACGTCTCCTCCGAGATCCAGTCCCAGAACTTTTCGAGGCTAGTCATACCCATAGCCATCTTGAGCGGTTTCGATCGTGGCAGCATGACGCCCACTACGTTTCCGGCGTCAGCGCAGCAGACGCCCCAGCTTCTCACCGATCCCTTGCGCCTGGCTCGCTATCTGGATGCCGGAGCCGTCGATGTATTATCAAGCCCCCTTTCTGCCGACAATGTGCAGGGTCTAGCGGTCCACGCCTACCGGATACACAAGGAGGTCTCGCGAGCCGAAGCCGCCTTTCTCACCACCAAGAGAAAGCGCAAGCTCTCCTGGGTTGGTGTCAACGACACGAAGCCGTACGCATACCTCCGTGAAGCCATGGTCTCGAGTCTCATGAGCGGCATATGTAATCCCGAGACGGTCGGCGAGTCTCTGGATCCCAGGGATTTGTATGTGGACGAAGACCGCCGCCCTGTCATCGCCGCCGCCATTGGATCCTGGGCCTTTTCGGCCCATGACTTTACCGACGATGAGCTATTGTACGGTGCACTTCTCATGGTGAAGCACGCCCTGGAGATGCCCGAGGTGGAAGAATGGCGTATGACTGACGGTACGACGCACTCGCTTTGATGTACCTGTGTATCCAACCTAATCTTGTCCACAGACGAGCTGATCATCTTCCTGCTTGCGAGCCGTACCGCTTACAATGAATTCGTCCTTTACCATAACTTTCGGCACGTTTCCGATGTCCTCCAAGCTGTGTTCTTCTTTCTGGTCCAGATAGGCGCTCTTCCGCCATATCCCTCTGGGAGTCCGCCCGTCGATCCCTCACACCGGTCGCCAATTGCGCACATCCTCGGTCCCTTCGACGCTCTCACCCTCTTGATATCGGCAATCGGACACGATGTAGGACATCCAGGCGTAAACAACGCTTTCCTGGTCGCGCTCAATGCGCCGCTAGCGCAGCTCTACAACGACCGCTCCGTTCTTGAGTCGTTCCACTGCGCAGCTTATGCCCAGATTTTGCGTCGCTACTGGCCCAAAGCATTTGCGGATGCCAAGATGAGGAAGTTGATGATCAACAGCATATTGGCTACAGACATGGGGCTGCATTTCAAATACATGTCCGATCTCGGCAATTTGCAGGAGAAGGTTGGCCACGATAAAGACATTGTCGAGGAGTGGAACGCCAAAGTACGTGAGGAGCACAAAGACTTGACCTGCGGCCTCCTTATCAAGTGTGCAGACATTAGCAATGTCGTAAGTGCAACCATTTTCATCAGAAGAGGAGCCCCGGAGTTCTTCTAACCCCCAGCAGGCTCGAAAGTTTGATGTGGCTGTGAAATGGGCCCATATCTTGACAGACGAATTCAGCAATCAAGGCGTCATGGAGCAAGAGCTGGAGATTCCGTCTTGCCTCTTCGGTGGGCCACCAGTGCGTGACGATCTCATCAAGCTGGGCGAGTCGCAGATTGGCTTCATCAACATTTTTGCGAAACCCCTTTTTGAAGGGGTCGCCGACATCCTTCCCGGCATGCAGTTCGCTGTCGACGAGATGGCGACCAACGAAGCCACATGGGTCGAGAAGATAGCGGAGGCGAAGCGGAGGAAGGAGAAGGATCCTCATATTCACCTCGGCTTACTTTCCCATCGTATCTCTGTCGACCCCGATCCCAGCCCTTTCTCGGACCCTGCGCTACGCAGCGCTCCCGATCGCACCGAGCAGCCTACCTCATACCCGGAATCTACTGCTCCGGATGATAAGGGTCGAAAAGGGTCCCGTGGCTCTGTTGAGGAAGCTCCTGCAATTCGGAGAGCATCTCTGGGCTTTGACAAGAGCGCCTCAATGCCAGGTGTACGATCACCGGCCTCTCTTGAGAATCTGCGCCAGTCTAGGCGAGGCAGCGGAGACGCGAGTATAACGGCTTTCATAGTCACAGAGAGCCCGGACGCATCCGAAGATGCTGCTACCGACGTGAGGCAGAGTTCTGCTGCGAGATCTCGGTCGCCAGCGAAGCGGAAGGACACACTGACCAGGCAGTCGCCGCAGAGAGGGTACCGAACTGGTTCGGACGAAGTTGGACATGGTGCGAGACCGGTGACGGCGCCGTCAAGGCGCAGCCCGGGGAAGAGTCCAAGTCCGCACAAGTCATGTTCTTACGATGTCCTTCGTCCAGGTGGTGGAGGTGGGCCTGACCTCGATTCAAACCATCCCTTGCCACATCCCCGTGCGCAGGGAGGGTCTGATGTTGACCGCCGCCACGCAGCAAATGGCTCTGCTCGCAACCGCAGTTCTCAGTGGCACTCGAAGGATGGGCCCGACAGCAGCGTCACCATGTCGGACACGTCTCGCGAGTCGTCCCGACGAAGTGAGTGGTGGCGCTTGGGTTCTCGTCGACGCAACCGGGATTGCAGAAACGGCACCAATGGTGGTCACTCCAAGGAGATGATGCTGGATCCTGCCATGATGAATGCAGAGTCGGACTCGACATCGCCGACCAGCACCAGTCCGGGCCGGAGCAGCACCACAGGGAAGCTCAAGACGTTTTTCAAGTGGAAACCGAGAAGCAGTGAGGAGCACCACGAGAAGCAATTGTCTTCGTTTGGAAGCTCCTCGCACCTGCGGACTCCTCCGACCAGTGACCCGGGCGTCTCGGTCAACAGTTCTGAATGAAGCATCGTTGGAGCCGATTGGCAATTCCAATTCCGAACTGTCTTTGAGCAGCCAGGTTGTGCTCAGCCGCCAGACAGGCGAGCGCGCCGCCGCGTCTCGGGGGGTTGTGATTCCCTACGGGATTTCCTCGTCATCCAAAGCTTTCCTAGGTTATGTCCTTTTCTGTTTGATACACGACGTTACCGAAGCAACGAAAAGCTGCGATTGTACTATTCTCCTTCGACTCATTTCTCGGGCGCTTCCAAATGACCCTCGGGTGTCTTACTGGCGTATGGTAGCCATGCTCTGACCCTCGTTCCACATCTCCTCACATCTTCTTCGGTTCCCGCCACCCCAAAAGCTCTTTCCGGTCTTTTTCTTCCTTCTATACACGGGCTCGCGGGGTCTATTCGCTGTTTCGATCTGCGAGCGCAGCGGGCGGATAGTACTGCGCGATGATGCATTTCGAGGCGCTCCAGCTGAAGCAAGTCTTGCTTCCACGTGCTTAACCGGCGGTGGACGAGTATGACTTCTCTTTTCCTTCTTCTCCTTTGTTTGTGGTCCAAAAGCGAAGCGGGTGTGCAAACGTTGCGTCCCCTGGAAAGATGGCGGGTGGTGATTTCCGAATGGTTTGCGCCGTCGTTTGCGTTGTTGTTCCTGCAAGCGAGCTAGCTGAGCGAGATCTGATGTTTCCAGACATAAGGTGGATGCTTGCCGTTTGCCTCCATGATGCATGCCATGGATGGTTGGGCATGGATGGGCTACGCGATGCAGCGCAAGAGCCCTACGATATATGTAATGAATGTACTTTTGCCATCTGGTCTCATCGTTGATACTGTCATGGTGGCCCTTTGGCTGCCATGGACGAAGTTTGCGAAGGGGGTGAGGCACGCTCGTGTGAGTGAGGAGTCATGCATGTCCTCCTCTGAATCTTATTCGTTGGGTTTCAAGGATGACTCTAGTTGTCGTGGAGTCATGAGGAAGCTTGAATGCTGTCTGTCATTGTGCTTAGAAAGAGTGTGATGGTCAACAAGTCGAGTCGTGATTTCGATATCTACTCTGGTGTGTCTGTTCGAATGCACCGTTTCTTTCCATCTATCCCTGTGGTAGATGCCCATTTACTACGCAAGTTATGCAGGGGTCTTGATCATACACGCCACATAAATACACTTCTTCTCACCTCCACAATTCCGCCCTATCCAACGCCATACTCAGCCCCTCGCTCCATCTCCATCTCCATCTCCACCTTCCCCCCACCCAGCACCTCGACAACACCGCTCAACACATCCTCAGCCTCAAGATTGATCCTGACGCCCTCCCTCCCCGCCCCCATCTCCAGCACCTCCTGAATCACCCTCTGATTCCCCTTCTCCCCCCTCCTACCCCTAGCCCCAGCCCCATCCCCACCCCCATCCCCATCGCCCCCGCCAAGCGCACCACCACCACCACCAAAGAAAATCTCCCCCTCCCCCCTCACACCGCCCACACTCACCACCCCCACCCTCATCCCCTGCTCCCTCGCCCTCTTAACCAGTCGAAACGCGCTATACGTCGCCAAACTACTCCCCACCACCAATAACCTCGCCGCTTCATCGACGGCGCGCTCCGCCGCGCGCTTCGTCTCTGGGCAAAGCGATTCGCCGAACATGGTGACGTTTGGTTTGAGGATGCCTGCGGGAGAGGTGGGGAGTAAGGCGCCGGCGGAATCGACGTGCGTTTCTACGTCTGGGTTGGTGAGGCAGGTGGGGCAGGCGGGGTAGCGGAAGTGCGTGTATTTGAGGTTGAGGCCGGGGAGGGAGATGTCGCCGTCGGGGTTTGTTTCGAGGCCTGCTCGTCCTGCTCTCCGTTGCTTCTCGGTGGGATCTGAGGTGGAGAGGGCGTTGGATTCGAGGAGGGTGGATAGGAGGGCGGAGAAGGTGGGGTTGAGGGTTGAGAGGGTGGTTTGGAAGTGTGTGCGTGGATGGGGGGTGCGGCAGGTTAGGCAGGTTAGGGTTGTGAGGGTGCCGTGGAGGTTTATGATGGGTATGGGTAGGGGGGAGGAGGGGGTTGTGTGGAGGGCGTCGACGTCTGGGGGTGGGTTAGTTGGTTTGTTTTTCTTTCTTTTCTCTTTTCTCTCTTGTCTCTATATATATATACACATATAATAGGAGCTGAAGAAGTGGAAACGCTTTGTAAGACGCAGACGGAGAGAAAGCGAAAGAGCACTGGACGATAAAGGGATGGAAAACGAATGCAGACAGGACATAGCCACGAAATCAATAAACAACAGGACCCCCGAAAAGACCTCAAAAGTAAGATATATAGATAAGAAATAGAAAAGCACATACTCTGCGTAACCACCCCACCCACGACGCCCATCCCCGCCAACGCCTCCACAGCAACATGCCCCCGATTCCCCCTCGCCCGCTGCACCACGGGCCACCCCAGGAAACTCCTTGCCCAGTACCGCTTCCGCGCCTCGTGGTTCGAGCAAAACTCGTGGTAGTAGATGGGTCGGTAGTTCTGGTTCAGCGTGTAGGTGCCGCGGGGGCCTCGGTAGTCGGGCAGGCCGGAGGCGACGCTGAGGCCGGCGCCCGAGAGGATCAGGGTGCGCTGTTTGCGGGCGAGGAGGGATTGGGGGAGGGTGGATTGGGAGGGGAGGAGGGGAGAGAAGGGAGTGTAGTTGGGGGAGGAGGGCCACGAGGCGGAGAGGAATTCTGCGAGGGCGGTGATGGCGCCCGGGAGGGTGGAGGCGGTGGAGGGGATTGGGCGGCCGGGCGGGAGGGGGGTGGTATAGGGGATGCGGAGGAGGGGGCGGGTGGTGGTGGTCATGTTTGTTGTAGTGGTGGAGAAGGTGGGAGGGTGGAGGGTGGAAGCATTGTGGTGTGTTTCGTGCTATGTTTTTACTATTTTTCCCTGTTGGACAGCGGTGGGAGAGTGAGACTTCTAGGAGAACGGCATGGTCGAGAGGATAGAGTCTCAAAGACGCTGGTGGTGAGGCGGAGTGCAGGTACAGTGTAGGTTCGACTATGTTGTTGGTATCTTCGAGTCCTTAGGTCATACATGCCCATTGTAGTTTAGCGTAACCATGCATCCCCACACGGTCTAGCGCGAACCGCGGGGCTATGGTGAGATGTACGCTGCCAAGACGCAGGTCCCATGACTATAATTAGACTTTCGTTCACACCTGCACTGCACCATAGAATATAGAAATGTCGTCTGTGCTGAGAAATTGTCGTTGTTGGAAAATGCTGGATTATTTGGGAAATGGGGACCTCAACGTGCGAAGCCTCGCTGTTGGGGTTTCACTGCGGCCGAGGGCGGCGATGGTGCTGCGGCCAGAGATCGGATCTGAGACAAAGAGACGGAAGAGATCTCGGGAGTACGGGAGGGAGATTGCCGATGGCTGGGGAGGGACTTTGTGGGTGGCTTTCGTGGTGGTCGTAAGGGGTGCCGTATGCCCCTGAACGCAACCGTCCCCGTCAGGAACGAGAAACGATGGCATGATGGTCACAGTGGAAAGTCAGGGAATGAGCTATGAAGAGGGACATATATCCAACAAACTATTGGAGAGAAATGTAACAAGTAGGTATGTAAAAGAGATCTATTCAACAGTCCCGATCCCGTCGAAAAATGCAGAGTCCTGCGAAGGAGAGTCTTCGACGCCTGCTCCCTGTCCCAAGTCCCTGAGAAATTCAATCCTTTCCTGTCGTTCAATCGTGAGAAGCGAGTGTCCATCCTATATACCCGCATTACCAAACCCACTGCAACGCCGCTCGCTATGCTGCTGCACCCTGAAATGTGGTTACAAACGCCGAAAGGACTGAACCTAGCCTTAGTCTAGGTGATGGTATCGTTGTGGTGGTCAGCCGTCTGGTCTTTGGCTGCCAAGAGCTTCATACAAGGAAAAAGGAGGGTGTTATGTTTGAAAAGCAACGGAAAAGAAAGAAGGAGAAAAATCATGAAGTGAGCCAAAGCTCAAAAAATAAATAACGGGAAACAGAGCACTAAAAGAAGGCGCTCAATGATGTTGAAGGGGATGCGTGGGGCCCGGGAACTGCAGCATGTTCTGGATGCTGGGAACCCTCTGATGGTGCGAGTGGGCCGTGTAGGTTTGTTGGTAGGTGAAGGCCGGGCCGGAGACGTCCGAAAGCGTCGAAGAGGGCATGCGCTCCTCGTGTTCTTCGTCCAGGTCAGAACAATGCCCAATTCCACTGTCACCGTGGTCATCGTCATAAGTACCCTGTTTCTTCTGTGCGGACCGGTAGGCCTGATTGAGGTTTTTGAGCCCCTTCTCCATGCACTGCGCGGAATGTTAGTTTACATATCTGCATCCAGAGTGAGGTATACATACCTTGGTCTCGACAATCTGCCACTTCTCTCCCACCCTGGCTGCGAGGAGACTCCACATTTCTCGCCGGACATCCATGTATGCCTGCGCCAGAACATCCAACTTGACGCCATCCCACTGCTCCGCATTCTGGCGCTCCATCAATCGCTCATGTCTCTTGCGGCACGCATTGGGCGTTTTGTTAGGGAAGTGTCTGGGCGCAATCTGGTTCCAATTCAATCCAGAGGCTCGTGCCTTGATCAGGGTATCGTCATCCTGCGAAGTCCAAGTCGAACTTCTCGCACCATTGCCTGCTGCGGAAGCCGTGGAGATGGAGTGCCGATGGGCATGCTGACCAGTCTTGTCGACCTTGGGCATAGTGGTCATGGAGAAGGCCACAGTGGTGTACGGTATAGATAGACAATTTTGGTGGACGGAGACTTTGAGGAGATGTGAGATGATATGGAGATGGTGGATGTATTGTGTCGATCAAGCTTGATAGAAATTATGATTAAGACGGAGAAGAGCGAGAGTGTCGATTACTATGACGAGTAGGAAAGAAACGGGATAAGATGAATCGACAGAGAAACGAAGGGATATGGGGTTGTTGCTCAAAGGGCCATTTCAAGAACCGCAGTTGAGGCCGTTCTTGTTCTCCTTTATAGCAGGACGAGCCGCAGCTAGGTACAAACCCCAGGCCAGCCAAACGGTGGCTCCAATTATGGCCGTCCGGAGAATTTCCCATGAAACCATGTCCTGTTTCTGCAGACGCTCGCGCCTCACTCAAAGTAGAAGCGTCGAGAGGTAGGCGAACGGGAGGCTGACTATACGGTCACCCACACTGGGCGCTTCTTCGAAAAGACATGGCGGCGCACGATTAGACCTGCATGAGTGGTCGATGACGCGGGTGCCGTCCCTCCCCGGCAACAAGGGGTACCAGTTGGGACAGAAGCGCCTGTTTGAGAAGAACTCCCTTGACCCTCGCTGCGGCTGTATGTTTAAGAATAGGCCTGTTCTGCAGAAAGCGGTGGTGGTGGTGGGACGACGACGGGCGGCTAACCGCGCGATTGACCGTCTGGTAGGCCGCCAAAATAAGACCCCCAGGCCGGGGTAATCAACGCCGCAAACGCTGTGGTGCGGTGTGTGCTCATCTCCTTGGCAAGGCTGAGCACTGCAGAAGAGGTGCTGCAGAGGGACTGCGCAGTCGTGGAAGTGGACATGTTCATGTCAGCAATGGCAGCACATAGTAAGCCTGCATAGCGGGACGGAGTCGTGGAGAAACACCACGCGACGAACGGGTCCTCGGGAGCGTGGAATGGGTTGAGACGAGCGCTGCGAGCTTCCCCGGTTCGACTGTTAAGCGCACGCAGGTGGATGTGATAACGATGTTCACCCGGCAGCCTTGATCGTTGGGGTGAATGTTTCGAAACATCTGGCAGCACGTGCCGAGCGGCCATCCATTGTCCCGCAAGCGCCCACCCCCTCCTCAATTGGTCTTCTATTCACCATTGTACTGCTCCTTACTGTGCCGTAAAGGTGCGTTGAATTCGACGCTGTTACTGTCACTGCCTCAGCAGCACATCAGAGTGTGTGAATCGATGCAGCCGAGCCCCTTCTCTGCAAGAATAACCCGCTTTGTCCATTGCTCCAGTGATCTGGTTGTGGAATTAGATGTATTATCGCTATTCTAAGCCCGGGTATCTCTCTGGGTATTACTGTGTGCTATTGTCTCCACGTCCCTGGTTGTGTAGATCGCATAAGACGGTCGTCTCCCCTGCTCCACAGCCATTCGTCTGTCAAGATGCAGCAAGCCGCGCGTGCATAGCCCCCTTCGCAGCCTCGATACCGGCAACTGACTTCACAATCGATAAACCCAGCGGCCAGCTACTGCGGCTTTCCAAGTCCGACTGAACATCCGGCTGCAATTCCTCTGTAGGTGGAATTACCTACCCAGCACAAGGTAACTAGCTACAACTTAGTATTGCAACAGGTAGAATTTTCTTTCTAAACATACTACTATACGTAGAGGCAGGCTACAAAGCTAATTGCAGGACCTCCTATATTGCTGTACCTGCTAGCTGTTTAAATTAGATGTAGAAAACAGCAGTACAGAGGAAGTGCAGGGGGGTGTTCAGTCGGACGTGAAAAGATGCAGTACCTGCGCTTACAAACCAGACAAACTATCTCACAACTTGAAGCCTCCTGTCCTGGTTGCGAAGAAGCCTTCTGGATCGTAACGATCACGTACCCTGCGGGCAAAGTCTGCAGTCCTCAGTCGCCCGAAATAGTCCTGCCTGTAATAGCCATCGTTTGCGAAGAGAGGCAGGTATGCTTTGGGTAGCTTTCCGTTCTTCTGGAATCTCCTGATGAGATCTCCGGTGCCTTTGTAGAACTTCTGCAAGGCCTTGTCAATCTTCTTGTCGTCACTGGCGGAGAGGTACGAGTAGTTGACCTCGATGATGAGGCGATCCACATCGTCGTCCAAATCGAGAAGATCACCGCCCATCTCTTTCGCTTTACGAGCAAGCCTCTTGGGAATAGGCTGAAGTGCCATGGCGCCGAGGAATCCAGGAACAGCCAAAAGGCCCTCCGTGATATTCCGCCAGTGGTTGTAATAAGCTCCGAGCACTTCCGCACCATGCTCGGAAGGAGGTACGGGCGTGGTTTCGGTAGTGATCGTGTAGACGGAACCCTTGACGATACCAAAATTGTTGTACGTAAGGAGTTCGTCGTAGTCGCGCGTCTTGCAGTTGTTGAGGATGGGACCGATATTGGTGAACACATCGAATGTGCCCGGCGGAGGAGTAGGTCCATCATAAAAGAGGCTTAAAGCTGTCAGTAACTGATCGGAATTGGTCTGAAAGGCGCAACCTACAACATGAGCCACATGTCGATAGCCCCGACGGCGGAGAGCTGAGTTGTCATGATGATCGCGGCCTTTTCGTCTGGGTAATTTTCCGTGAACTCACGTATGGCGGTTAGAAGCGCTGGCGTCTGATTGGCAGTGAACATCAGATTCCCACCCCAAATCTACACAAAACTCAATCTCTTGTTCGCATGATGGTGATACGGCACAACATACCTGGCCTTGCGGATGCGCAAGCACGGTGAAAGCGGTTACAACGCCATAGTTGTTGCCGCCCCCTTTCAACGCCTTGAAGAGATCGGGGTGTGAATCTTTTGAAGCCGTGACAATGCTCGCATTCGCAAGCACAACCTCGAACTCGACAACATTGTTGGCAGCCCAACCGTATTCTGTCGACATAAAGCTGAGTCCCCCACCAAGCATGTAGCCGCCAACACCCACTCCGCCAATCCTACCACCCACGGCTGCGACCCCAGACTTTTGCAATACTGCTTGCACTTCGTCCCAGTCGTTACCCGGCCCGATACGGACAGTCATTGAGTCCGGATTGAAGGTGACTTCGTTCAAGTACTTCGTAGAGATGAGGGGACCGTTGGCGATGCTTGCGAAACCCCTATTCGGATTGTGACCGCCAGATTTGACAACAAACGGTTCTTTATTCTCGTTCAGTACCCGGACAATCGCTGCGACCTCCTCGGCGGAAGATGGATACAGAATGCATGATGGCTTCATAGCACCACATCCTGTGGACCAGTAGTTATCCTGTTCTTCGATGTATTCGGGGGCGAGCGAACGCCTGATCAGAATGTCACTCCGATTCCCAACCGCTCCACAGGTATCGGCGGCAACTTTATTATATGCCAAGGCAGAACAGAGGAACGGAAAAGTAAAGAACGCATATTTGATGACCATTTTGAAGCAAGATGAAAGCGACAATGCGGGCACGCTGCGCGTGTTAGGTGTAAGCAAACCTCGGGGGGCTTACAGTACTCTTAAACCCTTATACAAGTCTCGGCTGTCTCGTCCGCGCGGACGACTTCCTGCCACCAGCTCCTCCAACATGCTGGGAGACTGGGAATCCATCCGTAAGATCCGGGGGCATAAAGCTAGACCGCTTCCGCGGGGGTATGTGACATGTTCGACAATTAACGGCGTGCAATGATGGTGATCAACATATTGGCATTCCAGAGTTGTCTGGTATGCACAATGGCGCAGCTCGTGGTGATAAATTCTGGCTGTCTTCGTGAAGACATTGAACCAGCACTGACCGTAGCTACGCTCTCACACATGGGTTTGTGCTGTGGTGAACTTCCCATAGCCTGTTCATCATCGAGAATTCTAGCATCAAGGGTTATCCATGATCTGACTTATGAACAGGGCCAGGACAGATTTGGCATGAATGGGAATCGCAATAATGGCGTTCGCAAAATCAGACAAGTCGTCGAAAAAGTGGATTTCTTACGTGGTGCGGGTGGGGAGATGGCAATGCGGAGGATACATATTCAGGGGTAACTTTCCCAAACTGTACTAGTGAATGAAAGATCCGAGGTTTTTCCATGCACCTCTTCCAACCTAAACTTGAGGTTCAACAGCTTCATCTGCTCTGTTCGGCGCGTTTTCCAAGCCCTCAAGGAGAGGATCGCAGAGACGATCGATTGCCGATACAACAAGCTAGCAAGCCCTGGGAGCTATTGACGGAAGTGTGGAATACGCCCGGGGTCGGACGTATCCCCCAAAATGTCCCTCATGCAGTGGTTACGCATACACAGCAGCATGGGGGACGCGCCAATGGAGCTTACTGCCTACTGGGAACAGCTGCTATCGAAAAGTCATAACTAAGAAACAACTGCACTCTGGAGGTCTACATCTATATCTGCATTTTCTCAGCGCTTTCCAGAGCCTTTCTGATCATCCGTTGACAGCATAGGCAAGCCGCTCTCGTTCACACGGTTGCTGAACAACAACTGACCAGTTAAAATATCGGGCATCCCAACCCTTGGAACTGTCGCCCCATTCGGATGTAGCTTATTAACGCCAAGGACACCTGCTTGATCTTTCCAGGTTTTCCACGCGGTCACTTACTTTTAACCGGCGCCTGCCTACGGACAAAAGCTCTCACCTGCTCTTTTTTTCGGGAGTGACGAACTGCAATGTGCTCAGCAGACTGCTCCTGGCATTCGTCATTATGCCGAAGTTTATACGAGTTCAGGTAGCGAGCACGGCGATATGCACCAAAACGTGGAGTTCGCGCTCTAAGCGGCTTCCAGGGTCCAGGGATAGTTACTTGCATGCTGAGTACAGTAATTGTTTATGAAGCGGTTGCGCCAATACGTATACTCAGCGAGCTTCCTCGCGGCCTCTTTCTTTTCAGTCACTCGTTATCATTATGCTCAACTCACTGGCGGCCGTCCCGCTCGCGGCTTTGATCTTCTCCTCCTGCGTACTCGGTGCTGCAGTTGAGAAGCGCATACCAGTTCCGGCAGGATATGTTGCGCCTCCCTACTATCCTGCGCCGCATGGCGGGTGGACGTCGGATTGGACAGAAGCTTACAGAAAGGCTTCCCTGATCGTGTCGAACCTGACACTGGCGGAGAAGACCAACATCACAGCGGGTACTGGAATTTTCATGGGGAGATGTGTTGGAAATACCGGCAGCGCGCTTCGCGCTGGCATTCCTCAGCTGTATGGTTAACCTTGTGTACACGGACTTGAGGAGGATCTCACAGCATCCTAGGTGCCTGCAAGACGGTCCCTTGGGTGTTCGAAACACAGATCACAACACCGCCTTTCCAGCAGGGATCACCGTCGGAGCAACATGGGACAAAGCACTCATGTATGAGCGAGCAGTTGCCATAGGGGAAGAGTTCAGGGGGAAAGGCGTAAATGTCCATCTCGGGCCCAGTGTAGGTCCATTGGGACGAAAGCCACGAGGTGGCCGTAATTGGGAAGGTTGGTATTGTGCTAGAGTGCTATATCATCCTGAGCTTAGCTGAATATTTTAGGCTTCGGCTCTGATCCTGTGTTACAGGCGTTTGGTGGAGCACTGTCCATTGAAGGCATACAGAGCGTTGGGGTCATCGCTACGATTAAACATCTGATTGCCAATGAGCAGGAAATGTACCGGATGTACAATATTTTCCAACCGGGAATCAGTTCGAATCTCGATGATCGGACGTTGCATGAACTTTATCTGTGGCCTTTCGCCGAAGGTGTCAGGTCTGGCGTCGGCGCTGTCATGGTTGCTTATAACGCGGTATGCCCTACGTTGAAAGAGACTACCGACGATAGGCTAACATGTATCAGGTTAACGGATCAGCCTGCTCACAGAACAGTTATCTCATCAATGGCATTCTTAAAGATGAGCTCGGCTTCCAAGGCTTTGTCATGTCAGATTGGTTGGCGCAGATCTCTGGTGTAGATTCGGCATTGGCTGGACTCGATCTCAGCATGCCGGGTGACGTGCACACTGTCCCTCTACTTGGGAACTCTTACTGGATGTATGAGTATTCCCGGTCGGTATTGAATGGCTCCATTCCGGTTGATCGCTTGAACGACGCTGTCACCCGAATTCTCGCTACTTGGTTTAAGATGGGACAGGTCAGTGAATTCCCCCTCCCCATGCCAGACCCCCATACAGTCACATTGTGTGTCAGCCCGTCGCTCAGTATCTGACTAAGGATTTCAGGATTCACCCAACTACCCTAAGCCAAACTTTGACACCAACACGCAAGATGCTGAAGGCCCTCTCTACCCTGGTGCTCTCATCTCACCCCGAGGAGTTGTTAATGAATTCGTCAATGTTCAAGGGAACCATGCCGAGGTTGCGCGAGCCGTAGCCCGCGATGCCATCACGCTCCTCAAGAATATGAACGGAAGTCTACCTCTATCTCGGAACGCTACCCTTAAGGTATTTGGAACCGACGCTGAGAAGAATCCGGACGGTATCAACTCTTGCGCCGATCAGGGCTGCAATAAGGGCACGCTTGGTATGGGCTGGGGTAGCGGTTCCGCACGATACCCTTATATGGACTCTCCTATCGACGGCCTCAAGGCCCGTGGCGCCAACTACAAGTTCTTCAACACCGATTCCTTCCCTTCGAATTCGAACCCTTCTCCTGGAGACACAGCACTTGTTTTCATCAATGCGGACTCCGGCGAGAATTATATCACAGTGGACGGCAACCCTGGTGACCGCACTTCTGCGGGCCTCCGTGCGTGGCGCAATGGAGACAAACTAGTCAAAGACGTTGCAGCGAAGTACTCAAACGTGGTCGTTGTCGTCCACACGGTGGGTCCAATCATTCTGGAAGAATGGCACGATCTTCCCTCCGTCAAAGCCATTCTCTTCGCCCATCTTCCCGGTCAGGAAGCAGGCGATTCCCTCATGCAAGTTCTCTTCGGCGATGTCTCTCCCTCCGGCCATCTCCCGTACACGATTCCCAAATCCGAAGATGACTACCCCGACAGCCTCGACCTAGTCGGATTCCAGCTCGGCCAACCCCAAGACACGTTCACGGAGGGCCTCTACATCGACTACCGCCACTTCAACAAAGCAGGAATCAAAGGGCGATATGCCTTTGGCCACGGCCTTAGTTACACCACCTTCTCCTTCACCAACGCTACAATCACACCGGTCACGCCCCTGTCTACTCTCCCGCCCACACGCCCAGCAAAAGGCGCGACACCGTCGTACCCAACCTCCATACCCCCACCATCAGAAGCCTACTGGCCCGAGAGCTTCAACCGCATCTGGCGCTACCTCTACTCCTTCCTCGACAAACGGGACGCCGACGCCGCGGCCGCAGTCGCAAGCTCGACGTCCAAGTACCCCTATCCAGCCGGTTACTCAAATGTGCAAAAACCCGGTCCTCCCGCTGGAGGAGCCCAAGGCGGCAATCCCGCCCTCTTTGATGTTGCATACCGCGTCTCCGTCACCGTCAGCAACACGGGCAGCAGACCCGGGAAGGCAGTTGCGCAGCTGTATCTGCAGTTCCCACAGGGAATCGCGTGGGACACGCCTGTGATTCAGCTGCGGGATTTTGAGAAGTCGAGGACGTTGGCGCCGGGGGAGAGCCAGACGCTGGAGCTGCGGTTGACGAGGAAGGATGTCAGTGTTTGGGATGTTGTGAGGCAGAATTGGGTGGTGCCGGATACGGAGGGCGAGTATGCGGTTTGGATTGGCGAGGCGAGTGATCGGTTGACGGTGAGGTGTGGGACGCAATCGGGGGTGTGTGAGAGTGGTGTTAAGCCGCCGGTGTGAGGGCGGCTGGTGTTATGACGCTTTTCTTATGTGTATGTGCTCAGTGACGAGTGGCCGCCGTCGATCTATGACCTTGTCTATTTCCTAATTTCTAATCCGCATTGCATTGCCTCATTGTCCCCATCTCGTCCTTTGATCCTGCTCCTCCGCATACCCACTCCCCTATGAACAATCTTTCCCATTCAGAGATTATCCCCGCATCTTCATCGCTCCCGCATTCTCATTATTCCTCAGTTGTTAACCTCATCCGTGCAACCGCACATGTCATGAAAGATACAACACTCTCTCAATCTCGAACTTCCCAGATACTAACGCGGAAGGAGAACACGCCATCTAATCATTAGCCTAGTTCTTAATTGGCTAGTGTAACAGTTCGATATAGAGACGCATCCTGGAGGTACGGTAAATGCATCTCACTGAACGTGCCTTCCGTCTGTAGACCATGCCAAGGAGCTTCGAATAACCTTGATTCAACGTCAACCACCATCCTCACCCTCAGGCGTCCATCAACAATTACACCGACACTGTGGATAATGTTTCTTACATTATATCTTTAATTTCTTGCTGGGCGAGCATTACGTGGCTGACAACCCGTCGTTGCAATCGGCTTTTGAAGTGGGCAGGGTCTGCCCAAGGTCATAGCAAAGCTCTTATGTTTCGAGAGGTTTGGCAACCTCAGACCACCTGTTCATATGCCATCGTCTTATTGATAAGCTGTATCCAGGGTTCGCGCAATACGTATACGACTCAACAGGGTTGCACCTCGAAGGCCATTCTATATCTCAATCGAGTTTCCCATTCTGGTATCACCAACCAATTTGGAGGACGAAGAGGACTTGATGACTTTCTACACGCATGAATTAAGGAGGAGGAAGAGCACCACTGCCGGCCGATATCACCCCTCGCTTCAAATGGGATTTTGGATGGGGAACCAACAGCAGCCAGCGTCGCGTTCGTGAAAGCATTGCATATCGAAACTGTGGAACGCCTAAGAGGCCGCTCAGGATCCGTGCCGTACGTGTGCGGTAGCTGGGAATGATGGTCACAGCCAACAGGTTGGCAAAAAGGGCATACCATGCGCGCAGCTGGGATCTTGTTGAGTTCATCTCGGGAGATGAAGAGTGTTGGGTGTGGCATCAATTTGTTGAACTGCGAAGAAACTATCAAAAGAGGAGCTGACTGCGCATTTTGAGGAAACGCTCCGATAGGGAGATGGGAGAGCTAGTTGGAGTGGCTTTATTGGCTTGGCAGCTAATAACCTAGGGGTAACCCGTGGGGTCGACAGTATCCGCATCATCAGCAGCATCAGCTGGAGAAAGTACTGCGTACTCACCCAGCGACAGAAAGAACAGACCGCCGGTGGTGACAACATTCGACAGCGTCGGGCCAAGTTGTGGACTAATACAGTACCTACTGGCAAACCTGGAAGGAAGTTGAAAAGTTGTTCAGGAGTTGAGGTCATGCTTGCACGGTGGGGCTTCATGGAGGCTTGCATTCTTCGCTGCCGGGCGTGCGCCACACCGTTCGTTCGTTGCCAAAAATTAATCAATGCTCTGGGAGACTTTTTGGGTCCCTGGAATCAGTGGGCCAAGCTTAAATGGGGAGTTCTTCAGGACCTAGAACATTCCCCAACATGGCTTCCCAGCTGCATGGAGATATTGAGCGCACACGCCAAACCCTCCTTGACCAACCGACCGTGACTGGAGACAACCAAGCTTACTCAATCCTGTTCAACCCCCCGCGGCGTTTACCCGACTCGCCATGACTCCTTGTCAACCGAATATCGAATGCGCCTCCTGATGGCCTGAAGGCTGCGTAATCTGGCGCAATGAACAATGAAATAGTCGGCGTCCGCCCTCCGATGTGGCACACGCCTTGAGACGCAGAAGACTTTGCAAGGCTGCGTATTCATCACCCTCGAAGAACCATTCCTGACAACGATCGACACTCCCACCTACTCCAACTGTCGTCTCTCGTTCGCCGTTCACACTTGACAAAACGCATCTCCCGCTTCTCCCGTACCCGCACTGTGGCACCCCCCGATTCGGACCGCTCGATCGTGCTGCAAGGTACCTGACTGCGTACCCTATCAAGTTCAGGCTTCATCGAGCACCAGGTCGCCATTCAGCTGTGTCACGATTGCAAATCTCGGACATGGTGTACTCGCGGATGGTGTGTTCATAGGAAAGAGGAAAACGGATTGCAACATGAGGACGGATCGCGTCCATCTGTATCCTCAGGAAAACATGGGATTCCGTGCTTCGCCCCGTATCGACGAGAACGCGGAAGCATTGTCGCACCATAGTCATGATAGCGACTCAGACTGCGTGACCTCGGCGCGGGAACACCACGACAATCTTGAGCGCCCCCGGGTCTATTTTCGTTCTTCGCCCTCGACATCATTGTCAACCGTAAAGCGTCTTTCCACGGCGTTTTCCATTATTGTGGTCCTCCTCGTGTGTTGCACTTCGTTGACCAGTGCTGCCTCTGCTTTTGATGGACTCGAAGATCAGCGAAGATCAGCAGATTTAGTTTGGGAAACAGCGCGAGAGCCGTCGCTCCTAATTGTGGACACCCGTCCGCCACCAGTCGCTCCATTCATGCATCTCCATCGCAGGCAGAATGACGCCAAAGTCTCCTCCACAGCATCTGCCAACGCTCCCAAGTCCTCCATCGCAACGGATCCCAATGCCACCCCTTCCGACTTCAAGGTCCCGACCCCTTTTGACACGGCTTTATCGAACAACTACACCGCGTCCTGCGCCGCCTTTTTCCGCACGTTTCTTACCAACAAGGACTTTTCAGAATGCCATCCGTTTTCCTTGATGCTGCAGGTATGTCCGGGAGAGACTGGCCTGCTGCGCCCCATTAACTATTAGGCAGACCTCAAGCGGCTTTTTCGATGCGTCCAAATCCTTCGTGCGAATAACCCAGACATTGGAGGCGACTTGTCGAGTGGACATGACAAAATGCACAGACACCATGAATCACCTCGCGCGGGAACTGATAGGAGATAACAATTGTGCTGTGGACTATGCGAACGACAATCCGCAGGTGATACAGGCTTATAATGGCCTGATAGCCTATGAGCCACTGTACCAGGCAAGTTGCCTGAAGGATGATGCAGGAAGCTATTGTATGTCTTCTCTTCAAGTCAGCTTTGGTTATTCCTCACTGACGGAAACCCCCAGGCTATGCCAATGCTGTGACGAATAGATCCGCCATCACCGATCCCTATCCATATTACTTACCGCTCGGCGTACCATTACCTGGCGGCACGAGAGCAACCTGTAACTCCTGTCTCCAGGACGTCATGGCCATCTTCTCGTCCTTTGCCGGGAATACAACGCAGCCGATCAGTCAAACTTATAACGGAGCCGCTCAGCAGATCGGAATCGCCTGCGGGACCGGGTTCGTGAATCAGACCGCAACACCGCTCAAAGCAGCAGCCGCAACCATGACGATTTCGATGACACCGGCCATCACCGTAGTATTTATGCTTCTGCTAGGTTTCTTCGTATGAGGGAAACCTGCAGCGGAACTTCTCTTCTTCCCGTGCCTTATGGATATAGGACTCTCGATTGCATTCCTGTTTATAATGTCCTTTCTCGACTACCGGTCGAATCATCAGCGACGGCGCTCTGGATTGATTTCTAACTTTCTTTTGTTGACTGGGAGAGGATACCCGCGGGACATGGCATCTGGAGGAGCTGGGCGTGAGACTTGTCCGGCGTGTTTACCCGGACGGCGTTTGGATAGGCTTCCGAAACATTGTTATCCCTTGATGAAGAGGCTCGTCGGCTTCGAGAAACATCATTATCTTAGCCAGGTTTTGCTGGGGACAGCTCAAGGAAACCTTATTATTTTGTACCCGGGAAGATCCATGTGCGATAGAGTAATAATGCGGTCCTGGAATTTCGGTCGCAATAATAGACTTAATCAATATGCTGCCGTTGCGTGGCACCTGGCTTTGATAGAATATGACTGCTATGATGGTCGAAATATTGGCGTTGTATCGGTCTTTATGTCTTCAAGAGGTCGTAGTTCATACCTATGTATGCAACAGACTTGCATATACGTTTGGTCAAGTCATGCAATGCCGAGGGTGACGTACCACATCATCACACGAACAACGTCGCCATCTGGTCAACGATTGGGTCACTTATGATTTCTGAAACAGATGGTGGTAAAGTCGTCACGTGCTGACGTGCACCCCTCAATCAAACCGACCCCTGAGAATTTCAGATGGATGTCAGATCCGACCACACCTCGGTGCCCTTTGCCCGCTCCACGCCTCTCGATATCTCGCTACTCTGCTCTGGTATCGATGAGCTATGTATATTGTTCATCACAATAACCAATTCTCTGAGATATGGAAAAAGAGAGGCACAGTAGTGGGGCGCAACATCCCGTCATCCCATCAATTTCCAGATAGACAGCGACTCCTTGCATGGGATCGCCCGGCTGGCGGAGCATCCTGGCTGAAACCTGCGACAAACAGCAAGCTTGTTGGCATGCCCAAACACCAGAGTGTTTGATGGCCCAGCCCGCTACTGGTCAGCCTGCGGATTGGGGGAGGGATGACTGTGTTACTTCTCGGTCCGAGCAGCCACTCTTTCATCTGAGGATGGACACAATGTCTTCTTCCTTTGCCGTACTCAGCCTCTCACTTCCGACTATGTAGTCCAGTCGACGACGTGTTCGACTCTACGCTCTTTTATACTGTTCTACGTCATTATCTTCTTCTCCTCACGTCGTACTTTCTACCATTTTCTCCACATAAAACCGTATCGACAAAGAGTGCCTAACTATAATGACCGAAGTCATGATTCCGTCGAACTTTGGACTGAGCGTCCCCTCTTCACGACAGGATGTCATCAGCGCTCTATTAAACGAATATGGAACCTCTTTTGGGCAGACCGAACCCCCCTCATGGTCGCCAGTGCCAGCGCCGAAGGAGCTTCCCCCTCCTCCACAGGGTAGTCACGAGAAACCGCTACCGTCAGCCATGTCCATGCGCTTTCAGTTGAGAGGTAGGAATTCTTCTACTACCATCATCACAATATCATTATTTCGGTACCGTGGCGAAATGAGGCGCTTGGTGCAACCGCAGCGGTGAGAATACCTCGACTGTGGCGCGAGCATAGGTCCACTGAGTGGACGGTGAAAGAGAGACAAACGACCAAAGCTCACTCCACGGCCACTATTGCGCGCGCAACTCGCCTTCACTTCGACTTTCGCGAGTCACCGACCCCACCTATATAATCGCCGCGTCCCGCCTCCGCTTCTTGCTTCTCTTCCCTCAAGGACAGGCTAACAATCATGCAGTGGATGACGCAGGCTCCTTCGACGGCCGACGAAAGAACTCAATCGAGAGTCGCACGAGAATAATATCCCGGTCAATGATACGCCAGTCCAAACCACCGTCCCTCAAACTACTCGCCAGCAACGGTTCGACAGCAATCGTTCCGCCTTCTCCTGTACCGCAAGCGCCGCCGGCACCACCAAAAGAGCAACCCTCCTTCCCACCGCGATCACAGTCACTACAGGATCGGCCGCTTCCGCCGCCTCCTCCAGAGAAGTCCGAACTCCGCGTATCCATACAGCGGGACTCCCGCTCCACAATGGGCCATCACCAATCGAAGTCCTCCCGGAAAGACTCCAAAGGGCCAGACGACCTACAAGAGCCGCCCAGACCCAAGGAAGTGAGCCCTCAGGAGCGCACTGCAAAAATCGCACGCAAGCCTCTCCCGCAACCTAGTTTTCCGAAGCGATTCGCCAGTCTCGCTGATCTGAAGAACGGGCCCAGAGGCAAGCTCGCAGCTGCCGCGGCGGCTGCTTCAAAACTTATAGGTACTGATCCTGAAACCGATCTAGACAGTTCACGAGCCACGGGTGTATCTGAAGAGCAGCCTGTCACTGCCTTTGAGCGCGTGAGCAAGACCTCGCAACGTTCCGCACCCGAGCGAGAAGCCCCGTCGCAAACCGCTTCTTCCGCCACCCGCACCAACAATCTCCCACCGACGCCCGACGACCTGCCCGCCGTGGTGGACAACAACAATAACACCGACACGAGCAAGAGAATCGGTCTCCCCGGGGCCCCACGTAGGATCTATCCAGGCCTCCCATCCAACCCCCGACGTAGCAAAACGCAAGCACAGGAAGTAGCGCCGCCGGCGAGGACATCCCAAGGGAATAAGAGTGACGCGGGCTCCCGCGTCGTCAAGGTACGTCTTACGTTCCCTCCACCTGCGCTTATCCGGCACTCGCGACTAGGTGAGTGCGAGCAGCGACCTTGAGGGCGGGAAACGATGTAAAGGATGTGCTGATTGTGATTATCTAGTCGTCTGAGCCTGAAGTCAGCGCGCCAGTTGCGCCACCGAAACCTACGGTGATCACGCCTGAGGCTACACCGGAGTTAAAGGAGGGGAAGAGAGTGCAGCAAGAGGCGAATCCATTGTCTGAACCGGAGGATCCAGCGAACATGCCAACCGCAACCACGCGATCTTCAAAGTCCTCGACACGAGTCGAAGAAGCAGCACCACCACCATCGAGGAAAGAGTTGGCAGAGTGGGAGGCTGTCTCCAAAGAATTCCTGCAACAACCGCGTCCTACACAGACCCTGGCGAGCACCATCGCCGCCGCGCTTAAGGAGCCCGAATCCCCCGTTTCACCGCTTTCCGTAGACGAGAAAATTACGCGGAGGCCGTTTAGCTACCAGCAGCTGCAGACTGTGCCGCAGGTACTGCCTCAACCGCAGTTCGCACACGCATGGCGCCAACAACCACCCCAACAGATGGCTCAGCAACAGCAACAACAAATACTCCAACAGCAGCAAAGCGAGGCACAGCACTCCTCCCAACCGACCATCTCCATCTCCCGCCCCTCCCCATCCACCTCGCCCACAACCATCCGCTTCCCCCTCGCCGCACCTGCAACCTTCATCCCCCTCACCCAACAACCCCTCCCGCAACCCCCAGCCCCCCTCCTGCCCTCCCACCACAATTGCTACACTTCGCACGCGAACTTCGCCATTTCCACCCCCCGCTCCCAGCCCCCGAGTTGCATGGTTTGCGGATTGAGTACGCCCGGGACGGTCAGGGCGACGTGCAGTTTTTGCCTGCTCGTTGTGTGTGGGGCGTGTAGGGAGGAGTTGATGAGGGTTCCGGGGAGGAGGTTGGGGGTGCTTGTTGAGAGGAGGGGGAGGGGAGGTGATTGATGATGGTGGAATAGGTGGAGGGATAGTGTGTGTGTGAGAGAGAAGAGGATCAGGATGGGAGACTTTTCGGAGGGGGAGGTGGAAACGACTGCGCAGTAAGGAAGAGGAGCGCGGAATGGGCCAGGGCAGGAGAATGTGCCCATTTGAGACGGCTATTTGCGCGAGGATTCTGGCGACGAGGTCGAGATTACGAGACATGAGAACTTACTTCAATAGGGTGCATCTATGAGCTGGCGTTTTCATGTTTTGATATCAGCACGGATGGCATGGGCGCTTGGGGGACGGATGTGGGATATGAGATTTACAGCCACACAAAGGCTCCCCGAATCTTTCATTCACCGTTGTGGAATTCTGGCAGAGGAGTTGGTTGGGTCGGTAGATACACCATTTCCCATCGCTACTAAAAGTCGATTGGAAGCTTCTTCCACGACTCCCGGCTATGGATGCATGGATGTATTCTATTTCCAAATAGAGAGTCTTCGAAGTGAAGAGATACGTTGACAGCAATTCAAGTTCGATTTCAACACCACACAACTTCTTTCATGTGTAATCAATGTGAACGGATATTCGACTACAGCATCACCCCACCCAAGTCGGACACCGCAACATATGCATCCGCCCACCCCACCCACCACTAAGCCATACAATCAATTCCCCCTTGGCTCTGAAGCAAAAGAAAACGCACCACCCACCAAACCTCCCTCCCAAGAAACCCTCCACAAAACGCCCCCATTTGATGCACCGCCATACGAGAACCATCTACCCCAGCCTATCCCCTCGCCGCAAGCAACCGCTCAACAAACCCCGCAAAAAACATCCTCCACTCCCTCTCCTTCTTCCCTCCCTCAAACGACGCCGCCAACTTCCCCAGATACTCATTCACCATATCCTCATTCGAGCCCATACCACCGAGCTCCGACTTCAACCGCTCTACATACGCATCTCCCGCTTTCACTACAATCTGCGCTTGCAGGATGGCGAGTTCCTGGAGGACTTGCTTGGCCTGCGCGTCCTTGATGCTGAAGCCCGGGGACGCCGGGACGGACCATATGAGAGGGGAGAAACGCTCGACGATGTAGTTATCGAAGCCGGGGATGGGTTTCGGGGTGAAAGTGCTCGGGGTGTTGTCTGTGGCTGAGGAAATCTTGTTGGGGCCGCCCCAGTACTGGACCATCTTGACCAGGACACTGATGGCTAATCTCGCAGTAGGATAATCCTTTGTGTCGCGAGCAAACGTATCCAGAGAGGTGATGACGGTCTCGAAAGTCGACTGGTTTGTCTCACTGATCAGTACCTCCCCGAGCCCATTGTTGAGGAGCGCCACGATGAAGTTGAGATATTCCCGACGAAGCTCGGCGAGCTGGATCTCATCGTCTGTACCCGCAGGGACGACACCAAGTGCGGAATAGATGCGTTGCAGCAATGACCCCAGAAGCGTATCCAGTACATTGGCCACCTCAGCCTGGAACGCGAACATTACCTGACCGAGGACTTTGAGGAAGGTGCTGATCTCGTCTGTGGTAGAACTCATTGACAGAAGTCCCTCAATCCAAGAGGGGAGCTGTTGGAGAATACGAGATCCAAGGACTGCTATCAGTCGCGAGAATGCGAATCGCGCAGCGTTGCGAATCTGCATCGACTGATTCAAAGCATCGAGGGCAACCAGAATGGCTTCCGATGCCCTGGAGAATTCTTCGGCAACTTCTGACTGTGGAAGTGAATGACTGCTGGATGGCACCCAGTCTGAATACCCGCGAGCAAGCGTTCCAATGGCCATGATGATGTGGTGTACCTGAAGTACGGCACGCTCGTCGCCGCCTTGCGCTTGTGGAAGCGTTCGCTCGAGGTCCGCGAACAAAGGATTCAATATCGTTTGGGCATAAAGTTTCTTGTTCTCGATTGAGACGGTGGGGGAAGAGGCAATGCAGCCGACGGCTTCGAAGAGGTACAGCTGTGACTGGAAGAGGGCATCGGCAGATTGGTCCTCCTCATCCGACGACATGTCATCTCCTGAATCATCCGGAAGCTCCGCCTTGATGGTGAGCAAATCTGCGACGGCTTGGATAATGTCATGGGACACATTTCCGAGCTGGGCACGAAGAGGCTTCACGAAACGGTGGAACAGGTACCACGACCTAGATCGCACCTTGACGTGAGTATGATGAGTAAGCCGCACGAAATTCTGGAGAACCTTGGGAACAAAGTGTGGATTCTGCTCGAAGAATTGATGGTACCGCACACAAATTTCCATGTACTGTAGTTGAATCGCTGGATGTGGGTAGTCGGCCAAGTCTACGAGCGTTTAGATACGTATTTCGTTCGGGAGGTAGGGATACATACCAGACTCGGTCATGCTTGTCATCATCCCCACTAACCGCTGAGCTGCCACAGACGATGGTTCGCGTTTAGCATACAAACCTTGGTTTTTGATGGCTAATTCTCCGAACAGATACATTTCGTAAAGAGCCAGGTCGAGATCCCGCCAGTTCAAGGACTGGTCATTCGATGCTCGGCGTCTGAATGTATCCTCAACTAGCCGGCTGAGTGTCTCGATGTAGAACGATTCGTCTATTGCGGCTACAGTTTGTTGCAAAACATGGAGACGTTTCCGAAGGTCTTGGAACTCGGCCTCATCAGTTTGCTCGTCCTCCTCTCCCCAGGAAGCCGTTTCGTCGTACTTCAGTTTGCTGATAATGGCTTCCAATACGGTAGGAAGTATGTTCGCGTACTGCTCTGGCAAAGCCCCAGTCTTCTTCTGAAGCTTTCGGAAAAACGTCAGAAGGTCGGTCAGGGAAGGTATTACCGTGGAGCAGACTTCATCGTACTGGTCCGCAAAGAAACGCAGAAGGTAAGGCGCGAAAACCTGGATCAGTTCGTTTGCGCGCTGGCGGGTCTGATCGTCTACGGAGTCGTTTTCCAGAATCTTGACTATATCGAATACGATATTATTGACCAGTTTCGCTACGGTCTCAGCAAGATCATTATCGTAGTCTGGCGTGTTTCTTAAATCGGACAGCGCAGGGCTTGCGATGAGCTGGCCCACTACCTCTGGAAGGTTCAAGAACGTTATCAGTTGCACTTTCTCTGGTGGTTGCATCTTCTTGCCCACAATCTCAGAGAAGGTGTCGATAGCGGCGTCGCGAACGCGGCCCTGTGGACTGTCTGGATCGGATATGCCCTGTTGGCCTGCCATCTCAAGAAACATGCCTATCATCGATTGATTTACCACAAGCGAAATATCAATCCAGCTCACCCATCGCCCCACTGTTCTGAGACACATTTCTATGAGGCCCAGATCGGTCTCCCGCCACTTTGCGAGTATCTCCTGCCAGGATAATGAGATCTTCTGGGCATCTCGGTGACGAATCAGGTCCTTCAGTTCCGTGTTTCGCTTCTTCTCTCCGTCAGGCCTCTCCAGCAGCACATCAGCGATTTCATCATGGACCTGGCTCAACATCCGAAGGTATAGCATCGTTCCGGTCTTATTTACATTGCCAATTGCGGCCTGGTCCCCGGCAAGGGCTCGAAAGTCGTCGAAGAAGGATTGCCAGGAGGTGGGGTATAGCGTAACGAAAAGATAGGTGATGGTCTGCATAAGCTTGTTTTGGATATGATTGGAGTCTGTAGCAGTGTTCCCAGAAGCGTACTTTTGTTGAACATAGTTCATCAAGGTGTCCTTGATATAGGCCAAGCTTTGTGGGTCTAACCGGTGAACATGGACGGCGCTGTTTACGAGGTCTAAAGACGAGTGGCGGACGATTTCGGCGGGAGGAGGGTCGCGTGTGAACAGATTCAGTGATGCCTGCCAGGCGGAGCCATCGGCTCGCAGTTGGTGGAGAAACTCGAGGGCTTGACCGCGAAGCTCCTGGCTGGAGGTAGGGCTGGAGGCAATATCGATGGCATTCTCGAGCTGTTACAGTGAGTATAGGGCTTGGAGGCAGTACAGAAGTCGTTGAGGGCGGTCACGGACCTGAGCCTCCATGGCTTTTGACTCAGACCGGGTGGAATTTCAGATGGAGGATTGAGTGGGCCCGGATTAGCAGTGTCAACAAGCGGCACCACAGGGGAATTCTAAAGAGAATTCGAGGTTGTAACAATGCTACCGCGACATTTGAAAGACAGCTTGTTGCATGGTTGAGGTGGAGAGCGGTGAAATGAAAATGCGGGGCCGCAGGTTCCGGCCGACGTTGGTTTGCTGGGCGGGATGACGATGAGTTTGCAAAGCCAACAGGGCTCGGAGGGATCTGCGGCGGTAGAGAGTGCAAGTGTGGGAGAGGTTGAATTTGTCGGTCGGCTTTGTCGTGTGTTGTGCTCGGAAGCAGAGGGAGGAATTGTCCCAGGCTTGGCGGCAGCGTGCCGAAGTGGGATGTGCTCATGCAAAGGTGGAGGGGTCTCCACGTATATTCACCGCGTGGCACGTGCTCACTCGAATTTCGCGCAGGCGAGTACAATTGTATGTGTTGATCAGCCTCCAGTCATGATAACTATTTACAAGCGCAAAAGGTCGTGTGAAGCTGTTACATCAAAGCAACCCTACTCACATGTACTCTCGCACCGGACCATGACAATCAACAGTCTCAGGAGATCTGATATAGAGACATTCTGCCGCTGAGCTCTCGTATATTAGATTTACATAGTGCGTCTATGGGATTCGCTTCTCCTCTACATAATATTTACGCCATTGAAGGGGACGAACAAGTACCTTGACAGATCTCTAGGGGTTCAACTCAACACTGACCTACAGCTTCCCCTTCCCGTCCACGTTGCTTCTGAGGCAGTGAGCACACCTCCCTCTTCGGCTACACATCAGCCACTTACTATACGCCCAAATACTTCGCATGATATGCAATGTGCTCGTCTGCGAACGATGCCATAAAGTAGTAGCTATGGTCGTAATCGGGGTGGAAGCGTAGGTTGATGCCCTTGTCATTTCCAGCCTGCTTCGCCGCTTCAATGAAGTTCTCAGGAAGGAGTTGCTTCTGCTTGTAGAAGTTGTCACCGGTGCCCTACAGAACATCAGCGTTTAGGTTCGTCTCTTCTTAGATGTGACGGCTACTCACCACATCGATGAGCATTTCTAGAGGACCCTTCCACTGCTTGACAAGCTCAGTTGCATCGTGCTCCTTCCACTTCTCCTGCTGGTCCTCTCCAAAGTATCCCTTGAAAGCTTTCTGGCCCCACGGGCAATTGATCGGATTGGCGATGGGCGCGAATGCCGAGACGGACTTGTACTTTCCAGGATTCTTCAAGAACTGTGGTGTTGCTATCAGCCCTGTTCAACTGTCCAATGCTTGGTTTGCAGAGCTACGAACCAATGTCAAGGCTCCATGGCCGCCCATGCTATGTCCTGTTATGCTGACCCTGCTGGAGTCCAGTTCCTTGAACGACGAGAACAGGGCTTCCGGAAGCTCTTTGGTGATGTACGAGTACATGTTGTAACCCTTTGTCCATGGCTCTTTTGTAGCGTCAACGTAGAAGCCCGCGCCGGAGCCGAAGTCATAGGCGTCGTCCTCCCCTTGTATTTGCAGACCACCTGCAGAACATCAGAAGAGCACATTAGGAGCTGCGTTTGTATGCGTACGAGGACTGGTATCAGGGTATACGACTGCTATTCCCTTCTGGCTTGCGCCGTGTTGAAAGAAGCCCTTCTCTGAGCAGTTATCTCCCGTGCAAGTCAAGCCGGAGAGGTAGAAAAGGACTGGGATCTTCGCGCCGGAGTTGAATGCTTGCGGAGGCAGGTAGAGGTTGAGTGCCATGTCGGTATTGGTGCTCGATGACTTGTGCTTCAACTTGAGGAGCTTGCCTCCAAAGGAGGCAATGGTGGCAGTTGTTTCGAAAGCCATGATAATATTGGAATAAAGTCGAATAAGGGAACGCTTTGAAGCAATACAAGCGGGAAAAAAAACAACAAAATATTGTCGAGCTCACATGCTTATAGCTATGACGCCGTTGCCCTGTCTTTCTATGCGGGGCGGCTGGCTGCCCCTCTCCTCTCATCCGCCCCACTATGCCTAAAACGATATAAAGATTTCGGCAAGTGATTGCATGAACGGTCGGATCCGCTTTCTCACTTGCAACAGAGCGGGAGGATGAAAATGATCCTTCGGTTTTGACTCGGGGAATATCTCCATGGAAAACGACTTAAAGACTCCTTTATCGCCAAGCACCATCATTTATGCCACCCCCAAAAACTCCAGCCCAATGCAGACCCATTCCTCCCACATCGCTCAGAGGAGCTCTTCGCAAGTCCAGTCCTCGTACCTGCATGCACATTAGCTTGGCGCAGCCACGGTTGAGACCACAAGGTAGACATACCATCCATCGGGGAGGAACCGCCGCACGACCAGGGGAATCTTCTTCTCACGAAGCTCCTTGATGGCAATCTGGAGAGGATCCGTCATGCCTTCCACATCAATCAGAACAGGCGCATTGCCGCTATTCATCGTGTCAGCCCGGATATCCCACTTGAAAAACCGGAGAGAACCCACCTAATTTGCAGAGCCCTTGTGCCGAGAACACGCGCCCTCTCGTACTTGGTCATGTAAGGCGTAGTCGTGCGCTTGTCGTCTGGCACCTTCTTGTCCCGCATGCTTGCGACTGTGTTCTTCTCCTGGGCCTTTGCAGCGGCAGCATGGCTGGCGTCTCCCCCGATCACAACATTGTCCTCCTGGCCCTGTTGTTCCCGCTCAGCGTCTTCGGGGGCTGCGTTCTGATCCTGATCGTCGTCTTCGTAGATTTCGGGCTCGGGCTCTTCGAAGTCATACTCCTCTCTGAGAAACATATATGTTAGCTACAGATTCGAAGAGACCCAACATCGGACAATGAGTACGCGGCAGCGACTGTAGGCGGATCCACGTACCCATATCCGGTATCATCGAAGCCTGCGTCGTCGTCGCCGCCTCCGTAGTCAGACATGATGCGAGATGTAAGGTGCTGGAGTGCCGGGACGGTTAAGTAAGCGTGCGGTCTATGCGGAGTGAGTTCGAGAGCTGATGGTAATTTTGGGTGTGTCGCGCAAAGCGTTGAAAGCTAGGTTGGAAGATGGAACAAAAAAGCTGGGCTGCTGAACTCCGCGATGGATCACGTGCAAGGGACAAGGAGCGCTCAGACCAGAGAAATCTTGGCGTTCGCCTAATGATTCTGCCCCAAAATTGGAGTCTCTTGAGCTCTCACCGCCCGCAACTTGTTGGGTGGACGGGTTTACGAAGGGTATGCGTGTGTCGCTATCTTGCAGAGATGGCGAACAAACGTAAGGAGACAGATGGGGATGAGGGCGGAGCACAAAAACGATTTCGTCGAGGTGAATATCCGCTTGGTGATTGCAAACGTCGTCTCATACACTAACCTTGCTATCCAAGCTCTTGACGATCAACATGACGCTGGACGCGACGATGACCCCTTTGCAAATGATACGCCTGCTGCTCCCGATCCATTCATTCGTGAAGGCATCAACCAATCCGACGGCCGATCACAATGGCTCTGTACTTATACCGGCTGCGAATATCGCTGCGATCGTCTCGCGAAGATTCAGAACCATGTTCGGGTTCACACCGGGGAACGACCATTTGTCTGTACCTACGGCAACTGCGATAGGAGCTTTACACGCAAAGACAAACTTACTCAACACGTCAAGAACGTACACGGCGAGGAGGCTCCGCGTCCGCATGCTTGTACCTGGGAAGGCTGCACGAAGAGTTTCGGCACCAAGCAACATCTAAAGGAGCACATCAAGTCTCACGAACGATTGTTTTACTGCACGGGATACCCACCTTGCACCGAGGCTTTCCGGAAACAAAAGACCCTGGATTCTCACATCGCGCAAAAGCATCTGAAGATAAACCCTTGGGCTTGCACCTTCATCGACGCTGAGACTGGTGAGAAGTGCACCAAGAGCTACCAAACGGAAGGGAGCCTTCGACTTCACACCAAAACTTGCCACAATGGAAAAGTGACCGAAGTATTCTTTTGCGTACATTGTCCTGCACCTGGTGCACAGATGGAGACGTTCGAGACAGAGATGGGCATAATAACCCAGCCGACCGAGCCACTCCGTTTCGCAACAAAAGAGGAGCTCTTGAATCACGAGAAAGTGCATCACCCGCCTGAGTGTATGCTGTGCAATCGGAAATTCGCCAGCCAGATGAATCTGGACAACCACGTCGCTGTCGTCCACGGAGACCCAAAATCACAACCTCAACTACCCTGCCCCTACCCCGACTGCAAGAGTGTCTTCAAGAAGCGAAGCAATCTAAATACGCATATTTGGAGCTTTCACGAAAAGCGGAAAAACTTTGTGTGTGAGACGAACGCTTTTGTCGATTCAAAGAAGACGGACCTGAAGGCGTGGGACGGGCACAACGCATGCGGAGCAGCCTATGCGTCCAAATCCAGCCTCGAGCAGCACGTCCGCAGGGACCACCTCAAGATGCCGAACCGCAAGCAGATGAGAAAGATGAGGAAATCCCGGGCGCCGCCCCCGCCCTCGGCTCTGCGACTCCTCACCGGTGTCGGTTTCGACGGTGGCCGAACCATCACGTGTTTGCAGGAAGGCTGTCAACACACCTTCTTCCGCGACTATGACCTCCGTCGCCATATGCGCGCCGAACATGACATGGAACCTCATGACATTGAGGCCAGAATCCTCGAACGCAACGCTCAGGAGGGCGGCGAGTTCTGGGTTCGAAGAGGCGAGGACTTGCTGTACGAGTCTGCCGAGACGAGTATTGCGCAAACTCCGGATCCGTACCATGGCCCTCCGGCCCCTCAGATGTACGAGGGGTGTGTTCCCAGTGGTCTTGATCCTCGACTGGAGGGCCCGTTCGATCAGTTGAAATTGTCTTCTTTGCAAGAGGAAGAGGAGGACGAGGAGACGCTGATGGATCAGATGATGGGTTTGAAGCCGTTGCAGACGTGGAATATGGAGAACGGATTGCCAACGGCGTAGCTGGTTGTGACTGCTCGGGGCGTGGAAGGTCCTTCCATCTCCCCATTAAGAGCAGGCACGATTCTCCGTTTCAGTCTCCTCCGTTTTAGCGTTCCTAGCGATGTATTATGATGATGGCCTTGGTCTGTCACGTTTTATACCCCTTGTTTCGGCGAGGCACCGCTTGTCTTGTTTTATCGAGCACAATACAGTGTCGCCAATACGCTGCTGAAAACACTATACGATGCAATGCAATTGACGCTAATCTAATGATCCTGCCAACCTTCCCTACTCCGATGTTTACCAAAAGCCCTCATTTCATGCAAATATAAACCCGCGATGCCTTTACAAGAAGCGCTCCAGTGTTCCGAGTTCATGAAACCATCAGTCTTACATTAACCCTTTCCAACGTTGTTCTACCCAACGACAGTCGGTTCCAACCCTAACCCCACAGCTCCGTTCCCTTCGCCCTCACGCTCCCTCTCATCATCCCCAAACCCTTCCCCCAATGCCTCTGCACCAGCCGTGGCATCCTGCCCCCTCACTCTCCTTCCCGTACTGCCACCCCCGCTGCCGCCCTCACTCCCTCCGCCCCCATAACCCCCCTCATGCTTAACTCCAGCAGGGAAATCCTCCGCCTCAATCTCGTCATCCACAAACACCCTGCTCTGCCTTCTCAGCTCTTCTAAAAAGCTGCCCGACCGCTTATGCCGATGCCCCAGCGGCTGCGCCGCCACCGAGGGCCCCTCTTCATCGTGCACGGCGGGGAATTCGTACATCGATGTTGGGCGGTGATCGTGCGATGAACGAGGATTCAGGAGAGGGGAACGATCTCTCGAGCGGGAAGAAGATTCGCGCGGGGAGAGCGAAGAGAACCAGCCTGAGAGGCGTTTACTTAGTGACGGACTGCCCGGTACGGTGACACTTCTAGAGAGTTTCTGCGTGGCGACGGGCCGGGGTCTTTGTTGTTTATAAGTCTCGGAATCGGACGAGTCGGAGCTATACGCCTGCGCACCGCCATCCATCTTCTGCCTCAGCAAACCCGCGACGTCGTCTTCAGACAAGATATCCGGAAGTCCCGTATCCTGCCTACTCATGATGCGGAACTGGCGTCTCCCTTGCTGAATCAGACGCTCCAGTTTCGCGCGATTGGCGATGAACTTCAGTTTCGGGAATGCGGAGAGCTGGCCCACGTGGATCATGCGTGCGAGGCGCTGAGGCGAAGGGTCGGACAGGATGTAGTAGAAGTCCGAACCGACGGATTTGGGCCAGATGGTTATCGTGCCGCTGAAGCGCTGGAGCCAAATCTCGGACCAATCTTGGTTCATGAAGCGGGGAAGGAGTTCCAAATGGCGCAGGACTTTGAGCCATTTGTTCATGTCTAGTTTGATGTATTGCTCGATAGCGGAGCCGAGGAAGCCGCCGCGCCAGCCGCGCCCACGGCGATGGGTTACGGGGCGGCCGACGGAGCCGCGAGAGGAGAAGAAGAAGAGGTTGATGTGCGGGTTTACTTGGCTGACGATGGAGAAGCGGACGTTGAAGTGGAGATTAAGGGATTTGAGAGGAATGTCGGTGCGGAGACTCCCATCTTTCCATTTGTGGCCGAAGGAGTAGGGGGAGAGAGTGCCGTTTTTGTTCTTCTTCATGAGGACGACGGGGTTCAGGATGCCGGGGACGGCGGCGGACGCCAAAACGGCCGACCAGATAACGCAGTCCGGAGATGTGAGATAGTTTGCTAGAATGGTTGGCGAATGAGGATCTGATGGGACGCATGATACGTTGAGAATGCGTCCAGTTCGCTCGTATGCCTCCCGGAAGGTCATACTGCCACGAGTGAACCAGGCGCAACGTTTCGCCCAATCGATACTGTCAAAGCGTGCCCCAGTACGGTACCAGCGCTTGAACCAAGTAAGTGTGTCGTCGTGACAGGCTGTTATGCGATGTGCGAGAGCAGGTACTAGGAGCCTTTTGAGCTCTTCATCGGTCCTGGTGCAGAGTAACGCCGCTACAAGAGCGCCTCCAGAAGTCCCCGCTATTACATCTGGCAGGAGGTTCGCATCGATGAGTGCCTTTGCAACGCCGAAATGGTAGTAGGCAAAAGTGGCTCCTCCAGAAAGGCACAAAGCTGTACGACCATATTGTTTGCTGATATGCTTCAACATCGCCCTCTTGCTGTCCGCATCGAGCTGAGTTGTCTTAAGAAGGAAAGAGACGGAAGTTTCAACCTCATCCACGAAACTCTGCACCAGGTTCTTGGTCCCATAGTAAGTTTCGCTGTATAACCGGGGATTCTCGAAGCCCGCAAAGTTGTTCTTCACACATATTTCCACAAGCCCCTTGAGCTCTTCAACTGTCTCTTGAACCGCACCTTCCCTTGTCTTGTTTCCTGCAGCTTCAACAGCCTCCGCCTTCTTACGCAGTTTGGCCATCTGATCCCGCGCCCTCCGGATCGTTTTGCTGTCATAGTATGCATATTCATCCGTCCGCTTCCATGATTCGTTGCCCAGGAATGTATCTAGCTCCTTCGCCGACGTCATCCACTCCTCATACGAGGTGGCCTGTTGCAATCTCGCACGAAGGTTCTGCCGCCGGCCCCTCCATGTGACCAACTGTTCGTACAGGAGGATGTAAATGCGCGTCAGGGCGTAGGCTATGCTCAAGAAGAAGAGCCAGCCGAAGACTAGAATCAACAAGGGCCACTTGAGGATAATGTACACGACTCCTTCCCGGGTCTCATCTTTGCCTCTCCGCGGAGGCTTTTTGGTTTTATTCCGTGGGCGAACGCGCTGGTATATTGGCCGCCAGTCGTTGAGGGCTGTGATGAAGGTCCGCTGGACGGGTTGAGGCTGGGTGAGGTCTTCGGTCGAGGGCGAGTTCTCCGGAGCGAAGAGAGCTCTTTCAAATTCTTCGAAATCATCTACGTTTATGAAGTCGTTGTTGTAGTCTGGAAGAAGGGTGTAGTCGAATGCCGCGGGGGAGTATGGGGCTCGACCATCGGTTGCTTTGTTGACATCAGCCATCTCGGGGATTGCACTGCGGCATGGCCTCTGTTCGAGGGTACATCGGGCGGTTATGTGAGAGGAATGCACCAAAGCGAAAGAGCGGTCGCAGTGGCTCTGGTTCAAATGTGGTAGTTGTGGTCAACTCGCTGGTGTCGTTCGACAAGTGGTGATGTCAGTGTGGGCACGTGCGCAGGTGTCCCTGGCATTCTCAAGCTCTGGAGGCCGCGGCAGGGTCCAAGCAGAGAAACAACGCGTCTCCAACTGTGTACAATGTCTTCAATGGCAACGACTTCTCAAGCAGCACTCTCCTCTCTCCAAAGTCCATTGTTACGCAGAGGTCCACCAACCCGATGAGCATACGAACCCTCACATGTCGCACGCGGTTCGCGGCACGCCGACTCTCTCAACTAGCATGTCGTGGTCTCCTAACCCTTGCTATCGAGACCAGTTGTGATGACACTAGTTAGCAATGTCCTCACTGAAGTGGACGCTCTTGATGCTAATGCTCAATATAGGCGTCGCGGTTCTGGAGACCCGGAACAGTTCATGTGGTCCGACCAGTGCCATCCTGCATTATCACAAGAAAGTCACATCCAACAATACACAATACCAAGGGGTACATCCTCTTGCCGCGCTTTGCTCCCACCAAGAGAACCTCGTGAAACTTGTAGATGAGGCTATCCTGCATCTACCACCCCGAGATGCACCTCACCGCACTCCTGAGAAGGGAGTGTCATCCGCGGCCGATTCCGAGTCAACCAGCTTCAGATCGAAGCGGCTGCCGGATTTCATTTCCGTCACAAGGGGCCCGGGAATGCGATCCAACCTGTTTACAGGAATAGATACCGCCAAGGGCCTTGCAGCAGCATGGCAGGTACAACTCTAGCCTCACCGCCCGTCATGTGAAGCTAACGTCGCGAAGATTGACCTGCTCGGGGTGCACCACATGCAGGCACACGCTCTTACTCCTCGTCTTGTAGCGGCACTCCAGAACACGTATCGACCTGATGTCGTCCTGCAAGCAGCGCAACCCAGAGCTCACGGCACACGGCCGGATTACCCCACGATCGGCACAAATTCAAAGATCGAGGTCGAGCCCGACTTCCCCTTCCTATCCGTACTAGCCTCTGGAGGACACACGCTATTGATTCAGTCGACATCCCTCACCGACCATCATGTTCTGGGAAGCACGGGTGATGTTGCCGTGGGAGAGTGTTTGGATAAAGTTGCTCGTGTTGTTCTTCCATCCGAACTGCTACAGACTGCCAAGTCTACTATGTACGGAGCACTATTGGAAAGGTTTGCATTTTCCCAGAGCCAGGTAGTCGAGTCGGGCAAGGGTGCATTGAATCCCAAAATAGAAGATCAAGGCCAAGGCAATTTCTTCCTGGAAGACAGCACTGCAGAAGAGTATCGAGCAATGTACGCAACACGATACACCTACACTGTACCTAGGAATCAGGAAGAAGCATTGCGGCAAAACACTACCAAATGGGGTTGGAACTTCAATCAACCCCTTGCAAAGGCCGGCGGCGGGGTGAAGAGCAAGAGTCTGGAAATGAGTTTCTCTGGACTGATGACCGCCGCTGAGCGCGCAGCGTCGTACCAACGAGACAGTACGACTGGAAAGCAGACCAGGCTTGTCAGGCCACCTGGAGATCTCACAATGGAAGAGCGAAGAGATATTGCCAGGGAAGTGATGAGAGCTGCTTTCGAACATATCTCGACGCGGGTGGTGCTGGGGCTGCAGCACATTCTGGCCAGCCCCTCCCGCTCGGAAAAGGTGCCGACCGTTGTGATGTCCGGGGGTGTTGCAGCGAACTCGTTTCTGAGATACATGTACGAAGCCCCCCTCATCAGTTCAATTTCGACTGCTGCAAAAACATCCTGCATGTCCTCAGCGTTCAATTCGCACATCGCCCCTGCTCGTTGTTGCTTCAGAACCTTACTGACTCTAGAGCAGTCTTGCCAGTACCCTTGTAGCGCATGGCTATCACGAAGTGAAAATAGTCTTTCCCCCGGCAGCTCTCTGCACAGACAACGCGGCTATGATTGCCTGGGCTGGAATTGAGATGTACCAGGCCGGATACAAGGACTCGCGATCGATTAGAGCTGTGCGGAAGTGGCCCTTGGATCAACTCCTTGTACCACCAAAGGACGACTAGCAACCTCATGGGCCTTGCTTTCGGGCATATCCTCCACTTGGACAGGGCGTTCAGCCGAACGTCTCTTTTGCTCTATAGCAATTGCCACATTTCCCGTCCGTATTGATGCTTGCGGTCCGAACAACAGGCAGAATGGAGATGCCGAGACCTCCAACAGATGGCAAAGAGACCCGGATGTAATGCTGCGGCTCCTTGCAAGTACCCGGAGGAATGGTGACAAACCTGGAGTGTGTCGCTAAAGTCGAGCAAAACCGGGTACTTCGTACATTTCACGTGCATATTCGAGTTCTGCGCTAAATACAGAAACTCGAAATATGCCTATTGAGCCTGTACGCCGTTGTACACATTTCGCCTCCTCGGGTCGGGTCACCTATCCCTTTGGGCTTGCAATTTGTAGCGGTCATCATACGCCGCCTTGTGGTACCATCGCTATTCCGATTGTTTCCTTGAATCCATCCGTTGCTGGCCGCTTCACCACTGGTCTATGACGCAGTACTGGTGTCGAACCGAAGAACACGTCATGATATCTGCCATCAGCACGATCGTATTCGGGACGATGTGCAAACTCGTTAATGCTTGCCTCGTTCTCGGGCTGTGGTTGGATCGATGCAGAACGCCTGGTGGCGAATCTACTTGCTTCTAGACCGAATTGTGTGCCCATGAGAGAGGTGAGGATATACGACTGGCGAATTTATTGACCTTTTTTGTTTTGGACGAGTCGTTTTTCACCCCATACTCGACTGCAAGGGGCTTTCATATAAGCTTCTTTTCCCTGCATCCAATCCAAGGCGGGCTCGGCTCATTGCGGATCTTCGGTGCGACTTCTTCAATTTATGTTCCATATACCCATACTACCTTCCACTTTATCTCTGTACCTCGTTACCCAGGGTCAGAAAAATGCACCTCAGCACTTTATACCTTATCCTCGCGACCGCTAATTTTAGTATGCCAATCATGCCAACATATCTCATTCGGCTTGAACAGGAAGCTTGGAATCCGAGAAATAATGAGAGACACAGACCTAGAACCTGGATTGGGAGCGACAAACGGCTAGTTGCAGGACGTCAAATATCTGACACGTGAGAAAGAATGCTCGGTGCAAGCGACGATAGTGGAACCATTCGTATCTTTCATTTGCAACATAGTGCTTCCTGGCTGGGGAAACAGGTGATCGTGGGGAAGAGACGTCATATAATATGCCCACCATCCTCGCAGAGCTCACAGTATCGTAGAACGGACAACGTCAACGGTCTACATCGAGTCGATTGTCTGAACACGGACACAGAAGGATGACTCCTTCACAGCGAAGCGTGCTAGCTCTGCTCGGCCTGGTCGCTAGGTATGGCCTCCCTGTTGATACAAGACGTCGATACTGATTCTGTTAGTGTGCACGCGGTTCCAGCAGCTTTGCCTCTTCAGAATGTACCTGCCGCGAGTGACAACGTCGGATTGAACCCTCCTAGCTACACGGCGTCATGGGACATTGCTCCTCCTCAAACGACTGAGAAGCCCGACGATTCAGACGAGCCCATTATCCCCTTCCCTATTCCCAGCAATCACTTCAGTCTTGGCAAGCCGTCTTATACGATCTCTTGGGAGGGTGAAGCTCCTACGGATGAGCCCGACGAGGAGCCGGGCTATCCTGTTCCTCAACCTACGCCAAGCAACCAGATCAGCTTAGGAAAACCCTCTTTCACGATCACTTGGGATGGAGGAGTTGAACCAACAAAGGAGCCAGGACCGGTCGATCCTCCGCCAGTTCACCGATCTAGCACTCGACGAACTCGTCGCCCAACTCCTATCCGTCCTACTCATGTGCGCCCCACTTCCGTTCGCTCTAGGCGCCCACCAATCCTCTCTGGACTTCCGACTCGGTACAGCATTACCTGGGAGACAGAACGCCCTCAGAACACCGGAGGAGTGCACTGGGATTTGCGCAGGCGGCAGTATGAGGAAGATCCGGAGCCTGTTCCAGACGACGAGCCCGTGGAGTCCGAATTCCCCCCAATCGTTTTGCCAACCCCACCAAACTCGATCGGAATCCAGCCTCCTAAGGCAACCGTGATCTGGGGTCGCCATCGCCGCCAGTATGAGGAGGATCCAGAACCCGTTCCTGACGACGAGCCAGTTCCTGACGACGAGCCCGTGGAGTCCGAATTCCCCCCAATCGTTTTGCCAACCCCACCGAACTCGATTGGAATCCAGCCTCCTAAAGCAACCGTGATTTGGGGTCGCGTGCGCCGGCAATTTGAGGAAGACCCGGTCCCCGAGCCTTCAGAGACTGCATCCCCCGAAGACCCTGAAGAAAGTGACATCCCTGACCTGCCTCCTGTCCTGCCCACACCGCCAAACTCGATTGGAATCCAGCCGCCTACGGCAAGCGTGATTTGGGGAAAAAGGGCCGCATCCCCAGAGACAAACACCTACGTCGAGTTCACTAAGATCATCCCCTCTTTCATACCCCCTGTATTGAAGCCAACCTATGTAGTCACGTGGGACAAGAGACAGGACGAGGCTGAACCCACGGATGAACCGATCGACCTGCCCTTGCCAACGCTCTTCCCGACTCCTTCCGATGACATTGGACTCCAACCACCTAGCGCCACGCTGATCTGGGGCAAGGAAAAGCGCAATCCCGAAGCCGAACCCCAGGATTTCAGCTTGATCTTTCCTTCCGGCATCAAAATACCTACTTGGTGGCTCCCCAGGCCTACGCCCCCTGTTATTTCATGGGGCAAGCGCGACGCTGCTCCTGCACCCACGGCTGCGGCAGTGCTCGAAGAGCGTGCAGAAGCCCCTAAGAGCTGTCTCATTACCACGACGGTTTCTCGCGTTAGGATATGCCCTCAGATCAGGTGCATAGACACATGCCCCCCCTACGAACCCCTTGAGGATGAGTATGAGCTCGTGGACTCATCACTTGATTGGGTTGCGAGGGACGAACCTAGCGAGCACAAAACTTTTGACTGCCCAGTCACCCTCACTGCGACCAAGAAATGTCCCTTCTGCTCGTGCACGAGGCGCCCCACGCCGATTACCACCGTCAAGGTGCCCACGTCCACCAAGATACCAACTCCGCAGTGCCCTACGGTCACGAGGACTGTCGTTCCTCCCTGCGTGCCTCCGATGTGCCCGGATACCAATGAGGCTCCTTGTGATCTCTCCAGGCCAATTCCCAAGATGCAGAAGGCCAGGAGACAGGTGATTGAGAAAAGGGTTGTGACAATCGAGACTGTCGTTCCTCCAGTCACTGCTCTTCCCCCTGTCTATGGTACGTGTACTTCGGCAGTGACGAAGACGGTAGTGAAGCCGTGCCCTACTTTCACTTGCGTACCGTGGGATAGGTGTGATGCGGCGCAGATTGTAAGGTGAAGATTTTCGTTCTGTAAGATGGGTGCATGCGGAGGGGACATACCAGTGTTATGGGCTTGAGCAGGAGGTTCAGTCGCTCGAGTGTGCCGAGTGGATCTACAGGTAGATGTGCTGCAGAGTCTAGTTTGTACGTGAATACCTTCGTTGGTTCGAATTGAATTTGAGATTTTCCGTCTTCTACATATTTGGAGGTAGTCGTGCACAATGCATTGCCAAACAATAGGATGCTTGTGAAGTGTGAATGGGCATTCACACTTCACAAGCATATATGATTAGCAGGTGCTAATCATATAATAACACCACGTGACACCGCGATTATCACCGCGTCGAACTCGTCAATTGGACTCTCCAGACCTCCTGCTGGCACCGCCCTCCGCCAACAACCACATACACCATCGTACTACTACGATTATTCCTCCTTCTCTCGATTGTTCTTGCTAAAATGGGTAGCCAGGCTGTTCTCGTATACAGAACTCACGTACAGTGGCCCCACCGGTTGACACCTTCCCTGCCTGGAATCCAGACTCCCAGAGACTTGCCTTGACCGTCGCGATTCGCTATTGCACTTTCCAAAACGTGGGACATGTCGGAGTGGCCGGGAAACTAGGCCTATTAACCGAATCCCATCCCAAACTCTCCTACTTGCATTGGAGTCTGTCATTCAAGACCTGGGGGTTTACGATTACTGCCCTTTCATATCCGTCGTTGTTGTTCGGAACCCACCATGTCTGCTGATTTCCCGTGCTCACCTCGCTCAACATGGGTTCCGGCTCCCGGAGGAGGCCCATGGTCATTGACTCCGAGTCCGATTCCGATGTAACGATTGTTAAATCCGCCTGGAAACCGATCGTCATCGAGTCCGACGATGACGGCCACCCTCCACCCAAGAAGGAGCAACTTCGCCCTTCGATCAGGGAGACCATGGAGGTCGACTCGAAGCACGCCACTTCGAACGAGAAGGGGCGCTTTCAGCAGTCCGATTCCGATAATGCCAGGAAGAGGATGTTCAAGATAGATTCCGAAGACAGTCTTTTTATCAAGGAGGAGTTTACCCTTGATTCTAAGGACCACGATCGCTCTTGGATGAAGACGGAGGTTTCCCAGCAGTTCGATCCCGACGAAGAGCCATTGGCTAAGAAAAGGATGGTTAAGCTCGAAATCGACCACAAGCCCCTCGTGAGGACGGAGGTTTCCCCGCAGTTCGATCCTGGTAATGAACGTCCGGCCAAGAAGAGAATTCTCAAGGTCGATAACGATGACAAGTCCCTCGTGAAGATGGAGGAACGGCAGCCCACAACACATTCAACGCCCGGTCAAGATTCGCATTCAACCGATTCCGTATCGACTGAACCGATCGATCCTTCGTACAGAATGGGCATCAAGCGCAGTTTCAAAACGATGGGCGGAGAGTGGAAAGATTATTGGATGCAAGCGGCCGGAGTGGAATTTTTTAACGGGCGAACTCGTTGTACGATCATTTGCGCGGTGTGCCAAAAGAGGTGACCAGGAACACGGCGCGCCGCTCGTACACTGACCCGGTGTCTCCGTACCTGAAGGAGAAAAGGTTGAGGAAATTATGTTATACTGGTGACTAATAAGTCGGACAAGAACCGCCTCACTCGCTCTGCCTCACTACACGAAGGGCCAGCAACACATCTTATTTGGGTTGAATTGATTTATCACAACAGATTTTGGTCCTGAACAGTCGATATGGTGGAGGGCTTATGTGGTGGCTATGAGGGCGTGTCTTTGAGGAGATGGCATGGCAGTCAACAATATAGCAGTACACAATAGCTTCTAATGGAGTATTCACCAACGTTCCAATGTCAATATGGCTCGTGTTGTCGCTGAGTGGGTCATTTCGCATCACAGCTGGCAACTGGAGTTGGGGCTGTCGGCCCAGGAGCGACATACCTGCCAGGTCACGCGACTGGTTCCCAACTCAACCAACCTTGGAATCCGAATTCCACGGAAAGAAATATACTGCTTCTTTTCACGTCCGACTGAACACGACCGTGTGCGCGTAGGGTGTATTGACCTTCTAATTAGCCCTTTCTGCGCCTCCCTCCAGGTATAACCGGCCGTAAAGCACCGTGCCCTAGTGGCGTAACTAGAATATAGCCAATTGGATTTCTTGAAATACGTATTCTAACTTGGATTGGAAGTACTGGGGGTTGTACAGTCGGACGTGGGAGGATGCGGTAGGACTGGAATGGTGACTTACATAATGACACCACGTGACACCGCGATCTCAGGCTGGCCCAAGCGTCACTGGAGCCTGCGCTTCCGCGTTCATGGTCGTGATAGACCAGACAGGACTATAACAGGTTGCCGTGGGCCCTCAATAGGTGTACCGATGTCCACTCCTCCGAATGCTCACCGCCACAGCCATATCTTCCTACCCAGACCGCTTTCTCCTAGTTAAACCTCTCTACATTCACGTCGTTTCACCCTTTCGCCGACCGCCCCACCGTCGGCGCGTAAACCATGTGGTTACTTGAGCACGAGACGCTGTTCCCAGGGAAGCGCACATGGCTTCGCCCAGGCTCACAATATCTCTTTGGACGGACAACCGCAAAATCAGGAAAAGGCGAGGATGGCAATACCATTGGGATTGAGAGCAAACAGGTCTCGAGACAGCATATGATGCTGAAGGTGCTTGAGGTGCCTGCGGGAGACGGGGTATGTTCTACGTATGTAAGAGAGGGCTAAATGAGCTGACAGGCGCAGACGAAATTACATGCTAGGACTCCTGTCGAAATCACGGATCTGAGTTGCAAGCGCACAATTGTTGATGGGGAGAGGCGGCTTCAGAGCGAGAAGAAGGACGGGACGATTGTGAAGTATGATGCAATGACTTTGACGGGGACGGAGCATACGATTAGGTTGGCTCCGAATTATCCTGAGTTCAAGTACGTTCCGCGTCTACTGGAGGATGAAAGCATTTCCCATGCAAAGTGTGTACTGCCAACGACTGACTCTGCATGAAGGATTTCCTGGCATCCCGTCGTCTTCACCTTCGCATCAAGGGACGGCCGAGCACAAGCTTCGCAGCTTCATGCCATTGACATCAAAACGACCACGGATTTTGTCCACGGGCAGACCACGCACGTCATCTCGCTGAAGCGCAACCTGCCAAAAGTGTTACTAGGTCTATGTGCTGCTACGCATATCGTAACTCCCGATTTCATCGATGCTGTGGTAGGCGTTGCATCGCCTCAGAATAGAGATCCAGACCAATACAAAGGCTCCAAGCTGGAGGAGGATTTTGATGCTTGGTGGCCCAAGGAAGAAGACTACATACCACCGCGGGGACAAGAACCTGTACGGCGACCAGAGAATATGCTGAGGCCTGATGCACGGCGGTCGGAAGTATTCTCAGGTTTGACCTTCATCTTTTTGAATGAAAGCCAATACGAGACGCTACAAGACTCAATAGCTGCCGGTGGTGGTAAGGCATTGTTGTATAACCTTCGGTTTGGCGAGACAACGGTGGATGAATATGTGGAGTTCGTAAGGAACGTAGCGGGAGAAAAGGGAAGGCGCAGGGGCCCCGAGCGTCTGCCAGTAGTGACGATTCGACTGTCTAACTATCCAGAGGGAATGGAAGAGTGGGCCCTGGATTTCGTTACTGGCGTAGACCAAGCGTTGAATCAACGCTCTATCCAGCAGAACGAGTTTCTTGATGCCATCCTCACAGTCGACACTTCGTCACTGCTGCGACCACCTGCTCAGATCGAAGTCGGCTCCAGCATGCCAGAGCTGACCCAGCACAGCGTTTCACGCGAACGCATAGCAGCCTCTCAATCAGCGGCCCCTCCTAAAGCTCCAGAACCGACTCTTGCGCCTACAGAACCTGCGGGAGTGATACCCCGAAAACGCGTCCGTCGGGGGATCACTCAGAGCCGTTTCACGGGCTTCGACGACTACGAGCCTCCCTCCAAATTCCGCAAAACCCAGGATGAACCTATGGAAGACGTTAAGATATCTGTGGGGACGCAAATAGCGCCTACTCAGGCATCTTCCCATCTGCAAACGGAAGGTCCAGCCTCGACCCAGATTTCTCGCCGCGCTGCATCACCTGCGGTCGATTCTGTCGAAGAAATAGACGAGGATGAGCTATTCCCAGCAGCTGCCGAACTGAAACGGCGCAGAGCAGCTACGCGTGGCGTCACTGCCTCTGTAGAACCGGAGGCATCAGCAGCAGCTGCGACGAAACCGAAAACCAAGGCTGGAGAGATACTAGAGCATCTGCACAGGACGAAGCAAAAAGTACTCAAGGACGTCAATGTCCAAGAACAAACGAAGAAACGTCTTCAGGAGGAAGAAGAAAAACGCAGAGCGGATGAAGAAAACCTACGTGAGGCCCTCCAGGGTGTCGATATCTCTGACATTAGGGGTCTAGTCCAGGTAGAAGAGATGGAGGTCTTACCCCGGCAAAGGCGAACGGCTCAGCGTGCTCCAGGCCCCATGGATCGCTGGAACGACGAGTGGAATGGACGCAAGAATTTCAAGAAGTTTCGGAGAAGGGGGGTGGAGAGGGGACCGGAGCGGCCGCAGAAGATGATTGTGGCGCTGGAGGAGGCGAAGTCGAAGAAAGGGGTTGGGACGGGCGATGCGTTTTTCCTCGAGGATAGCACTCCTGCTGCGTCGAGGCGGACGCAGGAGGAAAGGAGAGAAGAGCGTGGTAGGAGAGCGAGAGCGCTGGATAGTGAGTCTGAGGTTGAGCAGGGGTTCACGAGACGGAGGCGGACTCAGGAGCGGGAGGTTATTCATGTGGAAGACAGTCTGATGGATGATGAGGCGGAGGAGGTGGCGGAGAGTTCTACGACGCTGAGGGATAGTTCGCAGCGGGTTGTTGAGACACAGTCGCAGGTTACGGAGACTCAGAGGCAGACGCAGACACTGAGGAAGAGGCCGCCTATCACGGTGGCGGCGGGACAGCGGCCGAGCAAGAAGGCGAGGGGGATGGGAGAGGATGATAGTGATGCTGAGGAGACGGGATTCAGACTTAGGCGGAGGCGTTGAGGTGGTGGGTTTCAGTGGTGATGAGATTTAGGTAGACCCTTTGTCAGCGTTAAGGAACAATGTTTTCTCACTACAACAGTACAATGGTCACATTTACGGACATCACTTCGCCTTGCCTAACGCTTTGCTTTCGTCTGAATGAAAATCATACATTGAATCTACAACACTGCTTGACATTCCTCACACGTAACCAGGTCGTCCAAAAAACCCCCGTCCAAATCCAACTGAACCCCGCTAACCAGTCCAAGGCCTCGGTCCCGGCGGCGTATAGCTCGTGGGAACGGGGTAGTAGATGTTGATCTGGATTCCGGGGTCGCTCGCCTTGTACGCACCCGGGAAGCTAACGAGGGGTCCCGGGGTTCCGTTTCCACCGCCCGTGACCTTGAGCTGGCCGCAGGAGATGTAGAACTGGGCGCCGCCGGGGCTGCTCGCCGAGTGCAAGGCGATGTGCTCGACGCGGAAGAGGTATTCGCCCGAGGGGAGGGACTGGGGGAGGGTGACGGTGACTTGGGTTTTGCCTGCGGAGGGTGGTTAGTGAGGGGGAGGAGTGGATTGGGAGAAGATGGAAATGGTGGATTCAAACCACTTATAAAGGGAAGAGATTCAAGCGGGGTGAACGAGGGCATCTAAAAGGGCGACGACAAAGCCACCGAAAGAAGAAGAAAAGGGAAAAGGCAAAACTCACCCTGACTACTCCACGTCAACCCCTGTCCCGAAATCGTCGGCCTCTCCTCATAAATCTTGAACCACACATTGCCGCTGCCATCCCACGTGGCGGCCGTCTTGCCCTCGGGCACCTTGGCGAGGTAGAATTGCAGCGGGCCCGGGTGCGAGATGCTGGTCTGGGCGGTGAAGCCGACCGTGTCGCCGGCCTTGACTTCGTAGGTTTGGGCGCCCGTCCCCGGGGACAGCTCGTAGCAGCGGATCTGCGTGCTGGAGACGTCGGTGACGGGGCCGTTGGATTGGTAGTTTGTCGTTTTGCGGACGTATTGCCATTGGCCGGTCTAAGGGGAGGGGGGGATGTTAGTATCCATTCATGGACTAGAAAGGAGGTGGTGGGTGGAGGTTGAGGGATAGGGGAAGGGGTTTTGCTTCTTCTTTGGTGTACTGAAGGAGAGGATGGGTGGGATATATCCATCCGCTCCTCCCGAGTGCACAGGAGAAGAGAGGGAGGCCAGAAACGTACCGCCTTGCCCCCAGCAACCAGAGCCGGGAACGTATAATGCGCCGTCGCGCTCGCCGCAAGCAGCGAAGAAGCAAGCAGGTACTTCATCTTGGGCGGTGGTTCACGATACCGGTACTTCCTTCACACAGCGGTTGGGTATGGGGTATGGATGCACACAACGAGGTCCAATCTGGAGGCAGCACTCTCCAATATATATATTCACCGTCCCATCCCCCGTCCTATCCGTCCTTTCATATACTTACCTACCTGACGTGGAAGATCCCTACTAACGATACCATCACGCCCTCGTGCTAAACTTGTTTCCACCAAGTACGCACACGCAAGCCGGACCAGACAGTGGACATCCCATTCACCCTGGGAACATTTTAATCTATTGTGACGAAACGACCCCATACTAGTACATATCTACCCCATGGGCCGCCCACGCCGCAGCCTCATATGCACCCCAGACGCCTCCCCTTCATCCTTCTCGTATCGCCCAAAGTCCCAAAAGCCCCGGCGACTGTCTAACCGCCATCCCTCCTCCTCCCATGTTCCCGACCACCCGTAGCGCGTCCGCGTCGTTTCGATTCACTCTTCCACTCCTCTTCCACTAGTCTACCTACTCTCGGTATGTACATACCTCAGTACCTGGCCTAGGGCAAGCTGCAGCTGGGGGCCAGTAATGCCGACGGGTAAAAAGGCCAGAGACCCGAAGCCGCCGTCGAGATAGATTGATGAAGGGCGGAATTACAGGTCGACCTTGCCTTGATCCTGGCCTACTACTGGCGACCATGTAGATTAAGTGGAGCCGTTTGTTCGAGGGTGCCTAGGTGGATTCTGGAAAACAGCAGAAGGACATTGTCATCGCCATCGCCATCGCCATCGCCATCGACATGGTCCTCCTACTCACCAGGACGTACTCTGGACTCCACTCCGTACATACTTGTTATCCATCTATCCGTCCGCACAGTCAAAACCTCACTCCCCACCCCTCAAACCCAACAACCCCCAAAACCAACAACTTCCCGTCCTCTCCATAAGCTACACTTCACCACTACACAGTACACTTCACCACTACACTTCGCCTACACACCTCCACCTCCATCTCACTCGCACCCCAACCCTCAAACCCTCAAACCCACGCCTAGCGTCCCGTACTCCAACGCGTGACCTCCTGCAATATATATGACATCCCGAGCCCTCCGAGCCCTCCGGAAGCCCAACCCTTGATTAAACCGCATCCCACATCCCACACCCATCTACACAGTACGGTTCGTACCTACTCAACCCAACCCATACCCACCCACCCACCCACCCACACCTCGTCCACGGGCCTACGGCCCACGGCTGCACGGCATCGCTACCCATCTTCGTTCCCTCGCTCGCGATTGCGCAAGCCTCCTTCGAGATGAGAAAATCTTGGATGACGTAAATGTACGTGTTAAAAGTGTGCGTCGTTTAGACTGTGCCTGGGTGGGCGATGGCATAGAGAGGTGGTTGCAAAAGCAAGATGGACTATGTATACAAGCAATGCAGGTATGAAGTACAAAGCACAAACTACTGGAGGAGTTCGTGCAGTCGACGTCCACGTCATCGCGAAGCAAATTCCTCTACGTGAAATGCATGGGCGAAAAAGCAGCACCTGCCATTTGCTGAAAGGCGCGAATGTAGTGGCAGTAGTACCAACCGTACACTTAGACTCCAACACCCTCCCCACAAACCACCCCCCTACCCACTCTGCTTCCCCTCCAACTCATCCCCATCATCATACAACCCCTCCCCCCCCTCCTCCTCCTCCTCCTCCATCCCAGGAAACCCAAAAACACTCCTATACACCCTCTCACTCAACCCCTTCTTCTGCGCCATGGCCAACACCATGACAATCGGCAAATGCCACACGCTGGCCCAAAACAATCCCCTCGCCGTCCCCTTGTGGCCCATGTCGCGCCAAAACTGCCACGCGCGGTACGCCATCCACCCATTCACCACGCTGCTCGTGCCCGCAAACCCCCAATCCGTGACGCCCCAATAGCACAGCCCGATACAGATGGGGAACGTGAGGAGCGCGTACCGCAGCGCCACGCGCCCGTTCAGCGCCGGGTTCACCCACGCCAGCATGCGGTACCCGGCGTACTTGTACTCGTCGCGGATGGACCACGAGAGGGAATTGAAGTGCGGGAATTGCCATGCAAACAGCAAAGCAGCGAGTAGCCACCCTCCCGCCGTGCCCTCGCCGAACAGCAGCTCCTGCCACGTTCCCTCGTGCGCGCATTGTCCGGCTGCAGCGGTCCAGCCCATCAAGGGGGGGATGCCGCCCACAATGGCGCCGACCCACGTGTTTAGGACCGAGAGCCGTTTCATGGGCGTATACACCCCCGCGTAAAGCGCGATGTTTGCGGCGCCGAGGAGGGCCGTCGTGGGGTTGACGCCGTAGTACAAGGCGCCTGTCCCCGCCGCGCCGCAGAGAATCGCAAAGACGAGAGCACCCCTTGGGCTTATCAGTTTCCTGACCAACGGCCGGTTCCGCGTACGGCTCATCTTGGCGTCGTGCGCGGGTTCGAACAGCATGTTCAAGGCATTGGCCGAGGAGGAGCACAGGGCCGTGCCGGTGGTGAGGAAGATGAGTGTGAGTGTTGAGAGGGACGGGGTTGCGGTTGCGGCGGGGGCTAGCAGGCCTGGAACGGGATAGAGCGAGTACGCGGCCGTCGAAGTGAGGACGACGAGGAAGGTCAGTCGAGGTTTGGAGAGGGAGAGGTAGGTGGTGAGGAGTCGGCGGATGGAGCGGTTGGGGAGGCTGGAAGAGAGTGCTGCTAGTTGCGCAGAGGCATCCGGGGCGATTGGGTAGCTTGCTGAGGGATTGGAATTTGCCTCCGCTTCGTCTCGTCTTTTCTTCCTGCGGCGATGGGGAAGCACTTCTTCGTTCGCATCTATGGGTGTGGGAGTCGGTTCTTGTGTAATTGCTGGGGCGGTGTCTGTCCGTGACGCCGACTTCGAAACTGAGCTTTGCAATTCCCTTCTTGTTCCACCTACTGAACTGGCAAACGCCTCCCTCAAGAATGAGTTCGGCCAGAAGTAATCCTTTCCAATTGCCGTCCGACCCTTCTCCACAGCTACCGCACCTTGTCGCGCAGAAGGCATCGTGGAGAAGAGCTGTCTGCGCGGGATTGATGCGCGAGACAGCTTCCTCCAACATCGCAGACAGACGGTATTCGCATCTTGACTCGGGACAGACCGTGGTAAAGGAAGTCGGAGGCTCATTGCGCGTGGACGTGAGCTGCAACTTTTTTGGAAACGCAGGCTCAATTGATGAAGCCCGCCAAGACAGCGGAACTTAGTCAGCTTTGGTAGCTCTACAGGACTTCCGCCCAACCACTACGGAGCAGTGGTATACCTGGGTAACTGCATCACAAGAATTCAACCCTCCAATTCTCCGACCGACTTCAACTAAAAGTTACGAGCAATAGGTGTACATACGACCGCAACCGTGCAAGTGTTATGATACATTGCTTCACAAGTCTAAGCGACCTCTTGCCGACCTCCTCCCTCTGCGCCAGGATTGATGCAAAGTTGATTGCTCCTCCCGAGCCAGTCCAGACCAAACGTTGATGATACAATACGCCGAATCATCGTCGACAACCGGAGTACTTCAGCTCGTTGAAGTCATTCTACTCCTCCTCGGCATCCGTTTGGTAGTCGAACTCATCAGGCACCGCAGCCTCGTCGCTGCCTTCGTCCGCAAAATTCTCACTAAGGCGAGCCGCCGCCGCCGCCGGAGTTTGAGGTGCTTCCTCGCCAGATGGGCCTGCTGCCCCTGGTGCTGTCGGGGCAGGAGCTTTCTTGATCTTCAATTCGAGCAGGTTCTTGGGCTCGGATGGCCTTGTGTCAAGGACAACGATTACGCCTCCCGTTGGCTAAATCAAGTTAGAAAAAGGGCACGGTGTTGCTTGGGGCGAGGACTCACCTTCTTGATGGGAACGTATCGCTCTTCCGGGAAACTGATATACTTGACCTGCGCCGGAAGAACTCGTGACATGTTCTCCAAATCATAGCCAACCTTCTCCTTCTCCACCTTCTTCTTCGAAGTCTCCACTGCCGGTGTTCCCTCCTTGCCTTCTTCACCTTCCGCCTTCTCGCCCTTCTTGGGTTCGTCGTCGACCTCCATCTTATCCTCTTCAGAGACCTTCGGGGTAGTAGGTGTCTGATCGACCTCCATGCTCTCTCTCCGCCGTTGCCGTGCCTTCACAGCCTTACGGCGCTTATCTTGAGCTGTTGTTGAGAGAACCGCCGTCTTGACCTTCTCCGGCGCCTCTTCGGTCTTGACCTCCTGCTCGGGCGGGTAGTCAAACATGCTTGGCCTTGTGTTGCTGTGGAATTTGAAGGAAGGAACCTCGAGATCTTGATCCACAGCGATGATCGCCGTGGGCGTGAAGCTGAGCGCCAGGAAATGCGTCAGGGGGAACCAGTACCAGTATTGTGTAAAAACAGCCATGCCAACGATCGCAGCCATGTTGAGGTTACCGGTCTGTGTCTGGAGACCGATAGTGCAGTTCCGACCACCAGCATCAATGATGCCATGAGCGAGAGCGCAGCCAAACTTGGCCATTGCATCTTCGTGGCGGTCGCCAATGACCTTTGTCAGGGTCTTACGGATGTTGACAACCTTGGGATTCATAGCCTCATTCTGCTGCACCATGATCATGGCCAGAGAAATGAGAGCACCCTGTCGTACAAAGTCGGTCGAATCCTTCATCATGGGCTCGAGCAGGTCAATGGCCTCAGGCAGACCGGTGCCTGCACAAGCAATTCCAAGGGCCATGGTTGCGCCGTACCGGACGTGGGGGTTATAAGACTCTGAAAGAAGCTCGACCATCCGAGGTACGCTACCAGGTTTCCTGAAGAGAATGAAGCCCAAACTCATGACAGCTACCCTGCGGACGTCATCACTCACATCGCTGACAGCGACGTGCAACAACTTGCGGACTGCCTTGTTGCTGCCTGTACCGCAGAAAGCAAGGGCAATTGTCATGATGCCTCCGTACCGAAGAGTGGGATCGGCCTCCTCCAGCAACTTGTCGATAAGAACGTCAGCAGCCTCTTGTCTGCCGTACATGATGAGCGCAACACCCATGGCAAGTCCGCGGACAATCTTCTCGTGCTGAGTGTCATGGGCATATTGGATCATATCTTGAATGGCCTTGATGTTACCGGTGCCAAGCATGACCAGACCCATAGACAGACCCACAGCCTCGCCGTTGATGGCTGAATCAGAGTACAAGACGTTCTTGAAAGCTTCGAAAATCTCCTCAGAACCAGTGGCCATGCCTGCAAGACCCAGACCAAGAGCACCACCATGCTGGATAACCTCTTCGGAAGCCCCCTGGAACTGCTTGAGAAGGTAATCAAGCACGTCGGTTCCGTGGTTCGAATAAATCAACCCCAGGGCATAGAGTGATCCTCCTTGCTCATAGTGTGAAGTTGAGGAAACCGAATCCTTGGGCAAGTATGGGTTGAGCAACTTCATTCCCTGAGTGAGGTTCCCTTTGTGAATCACACCCAGTGCTGCAGTCGCCGTGAACTTGGACCAGTTGACCGCTTTGCCGAGCCAGTCCAGATTCTCCCGGAAGAAGGTGTCGTTCGTCGTACCCGCATTCATGAAGCCATTGGCAAAAGTGACCGCGGTATGGAATATGCTATTTCTCGCTTCCAGGCTGTCACGGATCTTGTTGAGAATCTGCTTGTCGGCACGGTTATTCCTGTACAGGAATTCCAGGTTGAGCGTAATGCTCTTTGTGCCTTTAAGGACTTCTCGGACGGAGCTGTAGACCTTGAGCTCCTCCTCAGTCGGCTGTTTGGTACGGGAGACGACGGTGGATGTGCGAGCCTCGTTACTCGTATCCACATCGGACAGCAACCGGTCCGATTCCTTGGGCTCTTCAGAAAGAGGTCTGTGAGATGCATCGCCGTTTGCAGCACTCTGCCCTTCCTTCTTTTCCTCGGTATGCGGTAGCTCTTCCATAACCTTGGCCAGGAATTCCTGGGTGCTGTTTTCGTAGAGGTCGAAGGCAATTTGATAAGCTGTAGCGAGTGACTTGGCATCGCCTTGCTGCACGAGCTGACGGATGAGGCTGGAAGCCATGGAATGCTGATCCAGGTACACCACGCATTTGGCGATGGAGAAATAGTCCGGGTTAGGGATGTCATTGAGCAGATCGAGAATGAGACGAAGAATCTGTATATATTAGCCTGGCCTCCTAATGTGACCGGAGAATCTTACCTCATTCCGTAGACCCCTCTCCTGCACAATGTTCATGCAAATATCAAGGACATACTCCATCAGCTCCTCGCTCCTCGTTGTTGCGCCGGTTGCAGGCTTCTTGCCTTGTTTCTTATCGGTCTGGCTGGCGCGCAGGAAGGTCTCCCGGAGCACATCCAGATTACGAGCTTCGATGGCAATGCCCACAACCTGCTTGAAATCGCCATTCTCGTAACAGCTCTCAAAGATGCGCCGTATGATAGCCTGGAGGTTCTTCTGCACGCTCCGCTGCAGGACCAGAGGTGCGGGATGTGCTCCAGCTACTCCGGCGTTACCGCCACCTGCCACGGCAGGCTCCCACGTGTCTGAGTCCTGTCGTGAGAGGAGAGATTTGGAAGGCAGAGCGGACTGAGAGAAGGGAGTGATCGGTGATGTCAGCCCGGCCGATTTGCTAGCGCCGCCGGTGGTGTTCGTAGGAAATGAGGTCTGCAGTTGCGAAGGGGGTTGGTTGGCCTTGCTGATAGGTGTAGGAGGGTTGTGCATTGCGGAGAGGGCGATGTATGTGTCGAGGCATTTTGCTGTCCAAATATGTTAACTAGAGGTCCAGGGCTTCCATCACGCTCAAGTGGAGAGGGGTTGAGATAAACAAGACCTGACTAACCCAATATCGTCTCCTCGAACTCCCCGTCATTATTGATATCGAAGAGCTTCCCGGCGCCTAATGCAAAGACCATACTCTCGTTATACTCTTGCAGCTGGTAGTAGATCTTTGCCGCCACAAGCGCGGCCAGTTCTCGTTCGGGAAACGACTCATCTTCATACAGAGCCTCACTGATAACAAGTCAGCTCCTGAATTGTCGGAGTTTGCGGGTACCACGGATTTCTCTCACATTTGACTGACTGATCCCGCAACTTCAGGCCATAGGAGATCAATCTCCTCGTTTAACCGGTGCAGCGCAAAGGACTGCAGGGCGGGATCCGGTTCGGAAAGGAAGCCGACGACGCCGGCTGCGGACGTGAGGCCGACCATGGTAAAGAGAGAACTCGGGCGCGAGTTGTGATAAGCGTGACAGACTCTCCTCTCCTAGCAGCGAAGTGTGATTGTGAGTGGAAAAGAGAAGCTGGTGGAAGGGACCGGAGCTGTTTGGGGTGGCACCCGAGCAGGCTTCCTAGCTAGCGTAGACAGTCGCTCTCAATGATCTGGAATGCAATGCGCATGGACTGTTTTCCGGGCTCAAGGAGAGACGAGAAAGCAAGAGGATAGGATGTTGCGTTGATGGAGTTGGCGCCGGGACGCTGTTGATGAGCAGGTGGTTCCGGAGCATGACAACGCGCAGCTCCAGGCCCGAACGCCAAGCCAATGTCTTGGCGCTGTAGAGTGGATGACATCGATTAGGCATCGTCTGCATACGTGCTCTGTGCCGGACCCGTACTATCATGTTTGATAATCAGCCCTGGTTACATTATCGACTACTTCCTTTGCTAGACAAAGTGTCTGACATCTGCTTCAGACTCTACTATTTACCTTGTTGTCATTGATATCAACAGCTGAAGCAAAGCTAGACTTCACAGTGCCATACTCATCTTCTCCCACCAAGGCGAATGTCGGCCTTTCGATTCATTATCGTACAAAATGAATAAAAAGGAATGGGTATCTCCATGTTCCCTCCGTAAAAAGCTCCAACTCCAGCGCACCGGCGCCGCGCGATCTTTCCCGTTGTAATAACCAAACCCATTATGCTTATCCAAGCCTGACCGTGGAAATTAGACCTCTATCATAACCGTGGCCTACTGAAAATCGACCCTCTCTTCCGTATTGCCGCTTTCCCCTCCTCTTCCCCTCCTGCTCCTTCTTCCTCTCCTCAGCCTCCATAACATCCCTCCAATGTGCATAAAAAAAGGTAGCCCCCGACGGCTGCAAGACGACATCCTACGTAGTCATTTCCCTCGACAGTACCCGTAAGTTATTCAGCATCCCCGCAACAAGCGCCTCGTAATCGTTCGGCGGGGGCTCCTGCATATCCATCTTCTCCGTCGTCTTGAGCAGGGTCTTCGCATCCAGTTCCAGCTCGAGCTCGTGGTTCTTGTTTGTCCCCTGGACCACCTGCGTGAGGTCGATTTGGTACGCAGACAGCCAGGAATACGACATGCGGTCCTTTTTACGCTCCGAGGTGGCTATGGTTTGGTCTTTGTCGATGACGGGTTTCAAGGATTCGAGAGGGCCTGGGTACGAGATTTCGACGTTGATGCCGATGCGGTAGTCCCATTCTGTGAGTGGGGAGCTGATTTCGAGGTTCCCGATGCGGCATTTGATGATTTTGCGCAGCACCTGGCCCGTCTTCATGTCGCGTGTCACGCGTATTCTCTGGCGGTGCTGCTGCCGCGCTATGATTTCCCTCACGCCAGGCGCCAGTAAGTCGAAGCCGGCTTGGTCCAGGTCGTAGAACATGTCGACCTCCTTGGTGTGCTTGTAATTGACGTCGGTTCGCGACGGTGTATTTTTCGACTTGCCAACCTGCTCGTTGAGGAACTCATTCATCTTCTTGTGCTGCATAACCGACATGGTGCTCTCGAACTTCGTCCCGGCCGCAACATCTTGCCGAATCACGCACTCCGTCTCGTTGACCGAAACAAGTCGCCGGCCGGTACTCAAGTCGATGATCTGACCCCAACGCGCTTCAATCTCAATCTCCGCTCCGGGCGACTGCTCTACCGCTGTCCGAAGCGCGCGATCCTCGACGACGTGGTTCCAGATGAAGTCGCACGTTCGGCGCACCATCTCATCGTACACGTACGGATCGTCCGTTATGGGGCGCTGCCATCCTGTGAGCTCTCGTGCGGTCGGCCCAACAGCAGGTCGCGCGACGTGAGGCGGACGACCGTTGGCGTAAGAAGGTACTGGCGGAGGTGGAGCGCGTGCGACGGGTGTTTGAAGTGGACGAGGTTGACGCGATTCGGTGTGCCCATTGATCGGCAGGTCGACTTGTTCATGTTCAAGCACAGCCCATATAGGTTTTGGGTCGTGTCGCTTCCGCTTCCGCGTAGGCTTTGTGGATATTTGCGGAGATGGGAGTTTTGCGACGGAGATGGCGGGACTGGCGGCCGCTATGGATGGAGGGTTCGAAGAGGTGCGCCGCGGTTGCACAACCGACGAGTCGGCTAGGATAGAAGTGAGATCCATAGGTGCAGTAGCTATTGTCTTTTCATGAGATAGGCATGCGGTCTTAGGTTTCGTGAGGGATCTGGCGGCAGCCTTGGCATCTGTAAATCATGGCTGACTAACACAAATGTCCAATTGCATGTCGAAGGTACCTAGGTATGGTTCGCTTTCTTTGTCTTGGTGAAAGAGAATTCAAAGGTCAAAGGTGAAAGAGTCATCTATCTGATGTATGCATCATATGAATCTCATTAGTCTACTACGACTCGTCGTAACCGTGACTGGATTTGCGCCCGATACGCCTCGCCTCAATCTATCCGGGCCCCCCAAGGGACGACCATCCTCCCATGCGCGGTTACCAGCCTGATGGGAGGAGGCTTCACCGCATTGGGTTCTCGCAACCCCACCTAAGAGTCCTCTTCCAGACCAAGATCCTCCGTGGCGAGCACAATGCGCATGGTGTTGGTGTTGCCCATGCCGCCTCTCCAGCCCTGGACGCAGACGACCACGTCTCCCTTGCTGAGGACACCCAACTTGATGGCATTCATGATTCCCCACTTCAAACGGCGGTCGACGTCCTCCTGCCAGGGAACACTCTTGAAGTCCGGCTTGGGCTCGGGGAAATAGAAGGGATACACGCCGCGGTAGAGATGGGAGTAGCGTGCAGCCCTCGCGTTACGCGTAACCATGATGATGGGGCAGACGGGCCTGTACTTGGAGACGAGACGCGCAGTCGTACCGCTTGTAACGATTAGCTTGAGAGCGACAATGTGGGAAAGACGGGGTATTACCTGGTGGTCAGGACAAGAATTGCTCCGGCATTCTGCTCCAAGCTCGCGCTCACGGCAGCCATGGCGCAGGTCTCTGTCGTAGGACACGGGATAGGGGCAGCCCTTCTCAGCTCGTCGAAGGCGCTAATGTAGGGGATAGCCGTCTCGGCGAGCAGACATGTCTCGTGCATAATGGTGACAGCCTCAACCGGGTAGTTGCCCTTTGCCGTCTCGCCGGACAACATGACACAGTCGGCACCATCCAGGACAGCGTTGCCAACATCGCTGATTTCTGCACGGGTCGGGCGGGGATTGTAAGTCATGGACTCCAACATCTGGGTAGCGCAGATGGCGGGTTTCCCGGCGATGTTGCACTTTGTAATCATCATCTTCTGCGCGATGAAGACCTGGCTGGGAGGAATCTCGATACCGAGATCGCCACGTGCAACCATGACACCGTCGGTCTCCTTGAGAATGTCGTCAAAGTTGTTGACACCCTGCTGATTCTCAATCTTGGCAATGATTTGGATATCCTTGCCCTCCTCGCCGAGAACCTCTCGGATGGCAACGATGTCGCTCCCTTGGCGGATGAAGGAGGCAAAGATCATGTCGACGCCGTTCTTCACGCCGAAGCGGATGTCGGCCTTGTCCTTCTCGGACAGCGGGGGGAGGTCCACGTCGGTCTTGGGGAGGTTGACGCCCTTCTTAGAGGAGATTTTGCCGTTGTTGTTGCACCTGCACTTCAACGTCTTGTCGTCGACGACTTCGAGCACCTCGAAGGAAAGGACGCCGTCGTCGACGTAGATGGTGCGGCCGGGGGTGATGACCTTGGTGATGTTCTTGTAGTCGACATACCTGGTGAATCAAGTCAATGCCGAACTCGGTGAATATTTTGGGAAGTCGCATACATGTTCTTGTTGTCGCTCTTGGTCGCATATGCATCATCGGTGGTGATGTTAATGATATCGCCAGCGCTGATGGGAATGTCGGCGTCGTCGACGGTGTTGCCTGTGCGGATCTCGGGGCCTTTCTACTCTACTGTAAGCCTCTCGCGCTTGAGGGAAAGCATTGAAGCCGTACGGTGTCCAGGGCGATGGCCAACGGCCTGCCGGGCTGGGTAGCCTCTGCCTTCCGTGCATTGTCAATGACAGACTGGTGGTATTCGTAGGAGCCGTGGGAGAAGTTCATGCGGACGACATTGAGGCCGGCGCGGCGCAGAGCATTGATCTTCTCGGGGGAGTTTGTCTTGGGCCCAATGGTACCAATGATGGAGGTGCGGCGGTACTCCTTGGCGGGGGTATGGTCGGTCTTGAGCTGCGAGAGCCACTCGATGCGGGTGCGGCCAGCATTGAGATGATTGAGAGACTGGATCATGGCCATATTGCTGTAGCTTGAGGTGCGCCTACGACGCTTGTTGCTCTGGGTGGTGTTGTGTTGTCGAGGTAATTGAGGAATGGAGGGGCTGTGAAGGACGCCTCTGGAGATTTTTCTTGAGGCGCGCTTTCGGCGAAACGCTAGAACGGGATCAGCTACTGCTGCTCTGGGGGCCAGGGGGTCTATGATAATAATTGGGGCATGGCTAGAGGAACTCACATTATTCGCGGTCCGCCTGCGCCGAAGAGTGTGATTGAGACGGGGAAAGGCTGGAGAGCGGAAACCGTGTTGCTAGGAAGGTCTGAATAGGTGGTTGTTGGGATTACGTGGGGCAGCCGACTGCGGCGCTGGACCTTGCCCTGCGCAACGTGAACCTGAAGCGTGCGGATGTCACGGAAATCGATTGGAGGGGAACCGTGAAGGGAATTCCAAACTGCAGGCCGTCGCTCAAGACCTATAGGGTATTTATACTGGGTGAAACTTCCCAAGAGAAACAGCGAGCTGTATCATCAGCCTTCTGTGCTTGCTTCTGCCAACCCCACGGTTGGTTACATCACACGGTGGGCGATGCGCGCAGATAAGCATGATTATCCATTTCGTTTGAAAAGTTTCACATCGCGGGCGCGGGCTTTTAGCTTGTACTTTGTACTGCGTATTTGCTAAACATTTCGTTCCCTTGCGCGGACGGTGAGGGCGTGTCGTCTCCGCGTTCGGCGGCAGAAGCGAAGCTGGACGGCATGGTAGAGTAAATAAGACGTTTCTGGTCGGGATTGGGGTTATGCCAAAAGGTAGAGCCCATCAAGTCAGAAAGGCGAGGCGCGTGTCTACATATATACGAGCTCCCGTAGATCCGGTTCCTCCGAGGATGAAGATAGCCATCCGACCGCGTCCCGTCGGCTTCTCTCTCCCACCCTTCACGTGCCGACACGCATCGAGGGTCTATGCTGACTCAGGCTGTCTCGGCATTCCCGACCTCCATCCAGCACCCAACATCAACCACCTTGAAGCAAACAAAGCCCATATTCCAAGCCTACCCCCACTCTCCAGCTGTAGACGGAATCGCAGACCATGGTTGTATGTATACCGAGGACCTCACCCTGCCACACAAAGCTCATTCTCCCCCCAGCTCGGCAGACTCACCCACTATGCCTTTGACGCCGTATTGAGTACGTCCTTCTGTGCCCTCTATTCCGCGCTCGACTCTGACAGCCGCAGTCTCCGCCTTCCTAGCAGGCATCCGCCGCTCCACGGGCCTTACGTGAGTTCCCTCCAACTCCGCACTGCGCATGTCACCTTGAACACGTACGACTGCACTTAAACTCAACAACGATACCCTCCCCGCCTATGGACACCGCCCGCACACGTCTTCCTCCTAGAAGTCCAAGCTAACATGCTCCCGCTCCCCTCGCGGGACGGCCAGACCCAGTATCAAAGCAGATACCTTCAAAGACCAACCCACCATCCAAAAGGCCATCGAGAACTATCTCTGGGTCGGCGAGTGGTCCATGGACATGGGCGTCGCCGTCTTCTCCAATTCCCCGTGGTTCGAGCGCAAGCGCTGAGACAGCGAGACCGGCAACAATACAGGATAGCGAGGAATCGTTGGATAGGATATAGGACATCCGAGGAGGGTCATCATGACGGAGGGATATCGCTGAACGTGTCTTGAGCGCACGTTCCAGTTTTCTACAGGCTTATGACTTGGGATAGCCGCGAGCACAGGCGCCGGCGTTCAGGAGTCTGGCTTCAGCAGCATGGTTGCGTTGTTTAGGGAGATATCGTGCGGATTGACTTTAGAGCGTCGGAGGAATGTTGTCAGACTAGCAAGACGGGAAATGCCGTGTCGGGAGAAATCACGTCGTGGACGAGGACAGCTGCCTGTTCGTGAAATACCAATGTTTACTCATCACTCCCGCAGTCTATGCCACATCCGCATCCGTCTACCCATAACCTCTCTTCTGCAACCAATCACGAACGAGCGGAACAGAACTGTAAACAGTACTCCTTGCGATTTCACTGCCCCTTCGCCGAATTCGTATGAAGAAACTCTGCGAAAAACATCCAAGTCATCCCGTCGACCAATTGCTTCGATATCCTCCTTACACTTCCCACGACGCTATCCCCCATTCAGCGCCTACACCTTGCTCATTCTGCTTTAGCGCGCCGGACATGCAACGACCATCTTACTGCGAGCTCAACAGTACTACTCGTATGCAGGCAGTACAAATACAGACGCAGAGCTCCCATTGCAAAAACTACATTTTAACCTTGCTCCCCTCCATTCTGGATTTTAGAAACTGAAAACTGAAAAAGCAAAAGGAAAATGACACCCAACCTCTCCCTCTACGCCATCCCAGCATACTGGCTACTAGCGCTGTATCCGCATGCTTATGCCGTACGTCTTGTTCCCCCTCTGCTATCATGTTCAATGCCATTTAACTAGCTATTCCTCTCTCCATCTTCATTGGAATCCCCTAACAAAACCCCAGATCACCCTCGTCAAACGCGCCAACAACAACAAATGGAACAACGCCAACCCCCGCGGCACCTCCACAACCAACACCTACCAGAAATGCGTCCCGGAAGCCACCTTCGCCCGCTTCGAGCGCGCCGAGGCGGCACACAAGAACCTCATGGAGAATGCGCCGTTCGTCGTTGGCGCCGTGGCGGTGGGGAATTGGGCGGGTTTGGGGAGTGGTGAGTTTCTTGGTTTTCTGCTGTCTCGATCTGCTTGGGTTGTTGGGGACGTGACTCGACTCCGGAGATGGAGTTGGAATGCTGTTTTTCTGCAGGTGTGTTTTTTATGATGGATTTGCTGACTTGGTATATATAGGAACGTTGAACACAGTCCTCGGAACGTATCTAGCCCTCCGGGTCCTGTACGTGGCATTCTACATCAACGTCACGAGCAACAAGTACTCGTACCTCCGCACGCTGGTATGGACTGCCTCGACAACGCTTCTTATGGGATTGTTCGTCAAAGCGGGTAACAAGATCGCTTTTGCCTAGAACATTTGTCTTCTCAGCGTCGTCGACACTGCCATCCCTTCCTGCCCATCTTGCCACCCTTCACAGAATTTTCAAATGCATCGTTAATTACTGCCGTTATCCGGTTTCATTGCTTCGTTATGCATTCACATGCATTCCCTTCTCCATGCTCGTCCACTGTACGATCCTGACATTCTTGCCTTTCCGCCCCTTTGCACTTCCGTGCTATCCGCGATATACATCCCTACCCACCACCGTCACCCCCTCACCACCCTAATCCCCCCCATCCGAGTACACCAACCGCTCATCCCCAGGCACAATCCCATCCGAACCCCCCATCCCCGGCGCCGCCAACCCATATACCAGATCATCATACCCAGCCATGACATGCAGGCCCGCCGCGACATCAACAAACCTTACGATATCCTTCTGCGTCGGCTCATCCCTGAGCACGCCGTTCATGAACTTCTGAAAGTCGTCCATGTCCGGGGCGTACAGCTCTGCGATACCATCATACGGTGCAGGCTGCAAGCCTTGGGCGAAGAGGGGCGCGAGGAGGGTTTTGTCGGGTGCGGTTTGGTGGAACTGTTGGGGTGGGTTAGTAAGATAGGCAGTGGTTGATTGGGGAGGTGGAGGAGGAGTTAAGAGTCCGGGATATGGGAACGAACCTGGTTGTACCTCGAGATGTGGATCCCAAAGTCCCTCGCCGCGACCGTGAGTTCGGCATGCACGGTGCTCCAGTGCAGGTGGAAGTAGTCCTCCGAGATGTCCGGTCGGCGCTTGAAGAGGATGATGACGCGCACGTGGGCCTGCTTGTTGAAGCACTGCTCCGAGGCGGGGTTGGGGGGCGCGAGTTCCTTGAAGGCGTAGGTCCGGTTGTAGAGGTATGTCTCTTGGTCCGGGGTCAAGGAGATGGGCTTGTTTAAGTTGCAGATCGGGGAGGAGTAGTCGTGGTTCTTGGGCGCGGCGAGGGCGGAGGTGAGGGGGAGTGCCCCGGTTAGGAGGAGAGAGGTGAGGGTGGAGAGACGCATTGTGTTGATACGAATGCGGTTGAGGTAGGAATCAGAGAGGAGACTTGACTTGATAGTAGGGAAGGGTTGGTTGGGTTGGAGGTGGAGGAGAGAAGAGTCGGGGGGACGGTGAGGGTGAGGGGGTTCTTATGTGAGCAGGTTGTGGAACGTACTGCGGTGGGCTCTACTAGCCAGTAGGGTCACTTGTTTACGTGTACGAAAAGTGAAAGTTGCGGCCTTTCACCAGTGTGGTGCCAAGATTCGCAACTGTTGTCGTCAGTGCCTTGGGTTGGGTTGGGTCCTTGCACTTTCACAGTTCGGAGGAATCCCTGCAATTGACTGTGACACTGCAATACTAGGATATTGTTATGAAAGAAATTTTTGGATAAGAGGCTTTGGGTTGAAGTTGAGATATCCAGAGTGCTCCTCACTGAATCGTCCAGCAAACCAACCCATTACTCGACGCCCAAAGCCACGCCACAAAGTAATGGTGCATCCGATGAAAGGAACAGTGTTGAATGAAAGAACTGAAGGAACACCAGGACCATAACGATACTCCCCGCAACGGTGAAGTTAGACCTATAGAGGTTTACATATCCGGGGTGATGTTGGTGGTTCTGCCCTAGACATGCATGGCACTGCGTGGCTGAGGCACAGCACCAAAGCTGATATTGGAGGGCTCGAATCCCATGTATGTCTACCCCACTGCTTTGAACAGAGCGAAGTTGGTTCGAGGAAGGGGAGAACTAGAACCCTGGAACAGTTAAACGCGCCATTTGCACGGAGTACTGCTCTTGTTCCTAGGCACATTGACAACGCGGGATTCTATATTAATTCAAAGATTACAACGCCTAAACCAAAGGACGATGAAGAAAGGCCCCGAGAATATCAGAAGTAGTGCTCTACGGTTTCTATAAACGTCGAAGAACGCTACGGACTGCTCTAGGATACTCAATCCTCATGGGAAGACCGGCATTGCCACTACATAAACATTTTACTTCCAGTCGACATCACACCTCTATTTTCTTCACTCTCGTCTGGTACTATCATCTTCTATCCTATCTGCACACATAGAAATGTTACCTCTTATCTTGCTTAACTCCCCTGACACTCACCAGGTGTTCAACCGCATAGAAATAGAATGTGCTGACAAGATCGCGAGACTAAGTCATAATCGAATTGCGGGAACCGAAGAAGTAGAACAAGACCCATAAAAAAACCATAGTTCGCGTACCGCCTTACGGAATCTAGATCCTGACTTACAGCCCGAATAATTCTAGACGGTTGAATTCACATATATGAACTGGAATAGTGAGACATGTTAGAAGTTCGAAGTCCGGAGACCAGAAGCACCAAGAACTTCGGAAATAACAGGTGCAAGTATCCCTTTAGTTTAGGACGAATAACCACAACGGACGGATCGCTCCCTAAAACATTCACCACCGTGGACGCAATGAGCAATACTTCGAATTGTGATCAAACAATCGATTTAATGTGGGCTACTCGATGACTCCGTCGCACTGAGTAGATCCGCCTCGCCTCCCCATATTCCGCAATTCAGCATGATCACCCAGCACCATTGCAAAGGTCAAACGCGACATCCATCCTCTCCACCCCACCCGCTACCTTCTCACTCAGACTCATCGCACGAGCCCTTCCCACCTGCACTCCGCCTCAACGTCCTCCCAATCTCTTGCACCGAGTCCGCCTCCCGCACAAACGCCTTCTTCATCAGCGCCGCCTCCCACTCGGGCGTCGGATCCCCATACCTCTCCCTCCACGCCTGCTCCCTCTCCCTCTCCCTATTTTCCGCCTCCTTCACCATCCGTTCTTTCTTCCTCTGCTGCCTAAGTTCCCTCCTCTTCTCCCGCTGCTCCCACTCCCAAGCCTCCTTCTCCCTCCTCAACAATGACCGATACTTCTCCTCCAACCACGCCGTAATCATACTAGGCGCCCACCCACCTACCCACGCCAGTCCCGGCATCCTCTCCTCCCCCTCTTTCGCCGCATTCAATGAAGTATACAAATCCTCGATCAGCTGGCCCGCATCGCCCTCCGTAATCTGCTCCCGCATCAACTTCTGCACAATCTCCTCATGCAGCGAGTCCACGCGTGCGCGACGCACGGCTTCATCTAAAGCTTTGGCAAGGCAAGGGTCATTGAGAACGTGCCAGAAGTATTGGAGTTGGGCGCAGGTCTCGACGACGGTGGGACCGGAAGGAAAGATGGGCGTCGCGGGGAGTGTAAAGCCATTTGCGACACGCACAGAGAGCATTTCGTGGAGATCCTGGAGCTTGGCAAGGAGGGCGTAGTACACGTCTTCGAAGTCTTGGAGTGGACGGTCTTCTGGGGTGAGAGAAGTTGTGCGGTTTGGCATTGACGAAAGTGTTTGCGTGTTTTGCGTCCATGTGAGAGTTTGCGATGATGCCTGTGATTCAAGCCCTGGAGAGAGAACCTTCGTGGGGCTGGGAGGAAGTTTGCCGTCGAGCAGGCGGTCGTAGAGCGTGCTTAACGAGATGGTAAAGGGTTTCGGAATTGGCGCATTCCAGAGAGTGGTTTTGGCTTCCATATTGAGGAGTTCGTTGCACACGAGCAGTATGACCCTTCTGACCGACTCCGCTGGAAGAGTAGCAGTGGTGGCATCCACTATCGCTTGAGATGCTGCAGGACGAATTGCCAGTAGCGACGACGCCCAGGTAGCCATGATTGCGTTCTTGCGGAGTGAGGTAACGTGCGTTGCAAAGACTGAGCGGATTGTACGGGAAGTTGTAGAGACGTAAGGTGGGAAGCGTTGGATAGAAGAGGCGAAGAAGTTCTGCAAGCCGCGGAGGAGACATGACCGGGCGTCCGAGACGAACAATAGCACAATAGAACAATAAGAGTCCTGCCGTAATGGCGAAATTGGGGATGGTGATGGTGGAGACTGTCATGTCTTTCACTCACCGCTACAATCGAGCCATTAGGACAGACAGTAAAGGGGGGACGAAATAGTCCATCCCCCGAGCTGGCAATAAGTGTTCGCTCGTAGCATCTTATAGCTAATCTCTGCTGCCTGGTAAGTTCATGCAATTCAGGCGGTGAGTGCAAGTCGGAGAGATTGATGCTCGCCATATGCATGCAGACGCAACGCCAAGACTCACCATGCAGGATTACGATGACATCTCTCCTCTGCTGCTATATCCGAATCCATTGACGGCTCTGAAATGGCCTCCCTTTCCCAGATTTCATATGTTGAATCTCTCAGTATCACGATGCCATACCCTGCCGCCGCCGCCCCTGAATAGCTTCCTCAACGCCCAGCACCACGCAAACAACAAGGAGCAGAGCATTGAAGGAGGCCATCATAAAGAACGGAGAGCCAGGTCCAGTTGAATCAAATAGAGCACCTCCTGCCTTCGTTAGAAGAAGTATACCCGCTCCGCCAAACAGGCTGTAGGTGCCGGCAATGGTGCCTTTCAAATGGTCTAGGCTCTTCGGCTCAGCAGAGCTCTCTGTTGAGTGCAGAGGATTTGTCAACAGCGGTGCTTCTTCTTCCACGCTAGGCGTCGCAGCCGGTGTCGACCCTGCTGATACATGCGTGGTGTTGTCGTGATATTCCTCTGCGCGGTGGTCCTCCGAGGGTGTTGAGTCATCTTCTCCACCTCCATCGTTATGGATGCCTCGAGCAAGAAGTCCTAGGGAACACACAATCGCGCCAATCTGGCTGAATCCAAGGAGAGCGACAACCAAAAACACTGCACCAGAGCCATCGTGGCTCCGAGGGTCAGGACTGGGTAGTGCTCCAAACGCACAGTAGCCTACAACACCGGCCAATGCGGCAGATAACAATGGGATGTTGAACCTCGGGTATCGTGCAGAGAGAAAACCAAAAAACGGAGCCATAATAAGTGCTACAAGCTGACTAACTCCGGTCAACGCGGCAGCGAGCTTATATGCGCGTGCGCAGTGCTTGATGTCGAGAGGATCGTCTGGGTTGACTGAACACTCTCCAGTCCGGAGAAAGTACGTATTGGTAAAAAGCGGAATATAAAGCGACACCGCTACAGAGGAGGCACGGGCAACAAATCCGCCCAGATACCCCAGGCCGACATTACGCGACTTGAAGCCAAGCTTGATGCTCTCCCAGAATTGAAGAGGCAGCGATAGCATCTTCTCTCTGCCGTTGAGAATGGTATCCTCCTTTGGCGGACTAGGGTGCCAGATATGTTTCAGTGCTTTCCCCTCTTCCCCAGGTAGTCTTCGGAGGCCGAAAAACAACCCGCCGGCAACCAAGAGAGCAATGGCTCCAACAACGTAGAATGCATCGGCAATTGCTGTTCCGGGACTGCGACCAGCCTTCTGAAACTGTGTAGGCAGAGGAAGGAAGACGAGAAGTGCCACTAGGGCACCGCATCCTGTGAACATGCCGACAAGTCCTGCCAGGTGTGAAGCTGAAGCACCAGAATCGCGCTCTAAGGGATGATCCGTGGGCACCGAGTTTGACTGGAAGCGAGCTGGGGTGATTGTCAGTTCTGAAGATATCGAGGGTGTCATAGTATGTGACGTTCCATAAGCACGGCGGGGAGTTCGAGGATCGTCTATGGGCTTGCGGAACGTCATAGCGGGTAGAATCGCGGTCACCATGGTTGCGCTGCGTTAGTGTCAGTGCGGTATTGAAGCCCGGAACGACAACTGACGTGGCCGTTGCACCTAGACTGAAGAACAGTCTCGCAAGAAGCAGCTGCGGATATACATTCTTTGCCTGGACGAAGACCCAAAGACTTATGCCCACGATAGTGTAACCTAGTACCGCAACAGCTCTTACTCCAACGCGGTCGCTCAACAGACCCCATGCCGGACAGGCCACCAGCGCGACAAGCTCATCCGCAAAACCCAGCGTCCCGACCGCATTCCCAACGTTGTGCCTCTGTCCAATTCGTTGCGTGATAACAAAGCTGATGGCGGAGTTCAGGAACACGAGGAAGGAGATGGAGAATAGAGCTACGCCGAACAGATATGCGGCGATCTGTGTGCGAGAGGCTGTGAAGCCGAGCATGGTTGAGGGGACTGCAGCACGCTGCACATAGAGAATACAAAATGTATCAACGGCGCGCAAGCATATGAAGCGTATGTGTCGATGCTGTGTGTTCTGGTGGAGCTTCGGATGAACACTTGGAATGCGGACGCCCGAACCCAGCCACACTTTCTCGTCACAGCCACAACCGCACATGACATCACTATTAATATTCACCTCCTGCTTTGCGCCGTTGAACCAGAATGTATGTGGCCCGTAAGTACAGAAGAGTGTTGATATCTATTGACAAAGTGGATGATGCTGAATATAATCATTAGGACTCATCCTCCAAGGCATTGCTCATTAGTTCGCAATGCGAACCCATCTTCACATGTGCCCATCGATCAGTTACATCCTCTTCGTGGACCCTTCAAGCACTCCACGAAGAGATACCTGAGCCTGGTCTCCTCATGACTCTCTCTACGAAGACCCTCAACCGATATCGATATGTGCTCCACCAGTCCTCTCCAGCTTTGGCCTGACCAGCCTGCTCCCACTTGTACATCTTTGCATACACTATGTCGGGCCGCGCTAAGGATGCCAAATCGGAGATCGCCCTCACTCGTAGGAGTTAATCGAGGGCAGAAAATCGTGTAGGAACGCTTGATGAACTCAATTACGCTAGTCACGGCTCCCCCTGACAATTCCAAGGTTTGAAAGCAGAAAGCGGCTCGGAGATTTGGCTTAGAGGACGAGTTTGGCCTAAATCTAGACTATAGAGGTAGCCTTCGGACGGGACTCCAAAGGTCATCACTTGTTGCATATTTCGATGGCCCGGCGAACGTTGCAACTCGCAGGGGCGGAACCCATCATTCTACTCAGTTCGGCAGCATTATTAGACTCGTTCTTTTGCGGTTTGCGGCTCTGATCTCTCACTCAACCCACATGCTTCGTTCTAACAGAGGTTTACCAGGCATCACGATACTCGGCGGAAAAATTGCGGAATTACCAACCTGGCTACAAGTTCGAGTTCATCTGGATCGGAGGCCCGCGCGGACCTCCATATGAATATATCCGGGGTAGATATATTGCAGCGACCGAGGCTCTACGACACCGCCAATCACCGGAGAAGAATTAAGCTCCATACTGCGCGGCTCCCTACAGTATCCCGTTGGAAAGAATGCCTTTCAGAGCGGACGACCGTTAAGGCGCAGCCGCACTCCATGCTAACGTTGAGGGACTATGCGGCTTTGGGAGCGGAGGCAATATACGATGGACAAGGTACCGCGCAAACAGTATTCTGGAAGCCTGGAAATAGGACCTCTGGGATTTGGAGCCGAACGGGAGTAGTTTGCATTGTAGGGGGACGAAGTGATATATTCCTGGGCCCACGCACATCTCGAGCATTATTGAATCTGTCGAAGCAACGCCTCGCTCGCGACACCGAACCACCATGGCTCCGCGGCATAGAAAAAGACTCCTCCTGGGAGCCGTAGCGACAGCACTCCACGGCGTCGTCTCCGCACAAAATGGCAATGCCACCAGCGCCGGCGTAAAATGTCCGGGCGAATTCAAGCCCCTCTCCGCCTCGGACTTTGTCGAAAACATGAACCCAGGCTGGAATCTCGGCAACACGCTCGACGCCGTGCAGGACGAAGGCGACTGGAACAACCCCAAAGTCGCGCCCAGGACCTTCGACGACGCCCAAGCCGCCGGCTTCAATGGCATCAGACTGCCCGTGACGTGGGCGTACCATTTCGAGACGCAGGCGCCGGACTGGACGGTCGATCCCGCGTGGCTGCAGCGCGTCTCCGATGTCGTCGACATGATCACTCAGCGCGGCTTTCACACCATTGTCAACGTCCACCATGATAGTTGGATCTGGGCGGACGTTACGGTCCCCGACGCCAACATCACGGCCATCGAGGACAAGTTTTACAAGCTCTGGTACCAGATTGGCGTCAAGCTGGCGTGCAAGCCTTCGACCGTGGCGTTTGAGCCTATCAATGAGCCGCCGGGGACGACGCCCGAGCATGGCGCGCAGCAGAATCGGATGAACGAGATTTTCCTGAAAGCGATCAATGATGCCGGGGGCTGGAATGGGCAGAGGGTGGTTACGCTGGCGGGGAGTGGCATGGATAGCGTCAAGACGAGTTTGTGGTTCAAGGCGCCGGCGGAGCTGGGGACGAGGTGGAAGAATCCGTGGGCGTTGCAGTTTCATTATTATTCGCCTTGTAAGTCGATGTCATCGTCATCTTTTTCATGTCTGTCGTGTTCGAAGACACAGATCCCCTTTTCCACTTCACCATTGCACAATAGAAAAAATATCGATTAACTAACAATCCACCCACAGACGACTTCATCTTCTCCGCCTGGGGCAAAACCACCTGGGGCTCCGCCCTCGACCAATCCTCCCTAACCACGGACCTAACCCTCATCCGCGCAAACTTCACCACCGTCCCCCTCCTCATTGGCGAATGGGCCGCCAGCCCCGTCGCCACCGAACCCGCCGCCCGCTGGACCTACTTCGACTTCTTCCTCCGCACCGCCCGGTCACTCAACATGAGCACCGTCCTCTGGGACAACGGCGCCGACTTCCTCAACCGCGCCACGCACGACTGGCGCGACGCCGTGGCTCTCGACATCCTGCGCAACACCGTCAACGGAGTGGGACGCCGGAGAAACGCACTCCCCCTAGCGACCACGGATCCCGCGGCCACGAACCAGACGAGCTCCGCGTACCTGTACCATCGGCGTCGCGACGGCAATGGCGTGGGGCCTGTTACCTTGCCGTTCCATTTCAACGGCAATTCCCTCGTCTCGATTGCATATCAAGACTTCACATTGAAACGGGGGAATGACTACACCCTCGACCCGGCCGCCGAGACCATAACCTTCGAAAACGCATTCCTCTCGTCGTTTTTCTGGAATAACCCCATCGGATCCCTGGGCAACGTGACGTTGCACTTCTCCGGAGGCGCGCACTTGGAAGTCAATATCCTCGCGTGGGATACACCTACCCTGCTCCTTCCCAATAATAGTACCTCCATCGCGCTGCCTAAAACGGGCGATCTGGCAGACGTGCACATCCCGCTTCGCTGGGCGGGCCAGAATCGTCCTGCTACTGTGAAAGCGACGCGCGCGGATGGGAAGTTCCTCGTGGACGATTGGACGCAGTGGTTGGGCCCGCTGCAGCAGGGGAGGATGACGTATAGCGGGCAGTGGGATTGGGATGCCGAGGGTGTCATTTTGAAAAAGGCCGTTGTCGAGGAGGTGAGGAGGGCGGGTGTCGAGACGACGTTTAGGATTGAGTTTTATCCGCGCGTCGAGGGGAATTGGGTCGAGGTGAGTGTGGTGTCGTAGAAAGAGGAGAGGGGAGGGGAGAATAAGCGACGGACTTCGAGTTGTATATATTCGGAGAGTTACAGTTCTCTGGTAACATATCTTCGTAGTATATATTCGAGAATAGACGTCTTGCTGAATATCCTCGACTTTCAAGACTTTGCACTCCGATTGCGTCATGGGGGCAACTTTACACACGGACTAAATGCACATTATCGCCCCTTCTTCGGGAAAAAATACACTATATTCATCGACCCTAGCCTCCAAACTTCCCCACGCCACTCAGCATAGAGGGGTATTTACGCGGACAATTGCCCACCGAGGGAATGAATTCCAGGTACAAGAAAGGCGTCTCGACGCTATGACCTCCACCTCTTTCCCCTCTACTCCTCGAGGTAAGACAGCTTCCGCATCTCACCCAGCCTAGTCCGGGCCGCAGAGAGCGCGTTTTCGAGTTGCAGGATTTCGACCTAGTGAGAACCGTTAAACATCTGACCATGACCCCATTTCTAGGGATACATACCTGCTGCTCCATCTGCCGCACCTTGAACTCGTGGTCACTGAGCTTCGTGTAGTCAACAGCCTCGTTCTCACCAGCGTTCTTTTCAGCAATGATCTCCTGCACCTGCCGGACAAGGGATCGGCAGGCACTCGTCACGGCCTTGGACGCCGTCTCCAGTCTATCTTGAGTCTTGCTCATGAAGCTTGCCTTGACCCTGCTGGCAGCCACCAGCTGTGCAGTGGATGCAGCGACATCGTTGGATGCAACAATGAGCTGTTCGGGAGAGTTGCGGCCTGAGATGACTCCGTCGGCTGTCTCGATGAGCATGTTGGTCGACGACGCGACAGCTTTGGCGGCGCTGATGAGACCTTCGGTCCATCGGTTGTGCTTCTTGTAGAAAGCGGTTCGCGTCATAGTACCACGACCCTCGCGCACGATTTCTTGCTGGGATGCAGTGGCAGCCTTGATCAGCTGAGCGATAGCGTTGGTGACAGCAATTGCAGCCTGCAGGATAGAGTCGTGAACGCTGAGCTCGTAAGTAGAGTAGTGATCCCTAGGCTTCTTCATTAACTTGTTGAGGCGCTCCGTGGCAGCCTCGATGGCGTTGGCGGCCTTGGTCAATTCGTTGTCAACCAGCTCGCCGAGATCGCCTTGGGCGTTGGTGATCTTGCTCTTGGGGGCAAAGGCATCGGCCAGTTTGGAGAGATTCTGGAGATTGCGCAGCACCTCGGCGTTGTGGTTGACCACCACATTGATCTTTGCGTCCTGGTCGAGGTCGTATATCCGCACAGACTGGACGTTGCGGAAGAACTTGACGGTGGCCATGGCGGATGCTCTCGCTGCGTTGATAAGTTGATCTGCCTTGTTGTCATCGGAGGCAAAACGCGTGAGACCCTTGGTATTGCTAAGGACGTCGGCGATGGAGCCAGCGAAGGCGTTGACAGTCTTGATGATCTCCGAGTGCGTGGCGTTAGGACCGTCGGCAACGAAGGCATTGAACGCCGTCGCGAAGTCCATTGAGCAAGTCTGGGCTTTCTCGATCTGAGAAAGCACATATGCTCCGGATGCGTTCTGGTTACCGGCCTGCATGGACGAATCGAGCTCGTACAGTGCGTCATCCACACGTTGCACTCCGCTCTGCAGCACAGAGTCAATAATGCTGTTGATCTTCTCGAGATTTTCTTGTATGAAGGAATCCAAGTGACCGTCGATGGCGCTGTCATTCGCGCTCTGGTTGAGCTTCAGCTCATTCAACTCGAGGAGCGTCTGGTCCATGCCCGCCCTGAATATCTCCAGCTCTTCTTCCTTCTCACGCAGCTGCCGCTCCAGATCAGCATCTCCCTCCCTGTACTTCATCTGCATCTCATCAAGGGCACGAGTCTTGTTACGGAGGGCCTCCTCAAGATCGGCAATTTCCCGATTATGCCTCGCAAGCATAGCTGAAAGTTCGGAACCTTTACTCTTCTCCACATTTTCCGCCTTCTCCAGGGCAAAGCGCAGCTCCCGTTTGAGCTTCTCAACCTCTTCACGGTGGCCGCCTGTTGTCCGATCCTTCTCAAGTAGAGCGCGATCACGCTCACGGATCATGTCTGCCAACTCCAGGTTCTTCGTCTTCAGCTCCCGCTGCAACTTGTCCCGAGCATCAATAGCCTCTTGTGCTGATGCTGCTTTATGCTGAACATTCTTAAACTTCTGTAAAAGCTGCAAATGCTCATGTCGCAGTTGCGAGTATAACTTCGCCAGCGACTCGTACTTTGATCTCCAAGTGTTGAGCTGCTCCTGGAGAGCCTTGATCTGATCATCTCGCGAGGTAATCTGTTGCTGATAATTGGAGTTCATTTGCGCTATCTCCGTCTCCAGAGCCTTCATCCTTTGGTCATACTGCTGCAGCATCAGCTGGTCGCGCTCATACTGGGCTCGAGCATTGAGGTTTTCGCGCTCCAGCTCCGCGAGACGGCCTTGAGTCTGTTGCTGATATTGCTCTCGAAGCAGCTGCTCTTGAGCCAAACGGGCCTGCTCGGCTTGAAGCCTCTGCTGTTCTTCAAACTGTCTCTGCGCGTCCAAGGCGGCTTGCTGCTGCTGCCGTTGGGCTGCTTCCCATTGCTCTTGCAGCCTTCGTTGCTCGGCTTCGTACTCTTCCTGCTGCCGCCTCTGATCGTTCTTCCAGAACTCGTTAATCGGCTCTGGGTCAACGGAGGGGGCACGTGGTGCGGGCGCAGGCGTTGTTGCGGGTTCCTCATTCTTTGGCCGGGCGGGCAAGGCCGGCCCCCTTTCGTCATCTTCAGAGAGCAGATTAGGTGGATCTTGAGGTAGCTTGGGTACCGTAATTAGGCTGGTCAGGTAACGTAGATTAGAGCATTCGTAGTAGAACTTGACCAAACGATAGTGTTGAGCGTCGTATCGGCCTCGTAATGGCGATAGAGCCTCATCATCGCCAAGTGCTACACATGTCAATGAGACATCGAAGCACCGGTTAGGGTTTCACGTACTGGTATGCATGGCACGCAACATGCTTGTGATAAACTTATAGATGCCATAGCTCTCCTGAACCAGGGGTACCAATGCAGATATCCGGCACTCGTTGTTAGTGCCGCTTCGAAAATGCGAGAAGATAAGCTTTTGGAACGCGTCTATCTGGTCTTGCAGAACCATCAAGTCGGTAATGGTCTCATATCTGCATACTGTTAGCGTGCAACCAGAAAGACGAGGAAGCCCATACCCTTCGTTCGGGTCATTGATGGATTTCAAACTAATGTATTCCTCATACTCGAACGTCCCTAGCGCAATCAGCCTTTGATGACGATCCCTATTGCGGGAAAGGAAGTACCGTTGAATTCCGGATGTTGACGGTGGAAAGCCAGCTTCGCGAGCAAGAAGCGGATGTATTCACTGATTAGGGGGGCGTAGCCTGTAGCTTCTCATGAGTGACCCAGCTCCTTCTTGGGAAGCCATCATCTGTCCGTACCTCGGATACCCTCGCCCCCCGGAACACCGCGACTCAAACTGTCGAGCCATGATGTATGAGCTTGTGCCTCTCTTAGGACGATGGGGTGCCCTTCTTGTAAGACTTTGTGGATTGTGATGAGCGCTTTGAACGTCTGGACTTCGTCGGCAAGGATCGGCTGTCTAGAGCAGGCGAGTTAGTTTATTGTCGCACTCAAGTATCTGCTGGTCACCTACACTTTCATGCCCGACCAGAAGGACTGTGAACTCTTATGGTCCCATGTGTATACAATGCAGCTTCGGACATGTTTCCCTACACGGATGAGCTGGAGAAATGGAGGACTCAGGGGGTTGCATACGCTTCGGTGCCGTCTCGTCTGTGTAGGCGGAGTTAGCAAGCTGTGTCAGGGGAACTGGGGAAGTCGATCTCACCAATGCTTGTCGCCTTGCGAATGTTGATAGCGAGTTCTTGCTCCTGCCTGTTCGTCTTAAGCTTATGCTGCTTGAACCAATAGAAGAAACGTTGAGATATCCCCATTCTGCATTTTCACCTGGAGAAAGGGACGGGAAAGATATAAATGAATGCAGCGAGAGCTACATGTCGGCGGTGGAGAGGCAGGCCTCTTGCGGGTAGCCACCTGTGGCTCTGCACGATTGCCATTGAACTAGTAAACGTGGTACTCACTTTCCCATATCCACATTTCTCGAGCTTCCGTAGTGAGCCATGGTCGCTGCCTCGGCGGGGGGAGGAGTCCCACGTTGCGGGAAGAGTTGCGGTTCAGGGGCTCGCAGGATAGGTGAGGGCGATGGGCTGGCAGATAATCTGCGACAGGAGGAGGTGCAGACAAAAGGGCTCTAGGATGCGCGCAGAGGAGAAGGGAAAGCTGTTGAGATGTTTAGATAGAGGGCGCGCCTGTCGTTGGGCCGGGGAAGCTCGACGGAGCGGTCTTGGCGGACTCCGGACGAGATGACGACGCTCCGCGCCACTCAGCAGGCTCTGCCCGAGCTGTCTGGCTCTGTCTGGCTCTGTTTGGGACGGGTTTTGCTCAAAGGGCTTTTATGTACAGCACACACGCACAGCTGCAGGGCACGAACATGTTGTTCTCGTAAATATTTATGAGTTGGCCCCCCGCGAACAGCTTGCAAAGGAGGTGGTGCCAGGGCTGCCTGCCCAGGTCAGTCACCGATCATGTAGGACAACACATCAAAAACATTCAGAAACTCCATGTCATTCCACATTGCATGCTGTGATTCCCTCAATATGCATGCAGCCTGGCCAAACCTTGATTCTAGTACAACGCCAACGCAATGCTCACTGAACAAAAGTATGACAAACCCCACGTGCTTCCAACTAGGGCAGAACCTGGAGAACCATGTCAACGCTTCTACCGGACAGCCTCGTTTTTGCTTAGATAGGCCGCCATTGGGTCGCTCGCCATGGTCCGCTTCCGTCTGTACTCCTCCATCTCTTCCTCGGTGACACCACTGGTCATTTCTTCTCGCGTGCGCTTCCGTGCCGCGGCATCTTGCTTCGCCTTCTGTTCGCTGTCGACCGCATTGGGAACGTGCTCCTGGAGAGCCTCCTCCTCTTTCCATGCCACTTCTTTGGGTACTTCCGCCAGGTCGGTTCCCATCCGTAGCCGGTCGGCTTGCTCGAATGCTGCCTTGCCTGCCTCGCCGGTACAGTACGAGTTCTTGACTGTCGAGTGACAGCAAGCGTAGCCCCATTGGAAGTTGGACCACCAACTACCCCAGACCGATGTATGATTGTTGATGAGCACGTCCTCGGCGTATTTGGACTTCGCCTTGACCTTGGGCGCACCCTTGATCCTGCCCCTTTCGTCATACTCCACGTAGCGTTCTGATTCCGTTGTTGCCACCGCCTTCTTAAGTTTCTCATCATTGAACTGCTTCTGTTCGCCATATTTCTCGAGCAGCGCTTTCCGCTGCGCAGCCTTCTTCTGCTCGGCCTCCTGGAGCTCCTTTTTCCGGAAATATTCGCCCGACGTCGGATTGGCCTGGAGATGGATCTTATTCTTATCTCCTCGTTCCTGTGTTTCCCATGCATAGCGCTGTGCTTTCTCAAATTCTGCAGCATCCCCGGAAGCTCTCATGAAGCCCTCCTCTGCTACCAGGGCAGCCGCATTGTCGGCAGTGGCGCCGCTGTCCACCATTGACCGCGTTTTAGGATCGTATTTAGCGGATTCGAGGTCTAAATTCAGCAGATATTTGGCCGTGTCTTCTCGTAATCGCAGGTTTCTTGTCGACGTAGCCTGCTTTCTTCCCATGTCTGTCTCCGCATCGTACTTGTCTCCCTCATCCCCTTCGTCCCCATCCTGCTCCCCTTCTACTTCTCCCTTTTCCTGCCTTTGCTTCTTCTTAAGCTCCTCCAGCTGATTATACTCCTCAATCACCGCATTGTAGTCCTCCGCATCATATCCATTCCACCGGTCGCGCTTTGCGTCCCATCCCAACTTAACCTCCTGTACCACCTCGTCCGCTTCAATATTCTTTCCCGTCCATTTCGCGCCTGCTTTGCGCGGTCGACTGAGACAGTCCTTCCTCTTATGTGTCATGGCGCCACAGTTCTCGCAAGCGCCTTTCCGATACTTGGTCGCTGCAGGCGCAACTTTCTTCCCTCGATCGTACCATTTCGACTCTTCCTGTTCCTTTACTAAACGCTGGTGCTCGAGATAATCGTTATCCGAGCCTGTATCGTCGACGGCGTAGAAGGGTTTCTTCGCGATGAAGGCGGGAATGTATTCGTTGCGTTCTTTGGCGGCCGCCGACACGTCCGGCTTCTTGGGTTGTGCTGGCGGCATGTTGTTATATAGGCTTCAGATGCGGAGTGCTGGGAGACGGAGTGAATGCTGCTGAAACTCACATGGAGTTGAGGCATGCGAGTGGGAGGGCAATGCGGTTCACGAAGCACGAGCCACAACGCCACAGGCTTGGCGTGCGTGTCACCCGTGACCACGCGTTTCCCCACGACGTCACGCCTTTGTTGGGTACTCGATGTGAATTCCTCATCCGCAACCCATGGCCTGTTTTCAGGTCCACAACACGACTCGCGAAGGCGAAGCTGCTGCTTTCCGCGTTTCCCACAATCACCATGTGGCGTAACTTATCAGCATCCAACTATAGCTAGGTATTCTACAATCAACACGACTATCCATGGAGACGTTCCGCTTCCGCTTGAACTGCATCGATCATTATCAAGCCACGCCAACCGATCTCGATCCTGTTCTTCGTCGACGCGCCGGCCCTACCCAGCGTCAAGATGCGCCTACAGTTCCCGTGATCCGGGCTTTTGGCGCAACCGAGACCGGACAGAAGGTGTGCGCTCACATCCATGGAGCCTTACCCTATCTCTACCTTGAGTATAATGGGAGTCCAGAGCCGGAAGCGGGTAGGCCGAATCCTCTCAGTACTCATACCAATGCGTATCTAACAGCGCATAGTCAAATTGTATATCGCAAACCTCCGAACTTCGATCGACCATGCGCTCGCCGCCACCTACCGCAGAAACCCGTATGATGGTAAAGCGGTCTACGTCGGACATATCACATTGGTGAAGGGCGTACCCTTCTACGGCTATAATGTTGGATATAGATTCTTCTTGAAGGTTTACATGCTTAACCCAATGCAAATGACCCGATTCGCGGATCTCCTATACCAAGGCGCAATTCTCAACCGCGTATTCCAGCCTTACGAGAGCCATCTTCAGTATCTCCTCCAATGGATGTGCGATTACAACCTGTACGGGTGCGCTTATATGGACTGTGCGAAGGTGCGATTCCGCTCCCCGGTTCCTAATGGCGACGAAATAGATACTCTGGTGCATCGATGGCACTCTGCATCCATACCCCATGAGTTCATCTCCGATTCCGATCAATACCCGAGGCTCAGTCATTGTACTCTCGAAATAGATGTATGCGTACAAGACATCCTCAACCGACATGAAGTGCAGCCTCGCCCAATCCACCAGGACTTTCTGGAGCGTTTCAACTTGTCCGGTCCAGATGAGAAGTTCGTTCCTTCTATGGCTGGACTGTGGCGGGATGAAACTCGCCGGCGTAAGCTACGAATGGGGATCAAAGACCCGTCCAGTAGTCCCTTTCCTCCTGATGTTCTGGTCTCGATGTCAGCCGATCCAAGGGATACGAGTAAAGGTGGCTGGATACATGAGGAAGAATACAGAGGACTTGTGGAAGGGCTGATCCGCGAAGAGCGAGGTAATCATCCTTCTACCTCTTTTGATCGCTTTGTGAAACGCGTCGATGGGGAAGAATATATCAAGACTGCCATGGAAAGCATCGAGGATCTATATCCTGAAAACCTTCAAGTCCAGACTCCTGAGGACGAAACGATGGCTGTGGATGGAGGCATAGTCAATGATGATCGTTTGCGGGAAATTGCCGATGAACTTCCTTCCGACGAAGCCATATTAGGCGAGCTGGGCGATTTAGATGTTGATAAGGGGAACGGCGATCAACCATCCGAAGAGGAGGAGCAACCCTCGCTAGACCCGCTGACCCTCTCAGAAGCTTCTCTTATGAATGTCGGAGGTGCAGATCGGTCGTCAAATGGAGTCGCTCGGCTGGAAGAATTGGATCACGGAATTGACTCTGCTATCAACACTCCGCGTAAACGTAAAACAATCGGGGATCATGAAGAAGCCACGAAGAGACAGAGAGTACTAGCGTTTACAAGTCAGAATAGCCCACGACAGTTTTCAGCTTCGGAAGGAATCGCAGATACCGCTCGGCAGCCGGCAGTGGACGAGAGCTTGCCCTCTGGCACCCAGTTGTCGCAAGCAAGTATCAAAGCTCACGGAACGACAGATCCGTCGCCACTTGCCTTTCCAGTTGTAAAGAATCCACATGCACCCGAAACTGTATTACGCCTTAGTCAATCCGGGTATTCCAATTCTCAAGAAGGGCCGAAGACGCCAGTTGGCAAGGCGTACATGTCCCACTCTTTTAAGAATACCGTGAACACACAGTGGACCCATCAGAAGACATCCCCAGCGCGACAAAATAGTAGCAATGCTGAACCGAATGCAGAAGCGGCGACGCTGGTCAAGCATCTGAAGGATACGTTTCCGCACGCTGCGAAAACCTGGTATTATGGCTCTTTACCCCCGTCAGCTGATCTGGTTCAAGACACGATGCTGGAGATTGGATTACCTCCCGTTATCTATCAAGATGCTTACTACAGCAACGAAAAGGACGTACCAGATCGGCCAAGAGAGTATGCTGGGCGCGAATTTAAGCTGCAAAGCACCACACTGCCCTATCTCCCCCTTTTCGATCCTACCGGAATCTCGTTGTCAAGCTATGGGGAAAACCCGCCCCTGTTGGTTGATAGAAAGAAACAGGAAGCGACTGACCGGATAAGGGCGCAGAGATGTAGTTTGCGCAACTGGGAATTCTCAAGTCTACCTCCTTCCTACCAAGAAGTTTGCGACTGGATGCTCACTGTGTCGAGAGAGCGCGATGATAGAGCGTCGCAAGACAAGGCTATTCAGATGCCTAAACCACCACCTGATCCCCTCTCCCAGATCGAAGGGCCCACACAGAGGAACAAACACTGCTTCAAGTATTCTCAGAAACAACAATCCACGAGCGTCAAACACGAAACTCAATACATGAGCATCCTGAGCGTGGAGGTACACGTCAACTCACGTGGCTCCCTTGTACCCGACCCGGCGGAAGACGAAATCCAGGCGGTGTTCTGGTGCATTGAAGGAGAGGAAGATGGAGAGGAAGGCTCTAAGCGCGTTGGCATCCTGTGTCTCTCTGAGGAGGATGGCATCGCCCAGCGCATCGCTAAACAAGTCTCTGTGGAGGTTGAATACGAGCAGGACGAATTGGACCTCATCAATCGCATGGTGGACATTGTGCGGCAATTTGACCCAGATATACTGACAGGCTATGAAGTGCACAATGGATCTTGGGGGTATCTTATAGAGCGAGCCCGGCTGAAGTACGAGTATGACCTGTGCGACGAGATCTCACGGATGAAGACTCAGTCGCATGGAAGATTTGGAAAGGATGCTGATCGCTGGGGTTTCACGCATACGTCTACCATTCGCGTTACTGGTCGCCACATGATCAATATCTGGAGGGCCATGCGAGGGGAACTAAACCTCCTTCAGTACACGATGGAGAACGTCGTTTTTTATCTCCTCCACAAACGCATACCCCATTACACACACGCCGACCTGACCGCCTGGTACAGAAGCCCGAAACCGCGAGATCTGGCCAAGGTTCTCAACTACTTTCTGCTGAGAGTCAAACTGAACTTGGACATTCTAGAGGCTAATGAGATCGTCCCACGAACCAGCGAGCAAGCTCGTCTCCTGGGTGTCGACTTCTTCTCCGTCATATCCCGAGGATCCCAGTTCAAAGTGGAATCAACTATGTTTCGAATCGCGAAGCCCGAGAACTTCATTCTGGTGTCTCCAAGCCGGAAGCAGGTCGGCCAACAAAACGCGCTGGAGTGTCTACCTCTGGTGATGGAGCCTCAGAGTGATTTTTACACCAGTCCGGTGCTTGTTCTTGATTTCCAGTCCCTTTACCCAAGCGTTATGATCGCTTACAACTACTGCTACTCCACGTGCCTTGGCCGTATCGTGAGCTGGCGTGGCCGCAACAAAATGGGGTTCATGGACTTCAAAAGGGAGCCTCAGCTCCTGGAGCTTGTGAAAGACTATATCAACATCGCACCAAACGGCATGATGTACGTCAAGCCCGAAATGCGCAAGTCCTTGCTCGCAAAGATGTTGAGTGAACTCCTGGAGACTCGCGTCATGGTCAAGAGCGGTATGAAGATGGATAAAGACGACAAAGCTTTGCAGCAACTTCTCAACAATAGGCAACTGGCGCTCAAATTGCTGGCCAATGTTACGTACGGATATACTTCCGCGTCCTTCTCCGGACGCATGCCCTGTTCTGAGATTGCAGACAGCATCGTCCAGACTGGAAGAGAGACACTGGAGAAGGCTATCGCCATGATTCACTCTGTTGAGAAGTGGGGCGCAGAGGTTGTCTACGGGGACACGGACTCGTTGTTCATCCATTTGAAGGGCCGGACGCGTGAACAGGCTTTCGCGATCGGCGAAGAGATCGCAGAAGCAGTCACAAAAGCCAACCCTCGGCCCATCAAACTCAAATTCGAAAAGGTCTACCACCCATGCGTTCTGCTCGCCAAAAAGCGCTATGTAGGGTTCAAGTACGAATCTCGATCGCAAACCGAACCCGACTTCGACGCCAAAGGCATTGAAACCGTACGCCGGGACGGCACTCCGGCTGAACAGAAGATCGAAGAGAAGGCCTTGAAGCTCCTCTTCAGGACAAGCGATCTCTCACAAGTAAAAGCTTACTTCCAATCGCAGTGCAAGAAGATCATGACCGGTCGCATCAGCATCCAAGACTTCCTTTTCGCCAAAGAGGTCAAGCTGGGAAATTACTCGGACCGTGGTCCGCTTCCTCCAGGAGCTCTCATCGCTACAAAGCGTATGCTCACAGATCCGCGCGCTGAACCGCAATACGGAGAGCGCATTCCATACGTTGTAGTTACGGGAGCGCCAGGCGCGAGACTCATCGACCGCTGTGTCGCTCCCGAAACTCTGTTGCAAAATGACCATCTCGAACTGGATGCGGACTACTACATCTCGAAGAACCTGATCCCGCCTCTCGAACGCATCTTCAACCTCGTAGGCGCAAACGTACGACAGTGGTACGACGAAATGCCCAAAGTCCAGCGGATCCGCAACATCTCGGTCCCCTTCGCCAGACCCGATGCTGGAAATGGAAATGCATTGCTCGCGGGCGGTGGCGTGGGAAGCAATAGCACCACGGCGAAAAAAGCTACGCTGGAGAGCTACATGAAGTCGTCTTCGTGCCTCATCTGCCGCGCAAAACTGCCTCCGCTCCCGTCGTTTCCTAATATCCCCGCTGACGCCCTTGCCACGCTGCCTCTATGTTCAACCTGCCTCTTACGACCGGCTCGCGCCTTACTGACGCTGAAGGATCGGATATGGAAAGCGGAGCAGAGAGCTAAGCAGGTTGATATGGTATGTCGGAGTTGCGCGAGTTTGGCATGGGTAGAGGAGATTAAGTGTGATAGTCGGGATTGTCCTGTGTTTTATAGCAGGATTAGGGAGAGGGCGAGGTTGGCGGGGATGAGGGAAGGGGTGGAGAGGGTGATTGGGGTGTTGGAGGATGAGGGGAGGAAGGTAGAGGGAGAGGGTGTGCTGGATTGGTAGGGGTTTGTTGGATAGGTGGGAACACGATGATGATAATCGTTTCTCTTTTTGCATGTTTGATGAAGCTGAGAACTAGTATCTTAAAGGCGTCCTCAAGTTCACTGATAGTGACAAGCGCCTTTCCCATTCGTTCAAGTACATACGACGGTTGTTACCTGCGTGTATTGGTTTTAGGCCTGCAATACATTTATAGCAATCGGATAGTCTTATAATGCCAATAGTTCTGCGGTTGTATGCACGTCTCTGCTCTACCCTCCTCGAGTGTAGGGCGAGTAATAATTAATAAGGCACGTCGCTTACGTACGGTGGGTTACCTAGGTAAGGTTCCGAAGCCGACCCCGCTAGCGCACCCCACATCAACAGCTTCACAACACAAGACACCAACAAGACCTCAATTTGAGGGTTCGCACAGTAAATCTCCGTCCAATATGCCTCAGCAAGAGTCAAAGATCGAGGACCCAGACGCGACCACCGCCGCCGCCACCGAGGTCGCCGCCGAATCGAGCAAAGAAGCCCAACCCTCCATCGAGTCCGGCGAATCCAGCGACGAAGCAGCCACCACCGAGATCGTAGAAGGCGGAGAACAAGCAGCGGAGAAGAAGAAGAAGAGCCGGAAACGTAAACTCAAGGATGCGTTGAAGGGCAAGGGCAAGGCGCCCGACATCTCGGACGTAAATGCTCCTGTGGGCCAGCATTTGAGCAAGGACCAGATGAATATGCTGCTGGAGGCGAATCCGGCGCTGAAGAATGAACTCATTTCCAAAGCGAAGGGCAAGGAGAATATTGAGCAGCTTATCCGGAAGCTGAATGTCAGCGAATTGTTGACTGGGCTGGCGCCGCAGGGCAAGAATGTCAAGGACATGGGTAGCCATGCGTTCTGGAAGACGCAACCCGTGCCGAGCTTTGAGGAGTTGGCGAGCCCCAAGGAGAAGATTGTGGATGGACCGATCAAAGAGATTGAGATTGAGAAGGTGCCCAAGGAACCGAGTCAGATGTATCCTGGGTTCGAGTGGGTGACGATGGACCTGGAGGACGAGAAGCAGTTGGAGGAGGTGTATGATTTGTTGACGAATCATTATGTGGAGGATCAAGAGGCCATGTTTAGGTTTAGATATTCACCGTCTTTCCTGAACTGGTGAGTCTTGTCCGTCTTCATGGCGAAGGCCGACTAATTGTGCGTGTAGGGCGCTCAAGGCACCTGGATGGAGGAAAGAATGGCATGTCGGCGTCCGGGCCTCCGCCTCCGGAAAGCTCGTGGCCTTCATCTCCGGCATCCCGATCCAACTACGGGTGCGCGACAGGGTTCTCAACTGCTCCGAGGTTAACTTCCTTTGCGTGCACAAGAAACTCCGCTCAAAACGCCTCACCCCAGTCCTCATCAAAGAAATCACCCGTCGATGCTACGTAGAAGGGGTCTTCCAGGCTGTATATACCGTCGGTTCTCTGCTCCCCACTCCCGTCTCTACATGTCGTTACTTCCATCGCGCTCTTCACTGGGAGAAGCTGTACGATGTCGGCTTCTCCCCTCTCCCTCACAATAGCACCAAACAGCGACAGATACTGCGGTACAAACTCCCAGACAAGACTTTCACCCCCGGTCTCCGCCTCATGGAACCCAAAGACGTAGACGTCGTGCTCGATCTCCTAAGACGCTATCTGAAGCGCATGGACATGGCGCAAGAATTCTCCAAGGTGGAGTTCGAACACTGGATGCTTCCGAGCGAGAAATCAAAAGAACAGGTCGTATGGAGCTACGTCATCGAGGACCCTTCAACCAAGAAGATCACGGATTTCATCTCGTTCTATAACCTCGAAAGCTCGGTCCTGGGCCACAAGAAGCACAATGTCATCAAAGCCGCCTATCTATTCTACTACGCCAGCGAAACGGCCTTCGACAAGGACAAGAGCTTACTGAAGTCGCGTCTCAACGCACTCGTGAAGGACGCGCTGATTTTGGCAAAGAAGGTAAGCCACTCATTTCTGGCTATTATCGATGGATTCACTGACGGCTTTTGTGAATAGGAAAACTTCGACGTCTTCAATGCGCTGACTCTGCTCGATAATCCTCTTTTCCTGGAAGATCAGCGGTTCGGTGCTGGTGATGGCTCGCTGCATTATTATCTGTACAATTACAGGGCCGCGCCTCTTCCGGGTGGCATCGATGAGAGGGATCAGTGTAGTGAGAAGCATATGGGTGGGATTGGCTTGGTGATGCTGTAGTGGAGAAGCTGTGCTTTCTTGTGCTCAGTCGGCAGTGGTGTATCAATGGCGCTGAGTTATTAAGCGTCCGGGATCTGATACTCATACCCTATCAGATACTGAAAAATGTGTCAGAGAATCTTACTATTTTGTCACTCTTGACATCCTGTGAGCTCCGTCGTGATTCCCGTAGATTACCTGGCACTGTACATAGCACGTAACTAGCTGCTTAGTTAGGATCTTTCTGTATAACTTACAGAGGTCCGACACTTCTGAATATTCATCCTGTTTTTGTCCTATTCTTCTACAGCCCGAAGTCGTGTAGTTTGCGCGATCGCTGTCTGGGTCGAGGTCGCCTGCCAAGACTCAAATGCATAGTTACGCGATGCCAGTTGCGCTAGCCCTAAAGCGGCTAACTCAAAACACAGCGTCGGTCTCAATGTTTGTGCGACTTTCAAGATTCACGAAACCCTCCAACATCTTATAATGTATAATCTACCCCTATAGAGAAACCCTCTGACTGCCCTGTACTGGTCGTACTTCATTGAATCGATGGCGACAAAGAACGCTACGGCTCGCGCCCGTATGGAAGATGTCAAAACAGACCTCCGATCCATCTCAACATGTACCGAGTCAACCGTTGCGGAATTGCGGGACCTTCTGGCGGTAGATACGAATGATTCAGCTGAGAAGGAGAACGTAAGGGGAAGCCGAGCGCAATCGAATAAGGCACAGGCTGCGAAGGCAGGGAAAACAGCCTCTGCGACAGCTCGGACAGCTGCAGGCACCACCACGAAGGCAGTTACACTCTCAACGCCTAGGGAAAGATATATTCTAGCTACCGAAGTTGCGAACATAACTCTCAAGTCCCTCTCCGACGCCCTGAAATCCCACCGGCCGCTTAAGACCGCGAAATCGAAACCCCCCTCACCCACCGAACCAGCGCTTTCAGGGACGCCGCGCCGAACGTTCTCACGGAGCTCTTCACTTACTCAGAAACCCCTCCAGGAGCGATCTGTACCGCAGACTACCAATTCCCCACGAAAGCCCACTACCCTTCGCCGCTCATTGTCTTACTCGTCATGCTTGACAACTGGACCGGATCCAGGTTTGGTCGCTACAGCAGAATGCGCACGGATTGCATTTGCATACTTGAGGTCGGCGGAGGCAGCGAAGATTGCGGGAAAGGATGCTCCGGCGCTGCAGGTGGAAAGTGGAATACTGGCGCTCATTGGAAAGCTTGTAGCTCATGGACAGGACGGTCTTGCTGTGAAGGAGCTACGGATGCTGAAGAAACGGTTGGAACAGTTTCTACTCCCCAGCAATGGTCGGATATTGAAGAAGGGGGCCGCGGCTCCGAAGGCAACTGTTGCGCAAGAGAAGGAAAGTCTAGCATCATTGCTGGAATTTGGGGATTTCGATTTGACATCACCGACACTACCCCTTATAGTCAGCCTTCAGACCTATGCTTTGCGGTTGATGGCAAGATTGCGACGCGCACGGCTGGTGGAAGAAGCATGGACCTATCTGAAACTATCCAACCCATCTTCACCGGCTAACCTCATCTGTCACATGGCAAAAGTGTCCAATGCTGATCCAAAGACACTCCGACAACTCGAAAACCTTGCTCAAAGTGTGTTAGCTCTTTGTCCCAGTATCTCCCGCTCCGAGGATGCATCGCTTGATCAGAAACACCTTCAACCCCCGCCCGACGTCGTTCTCTCCTTGCAGCATCTGGCTTTCAAGATCCGGCAAAGATGGTGGAAGTTGGCAAATCATGTAACGAATGAGGAGAAAGAGCTATTGGAGCCTTTCACGAAATGCATGATTACTTTTGCCCGGAGGTCTGAGTTGTCAGCAGTTAAGAAGTACAAAGTCGCGGAGCTGCTCTTCACGGACCTTGTGGGAAGCTCTGAACACCTGGCGACACTTCAGAAGCGAGGGAAGTCCAGTGCGGCCGCTTTGGCCGCGAATACTCTGAGCTCCCTTGCGCAATCAGCGAATCTTCCTGCTGAAGCTCTGCGATGGCTGGGGAAGTCAGGGTCGTCTGCGCTGCGCGAGGAGTCGGCTGCCGCAGCTGCCACGAGGCTTGTGCAAGGTGCCGTTCTCTCTCTCGGTGTCTACCTGAACGATCCTGACCAAGGGGGCCCAGACCCAGCAATCTCGGATGCTTTGAACGCTCTCTCCGGGAATCTCGGTGGCTCTCACTCTGAGCTGGATTCTCTTTTCATGCAGGCAAGTGCTTTACGCCGCACTGCTGCAAAAGCACTGTCAAAGAACAACTTGGGATTGGCATCGGGCCCACAACTCCAAACCCTAGCCTTGAACTGTATTTCAGCAGCTGTTCGATTCACCGCGCGATATCTTGGCACCAGTGTTGCTTCTGATTTGGAACCACGGCACCAGCCTCGGTACAAACAACGTACTCAATTTCTGGCGAACTATGTCAAGAGTATCCTGGATTCGGCTTGTATGTGTTGCAAAATACCAGTTGGCTCGGATCGGGAACCCCACTGGGTTATTGTGGATACTATGTTGCACGACTGTATCTCCATATTGAAACATTTCGATAACGCTACGAATGACGAGATCGAGGGAGCACATGACCTGCAACATGCGTTTGCTAAAGTCTCCAATGCTTATTGGGCCCTTCATCTGCAACTCAAGACGCCCAACGGTACCGACAAGCTCTCCTTACGCGCAATGCAGAGATCAGCCGAGATTCTGCGATCAAGGCCTCTAAGCGAACAACATGCTGGTCTCCTCACCATGAAATTGGAAAGACTCGCTGAGGCACTAGAATCCCGAGGTGATGCCTCAGCGTCTCGAAAAGCCATTGTACAATGTATCGAAACGCTCACAGAGTTTGGTGTCCTTCGTAACGCTGGAGCCTTGGCTCAGACACTTCCATTACAATGCGTATTCGAGAGTGACGAGTCTACGACGGGCCTTGCAAGGGCGATTAAGTGGTATCAGCGCTCCTTTCTCAAGTTCGGCACCGACGATTCCAGTGAACTTGCCATCTACGATAACCCGCAACTGGGTCCCACCGAACGAGGACTCCTGTTGGAGTACCAGCTGCACTTATATGCCAAGATTCTTTCGAAAAATCGAGTATGGGATACCAGCCTGGGTGCTTCACTTCAAGCGCTTTCCCAGCGCCTACGGGAGATATATGCTCCAGAAACCTTTCCCATTCGACGTCAAAGGGCGCTTTTGGTTCTATTTCGGCTATCACAAGAACGACCGGATTTGCTACATCAGCATGAATTCGCCAATCTGGAAGATGTTATGGAAATCGATGTGCAAGGTACCGAAGATGAGGGCTTGGAGAGATTTTGCAGCCATTTCACGGCTCTTTGGAAACTCAAGCTTTGTCTACAAGACTCCTCATCTTATTCTTCCACTATAAAGGAGTGCGTTTTGATTTGGCAAGCGTTACTGAGCTCCTCCTCTTCTTGGAAAGATCTTTCCGAGCGCGTGGATGATGTTGAGTTGTGGTTAACTGACTTGCAAGCCGCCTCTGACTACCTAACTGTAAAGGGCGAGGAGTACTATGCGGTTCAGCTGCAATATCTCATTTCTAGGATCCTGGAGCTCGAGAATGCCGTGGACCGCTCTCGTCTAGTCAAGAATACTTCTCATCTAGCCTTGCAGCTTCTTCGACTTGGATATACGGGGAAAGCTGGGCTTCTGTTCGCAAAGACGGAGAAGATGGCATCGGATGTAATGACGTCCACTGAGGCGAGACTGCAGTGGCATCTAGGTTATGCCGAGTACCTGCTTCAACTTGGAAATCCGGTCAAATGGTCGGTGTATTCTATTTTATCGATGGTACTCTTACTAATTAACACTAGTGAAACATCCCTAACTGCAGCAGAAACGATTGCTAGACAAGACTCCGGGTTTATGAGTCTAGCTGACCCCTCCACGACATTATCAGGCCGGACGCGATTCAATAGGATTCTCGCGGACGCCTGCTATGTGCATTCTCTTCTAGCCTTCCATACTGGACACCACCAGGATGCTGCCAGACGCGTGAGGCAATGCGTTGCTCTCAACCGGAGAATATGGGCCGCTCTGGAAAATAAGCAAACTTCAACATCTCCAGTGGCTCCCTCAGGGAGTGACACCGAAGGAGATAAAACCGTCATGGTCTCTTTTGATCCCCTAAGCACGATGCGAAACGATAAAGGGATCCCGCTGGTCATGTCTGTTACTCATGGGTCTCTGGACGGCCCTAGCTTTTGGCCGCTAGTACCCCGACTTTACCACGGTCTTATGCTCCAATCACACATCTACGCCCATCAAGGCTTGCTACAGGAAGCGGTCTACATAGCGGAGCAGGCAGAAATGGTAGCATCTGCTGTCAACGCCCGATCTCTCATTGTGGACAATGCTAGCCGAAGAGCTGAGTACTGGGTGCAAGGAGGGCGTACAGATAAAGCACAATCTGCTTTGGCGGTTCCCGAGAAATGCCTGCGGGAGAATCATATTTTCATGGCCGCCTATCACTCATCCATGGCACGAATCCGCCATGCTAATGAAGAATTCGACGAAGAGCTTTCTGCATACGAAAGGTTGGAGGGCTTGTTGTCTGGGCTTTCCTCGCCCTCTTTCATTGAGGAGATGGTGGGTAGCTCGGCAAACATGGACAGTCTTACCACGCAGATGGCCGCGGTTAGTCTCGAGGCTTCCGAGCCTGCAAAGAAACCTACGACAAGAGCACCTAGGGGCCGAAAGCCAGGCGCCCCAACTGCCCGCAAGACGACCGCAAGAGCCCCACGCAAGGCTCCTGTGAAGAATGTACAGACCACTCCCACCCCGCCGACGAGTATTGGAGATGAGTGCTTATCGCTCTGCCGTCTTCAAGCTGACATTGCACGTCGAAGAGCCCTGGTAAATCTTCTCCAGGAAGACGTTTCTAAAGCGCTTGAGCTACTCAGTCAAGCTCAGCTGATCGAGAGGGGTGCGGAGAAAAGCGTGTCTCACGCATGGTTAAGCTTCAAGGCGAGCTTGTCAAGAGGCATGCAACAGCTCGCCACCGACCTCACCTTCAACACTCTTCCGGAGTCGACCATAGCATTTCCTGCCGTACGGGACAGGGATCGGAAGAACTCTGGAATTGTATCGACGAAAAGGACAATCGCAGCGACAGCCACAACTAGAGGCGGCAGGGTCAAGAAGTCGGTCAAGGAGGACTTCATCGCATCCCTGCGTGAAGCTCGGGACCGTCTCTTGGAATCCCACAATCTGTGTGCTCAGATTGGATCGGCTGCCAGCTTTCAGCAGGCTTCCTTTGCTCTGGCGTCGGTAACTGTGTTGTTGTCGGCGGTTTCTAATGAGGATGCGCAGGGAGCATTGCACCCGTTGTATGCGGCTTATATGAGTGGTAAGTTTCAGATAGCTCAAACCCATCCGTCGGCGACTTAACACGATGCAGAAATTCCAAGGACAAGGTCGCTTAAGCATGCTCAAGCAATCGTCCAGGTCGAGCAGGAGAAGCTGTCACGCGATGAATATCTGGCATGGCCGGCACTAATCATCTCCGAGCGAGAGCAGTTGTCGGCAGCTTCAGACTTCCAGAGAGAGTACATCGACATAATACCGAAGAACTGGACTGCAATATCTCTCTCGTTGAACGAAGATCATGATGAGCTGTACATTACTCGCTATGATGCTGGACAGTCACCATTCGTGATCCGTCTGCCAATGGCACGGCATGCGTCTCGGGACCTGGATGAAGTAGAATTCACCTTTGACGATGGCAAAAAAGATTTTGAAGAGATTATCGAGCTCAGCGACTTCTCGACGCGGACTGCCAAAGACATGACCACAAAGGAGAAGCGGCTGCAATGGTGGACGGAGCGTGAAGCACTGGATACCAGGCTTCATGAGCTCCTTCTCAACATTGAAAATATATGGCTTGGTGGCTTCAAAGGGGTATTTTCCCAACATTCTCGCGAGCCAACATTGATGGCCCGCTTCCGCAAGTCCTTTGAGGCCACGCTCAACAAGCACTTGCCATCACGGCAAGGCAAAGGAGCTCAGGCACACCCGGCTTTGGATCCTCGGGTTCTGGATCTCTTCATTGGGCTGGGTGATGCGACCGACGAGAATCTCGATCTTGACGAAGCGCTCATGGATCTCATATACTTCGTGGTAGACATCTTGCAGTTCAACGGAGAGCGGAACGCCTACGATGAGATTGATTTCGATTCCATGGTCATCGAGACGCTGGATGCTTTGCGTGCCTACCATCGAGCATGCCATGGTGCAGCTCCGGACAAAACGCACACGATTCTCATCCTCGACAAGAGCCTGCACACGTTCCCCTGGGAGTCCTTACCTTGTCTACAGAAACTTGCAATATCCCGTCTGCCTTCACTCCAGGCTCTCCGCGAACGGCTCCTCGCAGCAAGATCACCCACGACCATCGACGACGCTGAGCCAGGTCACTACATTTCCACCACCGCCGGTGGAACTAGCATTCTTAATCCATCGGGCGACCTCACACATACCCTGAAGACGCTCAAGCCCCGCCTAGATAGTCTGTCCGGCCCCTGGACGCACATCACGAATCGGCCACCTTCGGAGTCCGAATTCGAGAGCGCGCTGAGAACGAATGACCTCCTCCTCTACTTTGGCCACGGCAGCGGCGCCCAGTTCGTCAAGAGTAAAGCCGTGCGTCGCTTGTATCCGGGTCCCGACGCTACGAAACCTGGGTGCGCAACTGCGCTGCTGTTTGGTTGCTCATCGGTGCATTTGACGACGAATGGAGTGTATGAGCCTAGTGGCATGTTGGCGTCGTATCTGACGGCTGGGGCGCCGGCGGTGGTGGGGATGTTGTGGGATGTCACGGATAAGGATTGCGATCGGTTGGCTGTGAGGGCGGGGGAGTTGTGGGGGCTTTGGGAGGAGGTTAGGGAGGAGGAAGCGCCTAAGACGGCGGCGAAGAAAGGACGGGGGAAGGGGAGGATGGTGGAGGAAGAGGTAGAAGGGGCAAGGGCGGCGAGTGGGAAGGCGAGATCTAGGTCGAGATGTGAGAGGGTGAAGGGTGATAAAAGGAGTGAAGTTGGGGAGGATGGGGAGAAAGGGAGGAAGAAGGGTGTGGGGTTGGATGAGGCGGTGAGGCAGGCGAGGGAGGCGTGCGTGATGAGGTATTTGAATGGGGCGGCGGCTGTGGTGTATGGGGTCCCGGTGTTCTTGGGATAGAGGAGGGCGAGGTACATAGAGTGTTTGGCGAGAAGGGATAGAGTGTGATTATGTGTATTTCTCGTATCTCTCGTGTGGGATGTTGCACATGTAGAACTGTGAGCATTTTCAATGTACGGAACATGGCAATCTACCAAACTCCACACGGAAGGTGTCCAGAGACAATTGATTTGCACAAATGTCTTCCGAGTCTGGCAACTTTTGCTCTAGGCAGCAGGATTGAAAGAAAATACCTGCATCGGCAATTTTCCTATTGCATGCGGTGCGTGCATACATGCTCTTTAGCCGATAGAAAAAGAGGCGAACAAGACAAACATAGCACGACAACCTTGAGTACGTAGGTACCTAGTTTCATAGCTCGATTCGATGGGAAAATTCTTCATAGTTCTGAACATACTGTGGTATTGAACAGACGCTGCGTAGTATCCTCTGCTGTGCGATGCTTGACCAGAAATGGTTGTTAACGCACTTGATCGTCCGACAAGCTTCGCCTCTCCCCCAGCCCCCGTTTGCTGACTCAGCCAGCCCCGAAGCTTAATCCATCCTCACATCATTCTCGCCCCCATACACTTAGATGAAATTGCACTCGCCTTACAGTGCAACAAGCCGTTCTCACACCATGTCCCCGGTGCCTAGGACCCGTCAGCCTTGTCTCCGCCGGGCGTAACTGCCGTATCTATGATTCCATTGGTTGTGAATCCGTACTGCAAGGCCGAGCGATCCTTCGACAGCGTTCCCAGGGTTTCAAAACATGCAGTCAGGGAGGCACAGCGGAGGAGTCGGGGTGCCGCCCAGAATCGTTGAGGCGCTTGGGGATGGGGTATATAGCCTTGTGCGCCGCTTATAATCATCCGGTTTGATTTCTTTCGTCCTCTTTTCTTTCTGCATTTTTGACGTTGCAGAAGTGTTTCACGGGAAGTTTGCGTCACGTGGCCCATACTACGTTCGCCCCTTGACGCCTTGTTAATCTTGAGTCGACCAACCAGTATCATATCAACTGTTCCTTGCGGATCCAATATCCCACCGGTCTGAATATCCTCTCGCATCCTTTCGTCTTCCGACTCCCAACACCACCATGACCAGCCCAGTCATCAACTTCGTCCTCCGCGGCGCCCAACTCCTCTTCGCCATCGTCGTCCTCGGCCTCTCTGTAGATCTCGTCCGCGGCCACAATTACGGCAGCCTCCCGGTAACCCTCGGTTTTGCCGCATTCGTCGGCGGCGTCTCGGTCGTTGGTGCTCTGCTCGGCCTGGCTGCTACATGGGTGGAGGCGCTGAACAGCATCATTGGCGCGGGTATTGATATCATTGTTGCCTTGATCAATTTGGCGGGCGGTGTGGTGAGTTTGACTATATCTTTCTCTCCGACGGATTTTATGTTCTTCATCGACAAATTCAAGAAGCCCCTGGCCTTCACACAGATATATCGAAGAGCTCAATTCGTCACCCAATGACTAACAACCCCCACAGCTCATAGCCATCAAACTCAAAGGCGCCGACTGCTCCGGCACCTCGGACAGGAACCGCTTCGAACTGAATAAAATCAGCATTATCAACGGCGGTTGCGAAAAGGAGAAATGTTGGTATGCTACGTTGGGAGAGCTGGGCAAGCTCAATGAGAGGTGTCGCCAGAACACGGCCGACTCGGCGTTTATGTTCTTGTTGGTCATTACGTTGTTGGCTAGTGCGACGGTGACGTTTTTGCATGCCAGGAAGTAGGGATCAAAAGGTGGTGGATGAGATGGTGGAACTTTGCGGGGGTTGCATGGTGTCGGGACGAATGATAATGAGCGGGTTGGAAGGGCGCTGCGCTGTCATGCACATTTGGTTTACGGTATACCCTGTGTGTATTGTCGGTCTTGATCGAGAGGAGAAAACATGTACGCTGCAATGATATTTTACTGCTAGTGATAGCCTATTTTGTGATATATCGGTGTGGCGTTGTTCACCGTCGTCGAAATTGCGACTTAGTGGTCGCAGTACCGAAGCTCCTATGATTACTCTTCCCCCAGCGATGACTAGTGTTCTAGCTAGATCTATCAGGTGCTTGATGTGGACTTGGCGAAGTTACTCACCTTGAGTGGATGACTGAGAAACTCTTATGAAGATTCCATCATCGACCCCAAACACCCCAATAACAGCCAATTATTTGCATAATCTTGTTATGATAGCTATCTAAGAGAACTCCACAAATTTCCTACCGTATATCGCACATACATCATGATCTTCCGCGCCAGCATTAGAACCATCCTCACAGCACTTCTCCTCTTCACATCTCCCTCCTATACCTGGACCTTCAACCCCTTCAACGACACCCTCGAATACTGCGAAATATGGGACTGGCACACCCAAGGCTTCGGCAGCTACAAAGGCGCTCCCTTCTGCGCCCACCGACTCAACAACAGTGCCCTCGTCTACGCAATGAAAACCTATAGCGACGAAGTCAAGATCTCCGTAATCGATCTATACTTCACGGACGAAGCATACATGCGAATCGGCGACACTACGTTCACATCCAACTCTTCCACTCTCATAGAGAATAAATTATACCTACGGCCGCATAATACCTCTATTAGCAGTTTCATTGGCTTCACGGTGCGGGACTTTGAAGCAGGGAGGGGGACGGATGCTCTACATGGGTTTAGAATGCAGTTTTCGGATGGGCAGTCGCTGCAGGCTGGGAGAATGGCGACTTATGCGGGGAAGTATAGTATGAGTACGCCGGTGCGGTTGGCGGGGTTGAGTGGAACGGTTTGTAAAGGGGTGTTGTGTACGTTGAGGGTGCATGGTGTGACGGTGCTGGGGATGCCGGGGGAGCGGAATTTGGTAATATGAATACGGAATACACCTGGACTACAAGGAAAGTAGGATTGGGGGCTTCGAATCAGAATCTGTGAGGGATGCAAGACCTTCTAGGCCACCCTGCAACGATTCACATGGAAATTGTGGCTCCCAATGGCCCTGGCATCGAGCGGTATAACGAGAATACAACTGCTCTACCTGCGTCAACTTTGAACGCAGAAAACTCAGCTAGTGGCACTGAAGAATTGTCAGATGGTAAGCCAGTTTATGGACATCCCATCTGGGACTGGAGATGAGGACTGGGAGAAGTTGTATGTACCGGTACTGTCTGAGGACATGTGGCTAGTGATTCTGCAGTGGCTAGTGCCCTGTGCAGCCTTGGCGCCCAGAGAAGGAACATCAAAACCGGTGTCAGGCCCCAGCCTCACACACAAGCACACACCAGAATACAATCAGTCAACCCATCTTCAATCAATCTTTCTGTCACCGTGACATCTTCAGATACCATCAAATCTGACAAGAATCGACGTATCTGTCACGGGGGTTCATCAAGTTCAAGATTGAGATATTACAGGAGGCTGCGCCGCATCTAAAGCGCCACAGATCGCTTTATCACTACTCCGACACAACGAGCTGGTCTGGAGCCATCTATACCTACAGACCAAATAAGCGTATCTCAATTGGTGGCAAATCCTGGCCACATGGACACTTGCTCTGTCTTCTTGCTCATTCCCCCGTCTTCATCTCATCCGTCGGAGCATTCCTAGTTCTGTGGATTATGCCACCCGTGGGACTCAACTGTCGACACATACTTCTTCTCGGAATTATGGCACTGCTCTTATGTAGTGCCGCGTTCACCCAATTGACATACGCGGTGGGAATCCGAGGAAGGGCCCATTGGTATATGGTTCTTATCAAAGATGCCCTGATTGCCATTCCCATGGTCGTTCTCGTATTTCTAACTACATCTGGTCTCTTCAATTCCTGTTGGTGTTGGAGCGCCGTGTATTCGCTGCGCGGGGCGGCTAGGGTTCCCATGAATCCCGAACCTTCCTTTGAGACATACAACTCGTCTACATACCCAATTACTGTCAAGGGTTGCATAGAACTCCAGTGTCTGGCATTCGGAATAGAGGGGTGTGGATTGGCCGGAGGGGGTGGCGGGTAATGAGGTGGAGCAAGAAGAACCTTGGGAAGAGAATGGAGGTATGCCGCATATAAGCGCTCAAAAGAGGTATTACAAATAACTAATCAAGGTATAGATAGAACGGACGCTGCTGCTATCTTGCGTGCACAACTAACTACCTCCACAGCCAATGTCGGAAGGTCCACCGCTATCAACCACGGCTTGTCGTACACAATCCCACTGCTGTGGTCCAATGGGAAGGCGTCCGTAAGCCTCCCACTCTACTCCGTCGTTCCTGATATCCGGATAATAGTCGAAGCGCCACTCAGACACGACACCGCATCGCCTCAAGTTGGGCAGTAGCTTTTCCTGGCCGTGATCGTGACCCGCCCATCCACCGCCGTAGATGTAGAATTCATCGTACCAGAACTTGTACCACACATCGCATTTCCCAGGAACCTTGTCTGGCTGCGATGGTCGATCGTGCTTGGGTGTAAAGAAGTAGGAGTAGCTCTCATCGCCCCAGGTTTGCACTCCACCATGCTTCCAATGCGAGTTTGTGTCGCATCCGTGGATTGTACGCAGCAGCGACTCTTTACATTGGGCTTCAACGTCATCAGGTTGCAGACGAGTGGGGTGTTTCCAGACTGCTCTCATCTCCACGTGTTCGGGCTTTCCTTCGTCGTACTGCTCAGCCAGTTCCCCCCGGGTGTTGACTTGATAAGTGTCACCCAATTTCTCGCAGAACGGACCCACATGTCGCTCTGCAATGCTGGAATCAGAATACCTGTCGTCTTCGCCACCACAGTGAAGTTGTGGTACCAGAGGCGATTCGCGGGTTGGGGGCGGTAGGAAGCCAAACTTATTCTTGAAGAAGATAGCGTTGACAAATTGCGTATAGCTGTCGGCATTGGTGATGACGTCTCCAGGGTTCGCTTTGTACTGGGTCACCCACTCCGCGACCATTGCTGATCCATAGACACGCTTGCCTTGGTAACGTTGATCGATAACTGTCCGCCGTTGTCAGTATTCTGCATAACTATTGCACATTGCCAAACTAACTGTGGGGCCGGTCTTCAGTAATGAGGTTGATATGCATCATTTCATGCAACGCCTTTCCAGCGTCGTTCTCAAGCCAGTCCATAGCAATGTTTTCCTTTGGTTGATCCTTCCATATATTATAAATACCGTCCGGCGTATCTGTGAGAAAGAAAAGGTGGCAGAATACGATATCGTAAGTGTACCCGGTGAAGATGCCAAAGTCGTTCATCGCATAGCCAGCGATTTTTCTGTTTCCCGATGTCGGTTAGCGCTGGCTCTTGGGCAACGTTAGAACAACGCTTGGTTAGGATCACTTACTTGCCACTCTCAAGGATATCTTCGCAGCTGTTCCACTTATCCGTACAGCTGACATCGACGAACTTGCTCATGAGTGGTACCGCTCCGCTAAGGAGCGAGACCCTGCGCAGGTTGGCGTGTGCAATCTGTGCAAATTCATTGTCCTTGTATTTTCCGTCGTCCGGGATACCAAGATACGTTGCAGCGACCTCTCCGTGCTTGCCCTCGTCCCACCACTCTCGCACCGCAACTGCGGCCATCTCCCTGGCTGTCTGGACAGCATGGATCATCTTGTCGTAATATGACGGATTTTCTCCCTCATTGCGGCATTTGTCCTCGATGATATAAGGAACGATCTCATCACGGCTGAATAGAGAGTGTGCGGGCGTAACAGGCGCCGGAGTGGCAAGTGCCACCAGAGGCAAAGACAAAAGAATGGCTGAACGCATTATAGCGTCGTAACACGAGTGTAGGCGCGAATGCTGAGAGATGGCAACTATCGATCGGTGCAAGCACTGCGTCTTATATCAACGCCATTGTTAATTTCCATCATGATGTGGCTTGCTAGAAACCTTGGGACGCTTTCCAAGCTGAATGCATTTGCTGAAAGGAGCGAGATGCGAAGGACGATCAACAAACAAGAAGGCCCCCACGGTGCCCCGGAACGCGAGCTTGTGTAGTCTTTGCGCTACCAGCCGGTGCCTTGTTCGTCAAAAAATCTATATCGCAAAACTTTCGAGCACGTTCCCTCAAGCCCGTAGGTTTACCAAGAAAGCCCGGGATATGGAAATGGAGATCAAGCGAGATAAACGCGTTTGCAGTGTGCACCAGCAGGTCAGAGCGCACAATCTACTGTAAAAAGCACGAAGATCCCCGTAGCCCAAGGACCCCAGGTCCTCCAGATAGTCGTATTGAATGGGTTCAGTTTTAGGGACTGATTCGCCAGATTCGTGGTATTGTGCTTCGGGTCGCCAAGTCTCATGAACGTATTGTCGGTGAAGTATATTTCCATCAGCCATACCCGCTCTTGGTCGCTCCACGTCCTGATCTCATCGACGACTGTAGAAGATGACATTCTATGGGCGCAGAATTCACTACGTGAGGAATCTCCAAAGTAGATCGTATACCACCCCCAACCACTGCATTCGCTTCCAGTGCGGGCAAAATCGGCTAAGATAGGCTGAGTGTTGTTTGCTGAGAATGGAGTTGCGCAGGTGGCAGAGAAGAGTGCAGCAAACACGATCATGGTTGGATTGCACTTCATTGTAATCATATTCCTGTCTTTTCCAAGAAATTTGGAGAGTTGTTGGCGTCTTGGAATGCCTGGGAGATTGTTTGGGTTTCTAAGAAGAGTAATCGTTAATGTCTACTCAGCTACCATTCTGACGAGCTTCTTATAATCTAATATCGCACACTACCTTTGCCGCCATTCTGTGTCAAGTTGACAAGTGTCTTTTTCAAATACCGTCGTGAATGGACGTCTTCCTTTTGATCAGTGGCTGAGATCTTGAAGGATTGGGATTTAAATAACGGTGTTGGCATAGAAGATCATGCACTGTGGTCATTCTGACGGCACCACTTAGTGAGAGCGGCGAAGATGCAGTAAAAACGCGCAGCTGAACGGAGTTAAAGTGTCTCTTGAAGGCACATATATAACAGGGTATATTGCAAGTCTATTCGCATAGTCACGGAACCGGACGTTTCAACGCGATCTTCCATCGTTGCTGGTGCTAAAGACTGTCGCTAACGGCGAAAGCGATGAGTGGCACGGGTGCAATCCAGTCAGGATTCAACGTTGCCTCAGACACTCTCCGACGAGGTTATACCGTAGTATCACACGGAGTCTTGCTGTGTCTTTGTGACTCAAGTTCAAGTCGAGGTGCTGTGCTGTGAGTGACACATAGATGATGGAGGCGCGGCGGCAGGGAGAAGGCATAGTTGTTGGCACGACCTGGCGGAGTCGCTGACAATGCCGTTTCCAAGCGAGAGAGCTGAGTGCTGGAAACAGCTTAAATTTGTACACATCACTCATGAAAATAGGGCACACGTGTGCTTCGACGGATATGAGTGAGTGGCTATGAAAGGGGTAGGCAGTGCTAGGGCGCGAGGACTTTCCTACTTGCGATGCACAACCGCGCCGGTCGCTGATATTCTGGGGCTCTGCGCACTCATGCTAGAAACTAAGGAGAGAAGGCTTCTTCTTCTCTTGCCTGAGGAAGTCCCTGCTGTTAAGAACAGCCTAATGTTAGAGTGTGAATGGACAAGAGTTGCACCGACTAAAAGTATGCGAGTGTGACACAGAGCACGGCCATGGATGTATTTGCATTTCATACATGCGCTAGAATTTAGACTGCGCCAGACTTGCTCACGGTCATGGATCTCAGGTCATGACGACCGTAGTATTGCACTGATGTCTGGATATAGACGTGTACATACGTGCGCGGCAGTTTGGCAGATCATCCTAAGGCACGCCACGCTTCACTTCCGATTGAATTCCTTCCCAAGCGATTCTAGTTGCGTCTGTAAGTGTCGTCATGCTATGCGCAAACTGGAATTTCTATCTTGTCCTGACAATTTACAATACTTGCCATCTCTCACATTTGACTTGTTCACTGTCGAGGCGGATATTCAAGATTGAAGAAAAAGCCGCGAATATAACCCGCTTCAGACTTCTCAAAATGACATCTTACCATGTGCTTTGATCGGCGCCCATACCATCCTTCAAAACCCTAAGAATTTATGTGATATTGCGGCTCCCAACTCCAATGTACTCCAACATGTTTTGTGCATACGCCCATACTAGCATTATCCGCCCCTCAAGCCTGTTCCATCCCCAGTTGTAAGCTCAATTTCCCGGATTTTCTTGCGGCCTTCACGTCGATACTCGATCACTGCTATACATAAGTATACAAAGTATCTGAGTGCTGTTAGTCATAGGTGAAGATATGATGTTAAAGGACCAACTTACAGAATCATAAGAAAACATGTTAGAAACGTACTGGTTACGATCAAACCAAGCGGCACCCCCCTCCCAGAGCGGAAATCTATAGCGATCCAGATACAGCGTATAGCATAAGTCGAATGCGTACTCGCCCCAGTAATTACAGTTGCTCCACAAGCCAAGCGTAGTGGACCATGAAGCAAGCTGAATGCTGGCCATAATGACGGGGTATACTAACGTGATTTTTTGCACGCGGTAGAGCGCGGAATTGACGGAAGCGAGTATTAAAGTGACAATAGGGGTAAGAATGTACAACGGGATTGTACCTCTTAGATTCTTTCAGTCGTGAGTCAACCCGATGCAGAATAGGCAACTTACCTTTTGACGGGGAGTTCATCTTCCGTTATTCGAAAGTGGTCGGCTCGAGGCGCACGCCAAAGCACGATTATCAGGGCGATGTTGACTCCTAAAAGAAGCAAACTAAGGCCGAACGCGGTCGACTCCAGGACAATGCGCCGGTGGTAATTGTACATCTTTCCCGTTTCTTAAGTCTTCGGAGGTATGCGTGAAGAGAGACTTGCAAAACTGCAACTGGTAATGCGTGGGAGGTCGAAAGGAGCCGTATCACGGAAGTCTGGGAGAGCGGTCCTGGAAGACTAGGTATGGGGCACGTAGTCTTATGCGACACTTGGACAAGTTCGCAAGTGTTTCATATATCAATGGTTCACACAAGTCCCTCTTCAACGAAGCGCAGCTGAGTGGCTTAGTGCGGCGAGATCGGTTACACCCCGACATGCGGCACAGCATCCTCAACGAGCAGCAGCGCCACGGCGAGAGGCATCCATCTCTGGCGAACAAACTCAAAACAAGGCAAAGACGATGCAGGCTCGAACGAGCGGATTGGACTCCTGAATAACTCCGTCAAAGCTCCTTTCAGCAGGAACATTGGTTCTGGGGTCATACCTTAGGGCAGCTAGCAGCGACAGAGTCCGTCGACACTGGGACGCAAATCCGCTTGCCTACACATGCCTGGTCTATATATACATGGTGTGCATATAGAGTTCCAAGTCGAGTGCTTCGGGGCTAAGAAATTAGCCACAGGAGCTAGGCAGAGTTCGCGTCAGTGTTAAGATTATCTAGAAGGATACATATTCAACACAATAATCCGGAATGCGGAGACTACCTCTCCGGAGAGGAGAAGCCTTGCCTTTGAATCTGTTAACAAGGGCCTGAAAGCCACAAGTTCAGGCTGGTTTTCCGATATAACCCGATAATACACATGGGATGCGCACATTGATAGGCTTCAGTCTTGAGAATGCATGCGGCGTCGGAAAGTTCAGACAAACAGTGGCATTCATTGAGGCACTGACGGCGGCCTTATCTCTGAGCAGTCTGGAATTGCTGGGATCTTAATTTAGACAAGCGAAACCGTTCTCTTACTTTCGAAGAGTCATACGACGTTGAGATGCTGAGTACAGCTTTATAAAGGTGAAGATGTATTAGCCTAGATGTGATGCTGAAGTTGAAGACTACAGGCCTGCGGCATATAAGTGCGAGTTTCCACGAGTTCTCAGGCTTGGATTGTTTGAAAGTCAGCAGATATTTTCGTCTGCGGCGGTATGAGCACAGCGTCTGTTTTGAGGCAACCGGCAGCTGCAAGGTTTCAGCAGTCCATGAGGTCCTCTCGCCTCACCTGTAGCTGGAATACAGCGCCGTACGGGGGCCTAACATCATCAGCCTCTCTAACGACAATCCCGATGGACGAGAATTGAAGGCCTAAAGCTGTGCCGCCGGACTGTTCCATCTTGAAGCAATGCAAAAGGATGCCACAGTCTCTGACCACTGTGTCATTAAAGTAGGCCTCGCTGTCTCTATACGCCTTTGTGGCGCCTCAAAACACGATTAAAACGAGCTCGTATCTGATACATTCTCTGTCGACCGAATTATTATCTCTGCCAAGGTTGCTGATTCAATATGTTTCCTTTCTATCTCGCTCTTCTGTTGCCTATGATTCCTTCCGGGTGGTGTTACCCTTATCCGGGAATGCGTAAGGGTCGCAGTGCCCTTGGGCCATCGAGCCTTTTCGGTGAAAATATCTTTGAAGAGCTCCTGGAGAAAATGAGGCAGCGTAAGGCGGAAATCCCTCCCAGGCCTCCAGGCGTGGACCCAGCCGCCTTTCATGCGAGCCAGTTCGACAACTTCGACGCTATAGCGGAAAAATATGGCTTTGACGACTTGAATCCTGCTGTTCAGCACGCCCCAGTGTTTCTGTACGCTAGAACTGACCCGACCATGGTACGTTAAGGTTTTCGAATCAAGTCGGACCTTCTCACAATCCTTTAGGACCCATGCTATCCAGAGGGTGCGTTAAATCATGGAAGTTGTGGGAACGGTCCCAATCTATGGCACACATCCAAGCGCTTCCATCAATCCGGGTGCTGACTGCAGGAATCCGGGGCCCTAAACAGGAGGTAAGGTCTTTGGCCATCGTCTGTTGTACACCTTTTAATTTTGCCAGCTTATTCTAAAGGGGGTAGCTTCCCAGTCTACGTGAGCGCAGCTTACTGCCCAGATAAAGAAGGCCATTCTTCTGAGGGAGAGTGGAGAATCAACTACGACGTGTATTATGTGCACGATTCGCACCTGTTTCAGGGACATAGACATGACTGGGAAGGCGTGGCCATTGTCTTCAAGATGACCGTAATCATCCGCAAGTCGGCCCATGCTAAGCTGGTACAAAAACAATACACTGACACTACCTTAGGAATGAAAATTGGTACATGGCTTCAGCTGTAATCTTCCACCGACACGAGCACTACGATCGATACGACTGGAAGGATATACAGACAGTCTTTGGGGAAGAAGATGTCCGAGAAGAAACCTATGGTACTTTGAAGAAGCATCCGAAGGTCTACGTAGGGTTTTTCTCTCACTCAGCATTTCGCGACAAGTGTGATCTTTCGGATGCATGTACACAGATCAATCCACAGCCGCGTAAGTCGTTGGAATCTCTCAAAGAACGCTTGTTTACTGACTGTAAGACTTAGCGATGAGTAAGAAGGAGTACCGTTCAAACGACTGGTACCGTCTCGTCAACAGTACGGACCTATACATTTACAAGACTGTCCATGCTGATTGGAATTACGGCAAGGCAACCTCTACTCCATGGAAAAATCATGACATAATGTGCACATTTGCGGCGTAGCGCCCAAAGAGATCTGGAGAGTTGCTTCGACGAGGGAGATTCAATCGCCGAGGGGGAATTACTGCGGGCAGCCATTCTAACCGACTCGTATGGATGGAAGAAGTGTTGCTAGGCGCGTTAGTAATTGTAAAGACACACAATTTCCGATTTGTTTAAGCCACAGTTGTTACCGGAAATGACGCCTGCTCCATGCATTGCTGGTGGAGCTGCCTCCAATGATGAGGAATAGTCAAAGAACCCTCCATCACTGACTGATTCACGTGGGGCGCTACCGTTCACGACGCAACATGTCGCTTGAAATTACCTTGACCTCTTGTCAGGAAGACGGCGCCCACTCTCTCTTTTGGGGCTTCTGCAAAACTCAAAATTCACTGGCAGCTTCATGAATTTTGACGCCACTGTTAGTCAAGAAAGGAACACAAGAGCTGAATGAGCTCTAGCTAAGATTCGCCTGGGAAGCACAAGGGTACATGCTTCACAATTTACATTTCCCAACCCTCTCCCCACGCAGCAACCATGAACTCCCTGTTCACCACACCTCTATTTCTCATCCTCTACAAGCGCAACTCTTGGAAGCACCAACTCCTCTGTCGAAATCAGTGTACTCAGATGCCAGTTAACCATCTCTACACCATTCCCTCCTACCGTCCCACTAACACCTACGAGCACTGCCCGTGGATAAGACATAAAAGAGTAATTCTTGGCCGTTGCAGCGTCGAACTTCCCCACTGTAAAGTTTGTCGTCTGACTTGGGCTCTTGTCTCCAGATGCTGTCAGCCAGATCCGCAGACCTTTGAGATTGTCCATGTTATTGACCTCCCGATGCTGATTGCTCGATAGAGTGATTATCGAGGTATCCCCTGGACTTAAATATAACCTTTTCTCCTGAGCACCAGTGTGGTTCTTGTCACCAACGCTCATAACAGCGTTATTGGTAAAGTGCATATCCATACCCCAAATCTCATTATCGGTCGCCCAGAACTTTAGTGAGTCGATCACAGCGCGGTGCCGCAGCTGGTGCGTACAGAAGGGGCTTCCTTGCGATTCGCCGAAGTGCGCAGTTGACCAGGCTATTTGATCGCATTTGGACATTGGGAGGTTATTGAGAGAGATGGCGGAATCGTTGGAGAAGTTGGTTGCGAGCGAGGGGGTTAGGAGCGTGATGATAGCGAGGGTGGTTACAGGTGCGTTGCTTAAAATCATTTTGAACAGCAAAGGTTGATGCTTAGAATAACTCTGAACGTGCGACCGCGATACTATAGAATATATGAAAAACGAAGGGAACTGTCTAAAAAGGTGTGTCGTGGACACGGAGGAAGTTATATAGTTCAGCAATCCTGACTCACCCCCTTCATTGTCAGAAGTTGCACCTGTCATTGACCCCAGAGTCACAACGCACTTTGTCCAGAGAACATGACTTGTGTTTGGGGCTTGGAATATTGGCTATACAAGTTGTTGCAATTCCCCATCGTAGTAGACATTGTGGTTGCATCAAGTCGGCGAGAGGCATCGGAGATAATAGAGAAGGCAGCCCGAATCCGCGCTGCCATGATTGCCGAAGCACCGCTTATATCTAAGCCCTATACCGGACCCTTCGGGACCGCCTATGCGAGATTAGCTTGACTGCCCAAACTCCACAGCTGGGAGGTAAGAGTGTCAATGCGACTTACACCAAGTCCACGGTCCCGTTCGCTGGGGATTCAATTAGATAGTAGCTGATCTGCTCAATGCCATTCATGCCATAGCGCCCACTGATCCCCGCCAAACCTGTGTACTCCCGCGTATCGGGATTCATCGCCCCTGTGTTGTTCGTGTTGCCTGCAAGAAACATCTGGCCGCTGGACAGCTCAACGCCAATGCCTTGTATGGAGCCAGCTTGAGGGGGGACGCTGGCCGTGACATGTCTTATGGTGTCATTTTGGGTGATGCTCACTTGTGTATGAGAAAGTGCGGTTGTATTGGAGACCCCCACTTGGGATCCCACAATCCTGGTGACGTTGTGAGGGAAGTAGATCTGAAGACCGAACACATGGTACTCATCGAACCACGCCTCGAGACCAGTAACTACGTCGCCGTCCATTCCCGTTGCACAGAAGTTGTTGCTGGTTGAATTTCCAAATTGGCGGGAATAGTACCCGTTCAATTTGCTTTCGCATTCGGTGATATCTGTATACGCGGCGAACAACGGGGACGTAGCCGTGGCAGAATGCAGTAGGGCCATCAAATCCAATACTAGGGGAAGATAGATCATGGTCGGCATGGTTTTTGTTCCGGTGTTGTGAGACGTAGTGGCTGGTGATTTGATTGAATAAATTGATCAAGAAAACGGGGTGTAGATCACCGCAGATGGTTAGATAAATAAGCCGAAAGAGAAACCACCTAGGCCCTCACACCTGAGGCCATATTACCTTTTATATACTCCTCCCAGGCATTGCCATTGTTTATCCGAATGCCACGTATTTCTAGAAGTCATGCGGCGTTGGAAGAGGCACCTGTAAACTGATTGCGAAACGGACTTCACGATCAAGGATGAGAGTGGCAAGCTCCACCACTATTGCAACATTTCCAACCTGTCCTCTTTCCCGAGACTGAGAGGAACTGGAGGGAAGTGGCAATATGCGGCGCAGACGGCGAGGCTGCAAGGGGCAGGCGCGGTGACTTCATGCCTGGAAGGACCTAAGTAGCGCAAATCCATCAGATCCGTAGTTGACACATTGAAACGGACTGGTGTGTCGCAAGAAGATGGACTATAGAATTGACCATGTGTTCATTTAATCCTAAGGGACAACTTGGCGCAGTGCATGTGGCACCGATGAGTCGATGACGACGGAGACGAATTGCTAATCTACACTTATTTTTTGATGATATTGGCGGAGTAACATACCCAAAGTAAACATAAATCATACCTCTGATCGCGTGACAGACTTTCCTCCTCCTACACTATGACAAAACCTGCTCCTTCTCGGCCCCAACCCATACAGTCCCCGGAGGCACATTTCAATCGAACGTAACGGCGTTCCTGGTAGTTTGTATTGCTGAAGTGTTGTTTGTGAGATGCTTATTGAACAGCCTTCGTTCCACATGCTGTGGTATTCCGATTTGAGTTCTATCCTGCGAGGGATAACTCACCTTCTTCAGATTCGCAAACCGTTGCGAGTCGACAGCGTCGCGAAACATTCACAAGTTCTAACGCGTGTTACTCCTTCGGCTAGACCATATTCGGATGAACTGGGGGGCGGAATTCAGGATAGATGTAGCACCAAGTGGGAAGCAAGTGTTCCACTGTCGTAGTAGCCGCGTGCACTATCGCACGTTTGCTGCCGAATACAGCCCTTGACAGAAATAGATGCGGCTGAGGCTGGAGATTCAGTGACTAGATGTTGATTTAAAACAGGGCCTTTCTTCAATCACCTAATATCGCTACCTAGGTAATAGTAGTGTTCCACGGCTGGCTGGGAGGCCAAGTCGGCCAGGACCAATATCTATCATAATTGACTTAGTAGTCTGCCAGTCAATGTAATAACACAGAAACAGAACCGTCATCGCCGACTATACATAGCTAAAATGTCATTGTGCTGCCAAATTTGCTAGTTCATTTGGCGAGGCAGTGCACTATACAAACATCATGGGCTGATGGTGGCTAACGGCACGTGATCAGGTTTCGAAAACCAGTTACGCAAAGCCGAGCGGCACAGCTCACTTCATTTAAGTAGCAATAAACTTCGAGGCTTCTTTGCAACACTCAGTTGCCGCGAATCGTGTTTTGTGAGCCTGTCTAGTCACATTTCGAACCATTCAGATCCTCAGTCTTCTCTAGGTTAGACATAACATCATCGCAACGCATGCTATCGATCTGCCTAGAAGCAACGTCGGCCTCGGTGAAAGATCATTACATCGACATAACGTCATAAAATCAAGCCTTTCTAGCACCCACCGTTATCGCAGCATGAACGACCCGCAATCACCACTTGAGATCTTTCGGTCCCATTTCCACGCCTCACAAGCCAATCAAAGCTCTTCAGCATCTATCTCAGAAGCCGCTTCAGATTCTCTAGCATTTTACGTAGTGTCGTACCCCGACCACGCTGAAGCCCTTTACAAATCATGCGAGGCCATCCAAGAGTTCGGTCTCCACAACCCTCAAGGCATCGAGTCCGCCTTGCAGACTTATGGCATGATGGCTGCAATACTACCAGATAAGGTAGAGAACGCATACGGAAAAGGAAAAGCGGCTGCAATAGGCCAGTTGAAATGGCGGTTTATCGAAAGAACCGCGCAATTTCCTTCAAGGGGGAAGCAAGCCATAAGACGCTGGGCGCGAGATGAGGTTAGCGGCAGATTTTGGTCAGGAATGCGACCAGCCATCCATCAGATTCAGCAGCGCAGAGGTGCGCCAGGCATTTTCCAATGTCCTCGCCCGTGTCCAAAGCTTCAAGGAAAGGAGGAATGATCACATCGTTGCTCTGGCAATGCTGGGACGGGCGCATGCCATGGATATTGCGAAGATCAACCGTGGTCAATTTTTCGGTGACCATATCGCAGCTCTTGTGGACACAGCATTGCTCCTGGAGCAAAGGTCAAGTCCAGAGTGGAGAAAGGTCGATTTCGTGGCTGAATGTGTGCTCTTGGGGTCGTGCGCGAAGGCGTTGTTTGAAACTAGCCAAACGATACGAAGGAGCGAAAATCTGAGAACTGAAGGGAAGGTCCCGATTTCTGAGTTAAGATCTAGAGCTGAGTGATGGTGCGTTCGCGCATCGATATGGTGGTTTTGAGGCCATGATACATGCAGCGGTATGTCTATCGATTCCCATTTTTCAGTCGTGGAAGCTGATCTGATGTAGAAAGTTCTAGAGAACATCACCCCAACACCCAGAGATGAGTCAAGCAAAACGTTGTTTGTGTGGAATGACTGGGTGTTCTAAGGGTTGGAGCACACCCGATATGCCAGTGGTGCGCTTATTGCGCTATTGCACCTCAACTAGATTTGCATACCGACGATACAACACGACACATTGAACGGCTCAGAGAGATGTTTCTCGAGGCCCGCTGCCAATGGTGATGGAGCCAGTATGTGAGGTGTCAAACACGATTCCAGTCTGAACACTCAAATCTTCCTCTATCAAGAAAGACTGGCTGCTAGACAGCCTGGTAGAGTGAGTCAATGAAAGCTTTCAGTTTCTCTCTCGTCTCATTGGTCTTGTCAGGATTATACTTCTCGTCCAACACCAACTGCTCTTGATCTGAGAGCTTAGGAAGATATCGCCAGATGGGTACGAACTTCCTGTCATTCTTGGACAGATTCTTGAAGGCATTTTTCATGTTGTTGGAAGCTCTAAGCGGATCTGGGCCGCGGGGATCACGCGGAGCAAGCAACCTCTCGCAATAGATCAACACTCCTGCTATCCCCGCTGCCACAGCTGTGGCGATCGAGCTTCCGGACAAACCCGCCTCTAGTTTTCCCCACAGCTTTGTTTCAGGAGTGAGCTGCGGAGATTCTCCAGGCAAGAGGAAGTCACTCTTGCTCTCTGAAACCCAGGATAGTACAGTACCGGTTGCAGTTGCGGCCCCGATCTTGATGCAACTCGTGTTTTTGCCTGGATAGGTGTTGTCAGGCGCAGTGGGACCTTCGTCAATGGAAGAACAGAACATGCTGATGCCCTGATTGGCGGCGTCTTGGAGAGCTTCATCCAAGCCCTTGTGTTGACGGTCATCAGAGCGAATGGACCAACTCATGGAGATAATATCGACATTTCGCTCAATGGCCCACTCGATTGCCTAGCGGTCGCGGTCAGCCGTATAACAGGGCACCGGCATAATCTTTATGGACTCACCTCCGTCGCCGACTCTGGAGTGAAAGACCTCCGACCGTTCTGTCCAGGTAACACTTCGAGTTGAGCAATGTAAAGCTTGACGACTGGGCAGACTTTACAGATGAGCTGCGCCATCAACGTTCCGTGAGGCCCCGACGGTACGTAATAAGCTCCAGCGCGTCCAGAAAACTCGCTCAGAGGTGCGAATGATTCCCCACCTTGAATTCTGCCGGAGAAAATGTCCAGTGCTGTATTGATCCCGTCATCAATGATAGCAATTTTTATGGGATCAACGGGATGACTTGGTTGGGCTTGCTCGAGAAACGCACCGAACTCCTCCACAGATTTCCACCACTTGGATTCGCTGTGTTGTTGTCAGTCACCATGTCCTGCTTCGTCTACCATGTACGCCGCACTCTAGTGGTAGACTGCGGATACTCACGTTATTCTCTCGGTCCCCTGCTTAGCGAACACGTCGTCATAATTCTGGCTGGGGGTGTGACGCTTCCATGTAAACACAACGTCGGGTTTTTGTTTTTTCAGTTCTTCCCCGAACGTCTTCATATAGGCCTGCAGCCGCTTCGGTCTTTCCAGCCCCTGTAGAGTGCACAGAGTCAGCCACCACCTTGCCGCAGTCCGGGAGTTGTACCAACCTCTTGGACATTGATATGAACGACTTTTAGCTATGAGGATAGCAGCGTTAGCGTACCAAAGCTCTTTGTGGTAAAGGAGCGGTTTGAGGGGTACGGTAACTCACTTTCGGAAGCATAGCAAGCCCGGATGAACTGGACCACCCCATCAAGACAGCATTATTTCCTGAGGAGTATAACGTGACATTTGTCACGTTTCTCGCAGAATTCAAGATAACTTGGCAAGACAAATCGACCTTGTACCAGTTCCACACACGGACGTCGAAGCCAGCCATGCATGCCTCAATCGCTTGATCAGAGTGACATGGTTCCAAGTCATCTACCACTGTCACCTTCAGGATAGACCCTACATGGTTCTCTCTGAGCCACTTAAAGATCGAGTACATATCGGTCCGACCCTTTCCCTTTCTACATGATGTCACAATCAGCAAGCTCAAAAATGGTGGATGAAGGACAGTACATTTTGTCGACCGCCTGGGGTTCTCCATTCTTTCCCGGTTCCTTCGAGTCCGTTTTATCCTCCGGTAGGTCCACCTCCTCGTCGTTTTTAACAATAAGCCGCGGAATGGCAACTTCCTTGAGTAGGCCTTCGAACCGTAGAACGTTTCCCAACCCGTCCAGAAAATCCGAGTCCACACTGGGATGAGGCAAGCCGACAAGATTGAATTCGAGGACTCGCTCTGCGAGAAGAAGAGGAAGAACTGTATGAGCAACATGCAACCATACCGGCTGGACTAGGAAGATGCTTACCTTCACCTGGCCTATACAAAGCCTTCATCGCGTCTCGACGGCCATAGTTGCTCACGATGTATTCTCGCATATAATGCAACACAGGGTCCTTGACGATTTTGTCTTGACGCTCCTTGTCATCCCTGAGTCCACTCACATCATTCCTCTCCGTCATAGGGTCTCCGTTGGTGAGCTCGCTTTCCACCACGTCCGCATCTTGCTCTTGGTAGGCATCCAGGCGGGCCTGAAACGGGGTGCTTCCCTCTTCATGCTTCTTCAGTAGAACATCAGGTCTGGCCTTGATCAACTTTTTTACGATAGCCAACAGATCGAAGCGTTTTGGTCGATTCGGAAGCGTTCTCGGTTGCTCCTTCGTCGTCGCAGCACCAAGGAGATTGCCGACCGCTTCGCGGAAGCGTTTGACGTGCGGATCGGAAGCGTCGTCGAGGATGTCGAGTTTGCGGACGCCTGTCTTGAAGAATTTGTCCGCTTCCATGACCGGACAGGTCACGATAAGGCTATCGCGCTTCACCCGTGTCACATGCGGTGGAGTCGAGTTTTTGGCCTCTACCTCACTGATTTGCGATGGGGATTCAACTCTATTTACTACAGATCGTTTTTGTTCTCGCAGAGCAGCTTGACATCGGTCGTACTCTTCGTCGTCGTCTGGAGTTGGGAGCCAAGATGTGGCGGCGAAATGGAGCGGTGTCATGCCTGGACACCCTCTCTGGGCATCCCTGATATGATCTGTGGAACAAGCAGTAAAGATATCGTCAAGCGGATTGATGCCGCCGTCGCTACTAGATGCATTCTTATTGTCGTTGATCGAACTGTGTTGGTTGCGCCTTTCTGTGTCGCCTGTTTCCATAACCTTGTCAAGGATGGCCTCGGTGAATGGGCTCCTGTGCCAGATGGCCCGATGGAGACAGGTCAGGGCCACCATGGAGTAGTCCTCAAGCAGAGCCCGTACTTCGCTAGCCCGTTCCAGCACCATAAAGACGAAAGCGTGGTTCTGATTCATCAGTGCCAGGTGAAGAGGCTGATAACCCCCCGCGTCTCTGCATTGCAATAAAGGCCGGTAATTCTTGATCGCCCAAGCCGTGAAATCTGCATAATGATGAAACTCTCGGCCGTCCGTGTCTTTGGCTATGATGTGCAGCACTTCATCCTCAGCTCTTCCACCACCATAGGTACTACTCCCCGTCGTTTGGCCCCTTTCAAGACGCTTCAGATGCTTATCTCTGAACGGTCCGTAAGATGCACTGTCCTGAAAGTCAATTTTCAGCTTCTTCACATCGTCGACGACATCTTGAGCAGACGTGATAGGATGTGACTCCGCTTTCCGCATCCCCTGCAGGAAGCCATATGTTACCTGCGGCCTCCTTGGAGGCGCAAAAGAGGGCATGGCTGCGAAGAGAAGTGTGTTGCAGTACTCCTGGATTAGCGAAAAGGAAGGTGGAACTTGAAGAGTCGAGCAACACGATCTTGCGCTCAGAAATTAGGCTGTCCTTGAGGCTTTTGGCGTTACTAAGCTCGTGCCAAACCCATGGGGGCCTTGCCGTTCCTGTTGGTAGGGAATGCAATGTAGTGTGGTTACACGGCAGGATACATATATATACCGCGCCTCCACCTTCGCCGACCACCCCTACCAGTGTGGAATAGCTTTACGCACCAGACCTGGTCGAGAGCGGTCCTTGGCATAGTGCGTGTTATCTGGGAGGACGAATACTCCGGCTGCAGCTTCTGTCCAGGTGCCGTCCAGTAAGATTATTAATGCAGTTATGGGAGTACGGGAACGTGAATTGCGACAGCAGTATATCTTGCGGGCCATTGCACCCTTCCGGCTATCTATCCGGAAGCAAGGTAGTTGTCAGCTTTGCCCACCATCCAAGGTGATCGTAGCCAGAACCATACGACTACGATTACAGTCCCAAGGATCATTTTGCTTTCCTTACCGCCGGCTATGACCGACATGGACCTCACGTTTGACCTAATCCCCGAGGGGGGTGCTAACAGCTTTCACTTGCTCAATGACGATGACGAAGTTTTCCGAACCATCTGGGCTCAGACGACCAACAATGAAGCGCCATTGAGTGTGCGAGTCAAGCTTGCTGAAGTACACCATGGCCGGATGGTGCACGAGTCGAAGAGCTACGAGGCAACACTTTTGGTTTTCGAGATTCGGTTCGAGAGCGTGCTGCAGGAGCGCAGGTACAAATCTGCCCAGGTCACCTTCGAATTCTTCGACAAGGAAGGAAAGGCCAGACGGGATCCCCATGTCGTCAAACTGGCGCCCGAAAACATGCACTGGCTGAACAAGACGACCAAGGACAAGACGAGCAGCCGCGAGACGACCGTGGGAGCTAGGGTCGGCCCGGAAATAGCTGGTGCGGAAGCCAACACGCGCTGGACGGTCGAGTACACGGAGCCAAAGAAGTTCAAGGCGACGCTGGCCGGGAAGCCGCATTTCAGCAAGGGTCGTCTCTATCACCAGAACCATAATGCTGTCACATGGACGATGCAGGAGAACCAGAATGAGCAGGACGGCATCCCCTCCTTTCTGCAGACCGCGGTGCTTCTCAAAAGAAGTCACAGTGGGCCCTTTTACGCCAAGCTGCGTATCAAGAGCAGCGTCGACTTCGTTGCCCGTCTGCGTCGCGCCTTTCCCTTCACCACCGATCAGGACAGGCGCATTGATCCCGTGGTGTTTACACCCGGTAGCGTTCAGATGCGGAACTCGAGCATTACCGGTATGACCGACGCGGATCTCAACCACATGCACGACCTGCCCCTCCCAAACTACTTCAAGGTCAGTCTCTCCGAGGAAGACTCTCTGACTCCACCAATTGCCGACAGACCGAGTCACACTGGGGTTGTACAGCTGCCACAACAGGACCCGTCAGCTGCCAAGTCGACAGTGTCCCAGGCGAGCATACCTTCGGAGGAACATTTGGAAGAGAAACAGCCAGCTCCCGAATCAGCTGCCGACAGGGACTCAGCTTCGGGTATATCAGCTCCTGATCCAGGGGCGTCCACCGAGAAAGTGAAAGAGGTGAAGGCCCTGGGATTGCCTTCTTCAACCCTCACCAGCTTGTCGGCGGTTGGACAGTCTGTGGCTGAAGCTGCCAATAAAGCAGCAGAGGCAGCACGAGCGGCAGCTCAAGCTGCATCTGCTGCAGTCGAGGCCGCAAATAGGGCGAGAGTCGCTGCGGAGACAGCTGCATTGGCTGCAGCGGAAGCCGCCTTGATTGCGGTGGATGCGGAACGTGTGGGGGCTAGAATCAGGGATTGATGCGGGTGCTGACCCATGTCGAGGAGGAGAAGTTTCCCATGATTGGCGCACTTGCATTAGTCTACCTTACTCGGTAGTACGAACACTCTGCAGTACCATAGGAGGTACAGGGTCTATCTGACATGCATACTCAGTACATATGTCCATGCAGGAGACCTCCAGTTTCGACGTCTCGTATCCCAGCCATCGACGTTCATGGATTCCTAAGTCGAATATTGTGGTCTGAAATATTTCCAATTCTTTCAGCTCTGCTTGAGTCTCGAGATTGATGTCATCCCAGGTGAGGCCTTGAATCACACAGTACCCTACTGTAAATCACAGCTGCCACCGTGAATGCGTCTGGTCGTTTGAGCACGTTCTTTTCCAGAATCGTGGCAGACGCCGTCTGTTGCTTCCACATGTCTCTGTATGTCCGCATCCCGCATCATCTCTTCTCAGCCTCCTCGTGCCCCTCTCCCCGTTCTCCTTCTCGTCGATTCCTTGTGCAGCCGGTTTTCACGCCATCCGTGCTGACTTTGTCTTCTTATCGCCCAGCATCGTCCTCATTAACGGTTTGAATGACTCTGCCGAGTCAAAGGCGCAAAGAGATTCACGACGCACTCACCTTCTCTCGACTCTCGTTCCAGACACCGAAGTGAAGTTTTTTGACTTCCTCGACAATGAGATTGAATTTTTGGATCACTCGTATCTCCGGAAAAGGAGTAGGGATATAATCAGCTCCTTGCAGCAGTGGGAAACTGCTCGATCGAAGGTTCTACAATTCAGATTCACTCTATTCTTCGCTGATCAAGTGCTAGATCAATTCGACGCCGGTCGCTGTTGTTTTTCTGGCGCACACGATAGGGGCTACCCTTGTGAAGCAGGTTGAGCCAACCATGTCCCAGCCAGAGAGGGTAAAGAAAACTAATTTGGAGCGAGATTCTTCTTCTTGCCTTGGCGCACTCTAGCTACCAATGGCTGGCCTTTGGAGCTGCAGGACTTGTATGTTCTGACCTAACCATACGATAAATCCAAACTCACACGAAAAGCACTTTTTCGAATCACCATCTTTCACGGAGCCAGGGCTGTGGGACCGCTTTTTGATTCAGGCTCTAGCTATCGGGGACATTCGCGGGCCCACGCCCTCTCAGTTGTTTTCGGTCTTACCCGATGCGCTATCCAAAGTCGAGCAGGAATTCGCCTCAGCCTCGCAAGGCTTCAAAATCATTCTACACGAGGAACCCCAGCTGCGGAATGTGAGTACTCTGTCGAATTGAAGGTACGTCCACTTACACCTAGGAGTACGATGATGGACGTACTCGCCTTTGGGCCTTTGATAAGAATGATTCGAGCCTTCACGAGGTCGTACAGGGCATAAGGGAGGACTTCAGAAGGAAAACCATCGGTATGCTCATCTCAAACCCTTGTACTAAACCCCGCTGTTGTTCTTGAATCGTTACTCTTCTCTTGTCCTAGTAGACAATATGACTGACGTCGTTACTCCTGGTAGGGATGCAAAAGGGGTTCCAACTCTTGCAGCGTCGGTTATCGCCATCCACAATTTCACTGGGTCGTTTAAAGGCCATGGTCACCAATACAGAGTCAACAAAGTGGATATTGACTGATCCGACCTACAAAACGTGGATGTCAAGCACAGCTCCAGCCGTCTTGGGCATAGCCGGCGCCTCTGGTTCTGGAGGCACCCATGTCTCTTCTCATGTCACTTCAGCCTTGACAATGGTCAAGGAAGTTTCCGAGATCTTAATCCTGAGCTTTAATTTTGCTCGCTGGGATTCAAGAAGAAACTCGGAGCAAGCTTTTCTCTCCTCACTCATTCGGCAGCTGCTGACTTTGAGCCCTCAACTTTACCGAACGGTGAAAACCATCGCTGAAATTCTGCTAACAAAATCCAATTTTACTTGCAGGCAGCTTCTGGCTATCTTGGGCTCTCTACTGTCGAGATTGGACCCACATCGAAAGGTGTTTCTGGTGATCAATGCTGCCGACCAGTGTCTCCAACCTCTTGAAAAGGAACTTGCATATCTCCTTTCAACTCCATCCATCGCAGAATCACTGAAGATTGTGGTGACGACCTCTACACCACTTAAGCTTCCAGAGAATATCCCGTATCACGAGATATCTCTCTCGAATGTTAACGTATCAGACTCTATCCGGGGCACCGTGAAACAAAGGGTGGCACGGATCATGATTCTAAAACCGGCTTGGAAGGATTCCAAAGAGGCCATTGTTGAGAGACTGTGCGCCGAAGGCTGCACATATCTCCAGGTAATGCTGAACTTGGCCATGCTAGAACGAAATTATACGCCCTCGACGAGGAGGGGAATCCGACAGTTCCTCTCCAACAAAGTACCCCAGCCACAAGAAATCTTCAAGATAGCTGTGGGCGGATTGAGTCAGGGTGGATCAGAGACCTTATTGTTGAACTGGGTCTTCCATGCTCTGCGACCACTTACAGTCACTGAGCTGGCGGTGGCGCTGACGCTCACCGCCAACAAGGAGGTCACAGGGGAATCGATATTTTTCACCATCTGTGAGGAAGTCTCCTCAACGGTAGTGAGAGATATTGTGAACTCGCTTGCGGCAATTATCAAGCTCGTGGATGACGAGGTCATGCCTATCCACCACACAACTCGCGCATACTTCGAGGCAGAGAAAGGATTGCTCATACCGAATTTCCATGAGTTGGCGGCAACGCGTTCTCTCGCGTACTTGTCCGCATGCTCGGGAACCTCTACCGCAGCTCCAACTGGCGCCGATGACCTCAGCCAACCTTGTGGAGAAATTGAGGTGGCTAAGGCATTCTTAGACTACGCTGGAACCTACTGGGCGGAGCACTACAAGCTTGAAGCTTCGCCGACAACGGCCTTGAATAACGAAGTCACCCGGTTTCTTAAGTCTGCTACAGACGCCTTCAACGACTGGGTAGAGAAAGCCGAAAAGGTGTTTCAATGGCCTAAAGACGCCATTAACGCAAGTGACGCGTTGCTGTTGGCAACCCAGCTGGGGTTCCAGCCGGTCGTGCTTCAGATGATCAAGGACGAAGAAGACAAAGGTGCACTTACACCGGATCGAATTGTAGCAGCCTTGGCTGCTTCAGCACGTACGATCAATGACGATGTTTTCCATGATCTACTAAAAAAGGTCCCTCCTGATTCGGACCTTGCGCCAGTCCTTTGTGTCGCAGCAGAGTACGGGCATACTGAGATTGTCCGTTTGCTCATGGGACGTAATGATGTTGTCAGCTCTCTATCAGAGAACAAATGTCGGGAAAGCAAAGCTCCTTTACTTCTCGCAGTTGAGAACGGTCACACGGCGACTGTCGAAATCCTTCTATCACATGGCTATCCTATAACCATTTCTGAGGATTTGGATCAAGACGGCGAGGTATCCAGCTCTCGGACGAATGCGATACATCTTGCGGCGCAATTGGGGGATGCTGAAACATTACTGCTCCTGCAACGTCTGCGGCCGGACGAGTTCCGATCCCTCGTGGGCTCTCCAAACGTCGATGGCAAATCACCGTTGCAACTCTGTTGCATCGCAGGCTCATTGCCGGCTTTTGATATTCTCTTCAGTGTTTCTGAAATAAGTGATTTCCAGCTTCATCAACTCCTCTGCGTAGCAGCAGAGTTGGGCCACCTCGCAATTGTGGATCGATTGCTCTCCGTGGGTGCGTCAATTGTTGATAGGACAGAGGGTACCACAACAGGTCCTCTACCACTAGCGGCCGAGAATGGCCATTACGCTGTTGTCCGTAGGCTTTTGGCGGAAGGAGAAAAGCTATTCACCGATACAACAGATAATATGGAAGCAACTGCGCCCGCCACGCTCTGGAAATCACAACTCTCGTCGAGTTTCGGTGTTTCCTTCAACGATAACGACCACTATGATTGCCGGATTGTGGCGCTTTTGGCCCCTTATCGCGACACTTCAGGAGGTAATGATGGAGATGCCATGGGAAAGGCCGTCTATTCTGGCCAGCTTGATACTATCAAGGTCCTCATCGACGCCGGAATCTCAATCCACGTAACCCGAGACGATTCTTCCCGATACAACTGGTTGATAGATAGGGCCATCAGTGGAAATCGTCCGGACAGCATACGATTTCTCTTGGACCAAGGCATAGCTGTTCAGTGGGACGAGATTTACTCAGAAACATCCATACATTATGCAGCTCGTCTTGGCCACAGCCAATGCGTCCGCGAATTACTTAAAAATGCTACCCCTGAAGTTGTTTGGCGCAAGAATGCGAACAACACAACGGCATTCGAACTTGCTGTTGAAACCGGAGACGCTACGGTTGTTGAGGCCTTTCTGGACTGGAAAGATGGCGATGCGCTCTTTGAGCCGCATCATATGGCTCACCAGCGCCGGCCACCAAGAGTCCTCCTCATGGCTCTCAGAAGCTGCAATTTGGATCTCATCCGTCTCCTGCTTAACGCTGGCTGGACTGCAAACGCTGCAGATTCGAGGTCGCAGGATCCACCGTTACACGTTGCCATAGAAGTTGGTAAGGACGACATCATAGAGCTGCTTCTTACGGGATTGACAAATCCCGACGTCAGAAACAATAAAGGAGAGACTGCTCTGCATATTGCTGTCCAATGCAAGTCAGTAACCTCCATCAAGCTTCTTCTCAATTCCAACGCCAACCCCAAGCTTGTGGACAACGAAGGCCTGTCCCCACTTCACCTCGCTGTCAAATTGAAAAACAAGAGCTTGGTTGCGGCTCTCTTAGGGTTTGAGGCAGATCAATTGGTTGATGGGGAAGCACACATGATTGCTGAGAATGCTCTCCCACAAAAGGACAACACTAGAATCCCTCATCAATGGTCGGCAGGAGTGGATGCCGAGATGGGGGCATCTGGACTGACTCCGCTGCTCATGGCGATCGAAAGGGACGATCTCCAGATTGTCCGCATGCTGCTAAAAGCTGGTGCAGATCCAAACGGTCCAAGTGGATCATGGGGTTCGCTGCTAAATGCTGCCCTTTATAAAGGGCAGCTTGCAATCATCAAGGCTCTCGTCGACAGTGGCGCGAATACACGTATCATCACGCGTTCGTTTGGAGGCCCGCTTCATATTTTGAACTTCTCCGAGGCATTCGCCAGCGACGACTCCGGCTTATCGCAAATTCGTCAGATCGCGCATCTTCTACTCGGAAATGGGGCACAGCTAGATGCCCGCGATCATGGCGGTGGCACACCCATTATGCGCGCTATATTCCACGGCAATATGCCATATGCGGAGCTTCTCCTCGAGCTTGGTGCAGACGTGAACACACGAGACGAGCTTGGAATGACGACTATGCACTATGCAGCATCCTGGGCCTCGGATGAACTGATGAAGAAGCTGGTCAGAGCAGTATTGCACCCGTGTGCTCTGGATGCATGTGATCGCAGCCCATTGTACCGCGCAACATTGGCCACGGCGTATGATTATCAACCTGAGAAATTCGATATCATACTTGAAACGATTCCCGCTGAGGACAGACAAAGTCAGCTCGAATCTGCTCTCACAGCGTCGCTGAAGGCTCTGTCGTATGGATTGTTCCGCAAGATCATAGGCGTTGATGGAGTGAATGTCAATGTGCCAGACAGACATGGCTGGACGCCGTTAGATATTGCCATTCAGTCTGATTCACTGAGTTCCGAATATGAAATACTTCAAGGCATGGGAGCGACACGAGGCAGCATGATAAAGAATCCGGCAAGATTTTGTGCTTGCGACATGCACTACGACAATTCCATGTCCCAGGACGGAAGAGAAGCCTGGATCGAAGGTGAGCATTTTGTATCAGATACCATACCTTTCGATGCTGACATGCGCAAATGGAGGACTGCCACATGATTCGCCAATGTACTTTGGGGGTGCAATGCGAGCAGATCATCCTATTCCTCCAAACAAACCTACTTACTTCGAGGTAGAGATTGTTGAACTTGAACCGGGAAAGTACGACCACCCTCCCAATATGAAAGAAGTTTGAGGCGTCCAGTTGTCGCGGTTACTGACTTATTCTGCTTTTAAGTGTCGTAGTTGTGGGTCTTCTTGCGGAGAGTTCCAAGCTCAGTACTCCTGTTGGAACAGACTATGGAACCTGGGGATACCCAAGCGATGGGGGAGTTCTCATTGAGCCACTAGAGGGCGCACCCAGGTACGGGACGGGCCAAACCGTTGGCGTAGCGGTCGACATGGGCAAGAGGACAGCCTGTTTTATCCTAGATGATGTTTGGAAGAGTAAGTGACCCATGGCTCGACGAGCTTTGCACACGACATAGAGTGCGTGGGACTGATGGATTCTCTCGCAACTAGGTCCGCCCTTCAACATCTTTGGGCAACTGTACCCAGCGGTAAGTTTCTACTCCGCTGCTGTGGGAAAATCCAAGGTTAGGATCAACTTTGGGAAGGATATGGGAGGGACAGACTTCAAGTATAAGCTAAATGATGACTGGGCCGATGCTGTTGCACCCGGCATTAAGAATGGCTCTGAGGAAGCTTTGCCAGAATCGACCGCCGGTGAACAGCTGACTGCGGCCGAGAGACAATGAGAATGGAGAAAGCATTAAGCACAAGGAGAGATAGTTTTCTTAACATTGCGCTTTCCTTTTCCATCTACCACACGCACCCGGATAAGTGCACAAGTTTGAGGGGAGGTATTAAGCTCTCCCATAACCAGATCTTTTTGCTCATGGTTGATTTTGCCCCAGAACCACACGTCTAACAACAAAGCGTAGCCCTCTAGAGACTGGCGTGTCTTGATAAGTAGGGATTGATGCACATCTTGAAGCATGTACTTGGAGAAAAAAAAAAAAAAAAAGAAAAACAGAAACTAGTCTGCTGTTTGCTAAACGCTATGCGAAGCGAAGCGAGCCCAGGACTTCCAAGGTTGTTACGTATATTCTACACCGTCCGTTCTTCCACATGTCTCTGTCAGTCCGCACCTCCCCTCTTCCTCTTCTTCTAGCCGATTCCTTATGCAGCCCGTTTTCAGCTCATCTGGGCTGACATCATCCTCTTATCCCACAGCATCGTGTCCAGAGTACCTGTGAACCATCGTAGATTAGTGCCAGTTTCCTAGAGCCATCGTCCCGACATTTTCATCTGAACGAATGCAAGTTTTGCGTTCCAGCTGTCACAAGCGTCTACATCACAAGCCCAACATGTTTGCAGCCGACTGACCAATTATAATGTTTCTTCGCACCGAATACCAAAACTCGGACCGATCCTGTCCCACACACAATATAAATTCCTCTCATCCCCATCCACTGTCAGACAGGGTTTTGCTCAGATCGTAACAAGTGGCCGCCGAAGCCCGTTCCCAGCATCCCCCTTCCACCCTCCCCTTCCACTCAAGCCAACGATGACACCAGTGACCCATTTCCTCTCAGCCAGCAAGCCGATCCACTACCCGCCAAACTGCCGACCGGCGATTGCGGACTGGGAAGAGGATCGTTCGCGAACCGTCCGATGCGACACTTGCTCGATGTCGGCTTCTGGTTCCTGGCAAGAGAGGGAATCGGGTTCTGAAGCGACAATCAAAGTGCGCATGTTAGCCAGAAGGCTAAGCGGGGCGACTTTTGGTGCTCAGAGACTCAACACGATGTCCGCAGGCAATTCATCACCGTCTTCGGCCAGGAAGGGAGGAGGCGGAGGGAAGGGAAGCGAGCGGAGGGGAAGAATGAGGAGAAGAATGAGGGGAAGGGTGAAACGAAGAATGAAGGGATGACCTCAGACTCAGAAAGTAAAAGTTTCCGCAAGTCATCATGGCACTCACCTATTCGAGGCTGACGATATCCCAGCTGAATTACCAAAACCGGTGATATCGGGCATTGGTACCGAGGTATCGGGTCTGTAGGACAGGATCGCCACCTAAAAAGAACAGAATGCCCGTGTTAGCCAGAAGACTAAGACAGGGGGTCTTTTCTGCTCAGATCGTAACAAGGTCAGGCACAAGGCCGTTTTCCATCATCGCGCGAGGCTCCGGTCTTGTTAGATTTCATCATTGCGACCTGCCTTCATGTCCTTGGGTTCCAGCTTTGAGCTACCAAAACCGGTGATGACGGTCATCGATACATAGGTATCGGGTTTGGTAGATGATGAATTGGTACCGGCAGCCATGATGACCAATGATGATAACTCTTAGCCTGAGGTCTAGCTGTTCGACATGTGAGGGCGGTCTTGTACGATTCGCAGAGTCTTCGGACTCGTCTGTGTGGATGTCTAGGGGTATCGGCCGGTGGGGTTCACTGGGTCGTGGGGCGGATTCGCAGAGTCTTAGGGCTCGTGTATGGGGTTTCTGGGGGTAGAGACCGGTGAAGCCTGCTGAAAGTCGTTTTCTTTGAGCAGAAAACTGGCTTCGTGTGCTCGCCGTACACTTCGAGTTGTTCGCGGTCGAGAATCGGTATGCGGCGAGGCAACGTCGATGGAGTATGACTCCGCAAAGGGTTCTATTGTTCATCAGCAAGGAACTGGGAAGAGGCGTGGCAACAGTCGGCGGTATGGTCCGCCAAAGACCTATGTGGTCAGGAGAGGAAGCCGGGGTGGGTAGAAGGGCAAGCAAGGTCAAAAGGGAGCAGAAGAAAAAATCGTGACAGACCTCGGATAGGTCATCATAGTGGACAAGAACAGTAGACAAGACAAGTAGACAAGAGAAGCGGAGGGGTGAAACGGAGGGGAGCAGCTCTTTTATACGCAACTATGAGCATTAACCCATTGCAACACTGCCCCTTCTCAGCCTGTAAAGTCACTTTGCGCAGGTACGAGCCGATTCCACATCGATAAAGGCGGTTGCGCCGCTCGATTGAGGTAGGCGGTGGTGAAGAGCTGAAATACGGTGGAAGTCGCGTTGACTAACTTAGGCAGTGATCGATTAGGATGGACAGAAGTCCGTAAGAGAGAGGGGCAATTGGTTGGAGAAGGAGAATGTCGCAAGGCTACATCAGCGAGCTCTATGAAGAATCCGACACGGAATGGTTGTAAAGGGAACTTGACGGTAGCAAAATTGCAAAATGACAATAAAAGATGGAGGAAGGGGAAAATGGGCGGTCTTCGGAGCGCGAAAGGGGAAGCAGATGTCGACACAGCTATGACACGGGATATGAAAACGGAGCATTGTCTCAAGATAAATAACTTTAAGACTACTTTTGGGCATGATGTTTGAGGGACGATAGTTCGTATGTGATAGTGCGCAGTGTGGGTTTGCATTCAAGCTCCATGCTGGCTAACGAACGCTCTGTGTGGCCCATGTATCCCCCTTCTGCCACGACTGCTTCCGTGACGTTGATCCAAATGTATTCTCGTATATTTCCTTTTCATAGCACGAGCGTCAAAGCTTCGTTGATGAGACATTCATACGTGGACATATGCTAAAGAGATAGAACAATGTGGGGATGCTTCGAGATGGCGCCGACCTACGATAGCGAGGTCCACATGCGACACTTCGATGATGGTGATGATGATGAAGAAGGAGAAAAACAAATCAAGCATGACGTCAACAACCGAGGCTAAAGCTTTCGAATTTGCTTTCTCAATCTTCCTATTTCTATCTCTTGCTTCCTGATACTGTTGATTAGGGTGGCGATTTCGGGTATGGGCCCTTCGACGGCGGAAATGAATGAGGATTGAGAAGAGCGCAGCGCTGAAGGGACGAGGATACCGAACCAGCGGAGAGGATCTGAAGGGGTCCTCTTCTCGGGTTTGGGAGTCTCTCCTGGCTCTTTGGATTCTGCAAGGTTGTCTGATGAGGCGGAGTCGGAGCTGTCGGGGGCCGCTTTCCCTTGTGGAGCGGACTCTGATTTCTCTTCTGAGACATCCGGTTGCATTTTTGACGCCTCATCTGACTCTTGCCGGTTTGAGGTAGAAACTGAAGAAGGCCGCGGGGTGCTGCTAGAGACCGCAAATGAACCCCAAGGGTCATCCGTGATATGCCTGTAGTCCATCAATATTGAACAGATATACAGTTGGTTCCAGGCAAAGACATGGGCAAGGGCACGGGATCTATGAGATCTTACACTGTCCTGATGGCTTGCATGCGCTGATCGTAATAGTCCTGTCCATATCGCGTCCGGGACTGGTTAGCGAAATTTGCTTGGGCGAGAGATAGAAAACCCTGTTTCCGTTGATTAGGTCTGGTTGGGTGGTTGATCAAGATTCTGGAGTTTACCTTCGAAAAGTAGTCAGAAAGCTGTTCTTGTGCTTTCTGATACCTATCCAGCGTATTCAGATACTCCTCCAATAATTCATCCAGTCTTAGCAGCAATCCCTTCTTCTCGGACCCCTTTTCCTCCGCAGCCATCACGGTCACACTCTCAACCTCTGCCATTTTCTCGACTTCAGAATTTCTGGACAAGGTGTCGTTGAAAGCGCTGTCATGGTCAATACACGGTACACGAGAGCCAAACTGTGGCGCGGCACTTCCCCCCGCTAAGCCTAATTAAGCAATTTCCCATTCCATATCATCCATCACCGACATCAACATCAACTCAACCCTCCGCACACCATTGCGGCCCAAACCAGCGATCATGTCACGACCCAACCCCTTCCTCAACCTCTTCCGCCGCTACTACACCCGCCAAACCTCCTCCCTCTCCAATCCCTCGCCTCCCACCCGCCCTCAATGTCTCCGCGAACGCCTCCACCTCCGCCTCTCCCAACACCAACAGCGAATCCTCCCCCTCCACATCCGCCGCCACGCCTCCAACAAAACCGGCGACAACGGCCTCGACCCCAACTTCGTCTCCATCCTCGACGCGCCCGCCAAAATGGCGCGCGTCGGCAAGCAGCACCACCGCGGCGGCCTGCTCTTCCTCGCCATCATCCCCATCACGGCCTTCGCCCTCGGCTGCTGGCAGGTACAGCGTCTGGGCTGGAAAACCGACCTCATCGCCCGCTTCGAGGATCGTCTGACGTTCCCGCCGCTCGAGCTACCCGTCCGCATCGACCCGGATGCGATCGAGGATTTCGACTATCGCAAGGTGTGGGCCAAGGGTGTGTTGAGGCATGATCAAGAGATGTTGGTAGGGCCGCGCATGATGGAGGGGGAGAATGGGTACATTGTTGTGACGCCGCTCGAGCGGACGGACGAGCGGGGCAACAAATCCAAGATTCTGTGTTGTAGGGGGTGGATCAAGGCGGATACGAAGGCGCAGTGGTTTCGGACGGCGTCGGGGGCGTTGCCCGAGGGGGAGGTCGTGATTGAGGGACTGCTGAGGGTGCCGCCGAAAAGGAATATGTTTACGCCGGTGAATCGGCCGGAGAAGGGGGAGTGGTTTTTCCCGGATGTGGGGGAGATGGCGAGGTGGACGGGGAGTCAGGAGGTGTGGGTTGAGGAGACGATGAGTGAGTTTCTCACTACTGAAGCTTGTTGAGGAATTGGGTATCTAATATCTGACAGCGCCTGATTTGCTGGTCAACTATGAGAGAGAGCCGAAAGGCATTCCCATTGGGAGACCGCCCACCGTCAACCTGAAGAACAATCATACGCAGTACATCTTCACCTGGTAAGTCCTGCACCCTCCTCGTACCTCCGTTCAAAGCTCTGACAATCCGCCAGGTACGCGCTAAGCTTAGCCACATCCGTCATGTTCTACATGGTCGTGAAGAAGCCGATATCCGGCATCCAGGCGCGCGTCAGACGCAGCCATGAATGGTCATAGGTAAACCCTTGACCACTTCCTTCACCCATCCTCATCCTCCTCTTCCTGGATAGCTTCCATACGCTTCCTCTTCTGCCTCCTCCCCTTGGCACTCACAGGCTGCATGCGGAGTTCCTGTAGCAACTCCCGAGGCAGCATCTTCTGCGCTAGCGAGAACGCCGTCGTGTTTGCAGAGATCTGACGTTGTCTATTCGTACCATCCGTCAGCTGGCGCACTTCCTGTACATATGTATCATACGTTGTGCATATATGTACGATAGCTCTGTAGAACGGAGCCATTTAAAAAAACAGAGACTTATGACATACCTCTTCATCAAACAAACCACATCCTGCTCCTCCACCACCTTCCTCCCCGCATGCCCTGCATACGCCGCCAAATCCTCGCTCACCTGCTCGAAAAACCAATCCGTCGTCTGCACCAGCACGGCCAATGTCTCTTTATTGATCTTCCCTTTTCCCGTGCCTTGCGACTTGGCCACCATGCCCGTGGCTATGCGCTTGACGACGGCGGCGGGGAAGGAGGGGTATTCGTGGCCGGAGCGCGAGATGTGAAGGGCTTTGCGTTGGCGGCGGTTTTGAGGTGCGTTGGGGTGCGGGGAGGGCGAGTGTGCTAGCAGGCTGCGGTCGATGGCGGAGGGTTCCTCGCGGTAGGCGACGAGGGAGGGGTCTTCCGGTTGGGCGTCTTGGTCGGATTCCCAGTCCGTGTTGTTGTTGAGGGGTTCGATAATGTCTTCGTCTTCGTGATCTTCATTATGCAGAGTAAGTTGGGCATCTGCGCCTGCTTCATCACTTCCTTCGTCCTCGTTCTCGTTCTGGTTTTCCAGATCTTCGTGGTTGTCGAGTGGTGGTTGGTCCTCCCTCTCCTCCCTCCGAATCCGAGCCGGAATCGTAAACCGAAACGTCGGTTCATCCACCTCCTCGCCCTGCCCCAATCCCAATCCGCCCAACCCACTGACATCTTGCGCATCCTCATCCAACGCCTCCTCAATCGCCTCTTGCAGTAGACGATCCGGATCCAGCGTCCTCCGCCGATTAATAAACATGCCATCGACCTCGAACTCCTCGCCATCCAAACCCAACTCATTCAGATCGCCAAATCGCTCGCTCAGGCGCGCTGTAAACTGCGCCCTCGGATCCTCACTATACGCCCGCCTGCCGAATTCCAAAGACTGCAAGGTCCCCGTGTCGACGTCGTCCGGGAGGTCAGGGAGGAGCGATTCTCGGGGCGGGGGTTCGTGGATGCTGTCGTCGTCGTACATGTCGTCCAGCGGCATGGATAATCGGGGTCTAACGGGGTCAGGCCCATCGTCCACGTCTGCGAGATCGAGAGCGGAACTGCGAGAGGGGACTTCGGGCGATGGGTCAGCGGGCACGGTGTCTTTCGCCAGAGCTGCGCAATAGTGTGTTAGTGGAGTTCGATTGGAGATAGGGATGTCATACTCCTGCTCAACGCCCTCAGAATATCCCTCGGCGTCTCCCTCTGCACCCTCCCACTTCTCCGCCTCCCCGGCGTCCTAGCGGCATTCGCCCGCTCCCTCAGCGCCCGAATCGCATGCGGCGTCGTGGGTGCTGCGCGTCGTCCCTGGCCTGCTGCTCGTAGTGACGTTGCGCCTCGGGGTGTGCGTGCTGCGGTGCCGGGCGTGCGGATAGGAATATTGTTGGGGGTTCGATGGGTTGCTGGTGTTGCGGCGCTGGCGCTTATGGCACGTCGGAAGGGGGTGACGGGTTTGGGGATTAGATTCGAGAGGTGACGGAGCTGTGGTTGTTAGTATGGGTGAGGTACATGGAGGGAGGGGTCCGAGAGGTACGTCTGAATGCAGAGTGTGGTCCGCGTGGTTGGAATCGTTGGGGCTGACGCGTTGTTTCTTCCTCGCGGACTCGGACATGGTGATCAGTTAGGTTGTAGGTGGTATTCATACGCAAGTGGGGTGCAATGAGGGACGTGTTCATGGGAAGGGTAGACGCGTCGTTGAGATTGTCCTGAATAGGTCTAGCTTCAGAGGTCCGCATTTCTTATCGATAAGAATAAATTCCATAATTTGTGAGATCGCAGATCGTCGAGGTTCATCATCCACATCAACCAGTTTCCAGGCGCATGACCACAATGTCTGATTCCGAAGAAGGCGGTGTCCCGCTCATTGAGCCTGAGTTCGATCTGGGCGTGCAGTCAAAGAAGCGGAAGAGAGTAGACGGAGATGAAGCGGAGTTGACCCCAGAGGCGAAGAAGGCAATTAAGAAGGCGAAAAGAAAGGAAAAGAGGAAGGCCAAGGCCAAGGCGATCAACGAGGATGATTTGGATCAAGAGCTGGGTGTAAATCATGCGTTTGAGCGCATGGATGGTCAGTTGTTGGCGGATTATGTCAACGCGAGGACGAGGCATTATGGGAAGGATTTGAGTACTGTGGAGCTGGAGGAGAAATTTCTGCCGGGTATGTGGAGGTACAGTACGAGGAAACTAGTGATTAGCTGACTGGGAAAAGCGCATTGCATAAAAGACACCAGCAGTTGGACGGAACCGCGGACGCTGGAGAAGCTTGCTGCTTTCCTCAAATCCCAGAGCAAAGATTTAAAACCTACAGCAAAGAGTCCTACCGGTGCACCCCACACGCTGGTTGTTACAGCATCAGGCATCCGAGCGGCGGATACGTACAGAGCACTCAAAGCCGGGCTTCCGAAGGAAGGAGTCAAAGACGTCAATATCGCGAAGCTGTTTGCAAAGCACATGAAGCTGGCAGAGCAGGTAGCGCACTTGAAGAAACACAAGTAGGCTTATCAATGTTTTGTTCGCATTTCAAGCTAACAGTCGGCAGAATCGACTTTGGGGTTGGGACACCTGAGCGGCTTTGCGCTCTGCTGGATGAGAGGGCGCTATCCACGGCGAATCTGAAGCGCGTAGTGATCGATGTGTCTTACATCGACCAGAAGAAGCGTGGCATTCTGGATATGAAAGAGCTGCACGAACCGCTCGTCAAGCTGCTGCTGCGCAAGGAGTTCCTGGGGGAGGATAAACAAGGTGGGAGTCAGCTGTTCCTGTTCTTCTAAGGGGAGCAGGCTGGCAGGTAGTGTAGAAGTGAATGAGAGAGCTAAATGATACCCAACAGTCCATATCTCTATTACAGATTACCATGGCAATACATACACGGCAAACTCTAATCGCATTCGCAATACTAGTAGGGCCGTGAACAGGGCACTAACCGACATAGCGTGGGTCAGTGCCCCGACTATCCGCGACTGGCCTCCGGGCTTCTCCACGGAGCGGGGAGGGTCAATCCAACTTCTGCAGCTCCATCGGTGGGGAGAGACTCATCAAAGCATGCAGGCGTGAGGACTTAGGATTGTTGCGGCTCCGCGGGCTGCATATAACGCCCTCATTTGGAGTACCTACACATAGCTAAGGCATGGATATCGAACGTACTGTGTACTTTGCAACCTTAAAGATGATTTAACTGTGTAGAGAGATTCGACCCACTCTATCCCCGCTCGCCACGCGCACGAATCATCTAAGCTTTGAAAGACGCCGCACCAATCTTGGAAAGTCGGTACCTAGGTAGAAGCTGCAAGTCACGTGTAGGTGCTCCTGTAGACTGCAATTTCTACATGCACATCAGCAGACAACAATATAATCACGGCCCCTCGTTGTCCGCAGCCCGCAGTTGTGGTGCAGGTTACTTACCAGATTGAGCTCGGAGGAGCATTTATACGTGCAGGTGATTCGCAGTCTAGACAGCACCAACAGTGTCCCAGCAGTTTGTAAATGCGACCCAGGCGGCGAATGAGGGGCCGCGAGGAGGAGAAATGTTGATTAATTGAAAGTATTACCGCTGTGATGGGTAGCAAGGGAAAGGCATGCCATAGCAACACACCGATGTGGTGATATATATATGGAGTTGCGCAGAGCATGGGGAGAGTCTTCCTTAGCGCCTGATAGCTGCTCTTTCCTCTGTATAGATCAAGTTGCAGCAACACCACACCACTCCGAGCAGAAGCGCACCAAAGGCGCTTCCATGACTGCTGGGTGAAGGTGAGAAGGTGGTGATTCTGGTCTTTCAGTGGATGGAATATTCACATCTCTCTCGCCCAATCAGGGGGCGAGGGTCTTGCAATGGGCTGCGAGTGGATTGAAGAGCGGTGGGCCGAGGGCTGTGAGTGGCTGGCCCGGGTCTTGGCGGCTTCAGGAGCGTTTCAACGCCTGTGCGGACTTCACCTTGCGCCAGAAAAGAAGGACGCCGGGAGTCCGTTTGCGCCAGGTGCTAATCGAATAGATACCCTCTCGCCGTCTTCCCTTCGCCCTCCACCCGCTTCTCCGCCATCGTGAGCTTCACCCTCTCCTCAACGCGACTAAAAAAGGAACAACAACAACAACAGCCACCTCAACAAGTCCACCAAGACGCTTGTTCACTGCTCGGGCCAGCCTCGCTCAGCGCACAGTCGCCAGTCCTCCCGCATTCGATTCGACCCTTTCCTTCCCCCCGCCACAGTCTGGTCGCTGGTGGCCCGCGCTGCTCCCAGGCAAGCTTCGGGGCACCCGCCTCACAGGCCAAGCGATAAAACGCCTGAGTCGCTGCAACCTCCCAAAAGCCCGCTGATCGATAGCTTTTCCCCTTCACCAGAGCCCTTTCGGTACGTATCTGCTGCTGCCTCTGCCGCCTTCCCTGCACAGATTGTTACAGAAAGTCATCTCCTGCATCGCCGTTGCGGGAACGCTCATCGTGTCCCTAGCTTCCCCCCTTCGCTCCTTGTCGCTCGCAGCCCGCGCTCGCTCCCCGACGCCGCACTCGCCGCCGCAAGTCCGTCCTCCCACCCGCTCCCTATCCGCCTGGGAGCTCCATCGCTTTTCTCGAAGAATACGCGCCACTCGCAATGGCTGCGCCTGCTACTCAGTCGCTGAAGGTGCGAACATATACCCGGATCTGGAATTTCGCCATTTCTCGGGCACATGGCTAATCCCTGGGCAGTGTGTTGTGACCGGTGATGGTGCAGTCGGGAAGGTAGGAATCGCTGCCGATGCGTGCACTTGGAGCCGCCCGCTGATGGAACTGCTGCAGACATGTCTCCTGATCTCGTACACGACGAATGCTTTCCCTGGGGAATATATCCCGACTGTGTAAGTGCGCCAACGCGACATTGCGAATCGCGAGCTGACTGCATCCAAGTTTCGATAACTACTCTGCAAATGTCATGGTTGATGGAAAGCCCATAAGCCTTGGCCTCTGGGATACTGCAGGCCAGGAGGATTACGATCGCCTGCGCCCGCTGTCATACCCGCAGACGGATGTATTCCTCATCTGCTTCTCTATCGTCAGCCCACCCTCGTTCGACAACGTCAAAGCCAAGGTAGGTCTTTGCTCTCTTTTGCTTCTCCGCTGCCGCTTTCTGCCATTTGCCAAACTCCAACCTTAACACATACACAGTGGTATCCCGAGATTGAGCATCATGCCCCTGGCGTACCCATCATCCTTGTCGGCACCAAGCTGGATCTCCGAGACGACGAGGCGACCAAGGAGAGCCTGAGGCAGAAGAAGATGGCTCCCATTCAGTATGAGCAGGCCGTGCAGGTCGCCAAGGAGATCAAGGCGCAGAAGTATTTGGAATGCTCGGCACTTACCCAGCGGAACCTGAAGAGCGTTTTCGATGAGGCTATCCGGTACGACTTACTCACGGCAGTCCCACGCCCCCTGCTAACATCATGATAGCGCTGTCCTTAGCCCTCGCCCAATGCAGAACAAGAAGCCGCCGAAGAAGTGCCTGATTCTGTGAGGGAGCATGTTGGATACGGGGTAGTGGAATTGTTGATGAAGGGGCACATATACGTGGCTTGAATAGCATGTGGCGATCACCGCGATGACCATATACCCAGTTCAGGACAGCCAACCAAGGGGGGAGCCATCCCTCCAACACGACATTCGGAACGTTCTGAGCTCAGCATGACAGCGCGCATTTAAGGACCGGGCGCATCGAGAGTATCTTCTCTTCTCGGGCTTAGGAAGGATATCGGGCTTGCTTCTGCTACTTTCTTTTTTCTCTTCGTCCAGTTTCCGTCAGCCAGGCACCGGCATGGAGGACGATGGTTTCACGACTTTCACGGTGTAGATAATGAATGGGGTGCAAGGCGGAGGGCGGGTCTGGCTGGTGCTCTCGTTTAGTAGCAAGGCATGGTGGCATATGTTTAGAACTTTGTTACGTCTCAGTGCATGCACCTGCGTCTTCAGCCTTGGTGTCTCGGTTCTGCACTCGATTTATTGTTGATTCTTTCAGTCGATAAGTTTTGGAGAACCGATATAAATAGCCAAGCCTCGGAGCTCCATCCATCTACGTTCCCCGCATGACAGGGATGTCCAGGCACCGGAGAGCTTCCCAACACCAGACGGAAGCGGAGGTTGCATGAACCACGTCCCCCGAACATCACGACCTCTCATTATCCACAATGTTCCATACCGGAGACCTGCAAAGCGGTATAAGCCGCGCAATACAGGAACAGAAAGTCGTCGCATGCTTCGTCTGCGGTATGATTTCATTTATTACTATCTGTCTGACCGAGAAGCTGACCACGGTGTCTAGATGACAGCAGCGAGAGCGCGACATGGGAGAGGGAATGGCTTCAAAATGGATGGGTATGTCTGGAACCTCTATTGTGGAGGTCTAACTCCTGACTCAGACAGGTATCTAGCCTTCTCGAGCAGAAAGCCGTCCTTCTACGTATACAAGCCGGATCGAATGAACAAGGCTTTCTCGCCGCGTTCTGCCCAATGGAGATAACACCTACGCTCGTGCTTATAGAGTATGCTTCCTCTCCTTTGGGGAAGTGTTTGGATGCTAATGTGGGAGTAGGAATGGCCAGCTGCAGGAACAGCTCGTCAGCGGCATCACGAGAGACGACTTCATCAATTCGGTTCGGAAGGCCCTCGGCGCAAATCCTATACCTGGTGTATCGCCTTCGCCAAAACCGCAAACACAGGGTGAGGCAGCACCGAGTACGATTACCCAAACCCAGACTCCAACTCCGCGTGTGGATAGAGCACCAACAGCTACCATTACTCCAGCACCGCCCTCCTCCGCCCCAGAAGAACATATCCCCGTATCGCCCATTCTCCCACCCTCCTCCAAAGCAAAAGGAAAGCAGAAAGTCCCACCCCCAGAAACAAAGACCAGTTCAACGCCAACTGCAGCAGCACAAGCAGCCCGCGACGCCCTGCGGAAGAAGAAGCAAGAAGAGAAGGAGGAATTAGCTCGAATACAAGCGCGCATAGAAGCCGACAAAGCGGAAAGAAAAGCACAAGCCGAAGCCAGGAAAGCGGAGCGCGAGAGACAGACTTCCCCTTCCACCGGTACCAATGCCTCATCGGCCGCCGCACAATCATCAGGAGGCATTAGACGTTCCCAAGCGAAGGAAGTCCACCTCAACGTCCGCCTCTTCGACGGCCACACCATCCGCTCCACCTTCCCCAGAACCGCAACCCTGCAATCCGACGTTCGCCCCTGGATCGACGCCGAATTCGCAGCTCGCGCCGAGCACCCCCATCAGAAACATCCGCCTTACTACTTCAAGCAGATTCTTGCCCCGTTACCAAGCCGCGAGCTGTCTGCTGGCGAGGAGAGCGAATCCCTTGGGGATATCGATCTCGCGCCTAGCGCGACGCTGGTGCTTGTGCCGATTAAGGGGTATACGGAGGCGTATTCTGGAGGCGGAGGCGGTGTTGTTGGGGGTGTGCTTGGCTGGGTCACGGGGTTGGTTTGGGGAGTTTTTGGGTTGGCGGCGAGTGCGTTGGGGTATGTGGGGAGTGCTTTGGGGTCGGTGGTGGGCTCCGCAGGGTCCGCTGAAGCAGCGACTACGCAGTCAGCCGAACAGCAAGAAGGTAGCAGAGGTGAGGGGAGGAGAGCGTCACCGAATTCGTCGGGTATGAGGGTGAGGACGTTGGCGGATCAGAGGGAGGGGGAGCCGATGAGTCGGCAGTTGTATAATGGGAATCAGGTGAGTGCTTCTCTCTTGAACGTGATGGCAGTTGGAGGAGAGACCGGCGAGGATGGAGTACGAGGTCCTGCGTTTAGTTTGGAAGCCTCGTTCACGAAGATGATGCCGTGGCAATTCCTCAAAGATGCGTCTGACCTCTTGACTTCGGACTGCAGCTGGCGCATTACCCTCCTTCTCCCATCCCAGTCTTCTAGAGGAAATGGCATGGCTTGCTAACTCTTTTGTAGTTGAACTTCGAACCGAATGACGACCAATCGAATGATCGACGATGAGATTCTATCTATCTCGATGTTTGTATTCGGAGCTTGTATGATAATTGTCACGAGTTCATGGACCGCAAGAATATTAATTCCTCTGTACCACAAATGATTTAGTTCTGTGAACTGAAAACTATTAGGACATGCTGACCAAGGAAACGAGGTTCAAACTTCAAGTAGTTGCCACGTTGTTGGGGGGCAGCATCAGGTTTTGCATGTGCTATGCTCAGATCGTAGATGTCGCTTGAGCAGAGTACCCCAGAGCGGTGGCCGTTGTATGAGCACGTTGGGAAAGCGAGTAAGTGCGCCGCCTAAGTTCGGTTGTGTGGCATTGTAGAGGTGCGAGCTGAGCTTGTATAAAGCAGGACGGGAATAAGGTTATGTGTTAGTATCAAATTGCTGGTACTGCATGTCGTGTGGCAATCCTCCTCCGTGGATAGGGAATTCAGAACATTAGTTACGGGAAGGCTGACTGTTGGAAACGCTTAATTCCTAGGTTCCAACTTCCATGGCAAAGATAGGTGGGTTCATTGTGGCCAATGCACGAGGCAAGGTACGGTATATTGTTTGTACGCATTTCCTCCGATGCACGATTTCGAAATCGCGATTTTGCGATTGTGTACAAAAGGCAAGAAAGGGCACAAAGACAACTAGCAAGGCCTATAGTAGAAATATTCGACTACTACTACAAATACCAACAGAATTACGACTTATTACACGGGTACTCAATGTGGTTCAGCTTCTGGCCCACTGTTTTCCTTTTCCAGTTGTCCAAGATCTCCTCAGGACCACATTTCGGGATTTGCACTACTCCAGGTACGCGCACAATATCACCGCCGTTGCCGACTTGTTCCCAAAATTGGGATCTGCCGCCTTCATTCCCCAAGTCTATGGGCTTGTCAAGATCTTTGTTCCCTTTGAGGTCAAAGCGAGTAAGGATGCTAATACAGGTCAGCGTTTAGACAGTGGAGAAAGAAATCCTAGAAGAAGTTTACCTGCGTGCAATGTCTTCCCGTGTGATGCCACCCCATTTGACCCTTCCCGTATGTTTATCCTTCTCGCCAAGTGAGTCGAATCCGGGAAGAGCGGTCATAGCATGTTCCTCGCATCTGACTGCCCAGTTTCCCATGTCCCTGCAAGTCGTGGCATCACCCTTAGGGTTGAGTAGGAAATATTTCTTCCCGTCGACGCATGCAGCTGCCTTATCGTTATCAGGATACATATACTTGTAGTCGCCACTACCAACGTCATCGCAGTTGAAACCGGTGTCGACTAAGACCGCATGGGAGTCGCGGAGTTTCCAAGAATATGGAATGAGAGAGGCATAGAGGGCTCTGAGCGTGGTTTGTTCCATGTCCAATACCGATTGTGGCATGGCGTTGAGCATCTTGTTCTGGTTGATCATCTTGAACAGGGCAGTGATGCCTTTCTCGTCTCCAGCGAAGAACTCGCCCATTGTGGAATTGGTAAGTTCCTTCCAGTTCATGACCATGGCGGAGAGCTGATTAGCAATCTCCCTATCCATGGGTTTAAGAACGCTCCTGAGACATATTAGCTCTTAGTGTGCGACACCAAAGTGACAGTACGTCAGCTGCGCAGAGCTCTTCTCTAACGACGTAGAGAGGATCAACCTACGTACCCTTTCTTTATTGCATCTGATGCTTTTTCCAGACCCATGTCAACCCCTGTCATCACTACTTCTTGTAGCGATTGTTGCGTGTTGGGATTGGAGAAGAACTTTGTCGTTGTAAAAACTGGCACAGAGTAAGGATTGGTGGGTTATAATCCAAGGACGAATCGTACCTTTCTCGAAAACTGGCCCACCGGCCATCCCGAGGCCTGCACCCAGAAAGGCGAAAAGCCAGTCTAAAGAATCATCTTCCTCCTCTGGAGGAGCAAAGGTTTCGGAAAAATCCGAAAGCGTCATGGACACAGTATTCCCAGCATCAACTACGCCTGTATAGAAGTTGAGGTACACCTATATCTCTGTCAGCTACATAGAAGGCTGCACATAGAAACAAAGCCTTCCGCAGAAATCTTCGATCGCATCAGACGTCCTAAGACAACCAAGACGCAGAAGAAATTATCCAGTTCGATAAACAGAGGGGAGGTATACTTACATCATGGAGGTTTTGCATGCCCCTGAGAATAAGCGCACCTCCAGGAGATCGGGTGAGATCCGCGCCGAGACACTCAACTGTCTTTCCACATGCGCTTCCGTAAGTGGGGACTCCGCAATGCATCTCAGGCGGTCCCCCCCAGTGATTGCTCAAGAAAGCGACAAAGCCCAACCCTCCCGCCGTAGAGCCTCTGTCATTCCACCTGGAGATCCCGGAATCCCAAACATCCTTGCATTTGAGCTCATCCCATCGTTTGATCTCCGACGCCTCCTCGTCACGTGCGAGTGGATGCGAGCACTTGATTTTTCTCCAGTCTTCTTCAATGGGCAGTGCAATGGGGTTTTGCTCGCCTGGTTCCGGCATGAACTTGGCAAGGTCAACTGCCCAATCACTCGTGCCACCAAACTTGAGGCCTTTGTAGAAGCCGATGCGTGTGGCTTTGGTCCTGTCACTCATATAGGCAACCCAGTCTGAACCGTATATCAGGATATCAGCTTGCGAGTTCGTGTCGTAGTAAGTCCTGCCGCCATTGGCAATGATCTTGTCAATCTCGGCATTGGCAATGTAACCAGCCGTGTCGGTACACTCTCCTTTGGTGGCAGCAGATTGCGGTCCGACGAATGTGCACATGGGCCCGGTGCACCCAGGATCCGTCATTCTGAACGCTCGACCATAGCTTGTAACACCGAGGATAAGCTTGTAGCTTGGTACACCAGCCTTGGTGACCATTGACAGCGCATTAATCGTTTCGGTGAAATTTACGTGGGAACGCAAGCAGTTCCCCTTTGGGCAACCGGGATTGGACCACTGATTGTTGTAGTCCCATTCTGTACTCACATTAGCGACGTCATTTCTAGGTGGGAAGATATAGTTTCGTACGTCCATGAAGATCATATGTCATATAAACAATGTAATCGACTACTTTGGCGATCTCATTGATCGGGAATTGCTTGAGATACCAATAGGAAGCAGGGGCGGCGATAGAAAGACTTTTATCTGTTAAGGAAGTTAATTACCAGCCGAGGCTGTGCATTCCCAAGGGTTGGGGTGGTGGGGGTGTCTGCTCACTGGGTAATCTGGCCCTGAGAAGCTTGAGAAGCTCGAGGTAGCCAGCGCCATCGATTGGGTCTGCCGCTGGAATACCAGGGATATCTGGCGCTCCCGGATACTCCCAATCAAGGTCGAGACCATCAAGATTATTGGAGTGGATAAAGTTAGCAAGGTTTGTCGCTAGAGTTTCTCTATTGCCTGGTTTGACTCCTTCGCGGAATATCCAATAGGAGCTAGGGCTTGTAGACGCAGTCCAACCTCCAAAAGCGAGGACTCGTTTGGGACCTTTCATCTTTATAAACTTATTAAACTGATCGGTATCCTCAATGGCCACCGTGAACTGGGAAGTAACGTCACCAAACGAAAAGTGAATGTGAGTATAGGACGGATCGATCTGCGTGACGTCCATATTGAGACAGGCCCGTGTCCTCTTGTTCCAGGCCTCGAAATAACCGATCTTTATAAACTGCGCAGGGCCTTGGCCATTGTTAACGATTTCGGTCCCGCAATTGGAGATGCATCCGTTTTTGCCAGGCTCAGAAGTCCCAGGAGGTCCAAGGGAGGATTTGGTGCAAAAGTCTGCTGTTGTACCACACTGGCCCCAGACGTTGCAACATGCGTTAAGAGGGCATGGATTCAAGTCCGCCAAGTTTGTTCCTGTAGGAGGCTTGGGGGTACCGGGCTTCTGTGGTCCGCAGACTGCGTTTTCGATGGGCGCAGGCATGGGTGGCGAACCAGAGCTCAGGCACATATGATGCCAACATAGAGTGTAGTACAACCTGACCAACCCCATGTGTTCTTGTTGAAGTTGATGAGGTCATTGACTGTGAGCCCATTGGAAGCGGCAATGCTGTCGCACCAGTCATCCTTCCGAACAAGATAAGAAGCACAGCTGCCATCCGAGTTTGGCTTGGGCCTGAAGTCAGGAAGGGTACCGCTGCTACAACATACACGCTGGCCAGGCCTTAGACTGGAGCAGAGGTTGCTGGCCGAATTGTACTTGGTGAAATCCGCGCCGCTGATGCCACATTTGGAAGCCAAAGAAGCACAGCTATCACCAGAGACCACTTGCACCGTCCTGCACTCGGCGCGGCGAGACAGAGTCAACGGCATTGTCGTGGAGTTCCCGGGGAAGGTACCATCGGTTGAATTGGTCGTGTTGATGAGCCTGGCGTTCTTCGTTGTTTTCTTGTACCAGACCGCCGTTTCGTTAAAGGGAATAGGGTGACCTGGTTCAGCAATACATGTTGCGTTTTGCCAAGAGGACAAAGCACTCCTAACTTTTTTAAAGGCCTCCCCGGGAGTGCTGTCTGCCATAATCCCCAAAACGTAGTCTGCCGGGCGTTCCGAACCACATATTTGTAATCCTATGGCGGAGACTTGGGAAGCTTCGGGGCTTCGGATGAAATCGAGAATTTGACCCAGAGCAAGTACAGCGACTCCAGGGTTATAGATTGCGGCACCAGCATGGACTCCGACGACAGTGTTTCCATAATGGACTATCACCGTAGTGGCGCTGATATCGTCATCTTCATCAAATATGAGAGCGGCCTGTACTTCTTTGATGGCAGTGACGAGTTGTGGCGTGATTACCCTGTGCTGGGACTCTTGAAGAAAGAGGGCTGGGGTCATTCTCTCTTCCTCCAGAGTCTGGTCGTTCTCGATGCGCTCGTACGCATCGAACTGCGCTTCAAAGACTTTCGGTCCGCGTAAAGTAATGCAGGCTCGAACGATGGTTACGTCCTCTTCACTTGACTTCTTGTTCACTTTTTGAATAAGAAAATCAAGCAGTTTCGGCTTCCTGTCGCACGCTGACAAGAGCTTCGGGTCTTGGAACCGAGTCCAATTGGCAGCGTCCCTAATTGGTGAAGTTTAGGTTACTAAATGGCTATTGAGTTTGGACTTGAGGACACAACGTACGGACCAACCAGCTCGCAAGATATGGGACAAGGGTTGGGTCCACTATCTTCGAGATAGCTCAGTGGACTTGAACTCTGGCTAACTCCGCCGTTCGCGAGGCTAGCAGCTAACACAGCGGCTGGAAAAGAAAGAAACATTGCCAAGGTCGACGCAAGAGCGAGCAATCAACAGAAGAAATAGCGAGTGAATGCTCAGAGTTTAGCTAGAGGGAAGGCACCTTATCACAAGGCGAGTGGAAGCGGGTGTGGTATAAGTACTGTTTACATATCGAAAAGCCGTGCTTCCTCGCGGCATTCAACGCATTGCAATCTTATCGCTGCTCTTCGGCATGTCCAGAACTCATGCTTGTTTTCACAACAGTCAGTTCAATGCGGCTTCAAACTAGACACTCCTAGTTTTAATCTAGTTAGCGGCACAGTTTCTAAGGGTTGCAGTGTTCTCTGAAATCAAACATCAGCATTCAACGTGGACGTTTTCGGCTTCAATCTAGTTTGAGGCACAGTTTCTAAGGGTTGCAGTGTTTTCTGAGATCAATCCCGGCAGATGGCCTTCAATGTCCCTTGAAGGTTGATGTTTCTGGGCTTCAATCTAACTTGCGGCACAGTTTAAGGGTTACAGTGTTCTCTGAAATTGAACATCAGCATCTAAGGTAGACGGTCTAGGTCTCAATCTAGTTTGCGGCAAGGTTATAATCAGCAAGGGTCGCAGCGTTCTCCAGGATTACCAGGCGCTTTGTTCCCTTTTTGGTCATCCATGTTCGTCACAAAGTTGGTGTAAAAGGTGATCGACCAGAAATGGAAGGAACGAGTGAGAGGTGCAGCGCTGTTTTGCTTACAGCAGTCTACTGTACGCTCTTATGAGGCTTACGGCGTTACAGGAGCAATTAAGCCTGCGCGCGGTCCCGGCCCGGTCCCGCGGGCGTTCTTCTCCAGGCCCGCCTATAGTGGGCAAGGTGCCAGGAGCATGATTCTCAACCAATCTGAGGAGTTCGTAAGCGCTCGCATACATAGGTAGCGAGTATTCCAATAAGCGCTCTGAGCTTGAGCTCCCATCTTGGGGCTCCGTTCCTGACCTCCATTCACATTTTTTGCCCCTGAACAAGTCTGTTTTCTCACTATTTCAAGATGCGTTCTCTATCCCAACCGATCCTGCTGTGCCTCCTCGCCACAGCATCCCTCTCCACAGCCGCGAACCTACCAACTACTGTCCAATTCGACATCATCTTTCCAGTAAACAACACCGTATACAAACCCGTGTACCCGTTCCCCGTCGTCCTTGCCGTACACAACGGTTCCGCTGCGACATCGTCCGCATATCACTGGGATTGGTCTTTAGTCAACTATGAAGATTACGATGTCATCACCTACGGCAGCTCCAACATCGAATCAAGCCCACCTCGCGAAGACACACTTGTCATTGCACCCGTGTTCGATCTCATCAACAGCACCGCTAAGAACCTGTTTCTCAGAATAACCTTCGGTATCTTTGAGACGTGCGACGCAAAAGGCGTTATGCCGTCGAATAAGAGCCTTGATGTCGCCTTCCACAAGCCTCTCTACTTCAGCCTTGACCGCGAGAACGGCCAAATTCCCGATGCCACCGCTGGCGGGCCCTGCGCCACTCCAATCGGCGCCATTGGTATAGAGAAGGAAGTGCCAGTGGATCAGAGATGGGCTCAGGATGATGGATCGTCGTGCCTTGTTCTCAAGTCTGGAGCGCAGCCGGCGCAGGAATGTGCGTTCAGGGTGGACGAGGCAGTGGCGAAACAGGTTGCGGACCGTATGGTTAATGCAACTGGGTGTGCAGGGCAGTCCTGGCCTAACGTAACAGGGCTGATTAGAAAGTGCGAACGGCAGATATCCGGTTGTGACGGAGGTTGGACGGCGACTACTATGTTTGCATCTATCTTGGCGATCAGTGCCATGATGCTTGTTTTTTAAAGCCTTCCAGCGCAGCACGTATAGAGGAATGACTAGTGGGAGATCGTAATTCTTCAATAATAGTCGACTTTTATGAACCTCTTTCTCCGATTTCAGGACTTGACTCCGCGTGCAGAAGGTCAGAGCGTAAGTAGCGGCCAGGTGAAGCTGCAGCTGAAGGGTTACACGAAGAATCGTGTTCCCGTGTGTAGTCGTGGTAAATGAAGCCATCTATACTCGAGTATGGAGCTGCAGATCGCTCCGCCAGTGTGCAGTTTACGACTAAGGATCTCGGGAGGTTGGCCAAGTGCGCACACCTATAGTGCCTCCACCTAATTCGTTAGAAGGCTCACGGATGCAACAGATCACATAATAAAACTTGACAACCCCCTCTGCCGTTCTACCTTATTTCTACCCGACGTTCCGTCGGGGCACCAACAAATTCACTGTCAATAGTCTGGCCATCAACATCATCTACACCGGTAAGCACAGGCTCCAGCTGGTGGAATACCAAGGCCTGTGCCGCAAGAAGCGATATTAGGCACTTTGCTTCGGAAAGAACATAGTCTGGGTCGGCGATTGTAGAGAAAGCCTACATAAGCATAGCAAACGTGAGCGCTGAAGCTGTGCAGCACGAGCCTTCCATCAACATGTTGTCCAGTTCATTTCTCTGTTTGGTCATTGCAGTCACTTCTTACGGACGCAGCATATCCATCCAACGACGCGGCCCAGTTCCAGGTGGTATTGTCGACCCAGGCGCCCATCCCGACTGCACGCTGTGGCATGACAACGAAACTGGAACACCAGTATGTCCACTACTAACATACTTCTACGACATAACGCCGGAACAGCTACTGAGCTGGGTATGCATTTCTTTTGCGAGGAGGACGTGGGCAAATGCTTACCGATTATTACAGAATCCATCATTGACCGAGGAATGTGGTAATTTCCAAATCGGTCACAGCTACTGCGTGGAAGTCTCAGTCCAGCCTATCCCTTCTTCAACATCGCATCCATCTTCGTCTTCTGCTCCAAGCCCTACTCCTTCCACGATTTCCACTTCCCCTGACGGGTCATGCGGCGGCGTGAACGGGTATATCTGTGCCGGTAGTGGATTTGGCGCTTGTTGCTCGCCGTACGGATGGTGCGGGGCTTCCAGTAGCCATTGTGGTGCGGGATGTCAAGCGACCTATGGAAGATGCGACGTAGATCTACCCTTTTCACCTGACGGGACCTGCGGTGGCGAGAAAGGATACGGCTGTGCTGGTAGCGAGTATGGAGATTGTTGTTCCCCTGCCGGCTGGTGTGGGTCGTCCAGCAACCATTGTGGCGCTGGATGTCAAGCTCTATTTGGGATGTGTAATGGAAGTCCGACAAACCGTCCTTCGATCGAACCGTCCCAGGGTTCCTCTGGCATTGTGTCAACTCCGCGATCAACAACTAGGCCGGGTTCAAAACCTATCTCAACACCATTGACATCACAAAGTCCCAGTTCTACTCCGATGCGAACATCTACTTCGTCTCCTGCAAAGCCTTCACCGACATCAGTCGGAAATGGAATTGCTACAGTATGTATGGACTTGGCATGACTCTTGAATTGACCACTGACTTCATCAATTACAGCCGACCCCAATCCAGCCAGGTATGGTCAGTAACTGCGACGAGTTCTATTTTGTTGGTGAGGGCGAAACCTGTGAATCCATCCTTCTCAAGAAAGGCATCACACTGGCACAATTCAGCAGCTGGAACACAGGCGTTGGTTCCACCTGCACCGGCATGTGGCTAGGGGTTTACGTGTGCACATCCGTCGTGGGCCATACACCCACGCCGCCCAATGGGATCTCGACGCCCACGCCGATTCAGCCCGAAATGACGAAGAATTGCAGGAAATTCCACTTCGTCAAGTCCACGGAGACCTGTGCAACAATTGCTGCAATGTACAACATTACAGTTGCTCAATTTCTATCTTGGAATCCCTCGGCTGGTTCAAACTGCGCAGGTCTCTGGGCGAATGCATACGCTTGTGTTAGTTCGTGAAAGCATCAGAAAGCTTGGTGAGACGATCCGGGTTCAAACGATCAATTGTTCTGTCAAAGATACTCTTTGGGATTACGTGGCCTGGAAAACTATGGTAGAAGAGCGCCGGGCAGTCTCTCTTTTGGTACATTCACCGGCAAATAATCCATGTGGACCACAACAAGCGCTAGTACATGTTAGAACCTTGCGATTACAAAAACACATCTGCATTTTAACTGACAATACTTGTGATGTGCGCAATTGTGCATTGCAGAGGTTCACCTAACATGCCACTCGAGCTTAGTAAACTCTCGGCTAGAATCGCTGACCTTGGTCACATTGTAAGATTTTAAATTAGAAACCAGAAGGTAGAATCGCTAAGGTGCTAGCTAATAGGACAGGTAAAGCTTTGACGGTAATCTTTGTTCGTGTAGTGACACACTTGAAAAGGCCGTATCGAAAGATATTCCAAAATCAACCACCTATTTGTCTCACAATTCTCAACTATGCTGACAGCTGCAGTATTACAACTATTTCAAGACAATCGGATTTTCGATTCTACTCCTCCAAACTTCAAAGCTTGCGGATGGTTTGTGTCAGCATGAACGGTTGGCGTAGTGGTCTGCCCATTAACATGGAATTAGAGTCACTCACTCGAATTCGCGCGCACCGTCAGGTCGGAGTGCATGGTAGATCCAGCTGAGTAGCATAGGGTATTGAGATCAGGCTGTATTACCCGGTAACGGACATTAAGCGCAGGAGTCACGAGTTGTGACATAACATATATCTACAGGCTCGTAGTGGCGTTGCTTCCTGAAACCCACTGTTCCGCCTAAACGAATGCTGTCAAATGTTGCTACATTGGTGAAGTAGCAACCTTTTTCACATCCTCCAGCATGACGACCCTTGCCTCGCTGCCCTCAGAGCTTCTCCATCTTATTCTCGAATGGCTAGCGGACATCGACCTGCGCTCCCTGTTCGCCTCTCGACGGACATGCCATGCTTTCCAAACACTCGCTACAGACATTCTTGAGAACCCCAGTTATTTAGCACGTCATGGCGTTTCCATCAACAAGTTTCTCCAGTCGCACTTTGGCCCTATCCTTGACAGCTCTGCCGCGGGAGAAGACAACCAACCTAGCTATGGCCAAGGATACGTGCCATATTTTGGACTCCCCTGGACAGTCGATGCCAACGTCCGCGAGACATACCTACGAGTGGAGGCCAGCTGGCGGCGCATACCGCTGTCCTCACCCTCAGGACACATAGTGCGCAAGCTTCAGCAAATATACTCGTCAAGCCAATACGACGACGAAGGAAAGGTATCACTCAATCACTTAACTGGAGGCGATGTATGGTTCTACAACATCGCCTCGGACGGCGCAGAGCGGCACCAATTCCCCGAAGGTGTACCCCTGGGTCTCCTCTACGACATGATCCTAGGATACTCTGAAAGCCTCGCATGCGGTGGGTGGGAATTACTGTTTGACACAAGCGTCGCGGATTGCGAAAGATGGAGACGGCTTGTGGGACGTTGCACGGCTCCGGGCGAACATGTGAGACATGAAGACGTCAAGGCGCTTTTTGTGCACGAACCGAATACGGCTCTTCTGTACTTTCCTGGTATTCCGAGAAGTTTTGCCAATACTGGGCGTCGCAAGGATTTGAAAGAGATGTGGGTGCCGACATGGATTGAGGAGAATGGGGATTATATCGATCCTTGGTTGTGAGCAAGGCACCCCTACCTAGACTCGCAAAGGGTGTGTCGTTCCCTGTAATCACGTTTATACTTTCGTCGGCTTCTTGAGATCAATCATCAAATCTTTGGGATATACAATTGTGTGAAAACCCCAGTGGAAGTGCTGCCCCCGCGGTCTGATGGACACTCCCTCGGATCGACCCCATAAAACATGATGTAACTACACCAGTATTAGGAAAACCCACATCAAACTACTCCCATTGCTTTACGGCCCAAATCTCCGACTGTTCCTTGGTGAAATTCCGTTGTGCACTAAAGGTGAGAACGGAGTTCCAGTCATCACCGAGCTGTGTAGGTCTCCATGCTTCCTTTCTCTTTTCGCTGGATCCGTTGTTCGGTGTTCCCAGGAAAAGGAGCACTGCGAATTGTGTGTCCTTCATAAATGTCCTCATGACCTCGGTATTGGTAGTTCGCCCGAGGCGTTCCTGCAGCTCCAGAAAGGCGTCCGTGTCGACCCGCATACCGGGAAGCAGCTTCCACCCTCCTTTTAACAGGTCGAGAAAGTAGCCTAGCAGGTTATCGTAGTAAAAGCCGAGTGGTATCCCTTGTGGAAAGAAATAATGTGCTGCGCCCTCTTCGTCCCATATGTAGAATGTCACATCGGCTCCAGCCAAATCCGAAATGACATCGTCCCAGTGAGGGCAGGTTTGATGGACAGTCTGCATCCGTTTTATGAGGTGTCCTGAGGATGAAACCAGTGGGATTTGGCGCCATGTCGCTTCCCTGCGCAGGTACCGCAGTCGTATTTCAGGATCTGATGCCCAAGGCAGGCTGTAGAAGGGTCTGGAACCGTCCTGGTACGCTGGCTGATCATTAGCACCAGCCTTTGAACTATCCATTATCGGCAGGAAATGTGACTGGAGGAACCGGTGAATTGCGATACCATGGCGGCGGTGCATGTCTTTTGTGATGATATGCGTAGCGACAAGATGCAGCAACTGGCAAGTTCTTCGGACGGTGAATAAGGCCCGTATGTCGACATCTGCTACGGCTCCCAGTACCTGGAACACTATCTCCCGAGGGAGCTGGAGGAGAGTGGCCATCTTGCTGCGCATTCTTGTGGACGGGAAATGTGTGGCGGATAGCGAGCGGTGCGAAACTTTAGCGGTTGAGCCGAGCTGGCGCCTGGCTGCGTATGCGTGTGAAACTCCCTAAGAGTGTAAGAGAGTCAGCGGTGGGATGCGATGATAGAGTGTTGCTTGAGCGGCACGGGCAATATCTATTGTGACTCAGAAGTCATAGCTCTTTGAGTTATAGCCCGATTCTGCCGGTCGTGTAGTTATTCCATTGGGTGCAACGTTGTCGAAGAGGCGCAGTTAAGTTTTGACGAGACCCTCATTCTTTCTTCGTTATGATGGCGTACACGAAGAGTTAGCATCCGTTTTAATGGCCATGTATTGCCGGCCTAAGTGTGCCACAGGGAGCTTCTAAAATAAGTCTTCATGGATCTCTGGAACTCCTAGAGGTACTGAATCCAGTGAGTGACGGCGGCGCTGCGTAAGCGGCATCGAGAAGCATGGTGCAGTGAATATGTAGAACCCCCGGAGGAGAGTGCTCTGCTAAGCTTCAGCCTACTCAGTTACGCACGTGATTTTAGGAAAGTAAAGGTTTTGAAGAAGCAAGAAATTGAAACAGGCGCGGTTCTTCACTCCCAACGACCTTCGGGGAACCAGCGCACACCACTGTGACAGACAACTACCGCGCAGAGCAGCGGCAACAACGGAGCGCCAGCAGCGGGCGGCGGGCGCGCTGACTTAAAAACGCCCTTCCTCGCCCTCCAACCTTTCCTCCAACCTTTCCTCCAACCACCACACAACCGACAACCGAACAACCCGGAAGTGCAGCACTGAGGACAACCCAACCAAACACACAACGGTCGTTTCAACGCAGCGGCCATGCGTCGACGTTACCATGAGCCAGACGCTCCGGGTGACCAAGACACAGGCGAACCAGTGCCGGCTCCAGATAATACACCTGCGAAGGCGAATAACCAGAGTGCTGCACACGGCCGGCGGAAGGCGACTAGCCGTGCCCCCAACCGAGCCAAAGTGCAGAAGCAAACGGGAGTGAAGTCATCCTCTCTGAAGCAGAACGTCTCGTCAAAGCGGAAGACGGTACCAAAGGAAGGGCAAACTCAGGCAGTATGTGACAAAAAAAAATCTCTGAAGCAAGGACCATCAACTCCACGAGCCAACACTCAAAACACGCTGGGCCAGCCCGCCGCGGAAGATCAGCAAGACGAACGCGCCCTACGTAGATAGGACCGGGAGCAGAAGAAGCAGAAGGAGGAAGAACGTCTGCGTCGTGAACGTGAAGTGCAGCGCCGTGCACAGGAAGTCCAAGGCCACGTAGACGAGATATTAGCGGAAGAGATACAACGGCGTAATGAGGGACGACATCGCAATAAGGCGCAACAAGAGCGCCGCATGCAAGAGCTAGGACAGCTGATCGTGGAAGTGATACAACTGGGACAGCCGATCACGGAGAGGCTACAGTGCGGTGAGCAACTTGAAGAACTGATACGTGCGGTACAAGAACGACAGGATACCGACGGAGGTGAATCCCAGGATCAGGAGGAAGGGATAGTACAGCTCATTGTGGAAGAGATTCGACAGCGGCACGAGCAAGAAGAACGGCTGAACGGCTTGGTAAGCGAACGTGAGCGCCGCGCAGAACGACGCACTTTTGAAGTGGAACAACGGCGCCGGGTGGGACAAGTCGCAGAGCTTTTCGTAGACGATGCACAACAGCGCCGGGAGATCGACGAACGAGTCCGACGTAGGGTGCGAGGACGACGGCGCCACGAGCAAGCGGACGGACAAGCCTTGGATTCTGCAAGCGTGCGCGGGAGTAAGCGTCGTAGGCTGGAATCGGATAGCCCAGCTCAGACAGCGCATGCGGTTGGCATGCCCGCAGATCAAGTCGCAGTGCTGGAAGGCCCCCTTGAAGGCACCCGAGAGTGCGTTGTGTGCAGTGAAACATACGGCATCGAGCAATTCCCAACTTCAGCCGCATGCACGCATGAACCCGAAGTTTGCGGAGAATGTTATGATCAATCGATCAACGCTCAACTAGACGACAAGGCATGGGATAATGTTGGGTGTCCGACCGAAGGGTGTGATGTCGTTCTCCAACATGCAGACATTCACGAGATTGCCACACAAGCCACCCGTGCTAAGTAAGTCAGCTTATTCTTAGTCACAACATTGTACATACTAACAGAAACTAGATATGACGAAGCCTGTCTCCAGAGCGTGCTGGCTGCTGATCCTGATTTTCGCCATTGTCAACGCCCGGACTGCAACTCTGGCCAAATCCATGAGAATGGCACAGATGGACCTATTTTTCGCTGCCAGGCCTGCGGGTTCCGTCTATGCGTGATCCACAACGTTCCGTGGCATGAGGATGAAACCTGTGAACATTACGACCTAAGGGTTAAAGGCCGAGAAAACGAAGAGCAGCTTCAGGCGAAGGCGTCGCTGAAAGTGATTGACGAAACAACAAAGAAATGCCCTGGGGAAGGCTGTAGCTGGCCTATCGAGAAGAATGGTGGATGCAACCATATGACCTGTGAGTTTCCTTGCTATCGCGTATGTAGCAAACCTCTGACTTCCACGCACGTAAGCAATGTCGGCACGAGTTCTGTTGGCTGTGCTTGGCCCCTTACCAGCCAATTCGGGATGAGGGTAACCACAGGCACTACAAGCATTGCGAGTTGTATGTGCCATGGAGGACATCGCCCCCAGAGCCGAGGATAACAATATTTGGCCAATATTTGCAACGACACAAGAGTACTAGAGTCCAAACTCCTGTAAACGAGCGTTAGTGGGCGGCAATCAGAGGTTTCGATGCTGGGAAGTTTCATGGAACTGTGAGTCTTGGGAGGTGATTCAGATATCCCTATTACAGTGTAGATGGACTGTGTATGCATTCGCGATCACGGGTGTCGTCGGATTATAGTTTCTTGGCAGCGTTGACGCTGTTGAAGCGATTCCATTGGCTGCGGCGGTCAGGAACGCAACTTTTCTTTCCGAAATGAGTGTCAAATACACCTCCACACGAGCACCGGAACGCCCATTCACCGGTTCCGAACGTCTGCGTGTCCACATGGTGTCGTTGTGAGGGGCCTGTTATATTCTGTTTTCCTTCGACATTTTTTTTCTTCCTCATACAATAGTCAGGCTTGGATTGCAGCTCCACTGCGGAATTCAGCCCGTCCGGAAACAACATCCCCCTATTTCGACACCTTCACCAGAGACACAGCCACCATGTCGGAGCGAGTGACGAGATCACAGACAGGCAAGACACCGAGGTGAGCGCTGCGCGTCGGTCATTCGGTGTCAAAGCATGTTGCTAACTCTCGACAGGAAGCCGATTAACCCTGGTTTCGTCGAGACGCCCGGCCGCCGCAAGTCTTCGCGCAAGTCTGTTCTGGTCGATCGCGAGTACTCTGAGACGCCTGAGCCGTTTCCATCCTTGACCGACGAGAGCGAGAAGGACCAGAATGGTGCTGCAGTGAATGGAAGTGCGCGCAGCACCGGCGTCGCGAACGGAAATGCGAATGGACATCTCAACGGCAGCGCGAACGGGCATGCGAACGGCACCGTCAAGGCTTCCAATGCCGAGCAGGATAAGATCAAGAAGCTCGATAATCCCGCCATCGACACCTCCGGGAAGCGCGAATTCGGCGGCTCCTTTGGCATGAGCGCCATGATGATCGGCTTCCCCGCGCTCATGTACTACATGTGGGCCGGTACCGTTGTTTACGATGGCAAGCTACCCCGTCCTGCCGAAGGGGAATCCTGGGGCGACTTGTTCTGGCACCTGGTTTACCTGGTCAAGACGCAGGCGTACCCCACTCGCCAGGCGTGGACGATCTACTGGAGCTTTGGACTCGTACAGATGGCCTTCTATATGCTTTTGCCGGGTGTATACCGCAAGGGCAAGCCTCTGCCGCATTTGGGAGGCAAGCAGTTGACCTACTACTGCTCCGCCATGTGGTCTTTCTACACCTCCATCGTTATCGCCCTGACCCTGCATTTCACTGGCATCTTCAAGATCTACACTGTCGTGGACGAGTTTGGCCCGATAATGTCGGTTGCAATCATCTCCGGCTTCATCGCTTCCTTCGTCGCGTACTTCTCTGCTTTGGCCAGGGGTGCCACTCTCCGCATGACAGGCTACCCAATTGTGGACTTCTTCATGGGCGCTGAGTTGAACCCACGTCTGTTTGGCATTCTCGACTTCAAGATGTTTCTTGAAGTGCGAATTCCTTGGTTTATCCTGTTCTTCTGCGCGCTGGGCGCCTGCCTGAAGCAATTTGAGCTGTACGGTTATGTCAGCGGAGAGGCATTCTTCCTCGTCCTCGCACAGTACCTCTATGCGAACGCCTGCTCCAAGGGCGAGCATCTCATCATCACGACTTGGGATATGTATTATGAGAAACTCGGCTTTATGCTTATCTTCTGGAACATGGCGGGCGTGCCCTTCTCCTACTGCCACAGTATCATATACATCGCCAAGCACCACCCCTCGGAGTACAGACATTCGCCCATCCTCATCGCGATTCTGTGCATCGCATACCTTGGTGTCTACTATGTCTGGGATACAACCAACAGCCAAAAGAACCAGTTCCGCCAGGAAGAAAGCGGCGAGGTATTCGAGCGCACGACATTCCCCTACTTCAAATACGGCAAGATCCACAACCCCAAGTACATCCAGACGAAGCACGGAAACAAAATCCTCGTAGACGGGTGGTGTAAGTCCCTCTCCTTACTTCGTTTCCAAATTTTCCGGGTCATGAATATTCAGCTAATTATACACCTCTAGACGGCAAGGCCCGCAAAATCCACTACACGTGTGATCTGTTCTTCGCCCTCTGCTGGGGCCTCATCACGGGATTCAACTCCGTCTTCCCCTGGTTCTACTCCGTCTTCTTCTTCGGCATGATTCTGCACCGTGCGAATCGCGATATCAAGCGCTGTCGGGAGACGTATGGGGAGGCGTGGGAGGAGTATACCAGGAGGGTGCCTTATCTGTTCATTCCCGGAGTGATATAATTCAGAGAAGACGTGTTGGGAGGATGAGGCATGATGTTACGGCGATGTAATTTTGAATCGGACAAGACTAAGGTTGGAGAGGTAATTTATTGTCTAATGTTGCTTATTCGTCATCCGTATATTTTTGATTATTTTCAAGCTCGCTTTCTGGGATGTTGTATTCCTACCATTCTTTTCTTGATTTTTCGAAGTTGAAGTAGTATTAGCAGGCGTGCTGCATCCGGCGTAACAAGCACGGCCCACGAAGAAGGCATGATATATAGTATTCATAATGCAGAAGTAATGATGAACATACAGTGACCGAGGTCGGACAGAACCGTGACAATATTCCAACCGCCTTGTCAAATATGTCATGATGCTAAACGGACTTCGTTTCGGTTCTCGGAATCCTGCAACTGCATTGCGTCTCTTCAACTTTGCCTGCCTTCCTCAACTTCGTGACCTGCGCCCAAACACGTATCCACAGCTTCTAGCCCGGACTAATCTCCTCGCATCCCGCCACATTTTCACATCCCAAGTCCACATATAATACACATATCCTACACATCCTCTCCTCATTCTCGCCTCTCCTCCTTCGGAAGCCTGTACCGCGCAGGCAGCACCACTGGCCTCCTCTGAGCTTTCGCAAATGCCTCGGCCGCCATCGCCGAGCTGTCTGTCCGAATCGTCGTACCAATGGCCATGAAGAAGCTAAGCGGCGTATGTATTAGCGATGCGCCGGGAGCCAGAAAGGAATGGGGCCAAGTATACCCAAAAGTCGCGGCCGAACCGAGCATGTATTGTCCCAGTGTGCGCATCATACCATTGGGACCGGGACCGTAGCGTAATATATTCGTGAAGCCTAGGTCTCGTCAGTTCCAATGTTGATCTGGATTGGGAAGTCGTATCCCGTGAGGCGGAGGCTGCGCACCGAATATGAAGCCAATGATCAAGCCAACAGCTACCCTACAAGTCAGCCTGGCCTATCCAGCTCCTGGAAGATGCGCGACGTACATCCGCCCATCATGCCTCCCATCTTCACTGCACACTTGTTAGCGATTTCCGAGCGAGAGCTGCGAATGAGCGTCGGGTAGGTACGCTACGTTTGTCGAAGGTGGAGGGGCCGTGTTGGCCGCCTGGGATGCTTCCTACTGGTACGGGCATGGCGGCGGGGATGTCAGTGCAGTATGAGAGGGAGGAGAGCGATGCTGGGATGTAAGTTCCTATGGTCTTCCAAGGATTGAGTTGCAGAGCTCGGCAGCGAAGGTGCCAAGACATGGAATGATGTCCACTGTGAGAGCTTGGTCATGTGATCTGAGTCGAACCACGCAAATAGAACGGTAGACGATGATATGTGTTGTTAAATTGTGCTCCGGAGCTAAAATAAAGATACATTCCATAGGCTCCTTTAAAACATACTACTCTATCACGTGTGGTCCCCGCTCGCACCTCCTTCTGTCTGCGAGACCAGCTGGCCAGTCAGAGGGCGCATTCCCGGAGACGAGGACAAGGCCAGCAGCCCAGACAACCACCTCTCTCCGCTCCCGGGCTCTCACACCCAGATCAGCTTCCCTAACGCTCTTCATCTCCCCAACTCCGGATTCTCATCCGCCTCACCGCCGCAGTGCTCGCCTCTCCCATATTTACCTGATCGCCAGTCCGACTCGAAGCCGCAGTGACATCGCGCTCGCTGCGCCTCCGACCCCGACTGCTCCCTGTCCTTCACGGCCCGCACACGACAGTCGGTCCGCTTCCGACACTACGCCTCTTCTGCGTGTCCGTCCGTCTGATAACTCCTCGCGGCGCATGAGAGTGTACCTTGGGATATCCTCGCCCCGTCGCCGTTGTCGTTGTCGGTTGTTGCAGTCCAGATTCCCGGGGTAGAACGTCACGTTGTTGCGGCGTTCATAAGCGCTCTGACATCTCATAAAAAGTGACGCCAGAAATATACCCTCCCGCAACGCACTCCTACCCTCCGAGTCCCACCTTTGCTTTCGGGAGCTTCCGCCGCCTTCGTAAATATAGCATCCTCCATGTCAATGACGGCCGTCGCTCCTCCTCCGAATTTCCAGAACATTTCGCGCCAGGGATGGAGCGGGTCTAACGGTGTCGGAGCAACTGCCGCCGGTCCCAACGGTGCCACGCAAATGGGCAGCGACGACTATCGCCCCATGTTCATGCCACGCAAGAGTGTCCAACGCTCAAACTCGTCCTCGTCACTCAACTCCAACGCCTCGACGGGCACAGTCATAGCCTCCACATCAGCGCAGACAAACGGGGTCGGCCCGGCACCTGCGGGCGACGCGTCGACGTGGGCTGCGCGGAAAAAGGCCTCAAGAGGGCTATGGCCTACCTCGAAAACAGAGCCCGTTTCTGGTATATCTACCGCACGGCCACAGTCGATCGCGTCCGCTAGCTCAGGTCCGTCGGCCGCATCCGCGATGACGGCGTTGCATACCCCTGCGCCCATGGTACCCTCCCACCAGAACGGAGCCGTACAGAGTGCGCAGAATGGACCTGGGAGAGCGCAGCCGCAGGAGAATAGTGCCATTTTGCACCTGACGCCCATGAATGGCACGTTTGACCGCAAGACTATTACTGTGCCCTTCTTCCCGGACGTACTGCGAATCGGTCGCCAGACAAATAATAAGACGGTTCCTACACCAATCAATGGCTTCTTCGACTCCAAGGTCCTGTCGAGACAACATGCTGAGATTTGGGCCGATCGAACGGGCAAGATATGGATACGAGACGTCAAGTCATCAAATGGTACCTTTGTGAATGGCCAGCGCCTATCACCCGAAAACCGAGATTCAGACCCCCACGAGCTGAAGAAGGGGGATATGCTCGAACTCGGAATCGACATTGTGAGTGAAGATCAGAAGACGATCGTGCATCACAAGGTTGCCGCCCATGTGGAGCATGCGGGCATCTACCCCACCGCTGGGGGTAACCTGATGGATATAAACTTCGGTGATATGGATAGTGTGCAGGCACTGCAGAATATCGTTGGTGGAGGTGGCCAGCAGCAGTTGCCGAGTATGCGAGGCAGGAATCTGAGCCAGGGTTCTATCAATGCTGCAAGGATGCAAGCTGGCGCAGGGCAGCTGGTTGGGGGTGCGGGCAGTATGCAGCCTCCGAGACACTGGTTGCAACCTATCACTATAGAGCAGGTTGTCAAGAAGCTCAACGTAAGTGGCATTCTCGGAGTTGGTGTACTGGTTACTCATGTGGTTCAAGGCCGAGATCAAAGCCGCCAGGCAGCAATCCCAGGACCTCCAGCAAACTCAACACTACATCACCGCCATGCTCACCGCCGAACCTAAGAAGGAGAGTAGCAAGCACTCAGTCAAATTCTCCCCGGTAAAAGATATCAAGAATAGATTCTCAGAACCTCCCGCACCTCCACCGCAGCAGCCTCTACCGGAGAAACCGGATGGTCCCTCCCTTCGCCGGTCCGATACGGAGCGACCTGTGGGCAGTAGTTCTCCCTCCCGAACAAACTCCAGGATTGCATCGTTAGCCGAGGAGCTGAGCTCTGCGAGGAAAGAGATTGAGGCGCAAAGCCTGCGAGTGCGGGATTTGGAGGCCTTGTTGAGCGAAGAAAGGCGAGCGAGAGAAGATGCAGAGGAAAGAGCGAATCGTCTGGAACGCGAATCATTCAAAGATAGACAACAACCGGCTGACGACAAGAACGACGAAGAACTCAACGCAAGTACGTCCACCTCACGGCCAGATGAAGTCGATCAAACGAAAGATGGCACATCGTCACCCAATATCGTGGACGTTGCAACATCTCGCTTGCAGCTCCGTCTGGAGACTATGATGGCCGAGATGAACGAGATGAAGCAGCAAATGGAGATCTACCGCAAACGAGCCGAAGAGGCCGAAGCGGACAGCGCTGTGCATCGCAGGTCCCTCGCGGAGATGATAGAAAAGATCCGCCAGGAAGATGCGAAGAAGGCAGCTCGGATTGCACAACGCAAGGCCCGTAGCGCGGAGGATCGAGATTCGGCGTCTCCAACATTGGAGGATGAGGGCGAGGAATGGGAAGATCCGGAAGAAGGAGAGATTCCCATCATGAATGGCAAGGATTTGGACATCGAGTCCCCCGGCGGCTTACTCTATAGAGTTGGGCTCCAACCTGGTCGACATGACAAACAGGATGCATCCGAAACACTCACAAGGGCTGCAAACTCACTAGCCACGCGTCAGCCTAGCCATAACGATCTGGTTCTCACACACGGGGCTCCGGCGATTTCGATCTTAACGGTTGTGGCACTAGGGGTGGCGGTCATGGCTTGGTTGAATTCGTATCCTAAGGTCGAGCGGTGAAGCAAAATGCAGTGGGAATCAGCGCTACTGCAAGATGTGTTTCCGCTTCTGTTGGGATGAGAATTGGATCAAGCTGGGAGGTCCAGCGCCGCGCTGATCCGGGCGTGGCACGCCAAACCCAAACATCACTATACAAGAAAGCCACAAGCCATCCACGACGACGCTATGCGACGATGTTATTTTTCGTCCTTCTCACTGTTTGGACGTGGCATCTTGTTACGGAGAGGTCGAAGAAGTGGAAAGAAAAAGCTCCGTATCACTTAAAGCGAGACGCATCAGCTGCATAAGAAGAAAAATGCGGCGAATCTTACACCAAACAGCAACAGACACATCTTTTCCTTCATTCTTGAATTTGCAGACTCGGCACTGCGCGGCGTTTGATCTGGCGATGTTAACGTGGCGGGATTGGAACTGGAGGGACTTTTGGAATGCACAGGGTTTCGCGAGGGTTCTTGACTCATTCGGGTCACACGCGTTCAGAAAGTTTTTCCACCTGAACTGGAAATGCTGTCCTATACGGGTCTGGGAGATCTGAAGTTGTCATTCTCTACTTTTCTATTCCTCTATGCTTCTTCTTTTCCGAGGGTTTCTTTTCATGGTTTTCTCTCTTTGTCTCTCCATGTACGAAATGAACAGCCTGCAGCCTTTTTCCTTTGTTAGCGAGCGCTGAGCGTTGGAGCATTGCTACGAGCGGATATGAATTGGGTGATGGAGATTGGTAAGGGAGGCAAATTGGCGGGTTGAGAGTGAGGGGAAGTGAGGGGGCTTGAGGAGGGAGAGCCACGAGATTCTTTGGTACCTATATCAACTCGGCCCGGGGCGGTTTTACCTGACATGTGCTTGGTTTTGTTTCATGTGCAGGGATGTGAAAATGCTTCATGTGTGATTGAGACCCATTATCATAAAGTCTAGGGGTATCTGCTATATATGCACAACGGAGCTAGAGAGGTGCGTTGCTCTCAAGTGGGAGGTTGTGCCTGAGAGGTATTCATACAGACCATACTGATACGGTTATGGCACTTAGGGTGCGGATTCGCGTCTCGGGTATATCTTCCCGTGGCATGCTAGCTTTCTTGCCCGTCACTTTCTTCCTCTTCTCTTTTTCTCCCTTTTGGAGGTCCTCCTGCAGCCGCTTCCCCTCCCTACCCGTACTTTCCTCCCCTCCCACATCCCGCATATCCACATCGCCCTCTTCATCCCTTACCTCTTTCTCTTCCCCCTCCCCTTCATCTTGTTCTGGAGGCAGTACCTCAATATCATCAACAGCCTTCACACTCCCCATCTCCACCCTAACCCCGCAATCGCTCTGGGCCTGGAAATACACACCGATCTCCAGCGCCCGGGGTATCGCGCGCCCCGTCGCTTTGATGTACACGCACTCTCTGCCTTTCCGCATGCTGGTGCCGCCGCCGGACGCAAGCGAGGCTGCCGAATCCGCGATCGCGGCTTCGACGTCGCGCTCCGTCAGCGTGCCATCGGGTACGAGATTCATAACTGGTCTTCCGGTTCCACTAACACCAGGAACTCCTCCTCCTCTTGCGCCCCTCGCCCCCGCTCCTGCCCTCCTGGTGCCAGTCTTGCTCCTGCTTTTACGGCCATAGATGTTCCTCGCTCTGCCCGATAACGTAGCGGCGGTGGATTGGTCCTCGCGTTTTTTGATTTCGGCGAGCAGCCCGCGGATGCGTTTGATGGCGGGGATGAAGGGCGAGGTGGTGGTTATGTAGATTGTTTTTGGGGAGGTGGAGGCGGAGAAGGGGGAGGGGATGGGCGGGTGTGGGAGGGGGCGGGTTGTGATTTTGGTGGTTTCTGTTGATGGGTTAGGTTGGTGAGCTGGTGGGGGATTGGCGGGGGGGGGAGAGGGAGAGGGAGAGGGAGAGGGAGGGGGAGGGAGGAGACGTACGGGGTGGGAGGCGCGGGACTTTTTGTATCTTGCTCTTGCTCTGTTGTTGATCTTGTTTGGGGGCGGTGGAGAGGGAGGGCGGGTGCGGGGGATTGGGTCGCGGAGGTGGTGGCATTTGGGATTGTTGGCCTGCGGGGCGATTTGGGCTTGAATGGGTTTGCGGAGTCGGATGGGTCGTAAGAGTATTGGGTGGTGTATTGGAGCCGGTTTGGGGTTTCTCGGATGGAGCTAAGGTGCTGGTAGGAGGTGTCTTGGATTGCTGTTGGGGCTTTTCGGTTCCGTTGCGCGTGCGCTTTTTGCCTTGTTTGGGGTTTGGCGCTGGTGCCATGTTATGCAATGAGGAATGGGTATTTTATAGGGAGTGCGGAAGACGGTAGGTGTTTACACGTCTGGCTGGCGCGTTTGTACCTTTGTATGGCCGTTCGCGGGAATACGTGAGGTTCCCAATTTCTTCTAGAAGGCCTTATCGATAAGCTACTGTGCAGGAGTCTCACAGTGGTCAATCCTCAAGCTATAACTTATAAATTGCCCTTTTTGGACATGCTGCCAGGTCTCCCACCTCAACGCCGCCGACGACAATCCATAACCAATGCTTCGATAGTGAACCAAACCCACCACCACCACTCATCCGCTCCCTCTCCTCCAACTCCAATGCGCACCCTCACGCACCTCCACTTCCGCACCCCAATCCCCTACAACACCGCCTCCCGCCTCCAAGAACACCTCGTCTCACGCTTCCTCGCGCACAAACGCTCTCCCACCGCCATCCCCGCCCCACCCCCGTCCATCATAACCGCCGAATTCCACCCCGTCTACACCAGCGGCCGCAGAGACGTCGGCGCCGTCTCCGCCACCCAGCAAGCCTACCTCCGCGCCTCGGGCCGCGCCTCCTTCGTCGAAGCCCTGCGAGGCGGGCAAACGACATTCCACGGCCCGGGCCAACTCGTCGCGTACCCGATCCTCGATCTCCGAGCGCACAAGCTCACGCCCCGGAGCTATGTGTGTCTGCTCGAGAAGGCGCTCATAGCGACGTGTAAGCGGTACGGCATCGAGGCCATGACGACGGAGAATACGGGCGTGTGGACAACGCCCGACGATAAGATTGCGGCCGTGGGCGTGCACATGCGGAGGAATGTGACGAGTCATGGGGTGGGGCTGAATGTGAGTACGGATTTGTGGTGGTTTGAGAGGATCGTGGCGTGTGGGCTGGAGGGGAAGAGGACGACGAGTTTTGAGCGGGAGGGGGTGAAGGGGGTGGGTGTGGACGAGGTTGGGAGGGTGTTTGTGGAGGAGGTGGTGGGGAGGTTGGAGGGGGTCGAGGGGTGGGTGAGGAGGGATGCGGAGGAGGTTATGGAGGAGTTGGGGATCGGGGAGGGTGAGGGGTGAGTGTTGGAGGGTAGAAGGCGCGGGCATCGAAAGTGTCTAGTGGTTTATCTGGTTTGGAGTGGTATGAGATGAAGTTGGACGTATGTTGAAGGAGATGGGTTCCAGGTACGTTCGACCCGACTTGGATGACTTGACGCAGTTGATGCAAACATGATTCAGGCTTTATACTGGAGCTTCCACTTCACAGGTGCGCAGACGGAGATGATGTGTTGAACTTGCTCAATACGATGGAACTATAGCGATGCGTGCACGACATTGTGGCTAGAAGAATCGACAACGCCTAGAGGCGGCGACTCCGAACTCCATCTCTACGAATCGCTACCAGGTTAAACCACAGCTCATATATACAAGTTGTCACGACCAAGAGCTTCGATTATAGAAGCAGGTATGATTCAGAAATGACAGACGGAAGGCTGAGGGGTGGTGCAACCGGAAAGTAGGTCCTCGAGAACAAATAGCCAAACCGCTTTCTCGCGTGAAAGACAACAGTCGATAAGAAGAAGGGGATGGGCGAAAGACGAGACGATGGCACAATGAAAGATCGAACGGAACTCTGTGGAAACGAACGCACAATGAAAGATCGAACGGAACGCTTGTGGAAAGGAAGACGGATGGAGACGGGTTGCGGATGGCGGAGTAAGGTTTTGCATTGAAAGGCCAATGTGCTTTGTCGGATTTCACAGCTCGCACTAAGGGAGTAAGTACAGAAGCTCTTTTGAATTCAAAAAAGCCTCAGGTAGGGTGGAGCGGAACTGTGCATACACCCAAGTTGTGGGATTACTTCTGGTGGCCACGAGAACGTCCGGCCTCTTCAACAACAGATCTCTCAACAAAGATGGAGATATGATAAAGTGATCCCAGCCAGAACGGGACACAGCCAACAGCCATCCGAACCCCTCCCGCCATGCCATCTCGATAACGGTGCAACACACCATCTCTGGTGGCAACATGGTCCGAGCGGTACGGATATGCAGGGTAGCCAAGGCGCCCACATTCACCCACGTGGCGACCTCGTGGCCCGGACGCACGGACGGAATGCGGAGCGATGCTGCGATGCACTGAGTCCAGGATGTTGAATCAATCAATCTATTAACAATGAAATTTAATCAAGGAAGAGCTGCATGTGGCAAATATGCCAGGTTGATGGGACTTGGGGATTCCGTGTTGGGTGGAGGATGGCGGGACTTGGGGTTTGGAAGGGCTCGAATGCGTTATGGTGGTGGAGGGCAAAGGGCATGATGTGCAGAGCTGTAGTAGTTGGTATGGCGGAGAAGAAGGTTGGGCAGGGATGGAGGGCGTTGCTGTCTATTTGGAACGGCGGTGATGGGCTTACAAGTATGCATCGTGTGATTGATTGGGCCCTTGGGGGGGTGCAGGAGGGTGGTGTGCGGGATGTAACGTATGGAGAGACTCGTGCAGATGTCCGACGCTGTACTGGGTACGGAGGGGAATGCAGTTCAGTCCAGAGCAGAATGGTTATTGGGTGCAATCATCACTCTTGCAAAGCACAACAAAGAAACATGGTTTGGGTGCTATCTTCTCCCCACGAAGCGTACGCGAATGACAACTGGTCAGCCCATCGGTGTCTGGAACCGAGATCCTCGACCACACCACATGGCTAAGCTCATGGGCGGCGCGGGGACGGCGTCAAAGAAACACGTGGCAATGCGTGGCAGTGGGTGGCGATGCATGTGGTGATAGGTTGGGGGATGGGAGCTTGCGGAATACGCTGGCTCGGGCCCAGGAACGGAGGTGGGACGGACTTCTTCTTTTGTTGTCGATGACGACTCCGGTCAGGTCGAGCTCTCTGCGTGCGCCAGTTTGAGCCGTTTCATCAGCTCACCTGGGCAGCGTGCGTGGAGGGACTCCTCGTGATGCCGGCTCTTGATTAAAGGCGGCGGGTGTCTGCTTGCAAGAATCTCCTCCTCCCTTCACCACAACTGTCCGGTCACACGTGTTTGCACGCACTCTCCTGCAGCGAAATCTGTCGTGCCACCGTCGAATACAAGACAGGGAATTTACAGAATCTCACAGTTGACATCGCCGTCTCACCGCGCCAGGAGCCCATAGCGGCCCCAGCCTCCCCCCGATCCGTCTTGTTGATCCACACGCTTGGCTCACTGTGAAACACGCCAGAGCCCCGCCGTGCCCTGCGCTTTTCCGCGCCAGAAGAGACCTAGTCTACCTCCCTCCTTTTGAATCATCCATCGCTCCTCCTGCGATTCCCTCCGTTTCCCGCCTCCGACCTCATTTCACGCTCAAATTTCCGTACCGAATATCCCCTCTCCGCTGGCTGAATTCAGAAAGTCTCAAACAAGTCGAACAATCTGCCTCCCCTGAAATCCTACCCGCCCAGCAACACCCTCTCTCCTCAACCATCATGATGACGAACTCGGTCGAGTCCTCGCGACCCATTCTTGCCAACGTGAGTCGCGACTCTCCATTCGCCGGATCGCTGTTTCGCAGCCTCGCTTGTCTCTCCTTTCCCTGTCCCGCCTCCGCAGACCCTGGACTTACATCCTCCGCCTCTCTTATCCGTTATTATATCCCCCTTCCCCTGCTCTGTTTCTTCCTCAATCACACATCTCTCCATCTCTCTCTCCTCACCATGTCCCAACCTCAGCAACACCCCCCACTGACCCAACCCCAACAGAACGCCAACCGCGCCTCGGCCCGCTTCTCCACCTACAGCGCCGCACCCACCCTGACCCCTTCCATCGCCCCCTCGCACCTCTCCGCCGCCTCGTCCACCGCCGGCGACCCCAAGGCCCAAGAGATCAAGTCGTGGAACGCGGGATTCGAGCGCCTCGAGGACAAGCGCCTTGCCTCGCAGCGCTACCAGCTCAGCTCCGAGAAGAACGACGACATGAACAAGCTGGCCCTGGGCGCGAAGCTGGAACGCGCCCTCAAGAGGCGCATGAGCGGGCAGGATGCCGTGTTTCGCGCAAAGGACTTGAGTGAGAAGAAGGTCGAGGCGTAGTGTGAAAGATATTCTTTGGGTTTTGGGGCTCTTTGGAGCGTATATCATGCACAACCGGATTATTTCAAGGGACTTGGACTTTCATCAGGGATGGAAGTGGGACAATGAACTGCACTCTCCCACTTCGGATGCGGCTTGGACTTGCTTGCGACTGCTGCACAGAGGGGTACACATCGGGCATCGTTCACACAAGGCACGCTCATGATCATGAGGCTTTAGACCTTAGATACTTCGGAGTCCTCTTTCCGGATCCCTACCTCTTCGAAACTCTCTCGTCACAGGGTTCCTACTTTATCATTTTCCACGGCTATTCCCTCACCGGTTCCCATCTGTCATCACCATCATCACCCTCATCGGAAGTACAAAGGACATGGAAGGGCGAAGAATCATTCAAACCAAACTGCCACATACCATGAAATCTGCCGTTTTCTATACCGGGATTCAAGCGACGGAATGGGATCTGCACGGCGAATACAGTACTTTACTTCCAAGCTTTCCTCTGCACAGTAGTATACCATCATGTAGTCGTGTCTTTCCCGGTATTGTTCATTTCCTTTTCCTTCCGTTTTTATTTTCCCTTTATAAATTATACTCCTGCGATGGCAATAGTAATTCACGGGCTTTCCTCTCCTTTCCGGACTTCTTCCCCGGAAAGTTTAACTTGCCGTGATGATATGCTGACGTCCAGTTGAGAATAGCGAGCACTTAACGAGTTCGGCTTTTGGCACTGGAGGTTGAACGCATCAAGTTCGACTCCTCTGTCTGTCGAGTAGGTGGAACGAGGCGATGAAACATTAATCTAGCAGTCCAGTCCAGTTGTCATTCATAAATAACACTCCAGCCCCTAGAATCCAAACCAAACCCAATCCTAATCCCAATCCCTATGCAAACGGCACACCTACTAATAAACCGTCAACACACTCACAGCCCCATTCCTCAAAACCTCAAACACCAACCCCGGAAACCCAAACAACTCAACATTCCCGACCTCCGCCTCTCCACCCTCCCCAACCCCAACCCCAACCCCAAACCCACCATTCCCCCCCGCCAACGCCGACATCCCCACCTTCCTCCCCTCCCGCCTGTTCCCCCCCAATCCCCCATCCCACTGCGTCAGCAACTCCATACTACTCCCCGGACTATCCCCCCACCCGCGATTCAGCGCCATCCCCCTTTGCAACAACGCCTCCTCCTCCTCACTCTCATAAAACGCGCGAAACGCCCTTTTCAGTCTTGGCGCCAGTTCCTCTTCGAACCGCATCTCCGACGTTAATGGCTCCCTGTCCAGCCCGGCGCTGCAAATTTCGATTCGCCAGCGGCTCCTGCGGTGCCGGTTGAATTGGTAGGATCCAGGGACGTTGCCGTGGAAGAGGATTTTGGTGGCTGTCAGGTGCCCCAGGGGTATGGCGGAGGGTTTGTCGCTTTCTGAGGGTGGGGAGGCGGAGGGGGGAGAGAGGTCGGAGGTGCGGTGCGTGGGTTGCGAAATCAGGATGTCGAAGCCGTGCGTGTAGTAGTTGTAGAAGTGATCTGCGGAGTCGGCTTCGCGCTCGCGAATTGCGTCGTCGTCTTCCCAGTCATCGTCATCATCGTCGTCGTCATCGCGGTCCTCTGCGCCAAAGCCCGAGCTATCTTCGGAGTGACGCGGGTCATCGCGTCGGAACCCCGCCGCAGAGTTATCGGAGACATCGCTGGACCTGCGATCTTTCTGGTGGATGGATAACCGGTGGTCGCTCTTCTTGTATATCGAGTCCGGCGCACCGAGCTCCATGATGAGGTCCTGCGGTGTGGTTTCGTTGAGGACGAGCCAGAAGGGGGGGCTTGACCGCCGTATGAATTCTATCTTGCCCTCGTCGTGGATTCGTGCGAGTTCGATTTCCTCGGGCACGTCTTCGCGACCTTTGGTCAGCAGGGACGAGGCGCGTGGGTAGGGCGGAGGTGCCGTGAATAGTGTGGCCCTCGCCTTCTGCCAGGACTCTCCGCTGAAGACGGCCATGGAGGTCGCTGGTCCGGTTACGGAGGAGGAGAGCAGGGCAATCACGTTCTTGTCCGGGGAGTAGGAATCGTGGCGTACGGGGAAGTTGAAAGCGATGCCGGGATAGGAGAGGTTGTATGTGCCCTTCATTCCCGGGTCGTTTCCGCGCGGCGCTGTGTATTCACCGCCGTACGTCGGCCCCAGGACTTTGTCGTAAATGTGCCTGAACGTGGGTCCTGGCGCTCCCGATTTCATGGCGGTTTGTCCCACTGCCGGTTTGTAGATCTCGACGTCCTTGTACACAAGTCTGACTTTGCTGAAATCCAGCACTTCTATCAAGCGCAGCCGCTGGTCTGGTCCGTCGAACTGCAGGCGCAGCCCGTTATCGGGGAGGCCGACATGTATGGGCGATTCTATGGGGCGCTCGTCGTCGTGCGTCAGGTGGATCCGAGGGAAGCCTCTGACGTCGCCTTTGATGGTTGTTAGGACTTCGTGCAGCGAGCTGCCGAGCGTCATGAAGCCGACGGAGCGGCCGGGCTGGACGTGCATCGTGTTGTCCTCCATGTTGTCACGGTGTGTGGTATCAGGGTGGGAGTAGTTTGAGGACGTGATGCTCGGGGTCGGGCTACCCGTGCTGCGTCCACGGGACGTGGGATTGTGACCAGCATTCACAGGGCAGGGGATGCTCGACCAAGTATATGATGATGTAGGAAGCTGTTTTGGAAACACTGGAGCGCCGAAGAAACACGCGGTTTGACACTTGTAGCTGCAAGGCACCGGGGCTGGTGATGGCGAAAGGGACGGGGACGCGGAGTGGGCGGAGGTTGCGAGTACACAGCTATCGGAGGGAAGGGCAGTCGCGAAGTGGTTTTAATTCCACAAACTGAATGAGGGGCATTAGGGCAAGCTGCAACGAGGTTGTCAAGGATCAAAGGGAATATATTGTGTATACTCCGTACTTGGAATCAGTGAGCGAACTATCGCATGAAACGAAGTGTGAAAGCTGCCTGTGGAGCTCCCCCACCATTGTTATCACTCAGAGCACCCTGCTTACCGAGGGCGACAGGGGGATGTCCTTAAGCGAATAATCACGTGGAGACAGACAGGGGTTGTAAACTATAGGCTTGGCATTGTTTACTTTCTTGGGGACCAATGTTTACCAATCTCCACACTTCACCCATCGCTATCTAACACCACAGCCTTTTGATTATATACCTCTATTTGCCATGTCTGGTCTGCCTCGGGCGGGGCCGACAACCGGCAAGAGAGCGCCAATGAGTCGACCTTCGACAATGAGACCTCCGCCTCCTCCCTCAACTCGCGGCCGCTCTGCAACACCCGCGCTTAACGGGCGCGCATCACCAACAGGATCGGTCGCTTCTGCCAGAGTTAGGCCCTCACCGCAGGCTGGGATCAAACGGAAAGAGCGCGACTTCGAGCATGGTGGTGAAGAAACCAACATTAATGTTGTCGTCCGCTGTCGCGCTCGAAGCGACAGGGAGGTCAAGGAAAACAGTGGTGTGGTTGTGTCGACCAACGGTATCAAAGGAACGACAGTAGAGCTATCTATGGGCCCGAACGCTTTGAGCAATAAGACGTATCAATTTGACAAAGTCTTCTCACAAGCCGCGGATCAGGGGATCATCTTCGATGAAGTGGTGGCTCCTATCATGGGAGAGGTATGTCAGACAGAAGCTCACACATATGGGATGCTAATAGGATGAAAGGTCCTAAATGGCTTCAATTGTACCATCTTCGCCTACGGCCAGACAGGCACTGGCAAAACGTATACCATGTGCGGCGACATTTCCGACGTGCTTCCCCCCCCAGACCATGCCGGTATTGTGCCTCGTGTACTCTATCACCTGTTCAACAAACTCGAGGTCGAGGAAATTGAGAATTCCGTCAAGTGTTCTTTTATCGAGCTCTACAATGAAGAGCTGCGCGATTTGATTTCCGAGGACGACAACGCCAAACTGAAGATCTATGAGGAGAACAACAAGAAAGGTGGTAGCGCAACCATGGTTCAAGGAATGGAGGAGCGCTATCTGAAGAGCGCAAGAGAAGGCATCAAGGTTCTTCGGGCCGGGAGTGACAAACGTCAGGTGGCAGCCACAAAGTGCAACGACCTCAGCTCGCGCAGTCATACCGTCTTCACAATAACCGTCTATATGAAGCGGACGGCGGATGACGGCCAAGAATATCTAAGTGCTGGGAAACTGAACCTGGTCGATCTGGCAGGGAGTGAGAACATTCAGCGTAGTGGCGCTGAGAACAAACGAGCTGCGGAGGCGGGTCTGATCAACAAGAGCTTACTCACGCTGGGTCGTGTAATCAACGCTCTAGTGGATCGCAGCCCGCACATCCCATATCGAGAGTCGAAGTTGACGCGGTTATTACAAGATTCCTTGGGTGGTCGGACGAAAACATGCATCATTGCAACCCTGTCGCCTGCTAAGAGCAACCTCGAGGAGACCATATCTACCCTAGACTACGCCTTTCGCGCAAAGAACATTCGGAATAAGCCGCAGGTCAATCAGCTCATGTCGAAGAAAACCTTGCTGAGAGAATATACTACGGAAATCGAGAAGCTCAAGAGCGAGCTGCAGGCAACCAGATCTCGAAATGGCGTCTATCTTACACAAGAAAGCTATGATGAGCTCACCACGGAAAGCGAGTCGAGAAGGATCCTCAGCGAAGAGCAACGCGACAAGATCGAGACGATGGAGATCAATCTGCGGAACAAAGTGCAAGAGTTGTTCACGCTGACCACAACCTTCAGTACTCTCAAGAAAGACCACGAGCAAACGAAGCTTGCCTTGGAAGGCACGAAAGGTATACTTGAGAAGACTGAGGTGGTATTGGAGCATACAAGGCAGAATCTTGCCGAAGAGACCGCCCTCCGAAAGGCACACCAGAAGACCGAGGAGCAGCTCGCCCATATTGGGCAAGATATGATTTCCACCCTCGGGAAGACAACGTCCGACCTTGACGGTCTGCGGTCGAAAATCCGTCGCAAGTCGGATCTTCAATCGCTGAATCGCCACAACTGGGCATCCACGCAGTCCCATGTCATCGATACTACGCGGCTCGTCGAAGACCGGATCGCATCCTTCCAGGGCCAACAAGAAAGCATGATGGAGAGTCTTGCTACAAGGATGCAGGCGTATGTGAAAGATGAACTACAACAGCTGGGTGTCTCTCAAGCATTCCTCAAAGAAAACCTGCAAGCTTTCGAACAGTCGGAGAAGGAGGTCAAGGAACAGACCGCCAAAGCGCACGAGGACTCAAACCAGGTATTGGAGGAAATCAAGACGCTGAGGGAGGACGTCAAACGGAAACTGGGAGCAGGCTTGAATGAGCTCTCGGCTGCTGCTGAGAATATTTCGGCCAATATCATTACTGAACTGGAAGCCTTCCACACTCAGGTACGTGATTATTAATCTGTCCTTCGTTCAGTGACTAATGGCGTTAGTTGCATGTGTCGTATGCAGCCCTGGGAAGAGAGTTCAAGAACACGTTTGACGATCTCGTCAAAAGCCTGAACGAGCAGCAGGCCGAGAATGATCGACTTCGGCAGCAAATATGTGAGGCAAATTCTGCACTCGTGGCCTCGAATAAGACAGCGCAGACCAGAATGGTAGACGTGGTGGAAGAAGAGAGGGAAAGATCCGCCAGCGAACGACAGCAGCTTTTGGCGCAGATAACCTCGTTGATTACAGCCAATGCTGAAGCCCAGGAGAAGAGACTGCGCGAGCAGATGGCCCTTGTTAGTGACAGCATCGCCGCCGCTAACGCAGAGCATCACGTTCAGCAGAGCGTTTATAACGAGGGCATGGACGCCTGGTCAGCGAAGGCAAATGACATTATGAACGGGGTATCGAAATCAAGAGACAATGTTAAGGCACAGATCAAAGCCGATTTCGCGGTAAGTCGCTCGCCGTCCTGACGAAGTCCCCATGCTAACGCTGTTTAGGCCGCGACGCAACAATCCAGTTCGATCAAAGACACCACAACGTCGGTCCATGCTCAAACAGTCAAGACAGTGGAAGCACAAATGGCGCATATGGACACTCAACTTCATTCTCTTGACGATATTGTGTCGCGCATTCGCGCCCAGAACGATATCCATCACGCAGCTCACACCTCCTCTCTCAACTCTCTGTCGTCCACCGTCCAATCATCCTACACTAGTATTGGTGATAATTTCTCAGCGTCTTTCGACCGCGTGCAGTCCCTGGAATCAGATATGTCCGCTCAAATCACCGAGTTCAAGGATACTCTTCCTGGCCTTTCGGAAGGATCCTCAATCCGGGAACCCCTGCGGACACTGCGGGATGAGATCGCGGACCAGCACCTCATGGAATACGAGCCAACAGGCGAAACGCCTCAACGTACGATCTATAAGATCCCCGCAGGGTTGCCACGCACCGAGAGTCACGATACCCTCTTGGCCCGCCTACGAAGTGGCTCTATGTCCTCGGAAGCGAGCCGTAGCCCTTCCAAAACGCCGATATTCAACGACGCCACTAACTCTGTTTCGGGCTTGGAAGATCTCATCACCATCTCCTCTAGGCCTATATTCGCCCCGTCCATCAGCACTGCACCGACAGGCGCAAGCACCGCCGTCCCCTCTCTCCGCGAGTTAGATGTTAACGTCGTCTCGCAGGAATCCAATTTTCCCCTCGGCTCCCCGCTGGACGAGACCAGCACAGCGGCAGCACCTCCCCTCAAAAAGCAGAACAGAGGCGGAGGTGCGGATAGTGATTCTATCAAGGTGCTCATGAAAAAGATGGCGAGGAAGACCGTTGGTGGAATTGCGGCGAGCCGAGGCGCGGATGATAGGGAGAACCTGACCATCACGAACTTCTCTTCGAGTATCGGGCCTGGGTTCGCTACGGGACGGAGACTGAGGAGTCATGGGAGCGGGTAGATACTAGCTGTGGATCGTGAGCGGAGAGGGTAACACGGCAGTGGATAAAGGGTGTAATATAGGATAGTTGGGGCCAGTGTGTATAGAGGATGTTTTCTCTTTGATACTGTTTCTAGAGGTCGGAGGAATTGCGCGCGTGCGCGTGGCGTTGGGGCGGTAGGGAAGGGACTCTTTTCTTGCTGACTGGGTTTGAGAACTAGGCGGTTATGCCGTACATGCACTATTTGTGCGCTGGTTTCAGACGAGAAGATGTACAACTTGCATCTATGTGAATGTGCTCGTTGGATCGCGCTTCCCATGTTCCTCTTGCTGTGCCACAGTCATACAGCAACTTACGCGCCGGTGGCAGCATCTATGTGCGCACAATAGAGCATCGGAATGCGCGCGCTTAGTGTGGCGTAATATATCTACAAGAGTCTATATTCTATTCCGTTTCAATCGACTTGACGGAATAGCGCGAGACGCTACGGAGTATACCAAAGCGTTTCATGCTATTGATACACACGTTCATGGCAGCCTATGAGTTTCTGCAAGCAGGCTTGACACCAGACTAATCCATGCTCTGAATAGTTATGTAGTTGGTTCCGTTTTCGAATGGTAAGGGTCTCAGATGAGAATGAGCTCAGAGAGAGGAGGTGTATATAAACCTTAGTTCTCCTGATGTTCGCCCACTTTGTATCAAGTAAAGACAACAAATCAACATCCGGAAGAACTTTTACTGCACTACTTCGTTTTACGCCTTTCTTTTCTGGCTATTTGTGTGCTCCAATAAATCATCTCCGCCGAAATACTCATCCACAACCATGTCGAGGTTCGCAGAATCCACCGGAACAACCTCAGTGAGCCTTACCTCCACATCTCTCCCACATCGAATACACACTAACTTCTCTAACAGTACTACGGCCTCCCGCACATCAAAGCCGACATCTACAAGCTCGCAGGCAACCCCACCGAATCCGCCATCCGGACAATCTGGCTGGCCATTCTAGCCTACACATTCCGTGTTACGTCGGATTTCTCGCACTCGTACGAGAGCGATGTCTCGGGCGGAGTCGTCGTGGTGAAGCACAGGCAGCAGAAAGTGCTCGTTGTCAAGTGCAAGGCTGCTCAGTGTGGTACAAAGGCAGACGTGTGGACGGCAGCGGCGGAGCAATTGCAGGAGAGAATGAAGGAGAATAGGGTCTATGGTGCCGTTGCTATTGGAGGGAAAGTTAGGTTTTACGAGTATGATGGTCGCGAGCAGAGGGTTGTGGGGTTGAAGGGGCATGAGAAGGAGTTTGATCTCGCGGGTGATTGTGAGGGTGTTCAGAAGGTGTTGGATTCGATGAGGGATGGGGGTAGGTGAGATGTGTGTAGGTGGGGAAGACGGTTGTTGTGAAGGTGTTGTTGGTGGGTGACCATGTAGGATACATTTCCCACAGATGTTGGTAGTACCGTGGAAGTGAGGTCTAGGTATTATATTTTGCTAAGGAGGAATCTGCTCTATAACTCGTACTTTTAACCGCGCTGTGATTCTCAGTTAGTTCAGTGTTTCTGTTTGTTTCGCTATTAGTCTTCGGTCAGATACAGTATAAGTAGACTATTTAGCACAACTGTAAACATTGCTAGATACTATGAGAGGAATTCTCAAAACTGAAACTGCAACTGGCCATTAATTATCTTGGTAAAGTAGATCGGAGGCCTTTTAACACTCCCGGATAAGGGCGTGGAATCGATATTATAAACCGCTTCTCCCTGGAAAATTCTCATCGCATTGTCGCAATAACAGAGAATTCACGATGCACTCGGACGCAGACGAGAAATGAATCCAAATAGCTAGTAGTATTCCAAAGTTCACATTACATGTCGTGGACGTGGACCTACGCATCTCAAGGAAGTACAGTGCATCAACAGATGTTCACCCGAGATATTTCCGAGCCTGGACCGCCGCATTTCAATTTTGAGACGAATGTCCAGCAACCAAATGCTTGAAGCCTACACACCTCTCCGGCCACCCATGATGCTACTATGCTAGCGCCGACGCGAATCCTACGCGCATCATGGTCGAGCACGCTCCGACTTCCAAAATCTGCCTTTCCCGCGCGCCCTCTGCCCGCCGCCAATCCCGAATACCTTCGACGATGCACCGATGAGCTGTACGCATGGCAGCAAAATGCTCGCTCGAAGCAAGACACCAATGCGCAGGATATAGAGACTTTTACTTTGCATGATGGGCCTCCGTATGCGAATGGGCCGCTGCATATCGGCCACGCGCTGAACAAGATCACAAAAGACGTTATTTGTCGGTATGAGCTTGGGCAAGGGAAAAGAGTCAGTTATATCCCGGGATGGGACTGTCACGGTCTACCTATTGAGATCAAGGCTCTTCAGGCGCAGAAGAAGGATGTCGATGCACATACAGACCCCGTCAGCGTGCGGGAAGCGGCAAGAGCACTGGCGGCTGCGACCGTGGAGGAGCAAAAGAAAGGCTTCAAGGAGTGGGCAGTTATGGGTGACTGGGACCATGCATATATGACCATGGAGCCGAGCTTTGAGATCAGACAGTTGCAGATTTTCAAGGAGATGTTCGAAAGAGGTCAGTCGCGTCGGCGAAGGGAGAGGAGAATTCGAAGCTCAGTGTATTGACTGTCTTCAGGCTGACTTAGTGGATCGTGCAGGTCTCATCTATCGACAGCTGAAGCCTGTGTATTGGTCTCCGTCTTCTCGTACTGCACTCGCTGAGGGCGAGCTTGAATACGATGAGAACCACAAGTCTTTGGCAGCTTTTGTGCGGTTCCCAGTTGTTCTGTCGGATGAACTGAGGAATGGAGCACTCTCTGAAATCAAGGATTCTCTTAGTATTGTGATCTGGACGACAACACCCTGGACATTACCTGCAAATAAAGCTGTGGCGGTGCATAAGGGTATGGACTACGCCATACTGCAAGACCCAGAGCATGGCAACGAGCTAGTCTTAATCGCTGCCTCGAGGGTTGCCCACTATCAAGACATGGTAGGCCACGAAGTCATGATCATTCCGACGAAACTGCGTGGTGCGGATTTGGCCGGTCATCTCCAGTACGAAAACCCTTTCCAGAGGGCAAATGGACTACAACCTGTACTTCACGCCGACTTCGTGTCAGACTCGTCCGGAACAGGTCTTGTTCACATTGCGCCAGGCCATGGAATGGACGACTACCATGTCTGCACCTCCCTCAACATCCCAGCATTTGCACCGGTGGACGATGCGGGCGCGTTCACAGAAGACGCTTTCCCGGAACATCCAGAGCTTCTGCAAGGTCTTTTAGTGTCCGACGTCAAAAAGACAGGATCAAGAGCCGTGCTCGATTATCTTGAGAGACAGGATATGGTTCGCGCAAAGCACAATTTCAAGCACAAGTATCCCATTGACTGGAGGACAAAGCAGCCCGTGATTGTCCGTGCAACGGAACAATGGTTTGCCAACGTGGATGGAATCAAAACCGAGTCCATGAAAGCAATTGAGGGCGTAAATTTCATTCCTGAGACGGGACGATCGAGACTCGAGAGTTTCATTCAGGGCCGGAGTCAGTGGTGTATTTCCCGTCAACGTGCTTGGGGTGTGCCCATTCCCGCCCTGTACAAGCAATCGGAGGGCAAACTCGAAGCCACAATGGATGCGGATACGATACAGCATATCATCGACGTCATCAAAGAACGCGGCATAGACGCATGGTGGACTGATCCTCCAGAGGACCCTGCGTGGAAGCCGGCGCATCTGTCCGGTACTTACATAAGAGGCAGAGACACGATGGATGTCTGGTTTGACAGCGGAACCAGCTGGTCACTACTTCCTCGAAACGGGAACCATCCTGTGGCCGATGTGTATCTTGAGGGAACTGATCAACACCGCGGCTGGTTTCAGTCCTCGCTCTTGACGCATGTAGCCACCCAACAATGTGACATCGGCAATGTCAAAGCACCCTATAAAATGCTCATCACTCATGGTTTTACCCTCGATTCGGACGGCCGCAAGATGAGCAAGAGTCTTGGAAACGTCATCTCTCCTGCTCAGATCATGTCAGGCGAATTACTCCCCCCTCTGAAACGTAAGAAGCAGAAGGGAGCTAGAAAAGACCAACCCAACGACGCAGCGCCTCAGTTCGACTCGATGGGAGCAGATGCTCTGCGCTTATGGGCAGCCAGCAGCGACTATACACGGGATGTGACAATCGGACAACCTGTATTATTGTCTGTGAATCAGGCTCTGCATAAGTACCGGGTAACGTTCAAGTGGCTGCTTGGTATCTTCTCTCTTCCAACATGTCCTCCGCCTTTCACATCCTTCAATACCATTCGTTCCGAACTGAGCATAGAAACGGACTCTGTAACCCTCCTCTCGGACAAACTTGCCAGGCACCGTCTCACGCAAGTGAGTCAAGAAGTACACGCTTATTATGCCAGATATGAATTCTTCAAGGGCATCAACACGATCAACAAATACGTCTTCAATGACCTCTCGGCCTTCTACTTCGAAACCCTCAAAGATCGCATTTATACTGGATCCAAGCACGATTGCCAGACACTGCAAAAAGTCCTCGGTGTTATCTTCTACGAGCTGCTCCAAATGCTTGCTCCCATCTGCCCGATCCTCGTCGAGGAGGTTTGGGACTACCTTCCTGAAACACTCAGACAAAACTCTATTCACCCAGCTCGAGCTACATGGACGCCTCTTGCCCTAGCTTCTCCCCCGGCGGAAGGACAAACTACAGATATCTCCGCACGACAACTAGACCAGTACCAGGAATTTATTCACACCGTTGGCTCCGCAATCAATACCGCCCAGGAGCGCCTCCGCGCCGCCAAGAAGATGGGTTCATCCCTCGAGTGCGACGTCGTCATCGGCATGGATCCAAGGGCTGCCGACAGCCACTTTGACGAGTTCGTCGGTTGGGGAGGTTCGCAGAAGAGCGAAGAACTCGCAGGTTTGTTCGTTGTCAGTGGGTTTGAAGTGCGTAATATGAATGAATTGGACGGCCTGAAGGCAGCGTTGGAGGAGGAAGGGGTATGGTGTGAGCTTGAGACTTTCAAGATTGGAGAGACGGAGAGAAAGGTGCTCCTCCGTAAGGCGAATGGGTGCAAGTGCCCCAGATGCTGGAGATATGTTGCCGAGGAGCCGGAGAGCTTGTGTGGAAGGTGTGAGGAGGTGGTTAATGAAAAGGCTGTACAAGTTTAGATGTACGATAGATGGTGGCTTCTTCGTTGTATTTGTTCCCCATAGACTGTAAGATATAGAGCCCAACACAGTTCCACGGTCGCTATTAGACTGTAAGGTATCCGTCGTCATCCACACTTGCAGCCTTCTCATGACCCAACCACTGCCTGGCCTTGAGAATAGTGCATATTCAATTCCAGAACCTAACGCCATCCTTCTCCAACCCATCATAAACCGCCTTCTCCACCGCAACCCAAGCACCCACGACCTTGGGATCCCCAAACGGCAACACCTGGCTCGCAATCATCCCCGCAACCCCCTTCTCCCTATCCACCCACCAAAACAGATTCGCCAATCCAGCCCACCACGCCGTATTTGCCGCACGGCCCGTCGCTCCCGGCGCAATCGTCAGGAAGAAAGAAAGACCCCCGCCCTGTGGGGGATTGCCTTCCTGCGGGTACATCTCTTTGGAGTGGTTGGCGAGGAGGGGGTTTGCTGGGGGTGTGGCGTTGCGAGCGAAGTTGGGGCTTGAGAAAGGTGTTAGTAATGAGCTGAGATTGGAAAAGGGGGGAACGGGAGGGGACGTACTGCTCGGGGATTTGATTCTCGAACATCGCGTTCACGGTGTCGGCGGAGAGGATTTTGGCGCCTTGGTAGGACATGTGCCGTTGTTTGCTAGGGCGGTGAGGACCTCTGGTGCTCATTATCAGCATATATTTCCGCTGACTTCGTGACGGAGGGATACGAACTAATATACTCCTTTGGTTTCGCGAATAAACCCGCGCCACCGGAATGAAGGAATCTCTGCTGCTCCTCTTTCGACGTCGTATTGAATGCCCGGCGATATAAGTGATCGCGCTCGTGCAAGACGCCGGTTGGGTCCCGCTGGTGCATGTACGCTAGGTTGCCGCGCATCTCTTGAGTAGGGAACATGGTCACGTTGTGGATGCCTAAGGGCTTGAAGATATGCTCTTGGAAGTAGTCATTTAGTTTTTGGCCGGTGGCGCGCTCGAGGACGATGCCGGCCCAGTCGACGTTGGTCTACACATAAGTTAGCTTATCTACCGCCTCTACTTCCCTCTAGATGATTGAGGATGAATGGAAAACGAAAACAGAAAACGTACACCGTACTGCCACACCGTACCCGGCTGGTTAAACAACGGCGTATCCAAGATCTCCTTCTCGTCACCAGAAAACTCATCAATTCCAACAGGCCTACCCCAAATCGTCGGTCTCGGATCCAAAAACGTATACGCGAATCCCGCGGTGTGCGACAACAGCATTCTCAGCGTGACCGGTCTCTGCTGCTCCGCCGGCGTCACACCGTCCGCGTACACTTTCTTCTGCCCAATTTCAGGGGCGTACTTCCTCACGGTCTCGGGGTCGTCGAGCGAGAGTTTGCCTTGCTCTACTAGTTGCATGCAGGCGATAGCCGTGACGGTCTTGGTGCACGATGCGATCCAGAATGTAGTGTCCATGTCCATGGGTTGGTTGGAGTTGATGCCCCTCGTCCCTGACGCGTGTTCAACGAGCGTCTTTCCATTCTTGTCGACGGCGATGAAGACGAGGCCTGGGGAGCCGGTTTTGCCCCCAGAGGTAACCCCATCGAGGATCGATATTACGGACTGTACGGCTTGAGCGGAGAGAGGCATCATGGTGCTGATATTTGTGAAGGGAAGGGAAGTTGATTACTTTCTATACAGGCAATATCTACCGCAAAGGTATGAGCGCGTGCAACAAACATAAAAGCAACGATAATGCCGGACGGCAAGCAGGCCGGGAATTGGTATTTACACAAACAGCGGATCAGGCTAGAGTCAGTTATGGGAGGACCCGTATTGCCGAGCCTCCGGTGAGGTACGATGTGACTCTCCGTGACCAATGGCAAGGCCAGCCGAGGATTTCGTGGAACCATTCTCCACTACGCGATTGGGGTTGGTCGTGAGCTTGGTAGTGGTTGGAGAGTCTGCCCATTCGAGTCGGAGAAGGGGATCACTGGCGAGGGGAGGTGTGCTGTTGGATCTGATGACCAAGTAAGGTGATATTGTACTGATATCAGAGGCGGAAAGCAACGGATCCAGAAGTCGATATTCATTATCTGAACATTATCTGCTATATCAGAGTATGCCCAACGGGATGAGAGTGCCCCTACTATCGGACGCCGTCTTCCAGAGCGCAGTCCCCACCTACGAAAAGCCTAGGTCCCCGCGTAGTGCGGGGGTGGGAGTTTCTCCACCGGGAGTTGACCGACCAACTCCGAGCTAAGGCCCGCGTACTACGGTTTTTTAGTACTGTGCCAACCCCTAGCTGTGGTCACATTGGAGATACTGAGTAACTCTTGAGCGCTCTGACACCATATGCATAGTCCAGGAGGGACATGACTTTGAGCATGCCCTTTGTATGGCGAGCGCAGTGTTCTAATTTCTGCGCCGGTTTCTTCCGCATATCATCCAAAACGGTCCTCATCACTTCAGGCGTTCTTCCTTGCCTTGAGTGCTCTTATGATACTTTGGAGTTCCTTTAGGGCGGCCATGACTAGCGGTACGGCAATGGGACCAAGGAGAGGTAGATATACTGCCACCTTGTGCTCATCGGGAAAGTAAACTTGGCCAACCATGGAGCGCTCAAAGAAAGCTTTCTCAGCTTCCGCTTCCGCAATCCTGGCATGTTCCAAGGCGGTTCTGAAGCGTCCACCTCGAAGATTGTCGCAGGCGTGCTGGAGATGTGCAGTAGTGAGATCCACGGATTTGGCGACCTTGTCTGGAATGGGGATGGACGGAAGGGCATTGTACAGTCGTGCTAGCGCCCCCAGGGTTGACGACGCAGAAAAAAGTAGAGATGCAGCGCGCGAGCGCACGAGGGTCGAAAGACGAAGGGGTAGCGAAGCCGGAGCACGGGGCAACCCGAGGAGTGACATCAACTGGTCAGAAAAAGTATGCATTGCAGGTGCGAGGTCCTGCTTGGTCAGCACAGGACCAAACTTATCCGTCCCGGATGGGTTGAGAATCACAACGCCGCCCCATTGTGGGATAAGCCAGCTATTAGCTCCACTACCTTGCACCAACAAGGGCGTTTCGGCCTGATCGGGAACATAGAGAACGAAGTTCACAGTGGGCCCGGCTCCAATGCTTGGACTGAGTGGCCATTCAGCAGCGTTGATGAAACCACTCAGGTCCTCCTTACGAAGCAGCCATGCTTTCTGATCCTCATCATAGACGGGCTTCTGGATGCTGGGGGAGTAGGCCGAATACAATTGGACCTGGGTATCGATTGTGAAATTGCTGATCGATGCGAAGGAGTCCAGAAAAGGCGATATGTATTGCTTGAGAGCAGACTCAATCCTCCAGTCGGACGGAATGAAGGTTGGAGTGAACAATGAGAAGGTCAAATGGTAAGTGGGCGCATATTTGAAGGCGATGGTTGACTGCCGCTCGAGCTCCGCAGCCGTCTCTGGGGAAAACGATTTTACTTTAGCCGTGGGGATTTTGGATTTGGTAGATAGTAAGTAGGCAAGAAGAGCCTGCTCCTCATCGAATAGTTTGTGAAGCTCCTGCGCCATGAAAGTTGCCAGGGGTGAGCCCGTGGATGATGGTGATGGCAATTGATTCGCGGCGTAGTAGATATCCAGAGTTGGAGAGTAAGCCCGCAGCATAGACCTAGGTGTATTCCCTGTTCCCACCTGAATCAACCGTATAAGAAGCGCAATATCCTCCTCATGCCTCGCGTCAACAGTTGTACCATCGCTCACAATCTGCTGGGATGTGTTGGCAACCCAAGGAGAGTCGGCGAGCATGAGGCGCAGATGATGAGCGGAGAACTCGTTCAAGTCGTCCAGAGCATGTTGCGTGGTACGAATGAGGTGCTGCGCTTCGGAAGGAGGTATCGGGACCTCGACGGCAATGCGGAGTGGGAAGACTGGCTTGCAAACCTGACGGCATTAAGAAAACTTCACGCGCAGTTGCCTCGCACATACCTTTCCGTCAGCCCAATCTGTCATGGTCTGCAAGGGGAGTTCCGCTCGATATATAGCTGTCGTCTTCCACCATACCGGTAGACCTAACAGGACCGCGACGAGCCAAAAGGAGAGGATAACGGAGCGTCTCAACCACACGCTTTCCTTGGTTTCGGGTGGGGGATTGACTTTCGAGGAGCCCATCCGAACATTCGACGAATCCGCTGGGGAAACATTGGGTTCCAGTTCACCAGGAACTGGCTCGTCCGTGCTCTCCTTAGAAGACATGTTGGGATGAGGTTCGTGGAGTTGTTGCGGTCACTTTTAGGTAGACGGACGCTAGCTCGGAAGGGACTAGCTCGTGCTTAATCGGAGATAACCTTGGTGCAACCTCACCCATCACTCCTTTACACAAAGAGGCGTACTTTTTCTCGTGCCGTGCTTCTCCCCCCTATTTGCTTACTTGCGTATTGCAGTACTCGCATCTGTCTTCGTATACGGCCTCTTGTGTGAGAGGCTTGGCTCCGTAAGGCTTTCCTGAATGACAGCATACGGCAACAATATCGCCAACAGTCCTGCAGCTGAGGAAGACTGCTGCACCTTTCACCCTCGCGAGTTGCTAGCAAGGAACACATGGAGCCGAGCAGCCTCTCGGCCAAACTGAGGTCATTCAGGGGTGGAATGGCTACACAACTACTCCGTACTGTCACATGCATCCCGACAGCATAGTATCCGAACAACGTGTTTCGCGATGTCGTGCTCCCAGAAGCATGCTCAACAGCTGACCAGGATGCTGGCACGCAAATACATCTTCATCCATTGGCAATGGAGCCGCTCCCGGTTTGTCCTTAAGCTGAGATCCCAGCATCGGGGCTCTATGCGCATGCAAGAGCCAAGCAACGTCTCGACAGAAATGACAGGACCCGCATCATATCAACCTTTTGTTTTACCCACCTCGCATAACATGCGCCCCCGTGGCGTGTGAAGGACTATATGTTGAGGTGGTCTGGGCATCGGAACATACACCTCTACATCCAGAGAGGCCCCACATCGTGTGGGGAAGCGTTGCGGCGGGAGGCTAGCCGTTTGTCAGACTGTGATCTAGGTTCGTTTTGCAACGGATATGATATCAGAACCACGTTCTCTCCTTCTATTTTGAGGACCGTGGGCATGCTTGGGTTAATAAAAAAGGGCAAAAAGCTTCACTCCGTTGCCACACCCGCTACCCAAATGCATGGCACGCTAGCAGTCGTTTCGGTATGTTCAATATCTACTCTCCTCCTCAGTCGCCTTCGGATTTGCTTGAACCCGGATTTGTGGAGTCCTTCAGCATGGTATGTTCCTAGCCAGGCATGTGGTTATCACCCGGCTATTTATTCCAACTCCAATAACTGTTCCATCTAAACCATATGCTCTCACTATACGGATAAATTCGTCCACCTCTCAAAACACATTGAATGTGAATTACGCACCCAGCCCTGGTATTCCAGAAACGTCGTTTTCCAGCGGCGCATTGCCCGATTTCTGAATAGACACCAAGAATGTCGAAAAGAATGCTTCGTATGCAATCAAAACCATTCGTCGCAGCGTAGGAGCATCATTCCATTTTTGTTCCCGCCATCTAGCCTCCTGCTCAACCGGGTTGCGTGCTGGAGTCACGCGAGTTCATGGGTCTGACCTGTTTCCTTTTAGTTTATCGTGCACCTCGCCTTGTATATCGTAACTCTGCTGCCGACCCGGAATAGAAGAGTAATGCCAGATTGATCCTTGGCAGCCATCGCTCTACTAATAAGTTTATCTTGCCGCCGCCCCAGGAAACCGACAGTGACACGACTGCTTTCATCACACTCCAAGCCGTGATATACTACCTCTCCCTCTGCGTCCGCCGATTTATTACCTGTTTGGCTCAGACACTGAGAGGGTATCACCTTCGAGATGCAGCTTACGTCTTGCCTTGTGTGGGCGGGTGCTCTGGTTGGCTCTGGTATGTAGTTGTACATGTCTCCCAAGGATGTCATATACTAACCTTAAGCTTCAGCCTTGAGCAGACCCAGCGGCCAGGCGGCTGCCGATAATGCCGCAGTTGTGTTCGACTCTGAGACTGGCTTCACCTTCTCCGAGTTCAAGGTTGCCTACTCGCTGACGGCCAACATCGCCTTCCGCGTTGCTGTCCCCGCGGCCGCGCAGTCTGGCCAGCCGTACGATGTGGTTTACCAAGTCGTTGTCCCCAACCAGGTTGGCTGGGCTGGTATCGCCTTCGGAGGCAGCATGACGTACAATCCTCTCCTGGTCGGTTGGGCAAACGGACAACAGACTCAAACCTCCACGAGATGGGCAACGTAAGTCACATACTTCAACCCTTTTTGTGATTTCGCTCACTCATCATCATAGCGCGCACTCCCAGCCCACAATCTACAACCAGGCGACGCTCCAGAAACTCACCACCGGCAACCGCGTGAACGGAACCCACTGGCAGTTCACCGGCAAGTGCACCGGCTGCACGTCCTGGGCCAACCGCAGCGGAGGCAAAACCACCCTGAATCCAAAGGGCACCAACCGCCTGGCCCTCGTCATTTCCAACAGCAAGCCGCAGCAGCCGTCCAACCCCAGCTCCAACTTGGTCATGCACGAGAACCCGATTTACTGGAGCCAGAGCTTCACTGAGGGCTCCAACGCAAACTTCGATGAGCTGGTGAGGAAGAACGGCGGAACTGTTACGTCGGGGAATTCTACGTCTGAGACTCCTACGTCTGAAACCCCCTCGTCTGGGACCCCCCAGTAGCGTATTGTTGGTGTCTAGAGCATGGATGGAGAAAGGAGGGTGGTGGAGGCTCGACTGCTGTATACATTGTTTGTGTTCATTGTATATACTAGCATCAGCGTCATATTCATGCGATAACTCTGAATTCGATTTCGTCAATTTCCTTCCCATTGCCTTGCCGTGAAGGGCCCCAGGTGTGCAAGAACCTAGCTTCAGAGCTTGAATGGACGCGAGTCGCCAACACGAAGAATTCTAAGCGACAGAAAATTTTCTTTAGTGACGTGACAGTTCGCCCTCGTCATTGTCTTAGAGTATCAAGGTCTCCACGTGGGTCCCAGGATGATTGCACGCCCTGTGGATCGCAATATGGAAGTCCACGTCCATCACGGCAGAATGCACTAGACAGGTTCTTTCGGAAACACACGAGGCAAAAATTGATCTCACAATGTACATAAGTTTAATCAACAGAAAGCAACGACAAAGCAATATGCCGATGCATTAGCGAGGGGTTAAAGGAAACCAAACCACACAGCATCATGTACACGTCGCCCGCCAAACCCACAAAAGCCTGAACACAACTACGATATCGCAAGCTCGTGAGAAGGAGCGAGACGAGCATGACCTTGCGGTGGGATTTTCTATCATGCTGTGGACCTCTATGCCTTGATGGCCTTGGAGCCGAGGGGCATCTCCTTGAGCCCTGTTGTCTAGCTGTCAGTGACTGTTCACTCATCATCGAACAAGAGGGAGACCTACATCCATCGACATCCTCGACGGCTTGCTGCTTCTTCTTGCAGGCATTGTACTGAGCGGGCTGCTGGGTCGTGAGGCCGGCCTTGGGGCAAGCATTGTTGAGGTTGCAGCCGTTGTCCATGGCCTTCTGGAGCGAGTCGCCCTCCCAGCCGAAAACGTAGTCACCGTGGGCGGCAGATCCACTAGTATACTCGTTAGAGAATGCTGACAGTTGCGTACTCCGTCGAAGAACGACTTACCCAATGTTCATGCTGTAGACGAAAGGCTTGGAGCCGTCAGTGGGCCACATGTTCTTATCCGCGAAGTTTGTCACGTTCCACATAAGCTCGTACATAATTTGCGGGACCTTGACGGGGTGAGTCGAAGGGCAGGAGCCGCCACCGTTGGCACCGCTGCCTTGGCCGTAGGCCATGTGGGACTGGTGGTCGGGAGAATCGAGGTTCTTGCCGTCCCAGCAGCTGTCACTGAGTCAGTTTTTGTTCAGATGATATCGCGACCGGGGACATACGTAGGGAAAATGATGGTCTGGCGGATCATCTTGCACTTGGGGTCCGCAGGGATGTCGACGGTGTCGGAGTTGTCGCAAGGAGCGCCACCGACGAACTTGTCCTCGTTGCTGCTGGTCCAGCAGCGATGGCAGATGCGAGACTTGACGACCTTGCTGGGATCGGTGTTACCGGCGTTACCTGCAAGCATACGGAATCCCTATTCCGCAGTTAGTTTGGTTGCCTTCTTGTATCTTCGCACACGGGTTCTCACCTTCTTGAAGGCCGTCACTTTGCCGCTGGGGATATAGTAGATATCAAGACCGCCATCGTTGATGAGTTTGCCCTGAGGTCCACCGTTTCCGACCTGTGGCACGCGGATGTAGCTGCCGTTCTTGTGCTTGAAGAACATGACGGCGGTCCAGTAGTTGGACTTGTCCTGAACGAAGCTGCAGGATGTGCACTTGGAGAGCTGAGCGATATCCTGGGACGGGTCCATGGTGACGTTGAAAGCGTCACCGCCGACAATCTGGTGAAGATGGGGAGTGTACTTCATGCCAGGGTTGACGAGGGGATCTGTCCGCTCAACGACCAACTGTGAGCATGCGAACCGAAGCATGTTGCCTTGAGCAGCAGCCTGCTCGACGAGGAGTGCCGTCGCGGCGGCAGCAAGAGTAGCCCACTGCATGATGTTGGAGTATCGACAGTCGACGTGTGTTTTTCCTTATTCTTTTTCTGGCGGATAACGAGGGTTGACTTTCGACTATCTCAAGGAACGGAGACAGCAGGTTCGAAAAACCACGGCGAGGAGAAAGGGTTGCACTTCACGCATCGTACGCTCCTTATATCGCTGTGCCTCAAGGCCCCATATCCCCACACCGCATGGTCCAAGTGCCGGCTGTGCAGAATCTTGTCCGATGGTTCTCTGAAATATACGGTTAATCTATTGTATATGGGTCTTGGGCAGGTATACCTCGTACCGCCGTTGGTTGCGGATATTACCCAGCATTACCCTTTGCGGAAATTATGGGCCTCTCGAATTCTGAGTCGTTTACGAAACAGCCAGGTGACTGGATGGTGAGAGCGCGAAAACAATGTTTCTCGCGTTTCTCATCCATGACAGGTTCCGGCTCCCCGGATGTAGGCTCTCGAGGGCTAGAAGGGCTCTTCTCATGACACGCCGTCGCACAGCGCCCAGTAAGATTCTCTCTACGGATGCTTGGCAGTGAATCTGGTGGCGGACCTCTCCACATACTTGATCCCAGGACTGAGGCTCTCTGATAACTTTCGGCGTGGAGACCACACAGCGTGAGCAGCGCAGTCAGCCTGGGCGGGACAGCAGGGAAGAGCCCGTGGAACTGCATCGAACGTATTTCAGACGCCGAACCCGAGAATCTGAGGCACAACTACGTCAGAGAGTAACGGAATGGAAGACCTACGGAGACCCTCCTGCCATCGTCGCGGTACATAGTAGGGTATATTGCACGGAATGGCCCGACCCACGTGTCTCCTGATGGATTTCCGAGATATAGTACCCTCTCCAGGCCTGAACATTACGTCCCGATTATTTGTAGAAGCAGTCATAAGCAGAAAGTTTTCGTGGAGCAACACATGCAGCTCTTCAGTATCAGGATCGCGAGGATTGTGGGAGGACAAATGAAGAAGGAGAAGATACAGCTGTCAACCATCCCAATCCTCAAAAGGAAGAGAAGGAAGCAAACTAGCGTAGGATCTGCAGCCGTTAATCGACCAGGAGAGGCAGGAGCCACGAGGATCGGAAACTTCTAGTTGCATTCTCTTGCATGTGGATCTCAGCTGGCCTGCACGCTAACCTACCGCGTGGCCATTATCCGTTAAAGTGGCTGCCATGCGACTTAAATTGGCCTCTGTTTCTTTTGCAGCAGGGAGGAGGCTCAAGGTCCGCGCGGAATAGGGTGTGGTGCGGTGGCGGATTAGGGAAGGTGGGATAATGATCGTTTGGGTGAAGTCGAGTACTTAGGCGGGGGTGTATGCATCCCGCTACTAGCGAGCCTTAGCGTATCTCTAAGGTTGTTTTGCTCGTAAGATGTATAACCATGACTGCTCGCCATTGTAAAGATGATGATAGGGGGGGACATCGGAGGTCGACATCATTTCTCGCGCTCCTTTCTTCTTGGATGCAGTCTCGACACTTCCTCACACACCCAAACCCTAAGCAATTGAGCCTTCCCCCAATCCTCGCATTCGCTTTGATAGGACCGTCTCCAAGCAACACCCAGGAGTCCTTTCACCCGCCACACAACAATCTCGCACACTCACCTCACAGCCCTCTCATTCGCCCTCGCCCCAAAGGAACTACAACATATATGCGTCCCATAGCAATTAGATTATTCCACCAACCACTTCTTATTTTCTGTTTCACAAACCACCCGCTGCTGATATTGACGATCCTCTCGGACTCGCTGGTCACCCCTGCACCCCTACGCTTGGTGGCATATTAGCCGGCGTACAGATGAAAAACGTGCACATGGGGGAACCTTGGATCCCCTTGGGGACGCCCGTCAGATTTAATTGCCGAGCGCTATGCTGGATATGGGTTAAGTGGGAAGGCTCGGGGTAGCATTGCTGCGGCTCAGAAAACGACGTGGTTTTGTGTGCCGAACCAGATCTGATTGATGAGGGTTTGAGAGAGCGTGCGATGCTCCAGACAGGAAAGCTCACAAATACATAGATGGACGATGCGGTTCTTCACTGCCTGCTGAAGTGATCTACAAGTTTTCTGTGATGGTTATACTGGTATCTTTGAAAGTCTAGTTGACGTCGGGCTGCTCATGCCGAGCAGCACAAGAAGAAGATGGTGTGGCCCAATACACGAGAACGCTGACTGCCATGGCAACGACGCCGGATAGCTACCCTCCCTCTGAATGTATGCGGCCCGGCAGTTCATGACGTCTTTGGCAACACAGCGGTTAGGATGATCTGTGTTACTTGAGGCAGTGAACGAGACTTGGCAATATTCTCGAGGTCATGCACTCTGTCCGAACTCGAACTCGGTCTCCAAAGCTCCCGAGAGGGGATGGGTCAACAGGTGTATGACATAACACCGCTCAACGCTCCCAGAGCCTGATGGGATACGAGCGCCCAAGTCACTGTCCACTTCTTCGCCTCCTCCTTCCAGCAACACAGCCACAGAGGAGGTCCATATCATACCACGACGGGCTGATACTACACTTACCTAAATAAGTACATCCTATTAGAATCAAATCCAATTTCATTTTCGACCTAGATCCACCGGAAGACCTACTTAGCCTGTAGCACAAACACAGTAACCACAACAAACAGCAAAAACCAAAAATACGGCACGTTTTACATCAGGCAAGACCCAACGTTTGTGAATTTTAGTAAGTAGGTTGAACTAAGAAGGTTGAAGTCACCTCTATGTATCCATCCTTTCCCTACATCCCCAGTTCGGCTTCCCTCTAATGCAAATGCTCACATGATTTTCGGCTTCGCAAAACAGCCCCTCTGCTTCCAAGCCGCTAGCTCCCCAATAAACCGAACACCGTACTTCTCACTATACTCGCCAAAGTTCAGCCAACGTCGCCGCCAACGGTACTCCCTCCTTCCATTATAATCTTGTCAAACGGTGGTTGCGAAAGACACAAGTCATTACAGGGAAGGCATCTACAAAGAGTTAAAAGAAAAGAGATACCTGTCCTATCCAGGCTGACGGCCGTGTTTAATGCCAGGAGGTATACTTAACACGAGCACTGGTCGTCGAGCTTTCGGCATGCGAGATGTATGTCCGCGGCGAGGTCGGTGTGGGGGCATAAAAAAGCTGAGGAGACTACCAGTAAACTTGCCGTATTCTGCGAATGTGAGAGGGAATGTGCATCCTGGCGAGCGAAGTTAATGCTTTGAGCAGAGCTGAACCTCGTGCCCGGCTTACGCGACCATCGCCTTCGTTCATATACGGGATACGGCGGGCGGGATTGTCTTGTTATTTGCAAAGTAGAAATCCGTGAGTAATTTTTTGAACGACTAACGACTATACTGACGGAAGGACATTAGAGATAACCGCGTAAGTCGAGAAAGAAACGGTCCAGTGCGCCAACAGAGCGGACCGCAACTGCAGCGGCTGATTGATACGATAACCCACGTGGAAATGGCATCGATTCCTCTTCTATAAGGGCCTTATTCTCGTAAAATGCTGATATCAGTTACGATGCGCATGGCAGATATTGGATAATAATCTGGTCCGCATGATCCCGGGGCTTTCACCGTCATGGGAACTGTGAATAAACACGACAGAAATCCGACCATAGGCATTGCACAGGACTTATATGCGACTGCTATCATTGAAGTTGACTGCAGTCCTTGTGTGTTTCCAACCGTCTCTTCTCAGATCGTATCCCTTGTGCGGCCGTTCAGGCATTAGTCACATATGGCTAGGAGTATGAATTACGCAGAAAGCGTGGGTTCACTCCAATGCGATGGGGCAAGTAGATGGTTACGTTCAGACGAGAATAACACGGTTTAGAGTATTTCAAGGCACAAAGTTCAGTGTTTGAGACATTTCAATGTTCATAAGTTCATTTCCCATACTTTACATATCCAAGCAGAAAGCTCTAAGAGCAAATCAACCTGACAGTCGCAGGCGTTTACCAATTCGCAAAAGACGCCATACTATGTCGCCTTGGCTGAGTCCAGGCGACGAAGCGTTCAGACATCAATGGCGTCGACAGTAACTCCCTTGACCCAGGTATACTGCATGACACGAGCAACCTCGAGAGCCGACTCATGGGAAACCAAGGAGCCAACGAGATAGAGGGCGGCGTCCAGGCCGGCCGTGACACCTCCGGTGGTAATGACCCGCATACCGCCGAGAGGCAGCTCGGCACGCCGTGCGATGGACTCTCGGCGGCGAGACTCCTTCCAGGCGTTGCTCCCTTTGCGAGCAATCGACTTCCTCCGAGCATGTTGTGTGTTGGGACCCGCGGGGACGAGCTCGCCGTCGCGGGTCTTCTTGATGATGTAGGGGTTCTCGTCGGGATTCTCACCCAAGTCGAAACGGGCGTTGTTTACCACGTAGCGTTCCTCCATGACATCGGTACGCAGGGAAGTGTCGCGGATAGAGGCCTCTTGACAGAGTGTCTCGAGACGGGTATAGTAATCGGGATGCGTGGTAGCTGCAAGGCCTTGAAGAAGACCCTGCTGGGCGAGAAGGAGAGCGGCGGTGTCAATGGCTAGGATGGTGCGTTCCTTGGCAGGATTCCTCTCCTGCATCTCGACGTATTTGGAGAGGATGTGGAGAGGCTCGGTCTTGTCTTTGAGGACGTCGAAGACACCGTCGCCTCCAGGAACAATGATAACATCATAGTCCTCAAGCTCGTCCGTGGCATCGTCGTAGTCCATGTCGGCCTTGATGGTCAATCCCTGGACGGATTTCATGGCCGCCGCAGTGCCAACGAACTGGCATTCGAAGCCCTTGGAGTCTGCTCATATTAGCATAAGGCCTCTACAGAATCGCGAAACGAGGTCGAAGTGCAGAAGAGACCAACTTACTCTTGTCCTTTGGATCATGGAGAGCTCGGCTGAGAACCTCGAGCGGCCCGGCGACGTCCAAGGTGTTGTAGTTGTTGTAGAGTACAAACAACACCTTGACGACCTCAATTGGCCCCTCGGTATCAGCAATTGCACTCATTTTGAACGATTTAGGTCTGGAATCTGAAATGAAGTAAGGTGAAGGTGTTTGGAAGAGAGAAAGGGGTTGTCTTTCAGGAGGAGTCGAGGGGAAAGGAGGGGGTGGTGTGGTGGTGGTCAGATGAACGAGGGGTGGGTCCAAGGGACCCGCCCCCGCACTCTTGGGCGGCCGCTAAGAAGCTTCCCCAGGACACACAGGCCACATTGCGGCGCCTTCAAAGTATCGACTCAGGTACCTACGTCACTCCATTTCCGACTCAATCAACTGGAGACGAGCCGCACGTGAGCAATGCTGTTGGCAAAGCTCTCGAAGCAGTATATCTGAGTGAGTGTAAGAATCCCCGCTTATACTGTGGAATATCGTTGCTATAGCAAGAAGAGACTGCCAAGGTGCATACTGTATATGAGGTTGTCAGCTGCAGATACGGGAGCGAGGCTTGGTAAGACCGAGATAAACGTTCAACTTTGACACTGCCTATAAATCCCGAGCGGCGTATTCAGTTATACTGTAGTCCGGATGGTTTGTCATGGACACAAGCAGTGAGAGGCCGTATCCGCCCTACAATGGGCGCTCTCAACTGTTTTAGGAGTACTGGGAAAGCCATTGACGGGAATATCGCGATATCAGTACTATCGGGAGGGTCATTGGATGTGTGCGACGAGGAAATTGAGATTCCGAAGGAAGTCTCTGTGTCTTCAATGGATATGGTGGATTTTAACTTTGCTGTTGATGTTTACTGGGGGTCGTCATGCTCTTGCTGGTAGCGACATGGATGCACTCTTGACGTGTTAATATACTGACAAGCCAAACAATTCCAAATATTGAACGGCCTGCACAGGAGAACTGATTTACTATCAAACATGCCTCGACTATCCCTCGACGCGCGTACATCGGTAAGTAGACTGGGAACACCTGCAGCACATCACGCCAAGAGTCACGTGCATTCACAGTGATGAATGGTTTAATGTTCTTTTTGAATACCAACCATTAGAGAATCAAAGATAAAGGTAATAAAGTTGTAAGACTTTATATTTGTCCATAAGCATACAATTCCTACGAGGTGTGGTAGAAAACCCGTTGCAATCCAGCTTCATAGGTTGGTTTTGTGGTGGGATCTAAAACTGGGGTGACGTATGAGGACTTCTTTGTGCTCACAGCATCAATACTGGGGGTATTCCGACAACTTTCCCACTGAAACCTGCCGGAACATAAAACCACAGGTGTACGATAATTGTTAGGTGCAATCACAGACCAAACAGTCCTTGAAGCACGTTCACATACCTTATAGCTGAACATTGTTGGCTGAGCGCGAGGCAAGATGTCGGCACTTGAGGAGATTAAGAAGCAGAATGCTGCCCTTCAGAGTAAGTGTGAGCTCCATTGCGTAATGGCTGCATAATCTAGCATGATCATTCTAACTCGCACTTAGAAAGCATAGGCAACATTAAAACGGTCGCCGACGACGTCAAAAAACCTACGACGGGAGTTCCCTCCAGAGACGAGTCTATCAAAAAGAGTACTCCTGCTGGAGCCAAGAAGACCACAACAGAAACCAAGCAGGCAGCTACACCCGTCAAAAAGGCTCCGGTAAAACTGAAAAGTACCGCAACAGAGGCCTCGAAGGCTGCTCCCAAAGGAGCAACACCCGTGAAACCGGCCGCCACTCCGACGCCGGTCGGCACTAAGAAGGCTCTCCGCACCAGCGGCAGTGAAGCTCCAGCAGCGTCATCTAGTCCAGCCGGGGATGCAACTGCGAAGAAGACCCCGACGCCAGTAAAGAGCGCGCCTGGAGTAACGAAAACAGAAACCCGTAAGCCTCTAGGGACGCAGAAAGCCCTTCCCAAGGCGACAGAAAAAGACACAGCGGTAAAGAAAGATGACACCTCTGCTGCACCCAAAACGCCAGCACAGCCACCGAAGCCCAAGACCGTGAAGCCAAAGAAACATGACTCGCCAATGTCCTCCGATGTAGAACCAACTGTGGAGAAGGAAGAAATAAAACCCCCTTCCGTCAGGAAAGCTCCGCGCAAGTTGGCTAGTCGGCCAAAGGAAACAGAAACCACCAAATCGGCCGCACCCCAGCAAACAAGTGCCGCTCCAAACCAACCCCAACAGAAAGCTACACCGGCACAGACTACCAAGAAACCCGGCACCCTCAGCAAAGGCGCCGGAGCGGCCGCGGATGCAACTAACAAAACAATTGGCCTCACCACCGGAACGGTCAACAAAGTCACTGATTCAGGTACCACGGCACTAAATTCCACTGTCAACGGTGCGACTGGCGTGGTCGGAAAGGGGCTCGACAAAGCACCAGCAGGTGTAGGCAAGCCGGCCAAGCATATCACCGACAATGTCGGCAAGACGGCGACAGGCGCGACGGATAATTTGTATCACACGACCGGGGCGGCGACGAAAGGGGTGCAGGGGACGGCGTCGAAGACGACGAATGCTTTGAGCAAGGGAGATGTTAAGGGGACGGCTAAGGGCTTGAGTAAGTAAATCCGGAGCGCAATTGGGACAAATTTAACAGGGATACAGCTAGTGGCGTGGGAAATACGGTCTCTGGCACTGGAAAAGCCCTTGGGAAAACGGTGGATGAAGGTGTTGCTGGTGTAGGGTCAACAGTCGGCGGACCCGCTGGAAATATAGTTGGCGGTGTTGGCAGAGTAAATGCTCATAGCACTTACGTTCGAAAAGTCTGCTAACAAAATGACAGGGCGCTGGAGACGCCGTAGGCGGCGTAACGGAAGGCCTGGGCGAAGGTGTCTCCAAACTTGGAAAAGGCGATGCTGTGGGCGGACTCACGAGCACGTTAGGAGGCGTCCAGAAAGGAGTTGGCGGTTTGCTTGGAGGAGTCTTGGGAGGAGCCCAGGGGAAGGATGAAGAATGACTACATGGTTGGGTAATGAATGTGAAGAGACCCGATTCCTTGTCGGAGTGGAGTCTAGTTTCGGCGACGAGCTGAATGGGCGGATACAAGTTTGATGGACACCTGACCGATGCGAATGGGTTCGTAATGGCTATGGTTCAAAAGTATGATGAGTACAGCGGTACGCGGGGTTTATTCACCTCAGGCTTTATGTATTTGAAGTGCAATATTGATGCACTTGTAGAGTGATTACGATCGCGAAATGTTAAGCGGCTTCGAAAACGTACTCTGGAGAAGCCGATCACGGTCTTTAAAACTGTGGAATCTTTCTCTGGTCGACTACCAACCATCCCCCTCTTCTTGCCCCCTACCTCTGCATCCTACCTATTGCGGTGTGGCGCGCCAAGAAACCACCACCACCTCAGTCCTCAACCTCCAAAAGTTGCTGTGCCTCCCACCCGCATCTCATCACAACACATCAAACGCGCTATTTATCATCGGTAATATTGTTAGCCGCCGAGGTGGGACATGTTGGATGATATGGTAACATCACAGCCACTGCCTTCGAGACATATGCTGGGACTTGCGACATGAACGGCGAGCTGGAAGATTGTACACGCGTTGGCTCCGAGCATAGAGGTTCCATGACGATAAGGCGAACCTTGTTGATAGCAGCTCACCCAGCGATTGCAAGAATGCGAATTGGCCCGTTGGTCATCTCTTCATGATCCTGGAGCTCGGCCTGTCGTCGGATATTGACCCAGCTACACAGCCGCGAAAATGGAGCCTGTAATGCGAGCTACAGGATTCTGTTCTTACGCTTCAGCTTGTGCTTTGGCTGCCATGGACGACTTATGCGCTTGATTGAATGGCGAAATAGACGAGCGCTTTGTGAAGATATTTTTGACGCCCGCGTAACAAGTACTCGTTGGAGGTCGTGGGGATTGTGGTAAGTGCAAAGAAGGCACAGGCGCTCCAAGATCCGTTCCCAGGGTTTAAAAACACATCAAGTTCAAGCTCCATCCCTCTGCCGCCTGCCTGATCACTGAGCTGATGCCTTGTTGAGGCCGCACCGAAAAGACACATGTGGCACAGCCTCCGACATTCCACGCCGCATTCGCTGTTGACTCTCAAGGATGTTGCCTTCGAGTAACTTGAGCAGCATTGGCGACCAGGACAGGCCGCGACTTATCAGGTTGACTATGTCAACTAATGGACAGGCCATCCGGGGATAGCGCGCTTAATACTGCTTTCTCATTCGTACTAGGCGTCCGGCGCCTTGCCGTGCTCCAAGATACAGCACGTTGCTGTATTGCTGCTGGTGCTCATGGCAATTGAAGACGCAGATGCAACACTGCTGTGCCATCTTGGATATCACCATCCCGTCATGCATGCGGGCTTCCAAGTGGATAAGGGTCCTCCCCGGACACCCGTTGCCGAGTGTCATTGTGCGGCGAAGCCGGCGACGCATCTTTGGGTGTTGTACTCTCAGTTTCCCATCCATCTTCGCACTGCGTTCTTCAAAAATTGTTCCTCTGCGGGAAATGTCTGTTCTAACATATTCCATTATCCTCTACGCATTGTTTCACGGCGCAGTGAGCAACCCTTTTAAACCAGCTATCACGCCTCCTCCCGTGCTCCGACGACAAGGCGAGGATGACCTATTTCCGGAATCGAGAGGGTGGTTTTGGGTCACGTACGGATCACGGACTGAATTGTCGTCGATATACTTCTGTGACATTTCGGGCATCTTCATAACTACAAGCAGCTATGTTGGCTGCTGTTACAGTAGGTCGACCGGGCCATGTTTCGCAAGCAACGTAGCGACCGGCTGTAGCAACGGCACGCTTGCTTTATTTCCGAGCACAACACTTAACTGGTAAGTTCTCCGCAGTCTACAGGAACTGTATTGTGACGGTATAGATGCAGTGAGGATATATTTTCGACCGCTAAGTGCAACACCGACTATGTATACACGGGCAGCACGCCTGATGCATCGCCCTTGCAATGGATAGGGTGCAACAGGGTGGCAGATCAGGCACTTTACTTCCAAGAACCGCCGAGAACTGGGCTCACTTCACCTACTTCCTTTTCCACTACTTCAACACGGTCTGCATCCCAATCATCTCCAGCGGGACCACTATCAAGCCCACCATCACAAACGGGTGCCGGAAATCCAACCTCTAGCGCTGGCTTGTCCACCGAAGATGTCCAAGAGGACTCAGACAAGGCTTGGATTGCCGGCGTCGTAATTGGAGCAGTAGCCCTCCTTGCGATGGCAGGCATGGCGTTCTGGCTACTGCGCATACGGAAGCGAAACAAACAACAGTCCTATTCGCAGGCACCGCAAACAGCGGAAATATATCCTGAGCAACCTATTCCAGGATCTTACACTAGTCCGCAGCTCAACACGGCTTCACTTTCACCATATCAGGATGCAGCAGGACCGAGCCCGTCACTCTCAGACCAACGGGCTTCGCAAGGCTGGAGTGAAGACTCTCGCGCAAAGTCATGGCACCAGCATAATGCTTCGCCAGGGGCTCCATCTGCAGCTCCGCTCTTTACCGGTACGGAGGCGACCGAGCTGCCGGAGTTGGTGAACCCGCCTTCGAGGAGATGATATGATGGGATGGATGGTAGGGAAAATGGCAACAAGACTGCATTTGAGGTTCAAATATATGAGGAGGCTAATTTTTCGCAACAAGTTCTCGATTTAGCTGTGCGCGCTGATCAGCCGTGACGCCTGTTACAGTATTCAGTTCCCCACTTCGAGGTCAATTGCTGGATTTGAGAAATCCCTCTTTTTGCACGGAGGTCGAGAGCTCTCCTTCTACGGTTGAGAAACTCATTTTGTACACCTTCGTTATTTATGATTCCTCAGGCAAATCACCTATGTGCTCCAAGCACCGCATGGTTTCTTTACCAATTTGTCTAGGTGACGAGATGGGAGCAGCTTCCCTTTGCAATTGGACTCTAGGCAGTTATAAGATTTCGATAATAAAGAAAAGGCATTCTTGATAGCTGGCACGCAGACGATTCACAAAACAAATGGCATATAGGTCCTATCCTCACCATGATCAAGTATTGGTCTCCTCAGCTCAGTCACTCGTTTCGCCAGAGGCGCGAAAAAGGAAAAAAACGCTGACCTCTTTTATTCTCCGAGGTAGCAATGCAGAGCAAAGGGCTGTGCGAGGCAGTTTCAGTCAGCCGAATGTGGCGCATCCGGTGAGTGGGCATCGGACTCGACTTGGCGAGTGCGGCTGAGCTGAAATCTGGAAGGAGTGAGCGGTTATTCGACGGCACCGCCTCTTTCTGCCTAGGAGAACAGAAAAACACAACCTTTACGTCCCGTTGAAACCGCTGTTCCAAACTCTGTCCGCGATTTAAGCAGAGTATTCAGATTTCGTCTTTCGTGATTGAGACTAGCTTGAGCAGAGAGTGTGTTATTCTGACGTCTGGAAGGAGTCTAATCCAACCCCTAACCCTTGAGAGGGCGAAAGGATGCCCGTACCTGTTGGTGTGTCCGCCACAGTCCACTCGCAATTTGCAGAAGAAGCGCAGGAAAAATGGCCAGAAGCAGGTAACGACTCGAAACGCACTGCCCGTAGAGCAGTAAAACAAGGCGTTGGTAGATCCAAGCTTGGCCTATCGCCGGAGCGAACGCATACCGATCTATCAGGTAATGCAGAAATAGTCGAAGGAAATGCCACTACGCAAAAGAGTGGTCTGCTTCCATCCACAAATCCTCTGGATTCCAACGATGCACCAGCAATACACGCGGCGGCGCTTGATGGCGTCGTTGTTGTTAAGGACCCGAATGCTGGGTTTTACATCTGTTCCTGCGGAAAGGTAAGCCTGAATACCCATTTTATAGCTTACTATGACATGAAATCCTCGACTTATTCGAATGTTATTCGCATTTGATGCCTGATGTCTAAGACTTGTCTGGATGATCCGATTGTCATTGAACCAGCCTGCTGATTCGAAGAAGTCATATAAAGAATTCGAAAATCTAAGGTATCTACACTGGCGTGGCATACGTTTTATGGGAGACTAACCAGGCTTCGCCTATGCAGAGCACACTATCGAACCCATAAGGAGAAGCCGCTGTGGTGTACATACCCGGGATGCGGCAAATCCTTTCGAAACATGGAATTGCTTCTTAGGCATGGGAAGCGCCAGTAAGTACCGCACCATCTACAGGGTACTACGCGTCGGTTATTCAATATCTGACTGGTACCGAAGTGTAGATGTAGATTCCCAGACAGCCATTTATAAGAATGCCAAAACGATGCCAGGAGAAGATGCGGACAGCACACGTCACGCTTGGTTAGACGATCGTAAACGACAAACTTCAACTCCTTCTGCACAAGTATCGGAGTATACGAGCAACGACAGAGAGTCTCCGGGTCCACCATCGTACGACCCCTTCTCCTTGCTAGATTACTGTTTCCATTGCGATCGGCAACTCCCAGAAGGCCACACATTCGGTGGCTATTGCTCGGAGACTTGTAGACTAGCAGACAGCAAGACCCTTTCTTCACCGGATCATAAACCCGAACCGAGAGCGCAGAATAGCTTCTTCCTGCCACCACGCGCAGATTTTGCGTCCTACAGGCCCAGCCCCGCCTCAATCACATCTAGTGCAGCGCCAAAATGGCCTCCCGTATCAGTGAGCAAGCTTTCCGAAGTTTCCAAGGCTGGCCAAGGAGTGCCAGGGAGAATCGGACAGAAAAAAGAGTACGCTATCAGTGATGACGAACAGAAGGACCACATATTGAACAGTGAGAAGTCAACTGCAGAGCTGGTAGAAGAAGATACGCCAACTGGAAAGACGGCCGGGATATCCTTACCTGCTGTATGGAAAAAGATTGCGGATTCCGCTTTCGCTGCCAACCAGGGAATCGCTCAATCACAGGCTTCGGGACAAAGCCCAAACCATATTAGAGGAGAAATCAAGGCCCCCAGCTCGCCCGGGATTTCTCCCTACGGGAGTGACGCGGAAGAAGCAGATGAACCGAGCTATCCTGCTTCCAGTCAGTTCAACAATGCTCCAGACGCATTTAAGATGAATGAGCAGAATTCAGGCGTCGCTAGCTTATTTCAAGAGGAGAGCCCACTGTTGGAGACCACAACGGACTCTTCAACTAAAGTGGACAGCAGTGTACCAGGTGAACAGTCGAAGGGATACCTCCAACCGCTTCTTTCCGGCTGGCAAGCAATCGCAGCAGCGGCTTTCGCGACGAATAGTGGCATAGCCCAAAATCAAGCTGTGATGCAACTTCAAAATCAAGCTTTTAGGCAACTTCTCAACTCATCCGGGAGAACTCAGTCAGAAGACAGTCAAAACAACATTCTTCGGTCTCGTCTTGATAATGATGTGAAAGATTCCATGACCAACAAGGGATCACAGAGTCACCGTGGGCCCATCGACCCTCAAATAAGAGACGGGCTGGATAGTGTAGAGGCGAAAAACTCGCAAAATCATTCGAACCCAGTTTCTGGTGAACCGATTGAGGCCACCAAGCAACGTAGTGTATTTGAATCAATAGCACGCCAGGTCACTGGGATATTCGCCAGTTCCAGTCCCTCCTTAGCCGAACTCGCCACACAGGTTGTTCATCAAGAAGTCCATGGTGCACTACTCCATGAAAAGGAGACGTTTCTTCCGGAGCATCAAGAGAGGAATGAAACCCCTGAATTTGATTCAGGGCGTCAGACTCCTCTTCGTGGTCTGGGACTAATACACGCGAAGGATAATGATGATGCAGTCCAAGTTGGACCCAGTTACCCAGAACGAACTCTAACACACTCGGACGACGAAGCCGACTCAATATTTTCATCCTACGCCGACTCCATATTTTCCATTCAATCTCTAGAGACGTCCGCCACCGCCCTGTCTAAAGCGAGCGGCTATTCCACCACGCAGATCGCGACGGCTACTCGCGAACTCGTAGTGATTTTCCACACCGATCCAATGCTCGTGCCATTGTACCGCAGCGCACTGGATAATCCAAGCATCGGCGCAGAACGATTACAGAGAAACCTACGGCGCCTGTTCAAATGCTATGCCAAATCGTTGGAAGAAGAAGCAGGCGACATGTTGGAACACCTCGCTTCCAAATTGGTCTCCACAAAAGCGAGATATCTTGCACAATCGATTGTGGAGAAGTTCAATAGAGCAGACCGTCTTCCGAACGTGTCACCGACAGTAGTTGCCGTTGAGAGCTCCGACGACGATGATGAAGATGAAGATGAAGAACGAGGGAGGCAGCCCGTCAATGAAGACGCTTTCGATGATCTTGTATTATTCCGGGACTTCCTCACGACAAGTCGGGCTTTCCACACACTCCGTTGTCAGATTGCAAACTTTGTTCGTCCAGGTACGGCGGCCGACCAAAACTGCAGAGAAGTGTCATGCGAAGGCCAAAAGACGGCCACTGAGCCGCACCCGCGCGAGCAAGAAGTCGACAAAAAAGTCGTTCCACCTTCCATTCGCGCTTTGTTTAGAAACCAATATATGGAGCGCTGGTCTGCAACAGCTAAGGACTTATTGCGGGAACTGTACATTGCCACGGGCCAGCTCGAGCCACCACAACCCCAAAGACTAGGGCAGAGCCGCTTACGATGGACCTGTGTAAGCGTAGCCGTCTAAAACTGCAGTATCAACCGCAGGGCTAACCGTCACTTAGAGATGCGGAGAGAAACTCTTCGGTGATGTAACAGAGCTAGAACGCGGAGGTCTTGAATACCTAAGAAGACAGATGCAACTTTCCTCCGGCGCACAATTTGACACTGATGACTTTTCGACCGGCAACTCCGGACAGAAATATATATACCATCGACCTTTTTCTTGGGTACAGAGAGGTATCGGAAAGTTCGTTGGAAGTATGCAGCAGTCGTCACGTCAAACGCTGCCGAGCAGCAATGCATGCTCGTCGGTAGCAACTCAGGCGCCGCAGTGTTCCATGATGAACAAGCAAATTCTGTACATGATGGCCTGCATGCACCGAGGCCGAAGAGGGAGGAACCTACTCCAGGATAGAATCGAATCCGTGACAACCGATCGCCAGTTGTTCCGCTTTCTCAGGCAACAATATGTGGCACACAGAGGAAAGATAAAAGCCGTTCTGTCACTGAGGGGTATCCAAGGCATCCTCTTCGTCAAGGTGGAAATCCTCTTCGTTTTGATCTGAAAAGCGCCATCCACTAACTCGAGCAGTTCCGTCTCCCAATGGGCGGCAGTGTAGAAATCCGCCCTCACAACATGTGCTGCCGCGACTTCGCATGCGAATGCCTCCCGCCCGAATCCATCGTCGAGCCCGCACCTCAAGCGGAATATCGCTGCAGACCCATCCCCCCTCGCACCTCCCCTCCAGTTCTCCCCGAGTATCTAGCCCATCTATTCGCTTCACCCGAATGCGTCAATGAGCACGACACGTGGATTCTAGATCAACTGCCCAAGCGCAAGTGCGGTCGGCTATTGGGAAAAGTGGGAGAGCCGGCAGAGGGATGGGGTATTTATTACCAGGAGGGGTGGGATAGGGATAAGATTACGTTGGTTTGCTTCGTTGTGTTTCTCCTAGGCAGTCTGGTGTTTGGGATTTTGTGGTCGAGGTTTAAGATGGATGTGCAGGGTGCTTTTGGCGTCGCTGCGTATATGGTGACTTTTTGTGCGGTTTTGGTGGCGTTTGTTAGTACGAGGGAGCATACGTAGGATGCCTTGAGAGTGACACAAGCGTTGTCCCAATTTCTGGAATTTTACACTAATGACCATTGTCAAGTCGCCATGTCATAGTTTTATTACTGTTCTCAGGGTGCTAGAGACTAGGTAGTTTTATAACTTCATTGTAGCATCTCTACCTACAAGTTGCTATAATGAAAAGAAAGATATCCTGCATATTCCTGACGCTGAACACAACTGTTCCTTTTCTGCACCTGTCTGGTCCAGGTCAAGCCGAGTCTTTCGTTCTACCTGCACGAGACTTCAGCACTTCCTAGTCTATCTGCCCTGACTCATGGAATTGGTAAAGGATCTGTAGCAAAGCTAGAATTGCGCGTCTCTAATATGAATATTTGGTGAGTAGTATAGTAATGTAACGCTGCAATCTATGCCCATACTCATCTAAGCCGCTCTTATTGCCTTCTACCAAGCTTCCGGTTCCTCACCACATCCACGTAGCACTCCGACTCAGTGGTATTTAACACGCAGAACAGCTCATTATTCTAATCACATTTCCCCCTTACTTGTACAATATAACGTAAAAGAGAAGGCGAAACAGATAAGAAGAGAAATAATATAGAAAGGAAAATTCTACTAGTTTCAGCCTTAGGATAGAGGTCTTAACAACATTTAACTAGAAGGACGTAGTATCAAGCATCCTTAGGGTAAAGGTAAACTTAATAGATACTAAGACTTTAAGGAAGAAAGAGAAGCGCAGTGCCTAGGACTTAGCTATACTATAAATGCGTTCTTAGAATTACTTACAGATTTCGAGAAACCTATGGAAATTATTGACATTATAGTATATGAAATCAACTCGTATGTAGCGAAGAAAATGCACCTTGAAATGTCTCTTTATCGTAGAAATCCAAATGTCATCTTAATCTTGCGCATATATGCGTTAGAGTAGTTGCACTCTCTCGGCTTCCTATACATGCAGACTTTCCCAAGCCGACAACTTCTAGATTGGTAGAAGGTTTCTGCTAAATCTTGCTTAGCTACGCTGCAGAACGTCTAAAAGTTGATACGATAGAGCCAAGGCAAAGCTAATCTGACCTCATGCAAAGTCCTCGCTCTCTTCTTTAACAATTGTAGTTTGCAGAAGAAAGCAATGCACCAACTGCCATCCTGCGACCTAATCCGATATCTGGGCTCATGGGCATGGTATTCCGTTCTCGGGCATGATCTATTCCGTTTCCAGGCACGTGGGACTATCCCACCACTTCAAACACAGCTTTCGGAGTTCCTATGCACTGTGTTGATTCGCATCGCTTCCCAGGTTCCCATATATGACGACTAATCGATATACACTCCACACTCCGCTAAAACGTCCAACGCCGACGACCACTCCTCGACGCCAACACCACACTTATCCTCGTTCGCCGAATCCCAGTATCCATTTTATACACAATAACGTTACGGAGCGTAGACGGGTATTTACAACATACAATATGCATCGGTATGCATCCTCCTGGCTGTATCCAGTATGTATAATCGTCTCTCTTGCGTTTTCATATCGACTTCTCGGCAGCGGGCGCTGATTCCGGAGGACTCCGCTGCTGCTGCTGCTGCTGTTGCTGCGTCCCCGCCAAAGTATGCGCCTCCTTAACATCATACGTCTTGCGCACCGGTATTCCGTCCCCTATACACAACATTAGCACATGTTCGCCTGAGCATCGGAACCCTCTCCCCCACATAGAAAATAAGAAAAGGCACACATACACCTCCTCCAAAGCTCCCAACCCAAAACCAACACCACCGGAATCCCCACAATCAAGGCCGTCACCCTGCGCGCCGCGGGCCGGTACTTGTCGGGCAGCGTGCCGTCGTACTCGGTTATGGGGCGGGGTTTTACGACTTTGCGGACCCCCGGGGGAGGAGGGGGCGCTTCGGGGAAGGCGATTTTGTATGGGGAGGCGGAGGGTGAGGGAGATGCGGTCGGAGGGGGCGGGTTGAGGGGAAGAGGACGACGGGGGAGGGGGGCGCGGTAGATGGGTTTGGGTGGTTTGGGGGGTGAGGAGGGGGCGGGAGGGGGTTGCGGTGGCGATGGGGTGTGGATGACTGGTGAGGCGGGTGTGAGGGGTTTCTGTGGGAGGGGGATGGTGGTGGGTTGAGATGGTTGTTGTTGTTGCGACGCGGGTGATGGGAGGGGTTGCGAGGGTTCTGTTTCGGTGGGTGATTTCGAGGTCGAGGTGTTGGGTTGTGCCATTGTCGATGTCGGCGCCTCTGTTGGCGTTTCCGACTTCGTCGCGGGTTCAGGTTCGACCGTGGATTCCGTCTTCGTTGTCGCGGCTTCACTCGCACCCTCCTCCCCACCCCCACCCTTCAACCTCCCCCTCGCCACAACCTCCCTTAATATCTCGCTCTCCATTACCTCCGCCGCCGCCCCTTTCGCCTTCGCATTCTTCGTCGTCGTCACACTCGTCTTCGCCTTCGCCTTCGCCGCCAAACCCGCACTCTTCCCCTTCTTCACCACCGCCTCCCCCTCCGCGCCCTTCACCACCTTCTCTGCCTTCTTCACCGCCGCAGTCTTCGTAGACGCCTTCCGCGTACTCGTCTTCGGGACCTCTTCTACGGCCTCTACAGTCTCTACGGTCTCTTCGACAACTTTTCTAGGCCGGCCGCGGCCGCGCTTTGGTAATGTTTCGGTCGTGGACATCGTGACGGAGCAATGAGGAAATGGGGGCGCGGTTAACAAGAGTTATAGATAGTGCTGCATTGGTCAATTGCTACTAGGAAAAGGGAAGAGAAGGTGTCTGACGCGAGAAAGGAGAGGAGAGACGCGTCGATGGAGCCCGTGTCACGGTCGATGACTGGGGGATATATTTTTTCGACTTGGGCGAGTACATCTCTGGAGGACTTGCAGGGATTAGATTAAGGTCGGTAGGGTTGGTTTATCGATAAGGGGTTTAGTTGACGCGTGGGGCTATGTACACTGCCTCCATAGCATAGACCAGACGGTGTCGATATTTTCCGATATTGTCTAACAAAGTACTACAGGCGCATATCCGAGAGGAAAAACTGCAAAGCAATCCTCCATTTCCTGGATTTCAAGTTGCGAGCCCACAAGAGCCCATTTTCCATTAGCCACGTGCCTTGAGAGTTACAGACGTAAGAGCAAACTAACCAATTAGGCGATTAGAATACAATAGGCGATTAGAAAAGATGGTTAGGGGCCGTTTCGTCTTTTAGAGGTCATGTAGTCCACCAGGGGACACATTTCGTTTGTCATTTCTTCGCTAGTCTCAAAAGACGAAAGGGATAAGTGGAAAGATGTATTCCTCAACGCAAACCGCTCGCCGAATCTATGCAAAAACCAGACACCAACCCAGCTTTTGTACAAGGCCCACCATAATCTACAATTTCATGCCCAGCACCTTGTGCACCCTCAGCGCTTGCCGGATAGAGAGATCCAGCATGATCTCCTCGCTACCACCGGGGATAGCGTAGGCTCTCACGTCTCGGTACAAACGTTCCACCTTGGCACCCTGTCCGCCCCTGCTGTACGAAAGGCCGCCGAAGATCTGACTGGCCTCGCGGGCACAGAACTCAAAGGTGACGGTGGACTGGGCCTTCAGACTGGCAATCGCACCGCCGAGCTTCATCATGGCCTCGAACTCGCTCATCCTCTCGCACTGGTAGATGAGGTTCTCGAGCCAGTTGTAGGACGCCTCAATCTGGCGCGCCATATGCGCAAGCTTGAGACGAATGACCGGGTGGTCAATGAGGCGCTTGCCAAACGTCTTGCGCTTGTGCGCATACTTCATCGACTCCTCGTAGCAGACGCGGGAGAAGCGGAGACACTGGATGATGATACCGATACGCTCGTGGTTGAAGTTGGTCATGATGACCTTGAAGCCCTGGTTCTCCTTGCCGATCAGGTTCTCGACGGGGACCTTGACGTCTTCGAAGGTGATGTACGTGGTGCCGCTGCTCCATACACCCTGGCAGTCCATCTTGCGGGTGGAGACACCGCCAGCACTGCGCTCGATGAGGAGGAGAGAAACGCCATTCATGCCCGGACCACCAGTGCGGACAGCCGTGGTGAAGTAGTCGGCCCATACACCATTGGTGATCCACTTCTTCTCGCCGTTGACAATGTAGTGTTTGCCGTCCTCGGAGAGTTTGGCCTCGCAGGTCAGGTTGGCCACATCGCTACCCGCATCTGCAATGATTAGCTATGTGAGCCACTTGATGAGCCAGTCAGCTTACCAGGCTCGGTGATAGCAAGACAGATGCGCTTGTTGCCATTCAGAATATCTGGCATGATACGCTTCACAAGCTCCTTCTTGCCGAACTTGACCAGCGGCGGCGCACCAATGCCGAAACCACCAATCAGGTTCCAGACGAGACCTCCGCTGCCTGCGCGGGAGAGCTCGTCGGTAAGGAGCATCTCGTGGAACAGATCCCACTTCTCAGGCGGGACACTCGCCACACGCTTATCCGTCAAGTGCTTGGGGTAGTGCACGCCCAAAAGACCGGCAAGATATCCGCGCTCTCCCATCTGCTTGTAGATTGAGTCTGGCACCTTCTTCGCCTCGTCCCACTCGGTAACGTTGGGCATGATTTCCTCCTCGACCCATTGTCGCACTTCGGCACGGAGGGCAGCATGAGTCTCGTTGAAGTAAGGTGAATGGTACTGCACAGTGTTAGTTTTTTGAAAGACGTAAGTCGCAGATGGCGCACTTACAGATTGGTACCAAGACGGGTCCGCATAGGGAATGAGGTCGCCATAAGGCTCCAATGCCTCAGCCTCCTCCTTTGGCTTCTCAGTTGGCTTCGCAACAGCGGTAGGTTTGGGCGATGGCTTGACGACTTCCTTCTTCGGCGCGGGCGCGGCGGGTGCAGCCTTGGAGTCTAGAGAGCCCACTTGGAGCTGCTTCTGGTACTTCTTGAGGATGCCCTCGTTGTGGTACTTCCAGAACTGCTTCGAGGCGTCCTTGCCAGCGACGCGCTGGAGGACTATGGAGCGGTCAGTTTCGCAATCTCCACACACAGGCGCCTCAGAAACGCACTCTTCTTTCCTCCAGGATGCTCGTCCTGGAACTTGGTCAGGTCGTAGACATCCTGGTCGACAATGATCCAGAGGTTGTCGGCCTTGTTGTGGGAGGCCACGTCGGCGGCAGAGATTCGCTTAGACATGTTGGTAGGTGTGCTGATGATGAAGAAGACGGAGGAAAGCGAAGTAAAGAGGGAGTTCTTCAAGGAGCAGTAATAAAGCCATGGGCGCACATGCCGCGGCCGACTCTGGGTCTTTCACATGCGCGCCTGGAAGGTGCCAAGGCCCCGGGCCGTTGCAGCTGGGGATTCGGCACGCCTATGACGCTCGTGGACGGACTGGGAGCCGCAAATGGATGTGGGGAACGGCGTGGGGTCGCGTGAGGCATTTGGACAAGCTGCAATTGGGTGCGAGCACGGAGAGCTGACAATCTTGGAACCGCTGGGTGAATGTCGTCGCGCCTTTCCTGATGGGGACGTGCCTCGGCTTCATGCACACTGCCGAGCAGGTTGTAATCAGGATCCCACTCGTGGACAGCATCATCGTTCAAAGGCAACCTGGATGGAAATGAAGCGTTGCGGACTAGAAAACGCGATATTGCTGTTTGTTTGATGAACTGAAGATATATAGCTCTGGTCCATCAGGGCGTGGGAGATCGTTTGTCTGCTCGGAGTGTACTCAGAGCGACTTAGGGGCTTGGCGTCGGAAATACTAATATCCGAACGACCGTTATTCACTTGAGATTTACAAGCTTCTTCATCTCGGCATTGCGCTTCCTTGCAGCCGGCCCTACGTACGCGGAGTGCAAAAAAGGGACGCGATTGTTGAAACGGGAATTTTAGACCCCAAAGGCGGTAATTTGATCGGCCTTCCCCAGTTCCCACAATGACCATCAAGTTGCCTCTATCAACTTTGGAGTCTACCGCTACCACTCCGCCGAGCACACTCGTGTCCTGAAAATGGCTAACATTATTGAAATGACTTTAGAATTGACACCAGCAGGCAGCAGCGTCGACGGGACAGGTAAGAAACACCAGAGCACGCACGACGAACCACGAAGCGATTATTCAGATTCGAACTTCTGCAGCCATCGCGTCTCCGATCCCCGAGTCTCTCCTTTGCACGATGGAAACAAACACGCCGAATCTGTGGTGAACTACCTGTCGTACCACGAGCACCCCAACCCTTTCATTCGAATGATCATTCTACGAGCGCAACTTTGAGTACGCCGTAGAAGAGAGACACTGCGCACGCCTACACCAGGAGGAAGTCCTCCTTGTCCTCCTTCGACCTTTGATCAACGATTTCCCCGTCCATGATGCCGTCGCAATAGCATTCACCTATGAACCTGAACGAACCCTCCTCCATCGGGCGTATCACATAGGGAATTGTTGCACCGCAGAATACCACCACCACATCGCCGGGGGTCATACAGCGCGGACCCAAACCCACATACCCGTCCTTGGTTATAAAAGGCCGCTTGTTCGTCATCCTATCCATGCACAGGCGGTACATGCCGCTCGTGTGCCGTAATTCGGACTGTTCAAACACTTTGTGTTTGAGTTGGAATTCCGTTTGCGTGTAGGCTTTCCATTGCTCGAAGTGTTCCAAGTTCCTCAGGCAGGTCTCGTAATGGGCTCCCAAAGCCTGCGTTGCTCGCCTCGACCCTTCAATATTGTCCTCCTCGATGTCACCTATGGGAATTCGCCATATTGCCTCTAGTCTTCTGGAGAGCGAGGGATAGATCGGCTTATCCTTCATGTGTGACAATCGACAGAGAAGCCTAATTTGCGCCAAGTATGTGAGTCGCTTCTCGTGGAGCCCTGCAGCTTCTCCTGCGATGTTCCATATTCCGGCAACATCCTCGACGACGTCTACACGAAACCCCTTCAAGCCAAGCACCTTTTCATGGTTTGTCTCCGTCAGCTCCAGTGGCTTGCCTTTGCAAGCGGAGTAGAACCGAAAGAGATCAGACGTTGCCTGCCATGCGAAGGACCGCTGGATGGACGAGGTCCAATCGGGCACCCAGGATGGCAGAGCGTCCCTGAGCCGTTTGGGATATTGAGACAATGCAAGGACATCGACATCGCCTTTCTGCAGAATGGCTCTCGTGGTCCGCATGAATACGAGATCCGGTCGATCTTTGAGAGAATAGTCTGCCTCAATTCCCATCCTCTTGAGGTCCTCGGCGTCGTTGGCAATCCCAAGGACCCCGTAGATGGTGTCGCAGGAAACCGTGGCGAACATCCTGTTGTCGACAAACAGCTTTTGAAGGAGTTGATATAGCGAATCTCCAGTGCCTGTGCCAATATCCCGACCCATTCTCCGTTGACGCGCTGCAAAGAAAGGCTGAACCGGATCGTGGGATTGTACCAAGGCTATCACCCTGTCCCTGTCCTCGGGCCAGTTCGGAAAATGTTCTAGACAGTGGGCTATGCATTGCCCCACGATCTGTGCGGCAAGGAGGGCTTGATCACCTGTCACTCTTCTGTCGCCGCAAATGAATGTTGGAGCCGCCGCCAGACCGAATTCCTGAAGCACCCATACCCTTGTAAACCAAGGCCGGGCGTACCAGGCCGCCATTCCTTCCAGGACTGGCAGTGTAAACAGAGGCGTGCATTCCCTCAGTATTTCGAGGAACTCCCTCGTTTTCACGTCTTCTGGATCGGCTTGGCCCATGATTCGCTGGAGAGTGGGAAAATTCTCTCGCGTGTAGTAGCCCATCATTCCCCAGTCTTCGGCCCGCTTGCCTACTCTTCTCCAAACGTCCATGAAGGCGTCAGAATTGTCGGCTGCAGGCCCGAGCCACACCAGAACTTCGTCGGCAGCGCGATAGATCCGCCCCATTTCCTTGACTTGCTCCGTCTTCTCCGAGTCGTTTCTCTGGTCGATGCAAATCTGGTCGATCCACAGCGTCATCTTCTCGGATGAATGGCGGAGATGGAGGAGCGCAGTCTCCAATGTCGGGGTGATGAGGAGCTTCTTCCCGTTTACCATGATCGGCTTGGTAAAGATGCTTTCCCCCCAGGTATAGGACAGAGCTTTGAAGGGCTTGACTGTGCTCAGTGGATGCCAGGAGATGCGACAGGTGAGCGGATCCGGCTTCGGATTGGTGGGCGATTCCTTGTTCCAGAGGAGATGCTTGTATTTGCAGTCACTGCGGGCGAAGGCCTGGGGAGAGGGGTCCAGTTCTATCAGGCGGATGCGGATGTTCTCTGGCGAGTCGGCGGGGACCCAGGGACATTCTTCGGAGTAGGAGAAGGCGACATCGCTGGGAGGGAGTGGGTTCGACGTTTGCATTGTTGATTCAACGGAAGGAGATAAGTGACATGAAGACTATGCAGGAAGAGGGAAAAGAGAGAAAGAAAGAAAAGAGAGACATATCCGTCATATTTTCTCAGCCTCGTCAACTCGGCCAGGCTGCACGCATGGGGAGGTTGTCCTATTCGGGTGCCGGGCTAGCCTAGTTGACGAAAGCTGGGTTCAGCCGTACGAGCAAAAGTAGGATGCTTAAGCGAGGAATAGCCATCCATATGTGGCCTGATTACAAGCAAGCTGTACGAGGTTGCCTACCTGTGGCAGCTGTGGCAGAGCTACCTGCACTGTGGAGAAAACGGTGTACTCGGTGCTTGGCCTCGTACGAACTGATACTGTTGCTCAGTCATACTTCTGGAGCACGGAGGTGGAATGTGTTGATAGGATAGCGTGGCTGCGTTCCTCACTGCCAGCTACACAATATATGCCCTTTTTAAAAGATGTCGGGTTTCTTATGCTGCTAGTACTTAGATGCGTATGCTGTGTATGCTGTGTATGCTGTGTATGCTGTGTATGCTGTGTATGCTGTGTATGCTGTGTATGCTGTGTATGCTGTGTATGCTGTGTATGCTGTGTAACACGGTAAACATGGCTTCGGGTTGAGGTTATTTTCCTCAACGAAGAGAACTCGACTAGTAGGAATATAAGCACAACTCCTGTATGTCAAAGTCCAGATAAATGAGCGTGTCTGATCTCGGAAACGGAGCAGCTTTTATGCGATAGAGTTCGTTAAGGCGTTCGGTGGGTGCCACATATCTACCTGATTATTATTAGTATGGCCGAGTACTGGGCTACTGTATCAGCAAAACGAAACACATGGCCCTTTCCGAACCGCGCAAGCCAACTTTTGGCATCTGATGGATGACGTGACGAGGCGCGGTACGCAGAAAGGCGTCGAACTGTCGCAGCTCGTCTCGAAGGATCGGTCCAGGTGATGAGGTTGGGGAATCGAGATGGGAGCCAGTTGGAGGAGTGGGGAGTTGCCCAGCCATGGCGGCTGACAGGGTGAGCGGATGAGGCTTGGCGGGGCACCCGAAACAGGAAACCGGGGAAACAAAGAGGAGCTGGAGCTCGGGCACTGCTCCCACCCGCTCCACGTCCACGCATCACCCTTTCTTCTTGTTCAGCAGCGCATTTGGGGGTCGACGATTCTTCATATTGATTTGAGAAGAAGGCTGCTGTCCAATGTCCGAATCTTCTGCTGCGACAAGGCGATTATCGATAAAGGCCAACAAGCTTAAGCCAGCCCGTTGCAAGCCTCCGAACTACCTGGCCATGACGCCACCTGCTCTGCCTCTTGGCCCGTGAATAGACGCTCCAACCGTCCAACCTCCTCCACACCCCCCAACAGCACCTGGCCAAACGCCCCGGCCTGCCTACGGGCTACTGCTGCGCCTGGGGCATCTGGACCACCTCCGTGCGGGCATTCGAAACCTCGCACTGCTGCGGGAGCCAAAGAGCGGTGTCCAGGTCGCGGCCCCGACGCCCTGCACCTGCATGTGGCCCTCTTTATCATGTGCCTTTGATACAACACCATCTCTTCCCCAGCTACCAGCTACCTACATCCTACTTACCACAGTACCTCGACTCTTGCCTTGCCTACTTTTGAGGCCCAGTCTCTGACCTCTTCTCCTGCGAGAGAGAGTCTCCTGGCCCGTCCGGGCTCTCCTCCAGCCCACTCCTGACCTCCTCCATCCTCACTGACAAGCTCGAATCTATGGCGTCGTCCGGGGAAGCAGTGCGGACCGTCACAGAGGTCATCACCAAAGCTGCTGCCTCTGCCACTCCCACGACTTCAGGTAACATAGTCCCTCCACAGGGCGGCGTCCTTGAGGGTGTCAATCCCGTGCATTACGATCCCAAGAATCCACTCATCCTCTTCATCGTTCAGGTACGTACCCTTTCACTGTGAAGGCGCCTCAGCTAACAACACCTCCCAGGCCGGCATCATCATCATCTTCTGCCGCCTCCTCCAATGGCCCCTAAACAAGATCCGTCAGCCTCGCGTCATCGCCGAAGTCATTGGCGGCATCCTCCTCGGTCCCTCCGTCATGGGTCGCATCCCCGGCTTCCAGCAAGCAATCTTTCCCGCCGTCGGCATGGACAACCTCAATCTCGTCGCCAACATTGGCCTCACCCTCTTCCTGTTCATCGTCGGCCTCGAGGTCGACTTGCGCATTGCCTTGCACAACTGGAAGGTCGCGCTGAATGTGGGCATCTTGGGTATGGCGCTCCCCTTTGGCATGGGTATCGCCATTGCTGTGGGCCTGTACAACGAGTTCAAGGATGAGCCGGGGACCAAGCCGATCAGTTTTGGCATCTACATGCTCTTCATTGGTGTTGCCATGGCCATTACCGTAGGTTGACTTCCCTGTCGCAATCGGAGGGGTTGGACTGACAGAGTCTAGGCATTCCCCGTGCTGTGCCGCATTCTCACCGAGTTGAAGCTGCTCGATACGCCCGTTGGCATGATTGTGCTTTCAGCAGGCGTCGGCAACGATGTCGTCGGTATGCGTTCCAACTTCCTTGTCATGAGCTACTTCGTCACTGACTCCAAACAGGATGGATCTTACTCGCCCTCTGTGTTGCCCTCGTCAATGCGGGATCCGGCCTGACAGCTTTGTGGGTCCTATTGACCTGCGTAGGCTTCACTTTCTTTCTCATCTACGCCGTGCGCCCAGTCTTCGTCTGGTGCCTCCGGCGAACGCGTGCCATCCAGGACGGCCCCAGTCAGGGAATCATCGCATTTACCCTTCTTCTCTGTCTCGCCTGTGCCTTCTTCACCGGCATCATCGGCGTCCACGCCATCTTCGGCGCCTTCATGGCCGGCATGATCTGCCCCAAGGAGAATGGCTTCAACATCAAGGTCGCCGAGAAGATTGAAGATCTGGTCGGCGCCTTGTTCCTGCCTCTGTATTTCACCCTTTCGGGTCTCAATACCAACATTGGTCTTTTGGATAGCGGCATCGTTTGGGCCTATGTCATTGGCGTGTGCGCCGTCGCGTTTTGCGCAAAGTTCATTGGGGCCGCCGCTGCGGCGAGGTTTACTGGTATGCTTTGGAGGGAATGCTTCGCTATTGGGTCGTTGATGAGTTGCAAGGGCTTGGTGGAGTTGATTGTGTTGGTGAGTATAGCTGGGGATGCTGCCTTTAACAGCAACTGACACTTCCAGAACATCGGTCTCCAGGCTAAGATTCTGAGTACGCGGACGTTTACCATCTTTGTCGTCATGGCGCTCGTGACGACGTTTGCTACGTCGCCTCTTACCATCTACTTCTACCCTCTCTGGTACCAGAAGAAGGTGGAAGCGTTCCGACGGGGCGAGATTGACTGGAACGGCAAGCCCCTCGATGGCTCCGACAGCGTGTCCGACACGGCCCAGTATGAGAAGCTCGAGGCCGACAAGGTGAAGCGCTTCACCGTCTACCTCCGCCTAGACAGCATGCCCAACCTCCTCGCCTTTGCGTCGCTCTTCGGCGGCGCAGCCCAAAAGCAAATCGCAAAGACCCATCCTGCTCTCCAACTGGAAAGCACCGTCGACCAGGGGACCGCAGAAGACGCCCCGGACTCCCACAAACGGCCCGTCGAGGCCCACGGCCTCCGCCTGCTCAATCTCACGGATCGTGGCTCCTCCGTCATGCAAGTTTATGAAACCGAATCCTACACCGCGCACGACCCCATCGTCAACACCTTCCGCACCTTTGGCCGTCTGCACAATCTCGCAGTCAGCGGCGAGGCGCTCGTCGTCCCCGAGTCGTCCTTCGCTGACACCCTAACCACCCGCGCCTCGGACTCGGATCTGCTCCTCCTCCCCTGGAGCGAAACGGGCGGAATGTCCGAGCAGGCCATTATCGAAGACAAGGGCACCAAGAATAAGCTAGCTGCATCTTCGTACCTCGCCTTCGTCAACGGGACGCTCGATCGAGCCACCGTCACCACGGCCGTCCTCATCAACAAGAATTTCGGCGGGCCAAAGAACAAGCAGGCGCAGAAGAAGGAGCGGGGAAGGCTGATCAGGACGTACAGCAACGTCTCTCTGACGAGCCATGCTGACGCCCCCGTCACGGCGCCCCTCACGGATAAGAGTCACCATGTCTTCTTTGCTTTCTTTGGCGGCGAGGACGATCGGGCGGCGCTGAGGCTGGTGCTGCAGTTGGCGGAGAGTCCCGAGGTGACGGCAACGCTTGTGCATTTTGATGTCCCCGATGCATTCTTCGCGAACAACATTGCGTCAACTTTGTCTCCCGCTCCCGCTTCCGAAGCCGCGGGCTCGTCGGCACCGGCGAAGGCTACGGATGCGGCGGGAACGGCGACGACGCTGAAGCAGAGGAGGGAGCAGGACGCTGCGTTTTTCGCCTCGCTCAAGGCTTCGCTGCCTGCCGAACTTGCGTCGCGCGTCGTCTTCGAGACGGTGACGTCGGAAGCTCCGGCGACGGACGTGATAGCGCGGGCGGGCATCGAGGTAGGGCAGAATCCGAAGAATGGCGGGGATTTGGTGGTGCTGGGGAGGAATGTCGGCTTCAAAGGTTTTGGCGAGGGCGAGGGCGGCGCGGCGGGGACGGTCGGGGTGCTGGCGGAGAGGGTGTGGGGGGCCAAGTTGGGGGCTAGTCTGTTGGTTGTGCAGGCGGGTCGGCGGTGACATGGTTGAGATGTCTTGGAGCTGGGGATGGTGGACGAGGGATATAGAGGCTAAAAGGGTTGCTGACCTGCCTTGTTCACGAGCATAACGATTCCCCTGGTTTCGGAGTTTGTGGCGTCTGGGCCTGACGATCACGACTTTTGTTTCTGGTTTCTGGGAGTTGGGATATCTGGGTGGTTATATATATATGTATGTACCACAGGATGTGGTAGATGTTGATTGATGAGTACATGAGCATGGAATGGACATCATGCTTCTCTTTGGGTTCTGTCTGGACGTGCCATTGGATTTTGGTTTAGGATGTAGTTGTCTTTAGTATTGGGGATATGAGGTGGTGATTGTACATCATGGATACAAGTAGTAAAGCTTATCTATAAGTGATATACTGCATGATGTCTTTCTTGCAGAGTAAGGTGTATGTGCATTGTGTATGTGTATGTGTCTACCTACGGTAGCAAGGGTAGCAAGTCTTCCAGCGTACCGTATAATCTCGTTCAAAGCGCTCAAGCTAGGCCTAAAGAGGCAGTACGAGAGTTCTCCGTGAATTTAGATAGGAAACCCTAGACAATCTAGAACTGTTAAGAAACGCAGAATAAGGAGATTTTGCCCGTAGAAACAGAATCCTTTTTTGTCCCTTAAGGACTGTACTACCGCCTTAGAAAGAAGAGTTTTCTGTTGTTGCGCTGATCACGATCTGCAAGGCTTCTACGGTTGACGAGATTAAGCCTTCCTATTGGCCTAGTTACTGCCTCCTTAGGCCTAGCTTAAGCCCTTTGAACGAGATTATACGGTAGTTGCCAAACCCGTTCCTATCACCCTATTCCTGCAACCACAGTATATCATTTTGACTTGCGTTGACTTGCGCAAAGCACGAAAAGTATCTCCTGACATCTCTGAGTGCTTTTCCTTGCATGACTTGTTCTAGAATGCACCACAGCCACAGCTCCTTATCGCGCATACAGAGGACAGATCGGGAGTAGGTCGCCCACGTGGACACCTTGGCTTGCGTCATAGCTGCCTTCCATCGGATTGCTCTCCGGACAGGTATTTCTTCCCCCCGCGATACATACTCTTTTCAGTAAACTAGTACTGGGATCTCAGGGTCCAGGGAAGAAGACTAGACCCGACGAACCTCTTCGGAAAAAATACTCCTCCGATCTGCCCAGGTGTTCTCCCGTTTGTCTATCATTTCCTCCTTCTGCTCCAAGAGCAACGACGAAGGGTTCGTGGGGCCATGACGTCGGGATGCAGCCGGATCGACAGGGTCCTTTCCAAGGTTCTAGCTCAGGGTCTCGGTTAAGCCTTTTCTCGAGCGGAGTTTATCCCGTTCAAGTTAGGTTCGTTTTACTGGATGAGGGTTAGTGCGGGGTCGAAATCTAGAATCACGAGCTGTTCACAGCTTCAATTCTCTCCCTCTTCCCAGAAACGTCAACACGTCCACCCAAATCAAGCTTCGCCGATGCAAAATGCAAGCTGCCACCTCGTCTCCAGGACCTTCCTCTCCATTGGATCTCGTCAGTGGCGTGATCCAGGGCTTGCCAAGGCGCGTGGCCTTGTTCCTGAAGAGGAAATGATCTTCTGGCACCTTCGCTGAGGCTGGCTTGGTGCATTGTCGTCCCGGAGTGCGAGAGATGGCACCAACAACCGGCTTCGCGCCATACTACAGTAGACACTTGCTTTGGGCGATGAGTATAGTTTCATCGTGGGCCGAGTATAAGAGGGGGGATGTCGTCGTTGGGGTCGTCTGTGTTGACGAGAAAGCATTCACTCTGGGATCGCTCCTTCTCTTAACTACTCTACGTCCTTTTGTCGTCTCCGGCATATCAATTTCATATCCAGCTCCAGCAACACCATAACAGATACAATCTCAGCTACATCTCTATCTCCATTCCAATCACCTGCAGCACTACAACGACTACCACTCCTCCCATGCCCACCCACTCCGAAGTCACCCGCTTCATCTCCTCGCTCCTCCCCCCAAAACCAAACGACATCCCCCTCCTCTACCACATCCCCCAATCCCGCACCTACAACTTCGACACAGCCCCCTGCGACCAAGTCGTCCTCTCCGTCACCCCGACAGCAGGCGTCTACGCCCTGCTCGGCCCGGATCCCCCCAACTCCAGAACAACAAACTCACCAGACGACGCACGCCGCCCAGGCAGCGAGGAACCCCGTCCCCCGAACACCATCGCCTTCCTCCACCGCCCGGACCATCTCGACCGCAGCAGGATACGTGACAACGTCCTCGTCCTCGCGAGCCACACCTCATTCACCGAACACCTAACCCTAGGCTGGAACCCCTACCTCGCCGCGCGCCTAGGCGTCGACACATCCCCATCCAGCAACACCTTCATCCCCGTGCCCTCCCCCACCCCCACAGACCCCGACCGCCGCATCGGCGCCCTCGCGAGAATCAACACCATCCTAGGCCCCCTGCTCGACGCCATCGAGTTCGAATTCGGCGCCATAGAAGCCGCGCAGGAAGGGCTAAGCGAGGAGATTCACATTTTGGCACTGATGAACGAGTTCGGTGCCGATGATGTGCATCGTGTACTGGATTTGGCGGTTGAGCAGGGGTGGGTGAGGAGTGAGAGACGGTTGGGGAGGCATGTGGTTTGTTTGACGGGGAGGGCGAGGGGGGAGGGGCTGGAGGAGGCGGGGAGGAGGGGGTGTACGGTTGTTTGTGTCGGGGAGGGGGTGGGGGAGCAGTGGGGGATTGGGTTCATGGCGGCGAGGGTGAGGGAGGAGTTTGGTGGGAGGGGGAATGGGGTGAGGGTTAGGGAGGTTTATGAGGATGAGTTGGGTGGTTAGGGGCTAGGGGGAAGGTGGGTCTGGGTGGAGGTGCGTCGGTTTGCTGGGTGAAGGGAAGGGTAGGTGGACAGCGAGAGGGATCGCAGAGACGAGAGGATGCGGATGGTGCAGGCAGGAGAAGAGAAACTATTCGTCTACCAGATTCGCGGAGTAGGCAGCACAAGCAACACACGCCGTCGCCGTCACGGATACCACGAAGCCGCATCAGCGTCAGCATCAGCAATATTAGCTAGCATCAGCATTATCATCGTCAGCATAAACATAGTCTTAAGAATAGATAGAGCCTTATCAATACAAGTACCAGACAGTCAAGCTAGACAGATTACGGGAGAGGTGAAGAAAGAACCAAAAAAGTTCAAAAGGCTGTTATCAGTTTCGCATCAGTGATGTATTTGGATGGATTTCGTGTACTGTGTACGTCGAGAGCCTCCCCGCTGTCAGTGTATCGGAACTCCTCTCGCTCTCTGCAAGAACGGGAATGCTCATACTCTACTTAGGTGGAGAACGAAGGCTAATGAAAAATACTGTTACTTTCTAGCTGCATTTAGGGAAACGAGATGGGGAATACTGGGTTTACTACTGGAAAGTGTAATTCTATCTCCTTCTTAGCCTGATCTAATCTAATCTGGCATACCCTAGCCTCGCCTACTAGCCTCCTACTCGCCTACTACCGTGGCCTAACTCTACTGCATCTAATACCCCCGGCCTAACAGCTACCTACCTACCTATCTACTTACCTACCTACCTATCTATTTACCTACCAGGCTTAACCAACCAACCTAGCCGTTGCGCGGGACCTACGGGGATTGAACAGCGGGAGATGGTAGTAGACATACCGTGTATGCATATCCGTGACATTAGACCATCGGATAAGGTAATAGACTAATACAACGACCGTCCCAGCTATATACATCTGCCCCCGCCGCTTCAGTTCACTTCCCCTCCACCTCCATCTCCACCAATGGAGCAATAAATATCAACAAGGAAAAGGTGCCTAGAAAAGGCCAACATACATGGAGCAAGAAACGACTGACCAGTCAACATCCATCTCCTCCCCAACAAAAACTATCGACAAGAAACGAAAGTACCATCGTACCGAAGAAGCGAGTGTTCATATATACACGGAACCCCCCCCAAAAAAGTCTGTCTCCTGCATTTCGCTGAAGCACCACCAAGCGGGACCAAGGGTGGCGCTAAGCGGATATTCTAGACGCCGTACACCTTGATGGAATTGATGAGCCAGTACGTCTGCAACATGTCAGCTCACCGCTTCCTTTGAAAAGTAAATTCTTATAAGGTACTCACATCGGCAAACGACTGCGGCTGCTCCGCGACATAGGCATTGCAGCTCGGATTCATCTGCGCGCAGCTCGACTGGCCCCAGACGCCCCCGGCCCAGTCGCCGCAGAAGGTGATGTCGAAGACCTTGACAATCTGCATCAGCACCCACTCCGCTCCTCACCCTCCCCAATCCCTCCTCCCTCAACACAAGAAAACGAAGTACTCACAATATGCATATCGCGAAACTTGGCCGCGAAATCGCAACCCGCGAAATTCGCCTGCGGCACCCCCCAACTATTCGGATCCGGATTCCCATTCCTGATATTCCCAGGGACATCCCTCGCCGCCCAGTACCAGACTTTGATCCCGGCATCCGTCCACAGCGCCGCATACACGCCCCCGCCATTCGCGTTGAACGGCGTGCCATAGCTCGTCGGCTGGCCCACGGCCTCGACACCGCATCCCGTGTACCCGCCGCCCGCGCCGCAGTCCTGGTTGCCCACGCTGCGGCCCGTCTGGCCGCCGTCTCCGACATGGACGTTGCAACCCGGGGACGTGTGCAATGTGACTTGGTTGTTCTGGTTGAGGTTGACGCCCTCGATGATGTCGAGTTCGCCCTGGTTCGGCCAGTTGGGGCCCACCATCCAGAAGGCGGGCCAGGAGCCGCACGCCGTGCCGGGGATGTGGGCGAAGTCGCCGATGATGAGGCCGCGCGTGTAGCCCCGTTTGGATTGGATGCGGACGCTGTCGCGGCCCGGGCCGGAGGGGTTGAGACGGGTCTGGGAAGGGTTAGAGGGGTTGCGAGATATACGGGGACGGAGAAGGACGAGAATTGATGTGGGAAGGATTCTATAGTATGGGCATCTAAGAAATGGGGAACTGACCCAGGAGTCGACGCCCATGTAGACTTGGCTGCCCTGGTTGCGGATCAAGCCTAGTTGTTGCGCTCTTCCTGCGTCGACGTAGTTGACGAAGCCGTCTGCGTTATGTCAGAAACCCATTGTGGGGAGCTTTGTTATTGCTGTTGTTGCTTACGGGTCGGATCTGCCATCTGTATACCATTAGCCTAGGATCTGAACATAGTGAACAGCATACTCACAGCCTGAACATCGAATTTGTCCAGCCAGTTACTGGAATCATATTGCTCAATCAACCCATACGCCTTGACAGATACCTCTCCATCCGAACCGTTCACGGGAGGCGAGTGATAGCCAGGAGGAAAGTATCCGGGTCCCGCTGGCTTAGCAGATACACCGGACCACAGCAGAGGGAGCAATACGAAAAGGCGCGACCCGGGAGACATGGTGACGGCAGAGGTACAGGGAACAAGTGCGAGACAGTGCGGTTCCACGACACCTTACAGACGCTGGTTGCATAACCCACCGTCTTTACCTACATACTTATACACCCGCCCGCCCGGAACTTGACGCCGCATCCAGGCCACCAGGTCCGCATCAGGTGTGCTGGTCGAGTTCACATCGCGCCTTGAATCCCCAGGCGGACAGAAACGTGGTCGTGGCCCCCTGGGAGTCGAGTGCTGGGGGGCGGGGAGCCTTATTGGCTATGTTGCTGAAATTGATGTCCAAAAGCCTTCCATTGTTACATTGGACGTCCAAACAAGGTCCGTTGGGGATTAATCGCGCCAAGCCAGAGCGGGAGATCAGCCTTGCTAGGAAGTTGGGAAGAGGCTCAGTTGATCCACCCCTGGTGGCCAGGTGGGCGTGAGCATCCCACATGACGGGAGGCTAGTCGCATAATTTCTGAGCAGTCGACCTGGTGGGGACCGTGGATTCTGGAAGCATGGCAGGGTCGCGAATACAAGGAAAAGGGGAGATGAGAAGGGGTTGTGGCAAGGAGATGGGTTTCTTGAAAGTCGCGAGATGAGTGGAATGAAACCCTGGTTCCTTTCATCAAACTGCCACCTCTTCCGTGGTCCTGCGGCCCCACGCCCCAAAAGTCGAAGGAGACCAAGACATCTTGGCCACGGGTAGGAGAAAAGTGATCGTAGATCTAACCCAAAGATGCGAGATATGCCGAAGGAGGAATGAAGAGGAAGCGGTAAGGGAGGGAACTGTGTTACAGAAGGAGCATGCCAAAACCACCTACCTCATCCGTCTCGCACCGGAACTGCTCATCTGATCTTAGCTTCCACCTCACCGCCCGATAGGCTGGTCCTCTCTACCGCAGGTGCACGACTCCGAAGTCACCGACTCAAAGCGTGCACCGATTACTTTCGCAGCTGCGGATGATGCATCCGATTCAGAATCGATCCTCTCCATACAGGTAGTTGACGGGTCTTGCCTGCGATTAAGCTCCACCATCTCAGTCCGGATCCCCAGAGAGTCATCAAGAGTACTTGATGCGCCAAAACCTCCCTCGAGATGTGGTTGCGTCCCTAGTGTCACAGGATATACAGCTCTCTCTGCTGGACATGGTCATCAAGGGCCCGCTAGTCATAGGGCCGTATGCTCGTGGGTATGGTCCGGTGCAACCTAAGGCGCGGTTTGTAATGTGCTGAGGTGCCTGGCTTGTAACTCCACGCGGGCAGCAGGATAGATATAGAAGAGTTTATGCTGCAGTTAGCATGTGAACCTGCATGGGCGTTGACGGATGGTTGCACGGAGAGGACTAGCACCCCGCAAATGCCGGCCAAGTGGACTATTCCTAATCCGTCAAGTGCAAACACCCCTTTTTCAAGGAAGCAGCAGTCTCTGAATTTTGAGTTGGGAAAATCATGTGGGCATATATTATGGACATTACTTGATCCGAGATGGGTGAATAATTCCCCAGCAGATGCATACCACCCTCATGTCTACATTCCCTGAACCTGATCCTCCTCATCGCCAACTCTCCTCGGCACCAGAATCGTCCTCAGAATGCACTTATTCCCATTATCAGGGCACACATTTGACCTACCGAGCTGCTTATCCTTCGGCCCAGTAGGCCCGCTGCCAAACTTCGCCTGGCCAAACAACTTCGCTTGCCGCTTATCGCTCGTAGGATACTCCTGATCGCCCCAGCGGCCACGGAACTCCAACCACTCCGTTGGCGACGCGCTGTCGTAAGCCGTGAAACTCCCCGCGTTCCTGTCACCGTTTCTGTCAAAGGAATACTGGTACCAGTACGCGGACTGGATCGGGTCCCATAGAATACCGGCATCGGTGTCATCCTCAAGCGCACCGGCGGGTAGGTTGAAATTGGGAATGGTGTGATCATGCTTCCCTGGGATGGCGTAGTTTGCGTGCGAGCCATTGGCGCTGTAAGCCAAAGGTCGGAGACCCTGCTTGCGGACGGTGCCGTAGGAAAAGGCTTGTCCGTTGGCGTGCTGCGAGTACCAGACATATTCTGGCGCACCGTTGCGGAACCGGATCATCAGGTGTTCGAAGTCTCCTACGTGGTTGCCTGGACGATATTAGTTAGTTTCGATTTGGAAGGATGAGGGGAAGAGGTACCGAAGTTCAACTGCTTGATGCGCAACACATTTCCTCCATAATTGTAAGCATAGAAGAACATGTAGAACGCATCCACAACACCGTCTCCTTTATCCGCAACGATTACAGCTGCTGGGACCGCGCCTTGCGTCTTTCCATTCGAGTCGGGCTTGGTTCCCTTCAGCCAGGCAGCGGCTGGGTTTTCGCTAATTTCATCTTTGGAGGTGAGGTAGGTGTCGGACGGTAGTTGGTTCACATTGTTCAGCGTAACTGGAGATGGAGCGTTCGGAGTGGGCTGGAAGGAGGGGTTCTTTGGCACAGTGTTGGCGAGAAAGCTGCTGAGGTCGGTTGGGAAGTATTGCTCTGAGGAATGGAGGTATATCAGGGGAGCTATTTCAGGTGTTAGCAGTGACGATATATATCTCCAATTTCAGAGATTCACATCTGACTCGTCGGTAACTAAAAGTTATTCAGAAAGGTCAATAATTCACATACCATATTTCAGCACATAGTCGGGCACACCCGCAGGTGCCTGCCTCTTTCCAAGCTCCTCTCTCCCCGTGGGCGCGGCACCGCCAACACTTGCAAGCGCAAAGAAAGACAGTAACAGGGTATCAAACAACATCTTTCAAGATTTTCTTTCCGGGGAATGAACGTGGAGGAAAAGAGTGGACAGTCGCAACGCAGCGACAAATAATAACTGAAATAAGATAGACAGTATCTGTCCCTCGACACACCTCTCACGCGGCGCGGTCTTGCGATGCATTCCGCACAGCAGACACACCCAAGTCCTTATACTCACCCGACCCCTCCTTCAGCCCACATATTCAATCTTACCCCCTTCTGTACTCCCTCCTGCCTCCTCCAACCCGTCACCCGCCCAGCTCTGCAAGGCTCGGAAAACATTCTTGCTCCCATCGCCTGTCCGCGCTCATTCGCCGCGTGCTCCTGTTCCCATATCGCCTTCCGCAAACGAACCAGGTACAAGACCCGGTAGTGCAGGAAGCGTGGGCCAATAAAGGAGGCGGGTTGAGACACGAATATCAGGGGTGGCAGATGAAGTCCGAAAAGGTGGACAAAAGTGGATGGTGGGAGAAAAGGTGTGCTTGCGGGGTCGCCGAGAATAAACTGTCCCTGGGCTGTGATTGGTTGACTTTGTCATTTGGGGATTTACGGAGCAGTGTGATTGGTTTGTCAGAAAGGGGTAACAAGAACTCGACTATGTTTGAAGCAAATCAACTTTTCAAAGCGGTGCTGGTGAGGGCATTGCTGAATGGTCTGGAATTTATCTTCTGATAAGAAGTTGGTTACTCCGTACCTCTGTACTGGCGTCGTCGTCTGTGACTGATGAAACGATGCCCCTTTTGACCGCCACGAAAGCGGAGCGGATCTAGGACATTTGCGGCTTTCAATTGGCACATGCGCCTAATCCTACTTTCTATTTGGCAGTTGTTGGATGTTATGTTTCAAGGAAAAGCTCCGGAAGACGGAATGCAGCAGTCTTGAGTGAATTCGTATTCCATTTCTGAGTAACGTTTGTACATCTTTCTCTTTTGAACCTGGTTTAATAACTATGTATCACTCTAATTTCTATGATCGTGGATTGTACACTGACAAAAACAACCTCTGAAGATTTCCACTGTCGAGCTCTGCAGAATTGCGGCATTTAGCTATATCCCAAAATGTTGTCAGCGAGGAGTAATTTCAGGAATTGTAAAGATTTCTTAGAGAAGGTGGGAGGACATAGGGAGTTGCAGTTTCTCAATTGCACTGCCATCGATTCACACAACGTGCTTGACGTCCTGCCTAATCTGGTTAGCGTCTGACCATGCGCTATTTCTTGGAAGCATCCCTAGGCAATTTGGTAATTTCCTTTCAGAGTCACGACGCTGGGGCGGTCACTTGATAAGCTTCACGGAAGCTTTTAATATGATGCTTGTTCCATATATCAACTGTCCGCAGAACTTTATCTCTCGAAAATCTCCGTCCGAATCTATGAGATCCGTCATGGAAACTCCGCACAAGTCGTCTCACCTCGGGACCTTTTGCCATCACAGCATGGATGACTACATTCAGTACGCTCATGCATCATTCTCCGCTTTTTTAAATCGCAAACGCAGTGGTGAGCGAGAGATACCTTCCGAACTGTGCGTCGAGAGGTTGATGCGCTTGCCGTCACCCTCATGCTTGTCAGGCCGCTTAACGAGCTGCCTATTTGGGCTGTTACTAACGGACTGTACAGAGTTATGATATACCAGGAACGGCTCTGAATAAGCAGGTCATTTGCTGGAAGGATGGCGTGGTCCTTCAGACATGGTCCTCTGGTCCCTTGGATGCGGGATCCATATGCATTTCGATATCTGCAAGTTACAACACGGTTAAGAGCGCAGATCCTTGGTCACTGCACTGCAGATTGCAATATGGAGGACGACATGCATCTTGCACCACATCCACGGCGCAGCTGTTTCCGGGCCTGTACGGGCCGGTCGACTATTAAATCAGGATGCTTCCCCCTCCGCGGTAGCCACAGCGTCGCTCCTTGTGCTTGAGCGACCATGTCTATCTCCCAGTTTGTCGTGGGAATTTCTTTGGCTGCGATTGTATCCGCCACTCCTTTCCAGCGCAATGTCTTCCAGAACGAATCTTCGCCCTGTGCGCAAGTGAGCGCATCCGTTGCAGCGCAGAAACCGGCGACAACACCTACTGTCCCTGCCCAATTGGCTTATGATTGTATCACCAGCGTTCCTTTGAATAAAACGGCAGCATTGGACCTCATTGATTCTATTACGCCTTACATTCGCTGGCACTCAAACACCGTCTGGTTAAAGGATCCTCCCAAGGAATACGCAGAGAAAGTCCAGCCTGGTGTAGATGTCTGGGCTGGGATTGAGGAAATAAGGTCGAAGGTGGAGTCGAGCACATTTCGCAACGAGTATGAGGTATGTTGAGAGTCTTATTACGACTGTTTAATATATGCGCTGCATGTTACGACCGATGCCCGATACGGCTAAATGAACGTTGGTTGACGGTATGCAGTTCGGTTGGTCAATGTACAGGTTTGTCCCCGCTCAGATGTGTGCAGTACGAAGCAGGTCTTGCTGACGCGATTCTCGAAGACTACTACAGACCACGCATGACGGGCACTTCGTATTTGTGCCAGATGTTATCGGTGGCGTCTTCAATTGGGCCCGGCCCATTCCTCTCGTGTCCGTTTCGGAAGACGGAAAGGCGCTGCCCAAGCCTTTCGTATATCCAGACGTCCTTGCGGCGTCTGTAGGAAACGCATCGTTTACACCATCGGCTATCACCGTCATTAATGGACAAAAAGCGTCAGAATATCTAGAGAATTGGGCGCAGTTCGGTTCGCTGCAGGATCGAGACGCATTGTACAACAATGTCTTTTACAATCTCGCTGCCGTGTCTATCGGATCTGTTAGCACGAGTATAGGAACTTTTGCAGGGAGTGGAAGAGGTAGATGGGCAAGTCATCATGGGTCACAGAAGGAAACGTGTGCTAACAGATAGTTTAGGTGTATCCAGGCGCAGAAACCAAGATAGATTTTGAAAATGGCACGAGCGTAACTTACCAAAATTACGCTCGGGTGCTTGTCGACTTTGACGGAGTAACCGACGGGGAAAGCCTCTACAAGAAATACTTCTACAGCCCAAAACCCACTGAGACGGACGAACCTCCGTCTAACTCTACAGTACCGAGTCCTACGAACTCCAGTATACCGACTTCGTCCGCGACTCCCACAGCAACACCCAAACCAGTCCCTGGGTACCCACCACCTGTGCTTCGCGAAGCGCAGAACAACATCGGTGGGTATTACCTGGGAGACGATTACTCAGACATTGCAGTCCTTTCCGTACCATCCTTCGTGTCAGAAGAGGAATCAGAAATCCCATTCCAGCAAATTGGTGAGCAGTTCCTCGCGGCCGCGAAAGCTGCGGGAAAGAAGCACCTTATCATTGATGTCTCCGCAAACGGCGGTGGCACCATTCTGCAGGGCTATGATCTCTACAAGCAACTCTTCCCCAAGGGCATAGGGCACGCAGCAGCCGACCGCTTCCGCGCTTTCGAAAGCACTGACCTAATCGGCCAAAAGTTCTCTGAAAAGGCACAAGGGCTTCCCCGCGAGCTCGTCTCCGAGAACGACAACGAGACACTCTATTCCCTCCAGTACGACGTCGTCTCCTCCATCTTCAACTACCGCACCGACCTTGACGAAGACAACAAGAATTTCGAGAGCTGGGCCGACAAATTCGGTCCCGTCACTATCGCCGGCGACAATTTCACTAACCTCATCCGCTGGAATCTCTCCGACGGTCTTACACCATTGAACTCTGGAGGCATCTGGGTTCACGGGTACCGCAATCTGACGAACTTCACGCAGCCCTTCGCCGCTGAAGATATCATTGTTGTCACGGACGGTTATTGCGCGTCTACCTGCACTATATTCTCCGAACTCATGCGTCAGCGCCAGGGCGTGCGATACGTTTCGCTAGGGGGACGCCCTCGACCCGGAATCACGCAAGCCGTCGGGGGCGTAAAGGGGACTAATAATTTCCCTTGGGATTATATACAGAGCCTGGCGCAGTACGCTGTCACGAACACCACTGCTTCTGCTGAAGAGGCGACACAACTGAATAAGACACAACTTGGCGAGTACTGGAGTAATGTGCCCTTTGATAGACAGTCACCGGGTACGGCAGTCAATGTCAACTTCAGGGATGGCTGGCGCGACAACGCCGATTATGGCTTCCCACTCCAGTTCTTGTACGAGCCGGCGGATTGTAGAATCCTGTACACGAAGGAGATGACTTACGATGTTACGGCTATTTGGAAGGCGGTTGCTGATTCAGCTTGGGGTGGCAAGGATTGGTGTGTTGCTGGCGATTTGGCACACGGCGGATACGAGGCGCGCGGCGGGAGGGAGAGACGTGTAAGGAGCCTTGAAGGGGAAGTCAGGGCAGAAGAGAGGTTATTAGCGAAGAGGATGAGGGAGTGGAAAAGGTCGCTCAGGGTGGAGGATTATCCGATGGACTTGTTTACGGATTTGAGGGGCTTGAAGATTGTGAAGAGCGGGTTCATGTATCCATAAATGGGCGCGGAGGAAAGGCGTGCCTAGGGTCTCAGGGAACACTGTGCCACCAGAACGGCGAAACATCAAGACCATGTGCTTCAATGTATACGGGACACGATTACGATTAACACTTCAGATTTCGCGATTGTAAAGTCACACTCTCCCTCATAGCGCTCCCACATTGCGGTAGGGAGGGTAAGAACAAACTTGGGATCTAACATGTGTTGAAGGCCCGACGACCCCGCCTATGACGTCGACTTCTCCACCGTCCATCAAGACAACTTTACTGCTGTAGTGATTCTGCTTTTTCAGTACTACCGTGATATACGACCATCGCCTGTACATCAGAGACGTATATGAAGCCTTGAAACAGGCTGTGAAGTTCCAGCCAATCTCATCGCAACTTCTCAGATCATAACATTATTGGAACATTGATCTCACATTTTCACAACATCAATACAAAATCATGAACGAACGCGGCACTTCACAAAACACGCAAACTTCGTCGCAGTCCAAGGTGCAACAGCCGCAACGCCCAGTTGCTGAGCGTCAAGACCAGGCCACTGTCGATGAGGGGAACCAACATGACTCCTTGCAAAAGAATCGCGGGGGAATGATTGATGATAGCGAGTTCCATTATGAGCACATGGAGATCCACTTCAATGATGAGGATGAGGATGAGGAAATGGAGGAAGAGGTCGGTGGTGGAACACAGGTTGGGAAGGGGAAGAAGTGATTGACGGCAAATGGTTCGAAAAGTCAACAATCGATTTGCAGAAGGGGATGCAGCAGCTGACTTTTCTTCCCAATGATCAATGTGTCGCTGTACTGTTTTCTCTCATGAAGTGTTTGCACTACAGTACGAAGCCGTCTTTGGCTACAGAAACAGTGGGGAATACACTCGGAAAGAACCGTTCTAATGCGGAGAGGTGGGAGGCGAAGTGTGACATCAGATCCGCACACAAAGCTCCAGACTTTGGATCACGAGGCAGGTACATCATTCCCGCCTCACATCTCTTGGGGAGGGATATATATAACTGGCCACTGACATGATGCATCGTCCATAACAAATATCACAAGCCACTGAACAAACTTCGCTTCCACAGCCTCAAGCTCAACACGACTACATACGTTCCCACCCAACGCTTCTACAACATCATCTCTACAACAATGGTTCACCAAGACAAAAACTGCCCATCGGACGACCCGAACGCAGAGCGCAACCTCTACAAAACAGCCTCCATCTCGTCGCCTCTCTCCAGCACCGCCGACGCAGCACTGCCATTCCACGAGCACTTTCTCCCGGAAGAACTGAGCCTTGCGGATGAGCTGCAGCTCGGGAGTCACGAGGAGATTGAGCGGTATAGGAGTTACAGCATGTCGGAGCAAGGGGATCTCCCGGTACCTGCAAAGGATGGGAATGAGCATATGAAGCTTGAGGAGGAGAAGGATGAGGTATGTGGAGTTCGCTTCCCTAGGGCACCGAGAGTTTGATGGGCATGATGGGAAAGAGTGGATGAATGTGGTTTTGTCGTACTTTCTGTTGGGATTCGATCGTTCTGTGACAGAACAGTCCAGTATGCGGGGAATTGAAAGTGAACGTTGCAAGAGGGGCCTTGTGGGGAAGCGGACATCAATTGGCTGTTCATTGATTCTGTTATACCACTCAAGAGAGCCATGAGTCCACACACTCGTGTTCATACAGATAAGCAAAGTCTTTACAGCTCAACTGGAAGTACGACTCGAACTTTCCGAAATTGCACGTCTATGAGAAAAGTCTAGGGACCAGCAAACAACTCGGTTGCTACTGGCGAACATTGAAACAGATATATCATAACATTGAATACCTCTGCTTCCCGATGCTATCATCTTCTAGTAGATATGCAGGCTGCGAAGGGTCTATTACATCATTTCACGTGAACTCCCAAACAGCGAATAATCGTGCAGAGCAGAACGCTGGAAACACATTAAGAGTGTTCACACAACTGTTGTTTCCGAACATATATCACATTGAGCAAGTGAATTGAAGACATACCCTCAACATACCACGAGAGTACTATTTACATGTCGAATCGGAAGGAGAAAATCATCCATCTCCTGGAACGGACCGGTCCGGCCTCAGAAGGTTGGCAGGCGTCCGTCAACGGCTTCATTTCCCTCAGCGATAAATCGTCCAAAAGAGCGAAACAAAATAAGGCGCACACAAAGAGTGAGCAGGGCACAAGTAATGAAGAGAAAGTAGTGCATGAGATGTCGGAGATCAGCGATACTTCAGACAAGAAGATCAGATGAGGGGAAGTGACATGGAGTCGGTGGCTTTCATGAATGACTGCAGAGTGAGGACGTGTACTCTCCTAGAATATCAAGGGCATTTAGGTTGCTCTGCACTTGACGGATTTCTACGCTTGGGTCTACAACCTGCACCAATGAAGTAGTGGGAAGGTTAGATCAAGTAGGAGTGGAGTAATCGAGTATATCACAGGCGCTACCATGAGACTATTTACGAAGAGCATCTCACGTGATATTGTCATTCACTGTTATCATTTCCATTCGAATAAGGCCACAAACCCATATTGGATGCCGTTACTCAAATTAAAAGTCTTAAGAAAGATTGGTGCTCGGTTATCAAATCCGGGATACATCCCAAGAGCGCCTGGCAACCAAGTGGCTGAAAGAGTGAATACATCATGTTATAGGACATGGGCGGCATTGGAAGGTACCGTTTATACAACATAAGAGAAAATCGGCGTTTTCAGTTGGCAACTCTGCCTAAATGAAGTCGCAAAGTATCCAAGTTCCTCACACTATTTCAACGACACGATACGGAAACCCACATCCCCCCTCTCCCCATAGGCTCCGGCTTGTACACCGCGGAGAACGTCTCCCTCTCCCCTAGCAAATCAGTGCAGGTACCATAGGGCAGGGGTTCGGACCCGGGCCGTCAGTTAGATTCCCCACTCCGTGACCAAGAATCGGAGCGGGAGGATGCATTGCATATACGACGGTGGGCGTACAGGATATCCCCCACGCTAAGTGTTCCCTTGAAGGCGAGCGAGTCAATGAGGAGCGGAAGCAACGGGTGTAACGTGCAAGAGAGTGCGTTACGCGCATCCGTCAAGCTCGAGGATATCGTATATGAAAAGCACTTTCAACTCCTACAGACCCTTAGGATGCTTTGGTTACACAACCGAGGAGCCATTCTCTCATTAAAAAATATATTCGTATCTCGTCGCTTCGGATAAGATATTTTTAAGTTTTGGAAGGTCCACATCTCTTTACCTCAAAGAAATGGGTTGGTGGCGGTGTGCATAAACGACACTGCCACGCCGAGCTACCAGCTCACCACCACTCGACCGGTTTTCTGGGAACACCCTGTACCAAGTGCAAGACAACATTCCGCCCCGATCCGAGCTATCACGGAGAACAAGAAGCTTCATGCAGAGGCGGAAATGGAATAGATGTCCAGAGAAGGTCTGGTTCGGTGTGTCCAACATGTTACGAACTGTAACGAGGCCGCATGGTATGGTTAGGCCCGGTTCGAGGAAGATTTGTTTAATCTTCATCCGTCGTAGGCCCCTCCACGTTTGGAAACCCCGGCAGCTTGCCCTCGAGCATCTTGAGTGTTTCACCATACATCTTCGATGGGACAGCATCAGGGTCGACCTGAAGTGAACTGACATCGATAGAAAGCGTTTCCGGAATTATATCGTTTGGCTTCGGCTTAACGAAAGTATCTTCTTCCTTTACAGGGACGGTATGGGCAGCCGGCGGGACGATGGAATCTGCAAATCTTTCGGCTAGTATTTTTCGCAGTACTCGTTCCACCTGCTCATCGCTGGGTGCGCCTTGCCGTTCTTCCAAATTGACGAGGCGTTGATGCATTGCTCGAAAAGCTTGCTCTGTCCGTTCCATGAAGTCGCGATAGTAGAGCGCAAGTCTTTCGAAGGACGCATTGATGTTTCCGAGAACGTAGTTGAACGACATGCTAACGACGGCAGGCTGCCGGAAGGCAGTGAACGCGAGAAAGGCTGAGTTAATGACGATGTAGATGTTGAAGGTGGAGCAAGATGTGATAGAGAAAACTACGGTCACAGCGCTTGGGGCGTGCATATAAGGCGTGCTCTGTTAGTACGGACAAAACCCGGCCTGGGTAGGTGGTGAAAGGCTTCGCCAACAAGGGAAGATCCTTCTATTAGGGCAACGACGCAAACCGGGTAGGTACGAGCGACAGCTAAAGAAAAATGGCCTGAGCTGTGCGTTTGAAACAGCAGGAACGAGCCTCTCTTGCAGCATGGCATGGTCGCTGTATTGGCTGTTCAACGCGACGAATAGGACGCTACAATTGCGATTCGAGCTTCGATCCGGGATACATATCGAAACACCGGTAAGAAACTGGCACAATCTTCAGAGTCTATCACACAAACTTAGTTTCTCACAAGCTGAGTGGCAGTTTGATACCCTAGGGTATGCAACAGCGGGCGCAGTCCTCAGGGCAGGGTCGTTGGCGATACTGACGCATGCTCGGCGAAATCCCGAGGGTACACAAGGCAAGGCAGTCAGATCTGGGCGCAGTGCAATAGGCCCAAGGCGAGGGAAAGGACTCATCAAGTGAGTCACTGTGCTGGCAGGCTGTGCCATGGGTCCCCGTCTACTGCACGGAACGGGAACTGCTGCAACGGGCTTTCAAAACGATGCAGAATGGCACGGTTCCATGAGATCGGCCAGCAACACTGGGAAGGCGTCTGACAGGAGGGCTATGTACGTACTCGAGAGTGGAGTACTTGCAGGTGGCGCGTCGTGAAAAGACAGGAGGTCGAGTTACAAGGGATTTAATAGATGGAACGGGAAGGATAACCGAGAATGTTCATAATTAATCCAACCTGTTTCTACCTCACTCCATCGCCAGCCATCCTTCACAATTTTTTTCAACTCCCCTCTCCCGCACAGATAGCCTAACTCCATTATCTGTTCCCAGATGAAGGACGTTGGCCCCCTTCGCGAACGACTCGCTTCACATCATTCCCGTCTATCGGAGTCGATTCCCATTCCCCGATGCATGGTAAGGCTCTCTGATCGGTGAGGGAGATGCATGTCCGAGCGTCAAGCAACACCAACCGCATGCATGTTCGTGAACCACAAACTCTGGAGATCGAAGGAGACCACAATATCGACTATGTTACGCAGCCAGCTGTGCCGCAAGCCCGCCTACCTAATGCTGCTCAGAAGGATTCTTCCCGCTGCATGTGCGAAGGAATTTCCAAAAGCCAAAATGAGAACTGCGAGACCGCATTGAGTCTTCTGGGAACCGTGACGATACTCCTGGGCTATGGGCAGAACATATCGACGAGTCTACAGTGCAACCCAGTAGAAGTTATTTACCTTCACACTAGACAACCCGCTCCTGGTCAATCATGGGCTAAGCGAGACCAGTGGGACCAGTAGCGACAGCCATCTCCCACTTGATAGACAACGCATTACTGGGTATTTGACAAGCCGTGGACGGGAATAATGGTTATGGTCAACCCCAGACGCGCCTCATCCCCCCAACGCCCCTCCGCCTTATGACCCATGAGACACCGAGTACTCCGTACATTTGGAGGACTTTATCGGACCCTACTTCGCTGAGAGCCGCTTTCACTGTCAGTCGCTAGAGGAAGTGGATCCTGCAAGCCTCACTGTTCAATCTGATGTACGTTTCGAACTATCTCCATCTTCCCCATCCCGTACGCTAACATTGAGACGCAATAGAGGACCGAATTCACGAACAGCAATTCTTGAGTCTCACAGCGTCGATTGGGTATGGTAGAACATTTGTCAGCTATCAATGTTTCGGTTGCGCCATCTACCGGCTTGGTCACTTATCAGAACATACCGTCTCGTACGATCTCTCCCGATGGAATGATGAACCCGAGCCTGTTCCCTTTCCTGTCCAAAACCAGGAGTTCTTCTGCTGATCAGCCGACTCCAGAGTGCAGCCGATAAGTCCTTTCTGGCCACGATCAGCATCAATGGATTCCGCCCATGGTATCCCTAACATTGTCTCTCAAAAGTCTCAGCGCTGAATCACAAACGCGTCCCGTCCACCAGGTTGAAAAGACCCCAAGAGGACAGCGTCCTGCAGGTTCCAATCCTCATGGGAACAGCCCACTGTGCCATCTGAGCACTGGCCCCTTCATGGACATGCCTTCTACCTAGCCTGCGGCCGAAAAATCGCGAAACGATACTAGCTCCACGTGCTGTTCCTTCGTTCGACCGTAATCGCGGACCTGATGTTGTCCGTCGGCCTATGTAATTAGCAGGAAAGTGCTCTAGCACACCATAATAAGAAAACAAACTGGGTGGAAAACTCCAAATATGGAGCAATGGGCCGTATCCCTTCTTTGAACGAAGAGATACCGCAAATGTTCCCAGTGCCGACCCAGACACCTATACTGTTCAGTGTTCACACTGCAGAACAGCCCTATGCGGCTCACCGATCAGCCTTCGCGCGCACCGTCTCAGCCCTGTCGGCATTTCTGCCAACCTGGTTGCTCTTATCTCTATCCCTTCCCCTAGGCTGGCACATGCGAATGTGGTTTGTCGGTGAAGCGAGCGAGATTACGCAGCTGGCACCCACCGAGATCCTCGGTGTTAGGAGCGTGGGGCGGATATTCATGACAGCTGCGGTAGAGATCTGCTTCTTGAGAGCACGGTGTGAGAGACGGTATCCAGTGGTCTGAGGTTTAGGAACAGTTTTGGGAAGGGACATTTGCATAGTGGAAGTGAGTGCGTGGAGAGAGCAAGAACTGCCGCAGGCAACCTTGGAAGTGATCAGCAATGAGGGTACGGAGTACTGCTGCTCTGATCCCACAGGACATGGTAATTCAACAGTCTTACCATCACACGGTTGCCCTCTGCATAGATGTGATCGTTGATTAGCTATTCGCTCGGCCATACAAGTTGCGCCTTTCCCAGGAGGAGTCCATCAGTCCTCACAGCCCGGACAATCATTCCTGTATAGCGGATTCACTTCAACCTCACGACACCAAAGCCTCCAAGGTCTCTCTATGGTGCCCCGTATAGACTCCCAAGCGTCGTGGGCCTCGCTGTCCTTTAAGAACTTGACATCACCCTCAGTCTTCACCTTGGCAGATTTGATCTTCCCACCGCCTTCGATGTCCACCTTCCCCTCAACTACATGCCCAAAATGTGCATCATGTATCATCAATGCGGTCATCTGAGCCTTCGCTGCGTCCCTGGTATAAATGGCTTGATATACTGCTTCTTCAATGCCATGCGCGACCGTCGTAAACCCATGCCCTCGCATGAGCACGACAGCGTGATCAGGTTCTTTCGCAGGATCCGGAGGCGCACCCCCTATTTGCGCCGGCAGCGCTGACCGGACTTTGGAATACAAGAAGCCGGCTGAGGTGGCTGGCTTGAAGGCTGCAGAAAGAGACGCGCCTAGTTTGGTATCGCGGACGAGGAGATCGTGCTTGGAGCCGCTAGAATAGTGGGATGAGGCGTCCCAAACAGGCACATTACTCCCTTCCCAAGGCAACGCGTTAGTCGAAGCTATCGCATTTTCAAGAGCTTAGGGCATACCCAGGAACCCTGCCATGTGTATGCCCGCCTTCAATGGCACTCCACTGATAGTATATGGCAGCACCGCAGCACAGTGACTATGCACAACGCTATTGATGCTTGGAAACCGCTTGTATATCTCGCTGTGTATATATCTCTCCAAGTATCCTGGCTTCGCATGCTTCTCTACTGGTTCGCCGTCTTCAACATTGTATTCCACAAGGTGCTCTTCGGAACTAAGCAGGGCGGGCGCCATGTTACAGGGCATGTAGAACGTGGCATGGTTGTCTGGACTGCGGACAGAGATGTGTCCGTACGCGTCGAGGATGCCGTGATGGTGGAGGATATGCGAGGCTGTTATGAGATTCTTGAAGAGATCTTCAAGGCCGACTTTGGTACGTTTGGGAAAATATCCGGCGGACATTGCGAGGAGTTGAGTGGTGAGAGGGTTGATAAGGTGCCATGGTTCCGGGTGCTCCTGTTGATGCCAAACTCAGCGGTTTGCTTGGTCTGGTGGTCAATGACGTCTGAACGGCTGCGAGTGAAAGGGGCCCGGAACTACGTTCTCCCGTACAAGAAGATACCTATCTACAAGTACAACGGAGCTACGAAGTCTCCGACCTCGCAACCAGGATTCTCCATATTTTATGCCTACTCCCCCGTACATGAAGAGATGCTAGATCCTCTTACGAACGACTTCAATATGATATGACTGTTGAGTGAGTGTACACAATACACGGCTGACTAATTTGTCAGCACCGCGGCGTCCATTCGCAGTCAGAAACGAAACAATAACCTTCAACACCTTGAAAACGTGGTGCTCTTCAACATTTGCGGGCCCGCCCTCTGCTTTAATTTTCTCTCTTTGTCAAGTCTTCTTCTCTCGTTGAAGAAAAGTCAACGCCAGGCGATGAAAGAGGTCTTTTTGCGACTCAAGCGTCCTGTGCAACTTTTCAACGGGACCGCTGCTCTAGCCCATTTTGCTCACGAATACCGCTTCCTACTACATGTTCGGATCAAGTTCTGTTCTTACACAGTATCACAGCGGTATACCTTAACCTTTGAACATTACAAGAACCTTGCGTCAGGCAACAAAGGTTATTCACGTGATCCAGTCAGCACAGACCACCCAATAGGATCAATTGATCAACCTCATTGCGTCCGCAAACAGGTTTTGACACGCAAACCCCAAGAATGTCAACTCAAAGGCTGAAGCGTCACGATATTGGCCGCCATTTGCTCGGTGCTTCTTGATGGCTGCCGTGTCACAGCTACGCGTCACAGCATTCGTCAGCCTACCGGAACTTGCTGGAAGAAAGTTGCAGTGCAACTCCCTCTATCATTGGCAGGGTTGGTCCAAAGCCCTCAAGACATGCAGATCCAGTCAGCTCAAAGCCCTGATTCCTGTCCCTATTGTAAGGCCAATGACCTCATGCTCAGTGAGCAAACGTGGCTCGCCAAACGGTGTGACGGATGCTTCATCATGGCGCCTGCCAGATCATGCGACAAAATCCGGTAGCCATATATATACGTGGCTCCCTACTTGGCCTTCACCTGGATGAAGCTTCCCCCGATCTCTCCGCTTTGTTTACTCCATAGCGTGTCGCTGTTTGCAGCTAAACCTCATTCTACTTATACCCGGATTTGTCTTACCACTCATCCAGGCGACACAGTGCAACAACCCCCGAGATAATTGAAGGCATAACCCATCCAGCAATATGTTCTTCTCACGCGCAGTGTCAATTTTCCTCCGCTTCGGCGAGTTCGTTTCTGCCGCCGTCGTGCTCGGGCTCATGGCGTGGTTCCTCCACTATCACGATGAGTGGGATGTCGGCCCCCTGGCGCGAGAGATCTACACCACTGTCATCGCATCACTTTCAGTTATCTTCTCTCTCATCTGGTTGATTCCGACGACAAGTAGCATGCTTCACTATCCCTTCGACTTGCTCGCGTCTGCTGCATGGTTTGCCGCCTTTGGTGAGTTTGTCCTCAATATCTGAGTTGATTAAACTTACTAACACGGATAGGCATTCTGGTTGACTATCTCGGGGACTCTGGTTGCGGCCGAGCTTGGGAGTGGAACTCCTTCGACATCCGCGTCAATTCTCCGTGGTGTGGCAAGTGGAGGGTAAGGCCCTAGGACAGACAAACTCTCGAAAGCGATGTACTGACTCTTTCAGGCTGCCGAAGCCTTCTCCTTCATCTCGGCTGCTTTCTGGTTCGTCAGCTTTCTTCTGGTAAGTTGCCGCCGAGATGAGCGTCGACGTGAGTTCCTGGTCTAACATAGCGAAGGGCGTTTACGTCTACCACAGGGTGTCTCGCGACCCAGTGGTTACTGATGGAACTACCAGGTGAGTGAAGCGCTCCGCAGATTCGCGCAAAGTGCTGACATTAGCAGACGCCGCTGGTACCGCTCTCGTGTCTAGATGCCTAGATGCTGGTGGCAGTCTCGGACGTAGTTTGTCTGAAGGACTTCCCTACTGCTACCCAATGGTTGATATCCTTGGACGTCTTCGGCGCTGACTCTCACATTGATACCCTGAAAGTTTGCTTGGAAAAGCTGGTGTTTTGGCCCGGTTAATTTTCTCTAATAGGTCTTTAATGGTGCCGTTAGTATATTTCAGACAATTACAGATTATTCAACCCGCTTCTGTTATTCGCCTCGGTTCTAGGTTTGCTATTGCGGAATGTCGCCATCACCAGCGATGTATGTAAATGGGTCTAACTCGATCCGGAATAAATCTTTCCCCGCGCCAGCAACACTGAGTGCGACCGTCCCCTCCAGTTGTTGTATCTACGACGTCTCTGTACTGAAAAGATTCCTTTCCTTCATTCAAAATAATGACATCCCCACGTGCAACAGTTGGCATATTGTCCATAGGGCAGATGGGCGCCGGAATTGCTGAACTGCTCCTCGCCCATGGCTATCGCGTTGTCACCAACGCCACTGATCGGTCTCTTGCGACCCAAACCCGAGCTAAGGACAAGAGTATCATTCTGCTTGCCTCCGATACAGATCTTGTCGCGCATTGTGACTACATCTTCTCTATCGTTCCACCGAGAGACGCAGTGGCAACAGCTTCTCGTATCGGCAAGGCGCTCAATACCTCGCCGGCTCCTCGCAAGGCTTCTGCAACTCCTTTATACTTCCTGGAGCTGAACGCTGTTTCACCGCAAACGTCCAAGAGTATTGCAGAAAAGCTAGGCGAGGAGGTTCCGGATCTGCGCTTCATCGACGGCGGCATCATAGGCGGGCCACCGACCTTGGGCAAAACATTCGAGTCCCAATGGATTAAACCGGGCATTCCGCTTTCCGGTCCCTATCCGCTGCACGAGGCACCTGTCAGCGGTGCACATCTAGCGGAAACCCTGAATACCAGGTATCTCGGTCCAGAGATTGGCTCCGCTTCAGGATTGAAGTGCTGCTTCGCAGCTCTTGCAAAAGGGTTGACGGCTCTAGCACTGCAGTCGTTCAGCACGGCTGCTTCGCTGAACGTTTTACCCGCGCTGGAGCATTACCTTGACCAGTATAATCCTCAGGCTAGTGAGAGGGTGCGCAGGGGAATTGTCGGGTGTCCGAGTAAAGCGTACAGATGGGTGGAAGAGATGAATCAGATTGGACAGTGCTTTTCCGAGGACGGAGGATGGGAGGGTCGGGCGAACGTATTTAGAGAGATAGCGGAAGTGTATGAGGAGTTGGCAAAGGTGGTGGAGAGAAGGGGAACGGAGCAGATGGGAAGTGTTGATGGGGTGGTGGGCGCGTTGTTGACGAGAGTGGAGAGGCAGAGGGAGAGGAGGAAGTCTTGGGAGGAGTTGGAGGTGGATGAGGGGTAGTGCTGTTATCACTGGTAGGAGTATGGGTAGGATTCTAGTCTATACTGCCAATTCACCCTTTTTGATTGTTAATTCTGGCGGTTCTCCAGATGCCTCTGCGATTAGAACCCATGGGACGATATGTCTTCTCTGCCAGTGATATAGACTGGAGGCTCCCATACTAAGTCCGTAAGGCTTGAGCATCAACGCTCTCTTCTAACTGGCATGAAGTTCCTGATCGCAACATAAATATATGCTGTTCCTTCTTCCCATTAAAATATTCCTAGTTTAGATTTTACACAAATGACAGCAACTTTACTCTGTCGGGCTAGCGGCGAACTAGTCGAGTGAATCGACCTCCGGACTTTAGGAACACCATCGGTCGCCACTACAACCTCTAGCGGACTCCACAACGCGTCAGAGTAAACGCATCGCACAATGGGAATACCCCAAGCCCTGAAGGTTCCGACAATTGTTGTGGCAGTCTCCATGCAGGAGGTATACGCCGAACTCCAACGCTCCTTCTTCTTCTCAAAATGACAGCGAGTCTCGTTTTCTCCTCCACCCATGAACTCAAAGCATTTCGAACCTCACGACAGTGGTGTCAACCTCATCTACACATTCATTCATTCATGTGATATCATTACCTGTCTCGCTCATTGCGTCATAAACGATGTTCACAACGTCGAAACTTGTAATCGCCGCAGCAATCACTCTTGTCTGCGCCAGCCGCTCCAGCGCCCAAAGCTGGGAGACGATCCCTGAGATTGAAATCTATGGAAAGCACTTCTTTTACGCCGATAACGGATCCCAATTGTAGGTTCGCCCAATATGCAAAGAAATGATGGAAGGTTGACATGTTACAGCCACATCAAAGGAGTCGCGTATCAGCAGAACTGGGCACCGCATGGCAAGATGGGCAAGCATAAGAAGCTTCAGGATCCATTGACCGATGGGAAAGGATGCCGTCGCGATGGTACGTGCGAATATCAATTCAGCGTGCCGATCATCAAAGCCTCTGCCTATGATCGACGTTCCGCTGGTACCAACCTTTGGGACGGGGGTTGGACCGAGAGTTTATTGTCCACAGTAGGATCATGTACTGACTTGTCTGAATAGTTCCTTATCTCAAGGCGCTCGGGATGAATGTCATCCGTGTTCACGATATCGACCCGAACGCGAACCACGACGACTGCATGGAGCAACTCGCAGCCAACCACATTTACGTCTTCGCAGACCTAGGGATACCAGGAACACACATTGAAAGCAGGGATCCAAAATGGGACGTGGGCCTATACCGGCGGTATACTTCGGCCATCGATGCGATGAGCAAGTATAAGAATGTCATCGGGTTTTTTGCCGGCAATGAAGTTTTCTGGAAGGCGGACCAGACGAAGACAGCAGCATACGTAAAAGCCGCTGTGAGGGACATGAAGGGGTACATTAAAGGAATGAACTACAGAAGCTCCCTTGTAGTTGGCTACGCCGGATCGAACGACCGTACAACCAAGGACTCGGCAAGCTACTTCGCCTGCGATGCTGATGAAGCTAACAGTGCCATCGACTTCTGGGGTTACAACCTATATTCCTGGTGTGGAAATGCTACGGAGCACAAATACCATGATTCCGGATATGAGGAGGCCTATAACTTCTTCAAGGATTATCCTGTCCCCGTCTTCTTCTCCGAATACGGCTGCATCGATGCAGACGATGGATCCAGCCTGGCCCGACACCGCCCCTTCAGTGAAGTCGAAGCTATCTACGGGCCCATGTCTGACGTCTTCTCAGGTGGTATCGTATTTGAGTACTTTAAGGACGGCTCTAAATATGGCCTGGTTCAACTCAGGGGCGACAAAGTCAAGCCCTACCCGGACTACACTTCGCTCAGCATACAGCTCGCCCGAGTTGCCCCCGCAACAACAACGAAGAGCGGGTATATCCCGAGCAACACTCCACCAGCATGCCCAGCCAAGTCTGATAAGTGGAAAGCCGCGGCCGTTCCCTTACCTCCACACCCGAACTCCCAACTCTGCGCCTGTGTCGCCGATAGCCTGGACTGCGACATCGTAACCAATGACACCCACGTCTACGGCAAGAACTTTGACTACATCTGCGGCGTGAATCACGCTCTCTGCGCCGCTATCGTCCGCGATCCTGCGCTCGGCTTTTACGGCGGCATGTCCCACTGCGAGCCCAGAGATCAGCTGGCGTGGATTGCGAACCAGTTCTACAAGGGTGCGAATCAGCAGAATCAAGCGTGTTATTTCAACGGCGCGGCAAATATCAAGAAGCCTTTCCTCCATTCAGAATGTAAGGACTTTGTCAAGAACATCGCGAGGTTGGGTACAGGGTATGTGCCCAGTCCGACGGGGAAGGGGGACGCGCAAGTGACGAGGTTGAGTGTGGTGTCTTCTGGTTTCCCGCGGCCGATATATGAAGAACTTGGGATGCCGCTTTTTGTGGTCTATCTTTGCATTTCGGTAATGAGTCTTGGGGCTGTTGTTTTCTTGTAGACGGGCGTTAGGGGATGCTGTGCACTCCGGCATTAGTAAATGGGCCTTGGGTAATCTAAAGGGATAGAAAATAGATTACAATTGTTAGTACAGCACTGCAAGTTGTCGTTAGACATTTTGCACTAGACAGCACTGCATGCACAATGGCGGACAACACACCAGCTGAATTAAAATACTGAAATCCAAGGCCGGATTCGGAGCTGACAGTAGAAGTCTGGCGGAACGGAAGGTGAAAACCAGTACTAGGAAATATTGGGGATGATAATGGTCATGAGGTCAGATCTAAGTGCTCTCGTCAAGAGCCCATGTTATTGAGAGACGTAAGGTCATTTACATTGACGAGATGCTTAGGATAGAATTAGGGATCAAAGTCCTCCAGAACCACGTCTACGCGATCTCATTCTACTTCACTTCAACACCAATTGATCCATTTGAGAAACAGTCAAGAGCCGACATTCCAACTCCAACTTCCTTTCTCTTGCGTCTCTCCGACAGCTAAACCCCAGGTACAGCAAACCCACCCCTCCCAGGCTAGTTGCCCAAACCCGGGGCGCAGGATGCCCTTCCAACCTCGCCCAAACAGCCTTGCTCACGGCTATTGTGCAGTTGGCGAATCAGGTGGGGTGTCATGCTTTGTTGCCGGTGAGTGTAGGGATTTTCTGGTGACGATGTGTCTATGCTGGTGTGATCCATAGTTCGCGTTGGGGGTTTTCTAGGTTCGACTCTCCGGACCGACATCAGGAGAAGACCGTATGATTTCAGTGCAGGACAGGAATTTGCAGAGGATGGGAAACGGACAGGCACTGATAGCTGTGAATTACATGTGTCGCATATAGACCTGCATTGAGGTTCTACTCCAAGGATGCTCACGGAGTCCTGGGATGCCCTGAAGCGTAGGCCTAGTATAAATATAGTACAGTTGTTTTTCTCCCTCAACTAAGCCTTGATGCGTGATCTCTCCATTCGTTGGTGTAATGAGTCCTTACATCCAAGAATGTTTGAACACCCAGACATTTTCATCATCTCTTCTTCTCGACCTTCGCGTCCTGCCCGGCCTCACCCATCCCTTTAACATCCCGCACCACAACCCCCAAAATCCCCGCATTCACGACGAAAAACGCCAAACTCGCCATCCACAGCCCGGGCACAAACGTCGAGCGGCCCAGAAATTCGAGCTGGTAGCCTTGCTGAAGCCAGAAAAATTGACCGAGGACCCAAAGAGTGAGGGCTGTGAGGCCGATGGGCCGCGAGTGGAGGAGGGTTGAATGCGGGAGGTAGAAAGGGAGGAAGATTAGATACCAGAGGAAGTACTATTTAGGAAGACTGTTAGTGAAAAAGATCGTGGAACGAGGAGTAGGCGTTGTATTGTGCTACGGAGGAGGAAGATGACGTACCTGGCTTGTGCACACTTTGTTGAAGGTGACGAAGGCAAACGTTTGCGCCAACATGGTCGATGGCAGATCTTTCTTAGCCAGCGCGATTGGGATCAAAATGACGCTCAGCAGGAGTTGAGGAAGGAAAGCAAGACGCTCCAGCTCGAAGGAGGAGGACGTGGTTGTTGGAGAGGAATTGAGGTAGAGGAGTGTGTTGTAGGGGGAGAAGTTGTGACGGTGGTCGATGCGGATGAGGTGGTAGAAGTAGCTGTGTTCAAGGAAAGGGTAGCCGTATCTGGGATATATTAGCATCGGAGTGAGGCCTTTGACAGGGGAGCTTACGTTAAGTACATTACCACATTGAATGCGGTAAATGTGATGATGCTGGTTGTGGCTAGCAATAGTCTTTCTCGAGTAACGAAACGCGTGATGTGGGAGATGATCGATGCTTTCTCAGCGACTCCACTCCTCTTCTTCTTCCCAGAGCTGTGTCCTTCATCAAGCCACCACACAATAGATGCAGCGTATATAAATGGATAGATCTTGAAATGCACAGCCAAGCCCAAAAGGAAACCGGCAACAACGATGCGTCTTGCCAGCACCGCCCATAGCAAGGCAATGACAATAACTCCTAACAAGCCTTCAGAGCTCCCTCTTGTACTGATGGTAGCCACCATCGGATTTAGCAGCCATATGCTAGCGAACTTGAGTGCTCTCTCTTGAGGCATCTTCTGATAGGAGCGAAGAATGCGAAACATCATCCAGCCAGCAACAATATCTCCGACTGCGAATAGGATTTTACCGAAAGAAAACCACATCTGGCCAGGCCAAGTCGTAGGATAGATCAGCCATGCTAAAAGGGGGGTGTAGCGGTATGTGTCTCTGGCGTAGGGCGATTTCCCTTGTGATATGAAACGTGCTGCGTCGGTAAAGACAAAGTAGTCTATGTCGGTATATTTCATGGGGGAGTATGCATCTTGGAAGAGACCGTATACGAGAAGTACCACTCGGAGGAGTACTGCCGCCGAGAAGACCGCACGTGGAGATTTAAAGGAAGACGCGAGTGCCATATGGGGATGAAGGAGCAACAGGAGCGAGAGCTACATTCAAGCTAGAATCGTCAGATGAGAGTTGCGTGAATGCATGTGTTTTGGTGATTTGTTTCGCGAGTACAGAGTACCGTGTAGGTAGAGACGGTCAATTGCACCTGCAGTTATCGAGGAAGTTGCCAAGCCTGCGCTACTCTGTTTTGGGTTAAATTACTTACCTATCTTTGTGTTAGTTCAAGTGGGGATTTCCTTGTATACCGTCCCGTCGGTTCATTTGACATTCTGTAACCGGAACTGTAGGGACAGAACCTCGATAATGGAGTGTGAGCGGCGCTCTCTCGCAGCTGGGTCTTTAGCCAATATATACCTATCGACTACGGCCAATTACATGGTGGAAATAGAGGGCACGCCACATCACGCGGACGCCACGCTCAGCCTTCTTTTAAAGGTTCGTTCACAGGGACTCAGCCCTCAACCCCTCATCCAGTAATACGAAGACGTCCTCCATAGCTAACAATGGGAATCCCCGTAGATCCTGTTGGACTGACGGTATTAAGCAATCCCCAAGATGCAATTGTCGAGTAAGCCCTACTCAGAGACTGGTCCACTTATAAATTGTTGGTCTTGGAGCTAATCGACTTTAGCGTTGTGTTCGTCCACGGACTCCAAGGGCATCCCCGGAAGACCTGGTGCTCAGATCCGACACCACAAGGGAAGCAAAAGGACCGACTCTCCCAATCCGACGTGCCTCAGAGAGGCAAACTTCGAGTCCCCAGCCCCTTTCGCTTTCTCCGCCACAGACGAAAAGGTTCCGATAGAGATGAGGAAGACAACGACAAGGCTGGGCAAGGTGAAGGAGTCTTTTGGCCAGAGGATCTCCTCAAGGCAGACTGTCCAAGGGCCAGGATCATGACATTCGGGTACAACACACACATCACGCAAGGGTTCCACGCTGCAAACCAAAACAACCTCTTTGCGCACGCGCGAGACCTGTTATATGCATTGGAAGGGAAGAGAAGGCAGTCGCCAAATCGCGCCTTGATATTCCTCGCGCATTCGCTTGGTGGCATATTAGTGAAGGAGGTTCTTCGGCGCTCCGAAGTGGATCCAGACGAAAAGGTGAAGGCAGTTTACACCTCCACTATCGGTGTGTTCTTCTTTGGCACTCCCCACAGGGGTAGCAAGGACTGGGCTTCGTTCGGAGAGGGCGTTGCTACTGTCGCAACTTATCTCCTAGGCGTAGACGTCAATCGCCAGGTCATCCACGCCCTCTTACCCACGGGACCTGAGCTCGAGCTTTGCCGAGAGTCATTCACCAACCAGTGGGTCAAGCGTGGGAAGAGCCTCACGGTTAGAACTTTTCAGGAGTCTAAAGCACTTACCGGCGTCCGATTGGGCGGATTCAATCAGCTTGTATGTATGGGCTTGGTTCAGGTGTCATAAGCAATTAATGGACGTCTAGATCGTACCAGCTGACTCCTCCATTCTTGACCATCCAAACCAACGACCAAGAACAATAGATGCGGACCACATTTCCATGGTCAAATTCAGTGGAAGAGGCGACCGAGGGTATCAGATGGTGAAGGATGACATCGAGGACCTCATTATAGAAGCAGCACGAGCAGTACAAAATCCCCCCAAAGGTAGGTCGATTGGCCGCGCTCTTTTAGTGGTCCACACATTGATTTGATTTATTTCAGATACTACATCAGTAGCAAAGCCTGATGAAAACGTCGAAGATCGATCATCCAAAGGAAAATCGAAGGAGAGCGCAGATGCGGACGATAGTACAGAGGATGACTCGGACGAACTTTTGCCTGCCATCTTTTACATGATTCGTGACGGAAATGCCGAAGGCATCAAGCTACTTCTGGATTACTCCGATAGAAGCCAGGTGGAAGCTATCTTTATGCCTCTGAAGTACGGAGCACGGCCCCTACACCTCGCTGCGCAGCTAGGAAATGCCGAAATCACGCGAGTTCTGCTTCAACGTGGCGCCGATCCTACAGTTCTGTCGGTCGAAGGTTGCACTGCGTTACACTATGCAGTCAATGGTGGTTTCACTGACGTTGTGGCTGAGATTCTCGAGCGCGACGAAACGGGCCAGTTAAGATATCCGGTTGGTAACGCCATCAACCTTAGCACATCCTTCAACGCTGGTCCTCCATTGGTAGTTGCCGCCCAGGCAGGGCACACAAGGATCGTGCGGATGCTACTTGACGCTGGAGCGGACCCTAACGGTGAAGGCATGAACGGGGCGACTGCATTGCACGCCGCAGGAGGGCGCAAGTTCGACGAGATCGTCGATGCTCTGCTGCAAGCCGGCGCCGACCCAAATCACGCCGATTCCCACGGAGCCATCCCCATTCACGTTGTGAACAGCCCTCGGGCAGCCGAGATGCTTATTGAAGCAGGCAGCAATCTGTCAGCTACAATCAGAGCGAAGAACCCATATGGCTTGACTGTCGGTGCTACACCACTTAGGGTCTGTGTGGATTATCGAAACACACCGATTGTTGAGGTTATAGCAAAGCACTGCACCCTAGAGCAACTCAATATCAAGGCTAGTGATGGAAGAACTGCACTCGATTCCGCCGTTGATCCATACAAGCCAAAGATTGCGGAGATTCTCTTTAATACCATGCGAAATCTTTCATCGACCGACGACTCAGGGCCGGTTGACAAGGTGACCCCAAACTGAAAGACTTCAAAGTCCTTTTGATTGTTTGTTTCCGTTTTAGGCAAATTCGTAGTAACGGTATATTTCACTTAATGTGGACGGACCACAAAGTTGCTATGGTGCTCTGTTACGGCACATAACGTAGTTCGATCAGACAGTCAATCCCTCTGCTTTTATTTACATATAACGTGTAGTTATGTATTATGATTATTTCGAGTTCTAGGCTCCTAGAGTGTATTGTACTAATGCGCTGAGGCGTGACAGGATCGCAAGAGCCAAAGGGAAACAATACAGTTTATTCGGAGGACGTATTCTGTAGGGCATACAACAATTGTAGGCATGAACTATATGTGTCTACTAAACGACACTCAGGCATAGTAGGCTAATGTTTACTCCGTACACTACTAGTACATAGGTAGTCTTAGAGGGTCTATGTAAGAGACTACATAGCAAAACTTGTATTTTTTGTAAGCCCTCCTCAGTAACTACCTAATCTAAGTTAGAAAACCACGGCTAGAGCTAGGAAGGTAGGTCTAAGCAAAGAAAACCTATCGAAAACCTATCGAAAACATCTCACGTTTGTGCTGGATATGGGTGTTGCCAAGAGTTCATTCAATAGATCCCGGTCCTGGCAAACGCGCTCTATCCCCGTTTGTCAAACGCCCCTCACCGCATACCTCTACCACCAACTAATAAGCTTATAATGAAGCGCACGCACAACCAGGAAATGGCTGAACACAAAAGGTCAAAACAAAAGCACGAAGGGGGAATGAGCGAATACAAACAGGAGCAGCCGATATCGCCATACATGGCAATGTTCGAGGAGTTCCGGAAAGAGCTGGATGAGCATCATGACCGCCGAGAAAGGATCGTTAAGGCTTCTCGTGACATCACTGCTGCTAGCAAGAAAATGTGAGAGCATATACGATAATCATAACTAGACATTCGCTGACCTCCTCGCAGAATTTTCACTTTACAAAGGTAGAGATCATTCCCGGGTCACCTTTGAGGATCACCTTCTCACCTTGAACAGAGTGCGGAAATTAGGAGTGCCGCTGCCTCCATATGTGAACAAGAGCAACGAGGAGTACTGGAAAACCATCGAGACACGCTTCCGAGAAATCGCTCCCGATGTACAAAATGTCAATGCTTACCGTTATCCCCAGCTGACATGGGGGAATCAAGAGTTCATGGAAGCGCTCAGCTTCCAACACTACCTCGAAACCCAAACACTCATTTCGTACGAGCAGGCTAAGTCTCGTGTCGCCGCTCTTTGCGGCGATGGCCCTACAGTACCGCTCACAATTGAAGACTACGTACTGGGCATTTACGACATGATTGGCGAGTTGATGAGGTTTTCCATCACCGCTATGGCTCTGAACGGAAACCTCCCTGCAGGTGAACCTCGCAAAGCTCCCGCCGGCGAAGACTCCCCTATGATCAACGGAGAAGAGACAGCTGCGGCGCCAGAAGAACCGAGGAATGTACTCACGGACATGAGACATATAGAGCAGGAACTCGAATTCTTCCATCCAGGTCCTGGGACGCCGTTCGAGAAAGACGTCAACGGTAAAGCGAAGGTTATGCATCAATGTATCGGGAAAGTCGAGCTGGCAAACTATAGTTTGACCGTTAGGGGGAAGGAGAGGCCAAAGGGTTGGAGGCCGGACCTGGCTGAGAGGCCGAAAGAGGAAGACACACGGGCAGAGGTGGAGACCTTCTGAGAGAGTGCCATGGCCGGGGACAAACATATCTGTGATATTCACGACTGTACGAAATATGTGTAGAACACTAGACGTAGTCTGGCAGGATTCGGGTTCACAATGGGAGTACTTGCGCCACCAAGTGTGGCGCAGCCACTCTATAGATCAACCTTGGCCGAAGCAACTCCGTCACCACCAGTGACTGGATTCGCGCGCACCCGCACGCTTCCACAATTCACACTGCGTGCCCCATCATTAAGCCATGCTCCGCGCAAACCCGCACACAATCGCGCTCGCTCCGCTTCTGCGACTTCCCCTCGCACAAGCCGTTTCCACCCCTTGAGCCCCGCCGACGTCGACGGCTCGTTCTTCAGGGCTCCCGCGAGTCCGCCTCGCCCACCGCCGTCATAGCCCCATCTCTACCCCAATCTATCTTACAAACCTCCCACACACATACCGCCTCTACGGTCGTTTCTGGAGCAACGGCTCATCCCCACGCCATGCGTCGCGGCAACTTTTCGGCGCGCTCAAGGCCCTGCAACGGGGATGGGACCTCTCCCAACCCACCCGCCGCCACGCGCAAGATCTTCAACTGTATCGTGGACGAGACAGCCTTGATCGCAGGCGTGAAGTCGAGCACCCGGGACGGCATCCGTAAATGGGTCTCTCAGGGCGCCATTCGCCTCTTCGTCCCACTCTATAGTAGGCTCCGCCCGCGCTCGCCGTCTATGTCTTTTCTGACAGACATGTAGCTATCTCCCAGCTTAATGTCCTCAAGAAAGGGAACGACCGCATCAGCTCGGATGCTCAGGAAGCCGTCGTATGGCTCGACGAAGTGACCTCTGACCCCACCATCGCCGGCCGCGTTCAGCTGGAGGGTGTTGACGAAAAGTTTGGAAACTGGGCAAAGGTGGAGCAGTTTTTGCTCCCGGAGACACTCCTGTCTATGGAAGATAGTGAGACCGATGAGTCTGAATATGGAGAGGATTTGGAGAGCTCGTTTGCTAACCTCGACGTGTCGGATCACTCCTCCATGAGCTCTTCGCACAGCGTTAAGGAGCATTCAAAGAGCATAAATGGTGCAGACTCCGACGGTGAAGGCAAGAAAGCGAACGGCTTCCACAGGAAACCACTTGTTGCTGCCATTGCGTCTCCTACCCGTCCGACACGCAACAACAATCTCAGCAATGGAGTGAAAAAATCACCAAGGAGAGCTGTTCCGGAGTTTCTTCGCCCGCTCTTCGATCATATACTATGGAGGATTCATCAAGAGTCCAATCCGGATGCAGCCTTGGAATCCTTCATCCTTCTTACCAACGACCCCGAGAAGCAAGAGATTGCGCAGAAGTTCGGTATCCGTGCGAAGCGCTTGGAGAATCTCCGTACGGCCATCGCCCGCGAAGACCTAGAGTACCGGAACCATCAGATTTTCGATAAGATCGAGAAGGGTGAAGTCAAGTCTCGAAGCTCCAAGGAGGATCTGTGCAAGGAAGATAAGGATGCAGTTGGAGCCAAGGCTATCAACGGACATGAGTCTGACTCTGGCGACGAAGATGAGGTTGTATTCAAGCCTGTCCCGCGTGCTCCGCAAGCCGATATTGCTGATGGGCAGCGCGTCATGGATCCGGACGATTTTGGAAGATCACCTCCTCAGCGCCGCGGCTATGGAGGCCGCGGCGGTCGCGGAAGCCGTGGACGAGGTGCTTTCGCCGCCTTCAATCCTCCGCGTGGACCAGGTGGCGCCCCCCGTGGACGTAGCAGCTTCGGACCTCGCGGTGGTGCCGGCTTCCATTCCCAACAGCGACCGTCTCAGACGCCGCGACCTGCAGCACGTCCTATTCCAGATGCGAATACGATCCTCGATCCGGATGCATTTGAACGCCCTGCTCCGCGTATGAGTAACGGTCGTGGTGGTAGGAGGAAGCTTTGGGAGCCGAACTAATCGATCAGGGAACGCATCGGAGACGATGCATACTTGACGCATCCGGCTTTTACATTTTCCTCCGCCTCTATGGAGAACGCCGTACAACAACAGTAATCTGTCGCTCTGCGATGGGTAAACATCTCGGGCTTGCACCTCGATGATCGATGGCAGTGACTGAGGCTCGGGAAACGGTTATGATTCGAGTTGGCCGGCATCAGTCCAAAACAAGCTCGATTTCACGGCTGTTCATGTTTCCTAGGCCCTTCCGGAACCGTCCAACTCGTTGTCAGTCACCCTTTCCAGCAACAAAGTGCGACATCGGGAACCCTTATTACGGCGCCCTGAAGGAAGCCGTCTCACTCTCGTAGCAATGCGGAATGGAGCCCCACACAATACAGAACATACCTCTCCTCGGCTACCAGAACTTGCCTAAAACCGTCTGTGGAGGAACAGTTGAGCTCCCACTCATGGCACTCCCGGGAATCTGCTCCTTCTTTTCCTTCGTTTTTGTCCTCTTTTCTCTAATTCCTGAGCTTCCTTTCTGGAGTTGGCTCTTGACCGCTTTGGACAGACTATGCTATCACTAGTGTGATCGAGGCAGTGGCTTTGCTGATGCGGATGGGAGGTTGGTAATATTGTCTTTCTTTTGAAGACGCAGGCTGGCTGGCTGGGTAGTATGTTAGAACAAATGTGCGTTTGAGTGCTTGGTGCAGATTTCCGGACTGTTGTCTTTAGTGAATTGGTGATGCGTGTGGCTATGTGTAATATCTGCTCATTGGTATTTTGAAAGTCTGAGCATCTAATGCAGACTGAGTCCGCAGACTTTCTGTATCGCCCAGTGATGTGCGAACTCTGCAGTGGTAGCTTTGAAGCAGGGGTTGGTTGGTAGTATAGCTGGGAGAACCGTCACCTTGTCAATTGTTGGAGAAAGCTTGTCAACGCGAGATGGCTGTACTTCAGATCGTGAGGTTCTTGAAATATATCTTTTCGTGGACGACTGCATATCTGTCTAGATGCAGTAGATTTGTTGGTAATGCACATACATAGACATATACCGAGCGAAGCGAGGGAGTTCGTGGGACGGGTACCCAGTAATTTCAGCTGGTGTCGAGACACCATTCCCCATGTGGTAAAGCGAGGGGTTTGGTAATACTTGGATTAACACGAGGCAGCATTTAGATCGGATGGATAGATAATGGACGTCTTTCCCTCCATTCTCGCACCCTTCACTATACATTCATCATTGAGGCATCAAGCACGCCGTCAGGCTCTCTCTGACCCAGTCCTAAATGGCGATCATGGACGGATGGTAAGCGTGAAGATGCTGCAGTTTGTGCAGTGGCTTTTCCCCGTTTCTCCATTTTCTTCTTTGCTGGGACATAGACTTTGCCTCAGCGGTATGCGAACATTCTCCCAGTTGGTACTTTCTCTAGTGAAAGAGTGGAAGATGGTAGAGGTGTATGTGGTCCTTTTAAGCAACCGCTTTTCCACGCATGTTCGTTGTTGTCCCAGCTTCCTTTGCGATATCGTTATTCCTCTTTTCTCACATTGTGTTGTACCTCTCAGAGAAAAGCATGTCTAAGCTTGTATGATTTGTTTCCTTTGAGAAGGAGTGATTGCTGCTTGCTGCTTGCTGCCGTCCATGGCATGGATGGGACGGCAAGTGCGATGCTGATAGTGGTGGGCCGTTCTGTAGGTCCGCGCTCAGGGTGAAGCTTTCCCATCTTCTTCTCTTCTCCACCTCCATCATCATCTTCAACAACAACACCAGCAGCAGCACCGTCGTCATTGTAGAGCGTAATAGCGGAGCCTGCCTCTCAGTTGTACCCTTTCTCCTATCTCGTTCTCTGCGATCTTCCCTTCTCTCTCCTCGTCCGATCCTGTCGATAATCCACGTCTCACACGCGCCGGCTTCGAAAACGCAACACGGTCGCACGAAGACGCGAGTGCATGCATTCTCATGTGTTCTGGCGCCTCGATCAGCATGACCTCCACACATATACCCTTTGCGAGGCACCGCCGTGCAATGGCGGGGAGATCGGAGCAGGAAGCCGCTGCGCTTTACCTCCGCAGCTCCGCAAGCCGGCTTCCTTCAACCAGCACACCAAGAGCCTGCGCGACCCGCCGCCAGAGACGTAGATATACGGCGATCATGGAGTCCCGGTAAAGGTACGGAGTCCTCCATGTTCCTCTTGCTGCTTGCTGACATCCCAGAATAGCTAGCACCCAGCGTGTGTGGGCAACTTCCCCTCCTCCCGGGAAAGCGCCACCGCAGGCAAACCGCTCCTAGTCTGAGGGGATAAAGGCCACGATTCCCTCTGCCAAGAAATCGGCACAGAGTACGGACCTGGCTGCAATGAGACCCCAGAGCCCGGCCAGACAAACATATCTAGCGTGTGGGGCGATGAAGCTGAAGGCGCCTCCGGGACGGCAAGCAGCACTGCATGCGGCTCTTCGCGGAGAGAACTACAGACTTCTGCCGACATATCTTCCGACACACGCCTCCATTCCTCGTCTGGAGCTCTGGGACTTTTCATGGACTCCCGGGCCGTGACGTGTGTGCCTTCGCAACCTGGCGACCGATGCACGGAACCAGCGGCTCCGCTGAGAATGCCGAACACCAGTACACTTGTAAGAGATAGGACGCCCGGATCCGGTTCCATAGGTGATGCATTCTGGTCGTTGGGCCTTACACGCAAAAACGGTCCGATCATGTCTATGGGCGTCGCCCGGTTGCAGTTAGACACACCTAAGCCGTATGCGTCGAGAGTTTCGGTAGTACCACAATGGCACCAAACTTGAGTGTGTCATCCCGTTCCAGGCGTATAGCGGGACAGGGGGCGAGAAAAGTCCGAAGGTAGTCCTGTCCGGTCATGGCCTGCGATCCTTATTCCTATGCGGATGCTTGCGTTGCATCACCAGCGTCATCTCAGCAGAGGTCTGGGGTCTGGCGACAACGATTTTTCGGCAGCGATCCCTCATCAACCCGGCCGAAGTCCCACCACGACGGTCCTCTCGCAGACAATGTTTTCTCTCTTACATTACGGCTGCACCTAGACGCAAGCCCGAACAGACGCTCTCGCAATTGAGATATGAAGACGGAGGACAGCCTGGTTTGTTTGGGAATGAAAGGAAACGGAGATCACGGCTAAGTCTGGAGTTGGATTGGCATGTCAAAGCAGTTAGGTGTTGGACCGCTCGAATAAAGTCTTTGATATACCGTTGCGCGGTCGGTGCCGTTGGATATCAAGGGCCGTCAGGAATATTGGCCACTGGACAGCGTGTTCCGCTGTACTTGATTAAACGTTTACGAGGACCGATGAGAACGGGCGGTACGGGTTCCACAGTACTACGACCGACCGGAGAGGTGGCGTGGGAAGACGAGGTGGTCCATCTTATCAATGAAAGCAAGAGAGAATGGCAAGAGCAAGCCTCTACCGGACGCTTGCATGAACGAGCTCCTAGTCAGGCTTCTTGTTTTAAGTTTTCTTGGGGTGCGGGACCGCTGCTTCGATTGTTGACCAGGCGGGTGCCATCATCCCGTTCGGGATATGGTATTGTAAGAGCTAGCTGTGGTATTTGAGGTCCTTTGGATTGTGCCCCCTGGATGTCTCTTCTCCGGACCTGGAGTTCGCTGGACTTGGATTGCCGTGGACTTGGATTGCCGTGGACTTGGATTGCCGTGGACTTGGATTACCGTGGACTTGGATTACCGTGGACTTGGACCCTCCTGGCGTGGACTTCCCTGGATGTGGATGCCCCGATATGGACCCCCTTGGATATGGATTTTCCTCGCCATTGAAATTTTCGCCACACACTTGCACACGGGCTGTTTCGCACAGGTGGACCTCGTATACCCTCTCTTGTGGTAATCTCCTCGTGCGGAGGTGAACCGGCATACGAGCACGACGCGTTTCGAAGAAGGCATCAGCAAGTTGCTGGTCCGGATGTGGCTCTCAAGTCGGTTCCCGTCTTACGACTTGCTCACAAATTTTCCAGGGCTACAAGGCCGTCGGATGGACACAGTTCCAATCTCGGTCCAGGAACTGTTCTAGTACCCATCGTCTTAGCGCGTTCTCTGATCAGTCGATTGCTGGCATCCGAGGTCCGTATCATGGGACTTTATAAGGGTCGATGAGGCGAGGCCAATGAACAGAACTTCCGCTATCATTTCAACGAGAGCGTGACTCAACGATGGATTTCCAGTTGGTGTACAGATGTTCTGGTATACGTCGACGCCATCAATCGCACTGGTGACACACCAGACGATCGCCGAGACTGCTACAACCTCCCTAGACCCGGTGTTCAAGCTCCGGTCGGTTATTGTCTCGAAACTCCTATGCTATCTCTTGACATACTGGAGGTCTTAATATCGCGCTGCTCTTGGATTTGTTTCAGCCGGTCCAAGGGTGGCGAGGCTTGGAATTGGGAGCCCTCTTAAGGAGCGGCGTTTTGGTGTCTGGCTTGAAGGCTCTTCGGTTCTGGTCTAAAATCGTTCGACGTACTGGTGTTCAAGTCCGCTACGAAGATGTTGTCAGTCCATAAACATCCGTTTCCGAGGCGGAGCACCGATCAGTTCGCAAATTCTGCAGACTCACAGTCAACAATGCCAGGGCGCGTGGGGACGACGACAAGTTCTGCGAACTGTACAGTGCTGGTGCGCATATGAGAGGAATCTCTGAGACTCAATTCTCTGTCTCGTGACGGCGCTTACATTGTATCGCATCTCGAGAATCCAGGTTGAGTTACTGCGCCAATTCTCGAGCTCCCTTCCGTCTCGATGCGCAGGACAACAGCCGGCAAAGCAAGGATCCAAGCTATATGTAGCATCGACTCCTCGATCTACAGTGCCTCTCCTTCTCCGACTCCTGGGATATGCTCTGAGCGTGTCTGTTGTTGTCATCGTTGTGGCTGGTTGTAGCGGTTGCCGGTCGGAGCAGGCTTGAACTTGACGGCAGGCGGTGCGACGGGCTCATCTGCTGCAACACATGCGAGTATATGCGATACTGCTTCAGCGTTACAGAGGAGCATTGGGTTCATCGTCCTCGGGTATTATCGTAGTGCGTCGTGCTGTAGCTCTTGCGAGGTCGGAGGTGTCGAGTCGATGGGCCTCACAGCGCCGCGAGGTTCAACCTAGAGCTTCACCACCACAACCTGTTGGCCCGCCCCCGCTATGCTCCTACAACTGAAGAGTCTGATTGTTCACACGAGGCTTTCAGTCTGAGCATTGCCTCGGGTCGTCCTAGCACGAGTTTTGCAATTCAAAGGGGGCAGTGTGACAAAGCTTCTCGCCATGAGCAAAGACATTGTGCAAGCTCAAAGCGCCTACATGGGCATTGGACTGCAAACTCCACTCCAGGAATTTCATCACACACTGTAAACTAGCAAGCAAGAAGGCCATCTTGCTTCGCAAACCATGTCGTCGGTCGAAGGCGGCCACAAGCTCCGAACACGAATGTATGCTTCCCTTGATGCCGTGGGCCGAGTCCAAAGTCGTATTGGATTATGTGTGGCGGCTCGTAGACCTATTCGCCGTTGGAAATGTTGTGAAGCCCTCTTGTGGAGACGCCTGCCTACCGCCATTCACTGAGTGAAACTTCCCCAGAGGCCGTACCTGCCCCCGCTGTTACCTTACTCGGCCGCGCTCGAGCCTCCCCACACAGCCACCATGTGTGGGCGTCCTTCCTTTTCGCCTATATAATCCATTTGTTGGGTACCTCTAGTAACAATCTCTAAGGAGCAGCCACACATGGCTTAGTGGTTATCACGACGACTTTGCAAAATCTCAAAAGGTAAGCCCCCTTTTCTTTCCTTTCCCCCAAACACATGCCATACACACATTACCTCGGGGGTTTACCCCCAAAAGTGCCTACGGGAGCCGTAAACAAATTTTTTTTAATGCTGGTGGTGGGAGGGGGCCGGTTCGAGTCGAGGAGGCGTCATTGTTTCCCCCTCTTTTTGCTTTCTCGCTCCTGCTCCCCCATAAATGGCCCCGGCACGCTGCTCTGGTGCACAAATAAGCATTGCTCAAATGTCTGCAGGTTAGTGGGCGAACTCTGCATGTTGCATCATGAATCTGATCCCGATCAAGTCCATTTTGCATTAAAAAGGTCTAGTAGTACAGGCTTGGTATGAGGATAGACGCTGGGACAATTAAAGTCGGGACGTGACTGCCGGACCTGGCACCAGCGTCACGTCTCCATCGCAGAGGGCAGAAAAGGAACACGCAGCCCAGTACGAAAAGAGTGGTTTTCAGGATGTGAAGCTCCGATCAGGGCTCGCAATCCTAATCTCAACACACGAATACGGAAGTACCGGAGCGTCTGGACTTCAATTGGAAATTGTCTAGATGATCTGTCTCCGGCGAGCGTCATGAGAGCAAGCCAATGAGCATCCCTCTGCCATTTCAGGAATTCAGCAAGAAGAGCCTTCAGTAGCCTCCGCCGCTCCTACGCTTAATCCACATCTACCACGGGATATCCTTCCCCGTTTTGTCCACCAACCTCCCGCTCCAACCCTCGTCCGCCGCTTCTATCGTCCGCACCACATCCGGAAGTGCCTCGCTCACGGTCATCGCCCCCTCCTCTCTCCATCCCACCAATCCGGTCTCCACTCGCCCCGGATGCAGCAGCAGAAAGGTGGCGTCAGGAACGTCGATGGCGAAGCTCTTGATCAGGGCGTTCAGGGCAGCTTTGCTGGCGCGGTAGGCATAACCGCCGCCGGTACGGTTGTCGGAGATGGAACCCATGCGCGAAGACATGAGGATGACTTTGGGTTTGGACGGCGTGATTGTAGGGTTCGAGTGTGGCGCTGCGGGCGGTTCTGCGATTGATCCTGGGACGGAAGTTCTTCTCGACCGGGATGCTCCAGCCGCAAAAGCACCACCCGACCACGAGGAACCGGGCCGACCACCTTCTGTGTCTTTCGGAGTCGACGTCTCACTCGGCGTCTCACTGGTCGTCGTCCTTATCGACCCTGGCCCTCGCAAATACGGCAAGAAAGACTTGACAACGTTGAACGCGCCCCATGTATTCACCTCCATAGTCTTCATAAATGTCTCCCGCTCCATGACCTCCCAGGTCTCACTTGCGGCTACATCCCGCGTCTGCTCGGCGATCCGCTTGACGAGCCCGCGCACACCGGCGCAATGGAGCAAGAGATCGATTGTTGTGCCTTGCGTCTCGAGATTGGAGGAGACGCGGTACAGGTCGGTGGGGGAGGAGATGTCGGCGAGGTAGAAGGAGATGTTTGAGAAGGCCGGATGACGGAGTGAGGAGAGATGGGCATGAGGGAGAGGGGAGATGTCAATGGCGATGATGTGGGTTTGGGGAGAATGAGTGGCGTAGTGGGTCAGTAGGGCGAGGCCCAGGCCGGAGGAGGCGCCTGTTATAAGGATTGTGCGGGGCATTGGGGGGAGAGAAGCACCGAGCGCATTATATGGGATGTTGAGATGTTGTAGAGGATATGTATGTAGTTGACCTCGGGAGCTATGATATCACATCTCACGGGACGGGACCGGCCAGTTTTAGTTTAGCATAAGTGTTAGTTCCCGTCGCTTTCGCTTCTATATATGGACGCTCCCGCTGCCATGTGGGGTAGCTGACTGCTAGGTTGAGCTCCATCAGGCGAGGGAAGGCGGGAAGCAATGAATATGATAACTGAAAAGGTCCACCGTTGTAGATCTGTTAAGTCAATCCTGTACGCAGAAAATGGCAATACAACCGCCTTCCTGGTAAGACGGGGATTTACACATATGCTTAGCAGAATGTAGTAGCTTCTCCCTATCATGTAATTCCAAAGGGGCGTTCTGTTTCTTTGCCTAACTGCATTGAAGCTTCCAACCTCTTCTTTACCGATGCTTGAAATTTAGAGAAACTGGAGATGTTGTGTTGAAGTATTAGTAGTGTTAGTGGTAGTAGTAGCAGGAGAATGTAAGCGGGTATCGGGTCATGCATGCACAAGGGAAGAATTCTGCCAGTCGCGGTCCTGTTTAATAGATTGGAACCCAGAATATTTGTCTGAGCTTGGCAACTGGCGGATTATAGATTGTCTTTGCGATTGACTGCATTGGAATTGTATCTAGTTTATCCCCGAGGCGCTGGTTGGAGCCTGTGGGTCGTTTGGCTTAGACAGCTTCTGCGCGGCATCGCTGTAACAATGCTTCGCCTTTTTTCAACACACTTGATTGCCGAAGATGATTATGTGATCTTGAAGGAGTACTAGAGAAGGTGAAGATGCGAAACAGAGGCTTGTAACGTAAAAGGGTACACAGAGGTGCGAGGGAAGAGGATAGGGAAGGTGAACAGGATGGCGTCTTGACGATTAATGACCTTATTGGTGTATCCAAAGTAGTCTATCCGTACCACGGATTATACCAATCAACTGCCTCCAACCAAAGTCTTGCTATAACCTCTCCTCTCAACCCGGACTCACGTCGCTCGCACCCTCCTTCCTCTTCCCCTGCTCTCCACTCTGTCCATCCAACTCCACACGGCCCTGTTCATCATCTCCAATCTCCCTCCCCATAATCTTACCCGCAACCTCCAACCCAACCTCCACATCGCGCAAAAGCCCATCCACGGCCGCAAACACATCTCCCTGGGCCTTCTCCATGGCCTCCTTCAGCTTCGCCTCACCCGGCTCCGGCTTCGCCCTCCCCTTGATCTTGGCTGGGATCTCCACCCCGTCTATCCTCAGCATGTACGCGTGATCGGCCGACTCCTGGTCAAACGACGGCGCGGGTCGCACATCCGCATTTGTGATCTGCCACTCTGAAGAGAACGACTGCGCATCTACTACGGAATGTCCATCCGCTGCTATGTCGACAATCAAATAGCGTTCCTTTACCCCTGGTATTGGCGGAGGGAGCGGCGATTCCACCTGGTGTTCTGAGTCATGCTCCTGATCCGGTTCCTCGTGATGCGACCGCTCGCCGTCCCGCTCCGGTATGTTCTGAGGAAGGAACTGTGTATCGTCTAACCCCAGACTACGCATCGCCGCGACGGTGACAACGACCGGGTCGTCGTCGGCGAAGACATAGTGGACGTATGGATGGTAGTGTTCGCCCGACGTGGCATCTTCTATGATATTGAAGAAGGGGTTGAAGTTTGGCGGAGGAAGGAGCGCATGTTCGGAGGTGGATTCCGGGTAGGAGTGATCGTCTTCTTCGTTGTCGAGTTCGGCATCCTGTATGTTCGGGGGTTCCGGCGGAGGATCGGCTTGGGGCGGCGGATCGTCAAAGTGGGGGAGGGCCGGCGACCGTGGGGATCTGGCGGACTGTGGGCCGTCCGGAGACTTGGGTTGGGATATACTGGACGGTCTGCTGGAAGGCATGGTGATATGTGTTGTTCGTTGGATGGTGTGCCTGGTGCTGTGTCCAAAGGGGAGCTCAAGCTGCCGCAGTTCCTTATCGATAAGCCTGGTCTGTGCGCATTTGAGGGTGAAGTGTGAGACAATATAGTACTCTCAACAATGGAAGTCTGGCGGAAGATGGTCACCAAACAGAGTTTTGACCAACGAACACCTTGCCATATCATTAGCCTCGGGCAACGCTAATGTTGTATCAACCATGGTCTGTGTACTGCAAAGGGTATCTGCCAAACACCTGTTTCGCCAATGCATAACGCCGTTGTATCAAAACCGATGCTCCAAAACGAATCTCATATCAGGTGCGTGATCTGCGAGTCGCCGAATAGGATAAAGCGAGAGATATGGCTCAAGGCGTCGACGGAGCGTCATTTCCTCCCTGAGCTTGCGCACCGGCTGCGATGGCATCCTGGCTTTTGCTCTTAAAAGCTACGGAGGCATGTGAGCGCTACATGGACACCGAGTCGGAAATATACGTACGTTGCCGACACATAGGACACTTCTCTTGCGAGCTTTCTTGCCGAAGCCAGGAGAAGATGCAGTGCTGAAGACGTGTGAGCGCTACTACGAATTCTGGGATAGAAACCCGCCACGTACCATGTGGAATGAGTGATTGCATTCGCCGAGCACTGTGATTGATAAGTATCGCCTTTGCAACCTCCCGAGCTTGCCAGACTTACAAAGTGGACACTCGTCGCCGGGGAACTTGCATTTGGAGCAAGTGCTGTCGTAGGGATTGCGGCAAATACCGCAGACGTCGTCGTCGGGCATGTCCCACCGCCATGCCGCCACGGCATTCCACTCCTTGATTGTGACCCGCATCTTGCCGACGGCGGAAGTGGAGGGTCGTGGTGTCGCGTCGAAGAAGGTTTCGCAGGGAATATGCATCTATGGAAAAACAAACAACACGTGACGGGAGTGTCCGACCGCCCCTCCCGCGGCAATGACGCACAGGGCTAAACACGGCTTAGGCCACTGTCACTTATCTCGCCTTTAACACGACGACGATCCAAACGCTCCGCAAGGATTCCTCCCTCTAGCTTCAAGGAGGAGAGTTTAGGTCGACCCACCGCATCCGAGGCTCCTCTCCTCTAGCTTCCACAATGCTTCTCCCACTCCGCCGCTGCTCTCCCCGATCCTTCCGCTCGCCTACACTGCTGTCCTTTGTAGGTAGACGAAATATGTCGTCCTACTATACACTGGACACCTTCCTAGTGACGCCAGCGGAACTGGACAAAGCTCTCCAGAAGAACGTCTATTCGAAGCTGTCCACGTCTCCGAAAGTCGTTCCCCTCTGCGCATCCTGGTTCCTACCCAACGACGGTCGAGACGGCTACGAAACCTTCGTTGCAGGTCGCATCCCGCATGCCCGATTCTTTCCTCTCGATGAAGTCAAGGATCCCCATTCTCCATACCCACACATGCTTCCGTCGAGGGAAGACTTCGCGTTGGCAATGGGACGACTGGGGATCCAGCGGGATGACAGCGTAGTGGTATACGATAGCAAGGAGCTTGGTATCTTCAGTGCGCCACGCGTAGCTTGGACGCTGCAAGTCTTCGGCCATCCGAACGTCCATGTGCTGAACAACTTCCGGAAGTGGTGTGAGGAGGGATACCCGCTCGAAAGCGGAGAGCCGAAGCCTGTGGAGCCGGTCTACTATCCCGTTCCGCAGTTGGACAAGAGCAAGGTGGTGGAGTTTGAGGAGGTTAGGGACATTGCAAGAGAGCTGGGGAAGGAGGGAGCGGACGAGGTGCAGATATTGGATGCCAGAAGTGCTGGGAGATGGAAGGGGATCGATCCTGAGCCTAGGGAAGGTACGTGCGGCTCAGCTTTTGCATCTTTGTGTCACCATTGTTTAACCGATACAGGTCTTGAGTCTGGCCATATCCCTCACTCCATCTCAGTCCCTGTCATTGAGCTACTCGATCCGAACGACAAAACACTTTTGCCGGCTGAGAAACTCAAGGAGCTCTTCAAATCCAAGGGCGTCGATCCCTCCAAGCCCATTATCAGCAGCTGCGGAACCGGCGTCACCGCGGCCGTTATTGATGCCGCACTTACCGAGTCTGGGTTCCCCACGGACAACAGGAGATTGTATGACGGTAGCTGGACCGAGTGGGCTCAGCGAGTGAAGCCGTCTGAAGGTCTCATCCGTAAGGGGGATCAGTAGATATCGCCCTTTCTCTATTTTCTGTTTCCTTCCTTGAAATTCTCCACTCCTCTCATACTATCGTTCAGAGATACCCCTTTTCCCTTCTACTCGCTACTATGCATCAATCCAAGCATTAGGCCTTTTAGCACCGGAGCAATTGTGGTTTTCTGGCACGTGGAAGGTAAAAGTCGATGTGCCAGTTTTCAGAATGCGTATCGCTTCTTCATGTAGATGTCTACGGTGGCATTATAATTAATATGTGTACAGACTTTTTATTGAAGTCCTCTATTGTTTTCTTTCGTTCGCCCTTACACGATGGGTCACTGCGCATCTGACTATCCTCCGCCGCCTACATATACGACTGGGATCATATTTTATAAATACCGACCACCGTATATATCACCAATACCGCGCAGCAGGGCCCACATACGTACAGCTCATTTGGAAGATGATATGAAAAGATCTTGAATTTCGAGAATTGCACAAATGCTATACACCCATTATTCCCAAGGCCATGCAACAGTACATAGGTATACCCGCCAATTCCGTAGCCGTAAGTAGTATCATGCTTAAACGCCTAGCCCCATTGAGTATCGTAAACTCAAGCCCGCGCCGTATGCAAATGCTATGATGATCGAGTGTTGTCGTCTCGTGAGGAAGCGGTCGTAAAATCGGTGGAAAGGAAATTAGAAGGCTTTCGGTGTGCATCGGGTGAACCATCACCCCATCCTCGCCAACTGCATCTCCAACTCCTTCCCGCCCGCACTCTCCTCACTCCACCTGCCCACGGGGGTCCGGGGCCGATTCCTCCTCGCCTCCTTCTCCATCTCCTCGACGTCCTCGGGCGCCGCCGGCTCGCTGTGCACATACGTCGTCGTCACGAGCTTGATGTCGCGATCGCCCATCTCAAAGTGTCCCGCCGAAGCAGAAGAGGAAGAGGGATTCTTGCACAAATCGTCTGCGCTCTCGTTTTTGCTGGACGATAGGGAAATCAGGCCGCGGCCCGCAGCTTGCCGCCAGTGGTGCGAGCGCGACCGCGACCGACGGCCGCCGTGCGCATGCGACCGCGAAGAAGGCGCCGAGTCCCCCTTTAGCACGACGGGAGCTCCGCCAGCTTCGATGGTGCACGCGGCGCCGAAGCGTTTGCCGCTGGCGGACCAGAAGGCGGAGAAGGTGTCGATGCCGTTGTCGTCGGCGGGGGGTTCGTCGCTGAAGATCATGATGCGGCGCGTGAGGGTGTAGAGGAGGACGTCGAGCCAGCCGTTGGAGGTGATCATGGCGCCCGAGAGGCACAGGCGGGCGAGCGAAGGGGGTTTGTTGGACATGGCGGCCATGCGGGCCGAGGCCAGGGGGAGCGTGCAGACGACGTAGACGATGGGGTAGACGACCATGAGGTTCGAGATTGCCTTTGCGTGTTTGGCTTCCGAGGGCGTGTAGGCCCCGCTGCGGACGCGTTGGAGGAGGATGGTGTAGATGATGGCGTAGACGATTACGTTGCCGAATTCGCTGTGGGAAGGGGTGTTAGAGGGGCGGATTGAACAGGCGGCAGAGGGGGGAGAGGGGAATACTTACAAGATGAAGATCCAGACATAGTGAGTCCACAAGCGCAAGTCTTTCAAATCGTGATGGATCCAACACCAAACTCCACTGCGCACATAACTCTCCTCTTCAAACATGGCCACCGGAATCACACTGACGCCATAAATGAACACCCACATGGCCACAATCGCAACAAAGAAGGTCCGAGGTTTGAGCCTGTAATCCAGAATGACGCTCGCAAACGTATGCAAGCCGATGAGAAAGCACCAGACCCCCGATGCCAGATCTCCCGTGCTCACCAGCCAGCCTTGCGCGAAGCAGATGGGGTTTTCGACGACGACGGAGTCGAGCCGAAGCCATTCGACATTGAGGAGGAAGGCGAGCGATTGCTGGATGTCCGCCCAGAGGAGGTTGAAGATGAGGATTACGAATTGGTTGCTGCGCTTCGATTTGATGCGCCATTGGATGAGGCGGTAGGCGAGCAGGACGAGGAGAGTGACGGAGGCGATGAAGGAGAGGAAGCCGAGGGCCACGACGGCGCGGAGCCATGGGTGGATGTGTGGAGGAATTTGCGGGAGGGTGGAGGACACCTCGTCCATGGGCGGCGCGGTCACCATGGTGACGTGCTCCTGTTGAAGTCTTCCACGTGCCGGAGTTGACTTGGTCGAATGAGGTTACGTGCCAGGCCGAGTAGGTAGGGAGTGCTGCGATATCATGTCGACCTTGGAGAGAGGAAGATAGCACGCTGGAAGGGAAGTAGGGCTGGTGAGGGCGCAGAGGCGTTCGTTTGTCCCCACTTCGAGGCGATTGGAGATTGGACGCTGATGGAGGGTAAGGGTGATACTCTCGAGGTGAAGGCCGAGTTTGACGTTTCTCTCCTCACCAACGAGCGGACAATGGACATGGGCTGATATAGTAGCTGTACTCGAGACGATCTACATATGTGGGGAAAAGGACAGTGCTCAATCTTTTGACATTAGCATCAAACATGCCCCGGCGTCTTGGGTAGTCTACCGTAATCAACAGAAGCAGGCCGAGTATCTCAGTATCCCGGTCCTATAACTACCGAAAAGTAGGTATGGGCCGGTGCTTATTACCAGGTCGGAGCGAGAGCGGCAAGAGGAGCGTGCTGCGTGCATGACAAACGAGAGAGGATGCGAGGATGCACATGGAATCGCCGCTTGCGGATTGGTGGCCGATGACGGGCCGTAGAATGCGCTGCAGGATGAGTGCAGCGAAGGAGGGAGGATTTGCTAGAAGAAGTGCTACAAAGAGGGTAGAACAAGCAGCCAAGCTGGCAGTGCAACGAGTCCGGTACGAAGCCGGCCGGTAGCCACCAAAGATTGGCTGGGCTGCTCGTCATCTGATGGAGGAACTTCGAGTATGCCCCGGACCCTTGAACCACCCTCGCCGCACATGCCCGGTGGCTTGGTTATTTCTGGGATCGAAGTCATGGCGACGGTGAAAGGGGTCGGGTGGCGTCCATCGGACAGACAAAGCGTTGGAGCAGCGTTCGCTTCGGATAACGAGAAGCTGAATGGTGGTGGCCACGGCAAAGAGATCACAATTACCACAAACATCTCTTCAAAGGAACGGTCTGCGTGTTCTTGTTTGTCTTGCCCTGAACGTGGACGATTCGATGTTCATTCAAAGGGACGCAAATCCGGGGTCGTAGATCCGAGCTAGCATGACCTTTGCTCAAGCCTCGGCATTTTGTTGGCGACTTGGAAATCCCCCCAACAGCAGCGCAAAGACTCTTGACCCCAATCCACGGTCAATATGTGAGTCTAGGCGAACCGACTCAATCCTCGCCGTACTGTGTACTTGACGAAAACCCCATGTTGGGTCATCTATTTCCATCCAGTGGAACACGCGAGTGACGCTCTTTTTAATCTATCCCTCATCTCAAAATCCCGGGACCCAGCACAGCAGTCCCAGGAATTGATTGAGCCTACTCTCTGCCGGCAGAGAAGCGTCCTTTAGTCTATAGACTATAGCAAGAATCTATCAAGCGCCTATAGCGATCCCGCCCTCGTGGTAACAGATGGGCTACGTCCTCCCGTAGTTCCCCTTCCCCGCCCTCGACGTGACACACCAAGCACGGCATAACGAACCGTTATCCCCAGCAAAAAGCCGTTGCCTTTATCCAGCCACTCGCGCTGCGAGGAGTCCCCAAACAGGCTACCCGCGATCCCGTCACTGTGTCATCGTACGGCACCATCTTCATCAGCTCATGGTTGCTTTTTCGAAGCACGGCAGAAGCGCGGGAAAGGCTCCCAAAACGTTCGCCTAGAATCATCTGCAATGGGATCGCTGTGACATTCTGACAAGCCGTATCAAGATGATGGTAAGCGATGCCCTTTCATCTGCATTCCCCTGTCTCGAGCTTGGCGTACCTTGGTGTATGATTCAGATCACCCCTCGGCGAAGCAGTTGCGAAGCAACGAAGAAACACACTAGGTCGCGTTGTAGGATAAACTCATCAATGCGGCACCATTCTCGCTTCACACTTTACACCGTCGAAATTTCTGTTCGAAATCCCCAGTCCTTCTGCATCTCCCATCTCCTGGCACTCACGCAAGAACGACAAATTTCTAGAACCAGAGCAGCCTCAACTCCGCCACTCCTTCAACCCCGAAATACCGATCAAGACACACATAAATACGAGCCGCTCTTTCTCTCCGCCGCTTCAACGCCTTCCAATTTTGGGATAGCATTTTGTGCTGAGCTGCGCGTAAGATGCTGACACGAGGTGCTAAGGGACTTACGCCAGCGGTGGAGGTACATACTTATACCTACACAGTACAATGCGTGATGGCATCGGTAAGCGGGATCTTGGCATTGGGAGTCTTATAACAAAAAGTGCTGTGCCGCGTGAGGGTTACGCTCGGCTGGATGTGTTTGATCGTACTCCGTACGAATCCCTTGACTCCTCCCGTTGCTGTCGTGCAAGCCCATGCGAAGCGATGCCGTAGACCGAGTACGAGCATGTCTCCCCGTTGAGGCGGCCGCCAGCCGAAGCCCAGATTCTGGAACATAGTCCGGGCATGGGTATTCTGGGGATGGGTGTGGTAAGCTCCTCGTGCAGCATCAGCTGTCGACTTATTGGCGCTGTGTCTACTCCGTACTGTGGGATGTATATTCGAAACACCTACACGAGGAGGAACCCTCTTCACTGAGGTCTTTTCCTGGTCCTCGAAGTCTAGAGTCTAGAACCTTGGATCCCCTTCCTTCGCCTCTCATCCGCATCCGCACGTCCCCTTCCCTTCGTACCAGATCCCAAACAACCGGGCTCAGCATATCATGTACCCATGTACTCCGTACACATGGACTGTGCCTCCACCCAACCTTCCATCTCCCTCCAACAAGGCCAGGTCCAGACTCCCACTGCCCAAAGATATCTCGCTCCCATTACTCCCAAAAACAGCCAGCTTAACCCCACTTTCCCAACTCCCGCACACTCCACTCCACTTCACCCCAGCCCAGTCTCATACCAGCCGCACGCTCGCCCGGACATCTCATCAATAGCACCACCTTATTATATACCTAGGTACAGCAGCATAATCTGCCCCGTGCCCAGCACTCCTCCGCGCCAACGGAACTCGCTCTCGGACCCCTCTCCCAACTGAACGTACCCTACCTAGGGTAAGTAGGTCTCCGTAAAAGCACTGATATCATAGGATCCAAATCTCCGGATAAGAGTGCTATTTCCAGCACCGCGGCGACCTTGTACCTACGGATGTGCCACTTTCCTAACGGTGACGCACAATGCGAGCCGGATGATGGGGCGTGAGACTGAGGCTGAAGCTGGAGTTGAACTGAACAAAGGGACTTCGTAACTGTCCGGAAGGATCTGCTGTAGCTAAATGTGCCTGGACATGGGACTTCTGAGGAATACTGCCGAGGAACGGAGGATCTGGATGTACATAGACGGTAAAATATACTGAGGGCTGGAAGCATGTCATCATTCGCCCCGCGCGACGCTTGCGTCTATGTATCTGATGTGTCCATGCGTATCACTCCCGCCATCTACTGTACATAGCAGGCATACAACTAGCCGTGTAAAATCTATGACTGCATTATCAATCCCCACACAACAGGTATTGTGCAAACAAGAAAGAAGCCTAGGTCGCTGCCAACATCACCTCCATCGTGACGATAAGGTTGGAAGCCGTTTATTTCACCCACCCAGTCCCTCCAAGCTAAGACGACACCTCATTCCCTCTGCCGACCAAATTACATGCTCATGTATTCAAGCAATTCAAAGAAAACTTCATAAATGCTCTTGAATTCTACGCAATCCCTACATTCCCTATCCGCTACCCGTGACACGCCTTCCCCTCAAAATAAACTCCATCTTGATAGCTTCACACATCCCGTCCTGGCAGATGGGACATCTTATCCCTTCAAAACCGAGACACTGTGTACAGAGAGAAAAAGTCCAGAGTAGAGTCACCACGCCCCGCGGTTCCGCAGAGATTCCCTCCTCTTCCGAGTCGAAGTCATATGCCTCCTGAAACGCCGCTAGAAAACGTTCTCAAAGGACAGTGTAAACAAAGAATCAGTCATGCAATCTCAATGCAAAAATCGCATAAAGCAAGAGGTACAAAACGTGCATGAATCATGCTCTATAAGAACCGGTGGATGTGTTCAGTTAGGTTTGCTTCATGCAAAGAAGGGGAAAGAAGAAGCCAAAAGCATGCGGCTCGGGCGCCAAAACGTGCGAGACCACTTTCACTCAACGCCCCACTTTACGCATGTTCCCCCTGCCGTTGGGACCAATACTGAGTATCCGGCATCTGCGTATCCGTCGTCGGCTGCTGACTATCCAATCCGTATGGATGTGGGAGAACCTGTGTCTCCTGGCTGGGCTTCATAATGTGCTGGATGCTGCTGATGTCTTCAATCACGGCGTTGAAGGTCGTCGAGACTGCGTGCATCACAACGTCGCGGTTATACAACTTGCGCTGCGCCCAGATAGTATCCATGAGGGCGGCGTTGATCTGCTCCAGCTGCTCGACCGAGCAACCAGATGTGCTTCTGACAAGCATGTCTTGGAACTCTTGGAGCCTGGTTTCGTTCAGTATGACCTTGGGCTTCTCTTCCGCGTTGTTGAGCAAGGATGCAATGTTGGCAGCATGCCGCGGCGGAGCAGGTGCCGGCATTGAGTTTGGTTGCTGTGATGGCTGCGACGGCTGCGAATTGGACAGCTGACTGCTAACATAATGTTGCTCTGGTACAGGAGACAAGTTAGTCGTGAACTTTGGAAGTCGGAGACGATGACGGGAATAATGAAATTTTCGCGAACCTTGTGTGTCGGGCAGCTGAGAGCCACCAGGGCGCGACATCATTTCGGCCAAGTCGGGAACACCTGGGGGTGCTACGCCGTTGGTGCTCTGGGTGTTGAATCGAGCTCCAGAAGACCGGTCAGAAGTCTTTTGGCCAGAGGTAGTAGTTGAAGCGCTGTTGTGGTAATCTCCGGGATGGGAGTTCGGAGCCATGAACGTACGCCCCGACACTTGGGATTTCTGGGTTTGACTAAAAGGCTGAGTCTGAGTGCCCACACGCGAGGGTGTCTGGAATTCGTGATGGCTGTTGGCATTCAGGTCTTGACTATCGGCCATATGAGAATCCTCGTCATGAGCCGACGGTAAAGCGGAACCATTGTGATGGAGAGCACCAAAACCACCAGGGTCTGTGCCGTTAGAGAGGGATGGTACAGGCCGCGAGGGAGTGACAGGAGGTATGCCGATCTGACCCGGGGGAATAGGCTCGCCAAGAATGATTGGCCCTGAGGCATCTCCGGTGGTGTTGGACTGCTGGGGTTTCTGTTTGGCAGCATCCGCGGCTGCTTGTCCTTCAGCTTTGGCTTTCTCCATCTTCTCCTTTGCTTTGCGCTCCCTCTCCTGCTCACGCACATATACAGCATCGCACTCGGCCACGAGAGCCGGATTGGTCTGGCAGATCATTTCAATGTCGACCTCGACGTTTGCTACCATTTCGTTGCCCTTCAAGGTACGTTCCGGGTCACCCAAAGTCCTAGCATCCTTGGCAAGGGTTTTGACATCGAACAGAAAATCCTTGGGACGCTTGTAATAGCCGTTAGAGAGTCGCTTCTCAATAACCGTGATGTCCAGATTGTAGTATCGGTTACCACTAGGGACGTGAAGAAGCACGTCGACACCTTTATTGTCCTTTGCGCGCTCGAAAGGACGAAACACACCCTGCTCTTGTTGCTGTTCCGGTGGGAGGTCACTGGTAAAGGTATTCGGATCTTCATCCGTGAGAAGGTATGCAAAGTCGGCTTCATCAATGATGGGCTTTGCGAATCTCCTGTAGCTCTTCTTGAGCTGGTCCATGATGGGTTGTATCATGACCTTGAGCTTGTTCAAGGTCAATCGATCTTGCTTTCTCTGCTGCCTTTCCCTTGCCGCAACCTCGGCGGGGTCTACGACAGGAGCCACAACAGGTGCCGGCTCCAGTTCTGGCAACTCCCTCTTCTTGCGGTTATCCGGATCCGGGAAGTCCGCAGGAGACATTCGAATGTAATGGCTGATGTTATTGAAGAACTCGTTTCGAGCTGGTTGGTCAGGCCTCTGGAGATGATAAACATTATTCTTAGTGAAAGAGAACAAGTCCGCCATCATTTGGGGATCTGGCTTATCCTTCTCATTTAACAGTTCCGTGATACCCAAAAGCATAATGGGCTCATTGGCGCCAATGGTGCGGAGGAGCAACCTGAAGGTCTTGATCGCAGCTGGTGGCAGAGTCTGGTACCATACGTCGACATACGGAATGTATATAACGCTGGGCTTGTGACGCCTAACCTCTGTAAAGAGCTGAGTAATGGCAGCTTCCGGCGTTCGTGCTGGGTCTTCAAGGATAGTGGGAAGATCGAAAGATTGCACGTGCAATCCTTCAATCTTGCTGAGCAGAGCGGCGCCCAGATACTGTTGACCCATGCCCTCCAGGCCGCTAATCAGCAACCGAGGGCGGAAGACCCTGCTCCTCTCGAACATCCGCAAAGTAGCCTCCCGCTCAAAACCCTTATCATCATCGCGATCATCATATTCTGCTTCTTCCAAGGCTGTGAGTTTCTTCCTACGAGGGATGAACTCATCAATGAGCTTCATGACATCCTGCAGAGGCTTGCGCAAAAGGGGCTCAATGTGCTTAGCAAGAGGTGATGCAGTGGAAGATATTGTTCGTTGTGATGAAGGAACCATTCGGTCAATGGATATCATAAAGTCCTTCGCCAGTACCTTGATGTTGGCAGGGTCAATGAGAAGTTTACGTTCCGTTCGGTAGATTTGTGGATATGTTCCTTGTATGGCATTCAATGCGGCTTCTGTGCAAAGCGCTCGGAGGTCGGCACCGCCATAGCCCTTTGTCATCTCAGCTAGTTGGTCCTTGAATTCTGGCTTCAGCGGTGGTTCCCAGTTCCTGGTGTGTATATCGATGATTGCGCGCCTACCCGCAAGGTTAGGCAGCGGGAAGTAGAACTCCCTATCAAAACGTCCGGGTCGTCGCAAAGCAGGGTCGACCGAATCGGGACGATTGGTAGCGCCAATAACAATGACTTGTCCACGGCCATCCATGCCATCCATGAGAGCCAACAATGTCGCGACAATTGAAGCATGGATTTGCTCTTGCTTGCTGGAACGTACCGGTGCTAAGCCATCGATCTCGTCGAAGAAGATGATGCTGGGTTGATTCTTCCGCGCCTCCTCGAAAAGAAGCCGCAGCTGCTTCTCTGCTTCACCAACCCACTTGCTCAGGGCATCCGCGCCTTTACGCATGTAGAATGTGACCTTCTGGCCATTATTGCTCACGGTAGAAGCGAGAGCGCGCGCAAGAAGCGTTTTGCCGGTACCAGGAGGACCATGGAACAACACTCCTCGTGGTGGGGTAATCTTGAATGGTTTGAATGCTTCGGGATAGAGAAGTGGAAGCATGACCATCTCCTTTAGTTTGCCGATGTGATCGTCCAGACCACCAACGCTGTCGTAGTTGACGTTCACATCGACCCCAAGAGGGTCAGCGTCGGCGAGGAGTTTTCTGTCCTTGATTTTCCCCAGGTTCGCTGGGCCACCCCCAGTGGCTTGTAGTGCATCCGTATGATGTGTTTGAGGGAAGCCAAATCCGGGAGCCGTTCCGGTGGTTGGAGTCATTCCAAAAGCGCCCCCAATAGCTTTAGGGGCCTTTTGAACTTCGTCATCGCTACTGTCCGAGTCAATACCGCCAACCGCTTCCGCGCCACCTTCGACACCGCCGCCAAATGGACCCTGGTGACTGAAGAGACTTCGGTACGTTGAACGTCCGCCTCTTGAACGAGACTTGTCGACAACAGGCGCGGTATCATCATCATCGAACAGTTGATTCTGCTCAGGACGTATAAGACGATAGTCAACCGTATTCCGGGCTCGATTCCGCAACTTCGGTGCCGTGTCATATGTGAGATCGTTATCAGGATTACGCCGGCTCAAACGACGTCGCTTATTTGTGTTCAGTTCTTGAGCCTCTTCCGCCAGCTCATCAGCATCCAAGAAAGACTCATGTTCACTGGAGTCACTTTGACGCCTGCCGCGCTGTGACCTTCGGGCACGGAGACGTGCAGAGCGACGACCGGAGCCCGAGCCGCTCTCTTCTGATGTGGATCTGTGGTTATTGTCGTTTTCGGCCTCTGACATCTCCTCATCCTCCTTATCCTCGTCAGCGACAGGCTCAAAATCACTGCTTTCATCTGCACCCCGTTTGCGTTTCGCTGATTTGCCTCGTGACTGTCGGTAACAGATTAGATGTCTCATCACAAGAGGGAGATTGAAATGGCTTACCCTGAGATTCCTACCCCCTCTGGTCACAGGACCCTCGTCATCGGTTTCTTCAGCACCTCCTTCCTGTTGAGACTCCTGAATAACACCATCCATCGCATCGTCGTCAGCCTCTTCCTCTTTTGACACTTGTACCTCAGGCTCCGCGGACGCTTCATCGGTTGCATAAACCTGGGTATCGTTGCCTCCAAGCAAGTCATCTAGCGGACCGGGACTGTCTTCATTCCGCACCATCGAGGCCTCTTGGGACGCTTCCATGATAGCGCTGTGCTGCTGGGTCATCAAGCCTTTGCCGCCACGTGTTGCGCGAGCTATGAAAGGCTCGGGACTTCGTGTGCCAGGACGCAGGATGTCGACGTGCTTGCCAGAGTTTGAAATAGCGAGAATGGGTGACTCCACATCGTGAGAGAGGCGGCTACTACGCCGTGTCCCTACAACTTCTGGTGTCTTTCCTCGCATGATGCCTTTACTTGCTTGGCGTGTACGTGTATTGTTTCTCGGTAGAGAATCGGCGGGCATCTTGAGCTTCACTATCAGCGACGGCTTAGAAGACTCTGCACGCTCTTGGCGGCCGCGGCGCCCACGATTCTGCAGGGGCGGTTCTTCCTCGTCCTCGGACGGTGTATCTTGGATGGCCTCCTCCTCGCTCTCTTCGTACTTGACCGGCTTCTTTGCTGCGCGTCGAACGCTGCGCCCAGTGTTGGGGTTGATTTCAAATTCTTCAGATGCTGAGCGATCCGTGAATGAGTCGTCAGATACGATCTCTTCGTCGTCGTCCACGTCGGATCCGCCGTAGTCGTCGCGACGTTGTCTCTTGTTGCTTTTCGGCTTGCTGCTTGTTTTGGATCGGTTGCGTTGGCGATTCCGTCGCTGAGGCGTGCCGCGAGCCTCACGGATGTCGAAATCTAGATCGTCGGGGTCCGACGCGTTGGGATCGAATGCGTCAAGCTTTCTTTTCGAGCGGCTAGACATTGATGCGATTACAGTGAAGGAGATCTAGAGTGGGAGTAGCCAGTGAGCGCATGTTCTAATGGGGCAAGTGGTGATGGAGACTTTGACTTACATCGCTGGATGAAATCTCAGAATAAGGACCTCATGGGCACAAGGCCTGCGCGCGATGCATTCAGGAGGCCGACAGTGAATAGTGCGATGGTGATGCGGCCCGATAGCAAGGTGCTAGAGTAGCGGGTTGTTTTTGTTGTAACGGGATGTTATGACAGCCAGTTGGGTCGTTCCGCCACAGCGCGATGGCGATGCTGGAATAGCACTGCAATTCTGGCGAAAGAATAGCAGACCAACCGGAGTGATGTTGTCGCTGTGGTGGGCGATGGCGCCGGTGGATGGAAAGATGTTGATGTTGCGGTCGGGCTTGGCGCCCACGCTAAGGTTGCCTGTCCACACATGACATCGACGCGGAGGCACCAAAACCAGGGACGCTTCAAACATCAATGTTAACAGCGCAAACAGAGTTTAATCATTTTCTCAGTCCAGGTGTCCTCGAAACGTGTTAAAAAGTACATAGAAATGGCCCTGAGCTACGGCGGCAATTGTTGCCGGAATTTCGGACATGCAAAGGCCTTCCTCTAAACGCTTCAAAGGGCTCCAAAGTCATCTCGTTGCTCATCGTCCTGTCGTAGATCGTCTGCAGGAACGAGATGCGGCTCAAAAGCTTAATGGATTTAGAGTCGTCGCTGCTGCAAAGTGTGGGGAGACCCGCCGGCACGTGCTCTGCCTTACACGTGCTTCGGCCCCTTCGCCACTCGCCCCCGCATTACTTTGCCATTGACCTACGGAGTACATATCGACACAACAGGCGGACGCACTCGTCTCTGGGAAATCGGGTTCAGACTTTTGGATCATGTTTCTTATCGTATGCTTGTTCCAGTTCTGTAGCGCGGCCCGGCCAAAGTGCACTTCCCCCACAGAACAACATTCAGTACCTTAGTTAAGGGAGACGGACGTATCTGAGGGCCCATTTTCAATCCCCGCTTAGCTACCGGTTTTGCTGGGGCTGGTTGCGTACATCTTGACTCCGGCTTGGCGATGTTGGATAGGAGGCTGACTAAGCAAGAGTGGTGTTGAAGTCTAAAGGGATGAATTGTGTGATACCCGCCAGTCACACGACGAATACCCACGAATAATGTTAAAACATTCGGTATGGTTGATCCTTCGATCTAGACACCTTGAACTCATCCGGATATGTAATGATACATTCACCCTATGTAAACATGTTGTACAATTGGGCCCTAGCGATATGTGCCCAGGCAGTACACCCAATCGCCCAGGCCCGTACCCTGCAGAATGAGAAGTCTGCAACTCTTTGCGACTCAACGACCTTCCTTTGGCATTCCATAAGTGTGTCCAGACCGATACATTATACAAGATCATTCTCCTTGCATGGCAGTGGCCCCTCTCCGACGACGGCAGAACTGAAAGGGAGCGACTCAACCAGTTCTAAGTGGCTTTTACTCCACTCTAATCAGACGATCCAGCGCTGTGGGTAGATCAGACAATGTTTGGGAACTTGGTCAGTGTGGCACATACCTTGACCATCCTCGCGCAGGTACGCCGAGCAGTCAACCTTCCACTTGTCACCGTGAACCTCAATGGGAACGTAACGGAACTTGGTGACGGCAAACTTGAAATTGAGAAAGAATGACGTCCATCTCTTCTCTACAAAGCGAGTCGCGATCTCAAACCAGCGGTTGAGAAAGAACTCGCTCTCAAGGCCCTCAGTGATTCTCTGCGCTCTGTACCGGTCGGCCGCAATCAATTCCGCTGCGACCGGGCTCGTCTTCTGGCTTATTGTGACTTCCCCCACATTGGCCACAATCACCTTGTCTGCAAGGAAGGGTGCAGTCCGAGCCCGTATGCGGAACTGCACGGCGGCATGGGGAATCGTGCTCGGGATCAGCTCGATGGATGTACATCGCGAGACGGGAAAGGAACATATATACGTCCCAATGGCGAGAAGACAGATTCCTACGAAGACATATGTGTAATGTTCAAAGCCGACGAGGCCTTTTCTTTCACTAACAAACTTGGAGAATTTGAGTGAATAGAGGCCAGCTGCCATTGTTGCGCCCGCTAAAAGATAGACTTTGATGGTGTATTTGAAGCTGGGCGCGCCCTCGTAAAGAAGAACAGGTTTCTTGGTCAACAAGACAGTCCGTATGGCTGGGTCTGCCTCCAGACGTGAAAGATATGTGGGTCTAGCCATTGATTGCAGTATTCTTGATGGTTTGACATAGTGGCGCAGAAGGGGAGAAGACGTAAGTTTGGAAGCGGCGCACCCGTTCACGCATCGTGTTCGACTCGAAAAGAGAGAGACCCGTATAGAGGAGGGGAGACGGAGTGATTGTTGGCAGAGGAAGCTGTAGAGCCCCCGGGAAATAGAGGACATGCTTGTTCCTGGTCAGTTGGAGTTCGCACAAATTGATGAGCGCATACTTGCAAAGTTTCCGTCCCAAACCCCCGCGTGTTTACGGATCTCTCTCAGCGCTGAGCCTAACAGAGGTGAGGTTCACGAATTGTCTTGTACGGTGATGATCTTCTCCGCCGTGCACGGACCATGCGAAAGCTTGCTCCGACATCTTCAAATGTTTGAACCGTCGGACTTCGCTCATCCACCACCGAAGCTGTGCAGCCCTCTCGAACCCGACCATTGCCTCCCATGGCCGCACTTGCCACGGCGTGCAGATTGTCCGCTCGAGCCGCAGCGCAGCAGATCCGTCATCATGGCGCAAGAAGAGGTGAACAGCTCAAGTCTCGGGCGTGTCGTTTCCATACAACTAACTGCATGCAGCATTCCGCACTGCGCCCACTTCGTGGGCAGCGCACAATTTTAACATGCCGGCGCTCTCTCCGACGATGACGGAAGGCAATATCGCGACGTGGCGAGTGAAGGAGGGTACGGCACAAAGTCTAGCGCAGCGAAGAATGACAGGCTGATCATTGCTAGGAGATTCATTCTCCGCGGGAGACGTTCTGCTTGAGATTGAAACAGACAAGGCGCAGATGGACGTTGAGGCACAGGATGACGGTGTTCTGGCCAAAATAATAGTATGCATCTTGCTCAAAGGCGAGGCTCCATCCGCTAATTCCTTCCGTAGCAAGGAGATGGCTCCAAATCCGTCCAGGTTGGCACAAGGATAGCCATCACCGCAGAGCCCGGCGACGACCTCAGCTCGCTCGAACTCCCTCCTGAAGACAGCGCTGCGCCAAAGGAGAGCCCCGCGGCGAAGGAGGCCCCCAAGCAATCTTCTCCCATACCTAAAGAGGAACGGACCGCCGCAGAAGCCCCCAGACCGCCCGCGCAACCGACGAAGAATGGCGGAGGTGGAAAAGCTCAGAAGCAGACTTACCCCCTGTATCCTTCTGTTGAGCACCTTCTGAAAGAGAACGGCTTGAGCAAGGACGATGCAGACAAGATCCCCGCCACGGGACCGAATGGTAGGCTGCTGAAAGGAGATGTCCTCGCTTTTCTTGGCCGCATAGAGCAGTCCTATGCTGCCGAACAGTCTGAACGGATAAAGAAGCTCGCTCATCTTGACCTGTCGAACATCAAGATGGCTGCACCCAAACCAGCCCCAGCCAAAGAAGCAAAGGTGGTTGAAGAGACACCTGCCATAGTTGAGGAACCGCCAGTCGCGATAACTCTTCCGGTGTCTTTCAAGGCTGTAATAGAATGTCAGAAACGCGTCCAGGAATCCCTTGGTGTCTTCTTGCCCATCTCCACTTTTATTGCTCGGGCTACGGAGCTTGCCAATGAGGATTTGCCCAAGTCGAAGACAGCTAAACCAACAGCGGATGAACTGTTTAATGCGGTCCTGGGCCTGGACAAGGTGGCAGGGAGGAAGTATACTCGAGGTCATTTCGCTCCCCAACTCACTGGCTTGATTCCGACTCCATCGGCGCCAACCAGACCATCTCCTGCTCGCAAATCGGATATCCTCGATATACTCAGTGGAAAGAAACCCACAGCAACCTCCAGGAAGGCACCTGCCATCACAGAGCGAGTATCTGTGGAACCTGTGAACGTTTTCACCGTTACCGTTCCAAAGGGCGATGAACGTCAAGGCCATGTCTTCCTTCAGCGCTTGAAGACTATCCTGGAAGTAGAGCCGGGACGTTTGGTTGTATGAGGGCAGTGTCTTGATTTTCGCTTCGACGTCCAATGTTACCCGTTGGCCGGGGTCTGCAAGGCGCAACGGAGTCCAAGTCTAGATTCTAATTGATAAGTGCATTCCCTTCATTTCTACATACCATTCAACTATCACTAGCTCTTTGACGTTTCTCCGGGTTTCGTGTATAAATCTAGCTGGATTTTGCAAAAGATTTGGAGACAACCGACGATGGACGCCTTGCCTGTTTCAATTTAGCGCACTTGTACACAACCTCGGTTTCTCCCCGCATCCGACATTGTCAAAATAGCACGTCAACCGGGATGGACACCATGCCACCTTCTGTGGAATTATTTCCGGATATAAACCATCCTAGAGTCCCAACAATGCAGTTCTCTTTTCCCCTATCACAAATGGCATTTTGCCTTCTCGATTCCGTGCTGCGTTGCAGGTTGCTCTTGCTCTCCTGTAGTTTCCGAGGTTCTATCCAGCAGTAACACCGGGAATATAGAAGCCGAACATTAGGCTTAGGAGAGATTGAGAATTACATCCACTCCGCTGAGCCCACTGTATTAACAGCTACTACCTCCTCCGTTCTTTCGATCTTTATGTTTTCAAATACCGACAAGTAGAAAGCACATCACTCTACGACAGACGCTGCAAACTTCAATGTCATCAACCATGGTCGACCAGGAGAAGGAGGCGTACGAGGTTCCTGCCCATGAGCAAAAAGGGTGGGCACCTTCATCTCAAGAGCTTTCATCACAAAAGACCATATCGACAGATGACGGAGAACCCGCCACGCCTCCCCAAAGCCCGTTTCCCAAAGCTCCAGATGGCGGCATTCACGCCTGGCTCAAGGTTCTTGGAGGTTTTTTAATCTACATCAATATTTGGTTGGTCCAGGATTGCTTTCCTTCCATTACTCTCTGGAGGTCATGAAACTAAATACTCCGTATAGGGGCTTTACCCTCTCCTACGGCGCGTTCCAAGCCTACTACAAATCATATCTGTTATCTTCATCCAGCCACACTGCTATCTCATGGATAGGCACCGTACAAGGATGGCTCTTGATTCTCATCGGTGTACTGTCCGGTCCACTCTTCGACTTGGGCTATTTTCGCTCTATGCTGCTCATCGGGAATTTCCTCGTTGTTCTCGGCATCATGATGCTCAGCCTTTCCAAGCAATACTGGCAAGTTTTCTTGTCTCAAGCGGTATGCATGGGCCTGGGAGCGGGACTCTTGTATGTGCCCAGTCTGGCTCTCATTGGGATTTGGTTCGACAAAAGGAGAGCACTGGCGATGGGCATTGTGATGAGCGGTATTGCAGTTGGTCAGTGCATTGCGTAGAACATAAGACTTGTGGCATACGTGCTGATATCGGCAGGCGGCGTGAGCTACATCCTCATGTTCAATCGACTCGTGCCAACCGTCGGCTTCCCTTGGGTACTCTCCGACCTGTTCTCGACTCATTCACAACAACTGCTGATACCCTCAACAGACCATCCGAGCCATGGGTTTCGTCTCGCTCACTGCAGCCGCCCTCTCCATACCGACGCTCCTCAGCGGCTCCAGCATCGTCGTGCGCCCGCGCAAAGCCCGCAAACTCTTCGACAAAACCGCCCTCAAAGACCGTCTATTTCTCATTTATACCTGTTCCACCTTCTTCACCTTCATCGGATACATCATCCCCTACTTCTACATTCCGACCTATGCAAAAGACCGCCTGGGCATGTCGGAAAGCATGGCTCTGTACACGCTTGTGATGAGCGTGGGTGCGAGTTTCTTCGGGAGACTCGCTGCTGGGATACTGGGACATTATCTCGGCAGCATATTTTCTTGGATGCTGTGTGCTCTTGCAGGGGGGATTTTGAGTTTGACCTGGATCAGCATTGAGACGTCGGGGACATTTATTGCTTTCAGCGTCATATGGGGTATGTTACTCTCGCCCCGTTCTGCGTTCAACGCAGTGCTAACTCTACGATCCCAAGGTTTCTTCTCCGCGGGCCTCGTCACACTCCCTTCAGCCGCCTTCGCCGGTATATGTCCTGATTTATCTCGCCTCGGTACGCGCCTGGGCATGTCGATGAGCGTGTCCAGTGTAGCGACTTTGATCGGCGCGCCTATCGCAGGCGCACTCGTCACGACCAAGAGTGATGGCCGTACGAGCTATCTCGGCGTGCAGCTCTGGAGCGGAATCTTCTTGCTGTTTGCGGCGACGTGGTGTTGTGTGCTTTGGGTGACGGCTTGGAAGTTCTTGAAGGCGGGGTGGCGAGTGTGAGGTTGTCCCATTGCATTTACCGTTGAGTGGGTGGACAGCGATTTATACATGCATATGTTTCTCGAACTTGGAGTTTTATGGTCACGCAGCTTGCATATACATACGGTAGCGCTGCGTTCTGTTGGCATTAACGGCGTCACGGGAGAAAAGAATCATATCGTTCATGAGAAGAGGCCATAAAACGACTCCGATGGAATTGAGTATATGACGATCACTGGAGTTTTCATCTACTGCTTCTATTGCACGCAAATAAGAAGAGCTGGCAGTGAGCTTGATCACTTGGCTCATTAAACAACTATTCAATACACGCAGGACTATCCCAGCACCGTAGGTGTCATGAGATATCAAGAACTATCTGCTCAGCGTACCATAAAGCAAAGCCTCCGTCCGGTGGAGGACTGTAAAACCCATCTCCCAGCAACATCTCCCCACTGGCCTCATCTAAACATGGAAAGAACCAGCCATTGCGCACCTTTCTTTCGATTTCAAAATACAACCCAGCAGTCCGGGACGCTAGACGTTCAAATAACCTTAAATCAACGACACATATCCTTGCATTGCGGGAGCCAAGATAACCTTGTGTAAACTTTGTTGTGCCGTCAGGGTAAACCATAGGGCACGGAGAGGCAGTGCGATGGGGGTGGAGGAGATGAGTGTTATCGGTGCGAGAGGGCTTGCGTGGATCGTGTTGGGCCCGCTGAAGTTTTGCTCTGACGGTACTGGGGTTTCTTTGGCTGGCATGGGAACTTGCGTGCGGGATATTGCGGTTGAGTTTTGGGCTACACTGTCGCAGAGTCGCGCAAGAGCTTAGAGATGTTCGCTTAAAGAATATGAGTAAAATCGGAGTCAAAAGACTAGCGAGTGATTAGCTGACTGCTGGCAATGGAGAACTAGTGTATGTACATGTGGGCAGCTGTGGAGTTGCATTTCAGGAGATCATCATCCAGCACTTCGTTTCCCTGCCCACGACGTGCAAGCGTGGGGGGTTGTCATGGTCAGAGAGCAATGCAATGGATTCACTCAACTGTAGAAGACACTCCAGGCCGTGTCCACAGTGGACTTCTCGACTCCTTACTGCCGTACAGTGGTTACCTGCTTGCTGAAGATAAACAACCATCTACAAGTGGGCAGCTATAGAGTAGCACTTAGGAGAGCATCATTCTGCACTTGATTTCCCTGCCCACATGTGCAAACGGGGGGAATCGTCTGCGTCAGAGAGAAATGTAATGGATTCACTCCCCGAGCGTCAACTTTAGAACACATTCCAGGCCCTGTCTACAGTGGACTGTTCGACTCCTCACTCCCGTACACAATGAAATCAGGATATTTCCTCCTTTTCCTTTCATGAAGGGAACCACAACTGCAGCCTTCCCCAACCTTATCCCACCCCATGCACGGAAACAGCCATGACATCCCGCCATCATCCAGTCAGGGCCCGCAAACCTAAAATTCTCACAGGTCCGCCTATACATTTATGTCGTGAGACACGAGCGTCCAATCCTCGTCAGAGAATTTTCGTAATTGCTATCAGAAGCACCCACCAAGGACCTACACCGATGCACGAGGAGGAATTTGTCACTGTGGCAAGGCTATAGGACGAGAATTATGATAACGGTATGGTGAGAGGAGATCCACTGTTCTGGCTCCTTGCGGTGCATCATAGATATTGGGTGCGAAGCTTTCGAGTTTCGGGGCTTGCGCCACTTACTTGGTGGAGGTTGAGGAGTGAGCTATGGCGCGTTATGGTTTCTTGTTTTCCGGATCTGGACGGGATGAGTTGTTAGCTCTGTGGTCACACAGCATTCACACTGGCTGAACGGCTCGAGAGGGAGACTTGAAATATTAGGGACTCGAGGGGCTGGAGTTGATACAGGCTTCCAAGAGAGGGTGTGGTACTGGAGTGGCTCGTCAACATAATCTTATGTCAGTGCTAATAAGAACTCTTCCAAGAATGTCACTCCAAATTTCAAATATCTACACCCTTCCCGCCAACTCAATTGGATCATCCCTTTCCCGCCCGCCTCCGACCGCTGCTTCCCCGCCAGTCTCAGCCGCACCCGCATAATCGAACTTAGCTGGAGTTGTGGCGTCCTCTTCCCTGCAAATCACAAAAGTGGCTCCTCAGACCCCAGTTTTGGTTCTGCATCTTCCAGATCAGCGGGTCTTTCATTGGGTCCCTTGTGGGATGACGTGCGTAATGTTTGCACCGGGATGAGGGGTCAACGTCTTACCGCCTTCCACGAGGACGTCTTTGTCTGCGTGCCATGTGTGCGTGTGTGGTGGGGCGTAAGGCTGAGGGACTTGGATGTTCAGGCGAAACGGTGCGATTGGATGGTATGTGCGGACTTGTCGCAAGGACGGTAACGCCCTGAGTTTAAACTGATGCATGGTAGAACACTGAGGCCAGTGTCGGCGCTTGCACATCAGCCATCGAGGAGAGTGGACCACAAGCTGTGGTTGCGGTAGTGCATGCATTCAGGAGTTGATCGGTGAAGACTGTCGATTCAGAAGCCCTGACGTTTGCCTCGACGGCTGAAGTCGCAAAGTACTAGAGTTTGATGTTGTTGAATATTAAGACTATACTTTACTAAGGAAGTATTACAAATGAAAGCCGATCAATGTAAAAGCCCTGAACGGGGCCAAAGTCTGTATATACAGTGTAATTACCCCTATATCCTGTGCGCCCGAATCGTAGGTCCGCCAGAGCAGTTCTCTCCTGAGAGAGGAAAATGAAAGAAAAATTGGAAACAAGAATACAGACGCAGTGATGTGTATATAGAAAAGAAAATATTAATGCGGAGAGCCAGCCACGTGCTTCCAGCTGGCCGAACGGAGGGGCCCGACAGGTTCCAGCCCGCGCGCCTGTAAACCGGCATGCGTCGTGGTTCTAGACGCATGATAGTCGAAAGCAGCTCGCCGGCTCAAAGAGGTACATTTCGCTAACGATGTCAGCAGGAGGAACCCTCTGCAGCAATCCAACTTACGCTAGGTGTAGTTCCATCAACAATCAAGGGCTCGGAATACTCCGGCTTCACGATCGTCTTCTCCTTATCCAATCGCACCGTAATAAGCCTGCCCATATGCTTGGAGCCATCAAGTTTCTGTATCGCTGCGTTGGCCTCCTCTGGTGTGTTGAACCTCGCCGTCACACATCCATTGAATCTGCCTTCTTTACCTCGACATAGTCTGAAGTCCACGGGCGTGATTTTCTTCCCTTTGAACAAGTCTTCCAGATTCTCTTTCTTCGCCTTGAAACTTATGCCTTGAATGAATATTCCACGAGACTCCGTGAGCGCGGTGCCTTTGGTCATGTTCACTAGAAATCCACTCTGGTTTGCAGCGTATAGTGGCGTGGCTGTGCTGAAACTTGAGGATCGATAAGCCCCAGGATATGCGCTGGTTGTGCCGGATTGAGGATAGACTTCGGGATCGGTCATGGGGGATGTCCTGCTATAATCATACGAGGGAGCCTGGTTGTAACTCTGGCCAGAAAGCGGACCGTAGCTTTGGCCAGGAACCGGACCGTAGCTTTGGCTGGGAACCTGAGCGTAGCTCTGGCTAGGAACTTGGCTGTAGTTCTGGCGAGGTAGCTGACCGTAGCTCTGGTTAGGAGGTTGACCGTACGGGTAGCCGTAGGTCTGAGGAGTAGCCTGGCCATAACTATGCTGAACTCCTCGTCCGATCGCATCTCGCGGTCGGCGTCTTAGTTGAAGTATTGGCACAAAATTAACTAACGATTTGCGATGCAGAACGGCCCAGTCGGCGCCGGAAGAGGGTAAGCACGTCGTTTTTGAGTGCCCATCACGGCCCACGTCGCGGAAGATCTTGTGGAAATCACTGCAATTGCATGTATGTAATTGAAAGTTTCGGTCAACTGTTGAGGTGATATATAGGTGAACGAGGATCGAGCGTTGGCATTCGAGTTTTCCTGAACCGTGTCAATGAACGCTTGCAGTGATGAGAACGCAAATGAACGTACCATACGCTTTCTCCGCTTCACTGAGGTCTTTGAAAGTGCACCAGCCAACGCTCTGATGTTTCGTTGGATCAGCTTCTACTTCAGTCTGACCAGGTTGTTCTTTAACACCCTTCCGGATTTCGTCCTTGAGCGTTCTCCAATCTTTGAAAAAGGCATGATCCAGAGGGCCCACAATTATGAGCAAGTAGTCTTCTTTCGGAGAGCCAGTGCCTGGCATTTCGGTTATTTGTGATTGCTCTCGATGGTGTGGCCGTCGAACGGAGGAGTTTTGGAAAGGAGAACGAATCCAAACGGGTGTGAAATGATACTCGAGCTATTTAAACAAAGCGCCCTGGTTAGGAGTCAAGACAGAGCAGTTAGGGGTCAAGATAGAGCAGGTGAGAGTCGAGACAGAGAAAATAAGAGTGAAGACAGAACAAGTAAGAGTCAAGACAGAGTAATCAAGCTAATGAAGAGTCACTAGCCTCAGCTTCACAGACAGATATACAGTACCTACCATGGTCCGCCAAAGCCTCAGCGAGCGAAGAAACCCGAAGCCCGGCCACTAAGATGCATCTTGACTGCAAACAAGAGAACCTGCGTAGGCGGAGTGGCAAGTATAGTGCCGGCCAGAGGCGACCCTTCCGCTTCCGCGATTCTAGCGTTTCCGCAAGTTGGCATCCATAGGCTCCAAAGTTGGCCTAAGTTTTCATTTATTCCACTCCGCGGACCAATGGCGCATGTAGGTGCATGATGCACTTCCTCTGTGCCAAGAGCAGGACCAACCCTTCCCTCCGTGAACAAACGGGCGCCATGTGTAAGGTCCCAGGATGGTGGCAGAAATGTCAAGGTTGTGGATGGAGCAGTTGTAGTACAATTATCAAGCCTTTCCAATGCCCGGGGAATACCGTCACGACTATCCAGATACCAGGGGTCTGAATTTCCTTTTGCTTGGTGGCTTGCTGGATTGGGATCGTGGCGCTGGTGATCGATATCCTATCGATCCCTACGGTAGGACAACCAGCCACATGTACGGAGTAACGTTGAATCCATCCCTCATGCAAGACGAGGTGTGAAAGTACCTGCAGAGTTGGTAAACCAAACCCTGAATGTGAAGCTGGGCCAGAGGACAGATGACATAGAGGTCAATGACATATCTGCCTTGTTGAATACGTAATTCGGAAGTTCTACCCCTTGATCCATGGTCTTGGTAAATTCAACCGACTCAACGCATCGTCCCACGAGATTGTTGAAGGTCGCGCGTACTGCTATCCGTCCACCGTAGGCGAGGTCCCAGTGCTCTCCGTCACATTTGCAGCGCCTAGCGGGGATCAGCCAGGTATTCGCCTATCGTGCCGTTATAGTGTTAGTTCTTCATAATCGCCCACGAACCAAGATCAAGACGGATGTGTGATCGGTGAAACCGACGACGAGGGTGTTAGCGGCCCCCCGAGTCTTTGGAGCTGGGACATGTTTCTGGAAGTGTTGCTCAGTGCGTCTATTTCGACAACCAATCATGACTACCGCAATCCGAAAGCGACATTATACAGTCCGCCAAATGATTAGCTTTTGATCGAAGCCGCCACTAATAAGGCACTCAAGATCGTTATTGGGACCATGTTCGGGGTCATCTTGGATGTAGCCCGCCCACAGACAACGCACTTTGGAGCCCGAGTCATGCTTGTCTAGACTCGCGAATAGTCTACCAGTGCTTGCCTCGAAACCTCGAAACTCCGTCATCGGCTGTGACATATATTCCAGATCCATCGGGGCGCCATGCAAGCTTGGGTGTGGAGTAAGCTGTCTGCGGAGCCATAGTGTTAATGCTGACCAGGATTGCTGCCTCTTCACGATCTTGGAGCCGCAGTTCTGCTCGAGCTTGTGCCGCTTGTGTTGGAGGAGGTCCGGCATCGTTCTCTACCGCCATCATTCCCGTTCCCGCTTGCTGGTTGGGTGGTACAAGCAGACGAACGACCAGTAGCTTCATATGCGGAGTCGACGAAGTGGCAATTGCGGCAATGGAAGGATCAGCCGGAGATATTTGAACATCGGAGGGAGAGAATACGATCCACGCGTTAGAATGTGGAACCAAATTCTGCCTTCCTAATAGAGTCATCTCGTTTGCGCTTGAGTTTGATATTGGAACATCATAATAGAAAAGGCAAGTAGAGTCCCTTCGAGTGACCAGTAGAACAGGTGAGGATGACCCAGCCCGTTCTATGAATATGATTGTCTCTGGGATGGTCGGCAACGTCGAGGTTATCAAAGGTTCTCCGAGCCGTAGATTGTCATGGGCGTCGAGCTGAAGTCTGTAGATATTGACCTTGGCGTCCCATCCGGCACTTGCTACCAGGATACAGTCCGGCATCTTCCAAGCGGCCAGTTTTACGACGTATTTAGTGTGATCTTTTCGTTCGCTGGCGACTTCGTCGGCGGCTGTATCGTATAGGATAACCTTACCAGACATGGTGCCCGCCAACAAGAACCTTTGATTGATCGCAACGAGATCCAGGAGGGGAGAGTCTATGAAATGCACATAGGACCTTATTAGAGGGTACATCGGTGCGAGAGGATCAATCAAATTCAGCCGTCTATCAGCGGTCGTTGCTGCAATGCACTTCCTCGGTGTAGACGATCCTGGCAATTTCAAATTCAGCATGAACGCTGAAATAATATTGGCTTTGGTTGGCACCGCGCCTAGAACCGTAGGAACAGATGGTGCTAAGTCAGGATTAGCAATACTGTTCTATTGTCAGACGTATAAAGGGACTGACCTGGCTTCCGCCAGGTTGCTTGTGTAGCATGTGTTCCCAGCTTCTCAAACTTTAAACTAAGGTCAAATGCTTGCTTTTCCCGAAGAAGATCCTCAACGGATATGACGTTGGATGAACCGCTGCCCTTCTCTAGACCTGCCTCGTCGATAAACTTCTCCAGTGTCTGATTGACAGGGCTGGTGAGTTGACGTCAACGGATTGACTCCGACAGGCAACGAACCTCATTGTATCCATTTGTTCTGAGATATCCGGCAACTAATTCTGCCGCGGACGGCAACATAGCGGTAATGTATGTCTCGGAATAAGACCCTCAGCGAATTTTGGAGTATTGGTGCTGAAGGGAGAGGTTGCCAGCACCTCATCAGTTAGAAAAAACGAAGCGCACGGACCGCTTTTACCCCAACCCAAAGACTTGCCCGATTAAGCGACTATTGTGCAAACGACAAAATTTCTCTTTGCAGTCGTTGCCATTTACACGCGCACATACAGGCCCAGGGTTGTACTTGATGGCTGTAGGTCATATATACTCAGTGGATGCCCGAGCTGACGCTCATTAGTCTTCGAAAACTACGTCTCAAGTGACTGCCACGTGGAAAGACAGGCTCGTAAAGCTTCAAGAGCTACAAGAATCGGTTATAAATAGGCCATATAGCATCGTCCAAAGGCTCAGGCTTGCACTAGCATACAGAAGCTTAGGATACCCGGACCTGGCTCTTGGCGACGCTTATAAAGCTCTACTGCTTGCAGACGAAGTCGCCGACGAGGGTGAATTCCATGAGCAGGCACTCCGTGCAGCTAAAGAAGATATAACCTCAGATTTACACAGCCAGCTAGCTTCTGAGTTGCCTTACATCGTCCCTGGTGTAGACCATACAACATGCACCTGTACGGCGGAGTCGACGGGCTCGGATGAGGGAGATGAGCCCATGGCAGTAACCATAGCAAGGAACTGCTGGTCCAAAACAGCGTATGCATAATCTTCCATGGTGACTCAATATACATCTTTCTGTTGCTGCACCTCTTCTCGGTAAAAGCTGAACTTGACCAGGTACGCCATCGTTGTCCAGTCTCTGATAGACTGCGGTTGTCTCCGGAGTGCATTCGACTACATTACACGAGCACTGCAGGCATTCCCCTCCAACCGCCACTTCAAAGCTCTTCGGGAGACTATACTGCAGAAATTGCGCAGTCATTTCAGCTCTAAGGGCGACAATTTTGATGCGGCTGATGTGGAGGAGTACCCGGACATGGGACTTGTCCGGCGTGAGAAGTATCCCTGGAATAATTACGAGCCGGATCGGTTTTCTGAAGAGTCACTTAGGATCATGAATGAGGAAATGGCTCTTGTCGCACCAAAACTGGAGATCAAGAAGACAACTCTCCTCATTCTCTCACCCGACACCGCGGCATCAAAGTGAGTAAGACCCCATGATATTTCCCATGCAATATTCATACGCTCTGATGGGTTTTGGATGCTTATTACATTCCGCACAGTAAACTGCCGACTTCGCGCTACGTGGACCAGTTAGGCATATTTGCCAAGGAAGACATTCCTCCGGGCGAGGTGATCCTGGAAGAGAAGTCGCTGTTAACAGCTGTTGCGAGGTTACGTGATTCCTTCTGCGACGCTTGCAGTATTCCTCTCTCCAAAGTAGATGGTTCCGCGGAAAGTATCATAGCCTGTGACGAGTGCGAGGACGCGTACTTCTGCAGCTCGGAATGCTACGAGCTTGCTCAAGACAATTATCACCCGGCTCTTTGTGGCGTAAACATCGACCAGAAGGTGTCAGCAAGTGAATCTTCCGATTTCCTGTACTCACTTCTCCTTATCCGCGCATTGGCCCTTGCAGAAGTGCAAAATATCCACCCGCTGGAGCTGAAAGAGGTTCGTTTCATCTGGGGCGATTACCACGGTCTTGACCTCGAGGAAAAATGGAAGAACAACGGCGAGAAGAACACCACGGACCCGTTCAGCGGTGTACCGCAAACTCTGCCGTTTTCGTTCAAAGATAACATTTTGACCCCTCTCAACATCTTGGAGAGGATGGATATCAACATATACGAGCACGAAGACCGCTATGACACGTGGGTATTCAACACACTATACGCGAAATTCCGAGGTGAGCCATCCGCACTGCACCAATGACACAACATTCAACACTGCTGACATGTCTTCTCAGGCACTGCCTCAGCTCGGCAAGGTCTGGACCGCAGGCCAGAAGTGTCAGCTGTGCATCCCATGTGGTGTATGGGGAATCACAGCTGTGACCCCAACGTTGCTTGGGAGTGGGAAGGTAGTATACGATTTTGGACCCGTGAGGAGCTGGTACCCTGGGAAGGCCGAGACCCAGATGAGAAACCGGGCCTCCGTAGAGGCGAAGAATTAAGAAGCCACTACTGCGATGTCAGCCTTCCTGTCAAAGAAAGGCGGGAGTGGGCAGTTGGTGCGTTGGGCGGCGACTGTATGTGTCCACGATGCGTCTGGGAGGCAGCTCAGGAGAATACATAGGCTTGACCTTGAGATGTTGGAGATGCTATATCCTTCAGATTTGGACTTAGACGACGATGGAGTTTTTATCCCTCGGAAACCTCCCAGAAATGCACAGTTCTAAGGCTCATATGGATAGACTGTGTCAACATTTGAACCAGAATCTCTTTATGCCCTTATTAGACCCTTTTAGTCACAACATGGGAACAGTGTCCAAGACCCAGTTCTCCCTGCACATGCTTCCACTCCTTTAACCCTACTTACAAGGATGTAGGTCCTCATTGCTCGAGCCAAACTTATGCTCAGGGAGACCCAATCCTCGAAGTCCTTCTCTTTAAGCAGATGCAGAACCTGCAAACTCGTAACGCCTCCATCGATGCTTGAGTTCCTCTCCCGCTCCCTCTCTCTTCTGCCTACTGCATTTCCATATCACAGTACATACATCACCCTCAATCAGGACCATCATATTGTTGCTGCTCCAATCACCATTCCCTGAACTCGTCAAACACGCTTTCTCCCATCTCCACCACACGGTCCAACCCCTAGAGCTACCGCAGTGTAACACGCGTCCCTAATAGCAAACCTCCACCACCACAATCCAACCCGTCAGCCCGCGGCCAACGCTTGCTGCAATGCAGCGACCCTCACACACATTATCTGATCGGTGAACCGCAAACGGCGAATGGTGATCCATCTCCGACCTTTGACTCCAGTGGCTTTCGTGGCTGACCGGTGCTCTTCTCGATCTCTTCAGCTCCTCACACTCTCCCTCCCAACGTCCCAGCTCCAGTCCCGTCTCTCGAAACCCTTAATTGGTCGATATCGATATCCCCTTCCGCGGACCGCTCACCAGCCTTTCCCCACGCCAGACCAATCATTCCCACCTCCCCAACGCTTGTCAAGACGCCATAAAGTTTAACCATCGCAGTTCCCCGGGGGAAGGTAAGTTTCGGTTCAGACGGGTCCCGGAACCGGAGAGCAAGGGAAGGGAAGGGAAGGGAAGGGGAGGGAGGGAGGCAGTTCCCGCCCGTCCCACTGTCGAGCTGTCATGCAGCCTGGGAACATGGCGTCGCCATGGATGGGTGGAGAAGAGATGAGAGGAAAAGGACGGCGAGTGCCGCGGGGTCACCAACAGATTATTCTCATAAAGCATATTGAGTTATTGGTTGATAATGTAAACTGTTGGATGGTGAAGGGGCGACCAACCGTGCTGCTGTCGTCTTGCTAGTCCAGATATTATGGTTCGGTGATTGCTTTTTCGGGTGTACTGAGGCGAACGGGAAAGGTTCCTATTAAGCGATTTGGAGGAGACAAGCCGAATAAACCACTTGCTGAAGACTAATTGCTATCGAGCCTTGTGATGGCTGGGAAAGCTCATTGATAGTTTATTAGGGTAGCGTGGGAAGTCTAGAGGATCTTACCTTATAGGAAGGCTGATGGAAGTTGGTGTTGATAAAGGTGCTGAGGATTCCAGGTTTTTAGGCGCAACAACAATCAACCTTGGGAGAAAGGAATATGGCTTCGAATGACAAATATCGGGTATTTGGTTGCGCCAGGAGCACCTATCTATATCCTACAACAACTAGAAGACGAACTTCCTCGAGTACTTCTTATCCATCTCCTCATACTCTTCCCTGAGCATCCTACTCCTCAGCTTATTAAGCCGTAGCGTGACGCCCTCCTCCTCATCCTCCAGATCCTCAACCTTCTTATCCAGCCCAGCCGTGCCCTTCAATTTCCAGAGCAAGTTGGTGATTCCGCCCGACTTCGCGGCGTCACGCTCCCGCCGCGCCTCAGCAGCGAGATAAGTCATGATCTTGCCCCAAGACTCGAGACCAACTTCTTCGCAGGTTTCGCACTTCTTTTTCCGTGCAGGGTCTTTCTGTATCACGTCGAAGCTTTGAGCGATTTTTGCTGTTGAGACGCCATCGCGCACCCAGTCAAGTCCCTGCTTTTGCTGTGAAGAAGAGGAACCCGCAGTCGCGAAGAGAATCTCGCCAATGTAGTTCTTCAGCGCAGCTTCTTCGCAGCGGTCTTCCTGCCTTCGCCGAAGGGGTTCGTCGCCTGTCGGGGGGAGCGGTGGATAAGCCGGTTCCTTGAGCAGGCTAAGAATGGTTCCAATGAAACTGGAGTCCTGCTGAGGTTGTGGAGGAGATGCAGGCCCGGGTTCTGCAGCAAGACGTGCCCGTAGGACAGAGATGAATATAGGCAGGGCAGAGGTGATTCTCCCTGTTGATGCATAGAATGTTGCCATATTGGTGGCAGCGAATATGAGATTAGGTGTGATTGCGTCTCTGGGTGCCGAAGCAGAAAGGATCGCTGTTTCTGGGTCGATGACCGATTTCGTATCGGAAGTGGGAAGACCCGAGATCGCGATGTCGAGGGCCCATCTGTACATCTCTTCAGCAGAATCATTCAGCTTCTTGAAGCTCAACCAGTCTGCATATCCCAGAGCTGCTGAGACCCGCTGATACGTTGTAAACCCCTTGGAGGTAAGAACTCTGAGGTAGAATGACTCTGGCGGGTCCGCTATCGCTATTTGATCTTCTTTCGCAGGAGGTGGAGGCATTCCTGGAGGCGTGGCTCTTGGTCTAGGATTTGATGGCGACTCAATAAACTCCGGAGACCAGGCATTCCACCTCCACTTGTCGGAGACCCAACCTTCCAAACGCTCGGACGCCCGTGCCATGCCCATGAGAACCTCATAGTATCCTTGCCTCCACTCCTCGCTCTTTTCGGTCAGGTCAAAGCCCGCTTTTCCCAGTCCTGGTATGGGTTCTCCTTCTTGCTCGATGATGCCCTTCCCGTCCTTATTCGGATCCTCTAACCGCCGCAAAGCGTGCTGATACTCCGCGTAAAGGCGAGCCCAGTTTGGAAAACCCTCGTCCTCGTTATTCTCCGGGACCTCCCACCATTTCCCTCTTCTAAACCGGAAGCGCGTATAGAGGCTCCATTCATGCGGCGAAGGAAATGCGCGCTCTTGTCGTTCGCTCAGGAAGCCCAAGCTCGCGATACTGAAAAGTGTGGTGATAACCCATATGTAGAAGGTGTATTTGACCGTGAGCTTTGCAGTTTCCTTGACCCATTTCTTGTCGTTGGCAGTTATAGAGAACAAACGTAATATCGGCTGGCCAGTATAGAAAGATTGTCCAGAAGGATGCAGAAAAGGGAGTTGTGGGCGGAGGACTGTGCGATTCGAGGTGAGAATGAGACACGGCGGTTTATGGGAGAATTGGCGCCGAAGGGGAGAATATAGGGGGCTAAAACTCGGTGGCCTTAGAGTACGTCTGGCAAGATGTATCCGTAGAGCGGCTGGACGTATTTGTGGCATCGTCTTTTCGCTTTACAAACTGCGAACTGAGGGTACGGTGGTTGAAGTCGCAGCTAGGAACGCCAAGAAAATCGCTCCTCACCGCCTACGACGAGCGGCAGAAAAAGTTAAGTTGCATCGCTAAAGCCGAAGCTGTAGGATTCTACCACAGATCTTACCGCACAATCATTCGTTAAAGTACATATTCTCCGTAATGTCGAAGTCTGACAAGTCGAAGAAAAAGGCTGCAAAGCCGGATGCTGAGCCTCCAGCTGCCAACGGTGGTGTAGCAGACAACGAAAACCCCGCTGTCCTCGAGAAGCCTCCGAAAACGGAAAAGAAGCGGAAGCGGGACGATGAAGTGGTTGCAGAGGAAGCGAAATCCAAGAAATCTAAGAAACAGAAGAAATCTGAGCCCAAGTCTGCCAATAACGATGCTGTCACAGAGCCAGCCTCAAGCAAGAAAGACACGGAGGCGACACCCATGGACGTAGACACCGAGACTGTCGCCCCGGCTGGTCAGAATGATGATAGCAAGGAGAGGAAGAAGGAATCTAAAAAGGGGCGGAAGTCAAAGAAGGCCAAGGTAGATCAAGAAGCTCAAGAAGCTGCCCAACAGTCGGCATCCGCAGATGGCCAAGAAGAGAAGGCTGCGGACATTGCGACAGAGGCTGTGCAGAAGGACCCAGAAGCAAAGAAGTCCAAGAAGAAGTCCAAGAAGAACAAGGAAGCAGCCGCAAATCAGGTACCGGTGCAAGGCGACTCTGAAAACGGTGCTGCTGGCGAGTCCACCAATGGAGCGGCGGAAGGAGCCACGTCCGGAAAGAAAAATCGCTTCACAGTCTTCGTTGGTCCGTTTAATGAGCTATATATGGTCGTCCTGTAGCTAACTCCTCGCAGGCAACCTACCCTTCTCTGCCACGAAGGGACAACTCCAAGCGCACTTCGAGAAGCTTGCGCCGAAGGACATACGTATCATGACGGATAAGCAGACGAAGAAGCCGAAAGGATTCGCTTTCATAGATTTCGAGAACTTCGATCGTATGGAAACATGTTTGAAGAAGTTCAATCACTCCATCTTCCCGGACGGTAAGAAGGGAAGGAAGATTAATGTGGAATTGACGTAAGTTCATTCACATATACCACTCGCAAATTCTATGAGTACTCACATACTCGTAGTGCCGGAGGTGGAGGCAATTCCGAATACCGCAAGGAGAAATTGCAGTCGAAGAATGCGAAACTTCAGGAAGAGCGTCAGCGCGAGCGAGAGAAGCGCGAGGAGATAGAGGCAAAGCAGGCGGAACGCAAGAAGAAGAAGGAAAGCATGCAGAAGAAGGGCAAGAAGGGAGGGAAGGAGGGCGAAGCCGCCAAAGACGGGGCGGAGCCCGTCAAGCAGCCAGAGGCGCATGGTGGGATGCACCCAAGTCGACTGGCGTTGATGCAAGAACCTGAACGGCCGAAGTTCCAGCATAGGCAGCGGTTCTGATGTCTCTGCTTTGGCGAGGTTCCATTGACTCGTTTTGTCAAGGTCGAATCAGTGCATTTACTAGGCGTTGGGTATGGGAGGGTGGTATGCTTGTTCGCCGATAAATCTGGCAATCTGGTTGTTAGATTCTCAGGGAAACGGCATGCAGGGATTTGATGCAGTTATGGCACTACATCCACTGGTTATGGCCTTTGCGAATATATTCGCATGTCCCTCCCGCCATTCTCGGCTCGGACCGAAGCGGGTCTGGCGGATGGCCGCTTATTAGTCACTATCAATGTTCAACTGTATTTGCCTTCCTCTTGCTCATGACACTGCCACAACTCTCAGTTTCAACAAAGTTTTCAAAGTTCACAGGTAGGTATCAGTCTTATTTCAACCCCTGTCCCTTCCGCTGTTGTCGACGCTACAGTAAGGTCATTATTGAACGGTCATGATTCCGTCCCCCATTCTCTCCAAACACACATATTGTCACTTCTGGTTACTGGGTCTTCTCATATTGATTCCTTCTTGATTAAATACTTTCTATGCCGCCTTTCTAATTCTGTCTCCCAATTTTCTCTTCCTTTTCTCTTCTCTAAAGTTTCATACGTCATCAATCGACCCAGCACACTAAGTCCTCTCAGCCCGGATCCTACCCAGATATCCGCACAAGTCTCCTAATCCGGAATTTATCATACGACAACATCTTTTCAACCAAGCCTCAACACCACCCCAAGCTCATCCCCACCCAATCCGAACGGCCATAATGTCAACAACCGAACCCTCGACCTACACCCCCTCCATCCCCTCCAACCCCATCACCCGCACCACCCCAACCATCCACATAGAACTAACCCCCCACCCCCTCAACCCCTCGCACGCCACACACTTCGTCCGCTCCCCCAGCGCCGGCGCCACCGTCCTCTTCATCGGCACCACGCGCGACAACTTCAACGACCTCCCCGTCGCCTCCCTAGCATATACCTCGTACACGCCCCTCGCCATGGCGACCCTGTACTCCATCGCCGAGCACATGCTGCAGAAGCACAGCCTCGTCAAGATCGCCATCGTGCATAAGCTGGGCGAGTGTCCGGTTGGCGAGGAGAGTATCGTGATTGCGGTGAGTGCGGCGCATCGGCGGGAGGCGTGGCGGGCGGGCGAGGAGGCGCTCGAGGAGACGAAGAGGCGGGTGGAGATTTGGAAGTTGGAGAGGTTTGTTGGCGGGGAGGGGGTGTGGAGGGCGAATAGGGATGGGGTGATGGGGAGGAGGGTTGAGGAGGAGGGGGAAGGGGAAGGGGAGGGTGGGAAGGAGGGTTGAGGTGCCAGCGTCATGGCGATGTTTTGTTTGTTCTTGGTCAAGAGCTTTTACGGCATGGTTAATACGAGGGCGATGCGTGTAGTTGACGTAGCAAACGGATATTGGTCATCTTGAATTGACTAAGTGTTCTGCTGGGGATATGAACGGGATAATCAAGGCCAGAAGGGGCTGGAGCCGATGATGCATCAGTGGCACAATTCGAGCAATTGCCAATGTCAAAACAATATAACTGGCATATCGCATGCGAAATAGCATTGCCATTTCTGGTCTAAACTTGCGTATCGGTTCGTTGCGTATATCCCATGTAGTCCCGTAAACCGCCTAATATGTACACTATTCTTACACTCCCTCAATATCGTACAACTCCCACAATCACTACCTCCCCTCCCTCCCCTCCTCCTCCTTCCTCCTTACCACCCCCTCCTCCATTCCCTCCTCCCCACCCCCATCCCCACCATAAAAACTTTCATAATCCAACCTCCTCCTCAACCCCCTCCTCATCTCCTCCAACCCATACAAATCCACCGCCCACAACACCCCCCCGACCCCCATAACGCCCACACTCACACAATTCATCGTCGCCAGGTTCAGCGCCATCAGCGCGTCGTGGAACGGGCTGAAATGCTCGTGCGGATTCGTGTTCGGGTCGAAGAGTTTGGGGGCGATGCGCAGTTTGCGCCGGTGGATGGCGCGTCGCGTGAGGGTTGTCGAGGCGAGGAGGCTGGCGGCGCCGAGGAAGAAGATGGAGAGTTGTTTGAGGGAGCGAGTGGAGGTAAAAGGGTGGCTGGTGGTGGTTGTGGTCGTGGTAGTGAGGGAGGGGGAGGGGGTGGGTGCGGTTGGGTCGGCGCGTCTTTCGGGAGAGGGTGTCATGGTCGGGGGTTTAGAGTTTTGGGAGCGCTTTCATGCGAGGAATTGCGGGTTCCAGGTGTATGTCCGAGAAATGGCATCCAGGGTTGGGAGAGGTGGGTCTTCGACGGACGGATTCGCTGGGATTGTGAGGCAGCCTAGGTACGGAATTGCGGCACCATAGATTTGCGGCGCTTAGAATTGGAAGACGGTTCAAAAGATGAAGTTAAGAGACAGGAATTCTTCAGCAAGTTTGTTCTGACTCAGTCTTTGGAGTCGTTCACATAAAGTTCATCGGACCGGAACAACCATCCTCCGTCGGGGCAAGATGTCTGGCTTCCCAATCTATATTAAATCCAATCACCATCTCGTCTCTCCTACTGTTACTCGTCTGACCTGACGACATGACAGACAATTTCCCACTTCGCCAACGACCAGCAGTGCCTTTGTAGACATTGACTGCTACAGGAATACTCGTGTAGACTGCGCTATATAGGGTATATATCAACATACCAATACGACCTTTAGAAAAGATGTCAGATGCAAATGAAACATCCTGGAACTGTGCAAAGCGTTCGCTGCGACGACAACCACACCACCGTCCCCATTAAGACCCAACGACCATCACAACTTCACCAATCCCCCAGACATCCTCTCCAAATCCCTCTCCGTGAACCTCTGATAAGTCGCATCCTTCAACCAATACAGCACATCCCCCGCCTCCTCCACCCTCCGCACATCAATCCCATCCCTCTGGAACAGATGTTTCTGCTGCTTATTCGTCCCGGTAGTATGCATCTCCCTCGTCACCCTGATGAAAAGCGGCACCGCAAAACCCGGTAGAGTCTTCGTCATGTGCTCCGCCAAACTCTTCAACGTGTGTTCTGACGGCGGCACCGACTCTCCCGGCTTGAGCACAACAGCGGCGCAACCCGCACGCCCATCGTGTCGAGGCACAAGCACGCCGTAGACATTTGCCTCCTCGATGGCGGGATGCCTGCCGACGATATCGGCGACTTCAGCGGTGCTCACGTTTTCTGCTTTCCAGCGGAACGTGTCGCCTATCCGGTCCACAAAGTACCACCTTCCCTCCTTATCCCAGCGCATGAGATCTCCGGTGCGGAAATACGCGTCACCCTTCGCTTTCACATTGCGGATGATTTTGGAGTTTGTGGCCTTGTCGTTGCCGAAGTAGCCCTGGAACTTGAGCGAGATGTTTTGCGGGTCGAGCTTGTAGAGGAGTTCGCCGGGTTCGTTCCAGCCGGCCATTTTGCACAGACCCGTTGTGAGGTCGCGTAGGGGCTCCGGGGGTTCGGATTCCGGGTCCATTTTCACGACGCAGAGGGAGGAGCCCATGAGAAGGTGGGCCAGGGTGCCGTTGCGGCCGATTGCGCCGGCGCTGAAGGAGTTGGTACTGCGGTTCCACATGCCGCCGGGGGCTTCGGTGGCGGCGTAGAATTCGAGGATGGTGCCGATGTTGAAGCGGTCTTTGAAGGGTTGCCAGACGTCGGGGCGCAAGCCGTTGCCGAAGGCGGAGTAGACTCTGTGGCTCTTGTCTTGGTCGGATGGAGGTGCGGAGAGGAGGTATCTGCACGTCTCGCCTACGTAGTGGATTATGGTAGCGTTTGATGATCGGACTTCTGGCCAGAAGGTCTTGTGGCTGAATTTCTTGCTCAAGCAGATGGTTGCGCCGGCGTTCAGAACTGCGCAGACTCCGAGAACCGAGGCGGAGGAATGATAGAGCGGCATGGAAGTGTACATCACATCTGTTTTCTTAATAGGGATCCAGCCCGCGACGAACTTGCTGCCCAAAGTAGCTTTGCCCCAAGCCATGACGGCTGGTTTAGGAAGGCCAGTTGTGCCTACTCGATGGGTCAGTTTGCTTCTTCTGCGCCTGGTCACGGTCACCACCTACCCGAGGTGTAAATCAACATAGCCATGTCATTCTTCTGTTGATTTCCACGCTCAGAATTGGGTTGTCGTATAGGCTTCGTCTCCAAGATGAATGCCTCCAGCCCCTTGTCGAAGAAAATGAGTTCCAACTTCCGTCGCTGTGGCTGTGCGGAATCCACAGAGTGCACCTTGGAGTGTCTTGCAACAGAGGCGGAAGTGTCACCGCCTTCAAGGTGGAAGTGGTAGTTTGCGGGTTGCTCCGGCGGAGGTCCTTCGGTCGACACGGCAGTGAAGCCATGCTCTGCCATGACATCTTCTGAAAATTTCCCCCTGCTCTCTTCCCCGACGAGGACGAGTCTTGCGGTGGACGTGCGGATTGTGTGTAGCAATGGTTTTCCCGTCAGGTTATAATTGATAAATGCGGGTTTCGCGCCAATGCTCCACAAGCCGAACCAGATCCATATGAACAGCTCGGAGTTCATGAAGTCCATGGCTACAATCTCGTTCTTTTGGACGCCCTTGCTCTTCAGCCATGTGCCATATTTCAGCACAATCTCGTAGGCCTGCGCATATGTGTACTGCTTGCCCTGGAAGATGATCCAAACATGGCCTGCGTTGGCGGATTTCGCGTGGTTCTCGAGAGCGTAAAAGAGGTTGATGTCGTCGTTGCGTTCGTGTCGCTTCGCGGCAAACAGCTGCGTGGCCACGAATGGACCGAGGAGCTTCAGGTCATAGCTGATGGCGTGGCGGCCATCAAGGTACGCAAGAGCTGCCGCTGCAGCGGGAATAGCGTATGGCAGAGCTACGGATGTGAGCTATACTGGAATGATAACAAGTTCAGCCAGAGGGCTCACCTTGCATATTGTTGTAGTGCGGAGTTCACTCGATGGGAGAAGACGACATGCTGGCAAATCCGGGGTATCATAATTATAGAAGAAACGAGGGAACATCTTGGGGTAGCCATGGTGAGAACTGGTCTAACGTTCTTGGGTGGATCACACCTGAGGGCTGGTGAACCGAGGCGACTAGAAAGTGGTCAGGGAAGGCGAACGATGGCTCGTGCTTTGTCAAACTATCACCATCCAGAAAGGGCAACTTGTGCGACCGACTGGAAATACAGCTGTTCATGACATTCAATCACGCATTATATATAGGAATGGATAGAACGAAGGTAGAGACGAGAGGATTTGTGTTTGGTTTGTGGCTAGTGTGTATGACAAGTTGTGTGGTTTGTAGGCGGTTCGCGTGTGGTTGTTTGAATTCCCCAGAGCGGACACAGGATTTGCTGAGATGCCAACGAGATGCCCAGTACAGAGACTGTCAACCCATCCGACCCGTTGCAGAAGGCGACGATGAGGCAAGCGCGAAGCTTGAAGCCCACCTTTTCACGAGGGGGTTTGGAGTCCCAGTCGTGGCACTGTGTCTCGAGCGCATCCAATGTGTCGCATATCCCAAGACCCCATTCGCCGTTGCAGGTTTCCGATCGGCTCGAAGCTGCGGATGCTGCAATCACCCAGCTTGTACTCCGGATCCATGATGTGACTCGCGCCTCGGGCCCGCAGCAGTCACCTCTGGGTGCTGCCCAGAAGACACCCCGTGGTGGCTTCTGTCCGTTGCCAGGTTCGGTCGGTTCGGTCGAAGCTCTGCATGCCGCCCATGCAAGCTTGTTCTGTTCCCCGATGCTCAAAGTACCAAAAGGCTCGAAGCACTGTTGCCAGAGGCCGAATGGCGCTCAGCAACTGCCCGGGAGTCGGCTCCCTCCGGCGCCTGCTTGAAGTGTTGAGGTGAAAGTGTGGAAATGAGATTGTTGAGATGAGGTGAAGTGAAGTAAAGTGTTACGACGAGGTGGGAGTGTTGTGATGAGGTGAGAGGAGAGTGTTGCGATGAGTGAGCATGTGCTTGAGAACGTCAGCAAAATCCCAGCCAGCACGATCCACCACTTACCAGGAATTCGAAAAAGGTAAAGTTTCCTCAGCCGGGTACGAGTAAAGTGCCGCGCTGAGGTGAGAATGTTCTTGGAGCGCGTCTGCAGAGAGGCTCGCGACGCGATTCCGAGCGTAAGATATGGCGAAAAGCTGCAGACGCGTTTCAGCCATGAGGTGAGGGCGTCATTGAAAGAGGTGAGCAGCGCACAGTACTATAGCCGCACTGATGCGAGACACGATTAAATGAAGCCATGCTTGTATTGTAAAGAGATGGACAAGGGGGTAAGACGCCCAAGGAAGCTTTGAGGTGTGGAGCTTGCTGGCGCTGTGGAGCTGGAGTGGAGTTTGTCTGGGGGAAGCTCCGTAAGGTGGGGGAGGGGAAACTTCAACGCGTAACGCTTGGGCCACCCTTGGCATTTGGTAAGCAAGATCAATGCCAGATGTGGTTTAGCGGGATTTTGGCTCACCTCCCAAGCTCTCAAGCTCTCCCCGCTCTCTCTACCCGACAGACTTCCGACGAACGTCCTCCTTAGGGATCGAGTCAGCATCTCTAAGCCGCGGTCCGCCCAATTGCTCTTCCTTTTCCGTGTGTTTTCATTTATCTCTGATGTTTCGCGAGTGCTAATCCTTCCTCATGTCCGTTATTTCTATCAGCCTTTCAACTTTTTCTTTGCTTTAGAAACTTCACAGGCAGAATTATTAGACTGTAAGATTGATTTTGTTTCCGTCGGATACCTGTTTGTGTCCGGGGTCAAGTCTAGTTCTGCTTTCTATTCGCCTTTTCCCTACAGTCTTATTCTGGTCTTTCCATTGCTTTCCTAAATTTCAATCCCCTACATCTTCCAAAAGGCCGAGTTCGTCACATAGCCGAATATATCTCCATCCTACTCAACAACACCAAAATCCCAATCCCCAAGGGTTTGTCACATCTTCACCCTTGAGCCAACTAACCTCAAACTCCCAGACCCCAACCCAACCTTATCCCTCAAAACTCCATCCAACATGGCGCCCGCCCCCCTCACGACCCCTCTAACCACCCTCCTGGGAATCAAGCACCCCATCATGCTCGCCGGCATGGACCAAGTCGCGGGCCCGCAACTCACCGCCGCCGTCTGCAACGCCGGGGGCTTCGGGACGCTAGGGGGAGCGCGGTACACTCCCCAAATGCTGCGGGAGATGATTGCCGAGCTGAAGGAGGCGTTGGTGGACAAGAATGCGCCGTTTGGGGTGGACTTGCTGTTACCGCAGGTTGGGGGTAGTGCGCGGAAGACGAATGTAGGATGGGCTTTGCTCAGGAGAGTTCCTAGACTGCGTAGGGTCAATGTGCTGATGCAGTATATGTAGTATGATTATACCAAGGGCCACCTCGGCGAGCTCCTGGACATCGTCATCGAGAGCGGTGCGAAGCTCTTCGTTTCCGCGGTGGGCGTTGCTCCCAAGTGGGCGATTGAGAAGCTGCATAAAGCTGGTGTTCTTTAGTACGTGTCCCCAAAGTCAATCTCCATCCCCTTGTTCTCTTACTAACAACTCCACAGCATGGTTCGTCTCCCTCCGTCTTCCCCCTGGATACCAAACCACTAACTTTACAGAACATGATCGGCCACCCCAAACACGCGCACAAAGCCTGCCAGGCCGGCGCCGACCTCATCTGCGCCCAAGGCGGCGAAGCCGGCGGCCATACAGGCTCCATCCCGACCTCCATCCTGATCCCCGCCTGCGCCGACATCGTCCGGCAATACACGTCCCCCTTGACCGGCAAACCCGTCACGCTCGTCGCAGCCGGCGGCGTCAACGACGGGCGCAGTCTCGCGTCGGCGCTTATGCTGGGAGCAGCAGGCGTATGGGTAGGAACGAGATTCATCCCATGTGTGGAAAGTAAGGCGCCCGAGGGGATGAAGCGGGATGTCATTTCCGCGGGTTACGATAGCTGGATCGTTTCGACGATTTGGTCCGGGCGGCCGTTGAGGGCGTTGCGGAATCCGTATATTGAGGACTGGGAGAAGAATCGCCAACAGGAAATTAAGGAGTTGACGAGTGAGGGGAAGGTGCCGCTCGAGTGGGAGTTGGATCGTTTGCATAGGGAGGGCAGGTTGACGGAGGAGATTATGGATCAGGCGGCGCTGAGGTGAGTGCTGAGTACTCTCCTCTGCCTGAAGTTTGAAATTTGTAGAGCAGGGCGGGATTGGGAGTGGGGTTGTGTGAATGGTATTGAATGCTGATTCGTACGGTAGGCCTATTGGTATCGTCGCAGGCTCCGTCAACACACCCAACCAGACCGCCGCCGAAATCGTCAAGGAAATGGTGCACGAGGCGGTGGTGGCGCTGAACTCGGCGCAGGGGTTCGTGAATGCGGCTGCGAAGTTGTAGAGCGGTGAGCAGAGCGTATTCTTAGAAATATATTATAATTGGGTGGATGTATAGGGATGATATTTTGAGTTAATAAATAGGATAGAGAAGCGGGATCAATCGATGGTTGGGGAGGTACTGAATGTGATGAGTTCATATGCTACATATCTACGAAGTCCCCAACTGGTTATTGGTGATATTTTTTTCTTGCTGCGTGATTAGAGGAAGAATAATGAAACACGCCCTACTCCAACATTCCCCAATGCCAATACACTAATAATATCATAATGGCCGATTGCATCAAATTCCGAGTCCTTAGAGCAATTGCATGACTACATACTACCCTGGGATATATATCCCCCCGATTAACCCTCATACTCCATTCGCTTATGTTCTGGCTCGCTTGCTTGTTTGGCATATAATATCTCATCATTCCATCACGTATAAACTCGTGCGCCCATTGAGGACCCCAGCCCAGACAGGTGTTCCTGCAATCCATCCGTACATGCATGATGCATGCATGCGTGCGTCTATCCATGCAGGTACGCATCTATCGACCCGTCAGATCTTCCCCATTATCCCACCATCCACGAATTTCAGCCGCTCTATTAATCACTTAAACAACGGACTTGCCGTATACGCCCCATCCCTCCTCATCAAAGGAAGCAAGCAAGCGTCTTCGATTCATCGTGAGCGGAGCTACACGAAGCGCCGATAGGGTAGTGTAATGAGGCGAGAATAGGCGCTCGGATTGTGAAGAGGTAGAGGTAGGCGACGAGGTTAGAGCTAATATGTGCCAAGGTGAGAAGTCTATTCCTAGAGCGATGTGTTTGGAGGCGGGGATTGGCTGCGCTGGGAGGGCATTAGCAGTGTTGGACTGCTGATTGAGCCGAAGATATTCTTACTATTTCAAAGCAGCGATCTACGTAGACGGGCTAGGATGTATTCGGTAGGGTTAGGATAGGACTGGGACATTGTAAATGATGTTTCTTCCCCACGGAGGGCCCGGGGGAAGAGGGGAAGGGAAAACGGACCTTTGATCGCGTGTAACTTTTGCTGCAAGAGGGAATACATTAGCATTGCTCATAGACTACGAATAAGGCTGCGTATATAGAAAGGGGTCCGAGAAGAAGGAGAAGAAGAGGAGGAGGAGGAGGAGGAGGAGGAGGAGGAGGTAAAAGAAGAGCAAGAAAGCGAAGAAGAAGAGAGTACATACCACACCACACCCCACCTCTCCACCCTTAGGCGTCGACAAAATGGGAACCGGACCGGGGACCGCTCTATCCCTTTTCATGAGGTCCTGAGGTCGCGAGTCTGTATTGCACTTGTTAGTTCGTGTGCCAGGCACGTTTTGATGCATACGTTAGCCGTACCTGGTAGATAGGAGAACGTTTTTCCAGAGAGGTCGTTGTTCCCCATCTTCCTCCAGATGGAAGCGAGAGTCGTGGCGGTGTTGTTTGCAGTGGAGGGCGAGGAGGAGGAAGAGGAAGAGGACGGCGATGCAGTCGACGGGCGATCCGCATTGTCGAAGTGTAGGACAACGGGAGAAGGACAGCGCCACGACGGGCCGAAAATTTCGTGGATGAAAGGGGCGAAGGCTGCGGTGGTGGGGGAGTCGGGGCATGTTTCGTCGTCGTTGTCGTCATTGTTGTTGTGATTGTTCCCAGGGTTGATGGAGTGTTCGCTCGGTTCGAGAACAGGGCCGTGGCGTTCTTCGGGCATCTCAAAGACGGGGTCGAGATCCATGGGGAGACCTAGTTCATGAGATGGATGGGGAGGCAGACTGCTGATGGTCATGCCGTCTAAATCGACGGCGGCGGATGTTGTGGGGATGTGATGAGCGAAGGTCATGGAGTCGAAGTGGACCGGCATGGGATCGTTCACGACTGAGGTGGGGGTTAGAAGCGTGGGCTTCATGTCTGGTGTCGCGGAGATGGAGTTTGTGCGTGGTTTCGGGGAGTTTGATTGCAGGGCTATGGGTTCCACGTGAGTCTCTCTTCGTTCGTATAGATGGTGTTGCTGGTTCCAGCAAAAGCTTTCTCACCTTTGCCACTCGCGGCCGGAGAAGTGCCATCCAATCTTGCTGCACTCGCAATGGCGGCATTACTGCTACTGTCAGTGGGAGAGCCAGAGGCACTGGCATGACTCCTCCCAAAGATCTCACACCCGACAACACTCTTGACACTATCAATAACATCCCTCAATCTCTCATTCTCCGTCCTCAGTGCGTCGATTTCAGACAGCAAACTCGCCGTTGCTCCGTTCCGGTCCTGATCTCTTAGGATCTGGATCGTCCTCTCGAGCTCGGCGATGTGCGTCTTGGTCTTCTCTCTCAGCGACCGTTGGGCCTCTCGGTCAATAGCTCTTTTGCGTTCCCGCCTCTCCTGCTCGCCCAGGCAGGACGCACGTCGCTTGCGCTTGACGATGGGGGCGATGGTGGTGGGAGGGGGCGCGGCGTCACTGGCACGGCGGGTCACCATGATGGCTGCTGGGAGCGACGTATATGTACAAATAGTAGATTGGCAAGAGTCCCGAAAGGATGACGGGACGATTCAATCGTTTCGTGTCGTATCGAACGAATAGTAGATCACTGCTCACTCATGCAGAGTAGCGAACAGCAACGCAGCAATGAAGGTGAAGATAATCCCTCAACGAAGTCGAGTCAAGCTGGAGGGACGAAACTTTTGGATTCTACACTGTCTATAATACCTCTGTGCAGCGTCAGAGAAGGCCGCGGCCGAGGGATCCATAGTGTGGCAACGCTTCCGGATATCAAATTGCGGGGAAGCGGGGCCTGAATATTGGGAAGCGAGGGACTGCTAACGGCATCATCATGGTGTAAACTGGGGTAGTTAACGGTATGTGGAGTTCGCTGGAGACGAGGTCGTTCAGTGGCTGGCAATCTGACTCAGGTGGAGGAAGGGGACACCTGTGGTTGGTGATGGGACGCGTCGTGTGTCGCCAATTACTGGCACTTTTTGGAAGTTGAGGCACAGGGGGCGAGCCAGGCCCCTGGGGGTGGGAAGGCCAAGCATTGTACTGCTGTGCGTAAAAGCAAACCGTTGGAGAAGGGTCCTCCGGGTTGCGAGAAACTGGAATGGTGTGGCATGGCACTATATTTCCGATTCATCCAGAGTCTAAACGAGAAGCGGCATGATTCATTAGCAAGAGATCTAATTCCCTAGATAAGAATAGTCTATACACAGAAGGTACAGATGATTACAGCTTAGAAGGCTTCCAGTTCGGCTTGCGCTTTTCCGCAAACGCCATCAGCCCCTCCAGGGCATTCTCGCCCGTCTGCAGGGCCTCATTGTACCTCTCCAGGGTCAGCTGTGTCGCCCTCTCCACACTGCCATGCTCCAGCGCATCCTTGAGTGCCGCCCTCGTCACAATCGCTGCATCAGGGGAGATGTTGGCAATCCCATTTGCGAGCTTCAGGGCTTCCTCCAGCAGCGTCTCCTGGGACGATGAGATGCGGTTGATGATGTTGAGTTCCTTTGCTCGCTGTGCAGTGATGGGCACGCCCGTCAAGGCTATTTCACTTGCTACGGGCAGGCCCACGATGCGGACCAGTCTCGCCGGTCCACCGGCAGCGGCGAAGATGCCGCGGAGGGCCTCTGGGAGGCCAAAGGTTGCGTTGGGCGATGCCACAACCATATCACTGTTCACTCATGTTAGTGCCCTTTGGCTCCACAGGGTCTCCATAATGGACACGTAGGAAAGCGAAACCGACGTCAGTGACCCATTCGCCAAAAGGCGGGGTGTGCGGAATCCGGAACTGCGGTGGGAGTCCGGCCAACAAGCCCAGCAACCGGGGAGAGGTGGGGGAAGGGGAAAGCGGGAAGCGGGAGAAAGAGACATCCGAGAGACCCAACAGGACCTAACTCGAAAAGATCCAAAAACCAACAAGGCCGAAACAAGGGCAAGGAAATCAGAAACCTACCAACCAAGCACAATCTCAAACCCACCCCCAAACGCAAACCCATTCACAGCCGCAATGATCGGCTTCTTCCCCGCCCTCCTGCTCACACCCCCAAACCCGCTCAGCGGATGCCGCATCAGCGCCGAACTCGTCTTGACCTTGCCGGATCTGATCTTGCCCAGCTCAATGAGGTCCTGGCCGGCGCAAAACGCCTTCTTGCCCGCCCCCGTGATGATGGCGACGCGCAGATTGGGCTCGCGGTCGAACCAGTCGAAGACCTCGCCCATTTCCGTGTGCCCCGCGAAGGGGATGCTGTTCATCTGGCGCTCGCGGTTGATGGTGACGAGGAGGACGAAGGGGGCGGGATAGCTGAGGAGGACGTGCGACGTCGGCGGGGGACTCGTCTGTGTCTTGAAGCCGGACATGCTGGCGGTGTTGGAGGCGCTTGATGGAGGGTGACGATGATACTGTTGGAATCCTTTGCTTTGAAGCTCTACTTACATGGCGGGCTGCCTCGCGCGGGCCTCAGTTACCGCGAGTCTCCTGCGAGCAGTTGAGCCGAGGTATGTTTGCAGTCGCGGAAAAGTTCCCCGGATTTCCTGCGCTTGGCGTATGCGGGGCAAGGACGCCACGCCAGAAGCGTGCTAGCGTACGGGTGTGTTTCGGCCCGGCAGAACTAATCCAGTTCGGTCTCAGTTTGGACGACAGCACCTCCCCCTCACACCTAGGAGTAGACTATGAGTTTGTGCCTCCATCCTCTATTGCAGGACGGATCGCAGCAGTGTAGCCGACACGATAGCTAAACTCCTCATTGACGACTAATACGAGGGTCTGTGAGTATCCCAGGTATCAATCGAGAATACCAGGCCTGTACAATACTACTTCTCATATCGGAGCATGCAACGTAGATTGGCGTTCCTATGGAAGCATTAATCAAACAACCCCATTTTCTACCATAGTCCAGGCTGTAGCTACGTCGTATACCTGGATCTAAAGCGGAACTTGGAAACTACAGCGTCTATTCACGGATCCATATTGCGACACAGAGTCTATTCAACAGCACTCCTGCGCCCTCCCGGCATTGCTACACTTGATCCTACTCATCTCACAACTTCGCCCTCAACTTCGTACTATCCACCCTGTTCCCCTCATCCTCCTGCTCAGCAACCCTCAAATCCGGAAACTCAACCGGCATAATCCTCCTCGGCCTCGCCTCAGGCACAACGCTATACTTTCCAAAATCCTTCACACCCACCTTCCTCAGAAAATCCTCATCTACCTCCAACTCCCCATTCACCATCTCCACGGGAGCCTTCAACATGGCCAATATCGCATCCGAGAAGATTGTCGCCTTCCTCAGATCCTTCAAATCCTCCTTACCCAGCCGCTCCGTCGCAGCCGACTGAATCGCTACGGCCGGCCAGACACTCGAGATGGCCATACCCGTTTTCCCCTCGCGCACCCAATCCATCGCCAACCCCTTCGTCAGCACGCTCATGCCGACCTTGCCCATTGCGTACGCCGTCTTGCCGCGGAAGAAGCGGCTATAGATGGGCGGACTCACGACGATGATCCTGCCCTTCCAATCCTGCCGAGCGAACTGCGGCAGCGCGGCTTGGATGGTGGCATACAAGCCCTCGATGTTGACGCGCTGCATGAGCTGGAAGCGCTTGAGGGGCGTGTTTTCCACAGAGGCCCACCATATTGCGCCGGAGTTGTAGACGATGACGTCCAGCCGGCCGTAGGTGGACACGGTTTGGTCAATGAGGCGCTGGATGCTATCTGGGTCGCGCGTGTCGACGGGGATGGCCGTGGCGGTGCCGCCGGCTTCGAGGATTTCGCGGGCGACGGTGCTGATGGTCGATTGAGGGGAGTTGGGGTCTGGGGGGAAGGGATGGACGGCGGAGGCGTCGGAGGTGCTCTTTGCGGAGACGACGACTGTGCCGAGTTAGTAGATGGGAGGGAGAGATACGCAGTGAAAAGTAAATACCCGCATAGCCGTTCTTTGCAAGGTCAATGGCAACTTGTCGTCCAATGCCCCGTGATGCTCCCACGACGAGAGCTACTTGCTTCGTTGCGCCCGTCATGGTCTCGTGTCAATGAGATCTTTGGGTGGTAGTCTAAAACTCTCACAATTGCCGTCATCTGCAAGATATACGAAGAAGCGGGGTTCGCAACTTCGTACGACCTTCGTACGACCTTCAGGCACCCTCATCTTCGCAGAGACGCGGAAATGCGGAGACGTAGAGTAGCAAAGGGCGTGGGAACGTGAGAACTGATTACTGATCTGATATTTGGTCGGGTGAGGTGAGGTTCCCCAGATCCGCGAACCTCGGCTGCCAAGCCTCGTTCATGCTGTGTATGCACCCCAGATTTCCACTCACCTCCACCATATATCTTAAGACGACTGGAGCTGTTGAATAATCATTATTCAGAGCACTGGAGGATCCGTCTTGCTGACCGTGACAATGGCTGGCAAGATTACTGCCTACTTGGACTGCGGTGCGTCAAGACCTATCAGACCTCCTCCCCATCTTCCACTCCAGAAGTGAGAGAGAGAGAGGTAAGTTTGTTGATTGGTCGGCTCGACTAACATCCCTCTCTAGTGTCCCTGTACTCGTGGTTTGCACTTCTTCAACTCGAGAAGAATCGAGAGAAACTCGCGTCCCACAATGTGGAGTTGGAGTACGTCCTTCACCTCTCCCTCGCACGAGCTCTTCTACCATTCCATTCATCCCACACTGCACGGTGCACGCTCCACGCTGCAACCAACCGCACGTGCTGGGACACCCACCCTGTTATCCCAGCCTCCCGCTGTCCATGCTCTCTTCCCGCTCCCACACGATGCCGCTGACATGAGACAGTATAGTTCCCGTCTTCCTCGGTGGGATTAACGTCGGTAGCGGTAAGACAACTCCCTTTCCCCGCCCCAAAACCCAGGCATGTATCCAGAAACAGAAACAGAAACCTAACCATAGAAAACCCCAGGTAACAAGCCACCGTGGACATTGCCAGCCAAGGGCAAATACGGGAAGTATGATGTGAAACGGGCAATGAAGTACTTCGGTACACCGAACATGAAGACACCGAAAAACTTCCCCATTCTCAGCCTGCTCCCGCAGAGGGCCTTGGTCTTTATCAAAACGAAACATCCTAACTTACTCGTTCCGACGCTGCTGGACTTTTTCCGCGCCTTGTGGGAAGATGGCCTGGATATCAGCAAGCCGGATCAGGTCGCCCAGGTCCTGTCAAAGAGATATAGCGAGGCCGACGTCTGTGAGATTCTGGAGAAAGCAAACAGCCCCGAGTGCAAGCAAGCTCTGAATGACAACACAAAGGAAGCCCTGGCCAAGGGCGCTTTCGGATGCCCGTGGTTCATCGTCAAGAACTCCAAAGGCGAGGAGGAGCCATTCTTTGGTAGCGACAGGTAAGTCCATCACCTCTGCACTTGGCCGAGTGGGGGGACTTGAAATTGTGGGGGTGACGGCTGCCAAACGGCTATGTGCCCATGAAACAAGGAGATCCCCGCTAACCACTTATGCATCACAGGTTCCACTACATCTGGGACTTCTTGCAGTTGCCGTGGAAGGACTTCGAGTTGCTTCCTGGGCAGGCGAGACTGTGGCAGTCGAAACTCTGAGAGCTCGAGTTGAACGAAATGCGAGACAGGTTGGTTGAAGCATGTACGTAGGCCGAATCGCGAGTATCTTGCAGAAAACTCTCCATTCCTCGCAATCCCGCACTCTTTCTTTCGTCAAGCATTCAACCAGGCAGGTGGCCACTTCATCGCCCAGACAAAGCGATATCAGATCTGAGGTTGATCGGAAATGGCAAGCCGCGGCAATCACCGAATGACATACGTCTCGAGGGGGCTAACGCATGCACGCCCACCGTTTCGTGATACCTCCGACGAACTTAGCGACTCGTGACACCAGCGGCACGGGAGCCAACCTCCCCATGAGAAGAAGGGCTGTTAGACCGCATCCATCCGCAACGGACAAATCCGACTGCCATCTTCTACCGAGGTCGGTGCACTTCCTCTCCGAGTGAGGCCGCAAGAACACATGACGTATCTTTCCCAGGCAGATCTCCTACGACGAGACCTGCGGGAAGTGACAAGGAAGCGCGAACATCGTGAGGCTTGCCAAAGCCAACCGGTGTTTTAACTGGACAACCCCATCCACGTGCCGGAGTCGCATGAACGGCATCTAGACTGCAAATCGACAACTGACAGCATCGGCCCCATGCAAGCTGCCTAAAATCAAAGTGGCGATTCTTGCCCCTTCTGGCACATGAAGAAGGGGAAAAGGGCTCAGGAATAGTGCAGGCCTCCGTGTGGGGTGTGCTCCTATATGTACAACGCAGTCTGAAGCGCAAGACTGATAGGGCTGTCCTTCAAACCCTGGGATCCTGGTGAAGATCTTACTTATCCCCGCCTCCGCTGCTTGTGCTGTTTGGGGTGCAGACACCTGATTGGTAGGTCGAAAAGGCGGGAGTGGCGTCTCTACGGTTTGCCATGCAGCTATCCGTTCGCATCTGCACGTCAGACCTAAAAAAGAGCAAGCCGATGCCGCACGCCAGCTCCATTCAGGTACGAGAGAAACAGTCTTTCTTGGTTTTGAACGCTCTATGGTGGACAATGATAGGTCGAATCCTTGGACCATGCCAGATGCATCCCGGGAAGCGGAACTGGACACTTGCAATATCTCCGGCCTAGCCACGTTTGAGATCATGGTTGTCACTGCTCTGCTGCTCTGGCAGGCGTCAGGTATGCCCCCGAATTAGTGTTCGCTGTCGTGGGGTAAGAAAGGTATGCCCATGCGCCTTGCCAGCCTCCCATCCTACAGGCCCTCAGGGCATGTATGATTGGGAAAGCTGTGAATTTTGGTACGGAAGGGCGGCGTGCCTTCCGTAGCCGTGGCGGAGAGACATGAAGCCTCGAAATAGAAGGCTCTGCGTGTGGGGAACGGTATCGGCATGGACGATATAAGGATGATGTTTCAGAGGCGGGATCTGAAGGCGTGCATTTTGATGCTCTCAAGGCAAGGGCATCCTCTGACATCCACGAATCTGCGGTCTGGTACGTACTATCGCCGGATTCGTACCACGAGGCCCTTCGCTGATGGCCGCGTAGTCTGTTTGCGCCTGTCCAGGCGACCCGTTTCAGTCATTAGGCTTCCTGGCTTCTTCGATCTCGTCGTGGCGTATCTGGAAGGTAAGAAGCCACTGAAGGCCGTGGAAACATGGGCACTGACAATGCTTCGCAGAGTAGCTGCCAATTCTGGTCCCGTTATAAGCCAGTATCAACTCCCTCACTGCGGAAGTTACCGAAATCCAGTTATATCGGCGCCTACTTTCGACATCTTCCCCGAACGACTTACCTAATTACCTTCGAAGGCCGAATCAAAGTTATCAAATAGCGGCGCGCCTGAGCGTGGAGCCAGGTAGTGGACGTCACTGCGGAGTGTCGGTGAAGGGTCGACAACTATTGTCCATTCCTATTCTTGAAGCGACCGGCCCCACAATAGGAATTCACCGACATCGAATAACCAATTCAGCTGCTAGTCTGAAGCAGGGGGTACTTGTAGGTGAAGTAGAGTCGGGCGGGGTCGTCCCTTGATAGGTCTTAAGCACGCATGCCGCAGCGACACCGCCAAAACAACAGCCGTTGCAATGGCCGATATTGCGCACCATAGCACGGGACTTCGCGCTGAAAACGCTGAGGGTATCCGCGAGTCTCAATACTTCTTCGAGACGTCGATTCAACAACAGTGCGAGACAATTCAAGTCGCTGCAGCGGTTGTGGCCGACGCGTCCTTGGTAAGTGTTGCAGCGTGCAACCTGCAAGCGTGCAACTTGCAAGCGTGCAACTTGCAAGTTCAACAGTCGGCTTTTGCTGACAGGCTTCAGAGAGACCCTGCAGCGGAGAGCGTGGTGCACGCCTATAACAGTTGCGACTGGAAGTCGGTGCTCGAGATCGAAACTCCTCTTTTGATTCAGCCTGCAGCCTATTATCCGCACATAGTGGACAGCGGCGAGGTCCCCAACTGGGTAGCTTTTCACCCAGAGCAACAGACTGTTGATATCGGTGGGCTCCAATACAGTTACAACCTCGGAAAAGGCGCCATGGGTGGAGGATCTCTTTGGCCGTCGCAGGTGGTGTCGTCGGGTAGGCCCATGGTCTATCCGCCACCGCACGCAGCGGATGTGGAGACTGATCTCTCCTCAGGCTCACCGGCGAGCACCACCGATTTCGATCCAGAGCCCGAGCCCGAGCAGCATCGCTATGCGAGCACCAATTTCGGCAACTTCGTCTCGAACAGCACCTGGTCCAGCGGACAGCAGTATTTGACTTCGGCCCCAGCACCCGGCTTGACAGGATTTGGTTCGGGATTCGCTCAGCCGTACCAGACAACCTCTAGTGTACACCACATCAACGGTCTACCTTCGTGGCAGTTCGGCGTCCACCCTTCGTCCGGTACGCGAGGTTTCGAGAACCTCGATCAGGTGCACGTCGTTTCTCAGGTAAATGGCCAGGCACACCGCATGAGCCTGCAACCGCGCACTCCAGCCATACCACCCTATGTACCACGCGTGGTTGCCTTGGCTGCTCCTTTCGAACTCCCTTCTAACAATTGCAGTGACGGCTCTGGGTTGGCGGTTAGCTCCAACGCCAACCCAGACAAACAACACACAGAACAGGGTGCGGGTCCAACCGCGGCTTCAATTGAGGCATCCCTCATCAGGAAGAGGGAGGACGAGATCCTTCTTGAAGGAAAGCGTCTTGGGCTCACCTACAAGGACATCCGCAAGAGGATGGGCACCAGTGTGGCGGAGTCGACTCTGAGGGGCCGGTACAGGTCCCTTACCAAGCCTAGGAAGGATCGAGTTCGCAAGCCCGTCTGGACCGACAACGATGTATGTTACCTGACCTCTATAACTCTTATAACGGACGGACGACGCTAACGTAAACAGATCATGCTGTTGAAGGAAATTGTGGCCATGGAGCTCGACAGCGTCACCCGCGACCGGCCTTCGGCAACTCAGGAACAGCGCTTTACAAGAATCTCCTGGAAGCGAGTTGCTGAGTACATCACTGAGAACGGCGGATCCTACAAGTTTGGCAACTCGACGTGCAAGAAGAAGTGGCTTGAGCTTGAGGGCTTAGCCTGACGAACGATCATGGACAGAAATCGTCTTGGATCGATGGTCAGGAAACTGGGTTATGTCTTGATATGACCGGCTCGACGGATTCGGTCTGCACTGGTTTGCTCCCGACTGGTACTCTTACGAGCGAATCCGGGATTTCCTGGTCACGTCTGCATTGCGACGGCTCTGGGTTTGGACAGCTCTGGTTCGGCCAACGGTCGAGCTATTCCATGTCCTCGCTCTTCCTGTCTGTCGTGCGACGTCCCGGAAATTGTCGGATCGTTCACTCTCCTTTTCAACTCGGGTTTGGTTCTGTTCAGGCTCTGATGTGTGTACCATATTTCTGTATCATATACCCTGGCAACTCATGAAGGCGAATGGCGTGGAGGGGGACAAGAAGGAGCTCCTGGATTTGTCATATCTCTTTCATGTTCAGCGGATCGGGGTTCTGTCTTTCGTTTGCTTCTTCCGGCGTCAAAGGAGTAGCTAGATAGGACAAGCCGCAAGGCCAGGGTTGCTTCGGGTTCCGATCTTTGTTCTGAGGCCGGTCATTCGTGCCATTCATTCACGTCGCTTCAGGAGGAGTGCAGGAGTGCTTGTGAAGGAACGTGAAAGTGTGGCCACGAATGGGCGTGCAAGTGTGTAGCGATTTTCATCAGACAGTTATGAACAGCGGTATTGCTTGAACTGCTTTCCAATCACAACAGTAATGCAATAGAGCGGTTGAGCTGCCTTGACATGGCAGACATGACAATGATGGACAGAAGTGAAGTGAGCGTTCGGGGTTGGATGAAGATGGCAAATGTGGCCCGTGCCCGCCAGAATCCGGAGTAGCAGGGAAACCACAGCCCAGCCCTACCCAACTACCGTCCATCATTCGTCATAATCCAATTCACAGCCTCATGAAAAGAATGCTTTTCGGACTCTCAGAATCCCTCCGAAGCTTGGTCGAGGCCAAGTTCAGCGCCGCAAAGGCGAACTCGTCCATATTCTTCACCCCTTCCGAAGTAACTACAATTCGCACCTCGCGTGGTATCGCCGTAAGCCCGCCCACGCCCAAACCATCGTCACTCCCCGTGACCAGTACATACCAATATATCAACAATCAAGAATTTTTACAATACTAACGACCCTATCCAGTTCCAACTCCGCTACTGTCCCACGCTCGCCAAAAAACCCACAGCGTCCAATCCAGAGGCGAAAACAGACGGTGCACCCCAGAAGCGCGACCCCTTTGAAGATCCTCCCCAAGACCTCCTGGTTGCCGAAATCCCCCAGCGTGCTGCTTCTTCTAGTAGTAATTCCAAGTCCGCTACGCACATCCTCGTGCTGAACAAATTCCCCATCATTCCTGCCCACTTTATCCTCGCTACCAAGGCCAACAAGCCGCAGACGCATGCTCTCGAGGAAGATGATTTGGAGGTCGCGTATGTGTGTTTGAGGGCTTGGGAAGAAGATTCATCAGTTTTATCTTCCTCATCCGGAGAAGGGGAAGGCGAAGGAGGAGGGAGTGAAACACGTGACCAGCCCTCTCCTATTCCAGAGAAGAACCAGCAGAAACAGGCGAGGAAGCGATTATTCGCCTTCTTCAACTCGGGCGAACACAGCGGGGCGAGTCAACCGCATCGGCATTTACAATTCCTGCCGGTCGAGAGCATCAGGGAGCAGGAGCGAGCGCCGGGCTGGGAACTCCTCCTCGATTTGATCCTGAACGAAGGCGAGGTCGTTGGGAAAGGTATGTATACATACATGGTGATCTTGAAAACAAGGCGTATTTATGAATCTGCGTGGCTTACAAGTTACTAGACTCCTCAGATACCCCTTCCTCCGAACACTCCCCTGATTTCCCACTACTCCAACACCCCTCCCTCCCCATCACACACTTCGCCCACCGCCTCCCCTCCTCCCCAACACCCTCCTACCTCCTCCAAACCTACCACTCCCTCCTCGCCGCCGCCCAATCCGCCATCCACGGCTTCGACCCCTCCTCCACCACAAACACATTCCCAACCACCCACCCCATCCCCCTAAGCTACAACCTCGCCCTAACAACTTCCGCAATGGCCATCCTCCCCCGCCGCGCCGAAGGCCAGACCCTCCTCGATGACGCCGAGGAGGGGGACGACAACAGCACCACAGTCGCGGGATCCGTCTCGCTCAACGGCACGGCGCTAGCAGGCACGCTGATGGTCAAGCAGCAATCCGAATGGGATCTTTTGCGTCGACGGCCTGAGAAACTGGATGATATACTGGAAGCGATTGGCGTGCCAAGGGTTCAGGGGGGGCCGCGGATGTGAAGGGATTTAGGGAAAAGATGTGCACGCTTGGATGAGTGAAATGCATGAAGTATGAGGCTTAGGTAGAGGGTGGATGCGGTATATAGTCCAAGTTCAACTGGTATTCAAATCTTTGATTTATAAATTGTCAGGCGACGCACCCATTCACACCACCCCCTAAGGCATGGCACCACCAGCAACCAGGGTTCCGTCCTGGCCCACTCGAACCCTTATCCAAAACACAAAGCCACCGATGAATACCCAAGTCAAGTCGTACAAGTACCTACATAAGAGAAGGTAGGAAGGAAGACACATTAAAGAACCAAACATACAAAAGTCCTCCAATTCGTGCAATTCCGTCGGGGTATATCCACGTGTCCTCAAGACCACACAAACCCAAGGAAAAAAAATTAAAAGATATACGGTTCAAAGTCCCCGCAGGCATGAGGTTCTTTCATCAAGAGAATGAGAAAATAGGAGAATTCGAAGAGAATGTTGAGCCTGCAAGGAGGCCGGTCGCACCACGGCACAGCACAGCGCAAAACATGGACGATAAAGGAAAAAGGAAAATATGGGAATTATCGGGAATCCATATGATGATGCGTCTTCGCGGCATACGTGATGGACTCTTCACTCCGCTGCAGCTCATTCCCCTGCTTCAGGGCCTCCCTTAGCGCAACCGCATCAATGGAGTCGAATTCCTGCGTTTCGCTACCCGTCCGTGTGCGATGGAGGTCGTTGCGTCCAATGTCGGATCGCGCTGCGGATGGTTTGCGGCCGGTGATGCGGCCGTAGAGGTCGCGCCAGGCACGCTTACATTCGGGCCACGTCGTGGATACGTAGACCATTGCGTTCCAGAAGCCTTGAAGAGGGAGGACGAGAGCAGAGGCCAGGGTGAGACCGAACCTTGGGTGGGCCGGATCGACGAACTGCTGGATGCGGTTGATGGTCGACGGGACCCAGACGATGAAGAGGGCGCTGAACATGAGGAAGGCGACCTTGAAGTAGGACCATGCTGCGTGGTTCTGCTCCATGGCAATGTTACGGTGGAGGTTAGGGTTGTGATTGGCATTCGCGACTCCAGTCACGGCGGCTTTGTAATGGGGGTTGGCATCCCCGTCGGAATCATTCGGTATCCCTGCAGCCAGTTTCTTGTCCCCTGCCTGAGGATTGGATGCGATGGGACGCACAGCGGTGGCGCTAGTCGGGGATGACGGGTTCATGCTAGAAAGGTTGCGGGTGCTGGAGAAGGAACTTCTCGAATCGTTGCTTGGCTTGTGGTCCGCAATGGTGGATTCAGTTTCCTCCGAACTGCCCGCGTATCGGACAGAAATCTCCGTCTTGCATTCAATGGCGTTTGCAGCTGTAAAGGGATTCTCGACGATGGGGTCCCGGTTTGAAGCAGACGCAGCTACTTTCCCACGAGAGAAAATATGGTAGCCGGTATACATGTAGAAGATGATGGTGACGGTGAGAGAGCACCTGCATCATGTTAGTGATTGAGAAGCCATGCGGTCCCAGGTTTGTACTTACCAGACAGGCACGTAGAAGAAAGCAAGGCGCATCCACTCGACTCTAGGATGAATCCAGCACCACATCTGAAAGGATAAGTCAGAGTTATAGAGCTAGAGTGAATGAAAGCACGTACCGTTGCTGGACCGAATATGGGTTTTTGGGTAGCCTTTTCGACGATGAGGTAGAGAACGACGATTGAGAAGGGGGCTCCGTAGGAGAAACAGAGGTACCACTTCTCGAGGCGACGAAGCTTAAGCGAGTTGTATCTATAAAAGAAAACCAGCATGACGTTGGCAGCCATACATACGACCTGGTCAGGCGAGATTAGGACCGGATCATATAATTAGAGTTGGTGCTCAACATACCCAAAGCGAGTCGGCCATCATGAACCTGGCGAAGATTAGCTTGGCTGTACACCCCGGAGAGGTGAGGTTTGGGCTTACCATTGAATCAGAACACCTTGAAATGTACACAAAGAGGGTATACTCTCGCCGGGGGATGGTAAATCAGCAGTACCAATCATGGTAGCCACATTGGCGAGGACATTGCCGAAAGAAGCATAAAAGACCAGTCTATTGATGGGTTTCCGGAAGTAGTGCCATTTGAGAAAGGTAACCATGATGAAGAGAGAGCCGGCTATGGAGAGAGCCGACATGGTGCGCTCGGAAACCGTGATGGCCCGCAATTGCTCTTCTGACATTCCTGACGCCATGATGGGATAGGTTGGGCCGGTTGCTGGCACTGTGGTCTTCAAGGTTTATCGATGGGAATTGAAAGGCGGAACCGCCAAGAGGTCTCTTGGGCGCGTTCGTGCTGGGAAGGGCCCGATGCAACAAAGTCCTCCTGTGAAGTGTTTCTCACAACGCGAAGCCCACGATCCGGCACTGGAGCTTGGACGGGCGGAGCAGCGGGTCGATCCGGATAGGACAGGAAGCGATCGGGGGCCTGATGGTTCGTATGGCCGGTCGCAATTACTGAAGCAGCAGAGGCACTCCCGGAGCAGCTCTGGCAGAGTGAGAGGCGGTACCTCTGGCGGAGAGAGAAGGATTTGTCCAAAAAGTGTGGCAGAGTCTGTCTGCTCTAGTGGGGAGTGAAGAGCAGAGAGATGAAGACGGTGGACTCGGGTAAGCCACTGAGGTAAGGAGCGGTGGATGCGAGGTAAAAGAAAGGTTGGACGGCCTACCACGGCAGAATGGGCATCCAAAGCACGGTTCATGGACGACTTGAGGCCCTTTACATATAGGTAGTGGGGACAACTACACTGGACGATGGCGACGATCCGGGGGGGAGATTAGCCAGGTACTGGCGCCCAGTTCCGCGCGAAGGCGTTGCCAAACCAGCATATCACGGGGTCGATTTCCATGCTCGGCGGGCATTGGGCATGGAAGTACCGGTAGTGGATGTGGCATGGCATCTGGCTGGGCGGGTTTCCCATGTCCGCCGACTTCTGAAGTTGTTGAGACGAGACGGCGGGTTTGAGAGTTAGCGTTCACCGAGTCCCATCTAATGGTCCGTGCACACCCCCTTCCTTTCCCCTTTCCCCACCCCCTCCCTCCCTTGCCCTCTGTCTAAACTTTCACTCCTCTAGCTTCCCCTCGCCGACAACCACGCCTTTTGGATGCCTCTCAACGACGATTATTTGATTGGCGTTTCGACCGGTTTCTCTTGCTCCTCGACTAGAGAGCTTATTATTACGTACAGCCATCAGAAGCCGTTGGTGGTGACGCTGGCCCCTCCATCACAGTACACCGTCGGTCCCACTGCCGTCTCCACACCTTTCTCCATCCGCTCATCATCTCCGGAAATAAACTAGACAATCGTCCCTCAATCGATCAACAACACTACTCCAGAGTCCCTTTCCTTGCAAAAAAACTTTATACTTGTATTAACTGACGTCCAACTTAGCTTTCTTAGTCCAGCTCCCACCCGCAGGCCCAACTTGTGCATTACATATCTCGCCACGACTCAGAAGGAAATTCCTACTGTGTACTCCGTACAATGCAGCGCTGTGTGCCATCTCGGCCTCGACCGGCCATCTATCACCTACACAGGTCACTTACGTATGCGAGTCCGTTACAGCGCCCGTCACACCAAGGATAGTCTTGCATCTCCCGGCTGCCCAAGCACACTGCTGTCCCAATCAATGCACTCCCCAGAGAGGCCCCTCTTTTTTGGCTCACCAAGAGCTACCGAGTACATACCCACTATACCCACTGTGCTGAGGCTTATCCGCGCCTCGCACAAAGCTTATTCTCCCCGCCTTCCCTCTAGCGCCATGGTTCTGGCAGAGGAAAATCAACACCTCTGATTGCGACTACTCGCTGTTCACTTGGACGACCACCATTTGCTCCATCTCCAGACGTCTCCTGACAGTACACCGCAATAAAAGTCCCTCAGCTGCCTACTCCATCGCCCGGGTATACCCACGACACTGGCATTCGTACCTCTCAACCTCGTGGCTGCCCTGCCAGATTCCTATCGCTAGCCTCGGCACTGTACCTACCCTTCTCCCAAACGGCCACCTCGCCGTCTACCATGTGTCTGGCCGGGACGTGCCTCCTTCTTGGGAGACGCTTTCCTTCATTATTGGATCGTTGCTCTTAAGTATACTGTGATCGCCAGGTCGACAATGATGGACTTGATTGGTAGCTCCTTTAGCAAGGTGACCAAGTGTACTCCGTACGGAGTACCTGATACCTGAAATTCGACCACCACGGAGCAAATCAGCATCCAGCAAGGCGCCGGTTTTGGCTCCACAGAAACCCCTTGACAATACCCAGTAATCCCCGCTCCCTGGCTAGGCAAAGCTACCTACGGATAATCTTTCTCCGGATTCGCAGCCAGAGTCGAAAGGCTCGGATCCTTTCAAAACAGTGAGTTCCACAAGACATGTACTATAGTAAACATGAAGCAGGCACCAGAACTTCATGACCTCCTCACCCCTCGACGCCTTCACGCACGCAGAAACACCCCATGGTTAACGAGTCAACATGTCGGTGCGACCGTTCCGGCAGAACGCTGCGTCTGGTCGTCAGTAGTGGTCACAGCTCTGTGTGGCTCTCCGCTACCTAGGGTACTGACTCGTTTGCCGCGCGGTCCAGCCTTGCCCTCAGTTCTCACATGCAAGGCATTAGTGATCACGAGGACGATTGCTCATGCCTTGTAGTCTCTTGGAGTTGTGCTGTCGAACAATGCTGCACCGTTGCCAAGTTCTAGGAAGCACATTCGCTTTCCAAGAGGGAAGCGATAGCGCTGCTGTAGCTACACAGTACCTGAGCAGGAAATGGAGCGATATCACAGCGTACATCATGCTTACCACAGTAACACCTACCATCCGGGATCCGGAGAACATTTGCAGATTCAGATACCCAGAGTTCGTGCCAGACACACGGTGATTGGAAAAGTTGTCGAAATCATCTTCCTAGGAGTCAATGCACCCAGCAACGAACTGCCCGCCACCACCACTGCCGCTTGTCACCACAGCTTCACGTGGATTACTTTAAAATCCCCGGCCGCGAATAACAGTAATGGCGTGGGCGAGGCCGGAATCTTATTACAGTCCTGGTTGGGATCGCCAGAAGATCTCAATGCAAGGCCATCAACGTCTTCCCTCCAAAGTTAAACTTTCGATGCCCCACCATCCTCGGCAGCAGTGGCACCAACCCCAAATTCCCCAGTGCCCAGCCTCGACGAGTTGCGGGAGTGACGGAGACCACCCCCCTTTTGTTCCCCACAGATGGCCGTGGACTTTCTTTGGCCTTGTGGTGATGTCTCTTGCACGGGTTGATGGATGCCTTGGTTATGCGCGACAACTATCAGGGCACTGCAACTTGGCTCGACACATACCGCACTTCTCCTATCGATCGACGTTGACCTTTAAGAAAGTAGTCCGAGCTTCAAAGTTTCAGCCAACCGCTAAAGAAGAGTCGTTCGCCGTGGTTCGGCATCATGTCGACTCGGCGATGTGGCTGAAGACCCTGGACCCATTCCTCCTATCTGTTCGTCATTCACTGAGAGATGCCACGTGCGGGATATGCATGTGAGAGGCCATTTGATGAGGTTTCAACATTTCAAGGCCGGGGTTTGCCGCCGCACTCAGATCTCAACAATCAAAGGAGCACCTCTCCTGAAGCGTCTAGTAGGTTTCCACCTCTAAGCACTACCAGGTCACAATCTTAACTGGAAGCGTATGGATATTTATCCCTACGTGCTCACGGAGAGCCCACAGGAATAGGAGAGGATCCCTTACTGTGTTCCTTTTAAACGGCAGCATCACGCTCAATCGACAGATATCTCCATGTGAACGCATCTCCACATTCCTGCAGAAGCTTTCTCCTGGTCAAACGCCATACACAGGAGGAAGCTAAAGCCGAGAAAGTTGTTGAATGAACCATCCCTTTTTCGAGCCTGTGGACAATCAGGGGATCACTGATCGACAGTTCCAACGGGACCTGGACCCCTCGACAGCTCTTGTGGTACCCGCCCTAGGACAATGCTGCTGCCATCTTTGTGCGGTCCAGCTGTATGCTCTGCATACAACGGATACCACAGAAAACCCCAGCTACTACATCGGATCGCTGGCCGGGATCCTACAATAGGTTGAATCATCTGACATCCCAGTGACGCCCATAGTCGCGGCTGAACATAATGGACAGGATGGAGCTCAGTGCAGGTTTTCAAGACATCCCTTTACAGTATGACCAGTTGAAAAACATAACCAAGCTGGCTGTTTGGATCGCATTGCCCCAGTGGTAACGAATGGCCCCTACCAACAAGTTCCAAGGGGCGGTCCTCTTTCCTTCGAAACAAAATCTCCGAAGTTTCAGATATATCTCCAAACAGTTAATCATGTCGATCCGACGGAGTCGTACGCTCAAGCTATCCGACTTCGATGACGGTTCATCATCCAGCACATATCCCTCCTCACTCCGCCTGCCTCCTCTGCCTCCCGCTAATCAGATAGACATTCGCCCTCACCTCCAGCAAAGGATCCGCGCTCGGCTCCACCCCCTCCACCCTCGGTATCGGATCGAAAATAACCCTCTTCTGCTCCTTCAAGCTCTCCTCTTCCTCGACCGCCTTCTCTATCCTCACCCTCCCCAGCTCAACAATCTCCCTCTCCTCGGGCCACACCACCGTCGCATCATCAACCACATCCCCCACTGCCGCAACCTGAGCCTGCAGAACCAACTCTACCGGCCCCTGAGCCTCCAACCTGCGAGGCAACTCCGCAAACAAATAATCCCTATCCTTCTTCTCCAAATCCTCGCTAGAGAGATGCCTCACTTCTCCGGACGCAGGAACGACCCGATACCTAATCGCCGTCCTCTTCCCCTCGGAATCAACGAGGTAATAAGCATTCACCCCAAAGTACCGCTCCGTCACGAAACTCTCGGGGCTCGGCTTCGGCGTCTGCAAAAACCGCTGCGTCTCCGGGTGCGCGCCTAGAAACGCATCGATGGAGCCTTTGTCGCCGCCTCCCAACAACTTCAGGAGCTCGAGGAACTCGGCGCCGGTGCGGGTGGGGAACGAGGGCGTCGAATGCAGGATTATGTCCGTGTGGTGGCGGTGGCCGTTGGGCAGGTTGGGGAGGTGGAAGCGTAGGGCGAGGCCGCGCGGGTTGGCGGTGGGTTCTGTGTCCGGGATGGTGGGGATGCCGGTCGAGGAGGAGAAGCGCAGGGTGAGGCGGGTGGAGGGGGAGGTGAAGTGCGGGGCGCGGGAGAGGGAGGAGGCGGTGGGCGTGGGTGTGAAGGTGCCTGTGTAGAGGCGGCCGCGTGCGTGGGCTGGGTGTGTGGTTAGTATGGGTTTCAATGAGGTGAGCTAGATTAGTTGGGAGAAGGCTAGGGTGGGATAGAGCGTGGATGAGGTGATGGAGATGCACTTGGAGACCAGTTGTTGACAAACTACAGACGGAATTGAGGACTTGGAAGAACAAGAGCAGGAAAGGGAGACTCTGAGATGTATCCGCTGACAACAACTCAAACTCACCAGGACGGAACTGCGACGGTCCACCGGCGGCGCCTTGGAGCGCACCGACGAGACCCTTGCTCGTCTCAAGCACTTGAACGTCTTCAGAGAGAGGCATGGCGGCTCAATCGATGGCGGGAAGTGGATGCGATGTCCGAGGAAACGAAGAATATCTCGAGGTATGGTTTGATCGCTGCGTGCAGCGCTGATAATTCGACAGTGGAAGCAAGACCAGTACGGAGTAACACGATCCCAACAACCAGGCGACGAACACCGTCAATATATACGCCTTTCCCCGCCAATCGAGCTTCAAATACCCTAAGGTATTACTAACCACAGTTCTTTTATCTCCATGCATTTATTATGCGAGTTTCCGGACCCCAAAGCACGCAAGCGGCGTCGCACAACCTAAGGCAATGCGGGGATGGACCTATAGCTATCCTCGGCCTGGATCTAGTGATTGCTTGTCGACCTATGTCTGTCGTCATACATGGAGCTATCAGTATCCATCCGCCATTTGGAATACATCGTTCCCAGGGCTTGTCAGCGTTTCTAATCATCGCGGCCCGGTAGAGTCTAGTTGGGTATTTGGAATTCATGCAGGACTAAAGTAGACTACCGGTTAGCAGAGGGTAGGATGGTGGTGAGTGTTGTTGGGAAGGAAGGCGTCATGCGTTATCTCCGTCGATGTGATTGGTGCTGGTAAGCGATGGGGTTTTTTGTAATGCTTACTATTACACCGTAGTCTACCTGGTGGGTATGACGGTGTGTTCGTCAGGGTTTGGGAGGATAGATAGTAGGCCTGCGCGGTACATCGTGGTCTCGAGCACGGCATTCTAGGCCGAGTTCCGTAGGTACTTAGATACCATGTACGTTTCTAGACCACGTGTGCGAGGACGCGATTTCGACATCGGCGGTGAGATATCGATAATGGGAAATTGTTGGGTTTGCTGATATGGTGAGCAGTCTCAGGTCTGCTTATAGTGAAGAGGCGGCACATTCCCACGAGGTGAGGAATGAATACAATGATATTAGTGAGGGCAAGGACAGTGGTCTACGGGACGGGACAAGGGTTTATATGTGGATTTGCCATCGATACGTGCGATATGCAAATGAATGAGGGCATACGTACTGCATGGCTGCAGGCGAAGCGGCACGGCGATACATAGATATATTCGTTTTCACAGGTTCTGGTGTCAATGTTAGACCTTTTGTAACTCCCCTAACTACGAACAAAAAATATACATATACCAAGCACGCAAGAAATCTCCAAAACAAAGGGGAACAGAATACAATGGCCTTAGAAATGAACACACAGCATCACCACGGGTCGCTACCCTCCCCAACGCACGCCATCACAACCCATCTAGGAGAACAACCCAAGCCAGGCAACATCCAAGGTAACCAATCCTACCCTACTCCCACGGCATCACGGCCAGATACCGTAGGATACACGAATTCCCCAGGTATAAACAAACCAAGCATCCAAGACTAATAAACCTCCTACCACCGCTGCTACCTACCTAGCAAGTTCCTTCATCCCTTCTCCAACCATCCGTCTCTTTTAGCTATAGCTAAGAATCTAAGAAACCGCTTGAGAAGCAGCCGCGCAGGAAATTTCCCCGTCTTAGTTCCATTCTGATTCCCGGTACTCGTAGTCTGTTCGAGGAGGAGGACGCCGAGGGGGTTGTTGAAGCAGCTGTTCAGGGGGACGTGGAGTCGCCTCGTTGACAGATACATTCGCAGCATCCAATAAATCATACGCATACTCCCAAGCATCCCCAGCACCAGCACTACCTCCACCAAGAGCGAGACCAAGACCACCAGCTGCAGCCTCAGCTACAGCCTCAGCCTCAGCCCCCTGCGCAGGCAGACCCCACTGCACCACCTGCTCTGCTGCATAATCTCCAGATTGCACAATCACCTGTTGCTCAAAAGCTTCACACTGTTGACTGATGAATCCTTGATTAAGGGTATACGCGGACGCGCTGTCTCCAAGCACCGCCGGTTGAGCTATTTGGGAGAGCCTTTGAGCTTCCGCTTCTAGTAGTACGTCCTGGTATTGCTGTCCAAACGTGATGCCGTAGTCCTGCTCTCCACGTTGCCATTCCTGCTGTACTTTATTCACAACGAGGCTGTCGTCCGACACGAACGGTTGCTGTGGTTGCTGCTGCTGCTGCTGCTGAGAATCCACAGCTCCCAATCCCACAGTCGGATGCACCTCTACGGGCTGCTGCAGCAACCATAAACCACTTTGTTTGCCCATTCCAAAATGCACAATACTCCCCACCTCCTCTTGCGCCTCCTGATGCACCTGCAAGTTCCCACCAAAAGCAGAACTCCTGTCCAGCGAGGATATACCTTCCCTTCGCAACGCAGCCCCCTGCGCATTCCGCGGAGTATCCTAATATCCCTGGGGCACCTGTCCATGTCCATACACACCCATCGGCTGCTGCTGGCCCATCCCAACAGGCGGCATACCCATCGGCTCGCCCCTAGCGGCCGCCATCGCCCTCTTCTGCGCCTGATCTTGCTGGAAAAGCGGGAGATCGTGGAACCATGCATGTTCCAAGGCCTGCTGGGCCGTGATGCGATGCTCGGGACGCAGCTGCAACATCCGTGCTAATAAATCGTGACCCGTGGCATCGATCTGCGGAAGAATGAGACGTAGGTCTTGTGTGGAATATACCGTGAAGTTCGGTTTGTATTCGGGGAACTGGGAGATGCCCGGCCATGAGCGTTCTGAGGGGGTGCCCATGAGGCGGAAGATCTTCTGGAGTTGGTCCTCGTTTGTGTTTCCGGCGAAGAGAGGTCGGCCTGTGAACATCTCTGCCATGATGCAGCCTGCGGACCAGATGTCGATGCTGGTGTTGTACGTGCGGCTGCCGAGGAGCACGTCGGGCGCGCGGTACCACAGGGTGACGACCTCGTTGGAGAAGGTGTTGACTGGGATGCCAAAGGCGCGGGCGAGACCAAAGTCTGCCAATTTCAGCTGTCCCCGGGTGTTGATGAGGAGGTTCTGGGGTTTCAGGTCGCGATGTAGAACACGATTTTCGTGGCAGAAGGCGATGCCGCGGAGCAGTTGATACATGAAGGACTTGATGGTGGGCGGATCGAGGGCGGAGTGATCGCCGTGGGCGTCCATGTACCGCTTGAGATCCTTGTCCATGTATTCGAAGACAAGCATGAGTTTGTTCTCTGTGTGGATAACATCATGTAGGAGGACGATGTTTTCGTGCTTGAGTTCCTTCATGAGGGAGATTTCGCGGATGGCGGTTGACGGCGTGCCTTCTTCGCTGTCGAGGTGGATCTCTTTTAGGGCAACAAGCTCTTTCGTCTCACGGTTTACGCCTTTGTATACCTGGAAGCATAGTAGGGTCAGCATTTGACGTCGTTGCGAGTGGGACCAAGTGCTCAGATTCATCCTTACCGTGGCGTAGGTACCCTCACCCAATTTCTCCAGTTGCTTAAACGAGCTGGGATGCCGCCGTGAATCCATGGTGGGCACGACGGGTATGATCTGGTTGTGGGTATCGCTGAGATTGCGGACGCTGATGGACGAGTCGGTGCGGTTCGCCACGGACAGCGTGCCAGCGTGGGTGGGACGCAGCCTCGTGGGCGGCGGGCGGGTGGTGTAACGTTGGTCCCAGAGGATGTCGCCGGCGGTGGTAAGCTGGCTGGCGATTTGCAGCTGCGAGGGTGGTGCTGATGGAGGAGGAGGAGGCGTCGTCGCAGACCGAGAGTGCTCGGTGGGGAGGGTGAGTGGTTGGGCCGTTTTGGGCGAAGGGAGTGAGGGGTCGAGGGAACGTCTTCCCTGGGGTTTGCGCGAGAAAGGGCGGCACTTATAGGAGCGAGTGGGATGCCGTGTATGTAGCGGCTAATGCGGGCGGTTGGACAATGATAATGGGCGCTTGTTGCTTGGAGTAATGAGAGGAGGAGTGGCTCAGAACATGGTGTGTGGTGGAGAGAAGCTTCTCTAGGGGTGTTGGACGAGGTCCAGGGATGTTGCCGCCTGACTACGCGCCTCGGACGCTCCAGATCTCTCTGCTTGCGGGTTCTATTTTGGGGAAGCGCTGTTTGTAGCCTGTTACTTTTGTTTGCCAGTGCGAAAAGGGTCAACGGGGTCAATTGGAAGGGTTTTTGGAAAGATGGTGTTGCTCGTCAAAGGTTGGTGCAAAGGGTTGAATCGATGCATATGCATGCCATGGACAGTATCCATACACCAATGCAATGATAAACCCTATCTACAAACAGAGCCAATCGAAACGCGCAACTATAACCGCACTTGCTGTCCGGAAGTCTGAAAGAAGATGTAATAATTTCGAATTCCCGAACCCAACCAATTCACGTGAGCCCAGGGTTCCGCGCGGCAATCTCCCGAAGTGCAGCCGAGGCGGTCCGCTTCGTCACCGCTAGAGCTGCTTCCATCACCACGCCTGTATTCGCCTGCACTCGTCTGCCAGCACTCACTCTCCTCCTCATTTTTCCGCCTCCCAATCTTCCGCGAGCTCAGACATGCGACCCAGCTCCTTTCAACCTGCTCCGCATCTTCCCACCCAACCTGACTGAGCTTGGAATCCTCCTTCAGTACCTCCATCTGCTCCGAATCCCCGTGGCACACGCCTCCAATCCAGCTCCATAGCTGCTGCTGCGTTTCGAAGCCTTTCCGGACCTGCCGTTACCACTGCTACCTTTGCTTTGCCCCACGTTTGATACGATCATGAGCTCAAAAATCCAAAACACCGTCTATGACCGTCTTGTCAAGCGCGAGATTGGTGACCGTACAACGTATGCCGCCATCCCCGGCATCTATGGCGACCGGAGATGGATCCATGAAATGGACATCGTAAACGAGCTCGGCGGACACCATGGTTGTGTCAATGCTCTCTGGTGAGTGGTTTCCGCTACCCTAGCCTCGTGTTGAGGGAAAAGTGCAATAACTGACCTGGTGTTAGTTGGTCCAAGTCTGGACGTCTCCTTGCCTCAGGCTCCGATGACCATAGGATCAACATCCACGCTTACAATCCCGACTCCTCCACCGATCAGTTCAGCCTGACCGCCTCCATTCTGACCGGACACCGAACAAACATCTTTTCGGTCAAATTCATGCCCTACTCCAACGACAGGACAATCGTGTCCGCCACCGATGACGTGCGCATCTTCGACATCGAACGGAGCGGCACTTCGCTCTACAGCGGATTGACTACCTCAGCTCAGTCGGCCCGGCGTCCCGGGGGTGTTCAGGGCGCGTTAGACGGGCTTACTTTGACAGAGGGGGATACCAATGCAAAGGCGTTCCGTTGTCATACTGATACGGTCAAGCGCATCGTGACTGAAGATAGCCCTTTTTACTTCCTCACGTGTTCCGAGGATGGAGACGTGCGGCAGTGGGATATCCGTCAGCCGTCCAAGACCTACCCTCCACCCAAGATGACGAATCTCCCACGCTGGGCGGCGGATGCCGATGCCGCTGACGAAGTACCGCCTCCTCTTATCTCGTATAGCCGCTATAACCTAGATCTCAACACCATTTCATGCTCGCCTTCGCAGCCACACTACATTGCCCTTGGCGGCGCACATCTCCACTGCTTCCTCCATGACCGACGCATGACTGGACGGGACAAGCTGAGAGAGCGTGGCGGCAAACTACCCACCGCGCGCAACTGGAATGTGCATGATGACCTAGCCTTTGGTGAAGCTACTCGATGTGTCAAGAAATTCGCACCTAATGGGAAGAAACGTATGACTCGCAAGGACAATGGTCATATCACCGCATGCAAAATAAGCGATGCAAACCCCAATGAGTTGATCGTGAGCTGGTCAGGCGATTGGATCTACGGCTTCGACATACTGCGCAGTCCCGATGCTTCCGAGGAGGTTCGCTCATCCAATGTTTCGGACGGAAATCGCGGGCCCCGAGTGAAAGATAAAAGCCGAAAACGCAAACGAACCAGGTCGGGCATGTCATCTCAGGAGGCCACGGATAGGGGCGGCTCCCGCCAACGTACCCGGAGCTCTCGTCCTTCAGCTTCAGGGTCGCACGATGAGTTAGCGCTGAGAGTCAATTATTCCAACGGACAAAGCGAAGAATTCCGCATCGAGCCACCCCAGAGACACTTGTCCGAAGCCGAAGCCGCTGCTCTACGAGAAACCGACCATTACCGCATCGCTCAAACCACAATCAATATTCAGGAGCAGATGTTTAACCTCCCTAGCGACATACCTGCGGATGTCAGGGACTTGCCCGAAACTTATCGACCGCAATTTACTTCTGCACTGGGCTATGCAGGCTCCATCTTGCCAGATATTGATGAGGTTGCAAGGACGTGGGGTTACCCAATGGATCCCAACCAGGTCGATGTAGCACTGCAAAATCATCTGCGGGATCACCGAGCGGCTACCCGTCGATTCGTCCAAGCTGCGGGCATCTTGGCTCGGGTCCTTGGAGGCCAGCTCCGAACAGGAAGTGGCTCAGAGGCCATAATATCTCGCTACTTTGCAGTCATCCAACCTGCACCAAATGAGAGACCATTACCCCGACATGAGCATTTTGCGTACGATTTCCTCAAGGCACTACTGCTTTGGCTCGATAGTGGCTTGGGTGCCGTCGTGGAAGGCTTCTCAAGCGCAGGGAGCCATCCTCGCTTCCCTATTCCACCGAACGCGGACATTGACGCCATTGACGACATTCTCATCCCTTATCTGCTCCAACTAGCCAGCGACGACCCCATTGTGAACGTAGACGCGTCAAAGTTTGAGACGGATGATACGCGTGTTCTTCACCGTACGGAAAAGGCGGCCGTCATCACGTTCGCCAGAGCCCTCAAAACGCCTTTTGCTGATTTGACTGGTGCTGTTGTCCCTGCTTCCGGATCCTCGGCATCAAATCACGCAGTGCAGGACCGTAAGACAGCAATCAAAACTTGGGCGTTCAAGGTTGGGAGAGGTGTGCTGTGGAATGCTGCTCGAGATATCCGCTTTGCGGCGGTTGACCGTGCATTTGGTGGCCAGGGCCGTGCCGATGGAGACGTAAAAGCAAAAGAACGGATGATACGGGAAAAGCAAGAAGACGTTGACCCGAATGAAGACGATGACGTGATAGTGGAAGCCGAGATAATTGAGCGCCCTCGCAGTGTTTCAGCGCCCCTTCAGTCTGATGCCTCTGCTTCCGAAGGGAACGCCGGACATATCACGGTGCAGCAGTCCAGTGATTCTGCCGGACAAGGCGAAACTCCGCTTTCGTCCGTAAGCCATGAGGAAAACGTCCACGAGGAGGCGACCCAGGATGAAGAGACGGATGAAGACAGGGAGACAGACACTAGCGACGAGGACGACGAGGATGAGGATGAAGGTGACTCGGATGGTGAGGATGAATCTATCCCAGATGATGATGAAGACGAGGATGAGGAAGAAGTTGGCGAAGGACTGACCCGTACCCGAAGCGGCCATATCCTCTGGCGAGACTATGACAGGAGTCGCATTCGGGCTAGTGTTGGGCGAGGTGTGTCTTGCGCGCCGCATACGAAGGTGTACAAAGGCCATTGCAATGTGAGGACTGTCAAAGACGTCAATTACTTTGGCCTTCAAGACGAGTATGTCGTCAGCGGCAGCGACTCCGGCCACGTTTTCATATGGGACCGCAAGACGTCGCAGCTTCTCAACATCCTCCAAGCGGATAAGGAAGTAGTCAATGTCGTACAAGGCCACCCATACGAGCCGACAATGGCAGTTTCAGGCATCGACCACTCCATCAAGATCTTCTCCCCTGACGCTGAGGCGCAACGAAGGGCCCGGAAGGGGATTGGCATCCATCCTCACGATACCGGAGTCTCCAGTCTTGGGTTCGGATTCGGATTCGGTCATAGACCTAGACGAAACCGTCAGGCAAGCACCTCCGAGCCTGCAGTCACGGAAGAAACATCACGCCGTGCAGCGGAGGATAGTGACGAGGATGATAAGGTTGAAAACAATGGTCTTGCAAGTTGCAAGCGAATGCACCAGGAATATGAGATCATCTCCCAGAACGATGTGAACCGTCAAGACGGAAGAGATGATGCTTATATCACGGTTAGTGCCCTTCGGCTAGTATGCTGTGCTCCAAACTGATGGCTTTGCAGAGAGCTTTACTTGCGCAACTGGCCCAACGCATGCATGCGATGCAGCAAACGGAGATGACAGATGACGGAGGGGCAACAATCGTCTTGAACGGGAATGAGGACTGCCAGGTCATGTGAGGGCGATAGGGCGCGAGAAGGATAGTGTATTGTCAGTTCACACCATCGAATTGGAGCATTGGTCGTACATAAAGTAGCTTTATGTATGTCCCACGTTCACTCGTATTATGAAAGCATAGGGTACAGGCATGTGGACAGCAGTAACGTCATTACAATAATACTAGAAGTTACGATCGCTTTTGTAAAGGTATTAGCGGAATCGGTCGTTGCGTTGAATTCACTCAGGAACCCAGAATTCATTTTTGTGCCCTAAAGCGCTGCCTCCCTCGACTGAACTCAGGCCCTCGCTGATGAACGCCGAAGAACATGCATGACGGAAATTGACATGGTGCAAACGGCGGCTTCAAGTCGCCTTCTTCTGTTTCGCCTTCAGCGCCTTCTTCCTGTTACTCCGTATCATGACGACGGAGAGGAAGCTGCCGACGACTGTGGTGCCGAGTATTATGAGGATGACGGGGATGCGGATGGCCCAGACACGCGGAGGGAAGAGAGAGTGGAGAGGGTGATCTTCGTCGACGAAGGGCTAGGGTTGGTTAGTTTTGTGTGGGGTTTCGAGCGGTAATGGTACGATGGGGCATTCGTACCATGAATAGGGTCCAGATGGTGTAGTAGAGGAAGATTGCGGTGGCTGCAATGAGCATGCTGAGGCCTACGAGACGGTCGAGCTTGGGAAGTTAGCGGTGAAATAAAGCTCTTTCATTGCGAGGACGTCTTACCATGGTGAATGAAAGCTTTATTCTCACGGTTTGGATAGATTTCCGTTTCTCTGTAGCTCTCCTTCAAGCTTCACTTTGCAATGGTCGTCTAGCTACAGCGACGTAGAGGCATTGGGGATGCCAAGCCCTCGGTCAAACATTCCGCCGCGCTTCCGCCTACCTTGGACTTTCTCATCCCAACGCTCACGCCATCACCTTCACAGCCAAACCGCGAGATCTAGCGATTCTTCATTCCTTGCGATGGAGGTCGCCTCAGCTGTGCGCATTCCGTCGCCGGAACCCGAGCTCCCGGAGCCACCTCGCAAGCGCGATCGCTCACCTTTCGAGGCCGGCCCATCGAAGCGCTCCCGTCGAGCTGACCGCGACGACGAAGACAACGACTACCCTCAGGAGAGGAGGAGGGATCGAGAGCGAGATAAGCGACACGACGACGAAAGGCGGCACGGTGAGAACGGCCGCCGCCGCGATGGAGAGAGAAATGGCGACTCCCGCCCAAAGGATGACGTCCCCGACGATGACCGCCTAAAGCTTTTCCAGAGTGCATTCAGCGCAAGTCGGAAACTGCCCATCGACGACTCCAAGACCCGAGCTGGTGGCGCGTATATTCCCCCAGCCCGTCTGCGCGCGATGCAAGCTGCCATTACCGACAAGAGTAGCCCGGAGTTCCAGCGCATGGCGTGGGAGGCGTTGAAGAAATCGATCCAGGGCTTGATCAACAAGTGCAATGTCTCCAACATTAAGATGATTGTCCCTGAGCTGTTCTCGGAGAACTTGATTCGCGGTCGTGGGCTTTTCTGCAGGTCGATTATGAAGGCGCAGGCCGCGAGTTTGCCGTTCACAAACATCTACGCTTGCATGGTGGCCATTGTGAATACGAAGTTGCCGCAAGTGGGCGACTTGCTGGTACGGAGATTGATTGTGCAGTTCCGGAAGGCATTCAGGCGAAACGACAAGGCGGTTGCGGTGTCCAGCTCCATGTTCCTGTCACATCTGGTCAACACGCAAGTCGTGCACGAGATATTGATTGCGGAGATACTGCTTCTGCTGCTGAACAAGCCTACAGATGATAGTGTGGAGATTGCGGTGGGGATTATGAAGGAGTGTGGACAGTTTTTGGAGGAGATGAATAAGGCGATTGCGAACGCCATTTTCGATCAGTTTCGGTCGATTTTGCACGAGTCGGATATTGATAAGAGGACACAGTATATGATTGAGGTGCTGTTCCAGGTTCGGAAGGAAGGATACAAGAATAATCCGGCGATCAGGGAGGAGCTTGATTTGGTGGAGGAGGAAGACCAGCATACCCACCGCCACACCTTGGACGATGAACTCAAGACTGAGGATGGATTGAATATCTTCAAGTTTGACCCGGAGTATGAGGAGCACGAGGCGCAGTATCAGAAGCTCAAGGCGGAGATTCTTGGGGAAGAAGAAGGAAGCGATGCGGAGTACACCGATGCATCGTCCGAGGAGGAGGAAGATGAGGAAGAGAAAGCCATGGAGATCAAGGATCAGACCAATGCGGATCTCGTCAGCTTGCGCCGTACCATCTACCTCACGATCAAGAGCAGTGGAGGATTTGAAGAAGCATGCCACAAGCTTATGCGTATCAACCTTCCTCATGGCATGGAGAAGGAGCTCACTTCCATGATCGTGGAGTGCGCCAGCCAGGAGCGGACGTACGAGAGGTTCTATGGGATGATTGGGGAACGGTTCTGCAAGTTGAATCGGATGTGGTGTGATCTTTTCGAAGAGGGATTCGTGCACTATTACGAGACTATCCATCGTCTGGAGACGAATCGTCTACGCATTGTTGCCCAGTTCTTCGCACATTTGCTGGTTACGGACGCGATTGGATGGCACGTCCTGTCCGCGATCAAGCTGAACGAGGAGGACACGACTTCCAGCTCCCGCATCTTCATCAAGATCCTCTTCGAAGAGCTGATGGCTTCGCTCGGCCAGAAGAAGTTGGTTGAACGCCTGAAGGACCCTATGCTACAAGACTATCTCACCGGCGTCTTCCCGACCGATGCGGACGACCAGAACAAGACGCGCTTCTCCATCAACTTCTTCACGGCCATTGGTATGGGCATTCTCACGGAGGGCATGCGCGAGTGGCTCAAGAATGTGGCGCCTAAGCCTGCGCCGTTACCGGAACCGGAAAGCGAGTCGGAGTCTGAGAGCGTCTCGTCGTACTCTTCATATTCTTCCCGCTCAAGGTCAAGGTCACGGTCGCCTGTGCGGCGCAGGCGGGATTCGGGATCGAGCTCAAGGGGTCGCTCGTATTCCAGGAGCAGGTCTCCTCCTCCTCCTCGTCGTCGTAGGTACTCTAGCAGTTTGTCTAGGTCGCCGTCACGGTCCCCCGTCCCCCGTCACCGCAGGCGCGAGTCTAGCAGTCCATCCAGGTCGCCGTCCCCCGCTCCCCGACGCAGGCGGTTCTCTAGCAGCCCATCTAGGTCGCGATCGCCGCCTCCGCGCCGCAAGCGGGACGTTAGCAGCCCATCTAGGTCTAGGTCACGATCCCCTGCTCCCCGTCGTAGGCGCGACAGTAGCAGTCCACCGCCGAGGAGGAGGAGGTACTCCAGCTCAGAGCGGTCGAGATCCCCTCCGCCGAGGAGGAGAAGGTACTCTAGTTCTGAACCATCGAGATCTCCGCCGCCAAGGAGGGGTGGGGGAAGATAGGGTAATCAGTGTGGGAACTGAGGGAATAGGAAACGTATGAAGCGGTTGATGGTGGATGAGGGTTTTATGTCTCTGTATCGGAATCAAAGCGTCTGGTGTTGGGGTGCCTGAAGTCCTACGGTAATTGTGAAAGTGGACCTCATCAATTTGCGTTGCAATATCATCAATATCAGGCATATTTAGCAGTATCTTCTAATATGTTCTCGTCTATCAATCCGTGATGGTTTGCTAACGCCGTGATAGACTACGCGGTGATGCAGTTATCTGGGCGGTCGCCGAGAGAACCCTACGGACTTTCTTCGAAAGAGGATATCTTCTTGGACGACAGGTCTATGCTACTACCGGATAAACAGTATCAACTAAACCCTAGAGCAATACCTGGTACCGTCCTCTCCGTCTATTTGTGGAAGTGTTTGCCAATGCCGCCCCGTGCTTTCCAGGCACTTTGCGTTGTGTCGCTAGATCCAGGTATCTGCGTTACGGTGTGATAAACGGAATCCCTCGTATCCTCCAAGGACGGGCCAGAACTATGCCCTCAATTGTTGTATTTGCTTGCTTGCGTCGCCGTTGACACGGTTGCGCCCTTTTCCCAGCAACCCGTTACCCGCCTTTCACTGACACTAGACCTTTCACCAACGCCAAGTTTCCCGCACACCTGACACACCCTCACAGCAGATAATGACGTCTCTGCTATTTTATCGAGCGTGCCTTCCTGTTATTGGCTTCCCATTATCGGCGTAAACAGTGGTTGCCTCCGTTACTAGGGGAAGGATAGCTTGACCCAACTTGCGTTCTCTTCTTCTCTCTCTTCCGCTCATATCACAACCACGATTTCGTGAGAGGTATCCCCTGCGGTCTTTCTGTTCGCTTTCCCTGAGATCTTTCGAGACTTGTTCTGCGAGCTTTGAGATCAGTCTGCTCACATCCTCTTGACATCCATCTCCGTCAGTTATCCGCCAAGCAGCTTCCTCAGCTTCGTGGAGTGCAGGCATCGCCTTCTTAGATCGCAAGACGTGGCTCGTTGCTGCCGATTTACAGAGTCTTTCCACTTGAATCACTCGCAATCCGCGGGTTCTGAAATTCCGTTAGACCTCCTTCTCGACGATGCGAAAGAATTCACTGACCTTTGAGCAGCCATCTCTTCTTTACAAACCGCCACAAACTTCTCTTCGGGCTACAAGACGCCTCTCCCATCTGACTCTTTACGGGGGCCATTCACACCTAGCTATCCGAAAGCTAGTTTCGCCACCTGATCTCTAACCACCTTCAAACCGCTGCACCATGCAGTTGCTCACGGCCATCTGCGGGTGGCTGTGCGCCTCCTCCAGCTTGACTTCAAGCAAGCTAGGTGGCAAGGGCCTCACTACACCTCGCCGGACCATTGAAAAACTTGTTGAGATTCATATCCAGAGAGTCACGACGACAGTCACTGCAACAGTCACCGAAACCGTTGGCATTATCGCTACCCCTCTGGTTCACGCCCCTTCCCCGACCTACTCTCCCGTTGGCTTCCAGGAGTTTTCCTCCGACAACTCTCCCGTCGACTATTCCCCCGCTGAGACTCCGTTCTCTGCACCTAGTGTTTCCTCTGGATTTGGTTTCTTCTCGTCTGACGATCTGGCTTCTACTCTGTTCTTCATCGGACAATTCATGTCTGAACCGTTGCTCGTGGTCCCAGTGTCGATCCTGGGCGTTTTGGAATGGCTCTTCTGCTCCTGCTTCTTTGTGTCATTCTGCTTCTTCTACTGGCACTGCCACTTCCGCAAGCGAGTTCAAGAGATCCTCGAAGACCTCTGGATAGCGTTCTCGCGTCGCTCCATACCGGTCTGGGTACTTTTCTTCGGCATGCTGCACTGCTTTGCGGCCGAAGATGCACGCGATCATCCGCTTCATATTTTGATCGCTGAGCCTTTCGCCCCAAAAACCTTCAGGTGGTTATACGAAGAGCTGAGTGACGTGTGGGACGCTCGCGAGACCATGAGCCGACTTCGTACAAAACTTTGGAATGCCTATCGGCCTGTCGTCCTGGAATCGATCGAATGGTACCTGCTGCATCTTCAAGAGGCCGTGTCCCTCATCGACATGGTCGGCAGACTCGTCTTCACCATCCTCCTCAAGGCTATATGGCTAGTCGCGCAGACACTCCGTCTCCTTGTCGCCGGTATCGAACGCAGTTCCGGGGCGATCTTCCTACCTTTGGAAGTCATCGGCCAAAAGACTTTCCTCCTCATCATCGCTCTCTGGCCCGCCCGCATCTTCAACCCCGTCCGGGCATTCTACGACGGTGTCCTCACCTGCCAACGAACCTACTACAACCTCGTCACCGAGGCCGCCATCGCCAACATGACCTACGACCAACGCCTGAACCTCGTCATGGAGAACCGCCGCCTCCGCATCCAACTCCGGGACTTCATCGCCCAGGACGGCTTCGTCGGCAAACTCGCCGCCCGCTGCATCGACTACCGCACGACCATCTTCGCCCTCATCCGCGAGGCCAACTACCTCTGCACAGTCATGGACATGTGGGCGACTTACGAGTGGGACAGGAAGAACAACTTCGTGCGCAGCGTTCCCCTCATGGGCCTGCGATATAACTCTGCCAAACTCAAGTTCTGCGACGAGAAGACCGAGCAGGGGCTCCATTTCGCCGTCCGGGATCCAGTGAGGCACCCGACATGGATGAGTTACGAGGAGCGGCAGCGCGTAGCCGACGGCAGGAACATCAAGCAGCTGTGCTCGAGGGAGGAGTGGCAGCGCAGGAACATCTTGACGTACCGGGAGCCGCTCTTCGTGAAGCACCAGGTCGCTGCGTGGGGACTCGAGGCGCGCATGGGCGATGTCCAGTTCCCGGATTACGATACTTTCGACATGGATAGCCCGGACGGGTTGGGCATGAGCGAGGAGCAGAGGAGGGAGGTCCAGTTTGACCCCGACAGTGGCAGGATTGAGGATGTGGCGTATTTGGGCAGGGCGTTGGAGAAGTGGGAGGAGATGGAGCTGGAGGCGGAGCGCCAGAGGCAGGGCACGATTGAGGGGAAGTTGCGGCGCTCGTGGCTGGTTCAGCCGCCGCGTGTGGAGCAGGAGCAGGCGCTGAGGTTGAGCCAGCGGATGGCGTCCCCATAGTAGGGAAGGAGGGAAAGTGTGAATATGCCAGGAGTTAGGGGAATGGGATGGGATTGGTATGGCTTTGGCCTGGGTGGATGCAATATGATAGGTACCTATAGAAACAGGTAGGAACATTGAATGTTTCCGCTGGGATGACAAGAATTGCCCCAGGGTGGAGAATACGGTAGTGATTTCAAATGTACATAGCGTAGATAGTCACGGACTTGATGGAATGCCAACGCTCTTCCCCCCCAGTTTCACTCTCAGATATGGTGCTCTCCTCCAGTGTTTTATAAGGGACTTAGAGAAATAAACCAGCCGGACGGCGATGCGTACACTTGAGCACGGGATGTGTTACAGCTGCGTACTTCTCAGCACGATGTTGTCTTCAGACGCAGCACGTGATTGGGATAAACCCAGGGATTATAATTATACTCCGTCAATGTATATGAATAATCTGAGAGATATATGAAGTTTTTGATAGGATCGAAGCTTTTATGAAGGCGGTAGGCTTGACCGCCTGAAGCTGTCGTGGCCGGGTAACATGCATGGCGCACAAGTTCATCCGATCAGTCAGCCGCAACACAATCCCGACACTTACACTCCCTAATTTGACCCTAGACACCGACGAGACGGAAGCACAACCTCTCTAATACTACCACCCCCACCGCCTCCATCATTCCCTCGGATCCCAAACGCGTCGCTCCGCCTCAGCGCCCAGCGCCCATGGGGACTGCGGTCGACTCAGGGCAGTCCCTGCTCCTCCAACAAGACGGGACCGGCGGTGTCTACTCGACCCTCCCCATCACCCTGACCAAGGGCCGCCCACCGAAAGAGGCGCTCCAGAACCAGCGGACCATCCGCTTCGAGGTCCGGTCTCTCGAGGAGTTCGAATCGACGCTGCGGGAACATCTCGACAGCAATCCCGAACACCCGGAGAATATCCTCGCCAGGTTCAGTTTCTGGACGGGAGCCAGCTTTCTCGTCACCGCGCCGCAGGAGATCACGCTCCGGCAGCAGCAGCAGCAGCTTGCGAATGCTCCGCTTCCTACACCTCCGCTCGAGGGCCAGCAGGGGCAGAGCCAGCACCAACATCACAATGCACCTCCAGGCTACCAACCCGCCATGGCCCCGGGCGTCCCTCAGTACGGCAACGCCCATCTGAACCCTCCAAACAGCTACCACTCCTCCGCCGCTCCCACCGCTCCACCAGCTCCCAATTCCTCCAACCCCCCACAACAACGCTCCAACGAGAAAGTCACCATGACCATCGACTCCGTCCTCACCCCCACTCTCTCCCGCGACGACCGCCTAACCAAGAACCGCCAACTCGTCTTCGCCAAAGCCCTCATCGCCGCCGTCCAACGCGCCGACGGCTTCCGCTACTCGTTCCACAACAGCTGGTACAGCGGCCGCGACCACCGTGCGTTCGGCTTCTCCTACTACTGCAACGACAGCTTCCTGAATAAAGACCGCGCGGCGAATGGCAAGGGCACGAAGCTGGGGAAGAGGGCTACGAAGCCCGTGTTCCCTTGTGGGGGGTTGGTTCGGATGCTGTTCTCGGCGGTGGAAAAGACGCTGGTGCTCGAGTATAGGCATAATCCGTGCCACAAGACGTATGCGGAGCGGGCGCCACCGCCGAGGCCGAATGCGAAGAGGAGGAGGGTGGACGGGGAGGGTGAGGCGGAGGCAGCTGTGGATGGGAATGGTCTAGGGGTGATGGCGCGACCGCCGAGGCCGAAGAAGAGAAAGGAGAAGGCGCCGTTGATTTCGGTGGAGAGTGAATTGCTGGCGCAGTCGAGGTTGTCGATGCTGGACCTTATTCGGACGGACCCGTTGCCGGGGATGGCGCCGGCATCTTCGGCGGATGGAGGACTCAATGGTCAGGGTAATGGGGGAGGGAATGTGAATGGGGCTGTGGCAGCGCAGGCGCAGGGGCAGCCGAAGCCTCCGAAGAGGTCGAGGAGGAGCTGTGAGATGTGCCATGCCAAGCGGGCGAAGGTACGTTTCCATGTATTTATCATCGCACTTGCACTTGAGCCGGAGGCCTTCCGCCAGTATCTTTCGGCTTCAAATCCGTCATCAAATCCGTCAATCCTCTTCTCTTGCGCTCCCAGCCCACGTACCATCCACTAACACAGCCCCCAGTGCGACGCCGTCCGTCCCACTTGCTCCACATGCCGCGACAAGGGCCGCCAATGCATCTATTCCGCAGATGAAGACGGCCAACCTGCGGCTGAGCAAGAGCAAGCTCAAGACCCGGAGGCTCTAGTCGCGGAGCTGCGCAAGAAGTTGGCGGATATGGAAGAGAAGTACGCCGAGGCACAGGCACAGATCCGCGAGTTCCAGGCCAAGGAGAAGGAGAGGGAGCGGGAGAGAGAAGTGAAAGCTTCCACCAGGGCTCAGCCAGTTGGCTCGGGGATGGCCATCCAAACGCAGTCGCATATACAGGTGCAACAACAACAGCCGCAGCAGCAACAGCAACAACACCAAGTACGCACGCAGCCGCAGACGCATATGCAGCCGCCAAGGAGGCAGTCTCATGGCAGACAGCCGTCCCATGCCCATGTGCATTACCAGGCGCCTACTCGGTCCCCTCTCCAAGCCCAACCTCCCTCGCTGCAGGACCAGCTCCAATCGCACTTACAAGACCAGTCGCAGCCCCATCTCCAGAACCCGGCTCAGTCGTATACACAGGTGTCTCCGACTTATCCACCACCGAGCCAGACGCAGTCGCAGTATCAGGCACAGCAGCCTCAGACGCATTACCAGGTCCAGCAGGGCCATGGGCATGCGTTGCCTGCGGCGAGTTATCGGCAGGCACAGGCGCAGCAGGGGCAGGCTTCGCCGTGGGTGTTTTATCAGTAGGGGAGATCTCGTGGACGGGCACGTGACTAGGGGCTCGTCTGGGAGTGGGAAGGGGCAAATGAGGTTGGGTGAATACCTGGAGGGTTTTTCCTTTTCTTTCGTACTTTGCTTATCGGCTTTCCGCCGTGTTTTCCTGGCTGGGCATGCTGGCAGCCACCTACCTATCTATGAGCGCGAGGGAACGGAATCGAAGATCCGGCAGTGCAGTGTTATGAAGCTCGTCTATACCCCCCTTAGTACTTTTGTTTATGCGGTTATTGGTTCTGGGTGGGATTATGGGTTATGGGTTATCTATCTACGGGGTATTGGAAGGGTTCTGGGATGGGGGTATTCGGGTTTATGTATATGAAATGACGGGTTGGCTTGATGGGATGGGTAAGGTTATATTTCTAAGTACTATATGTATCGGACCGTCTCCTAGGCTTGGGATACAATAGTGTCTCGATAGGAATGCTTATGTCGAAATAAGAATTTTGTGAGGGGTTTGAGGCTGTGTGGTCTATATATTTATGCTAGATTTGCGTTTGGATAGCGTGTGCAGTGAGTGCAAATGGCTGTTAACTTAGGTAGTGGATGATGTGCTGCATACCCGCATCCGCACTGGTATACTAACTGTCAGATATCGGTGGAGTCTCACTTGGTGGACGGAGAACGGTTAGGGTTAGGGTTAGGGTTATGAGTGGGGTGTTTGGTGCTCCCGGTGTAAGCGGCGTACAGAAGCTTCATCCAGATACATCTTGGTGCGCAATCAGGCCTTTCCCGCAGCAAAGAGGCCTCAAACTTGCAGGCCTCACGTATCAGAAGCTTTATAAGGTTTATTACACTCCGAAGGTGCGGGATGAGTATCTCGCCCACGTAATAGAAGGGCGTAAACCACTAGAGTGAGTTCGGATCACCATAATCGCATGAGTCTCTGAGTCACATCGACTACTACTGCGTTACGTTCCGACCACCTCGTTCCAGCCTATGATCCGAGTCCAAAAGTACTCGCAATCAATATTACTGAAGTAGACAGTGATTGGGGAGCATACGCAAATGAATTTCAATCCTTTCTGGTAGACGCAACGGAATATACGGGGAAGAAACTACTTGCAGCACCAAGACGTAGCCAGGAAAAAAAGGAACACAGGATCCTGGGCGAATAAATGGCTTAGTGGCGGGAAGAGAATATGAAATCCAAACCTAGAGCTAGGAATGGAACAATGGAAATGAAGTGGCGGGACTTTATAGCGCTGGAAGGCTTCTCTCACATGTAGTAGGTAATTCACTTTGATTTCATTTCTGTTATGCTAAATATGTGATGTGCAGATTTCTGAGATGTGCGATGACAGGATGTTTTTCTCAGCAATCCAACTCAAACGCAATAAACTCGGTGGTCAATGGATACCGCTACATCCTCATTCCTCGTCAACGCTATACCGCTTCTCCAGCCACTTCGTCAACTTGGCTATCTTGCCTTCGTACAAACTCTGATTGCACGCGTCGCTATACACGTGTTGGAGGAGACCCGATAGCTTCGTAACGCGTGTATCGCATTCCGGACATTTGAATGGATAAACCGAGTTACCATACTTAGAGAGTAAATCGACACGGTTGAGTAGTTCATTTTGATAGTCCTCATGGAGATATGCCTTCCACTGGAAACACATCGCAGCCGACTCGTTCAAGTCAACTATATCGATTCCGGAGGGGCATGCTCCAGATTCCAAATGTATTATCATCGCTGGTAGGGTGGAGAATTTCCGATAGCAGCCGTAGCATTCAATCGACCGTGGTAAATGTACCATTTGATGCTAAAATTAGTGTTAGCGTCAACTAAGACAGACATATCTTCTACTTACATGGTGAAGATTACTAGAGCTATCAAAATGCTCTTCACAAGCCTGGCAAACATTTTGTTCCTTCAGATGTACGAGATACTCCTGTGAACCAGCAATCCAAGCTATTCCCTCTCCATCATCGCAGCCCTGGCATACAACTCGATGCTTAGTCTTTCGGTTATGTTGCAGAAACTTCTCCCATGTAGATCCATCAAATCCACAGATGTCGCATCGATAATGGCGAGGGGAATCATCATAGTGCTGTTGTAATGCCTGCTGTGAGGGGAACCTCTTCGCGCATCGAGTACAGTACGCTTTTCTGCTTGCGTTATTAGGGGATTATAGACAGGAGCAATCACATAGACTGGAACTTACCCCATCAAGGCAACTGTGGATCTTCGTATGATCACAAACCTGTCAAGGCGGCGCCAACGGTCAACTGTGTCTAGGTACGCCCCGCATTTTCTATAATTAAACGACATTCCCGTAAGCTCCCACAGCCACACATCATGACCGTTGAAGGGTTATGTAATCGCCTCCTCATCCTGAGAGTCTAGAACCATTCGCATTGAATCTTTGCATCAAGTACCTCTTGCTGGATGAGATTGGGGACCGTCCTCTATTTTCCGACGAGCAGATCGCAATCGACGAGCTGCCTCAAAAGTATGACTTGTTCGGCGATAGCGGGCCGTTCGAGTACGATCGCTATTGTACATGGGAGGCCTGGGAAGAGGATATGATATGCTACGACCCCACCGAGCGAGGTTTCGGTGAATTCTTCGCCTACGCCGCCAGCCAATGGCTCAAGCATTTGGCCGCCGTCAACAACGGAAGCCTTCCCCCACTCGCAGATATAGAACTTCTATGTCAGGCAGGCTCAACTCGGCTTCACAACTGGATCAACCAGAACCGCCGCCCGGACTGCGTGATCAAGGCTCGGTTTGAGTTTGACAGTAGCTTGTACGACCCGCTTAGCGTTGTGGCGGTTTACGGCTCTGACGCTATTCTGCACGATCTGCTCAAGAATGCGACATTCGACACGCCCACATACCTTCCTTCGCCAGCCATGAAGGCCGCTGATGAGGTTCTGCAATGGGGTGACCTTTCGCGACTCAAGATACTCTTGGAGTCTGAGGCCTTTGGTTATCGACTTCGCAATCTTGAATTCTTCCAACTCATAATTCAACGATGGGTCAATTTCCGACAACGACATGAAGATTGGAAACCGGCCTTCGAACTCATCGACTGTGTCTCGGATGCACTCGTTGAAGATGAATGGGGCAGGGCGCTTCTATGCACCGCCGCCCGCGCCGGCTGTCTGCCCATCATCAAGCGCCTTGTCAATCAAATGCACAACAATGTGAAACCTAAGAACGAACTAATGGCCAGCCAGTATATATTTGTCGAGGCTGTGTTAGGAAACAATGCTGATGTGGTCGAGTGTTTGCTGGGCGAGGCGGACTTCTGGCCGCACCTACTGTTTGTGGGCATCAGGGACTGCGAAACCATTCTGCACATGGCAGCGAAACACTGCAACCCTGCCGTCTTCAAACTCCTGGTTCCCCATCCTCGCATGGCAAAAGCGCTCCGCCAGACCGACAATGCTCAGGAAACGCTGCTCATGTATATCATCAAAAGCGATGCTTCGTCGAAGAACCGGTATGAGTCGGCAAAAATCTTGCTCGCTGAGGCAGTGAAAACTGGTCCGAGCGACAAGAGTTTGAGAGGGAGACGTGACCCGTTAGAGATCGCTGTGCAGATGGGCGATGTAGAAATGTGTCGAATTTTGATCTGTAAAGGAAGGATGGACCCACTCTCCGTTTCGACGTGTGGGCCCGAAGGGCACTTGGTTCCAAAATGGAAACTGGATTTGAATGAGGAAGAAATGACTCGTTTGTTGCGAAAGCTTGCAAAGGGTCATGGTCGAGCCTAGAGACTCGGCCTACCCACCACATTGCAGCGATATCTCCCCTGAAGAAGGGACTCTGGGACAGTGACGATTCGGAATTATCTCTCCACCCACATACTCATTTGATAAACTTGCGAAAATTGCCAGCGTTTCGTGTTTTACATTAATATACAAATTCGAATCCGGGTATCAGCTCGCTCAGGTGTATGTCGGATGTCACCTCTTGATCCCCCTGCCAAGTATGCGGAAGTATAGCATAGCGAGGAATTTCGTTCTCGTACCGTTATCTCTATACGGTAGTGATGGCTTTATATGGTTACAGTAGCGATAGAGTAGGGTATGTCATTACCTGCTGATTCATACTACTAATGACCGTCTACAGGTGGCGAGACGCATACTGTGGTGAGACGCGTGCTATGGGGAAAGATCCACGTTTAGATCTTTGGAGTCTATCCTGTCGAAATCCAAACCTATAGTTCATGCATGATTACTATACCTTCCTTTACCTCTAAGCACGTACTCTCTGGCGAGGACTAGCATGTTGGTTATGCAGTCGCAAGGTTTGTTGCCTCGTCTATGTGCCACCCCTGTTCACCGATCACCTTAACGAGTTCCCTATCCCTTAAAAGCTAAATGGATGGGTTAATTGTAGTACGGAACCGGCTTGCGTTGAGCTAAAGTCACTACGATTTCGCGACTCTCTCCGTCTCGAATTTCACAAAATGTTCGTGGCCTCCAGCTGAAGCTGCTTGGAGTGAGCGTTGACGTCGGCGCCCTTGTCTGTTAGCAGCTTCACATTTTTGCTTCTGACCTCTCCACGAAGCTGCCTGGAGTGCGTTGCCGTACTCTCCGCCCTGTGCGTTGACGTCGACACCCCTCTGGAGTAGCCGCTCACAAAATGTTCGTAACGTCCCTCCCTGCGGGTCGAAAAACCCCGCGCGCCGAAAAATAGGAGGTGTACTTTGCCTTCACACCACTCCAACCCTTCGCACACCTAGATATTTGCGATACTGTTGAAAGGATCGTGCATTGTAGGTGATCCTCCGCATGTAGGCACTTTTGTATACCAAAAATACCATCTTATTGCCGGTACCGCGTCTGATTTGCAGAGAGCCTCCTTTTGTCGCGAAACAGACCCTCCTTCCAACAACACCACTACGAAGTTCTGGCTACCAAATGCGACCTATTAGAGAGGTGCTAACTAAGCCTGCAGGTATTACCGTAGAGCCGAAAGGCGCTCTCAGCCCTGTGGCGGGCATTGCGCGATGATTCATGCAAGGTCGCCACCCACTTGTGTACTTCCAGCAGTAGCAGATACAAACCCTACCTAGTGTACACGAGCCCCGCATACCTTACGTACGCATTGTGTGTAATTTACCCTTTCGCCGTAGAACAAGCTTCCTTGACGCTGCAGCGGCTAGTTAATGACGGTGCAAGAGTCATCCGTGCAGCTGTCGAAGCTAGCACCTAAAGCCAAGGTACGAGCCGTGGCTGGTGCCTGCAGATTTTCTTCCCGCCCCAACACAGTGGTTCCTGCAGCTAGTCCCAGCAAGCCCCGTGCTTCCCATTGCTAAGTAATCTAGAAAAGCAACACTCTGCTAGTATACATGCCCTATTAACTTCTATGGAGAGCGAACTACAGGTAGCGCTGCATCTCTTGCACTAGCGCTGAGTAGTGCTTAGAGCACGCTATAGTAGTAGGATGGTCGGGACCAAGTACATGCTGGTATCCGCTGCACGCCTTCTCGTACAGCGCCGAAGCATCATTATATCGATGCTGTCGGTGTAGAAGGAAGGCGAGGCAGTACACGCTGGTCAGCGTGTCGGGGTGCTCTTTCCCCAGCAACGCCTCCCTAGCTTCTAATGCACCCACATCCATATCCTTTGCTACCTCATACCGCCCCATCTCCCTTGCATACCACGCTACTTTATACAGCACCGACGCCCATGCCTCTAGCGCCTTCGCCTCCACTGGCCGGCAGTCTACCGCCGCCTGAGCGTGCGGAAACAGCGCCTGACACACCTTCCAGTTCTCGTGCCGCCCCACAGGGTAGCTACTGTCCATTACCGCCACATATCTCTCCTTCCACGCTTCCAGCTCGTTACACAGCTCCAGTCACTTTTTCGTCGAGAACTGTACCAGCCGGTGCATCTCAAATTCGCTTCCGTCTGCGCTCATCTCCACGAGCGAGTAGCTAGTCAGCATGTGGATATCGTCCTCGAAGTCGGCCTCTGTGCCGGCGTCTTGCCAGTACGGGTCACGCAAAAGCGACTCCGGGATGCCCTGGCGGTCGAAGAGGCTCATCAGCGACAGCAGCCGCGCCGCTGCTGGCATCTCTCGCCGGATATGCTCAAACGAGATCTGCCACGTCGGCCACCTCGAAAGAAGGTTTGCACTTTAACTCTCTCATACAGCAAACTCGTATCGCCCTTCCATGCTTATCTGTGCTCTTTCTTACAGTGCATCTGCAGCTTAACAACGCTTATGGTAACGAAGCCACAGTCACCGCAGCACCTGCACTGAAATCCGTCCAACTGCCCTACTCTTATCTGGAAAAAAACTTTTCACCACATCGTTGCTTCTACACGTGTCAGCGTCCAGCTCGCATAATGCTGATAGAGTTCTTAGCGTGATACATGATCACCAATTGCATAATGACATCGTTGTCGGAGCGATATGGACGTAGAGGTCATGCCGTTCGAGGGTAATAACCTGTTGGCAGGGAGACTATTGCCCTCTGATGGAATGCGGAACGCGCGTGCTGTGATCGCTTAGCGGTTTGCATGCGGGGCGGTTATCACAACACAACAGTTATGCTTTCATTGGCCTACATACAAGCCCGATTGTGCTCTGTGATCTAAGCAGATAATCATGTCCTGTAGGGTGCTCTGGGCGCAGAGATGTCTTCTGTGATCACCGTCGTGGTCTGCATCAATATTAACACGCCATCTCCATACTAACCTGACTACCGCTGACGGCCCTCGGCTACTGGCACCGGAATAAGGAGATTCTAGCAGACCTGCATCACCGTCCGACTTCACGGTCGTGTTACATAAAGATAGAAATCACGGAGAAAGTGAAGATAGCGTCATTGGGTTATCCTCCTCCACTGAATGGTGTGATTTCACGGCCTTCGTCCGCTATGGATGCTTCGAAACATCAATCGGCTTGAGCGAGTCAGCTAACGTTAGAGGTTGACATTGCCGTCATGAGTCATTGCGCTGGCCTGCTCTCATGATTGCTGAGTAAGTTTGGCTCGTTGCAGACTCTTGACAATATTACGTAAGCCTTGCCATGAGCGTGAAACTGCCTTGGTCTGCGCATTGATTTAGTAAATCCATATACTTCGCAAGCAAAGCATCATGTACCAGAACAGAACTCACGCCAACCCGCAATAGATTAAACTGTGAGGGGGTGGGTTCTATAAAATCGAATCACTTGTCCGTAATGTTATAATCTTCATGACTACACGGCGATGCACTTTCATCACCACTCATTATCCTTACTTAGAAACATAAGTGTCATGCAAAAGGTGACCAAATCAATACGCCTTGTTGATTATCCCTGGTTACTCTCATATTCTCTCACGCCACACTGTCATCGATAAGCCATCTTGGAAGGAATGGCTGGAAACCAATTTGGACCGTCATAAAAAGCCGATAGAAATTGTTAAATAGAGGCTTTAACCTGCCATTGAATATGTCGTCTATCTTGGGTTCGTCAATCAAACAGCCCAACTCTAATTGTGGAAGCCATGAACCAGCTTAACAGATGTTCAGTCTGGGTCCCGCCCGCTTGCATAATCGTCGCCACAACCCTATCATTCCTTTGCGTACTTTCGGGCGTCCACCCAGGATGGGTTAAGTGGTTATCACATTATTCGCGTAGGTAGCTCTGCTTTTGTATGCTTATGGACACATTGACAAAGAAGCAGGTCAGGGCTTTCCAAGAAGCGCTCATAAACCTGGTGGGAAAGATACCTGGGGTAGACGATATAATAGGAGCTTCTCTAAACAACATAATGGAGGATATTGGTATACCGGATTCAATATCAATCTACGCCGTGCGCTACTGTATCGAGAAAGCTCTGAGACGTGGTAGAAATGCTACAAAATGTTTCACCCGTAACTCATCGGGATTTGGCGTTGCTTTTGAGTTACGCATAGCTCTTGCCTTGTTGTATGCAGTAGGAATTACATCGTCGATACTGAGCCTAGCGGTGCTCCTCCACGCTCTCATTATCCGATGTCAAGATGACAAGCACCGCTATTGGAGCGGAATATGGACATGGATCGCCCTTGGCGCTGTTCTGTTTGGGTCCGTTACCGTTACAGTTGTGATATATGCGGTGCACATGGCACTAGCTGAAAATCTACCGCGGTCGATCCTCTCAGTCGAGATCGGTGAGAAATTTCGGTCTTACATGGTCGGCATGCGCTTGCTTAGCGCTGCGCTCGTTCTCATGCGTTCAGAGAAGATGCGGAATTCTTGGTCGCTAAACCGAGGGTACTGGATCGCACCGCCCACTCTTTCTTGCTACAGCAGGGTTGAGGTCTGTTCTGACACCCCCTTCCTGATAGTCATATGTGCCGAGGAAGAGGTGTTAAGGATATAAGTAGCGAGATGCGGTATGGTAAGGTCGACAGGGAAGTGAGGCCAAAGATATCAAGGGTATAAGAACTTAAAGAGCCCAAGTGTCTATCTCTAGGGCATCTAAGCGGTGCGATCGTTATTGGCGTTGTTGTGGTAGGAAAGTGCTGCTGGTGTTCCGCCATGGCGGTTGTTCTGTTACGATTGGATAGACATTATATATAATTACCTAACTCGCCCCTGACCTCGTCCGATATGCCCTTCCCCCTCTGCAGTAGGGCATACTTCTCCTGCAATTGCTCCCGCTCCTGCGCCCTGCCGCTACTACTCTTATTTCCTGTCCGCTCACTTGCAATATCATGACCGATGAATGAAAGGAGTGAGCCGAAATGGTAACAATATATCCCGGCTCTGGCCGATGGATGGAGCCAGAGCCCGTCGAGACTCGAGGGCTATAGCCATTTCGTCTGGTCGGTAACCTTCTCTCGATGAAGCTTGCGAAGTACTTGAGGTATTTGCCGTCTGTGTAACATGTGGTGACAGCCGCTGTGACAAGAATTGGGTATACAAAGTTGGATTTTCCACTCTCCCCAAGCAAGGCCGTGGTGGTACACATTGGCGGCTGCGCTTTGTAGCTAGCCCGTGATTCACCGAAACAGCTCTCCTATTTAGTTGCTGGCTCGTATTTTCCTTATCGTCTGTCTTGTAGGTACCAATGCCATTGATGGCCAGCGTCAAGCACTTTAGAAGAAACTTGCCCACACGCAGATAACACGCAATGATTTTTCTCAGGAAAAGTGATTGCGTCCATTGTTCGGGCTCCGTCCTGCATAGCCTGTTAGACGCAAACTGTAACACGCCGAATTGAAGAAAAGCCACATACTTTAAGCTTGTGTAATATTTGAGGCTTTCAACAAGCACGGAGACTAGCTTTTGTTAGCTGAGAATAACGTTCCGTTGGTCCCCATACTGAGCAAGACTAGAAGAATGAAGCTCGTGGCCATATCGTTCTCGTGGGTATATAAGTTACGAGAGGGTATGCGGAAGGAGAGACTGTATGGAGAGACGATATACGACCTTCGGTAGTTGTGTTGATTGAAATATGCATAACAGCCCGGTCGGAAGATGATATCCACTCGGTCAGCCTAAAGTCGTCTGAGGCGTGCTGACAGACCCTGACAGTCGAGCCAGCTTCGCATGATGTGCTCTGCCTCTCGGTCTTCCCCGCTGATGCATTCGTTAAGCGTCTCTTCTGTGAAGTTGGTGCTTATTTTGGCTGGAGCTCGTCCTACAAGGGACTTCACACTGGCACTTCGAATGGTCGGATTTCTAGGACACCATGATTAACTGCATCTATTGCCCTGCTTTGATACACCAAACCACACTCCTAGCTCCGGCTGTACAGTAATTCTATGAACCATATTCGCTCTATTCAATCATCTGACATTGATCAACGGTCTACTGCATGTGCTTTCGTTCATAACACCCTTACAAGTGGTGGCGACAATATGTACCAGGGTCGCTTACCTAACACGAAACCGTGACTATTACATTCGTTTGAAAGCAGCAAAAGAAGGCCCAAATCTAGCTTGAAGATAGACAAAAAGAGTGTATGTTAAGTTGAACTAGAGTCCGCTGATAGTCCTGCCTGAAAAATTCTAACTGCATTTACTTTGAATTCAGAATTCATATCTCATGCTTACTGTTACTGTGCAGCGCATCCAATGTCTCGGCAATCCTGCGATACCTGTTGCTTGTACGCCCAAAAACTGTTTCTACACTGACGAGAGTCCGTTCGTAGAAACCCTCTGCCTCCTTCGTCCTGCCAGTCTGCTGGAAAAGAACTGCTATATTCTGGGCGGTGTTAAGTGCAGGTATATACGTCTTTATGGCCTCCTGACCAAGGGCTTTCTCGTAGCCTTGCAGCGCTCGCAAGTACATCTTCTCCGCCTCGTCAAGCCATCCCAGGTCCACATAGAGGTTGCCCAAGTTGTTGACCGTATCGAGTGTTGATGTATGGTCTGGTCCCCATGCCTTCTCTTTGCCTTGCAGCGCTCGCAGGTACATCTTCTCCGCCTGGTCAAGCCATCCCAGGTCTAC